CCTTTGGACCAGCCTTTTTGGCTTGGCCCTTTGCCTTGCGTCCACCTTTGGCCACCGTTGGTGCCTCAGGTTGGATCTGGTCCGAGCCCGGTAGGGTTGGACTTGTTATCAAATCCTGGACATCAAGGTTGGACCGGGCCAAGTTGTTTGGCCCTGGTCCATCGGTGGGTGTCTTGTCCTCACTTGTGGCCGCCGTTGGCGCCTCAAGTTGGACTTGGCCCGAGCCAGGTATGGCCGGCTGTTGTGCCAAGTCCCGAGGGACACTGTTGGCCTGGGCCGTCCTATCGGCGCCAGGTTGGCTGTCCTGAGGCTGGTTGGCCTCGGACAACTCGTCGGATGCCTCCAGGAATGTGTCGTCCCGGGTGGCGTCCAGACTTTCGTCGCTGGTTTCCAGGTCAGCCGGCAGGATTTGGTTGTCCCGCCTGGCTTTGGCCTCGACCAAACTCGTAGAGCCGGCCGAGTTTGGCTCGTCTGGGTCAGAACTGCCCTGTTTGGCGCTACGGAACCCGTAAGGTCCCGTTGGTTCACGCGTGGCATAGTTCTTCCCGAGCACCTTCTTGTATTCGTTTGGCTGGCGCCTGTCCATTAGACTGAGCAATCTCCGTTGGAGTTGCTCATGGCTGGTGTATTGCATCACCTTGGCCAAGGAGCTTTGAGTTTGGCCCATGGTATTAGGACTTAGAAAAAATCTTTGGTCCGGACCGGAACGTTGGGTTGGATCGCTGTCGGTGCTGGTCAGGTACGCTAGAGCTCAGGTTTAGCGTTAGCTTCCTATGGCCCTTTGTTACGTTACTGACCAGTGTGACGTCAGTTACAAAGTGGTCTTGCAATTAGCTCTACGTCACGAGTAGCGTGCCGTGAGCAAAATTCAAAAAACAATATGAGTCACTACGACTGTTATAACACGGGGAAGTTTCCCACGTGTTCTGATTGGTCAGAATTTTTATGGAAAGTTACCACGCTGACGTCACGCGACTTTTTCGCGAAAATTCTGGCTGGACAAAGTGGCGGTTGTTTTCGCCGAAAAAATTAAGGAAAAATCGAGGAAAATTTTCTCGAGAGTAAAATTACACAATTCTAGTGCAACTTTTCACGAGGAATCCAAAAATGCTACTTATAAGCAAATCGGATAAGCGGTTCGAAAGTTATTGAATTTTAACGTACTGGTTCTACGTCAAGACCTCGAAATTTCCGAAAGTTCTACGCGTCACAGCAGGTCTTACCGGCGGTTGTTCGCTCCAGACAATGCTGCTCCGTCGTCCACTTCTTCTCTTCTACCGTGAGGGCCGCAGCGCACCCGATAGGGCGTTTAGGTGTAACAGGACCGTACCAAACGCAGTTTTTGCGGCGGGAGCCAAAGCTGCGGGAGGCCTACTTATAAGCCTGACCCGTATCAACGCAACCCGGTAGGGTGCTTTTTTGGTCAGCTGGAACGTACCCAACGCAGTTTTTGCGCGGGGAGCCAAAGCTGCGGGGGACCTACTTACAGGCGCCGACCCGTATGATTAATCCGTCGCGCTGCGGATCTCCAGTGAGATCCGTATGATGCAGGAGATGATGGTCGCGGGATGGCTGGCGGCCGCTGGCCTACTTATAGGCAATCAGCGTAGTTCGACCGATTGTTGCCTTCACTGGGGATCAGAGGTCTCGCAGGAAAGAAAACCGAGCGAGTCTGCTACCATGTCAGATATGACACAGAAGCAAGAAGAAAATGGGGGCAAAATATGCCTTTATTGTGTAACAATAAAGCAACCACAAACAAACACAGAAAAAGCCAATGCGGCATATGCTGTGGAAAGTAGCTGCAAGCGCGCAAGTCAGAATCGTGATAATGATGCAGCGTGCTGCAAGTATGCAACAGCTGATGCCGTAAAGCATGGAATCGCTCGTAAGCGCTGGGCTACGCCCCCAAGAGTGCAGAAATGCGCTGATTGGTCAGCGTAGACAAAGTATACGCTGAGTGAGCAGCGTAATAGCGCGGCACGAATGGCGTTGCCATGTGCGGGCGGGCGACAGAGAAAGCCACAAGAGGTGTCTACCGCCTCGAGTGAGCGGTCTCTGACAAATGATATTGTGGACTATGGCTGTTATTAGGCATTTTATAAAAAGTTGGAAAAAGAATCGCTATATAATAATCGCGTAAGCCTTAACGAAATTTCCACTCTGTCGAGTTCGTCAGCCCGATCCACTGAATCAAACTTCCATCTCTACGTATCATTCGATAGCCCTCAGTGGGTAGATTTGCCATCACAAGTCAGTTTTTAGAGAAAAACAAAGATTTGAATGAAAACTTTAAAACACTGTAGCATAGAAAGCCAATGGGAAAAGTTGAGAATCCACCACTGCAAAACTGACCCCCCACCACTGTCTGGACAGCTAAAACGCGTTTTGGCAACTTTGCTGATGGACTGGGGGAGAGTTCTGGAATCAGGACCACGTACTGTTCCACTGTCTTAAATAAATTCATAAATTTTTTATTATCAAATGGTTTCGGAAAAAGTAAAATTTTGGAAAGAAGACCTAATGAAGTCCTCGAGTATGGAACTGCTCAAATCTGTACTCAAGGAGCTGTCGTTCCCAGTGGTTTGACCAGTTTAAAGTTGGAACTTTTCCACGGGCGGTTGCCATTGGTGGTAATATTATGCCGTTGAAAGCAAAACTCTGTATGTACGACTAGCGACTCGCAAGTTGGGAGTAGAAGCATAGAGACAATAAACATACGCCGCTTCGCTTTGCTCCGCGAAGAGAGCGGAGCAAAGCGGAGCAAAGCGAAGCGGCGTATGTTTATTGTCTCTATGGTAGAAGTACTTACATGAAACAGTTACTATTTAGAACTGGGGAAAAATTTCAGTGGTTGTCTTTTGCTGTTACGATGCGAAGGATTTGTTCTGGAACTGAACTGAAAGTTTCCGGGGAGAAAATTAAAAAAATTCATATGGGTAGTCATGTAACTCAATCTCTAAAGTTGTCCGGACAGTCCACGCGATGAGAAAAGAACCAGTAGAAACAGCAAATCATGTTTTACTATCCTATCATTAATTCTAAAGCGGTCATTGTTGACTGTAGTCTATAACCGAAGTCTTTGCCAATGATAACAGGAAATTGCAATTCTATAAAATTAAATTTTATAGAAAATAATTAAATTTTTTTATTTCCGCGCGGAACTTTAGTGTCTAACAAAACTGATTACCTAGATCTATGAAAACGGCTGAAAACAATTATTTTCTGCACTGAATTATTCTTCTCTTATTTGTTCCGCGCAATTTGCGCGGGGTCTACTAGTACAAGTATAAATTATCATGCACTGACAGAGGCATGAATGGTATTAACAGATAAAGTGTTGAGAAAATCTGTTCTAGCAGAATCCGATGTCCATCCATTTCGGAAACAATACATTTCGGAAACCGTACATTACGAAAACATCAGAAACGTTTTCTTCGGTTTTATTTAGGTTTTCCTAGAGTAGTTTTCTTATATTTTCGTGTTTTCATATTTTTTTATATCTCTTGTAAGTCCGTTAGTTTATTGGTTTTCTAAGTCCTAATTAGTTTTCTTGAATTTCTTAGATATTATTATGTATTTATGTTTTCATACTTTATTCTTATGTTTTCTTGTGTTTTCTTAATGGTTTGCGAAACGCTTCGTTTCCGAAAGGATAGGGTGCCCACAATCCATCATCAGGTTTGTGTCAATGATTGAAAGATCATTGATTGAATGATTGTTTATTGAGTAGCCAAGCCGGGTACAGTTCGGCATTATCACCTATCCTTATTCACCAAGAACAGATGCTGTGGCTAGTCAAGATAAGGGAAGATACTCTAGAATGAAAAATTCTCTGTTGTTGAATTCCGAAAAGCTATTGCAGGTGTTGTCCCAATGCAATGCCAGGAAACATTGTTAACAATATAGCCAGAGTTCTTTTTGGAAAAGAGAACAAAAGATTCCGAAAAGCCAAACCGTTTACTCCACGAGAATAGCCGATTTTACCGTTGATAATTTTATGACCTAACTGCAGTTGTCTTCTAACTACGTACAAGCCCCGCCCGAGAATTTTAGACCGCTGTAAGCGCGACGCAGTGAACAGCGCACAATAAGGTAGGTTTTTTCTGCTCTACGAGTACTCTTACACTGAATGCATTGGCGTCGAGCACCTTGAATGGGTCTAGCCCACGTTCCTAAATAAGCCACTTACAGTTACAGCGGTCTAAAATTCTCGGGCCGGGCTTGTAGCCCAAAGCTCTAAGATATATGAACGCAGAACTACAACTGGGTGGGAGCACAGGCCGAAAACACCGTTAAGTCAGTCAAAACTGTCGTATTGAAGTTGTGAACGACAAAATTTGCCGACGGAGTTGATATTAATGAATGCTCGAAATGGATGTTATCATGTTAAGGTTTCTCCCTTGGAGGAAGATCCAGTGCCGTAGCGAGGGTAGGCGCACTGGCGCGCGCCTACCCCTCCCGGGTTGAGAGCGTTTTTTTGCAAAATACTGTAAGTAACTCAGTTACTAACACCTCCCCCTTCGCTCGGACCTCGCTACGGACCTGGGAAGATCTGTACGGGAGTGGTGGAAAGGCAAAACCACGTGCGACTGTACGGGGACTATTTGGTGTGTTGTATTTACCCAGAAATAGCGGAATATGAGTCCGTTGTCTGCTCGTACATAGTGCTACTGCCAACTAGTCAGCCAGTTTGTATCTCGGCTTGGCTCGGATCCGAGGTCCGGGATCGCCGTAATCGGGCAGGTGCAAGAAGGGGTCGTTTGTATGGAAAGAGACATGTTTCCAAAAAACGCGGGAATCGAACCCGCGACAGCTGCGTCTACAGCCGAACGACTAGCCACTGCACTACTGCGGCAAGCATCCTCTCGCATACAAATCTCCTCACAATGTAGTGTAAGCGCCTTTCGAAGGGTATGTTTACAGTACCTAGTGGTCTTCGTACCGAAAACTGGTGCGCCGATGCAATACAAAAATTTGTGTTGTTGATTTATTTTTAGGAAGATCGGCAGATGACCTGCAAAGTATTGCATCATTTGAGGTCACCGTGAATCCGACCCCCAAGCCAGGATTATGCATCGTATTTCCCGCAGTTGGATACGAACTGGATACTCATTTTGCTGTACAGTGTACAAACTTTACTGACAATGACCCTCCATTAATTTATCGCTTCCATTATCATTCGGGCAACGAAAAATCCGCGCAAACCGCAACTGATAAAGATGCGCCACAAGGTGAGCTGCATGAGCTACTGGAACCGAAATAAAGGAAAATAACAGCATAATTGAATAATATTCTTACCTTAAATTTAAGTTATTTCTAACGGGCCATGCTCAAACTCTGATTCAGCTCTGTCGTAGTACTAGTGCGCGTCCGATCCCTTCGGCCGCGTTACATATCGGCCGAACGCGGTCAATTCGGTCAGTGTCCAATTCACCCGAGGCTCACTTCGGCCACTGCTCATTTCTTCCACAGTTCGACCGCTTATTCGGTAATATGTAGCACATTCCAACCATCTTCAGCTTTTTTAGATTTTCGTACTATTGACAAACCTTAGATATCCTGGGCTTTTAGGTTTTCCTCTAGGTTTTCTTAGGTCTCTTAGGTTGTTTTTAAATTTCTTAGGTTTTATTCTTAGCTTGTGTTTTCTTAGGTTAATCATGTTTTCTTAGGTTATTCTTAAGTTTATTAGGGTTTATTCTTTGGTTTCTTGTGTTTTCTTAGGGTGTTTTCTTAGGATTCTTACTTTTCTTAGGCCATTTGGTTTTTAGGTTTTTTTGGTTTTTTATGTACTTTGTTTCTTTGGTTGTTCAGGTTTTTCAAATCTATTATACTCGTATTTCGTTTTATAGGCTTTCCAGTTTTCAGGTTCTGAATACGTAGTTTTTTCACGTATCTCGGATAACGAATGAAATGAAGGAAGCACAGAAGAATAAAATGTGAATTTTATTTATAAGTTAACACAAAAGATCGCAAGGAATAGGGCACAAAAATATAGGAAAACTGCCAGTCAAGACTGTGCATATCAACACTCTGAAAGAACACTGCAGACCTGTGATGGCGACGTGGACTACCGAGTTTGTTCTTACAACTCATACTCGCCAGCCCTGCAGTTCGTAGGTTTCTCATGGCGCTCTTGCTTCTTTGATTCTTATATGTAAATTTGTTAAGTTTCTCATGTTTCTCAAGTTGCTTGTTTTCTTCAGGACTTTGAGGTTTCGTTGGTGTCTTCAGTTTTTCAAGTTTTAGTTAGTTTTCATTGGTTTTTGTTGGCTTTTCAGGGTTAGCTTAATTTCTTCAAGTTAAGTAACTTTGCGTTTCATAGTACAGTATATTTATACGGGCCCACTTCAGCTTTGGGAAGTCAGAGCCACAGTTTTGTTGATAAAGTCAGATTCAGACTTTCAGTTTATACTCAAGAGTTTTACTGGCCATTGTCAGACTTTGTATGGTCAGAGTCAGAGATTTAGTGGTGAGAGTCAGAGCTTGAGCGCGGGCCAGTTATTTTGCCAGAGCGATTATCACATGAAGCAAATCATGTATTTATTTCAAATTTGTACGAGGAAATACCCTGTGAGGAGGCCTCTCCATACACCCGCACTGGTGCGGGTGCTAAGTTGTTTTGCTGCATTTTTCTCCATCTACCAGCTCTTCGATCTGGTAGATTCTTCAGTTGCTAGCCATCGTCGTCTGAGTGACTTGCTGTTCTTTTGGCCCCGCAGCATTCGCAGCAGAATGCTGCGGGAGCATCTGTAGTGTCATGTGAATGGGATATAAAAGTGGGCAGTCGGGTGTCTTGCGTTTCCGCATAGCTCGTAGTATACAACACTGCTCACTCAGCAGAATAGATTCGGGTTCTGCCTCTGCCCGTGGTTCTCTTCCAGATCCACCATCATAGCCTTTTATACTTAAAACTCAAATATCCGGTAGCTAGAACAAATAAAACAACTCTTCTGTCACTTTTGAACAACCAATAATTCTCAGAACAAAAGCCAGAAAAGCAGCAGCGCTTGGCTTTGATCCACGACCCTGTGTTATGAGCCAAGCGCGCTAACCTGTGCGCCACTTTGCGGCAAAGCTGTGTCAGGCTCTTCAGTGTCAAAACTGAAGAGCATGACACAAGCTTTGCCGCAAAGTAGCGCAAAAATCTGTATAATCCTCTGAGGCTGTGGGTCAAGCCGTTTCGTGGTCCGCTGTGGCTACCGATCACTTCGGCCATTTTCATTTCGGCCGCGTTCATTTCGGCCACGGTTTTTCGGCCGCCATTCACTTCTACCGTCATTCACTTCGGCTGTCATTCAGTTCGGCTGCCGATCATTTCGGCCACAGTACATTTCGGCCAACGCCTGTTTTGGTTTGATTTACACGAAAACGTTACTTTAGATATAAATTTGTCGGAAGCTTAAAACCGTTGAATCAAAAAACGATAACAAATGGCCGGGTTCAGATCATTTTGCACGCAAAATTTGTTTGAGGAGTTCTTGAAGTGTTACCGTCATCATCATGTCTCGCTTTCAATGACCACGAAGCCACGAAGCCCCACCTAAATCACCTAAGTATAACCTAAGATTACCTATGAAAACAAAAGAAAATCAAAGAAAACCTAAGAAACCTAAGGACCCCCGGAAAATTAAGAAACCTTAGAAGCCTAAGAAACTAAAGAAACCATAATAAACCTAGGATCCTCGAAAACCTAGAAAACGTAGGAAACCCAAGAAAACCTGTGACGGCCGAAATGTCCAGTTGCCGAAATGAGCGTTGGCTGAATTGAGTGCTGGCCGAAGTGAGCCACGGCCGAAATGAACGTTGGCCGAAGTGAACCTGTGCGGCCGAAGAGATCGGACGCGGTCCGCTGTACCCTGCATTTGTCGTTAGAAAGGAGGCTCTCCTGGGTGGGTGCCCTCTAGATACAGAGTGGTGTGCACAGTGACTAGTACTGGAAGTTGAGTTTGCCGGGGGGTAACCTGTTAAGAACCACTTGAAACGTTCGTTTTTCGGACCATTTCGTCAGATAATTGGTGGATTTTTGATGCTTTTTAGTTTTTTCCACAAGAACGATTTGGTAACCGAAAAACACTTGAAGAGCCATTAGTGCTGAGATAATGAGATTGGTGTTGCTAATTTGCTACGGCATTAGTTTGTCCGAATTGCCTTTGTTGTGCAGCACCTCGTTTTTTAGCTCTTGGACGATTGCTCCAGTACAGCCTTCGACCGACAATGAATCCGACAATGTTGGAACGAGGGTCTTCTGGTCAATCGTACGGCGGTGTCATTACCGTCATAATTGTGGATGGTAAAGGGGGCTCGACAAGCTCTAAGCTACTGCTGCGGGTAAGTAAACCCTCGATTACGAAATCGACTTTTGCATTTATTGATTGCAGCCGTTCAAATATCTATTAACTCAGAACGCTTTTTACATACAAGAACACGTTCGGTGAGTAGTGGTAAATAGCGTTCAGGGATTTGTAGATGGATGTTATAGGGTACAAGATACCTGTCATCTAGCTGCAGAAAATGGCGATCTGAAAGGCTGGTCTGGGTTCGTCCGAGATAAAATTAGTTTGATTCCAAAGACAATATGTTTACAGTCACACAATTCAGGCCAGCATTACAAAATTTTAAGTTTTCATCAACTGTACTTATTCAGAAACCAGGTGCATTTGTCAGATGTCGAGAAAGCAAAATTTAAAGTGCCCATGACCTTTTATTGTGCATGTTCCGCCTAGAAAGGTGACTTCGAATACTTGCGTTTGTGAGATCTGGTAGCATGTGGATCGAATCAAGGGAGTGTGAAGTTACCACCGATTCGGAAACCAATATTAATGGTTCAAGCTGGACTCTGCAAGTGCATTCTTCTCGCTAAGATTTTGCTAGCTAAATAAAGATAGATTTTTTAGCCTGTGAAATACGAGTAGTTTCCTTTGAACTATAGGTTAAGGCTGTTCTACTGCCTTCCCGGCGGGCTAACTGTAACGAGCTCAAAATAACAGTAGACGACTTCTTGAATAGTTAATAAACAATCTCGTCTTCGAAAAATATGCTAACGAATTAAATTACTAAAAATCTGGGTCAACGCCTGGTGGGGTAAAATAACCAACTAGCTATTCTAATTTTACCCCGGTCTATCGTGGTGCGTCAAAATAAGTGCTTAATTGGCTAGTCAGCGGAAATCTGCCAGTCACTTGGCGGGGTCACGACGTAAATCGCCGTTTTCTGTTGCAGGCCGTCGGAAAACGAAAACCAATGAAATTGTTGAAAAAGTTTTTTTCTGATAAGCATAAAGTGATAAAACCATTTTTTCAGAAAACCAAAAAGACATTTTGGAATTTTTTTGAGTGAAACCAATCAAGAGCTAGTACCGTTCTGTTTCGATCCGTAACAATGTTATGTGTGATTTCTTGGCACTTGGAAATATTTCTTGTTTTCCTTTTCAGGTCCTGCCAAGTCCAGAAGATATCCCTAATTCTACTCACTGGCAAAATGACATTACCGAACTTCTAAACAATTCAGCCAGAATTAGTGATAGCCAGGGTGAGCAAACCAGCAATAAGAGTACTTCGCTTGGGACCTCTAGTTTTCCCCTCAAACAGTACGGGAAATCTTGTTTTCCCCCGCACATGTGCCGCTTAGTCGCTTACACAAATGCAGCCAGTTGGCTGCAGCTAAAAATCGGTTTCTGACCAACTCGGTATATCCGGTTGCGCAACTGAACAAGAGTTGTGAAACAATTTGGTTGAAACACTGATTTGAGTTGTGAAACACTGATTTTTCCATTATTGTTATCCTGAGTCACCAGTGGAGAACTCGAGCTTGTGATCTTTATTACCGTTGAGTCCATTGCGATGGCTCTCGGTAAACATGGTATGTCGTTCCCTGCTTGTGCGTTCTCAGTTGGGTTTGTGGGTTCATTCTCTGGCTTCGGCAGCTGTTTTTAGGCCCCGCATACCATGGAATACAAGTGTGATTTGTGCCCCAAAACCTGCAAATCATCCCATGGCCTTGCCAAGCACCGCGAGTCGGAAGTTTGCAAGAAAGCCCAGCGCAAAGTTCTCCATCAGGCAGCAGTTCCTCAGCCTGTAGCTGGCTCCTCTCGTCCTGTAGACGCAGCCCCCGTGACTGTTCCTGACGCCACGGCCAACTATTCAGCAGGTGCAGCGCCTACTCCACCCTCAATGCCAAAGCCTTTTCGGCCATCGAAGGAGCGTGTGCTGCGCCGTATCCCACACGGAGCGCGACTCGCCGCGAGAGACTCCTTACAAAAAGTGCTGTAGCAAGCAGCGATCAAGAACGATAGCCCGTCCTGGCTGAAGCTGTTTGCCTTTGCATCAACAGCGCTCCGACTCCCCGCCAAGACGAAATCAGAGCGCACCAGCACGTTGGCCACCGCAGTGAAAAAGAACCTGGATTTGTTCGACCGCGACATCGAGATTCCTGCAACGCAGTCCACTAAAGCCAGGAGGAAACGAACCACTGACGAAGATATTGTTCGTCGAGTCGCCGAAAAGACACAGCAAGAGGCATTTACCAATTTTCTTTCAAGGCATCCGGGAATTCGCGTCATGTGCAGCACCAATCTAACACTTCTAGGAGCCCCTTTGCTGGACGACGCGATTGCCCCTGTATTTGCCGAGAAAGCGAAATCACTGACCGCGGTATGCGAAAGAATGAAACTGCTTCCCCGTCACCACGCCTTATTCCTTTTAAGGCACTGTCTCGGAGCACCGAAAATCATTTAAATGTTGCGGTGTTGCAACGCCTGGAAATATCCTGAGCAATTGTACCAAATCGATGAAGTATTGCGGTCTTGTTTCCATCTTCTATATAACGTCCGGACAAATCACGATGATTGTCCCAGTTGGCGGCAAGCAAGTCTCCCGGTTAGCAGAGGAGGCATCGGTCTACGTCGATCGGAGGAATTAGCACTCCCAGCCTTCCTGGCTTAGATTCACTCCGTCTTTGTTGCTTCCCAGTCGAGGGACTTCAGACGTCACCGTTGCTCTAGAAATGTGGAAGGCAAAAGCCCGTTTAACAGAACTGCCCGTTCCAGAATTCCGCAATTCCCAGAAGGCATGGGATTTGCCATTGTGTAATGTATCTCTGGCTTCCCTGCTAGAAGTATACCGGGATGACGAAGTTAATAAGGCGCGTCTGCTTGCCCAGTCGAGACCAGAAGCCGGAATTTGGCTCAACGCGTTGCCTTCCGCCCATATAGGTAACCTCCTCGATGACGACACTCTGAAAATCTCAGTAGGCCTTAGACTCGGCGCCAGGATTTGTGAACCTCACAACTGCACGAAATGTTTAAAGCCGGTCGACGGACACGCTCATCATGGTATTTCCTGTCCCTTCTCCGCCGGCAGACACCCAAGACATGGTGGCCTTAACAATATCGTAAGTCGGGCTTTTGTATCAGCCGGAATCCCAGCTAAACTTGAACCCCGAGGCACTTCCCACACCAGCGAACGACGCCCCGATGGCTGCACAACGTTCGCCTGGCAGCGAGGAATGTGCTTGGCATGGGATGTCACCTCCGTGGATACTGTTGCCGCTTTCCACATCAAATCTATTTCGGCAATTGCGAGATCGGCCGCGTTGCAGGCTGAAGAGAAGAAGTCTAGGTTCTATTCTTATTTAAACGGCCGCTATATATTCACACCTATCGCTTTTGAAACTATGGGCCCGTGGGGACCAGCGGCCATTGCCATCATGAAAGAACTGGGGAAAAGATTACGTTCTCATTCAGAAGCCCGCTCGCACGAATTTCTTTGACAACGTTTGTCTTTAGAGATACAGCGTGGTCATGCGGTTTCTATTTTGGGCACGGTGGAGATAGCGGAAATGTTTTACGAGCTGTTGTTTTTGTAACTGTTTCTCTAACACGTGTTTAAGTGATGGTTTGAAATAAAATCGATATGGCCAACAAGAGTCAAGAGAGTAGAGACAACTCAGATAACGGCAAACGTGTTGCCTCAGCGCACGCGGCTTTAAACTGCAGTCAGCTTTAAGCTTCCAAGCGACTATAAAGCGGCGCATGCGCGGAGGAAAACAAGATTTCCCGTACTGTATGAGCTGAGGGGAAAACTAAAGGCACCAAGCGAAGTACCACTACTCCGCACTCGTGACGGGCCGACGTCCTGTCTGTTGGACAAATTATGGCCGACGAATTTTTATCGACAAAATGGCGAGTCAGTATCAATTATTTTTGCGAAAAGGCATAATCTGTTGTTAAACTTTGCTGTTAGTTTATACTAAACTGCTCTTTCCATTCCAGATTTTAAGTTCGCTTAGTCCGGTATGGATGTTCCATATTTTTTGCGAAACTTGTTCTAATCAAATATCGGTCCTTGGTAACATCAGGATGCATTACACTCCATAGGCGGAAACAACTGTAACCGAAAGGGCTACCGTTAGATTTGCTATTATAAAGTAGCATTAAATATGATAATAATTTCATTCTTAAAGTTTGATGCCCCACTCTCCAAAAGGGGTCTAGCTAGATTCGCCATGAGCGAACTTCGTGTGGCTCCATGCAGTAGGTTGCTATTGTTACGTTTTCGAATAACCGCTCAGTCCTGGTTGCGATGTGCGGTTCTTCGTATGTATCAGTAATTCTGAATTTTTGCTATACCGTTTATATACATAATAATCCTTTCTAATGCGGCCGATAAATAAGTTACAGTGCAGTACTTTAAGGTTATCACCAGCAGCGTTATCGTTGGAAAATGATAATCTGGTACTCCAGGTCTGATTACTTTGACGGGAACTGTGGCTGTAACCCTGAATCTTCGACAGGAAGAAAAGTTGATGTTACGCGGAAAATCCTCCAAAGTAAGCCCATGTAATTATTCGACAGTTACCGACGTAATACGTAATACGTTACGTTATGTAGTCCACCATATTAAACATACCGTGTGCAGCCATTAACAGCAAGATGTCGGAATCTATCGACCGTCAAAGCTGTTACATCACGTTTTACATTTTCACATACAATTTTTCCCTTGCATATTAAATTATCGGTCGCGGACCGAATGTAACCCATTGTAGCCCAAGGTAGGAAGTCCAGGTCAAGGGAAGTGGTCCGGTACATGATGCCAAATTCGTGTACATGTGCGAAAACCTTCACTTTCGCGCACCCCCAAACACCTTTTTGCTTCGTTTTATGACATTCTGTAGCCAGATGATTTTCTTACAGAAGCATGAAAACCGTTTGTGTGCGCAACATCCGGTTCGGAAGTAATGGCAGCAAAAAAATTCCAAAAAGTTTAAATGCATTCCGGTGTATTAAAAGTCTCGTTATCAATCGATCTTCTCTAAATTTTGCATGCAGACGCACATATGCATGAATATCGTTGGCCAAATATGTAGAACGCAGCTGTACAATTGGAGCCAAAAACCGGTTTAGTTGCAAACTCCCGGCGCAAGAGCACAGAACTCCGACTCGTACTATGCAGTGCTTGCTAACTTCTGACTCTTAGGTTTTACCAAGAAGCGGAACATAAAGGACCTAAGAAATTTTATGAAACGGTAGAAAGCAAAGTTAAGAATCTGATGGTCTAATCCAAGTTAAGAAGTCCGAGTTAAGAGTCCAGGTTAAGAACTCCGAGTCTAAGTTTGGTCACCAAAGCGGTACGACGGCACAATACTACACTACGTGATAGCAATGAAATTCTCTCTCGGTACTCTTTCAACCGGCAACCGATGTACGCTCCAATCCTTAAGGGGACCACTATGAGATGACTTTGCGTTTAAATATGTTTCCAATTTTAACATCAGCTTGTAGGAAATTTTTCGGGCTTCCAGAGAGTGTGTCCCGATACGGCACAGTAAACTGTGATCACAAGTTATGAGTAAAAAAACAAGCCTGGGTCAGCAGCGGCGCAGTAAATGCAGTGATGTTATCGGCTAGCCATGGCCAGTCACATGGCAGATATGCCACAGAAGATCTCAGACAGAACACCTGATGCTGTCCTGTGGCCGGAGCATACCCATTCTTCCCTCTCAAGCTATGTCCTGTCTGATCTCTTTCTGCAAGCGCGGGCATGGGTAGCCGGCTCTGGCACACATTGCTGCCGGTCAGTCCACAAGCCCTCCATTCAGCTGCCGTTTTCCAAAAACTAGTTAAATGGCTTTAAAAATCGATAACTTCATTGTAAAACTTGCTACACTTTCCAAATGGGCATCAGCTAATGTGTTATTTTCTAGAAAGCTTATATACCGACACTCCGCTATAGTCCAACAAAGCATGTTTGAATAAACTCCAAAAAACACTTTTCAAAAAGTGTTTTTCTCAGTTTTTTTTAAAGTTAACAACATTTTTTATTAGCATGTTGGAGAATATAAGCTTTTCAGGCTAAAACACATCCAATGATGTGTATTGCATCTAATTCGAGAAAACTTTCTCATTCAACTTTTGATTCCAAAGTTTTTTCTTTGTTCCTTGAATACCTCTGTCTAGAGAGAGCGCAGACAATATCGCAGCACACCATTGTATAGCCAAACCCTTTGCGCATGCAGACAGAACAATGGAAACAGTGATCTTTCAGCTGTTTTAAACTTATTCGTGTTTTCCCAGACCTACTTTCATCTCATAGGGATCCCCTTAACGAAGTAGGTAAACATTGCTGTCCTCCGTCCGTTTCACTGTGTGCATATGTGACAAGCCGATGCGCAGCAATAGCACTGGCTTCAGACTTCTTCTAGCGCCATAACTAACGCATGTCAAATTTATCGTATAAACTCATATTAAACATTTTTACCGCATTATTAAACACAAGCACAGCGCGCGGCGCTTACGCGCCGCGCTGCAGTGCAAAGGCGGTTCTTGTCGGCTGGTTCTTTTTGCTAAACGATTTGAAGTGAAACGGTTTTATATGCTAAGTAAGTCTTATTGAAAGGGGAATACACTTACTGTATCTAGAATTTAGAAATGGGTTAAACCGAAATCCTTCGGTTACAAAACGCTTAAAAGCGGTGACACATCTTGCGTGGCCTTGGGTTACTAAACGGTAAAGGAGCGGGTACCGCACGCGTGGCCTTCGGTTAAAAAAAGCCTAAAAGAGCGGGTACCGCGCGCGGGGCCTTCAGTGACCAAAAGCTCAAAAGGTCGGGTACCGCACGCGTAGCCTTCGGTGACCAAAGGCTAATAAAAGCGGGTACCGCACGTGTGGCCTTCGGTGATCAAAAGCTTAAAAAGGCGGGTACCGCAGGCATGGCTTCGGTGACCAAAGGCTAATAAGAGCGGGTACCGCACGCGTGGCCTTCGGTTAAAAAAAGCCTAAAAGAGCGGGTACCGCGCGGGGCCTTCAGTGACCAAAGGCTCAAAAGGTCGGGTACCGCACGCGTAGCCTTCGGTGACCAAAGGCTAATAAGCGGTACCGCGGCAAAAGCTTCGGTGACCGCAGGCATGCCATCCAAAATGCGGGTACCGCACGCGTGGCCTTCGGTGACGAAATGCACTGGGAATTGGGAATTGATTTGTCTTGGTCTTAATTATGGTTAAATCTATATGTTGTAAGCACTGCATTGTAGTTATCTTCGTTGTTCTTCAGAGTTTAAAATACGTATCAGGAAAGTTTATTCGACATACGTAATATATGAGCCGGTACTGTTGGCCACAGTAGCATTTCTAAAGCATTCATAACAACACAAAATACAAGAAAAACACACACAAAACTGATTAAGAATGTTTAAGTTTTGGCGTAGTGCCAATAGGCATCGAGCAGTCGCGCAGGTGCACGCGACTGGCTGAGCATATGTGCAGGAACGGACGGAAGACAGCTTTGTTTGCTCTTCCAATTACGACTGGCGGTCGTCATTTCTAGGCGGTTGATTAAACAGCGCTCTTATCACGTAGTGTGTGTGTTATGCCTTGGCGGTACAGTGGCAAACTGAGTTTCCCTGCATAGTGCCGGTCCGAGTGACACTATGTCTTCTCTGTCAGTTCGGGTACCGTACCGCCACCATTAAATATAAATCACCTACACAGAATGCTGGGCCACTCTCCGAATTTTTCTTTTGTATCGTAATCTAGATCTAGTAATAAATGATTCTCTTTAATCTTCTTGATTAGTTACGGCGCTTTTTGGTGGAAATCCTAGACCGGGTGCCAATGGAAAGTATTGCTACAATTGAACAATTGGCAGCCACATTCGCACAAGTTGTTGGCAGTATGGAAGATCTGGATGACGGCACGCAGGTTTGTTTCTGCCTAAAAAATCTGCTTACGAACATTGCGACACGATTACCTCAACTCTACCATTGCAGTACTGACTGACGGTTCAGAATAGTCGGTCCACTTACTGTATTATGAGTTACCCCTCCGCCACTCACCGCCCCGGCGCTCCAAATCTCCGAAAGTGGGAGGTGAACGCCTCCCCTTCCCTTTCAAGGGGGCCTACTGGTTGTTATAATTGGTATTATTATTATTATCGAACCGACAGTAGCCACACTCCACTGGTTGGGTATGAGTAGCCTTCGCCTTCCGCCTTCTCCTCCGCCTTCGCCTTTTGAGCGGTACGCATTCGCCTTTGCGTTCCAAAACATGCGCCCACTAATTGGCTTTTTTATGTTATTCTGAGATTTCTTGGGTTAAATTCCTAGGTAGTAGTATTCTTAGGATGTATTGTCATTTTCTCAGGTTTCTTAGGTTTCTCAGGTTTCTCAGGTTTATTAGGTTTCTTAGTTTTCTCAGGTTTCTTAGGTTTCTAAGGTTACTTAGGTTTCCTAGGTTTCTTAGGTTTCTTAGGTTATTCTTAGGTTATTGTTTTTCTTAGGTTATTCTTGTTTCAAAAGTTTTCTTTGAATGATTTTTTCTTAGGTTTTTTTACGCTTAACGAAAGAAATCAAAGAAACTTCAGGATAACATATTAAGGCTAGGAATCCTAAGAATACATAAGATAACCTAAGAAACCTAAAAATACATAAGAAAACCAAAGGAAGTCGCAACATCTCCCAGGAATATTACCCAGGAATATAATAAAGTAAGAAGGCCAATGAGAAGGCGCATGTTTTAGAAGGCGAAGGCGAATGCGTACCGCTCAAAAGGCGAAGGCGGAGGAGAAGGCGTAAGGCGAAGGCCACTCAAACCTAGCCGGCACGGTTAGTATCCTGAACCGGCCCCGCGAATTTAAATATTACCCCACTCCCGAAGACTTGCTCACTTTCTCCTCACATGTTCACTTTTTTCAATAATCCCACGAATTTTTATTGATGTAGCAAAACGTGTTTCGTGTAATTCTACTTAAAAATGATTTAAAGTTAAAAACCAGATCGATGTTCAAACAACCCTAAACACATAAAAAAATATCCATTCGGAAACACCAAAAAACCATTACTGCATTAAAAAGAATAAGAAAGCTCAGGAAAACAAAAACGACAAACAACAAACTTGAGAAAACAAATTAAATGATTAAAGTAAGAATAACGGAAGAAAACTTCAGAAATCTAAGATACTTAGAGAACATACAAAAACATAAAAGATCTGTAATCTAACAAGCCCAGATTTACGGTGGCTCAAGCGTTAGGTGTCTCAAATGTCTGGTGGCCGAAATGGCGGAAGTGTCAGGACACCTTGGTGGTTGAATCTGCCTTTCGTACGTTGTACAAAACCCAACCCGCTATCTCTATGCAGGAAGAACGGACCAATGGTTCTGCTAGGGCAGGTAAATCCCAGCTAGTATGTCACCCTAGCCGGAAATGGGCTATCTGCTCCACGATGAATAACAACAATAATAATAATTAGGCAGTCAGGCTAGGCTGACTGCAGCGGTCCCTTGTAAATAACTGATCGTGGAAAATGCATGGTGGTTTGTGACAAGAAATCACGTTTGCAGGAAATGGGAGCGCGGATACTTGCGACCCTGACGGACAGTATAACGCAGTTGCTTTTGAAAACCGAGCTTGCTCTCCGGTTATCAGACTCTTCTGTTTACCGTGAAACTGCAGGGTATGTGAAATCTCGTTGTCGTTGCTGATATAAGATATATCTATGTTATAAAGATATCGTTGCTGGACGTACTTATAGAAGCTACAGTGCATAGATTTCCGGTTTATTATGCAAAAAAGCTTCGTGATAGGTGTACCGCTGCAAAAATATCCACACAAAATGAGCAGATTATGTGTTACAAGTTGAGTAAGTCTGACAGTTGTGGTACGAGTCTTTTACCATTAACACAAGACCATGCTGCCTCCCTTAATTTGGGGAACGTTTTACAAATCTTATTCGGTTTAGGTTGCTAAACTTTCAAGCACTAAAAAGCTTCGGATTTCTTACTTTTCTTCGCTGTAGCATGTTGGTTTTCGAAAGCGATCGGCTCTACCGTGACCGTTTATGGACTTTACGATGCGTTTGTGCGCCGTTTGTTTGTTTTAACGTCGTTGGCGGACTTTTTGCCTTTCGTTCAGTACTACCTGTTTCAGCTTACAGCAGAAGCCAAAACTTTACCACCTGTTCATCATCACCAAAGCTAACCATAAGGTTTCCTGTGATCGGGACGCACTATTCTGTTATGCCGGCCACGCATTAAGAAACATCTAGCAATACACTTACTTACTCATATTGTACATAGCTGTTCGTTTAGCTCGCTAACCTGTAAAAACATTCAAGCTATTAGCTACTGTCTGTTGGTCCTTCCCAATGTACTGTCTGTTGGTCCTTCCCAATGATTTTAATGCCTTACTATTGCGCCACACTCTGTACGCGTTGTCAGCTTTTGGCATTGATATCATTATCGCATAAACATATTTTTTTTAAAAAACTGAAGAATTTACCGCCGTACTTTTGCGGTAATTCTGGAGCCCAGTCAAGTTCGGAACGATTCGCACTCTTCCGTAAGCGACGTTTGCCAGTATCCGGACAGAAGATCCAACAAGGTTACCCAAAATGGTACCTTGTATAGAAGCACTCGTACTACACACCTTCATGAGAGGAAAATCTGTTTTGTACGAATTAAACTGAAAAAAACGATGTTTTTCACCCTAAATTTTTGAAATTTAAATAAATAAAAAGTCATTTATTCCAGAAACAAATAAACTGCAACGTAGAAGCGGGGTTTAGTGTAACAGGAAAACTTCGAGAAGAGCTTTTCTGCTTAAAGTTCAAAATGCGTCTGAAATGTGCGTTCTGAGCACCGGAAATCACTTTTTTTGCTGTGTACAGAGTCAGAATGCAGTTAACTACAAAGGGCTACCGATCACTTCGGCCGTTTTCATTTCGGCCGCGTTCATTTGGGCCAAAGTTTTTCGGCCGCCGATCATTTCGGCCACAGTACATTTCGGCCGATGCTAATTATAGCTTAATTTACAAGAAAACGCTACTTCCGATATGAATTTATCGGTAACTTAAAACCGTTGAATCAAATGATAGGAAATTGCCGCGTTCATATGATTTTGCACGCACAATTTGCTTCAGCAGTTCTGGAGGTGCTGCTGTCACCATCATATCTCCCTTTCGATGGCACAAAGTAGAGCCCCCACACAGTGGCAAATTTTTGTACGGAGCCCATTGTAAAACCGGTTTTTGTTTTACGGTAACGTACGGCACTTTCGTTACAGTATCAATTTACAGTGCTACGGTTACGTACTGCTGTGCCGCACACTGCGCACAGCATGCCGTATACAGCAGTACAGTATACTGCTTGGGGGCTCTATAACGTAGTCACGAAACCTACCGGTAGAGTACTAAAAACCTAACCGTACGACACCTAGGAAAAAAACAAAAAATTAAAAGAAATCTTCATGTCATAAATCATCAAAAGATAACCTAAGCATGCCTGAAAACATAAGAAAATCAAAGAAAGCCTAAGAAGACTTAAGAAACCATAACGAATCTAAGAAAACCTAGGAAAACCTAAGACGTACGGCACTTTCGTTACAGCATCAATTTTCACTATGGTTACGTAAAAAACCTAAGAAAACCTAAGAAGCCTAAGAAACCCAAGAAACCTAAGAAACCTAAGAAACCTAAGAAACCTAAGAAACCTGAGGAACCGTAATAAGCCTAGAAATCCTAGAAAAGCTAGAAAACGCAGGAAACCCAAGAAACCTATGACGGCCGAATGTCCGGTTGCCGAAATGAGCGTTTGCCGAAACGAGTGTTGGCCGAAGTGAGCCACGGCCGAAATGAACGTTGGCCGAAGTGAACCTGTGCGGCCGAAATGTAACGTGGCCGAAGTGATCGGATGCGACTACAAAGGCCTCCCTAAAGTTGTTAGAAACTGGTTTTTCAGGTTTTTTGCATGATTAGATCCAAGAGTTTTCTCACGATTTGTGAATTGCTGTAGTTATCGGTTTTATTAAAGTTGGCAAACTGCTTTGAATTTATCGAAGAACTTTATTTATTCTGCACACTTTCGCCGAATCTTTCGCTTTTCGCCTGCAGTGCCGAACCAGTTGGTTTGCTCATGTATGCAGAGTGGCCACTGGTGAGTAGCAAGCGCTCGCGGAACAGTGTTGTCTTTCCTTCTACTAAAAGCCGTGTCTCACGGCCTTTAGCACCTTTTCGTGTTCGTACCGCATAGTTCATACACAAGGTTTTGGTCTGTTCCTAATTTCACTTGGCAGTGGGCGTAGTATTTTTAAGGCCGTTATTCCGGAAACCATTCTATCTTTTCCAGATAAAGGAAAGCGCGTTTAAATGGACGTGCCGTTTCATTGTCAGCTGAGGTCATTCAACTTTACGTTGTTGACCACAGGTGGCAGCAGAGCTGTTTACTCAAACAGAAACATTATTGTCGGTTATTCAAACAGAATTTATTAAAGAAATTTCTCAAGGTTTCTTTTGTGTAGGTATTTACTGAGTGCCATATCGAGTTTGGTAGAAGCCATGGATCTGTTTTATCAGAAGAAAGAGGTGCCACAGGTACTTATACTACCAAATACGAGACAGTATTTTTCAATTAAGATACAGTAGTTGCTAATTAAGATTGGCAAACCACTGGCTTGATTCCACGACTACTCGTATGTGTGCTTATCAACATATGCAATTTGCCGGAAAGCTTACAAGCAGTGGCCAGTGAGACCACAATATATTCCTGAATACTTTGGACATACCATCTAAAGAGAAAAACTTGCTCGACTTGGCATGTCATATCTCTTACAATGGGGAAGTATTACCATCTTTTTACACACATCAGATGTGCCGCCCATCGACGCATGTCTCCGCTCAAACTTGAGCGCCCATTCTGGGCTAGGTATGAGTGGCCTTCGCCTTCCGCCTTCTCCTCCGCCTTCGCCTTTTGAGCGGTGCGCATTCGCCTTCGCCTTCTAAAACATGCGCCTTCTCATTGGCCTTCTTACTTTATTATATTCCTGGGTCATATTCCTGGGAGATGTTGCGACTTTCTCAGGTTTTCTTATGTATTTTTAGGTTTCTTAGGTTATCTTATGTATTCTTAGGATTCCTAGCCTTAATATGTTATCCTGAAGTTTCTTTGATTTCTTTCGTTAAGCGTAAAAAAACCTAAGAAAAAATCATTCAAAGAAAACTTTTGAAACAAGAATAACCTAAGAAAAACAATAACCTAAGAATAACCTAAAAAACCTAAGAAACCTAAGAAGCCTAAGAAACCTAAGAAATCTAAGAAACCTAAGAAATCTACGAAACCTCAGAAACCTAGGAAACCTAAGTAACCTAAGAAACCTAAGTAACCTGAGAAAACTAAGAAACTTAATAAACCTAAGAAACCTGAGAAACCTAAGAAACCTAATAAACCTAATAAACCTGAGAAACCTGAGAAACCTAAGAAACCTGAGAAAATGACAATACATCCTAAGAATACTACTACCTAGGAATTTATCCCAAGAAATCTCAGAATAACTTAAAAAAGCCAATTAGTAGGCGCATGTTTTAGAAGGCGAAGGCGAATGCGTACCGCTCAAAAGGCGAAGGCGGAGGAGAAGGCGGAAGGCGAAGGCTACTCATACCCAACCCCCATTCTGCCTTTGCAGCAGTTACGTTAGCGACTTTCTCGCTTCGAGTCCACGTAAAGCACTGACGTATTTCGATGGTTTTTACGTATATTTGAATTAAAAAATGTTGAAAGATCTTTAAATAGTAACTTTGTGGGTTCATAGAACCAAAAACGAAAATATATTGAGACAAGATGTTCAATGCTCACAAAATACAGCTGTGAGCTGACCATATATACCGGATATACAGTTGCTGTACAGTTATTTTGCTATATTGTATTGCAATGGCTCGTGGCGTGGCGTACGAGTTTATAAGGGCGTAGTGGCAAGAAGATATAAGTTTTTCTTTTTAATTTTACATACTTTAAGGACGCCTTCTGCTTAAACGTTTACAGAAAATAACTAGAAGGACATCGGTGTCTATTTTTTTAATGTTTTAGACGAATTTTTTTCGAAAATGTTTCACTTGTTCTTAACGATTGTTCAACCAAAATTTTTTATTTGTTTTTAATCATTGTCCAACCAAAACGACCATCGCCCATTCGCTAGAGCTGGCCAACCGGACTGTACGCGTAGCTAGGTGTTGCGCAAGATTTCACCCTTGAGGCCTTGTCGTAACTGTAGAACTGTGTCAGTACGCCAATAAGGGCATGGCTGCTCATAAAATGACAGTTTGCTACGAGTTCAGTGCGCATAATAATTTCTTGGTCTATAGGATCATCATTTCTCCGAAAACTATTTCGCAACAACGGAGAATGTTCTGTCTTTATGTGGATTCTTAATGGTTCCCGGCGACCGTGCAACGCTATTCTCTACGAACGCGATGACTTTTGCAATCGGCAAAACCGATATACCGAATCTGCCTTCGTATATCAAGAACGAAGACGCCTTAAACCGTTATCTGTATCTCGCAAATGTCAACGATATAGATGAGAAAATGGAAAACGTAATCGAATTACAGGCAAGATGCGCAAGTAAACAGATGCCTTGTAGTGTTCGAGAAAATTAACAGAATCTGATACTACTACGGCTATGGTACCGTTTTATCATAGCTTCCAACTGAGTTCCAAGTTCCAGCTCACGAACTTCGAACGCGTAACCAGCAAGTTGATCGACAGAAGCGCGAAGGTCTTTTAATCCACACAAAATTTTCGTCGACGATGGTGGCAGACTGACAGGGAAGCATTTTTGCCCTCCCTTGGCAAAGCTGCTTTCCTGACGTTTTGGCCGTATCATGCGGCCGGCCCGTACTACTACTACTACTACTACTACTACTACTACTACTACTACTCACTATAGTAAGTTTATGACCGTATCCGAAACGTTCCTCGCAGAAATTCTTCATCAAAATTTCATAAAAGTTTTTTACAAAATTTTGGCAATTCTCGCAGCATAAACCTGCATCGGCTTTAATTTTAACTTGCACTACATTAAATCGGCAGTTTTGCCGAGTCGGCAAAACTGCCGATTTGAATAGAAGCTTCAGCAATTTATGAAGGTATAAGCTCGCTGACATCGCGCTTCGCGCGAAAATTGGCATTTAATGTAATTTTTGGCCCGGCATTTCGTTGCACACAGAAATCGCACCAATCGCGTTGCACACACAAATCGCACAAATCTAACCGCTTTAAAGAAATTCTGTAGCAATGTTCACAAAATATTATTTCGCCTTCCTTTAGGTTATTGGGTCCTTCAGTGCCCCTTCGCTAATAATTGTTGCATCGCCTGAAATAGTGGTTATAACTTTTCCAGTCCTACAAATCCAGTACCATTTTGCAGTGGTAATGGTGCACTGATGTGGTTAACAAACACCGCTAGTATTAGTACTTAAGTAAACCGCGCATCTTGCACGGTTGATTGTTCTGGCTTTCTGGGCGGCACAAAGGGGGGGGGCGGGGGGCGGTCCTCCCCCTGTTTTCGATTTTTGACCGCCGGGGGGGGGGGGGCTATACGCGGGGCCGTATGGGCGCCACGCGTATCCTCGACAGCGAACAGCGGTGAACCCGGATGAGGCTTTAATGCCGAATCTAATGCGCACCGTGGCGCAGCAACACCCGACTAACAAGGAAGATTCTGCAGCCAGTGCAACTGTGCTGCAGATCCGTCAAAACAGCGCAGCAATGTGCGGGGTGGAAATCCCCAGAAACAGCGAATAGCTACTCAGGAGGGCGGAGCGTCCCGCCCTTACAGGGCGGACTGGGGAAAACATGGCTGCAGGTGAACCGCCAGGGGGCGCAATAAATCATAATTATTTTCGATATTTTCGATTTTTTTTATATTTTTCTTATTTTTTCGGATTTTTTTAATTTTTTTAAAATTTTTTTTTTAATTTTTATTCCGCCCCCCGGTGGACGGTCCAAAATCAGTCGCCCCCCCCCCCCGGCGAATTTGGCGCGCTCGACAGCCCCCCGGCGGCCTTCCTCCCTCCATCCAAAAATTCCTTGTGCCGGGCCTGCGTAGCGCTAATGGTTGTTAATGGTTAATGTGTCTCAGTGAAGTTGAGGCAACTGAATGCGTGTACGAGCATCGGCCACATGCGATCAGTTCGGCCGAAGTTCACTTAGTCTCACACTTACTTCGGCGACCGCTTATTTCGGCTTCTGCAATCGTGTGACAAGCTTCCCTTGGTCCCAAACTTCGTTATTTTTAGTTTTTTAGGTTTTATTTTGTTTTCCTGTGTTTTCTTATGTTTTTTATGGTTTCTGGTTGCCTATATTTTTCTCTGTCAAATCGAAGTTTTAGATGTGAGAGTTTGAGGAGCGGAAACGGACCTTTTGCTGCTAAATTAGGTCCAACGGGACGGCACTCACAATCTGATGCACCTGGTGTAGGATTGTTAGTCGAAATGTAACGTCGCTGAAGTGAATCGCGGCCGAAAACATCGGGCCGAATTAAGCACAGCCGAAATTTAAACGACCAAAGTGATAGGTAGCCGTTATGGGCTAAGGGCTAGGTCCGTTACCAACTTACTTACCACCATGGCTGGCCAGCCATCGTATGCAGATGTAGAACCGCCATATGATTATTACTTGATTTGCATAAATAAGAATATAAGATCACAATGCTTTGGTTTCAGGCGATATATAGCTCGAAGCAGATGGTTACTTCAAGAAAGACGGACGAGCTTAGCGTAAATACGCCGAATATTATTATCACTATATGCGAGGTAGAGAACGAAGGACGAATGGCAGATTGTAAAGATAGTATAAATTTATCTACGGATGTGGCAGTAATCAAGATTCCTATCCGAGGTAAGCAAAGTTCTCAAAATGCTATAATGACCGATGAAGTTACTATGAATGGCGCGCGGTAATATCGGCGACCATGTTCCAGGGATTGCTACCACAGTCTCACGTTTAACACCATCGTGGCCTTGTGCTTGCTTTAGATGTGCCTATTGTCAATACAACAAAAGACCAGAAAATAAATGCATTCACATTGCCTCCCCAAGCGTACACTTCTGGAAACATAACCATCTATAGAGTCCAAATTCCTTTGGAAAAGGATCTACTGGTTTGGATAACAGTGAGATCGACTCCTGTCCCGCTGCAGATTCTTGCGCAGCCAACGAACAAGCCGACACTTGATACCTTTTCAAGTTCTACCGAAGTTGTTCACGTTGCACCTTTCACGAATGAGACTGCGCTGGAATTTGCATTCCCGTTTCTATTGAGCACCCGGTCGGCGCACGAATCAACCTTCTTTCTAGCTGTAGTTGCGGGGAGGTTGGAAGACTACACCAACCCAGCAATTATTAAGACAACAGATGACTATTCTACAGATGATTTAGTGAACGTGTCTATGACTCTTACCGTCCTGTGCGCCACTTGTGTTTCCTGGCATAAAGAAGAAAGTCAATGGGTAACAGACGGATGCAAGGTCAGAAGCGCTTTTTGTGTACTGTATTTCGGTTACGGCTGCAAAGCTTGCCCAGTAATTCCAAGCATTTTTTAGGTATCGGGCCGTTCAACGCCAAGAACTCTTCACTGTGACTGCAATCATTTGTCGGTTTTTGCCGGCGAAGTGTTCGTACCACCGGTCTATCCAGATCCAGCAACGGATGCGCCTTTGTATCTTGCGTACTTCATTAATCCCATAGTTGTTGTGGTCATCGTTGGTGTTTGGGTAGCTTATTTTATTGTTGTACTGGCGGTTCGGAAACTGGACAACGGAGATCACGGCACGGTAACAATGCTTGAAATTTCTGATTCATTTGCACTGATTAATTGTCCTCATATCGTAGAAAACTACACAAATTCTACCTAGTAGCGAACCATCGCACAACTATTTCTACAATTTAACATTTTACACTGGACTTCGTGCACAAGCCGGTACTTCTGCGAAAGTTGGTATTATTTTGGAAGGAGATTACGACAAAAGTTTTCCAAGAATACTGAATGAGTCGCATGACTTTCCTGGATTCCATTCTGGAGGGGAAGATTCATTTGTAATTGCTACTGCCGAATCGTTGGGACGGCTAGTGGCGGTAACAATTTGGCACAACGGTGAAGGCTCGAGACCATTCTGGTGAGCGTTATCTGCTTTTCATCGGGAAAGCAAAGATTAAAAGATCAGAAATTACATTTTTAATATTTTGGAAAGGAAACCAGAATTACATTCTAAACACACATTAATAGGTAAAAAGGTTTCACTACAAAATTCCTGATTCATGTTACGGTACGCGTATGTAACCGTCCAAAACGTCCGGACATTTTGGACGGTTACACTCGTACAGGTAATCAAATACACTGGGAAACGACACACATAGAGTAGTTTTTATTATTATTTTTGTATTTTCTGTAAATCAGGTTACATCATGTCGATTTTGTAGGTACATCGATGAACTCATTGTTCGTGACATACAAACCGATGAAATATTTGCCTTTTTACCAAAACGGTGGTTGGCACCACATAAAGCTGATGGACGACTCTTGACTACTGTCCCAGTCGCAACACATCAAGACCTAACCGCATTTCGCTATCGTTTTTCGTCATTTGTTGGGCGTGGTCTAAGGGATGGTCACCTGTGGTTGAGCGTGCTCTTCCGACCACCGAGAAGTAACTTTTCGAGGTCACAACGGCTAGTCTGCCTGCTGTCGCTATTGCTGACCACTGCATTATCGTGTCTGTTCTTGTATGGCATTCCCCGTGATCCAGCTGACCAACGGTCATATTTTAAGTATGGATTTACATGGAATCAAGTATTGCTGGGAGTGGAGAGCGGCCTGATTGCGCTTCCGGTGAACTTAATAGTCATCTGGTTATTCAAAAGCGCTGCAACATACAAGAGTGAACAAGCAGATTTTTCGTAAGTCAGGATGTCACACTTGATGCCTTATACTTTTCGGTACACACGACTGGTTTTTACGCCCTTCATAATTGTAGCGACCAGTCATGGCTTTCTGCAATCGGAAAATCTGTTATCGGAATGAAGTTTTAAAAATCTCTCAAACTATTAATTTTTCGAATACATCAAAACGCGATTATCAGTAATTCAACATGATAAGTCTTTAGGACACTTCCTAAACAATCCCTCTGGTTACGCTCCCGGATTGCTTATGAAGTGTTTGATCCAGCTCTTGCTCATCTAACTACTCAAATGAATATATTCGAAGTTTCCAACTTGGACGCACCAACGTTTCGTAGAGGCAGTTATTTTGCGTACGTCAAACACCGGCTGCCCCTCTGGAGCGCACATATCGCATGGTTTATAGCCTTGGGTGGTGCCATTGCTTGCACGTACTATGTTTCACTGTACGGTTTGCGGTTTGGGCGAACAAAGAGTGTCGAATGGGTAATGTCATTTCTCATTGCGGTTTTCCAAAGCATTCTTGTGACGCAACCGTTAACAGTTGTCATTATGGCATTCGTGGCGGTAGTTGTATTTAAATCACCAGTCGAAAAGGACAACGAAGGTAGAGCCATCATAATCCAGCCAACTATCCATCAGAGCATACTGAACACATCAGAGATTATTGGGGAACGAAAGCCATTATCAAAAACATGGCAAGCAGCATTACACCAGATTGCTGTGCTAACAGCCCGGATGTTCGAATGGCTGCTGGATCTAGGACTTATTCTTACCTTTATGGTTTGCGTGTATGTCTTTGTGCATTGTACATTTCCGACTGGAAGCTACCGAATGAGGGAAGAACTGGAAAATCGCTTTGTTAAATTAGAACCGGTACAAAGACTGCCGTTTGGCATACAGTACGCTCATTATGCCGTTTGGCATACAGTACGCTCATTATGTACCTCTGTTTCAGCTAATACGAATGTCAGACATGTGGCAATTCGCGGACAGCTTGGAAAAACTGATCAAGGACGATGTTCATGTAACCCGTCAGGATAAACTGATCAAGGGCGACGTTCATGTAACCCGTCAGAATGTTTTCAAGAACCTTACCACGGTGCCAGAAGTGGACCCCCGAAACAGTGTCGCGTCCCAAAACTACTCCGGTCCTAGATTGTACCCCATAGGACCTGTTCGAATGCGAAACATAAGGATTATTCATCGTAAGTTAAGCCACTATCCATCGACACTATTCCGTTACATACATTGTTTCTGCTGCTGCTGTACGAGTACTAATGAGACGGTGTTTTAGGTCTGTGTCCGGTCGACCACATTATGGCTGGTGTTGGAACTGGCTGTTATCCAAAGTACAAAACCTATCTGCGGGATAACGGCAACTACGAATACAGATGGAACGCGATTAAAGAGTTGACAACTTCAGAGCAAACAACGACCACACCGGAGGCAACTACTGCAAACATTCTATTTACCACGTTATCACATACGAACGTGTCGACACTAGAAAGCAGCTCTACCTCTGACGAGTCCAGCATGACTTTTTCTCATCGCGTTCGGCGAAGCGTTTCAAATGCCGAAAATCTCGACTACTTCAGCTCCACCAGTACAGCCACGACTACGACAGTTAATATGAGCGAATTTTATGATGAAACAACAGAATCGGCAACAACCAGCGGATTCGACATTAAGGAGTTCGCCGCAAATCTGACTGACCAGGGCCAAAACGCCACAATCCTGCTGTACGACATTTGGAGCTACAAAAGTGGAACTGAACTGGGAATATCATCCTATGCCGGCACGCTGACAACTTACGGAACTGGTGGTTTTGTTATATTACTGCAAGCAGACGCAAGCAGTTTGGCCACATCTGTGTCGTTTCTACGATCTGCCGGGTGGGTGGATTATCGTACAAAAGCTGTCATTATGCAGTGCAATGTGTACGACGTCAACGGCAAATATCTTAGCGTTGCGATTCAGATGTTCGAAATGCATGGATCCGGAGTAATCTTGCCCTCTCGCTACGTTTATACGATTCATCTGCTGGACAACTACAAGCATACTATATCACTAGTTGCTGCGGGCATATTTTCGTTTTTCTTTCTCGTTTTGTTCGTTTACATCATCGTTCGAAAAATATTTGAACAGCGATGGATTTACTTTGGTAGTTTGTGGAACTGTTTGGATTTCACAATTGTAATACTGGCAACAGCATTATTTGGATTATTTTGGCAGTCGGTTGATTTAAAGTTTGCGGCTCTTAAGCAGTTTCAAAATGATCCATCTCGATTCTCTAGCTTCTACTATGCCGTACTGTTCGAAAATTCGTACCATACCGTGGCCGGTATTTTTCTCTTCTTGTGTAGTATGAAACTACTCAAGACACTGCGGATTGGAAGAACTGTTAACGCTTTTCTCCTTGTGCTATCGGAATTGGTGAGACCGTTCCTTGGGTTTGCTGCCATGTTGGTTATTAGCGCGATGCCGCTGATTGTGGCGGGAATGTTCTTGTTTGGGCATGCGCAACAGAACACCGGCATCGGTAATGGAATTTTGAGTGCACTACGGCTGATGACTGCCGAAGGCGATGATGGACGAAAATTTAAAGTTTACGCAGCCAGCCAGTACATTATCGGCCCTCTTTACTACCTCATGACAATGATTTGTACCATGTTTATATACTCGAATCTCCTCATTGCGTTGATTATGGTGATCTATTCTACCACGCTGAAGCTTCACAAGGATACCATTGAAAAAGAGGGCCAGTTGGCTGATTTTGTGGTCGAGCGAATGATGCGGATGTTTGGCGTTCATATTCGGAATCCCGTAGTAGATATAGAGTATTTTCCTGCTGTTGTTTTATTTCGGGAATATCTTAACAGCGCGGAAGTTTTGCGGAAACGACCAAAAGGAATTCGGCTTGAAAGATGGTCTGATTTGGTCAGCATTAAAGAGTTTAGAACGATGATGTATGGTGCTGCTGAAGATATGCGAGAACTATTTTCGGATAAGGCATCGGCAGATAAAACTGAACGCACCGACTTCGTGCAGAACACCGATGAATGGTTTTTAGTGGAAAACATTCCCAAAAGAGCCTTGCGTGGGCCCAGGACATTTTCTGTCAACAGAATGACCCCGTTGTACCGAGGTGCTGCGAATACAAAGCATTTGGAAGAAATAGCCGTTCAAGAAGGTTTGACGACCTTTGTCGACGAAAGTCTCTTGGTTTACCGGAAAGCTGTGGAAGCTTCGAAGAAGGAGTTTGATTGGGTGTGACAAATGTTTGTCGACTGATGTGCATGCCTGAAGTACGTGAATTATATTCAGATGTGAATTCTGAATTGTAGATTTTTCCTTTTAGTTTTTCAGTCTTTCCTCTTTGCAGTTTCTTTGTCATTGTACTGTAAAATGGAAATTATGCATTTCCGGACTAATCTTTCGTTACCAAATACCTTGTTTTTATGGCGGTTGGATGTACGGTAAAACTTTGCATGCTGTAGCCTCGGCACTGTAGCACTGCAGGAAATGTGAATTTGAATATCGAGCAACTGCAAAGGTTTTAAAAGCGATCCTACGAGCGCCAATCTAAGAGTAAAATTCAAGGTTTCCTACATCGCTCTAGCGAAACTTTCTGATTAACACCTAACAGAAAAGTAGTTAAAAATACAAACAAATTAAAAAAAGGTATATAGTAAATGTATTATACAACCGCATAAGCATTCGGCTTTAATGCGTTAATTAAATACTTACCTAATTGTTGTTGCTCCATAAGTATACAGCGCAATCCTTGTAAGGACCAACCTACTTAATAAAATGCTTAATTACCTAATACATGTACGAGTTGTTGGATTATTGGACCTAATACTAATAATAAACTAGTAATAAACAGTAATACTAGTAATAAACAGTGGTGTTTTACTACGTACTTATTCATGGCAACCATGTGCAAAAGGACTACGCGTTTGGTTGCTTTACCGTTTAAGCAAGGTATTATTGAGCGATCTTATGACAGTACAACACCAGGTATTTTATGCAAGATAAAAGGGCACAGCACTGGTAATCATTAGTGCACTGTAGACTGCTTGGCTGTCAGCTGAATACATGTAATGTTCCTACCAAATCCTACACCAACTTTTGTACTGCAACATCCAAAGATCTACAAATCTTATTTATACGAATCGATTCCATCATTACTGGCAAACACTGACATCAAATTAGATAACAAATCCGAATTATCTGGAAGAAGGTCGTCTTTTATTACCCGTAATAATGTTAAAAGCAAAAGCAGGCATGTTGAATCGCCTTCTGAGTGCCAGTGTGCCAAAATACCCAGAGATGGCTTGGGTCCACGATCTCAGTTATTTGGTTGTCAAATACGAAAGTGTTTTTACGGAGTGCCTGACACCAGGCAGTACAACAGACTGTTTTTACTTCTGGTGGAAGAACCAAAGTATTCTGTTGATGGCTCGGAATTTAGCAGAAGCTGTCTTTCAACACTTTATGACGCTGACGATATTATAGTATGCATACGTGATGAAAATAAGCCGTTGGCCGAAAATCTGGTGCGTGCGTATGCCATCAATGCGGAATTATTGTGCTCCACAATGACCTATTTCAGAGATATCCTCTCTGCACCAAATCCGTGCGATGAAAGGTCGTCCACCCAAGTCTCGCTGTTTTTACCAAAGATACTGTGGGACTGGCTACTGAGTTTTGCCAAATTCAGCCTTCTAAGAAACCAAGAAAAATCTCCCCCTGTAGAGCCCAGCCTAGCCTTGCCATTATTTGGTGCGGTTATTATGATGGGGATGAAATCGGCTGAAAAGGTCATACTGGCTTATATTCTACATAATTGGCGAACCAGTGTGCAGTGCCGTGACCGCACAATGGACCGTATACTGGAGAAGTCTATACCATCCTTAGCTGTTCACATACATCCAGAACTGGTTGAGGATGACAATGTAGAGAAAAGAGACGATTGGTTAATTGACAGATTGTACGGACAGTGGAATGCTGAGCTCTTGGACCAAAACCAGCTGGAACCAGTCTTGCAACCATACTTTCCTCTGGGTAGCGCAAAAGATGTTTTCCTATGCACCCATTGCAGCCGTTGGATGAATGCTGGAACATCAACATGGATCCAGTGCACTGTAGCGTACACATTTCGGCGACGCAATGGTACCACAGGTTATGCACATTCAAGGTAAGCCCGTTTTTTTGCGTCGTATAGTCTATCAGGTTCCTTGTCACGGGTTCCTCTTAAACTGTGATAGTTTCGAACACTTTCGCAGCTAGTCGTTTATTTTTTAATCTTTCAGGCATCCTGATGCAGATTTTCAGAAAAGAGTCGAACATGTTAATCAGCTATATGAATCTAAAGAGCGAGCGTTGTTCTGGAATCTTTATGGGCTGCTGAATGTATTACAGTGTGGCAGCTGCAGCAAGGTACCAGTACGAGAAATTAGTACAACGTTACTGCGTCATTTACTATCTAGCCATCTTCAACATGTGAAAAGGTATCCCAATTCGGTTTCTGGCGGGCAGTAGCACTGCCAGCTAGCCGACCTGGAAATTGCAGCTGCTGACAGAGCCAGCTCTTCCCCATCAAATTTGTACAGCATTCGGTGCCGCACACCATGCTTGGAAATGGCGAGAACAAGTGTGTCGACAAGCACGGTACGACACCCATTGCCAAAATTTGGTTTACAAATTATGCGTACTCGGTGATTTATAATAATTATTCTGCTACGAAGAATCTCCTATATATTAATGGGTAGAGTGCAAAAAATGTATACTAGATATGTATACGTACATGTATACGTACTAGATGTATACATATCCATATACCTATATCTCTGACTCTGTACCGCAAGGCATGACCCAGATCGCCCATTTCATCCGTACTTTGCGATCACTAATGAGTTCATTAGTCTTTCGAGAGGGACTCGGTTTACAAACTCAAAAAGTTAGCAGTTCCATTAATCCGACCATTTACTGCCAGAAGGTTAGGCTAAGTTGGCTAACTAACCAGTAAGCACGGTAATGTACGTAAATGCTCTTCCATAAGCGAACAATAATTATTGATGCAGCACTCCAATGCCGTTGCAAATGTTTGGATTATTTGAACTACGATTATTATAGTGGTTGTCTGCGTGTTTCACTACTCAGACGCTCAGTCTTTCAAAGAATGTTTTACAGGCTAAATTGACGCCGCATTATACGATGGGTCCTAAGAAAACAGAAAAAGCCCAGCGATCTGTCACATTTGGGAAATATTATACTACTGCATTTTCGGAAGCTGGTAGAGTAGCATTTCCATTGATGATAAAAGCGGCGGCTCAAGAGCTTGTTGGGGTTTCGTGGGAATCCAACAATCCGCTGTGGTCGAAGCAGGACTGCATGCGCAATGACGGTAGGAGAAACATAAATCTTGACTTTTTATGGATTACAGTCTGCGATTTCCAGAACGCACTGTAATGCGCCACCTGAAAACGTATTTTAAGAGCATACTTGGAAGTCACCCTCTGGAACTTGATCACGAGTTACCTGCGAACTTCGAAGGAAATGGAGAGGAGTATTGCAGCGAAGATCCCCTCTTCAAACCCAGCGAGCGGTGGCAGGTGGCTTCCGATGAATTAAATGTGCAGGAAAATGTTTCCAACAATTCTAAAGTTTCCGGCATTAGCATAACCAAAAGCGGACCTTTTGGTGGGCGTTCTCGGTACAATGCCAACTTTATACTGCCTTCGTACAAAGGATTGTACACAAGAATTTTCTACAACTGGAAAGCCAAGATGGATGCCGAAGCAGCATTCGAAGGTGCTATGGAAGAACAACAAACTACTGACAAGTATAACTATACCCTGCTGGGTTTTGGTAGAACTTTTTATATGTATTGGCAGCACCGGTGTTTTACTTCTGATTGTAGATCAGCTGATGGAGGTCATTCGAAAAGATGTATACCATATTCGGCTTTACACATGCATCGAAAACCGAAAGTGCAACGAATCGCATTACGAAAAGGCGCATTTGTGCAGAAGCCGAACCATACCCAACGAAAAGCCAATCGAAATGATTTGAGACAAAAAAGTGCAAGAAGTCTCCATTCCGTACCGTCATCCAGAAGGAAACACTGCCAATACACCAGAACCAAAACTGCGATACGCACTGATCTTGTTAAACAGAATGTCTCAGACTATCAACTTAAATCTAGGAAGAGACGCGTCGGACGCAGCTTAAATTTTGGATATCACGTTTCGCAATCGCTATCAACGACTGACTACACTGGTATACCGAAACCTTCTTCATCATCAACAGACATTTCAACTTTGCAATATATGTTGCGCGGCGTTTCTTCGGGAAAAGTCAGCAGAAGAGTGAACGAGGACACTGAATTCCTGGAGAAATTAAGATTGATGCCGTCTCTGTTATCGGAGTTCAACGACAAGGTGTTGCGGGTTACCATACGCTTCCCTAACAAACATTTAGGCGCTGCTCGGGAAACAAGCTTAACTGCAGAAGAAAGCATTGCAAAGCAAAACCATGGGGAGAAATGGAGATCAGTCAAGCAGATGAATTTAGACCGAATTATATTTGACTTTTCTCTCGCCGACATCAATATTCATGATGACGGAATAGAAATGCTGATTAACCAGTTGGATTCGTGCCCATCGCTCACAAACGAAAAGAGACCTAGAATTAACGGCATTTCCAGCGTATTCACCGCAACTTTTATCGATCAAAACAGTGCTAAAGGGCAGTGTCCGGAAGATGGAACTTTGGGTGACACAGAGTGCTCGAATCAAGTATCTCGCGATTCACCCACCTGGAAAAACGGTGCAGCTAGCAATTCGTTATTAAATCTTCTTGAGAATGATAACTTAGCAAATGTACGTCCACCACTGAAGTTTTTGTTGACGCTTATTCGTCGAATTCCGTTCCCGGTGTTTGCAAAAGAAAACAGCAGTGATCCAGTTATACTGGCCCGGAATCGCGCGGTGATGCAAGGTTTTCTACAAAGTATCCAGAATTTCTTCCAAAATGCAGTGGAGTTAAGAGAAACAGCGTTCGGAAAGCTTTTTCGTTCTTTGCGCCACTTGCATCGCAGTTGCGAAAAGAAGCAACACCAGTATCTGGAAGATTTAGCAGAAACACGAAGATTTCGTCGAAGACTTCTGAGAGTAATAAAACTCCTGGAACTGCGAAGATGGGATGCGTTTACGCAACCGTTCAATCAAAACAAGGCAGTGAATGAACTTCGAAGAAAGCGCAATATGTGCCAAAAGCAAATCGCGCTGGCCGAAAGTTCGTGGGAACACCATGTAGAGCAGCTCCACAAAAAACTTTTTGATACTTAGCTTTTAGCTTCGGGGCGGCGGGATAGCGGGTTGCTATAGCAACAAAAATCAAAAGGAACAGAGGCTTTATTAAGGGATTAGCAAATCGTCGTATTTGTACTACATGCTTTTGACACTATCCTACCATGGCCAATCCGGCAGAGAGATCTATTGGTACACCGCAGCGCAATGCTCCCCAAACTGTCATGAGCCAGTCATTGACGCGACCAGGTGCCGCAAAACTAAAGCTTGGTCAGTATCGCCGAAGCCCTTTATCATCTGCCGATGACAAAAAACAAATCGCTACCGGACCCACTGATGCTACTGCTACAGCTTTTAAACAACATCTATCGAATGGCAAATGGTTGCCAGGTAACCGCGCCCCAGGTAACCCTGCGTCCAAGGACAGCTCGAACCGACAAATGACAATCCAAACCACGACTAGCGATGGAATTTCTAGTTCTGCAATATTGCGACAAAAACTCTTGGGACTGAGTTCATCAAAAGCTGCTGAACCAAATGCTTCCAGTGACTTATGGGTGACGGAAAAGCCGGAGGTTGTGCCTACAAAGCCAGCTTGGCCTAAGAGGGTTTTGATGTCGCAAAGGTCAAAACCGAAAACCCAGGTACTCTCAAATACGAGAGCGTATCCGTTGCGCAAATCCGTAGGGAGACGAATTATTAAGCGAAGGATTCTGCTTCCGCAGAACACTGTTTCGGCTAGTCAAAAGGCTCAAAATACCAGCGATACCACTGACGATGTTCTGAAGGACGTTGTGGAACCGTTTGCCACGTTTTCGTTGCAAGAGAAACCTGACTGTCCGAAATCGCTGAAGGACGATCCGACACCTTTAAATCTGCTATCCGTAAAAGCCACCGGCAGCTCGGGGTTTCACTTCGTCAGAGAGAGCTAAGTGTCCACGATAACCAACGTGAAACTTACTGTTCTGGTTTTGTAAAATATAAGCTTTGTTTTTCCGGGGAAGTCCCATACCCAAATCAACTGTGATATATACATTGTTCTCCTGTTTTTACTGCGCTTTTTTTGTCTCTCTGTGAGAACTGGAGTATGCTGGAGATATGAGGCCGTCATACGAATATGAACGGTATCCATAATACAATGAATTATTGTTAATTAATGACAAATTTGTGAACGCGTTTACCACACAAAAAGACAATAGGTTTATAACAAACTGTTCTGCTTCGACGTTCATCCGCGCCATATTTGAATACCTGAGGCTGAAATGATACTGCAGACGATTTTTATCTCTTTCTCCGTCAAGCCGTCACTTTGCAGCCGTTTGTTGAACCCCGTGTCAACACTGACCAACACTTCTATGGAGTCATCGAATGCCCACTGTATTCGGCATGGACCGCACTGCTACATAGGAGAGCTGCACTGCTCACACCACCTATGGAAGACATCCACGCACGTTTTAGGTGACTGGAGAACAGAGCGTTCAGCTTCAAGATTCATCAAAGTTTGATCTTGAAAAAAATAGTCTTGCGATTATTCTTCTTCTCCCTCTTCCTCTTCTTCGGTAGCGTCCGCTTCAGCCTGCTCTTCGGCTTCTTCTTTAGCAGCTTCAAGTGCATCCAGTCTTGCCTGTTCCGCTGCTTCAAGCTTTCGCTTTTGCTCATTTTCGCTTTCCACTGTTGGATCCGTTTCATGCTGAAGAAATTTGGCCTTTTGATTAAAAACGGCCTGTGGCATAGGTGGCATATAAGGGCTGAAAGAGTATCACGTTACAGAAACGATTTTTGCGGCTATTAAGCTTTCACATACCTGAATTCGCCGTTCTTCAATCCGTTTCCTACGTAAAAGTTTTCGGATTTGTTCTGCTGGACAATGCAAATCGCGCCTGGCCATAACGTCGAGCATATCTTTACAAAACCGATTTGTGGCAGGGTGCTGCAACTGGGGCGCACTACCCATGCAGGTGCATCTTTTGCCGTTTCTTTGTCCTCCGTTATCGGACTGAACACCGCTGGTCCGCTTTCCGCTTTGGCTTTCAATTTCCGCTTCTTCTTTGGCTTCTCATCCGCAGCCTCCTCTCCCTCTTCCGGCTGAGGTTCTTCAGGTTCTTCAGCTTCTTCTTCCTCTTCCTCGCCGGCTGGTTTCGCCCCCGGTGATGGATCCCACCACGTACACCGCCCTTGCCGTAGAATATAAGGTAAAGTGTGACCATAACCGCTCAGGCTATTCGAAAGAATTTCGTTGAGTTTTGGATGCTCGAAATCAGGATCTTCCATTAGTGTGAACTTCGGGCCTCCTTCGGTCTCGTCCTCTTCTTCCGGTGGTATGTATTGGCCTATCGGACCAATGGTTGTACCATGCGTAATGCGAGCAATTTGCGCACGAAGATAATTCTGCTCCACTCCAGGATATGTGGGCGAACCAATAATTTTAGAATAAAGGTTGCCTTTGAAAGTGCGCTTAAGAAATTTGGCTTTCCTTATTTGTTCTGGGCTGACATCAGGTAACCTTAACCATTCAGCTGCAATCAGGTCTTGACACACGTAGTAGCAGTACATGTTTGCCCCAGTGCCGATATCTTCAGCCAGAACATCTTTAAAGATTTGATCGGGATCCGAAAGGGGGACTACAGGTACAGGAAATTTGCTTAAGTCCAGTGTAAACCGAGTTTCTTCAAAATCTTCGCGAACTCCATAAGTTCCAAATGGATTGTAAATTGTAACTTTATGATTGGTTGGAAATACATCCATATGATCTTCTGGATTTACAGCCGGCTTCTCGTACCATTTGGGACTGTGTTGCTTGAATTCACATTCTATTATATAGTAAGGATTGCTGACAGTACTAATCCGTCCCCAAAACCGCAGTTTCTCTAGTTCCGGGTAGCATTCTCTTTCAAACCGCAGAATAGCTGTCATAGCGAGGTACATCTCCGTCTCCGAAAATCCGAGTCCTCCTTCTTGTGCGTAAAACAGCCATTCGTACATATCAATCGGTTTGTACGCCGGCTTGATTTCATCGGTTTCGCCCTCCTCGTCCATTGCATGTGGTATTGGTGGAAAGTTCTCGATGGGCTGGTCTGGTGGAGCATAACTAGAACCTCCATGATCGTGCCGTTTCGCATCTGGTTCATCAAAAGGTATGAGGAACTCGCGGATCTTTTCGAATGTTACTGTCTCAGTAGGCTTAACATACCCGGGCTTGATGTGGTGGAGCGCGACCGGAGGAACGTTGTAACGTTTAATTAATCGACTGAGTACGTCCAGTTGGTTGTTCCATAGATTAGCCTTCTCCGGTTGAAAAACAACGCATCTGACCATTGCCGCTATGTGATCGAAGAGCGATCGACTGCTGACATTGTCTCGCCACATCATGGTAGAGATTCCGTCATGGAATTCGGTATCCGACACAGGTGCTGGCGCAGCGACGAGTGTCTGATCTGCATGGTTTTCTGTAATAGCACCTTCGCTGTCATTAACAATCGCGGGAAACTCCTGGGGACTGAGTACTGAGCTTTCCATGGCAGATCAGATCAAAGTTGTGTACCGATGTTATAAATCTCGTTTACTGTCTAAATCAGAATTTTTTTTCTCATAGGCTCATAGCCGCTGAATACCCATGTTTATTCTGCAATCATTCGTACCATAAAAAACATATGATCCAACGTAGCAACAACCGCAGGCCCCTTACGTTGTCCATGCCCTTAAGAATAAGGAAAACGTAGACGTTGAGTAGAGAGCAGCAATGGATGGGGTGCCATAAATGTATGTACAGTAGGAGACACTGGTAGTACTGCATCACGATGCCATTTTTAACTCACAGAGAAAATTAAGCAGATAGATAATAGGCAAGACTAGGAATTAGTACTAGTGAAGGCTGTTAAAAATTTTTGAAATGCACAGAATTGCAGTGGAACTAAAAATTTCTGCTGACATTATAAAACATTCCACAAAAGATGTTCCAGTACCTTTGGACGAGCTGGTCAGTACATACCTGCAACGAAAGCACCCTGCCCTGTCTGAGCTTTCCTCTGATCGCATCCGAGGAATTTGTCGAGCTTGTATTGAAAACGATGCGATTCTTAATGGAGTTCTGCAGCCATATATTCAAGAGCAGACGGCAACCGCTCTTCGTCGCGATAGGGCTTTATTGCAGGTGATCGCTCAAACTGTTGTATTTGATTTCGAATGCTATGGCGCATCAGAACTAGAGAAAGCCCTGAAAGACTTATATTCTTTTGCCGTTCGAAATTTTCTGCTATTTCTCACAGGACTATTGTCCAACCGAAACCCCTTTGACGACATCATAAAACTCAACTGGTATCGTTTGTACGATCGGGAATACGTGGACGAAAATTTGTTTGACCCGTATCGCAAACATCACCAAGATGTTCGAAAAATCGTACAAAAACTGGAAGATGCAAAAAAGGCGCCGGTGGATAGCCAGAACAAACGGCAAACCGTGTTTAAACCATTTTCTTTTATCCCATCTAGAAATGTGCACAGACTTCGTTCATATCAAGACGAATCTCAAAGTCCTATATTATACTACCAAGCAAAAGCCGTTCCGTCCACAACCTATAAGCCTTCAGACAACACCCTTGCAATGCAAAGAAGAACAGCGGAACGGGCTAATCGAATGCGTCGTTTTAAGCAACGAGTTGAGAAACGCCAACTTTGTCGTAAAAAGGTTGCTTCGCATGCAAGAAAATTGCAAACTGAACCTGAGCGTGCACCAACCAGTAAGGTCATCTTAAATATTAAAAAATACCACAAAATGAGACGGCCAAGGCGTGAGCACAAGAAAACCGTTAAGCAAACGACTGCTGCAATTTTGCGTGAGAAAGCCTTCCTTGAAAAGCTCCGTAAGGAAGAGGAGAAGAATGCCAGATTCTTGTCGGAAGGAACAGGCAATACGGAAATGCACGAAGCTAGAATTCTGAAAAAAGAAGAAGATCTCGAAGCCGCGGTAATAGAGAACGAGAAAAAAATCCTCGATGCGATGCTGTCGTTGGAAAAAGCCATAGCTGCACGCGATGTTTTTTTATGGGATATCAAGCGCAGAGCGGCAGCAGAACGGGAAAGTAAGAAAGAATTTAAGGAGCAAAGACAGGCTGAACTAGAAGAAACCATATTGCAATTACGAACAGCTGTCGAGCAAGCACAGAACGAGTCAAAAATCCAGCTGGAAAACGCCCGGGAAAAACTTTTGGCACAGAAAAAAAAGAGAGCCAATCAGGTCAAGCGTGAAAAAAAAGCGTTGTTTGAGATATTTATGCAGGAATGCGAGGAAGAACGAATACGCAGGAAAGAAGTTATTTCAAAAATTCGAGAAATGGAAACGAAAATTTTGACCTATGAGAAAACGTTCGACTTCAGTACTTTGCCGTCTTTTGGCCATTTGACGGATATGTCTTTGGCAGATCTAAAGGATCGCTTAATATCTTTACGTTTCGAAATGTTGGAGCAGTTAGAAAAGAAGAAGCTGCAGATTTGCAAAGAAAATATTAACATCAAAGAGGCTCTGAAAGATGCGGTGTATTTCGTAGAAAAGGAAAGGATGTACCGAAAAGAACAAAGCGAAAAGGAAACACAAAAGCTTGCTTTCCTTAAGCAACTGCGACAAAATGCCCGCACCCATCCAGAATTTATGGAAATAAGGAACACATTAATTGAGAAAAGCAGACAGCGTCGAATAGACAGAACCAGGGAACGAGAAAGTAGATTAAAACCGCTGAGCATAAGCGTTGAAAATGGTGGTGAGGCTCTTCAGAGATTTGGCTAGCGTGCCCGGTGGATTACACGAGGTAAGCACTAGGCCAGTTATATGGTTGGTACTGGAATGATACATCTGCCTTTGATCCGCGGCGAAGCACCACCATCTCATTTCCTCCACAAAACACTTTGAGAGTTTCCCCTGCCAGTACTTCGTAAACAGTACCGCGTTCGTATATTTTGCCGCATTTAATAATCAATAAGCTTTGCCGCTTCTTTTTCGTTGTTAGTTTGTTACTCTCTTTGTTACTTAGTGTACAAAGATTGTATAATATGTGGAACAGACCACTTTGTTTGAAGGATGATTCAAAAGCTCTTCTGCTATGTTCTGTATCTGACTGTTGTGATACCAAGAAATTTATTTCTGACAGCTGTCTCGCAAAATTATGTGCTGGTCTGCCAAGCGACACACCGCATGTTAAATATTTTATGATACCGATAGAGATACCGGTAAAGGTAAATCGAAGCAACAAGAAATTATTGGTCTGGTCGTTAATACTTCAGTAGATTCATTGTAATTCATAAGAGACATATTTCTGGCACTGGTTTCCGTAGATGTAGTAGCTGATAAACGGCACTTCGAAATTTCGCACTCATAGCGTTATAAAGAAACGGGTTAATTGCTGAATTGATGTAGATGAGTGTCTTGGCAAACAATAGGTACCAGATATCCAACCACGGTGTGCTGGTGAAGGAATTGTAAACCAATAATCCACGAAATGGTAGCCAACAGACGGCAAACAGTAGTACAACAACAATCAGCATTGTTAGAGCCTGTTAAAACACTTATTAAGATAACATCACATTGATTTTTGCAAACAACGGTTGATATTTGACTTTGCTTACTTTTGATCGTTCCCCATTTTTGGCCTTTACACTAACAGTCCCGTTCAGCGTTACGGCTTTGGGAATGGCTACAAACGATGTCGAATTCAGGCGTGGTAAAGTCCCGTTAAGTGGTAAATGTAACGAGTTGTTCGAATGCGAGGAATGCGAATAAAAACTCCCGCTTCTTTCTACATTCTTTTGTCGGCGAAAGACGTACCATATTCGTATATAGACAAATGCACAAACGATGAGTGGCAGGATATAAAATAACAGCAAATCCGCGGAGAAGAAATAAACGTATTGATCTTTGGAGAGGCGGAAGTCGCATATCGGCAGGTCAGGTTTGTCGGGATACGGTCGGGTTATCTGCGTGAGACCGAGCCACGGAGAGCAATAGAGAACAGCAAATATCCACACCGCCACAATTACTTTGTTAGCTCGTTCCACTGTGCACACTTTCTGGGCTTTCAAGGGGTGCATTACGGCGATGTACCTTTCCATAGTGAATGCCAGGATGCTGTTTCAAAACAACCCAATCATAATAGTCAATAAACGCTCTTTGAAAGCGGTCATAATGACCACGACATGAAATCCGAGTGCAAGGTAAACATACCTGAGCATCAGCAAAAATCATTACGAAACATAAACAAATTTATAGCAAGCGTGGTAACAGCTTGCTTTTGGCCGCTTTTACAGCGGCTGGAACAGTTTCCTGTACTACACTCTGGGTGGTGTTACCTTAAACTTCCGGCATTGATCCCGAGAAAGTTCCCGAATATCATCAGCGAACATCCCACCTGTCCTGAAACGAATCGTATTCCTATGTGGTGAAAGACAATTGCGTCCGGAACAGCCGACACAAGTACAATCAAATCAGCAAAAGCCAGTGACACCTACAAGCAAACCCGGGCAAAGTTACGTATTTGATGGTTGATATTAACTACAAGCCAGTTAAGTTGATAGTTGATTTGAAAGTTGATACTAACTACCACCCAGAAGGGCCAGACCGAATCATACGGCTATACTAAAATGTTGCTCACGAAATATCGTCAAGTTCTTGCCCGGATTTTCTAACCCACATGTGGCACCAGTCCAATTTGCCGACACATACGAGAATATTAACGAAAACAGCAGTGCATACATGCTACTGTTAATAAGTTCATACAGTATCAGGTTTTCCCCTGCTTATACAAAATGAAAACCTTCTAGAGTAAACCAGTACCATAACATACAATATGTTTCCCTATTCGCACCAGGCAAAAATGGGAGCACTGTGCAACAAATATCCCCACCAAAAAAATAAAAAAAGTGTTATTTCACACAGAACGCTTTACTCACACTGGAACATAATACAGGCATACAATGTCATTATGGATGCCAGAGAAAAAGCAGGCATCCGCAGTGAATAGCAAAGAGGTTCGATGATTAATTATACGAGATGTCACTTATCGTTAAATGATATTACAATCTGCTCGTATAACGGTCATTGCCAGATTGACATTAATTGTTCTTTTTTCCGTCACATGGACAAGTTATCTTCGCGCTCACGAATTCGTGCACATTTGGTAACCATTCAAAAACAACGTTGATGAATATAATAAAAAAAGGTTCTCTGTTTTCCGATACTCAAAAGAAGTATTCGCATTTGCAACACCGGTGAAGGATTTTCTGTAACATACTGTATTGTACGTTAAAGGTTAACTTTTACTATCTGGAAAACGGATCGTATCGTGCACGTACAGCAATTCTGAACAAACTGCGTCCTACTACCACGCAAAATGTACCGGTACCCGGTGTTCAGTGTCATGTAAAGATCCTGACAATACTGAAACAGCCATCGTTTTCTGGCACACGATAATCAAATTTGCCCATGATTGCTTGACCTTTTTTTCACAGCTAAAGGCACTAATCGGTGAAATGTGTTGACAACATCAACTTGAAAATTCCAGATTACTGATATCATCCTGGTTTAATATCATCCACGTCCAAGAGCACATATACTTCACGGTATTATTAAGATGTACAGAATAGGTACATGACAATCAATCTTTCGTCAGGTTAGTTATTCTTGTATCTCACTGATTTTCCAGTTATTACTTATTTCAATAATTAGGCGCACATTTTTTGACTAAGCCGGCTATGCTATAACTCAATCAAAGTTATAAGAACTAAGCATGGATTATCATGCATTTTATACGTACTTACGAGTACATTATTTTATCAGAAATCTATACGAGTACCACTATACCAGTGCACAAATATTTCTATAGTATCTCTTTTGATGAGTGTTCCTTGGCTCTGTGGTTAATACCGCATGAGTTTTCAACGCAATAAAAATTTTAAAATGAATAATCTTGTTTTAACTAAGTGCTGTAAAGTTCAATCGATCTATTATAAACGCTCGGTATTGAACGTGGATCGCCTTCTGTGCGAGTACAGTACTGTAACTTGTAAATAGCATAATCATAGTTTCAAGAAACAATCCGTCGAAGACTCAGTGTAACGGTCACTCAGGTGGAATAATAAGCTAAACCAAGGACTATTTGTTGGAAAGGCTGTTTTATTTTCAAATGAAGCATAAAACACGGTCGCAATAACGATATATGCCGTATATGCAACACAACTGGGAGTGTACAATACACAATCGAGTTATAATTAAAGAAACCACACTCCCGGCAAAATTTCCATATGACGCAAAGCAAGCAGCCTTTACAAAAGGATCATAGGTTGTATCAGCAAAACACATTTTTATGATTGCAGTAACGGATGTTATGGCACCGGTGAGCACAAAAGGGTGCGTGTATACGTTCTGTTATTATGGTGCACTAACAATTTATTTCGTGTCAGTATTTCACCGAAATTTTTCAATTAGCAACAATTAAAGAATTTGCACGCTCCAAATATATCCTTTCTCTGTGTTGTTCTGCTGAAATTAAAAGTGTCTTCCCCCACGTAGCCATTGACAATGCCTTACGCTGATTTCGTTAGGCTGCTTAGGTTAGCTGGTGTGGTTTCGTTAATCATGTTGTTTACTAACAGTTGTAAATTAACTGCCTATAAATTAACTGCATATCGGCACCAAAAAAGTAAAAGCTTGTGTGTTTGTACTAAACCGAACAATGGACAAGGAACTTCCGGGAAAGGCTAAAATAATGCGACATACCTAAACTTCATAAAGGTTTTATTGACAATGTCGTACTCAAACAGGCCAAAGCCACATAAAAAATTATTGCACTCTTTTTAATAATGTAAGCTTTATTGATAAGTGAGAGCTCCGTTGTTCCCCGTAACCCACCCAAATGCAATATTGTCTGTAATTATGTTAAATGAGATATGAATTCTTCAATACCACAAATTATTCATGGTCCTCGTAAATTACTCGCCTGTTCATTGAGCTGCTTAAATAAACTAACAACTGCAAAGTGTGAAGCAATCTAATTTTTACATACAATTGTATGTCCACACAGAAAGTGCAATGATGGCTTTTTCAGATACCATAGTCTGGCAAAGCTGGTGGGCTATTTATTCTATGGTCTATGGCGAAAGAGAATTCGTTATATAGAAGTAGTTTGGGTGACGTGTAGAAATGTCTTCCTAATTAAGATGCAATGTTTCGCTCTGTATGCCGATCCACTATCTAGGCACCATATTAGCAAGTACCGTAGTTAAAAAGTTACATGCGTCTGTTATACGTTGAAATATGGCGTTTTTGTACGTAATAATAATAGAAATCAGTACGGCTTACAGAACAAACTTAACGATACTAAACAAACGCCAAACAAATCAGTAAGTAATGTAATGCAGACATTCAGTATACTAAACAGTACGTATATGGATGGTGCTGCACATTTCTATATTATTTACGGTACCCACAACACCATCAATTTTGCAAAATAATAAAAATAAACTAATGTGTTGTTCCGCTTTATTTTTTTATCTGCTCTATGTGGATCGCAATCTGAACGCCAGCGAATTGCAACACGTTGAGTTATAAAATTGTTCCATTTTGTGGGGTACGAGTACAAATAGTGACTCCAGAATCGAGAGAAATCAGACGTATAATCAAACGATATTTTACGGTAGACAGCTTGACATGCCACGAGACGCACTTCTGTGATAGGAGCCGGTGATGCTCGGTGCTAATCCCAGGATTAGAGAAAATCGCTTTTCTAGACTATTGAGTAAGCACAGAAAAGCTGAGAAAAGCCACATTTGGTTAACATGACGTAGGCCGCTCCAAAAAACAAATCAGTAAAGTCAAAACAAATTTTCAAACCGGAAAAGTGCGCAGAAGCTCTAATACTTATACGTTGGCGATTTTTCCATCGGCTCAGACTCAGAAATTAAATTTTTTAATCGCAGAACCATAAATTCAGATCAATTAAAAAACCATTCACAATTAAAAAAATAAATTCCATAAATCGATATTACACGAAACCATTTTGATATCCATTTTGAAAATTTTATTTAAACTTCACAAATAGCGCCCATATGCATAGAAGCAGTAAGATTATGCTAGGTTTTGACTTTGGCGGAATTATACTTAAGCTTAATTAAGAGTTTGTTTCTGCATTATTGCTAGTTCAAACCGCGACAGTTGCATTTAAACATACGATTCATTCTTAAAATATATGTATGATTTTTCTGTCGTTCGTTTTCGCTGTAGAAAACTCTGTTTTAAACAATTATCGAATACCCTGCACTGTTATATGTTTGAATAACACAATATGTTTTTTTTATAATAATATTTCCTTTTGAATCGTTGCCTTAGCATACAGAGGAGCCGAATAAATCCATGCAAAGTATGCAGTGCAGGAGTACCGAACAATGGCTGTCAAGCACCGGCAATGCCTTCTTAATCGACATTAACAGCGTTTTCCGTAATTTCCAGTGACAGCTGGCTTAATAACTTTTTACTTCTACTGGCTGAAATGCGCGTTATAGATATCGTATTCTTAACCAACGACAGCGGCACATTTTAAAAAGGTTTGCTGCGCGCTCAATAGCTTTTGTAAAGGTCGCAAAGCCCGGTTAGCTATCGGTACCTTACAACATTCGACTTACATTCAGCAAACGATAATAAGGAAGTTTAACAATATTATATTACCCTAGGTGTGTTAGAACGTTTACTTACCAAATACGAGTAAGTGGGCGTTTGAAGCGTTTTAAAACGCCGGGCCACAATAATTAGCACAGTATTGCCAAAAACTCCGCAAACAAGGATGACCACATGGAGAAATGTGGCGATTATCCGGTATACCAGAGACCGGTCATCCTCATCTGGTGCTTCGTAGCCAGATGTACTATCCAACAGGGTGGTGTTGTCGCTGTAGACGTCCATACCATGTGAGCAAAAGTTTAATCCTTTTCGTTCCATCGTTGTTCTATTTCCATGACATATCCATTAGACAAGACAACAATAGTGCGGAAATTCTCTGTCACAGATTGATGTATTTGTAAACTAGGCGCGTGCTCTGTGTCCAACCCTCGCACTAAGCCATCCAGCCAGCTTCCGGAGAACGTTGTTCCTTTTGTCACATCGCTAACTCTGCTGATCATTGATCACGCTCTGAGCTGTAGGTGTGCTGGATCTGTACGTGTGTGTGTTCCTGTCAACCGTACGTGCGCATTACTGTGTCACGGCTGACAGCAGGACGTCGAACTGGTTACGTATGGTATCGTGTACGAGTGTTAAACCCATCAGAGGTTAATCTATTAAACATAGCAGTTGAGGCCGACACGCAATTTCCTGTACTTTTCAATACGGGAGCCGGGTGATCCCAGGCTGCACTGCTGGTCGCATACGGGACCAGTCTGCACCATTAAATACAGATTGATCTCCTACTCCGTTGGTGATTCACACACATTAACTGAATGGAAGACTGGGAGATCTGCGTAATTCAATCCGGTAATATGTACCAGTGGCGTTCCCGTGAGACCTCCAGGAAAAGCGATTTCATCATGTCTAATGCTGTTTGCGGGTAATTATTGGGTTATCCTTGACCACATGTCTGCAACACATCTTAACTCGAACCATACAAAAAGATATGTGCAGTGACCAGAGCATAATGTCGATAAACGGCTCATTCGTGTTGTCCGCCGATATCGATCTCGGAGTCGCTCGGCTCCATAATGGATAAACGAATAATTAATAAATGACCACAATTAGTTGCGCCACTATTGCCATGCATGCATGTGTACTTGTACAACTTGCGATCCGGTGATTGCGTGCGTGCTGGTTGCCCCATTTATTACAACGGTGTGGCATACCAACGTTAACGTACCTACTATATTACATAATAAATTTTAATTATTATAACTTTTTGTTTAATTGAGGTGGCTAATAACTAGACGCTACTGCTTTAAAGTCCACTGAGCGAAAGGAGCGTTTTACACAATTATAAAAATTGGACAAAACAAAAAATGCTACAAATTTCCTTATTAATGCAATGGAAAGGTCTATCAGAATCACAATCGAGACTGCGTCGGGATGCAGAAGAATGTTTTCAGTTTTTTTCTGTGCTATCGTGACCCGTTTCCTAAAAGAACAAACATATGGGTGGGATGTTCTTATAAAAGGATAGAAATATCTTCAGTTTGTTTTAAATTTCTGTGGTTGTCAAACGATTTCTCGACCTGCGATACCGGTATCTGAACAAAATTTAATGCTTTCGTTTTTTCTGTTACCCTATTAATGAGGATAGTTTCATGATAAACCATGGATGTTAAAGTTGCAGAGCGATCTGCATAATCTGCATTCGGATAATATTCGTAAAAGTAACTCGGTTTTGGCAAATTTTAATGATGCTTTGCAATATTATTCTTGCCTCACATTTTGTCAAACGAACGAACGCTTCGTCCCATTAATTTTATTCTTAGACCACTACAAAATTAAGAACTTCTACATCAGTACTTACTATGTAGTAAGTTCTTAATTTTTTTTTATGTTTCTTGAACTCGCAGGTACGAGTAGCACTTACATCACATAAGTACTTGTTTGAGGCATGTGCATGTTCATAATGATTATGCAGTATCTTAATTACTGATCTGCATGCACTTAATTAATATCAACGACAGTTATTACGGCACAAATCACTGTTGTCTCATGTTGCTAAACAAAACAGGAATTTACAATGTTCAGCAGTAATACTGCACTTATTGACTGATAAGTACATACTTGCATATATGCTCAATGAACTTGAATGGAGTCTGAGGCACGTGGCAAGCTTTTCCCAAAGGTTCGAGTGCCACACAAGTGACTTAATGGCTTTTGCCGTTTACATGTGCAGAAAAGTTACAAGTTCTTGCATTTGTGGACTCCAAAGATTCGCTACAGATCGCATTATATTTGCAATGTAATTGTTTTATCGGAGTTTATAAAAATACAGGTTAACGCTTATGAGCTCGCTCACGACCGAAAGTTGCCGCCTGAGGATGCCGGGGCAAGTGATCAGCCTGAGCGATGTCCAGGCGACACGCTGAAGGGTGCCGTCGGTCACCCAGGTTATGATACAAGCCGCGCCGGACACCCCTTTATTGAAATCGAATTGGTACAAGCAGTATGAGAAAGAAAAACACGAGAAAAAACACCGAACAACGTTGAGATACAATACAATGCGCATAAACGGGCGGGCGGGAGGGTTGCGAATTTTTCTGGCCGTGAAACTGCGTGTACGTGGCAAAGTGGCCCTGGAAGCATTCTGAAGGATGCAACCATGGTTGCCAAGACACGTGAGCTCGCTCTGCGTTAACGTCATTTAACGCTTGGGCGTTAAATGGCTTTAATTCCCCGCAAACATCGAGCACCAACTATATGTCTCCCTCACCCTGAATCTGTCGACAGTAAACACATAACATTAAGTAACATTATACCAAAATGCAGGACCATTTTCACGCTCCACAAGTGTTTTCAGTCTCAGTTGCATTATTAATTGGATCTGCGGTCAAGTACGCCCATACATTTCTTGCTCGCGTAATTTTTGTACCGTTTCCATTAATGATTATCATTATCGGCATAATCATCAGCGTGGCCTCGCACCACTGCAGCCCGCCGTATGTGGAGCTTTTGGTCAGTTCGTTTGCTCTGTCCGGGAATTTGATTATGCTTTTGTTCTTTCCAATTACTTTGTTTTATTCCGCCTATCGGCTACCACTGCATTCTCTCCGACTACTTTGGAAGCATGTTGCTGTTTTATCCATTGTAGGCAAAAGTAAGCACGACCTTTGTTGGCGGTATAGTCAGTGCTTTTTCGTAGCAGCGCGTTCTTGGCTATATTCTATTAGTAAAAGTTAAAACTACTTAGAAAAAGAATAGAGCTGCTGTCATTGTAGTAATAAGTCTGCAAGCATACCGTTTTCATATTTTAGGCCTGGCAATCGCAATCACGACTTTGTCATCCACCCTAATTTTGGCTAGAGATCAACACAGTACCTGGGGTTTATTGACCGGCTTTTTATTCGCCAGTATTGTCAGTGCCACCGATTCGCTCGAAACTTCGGAAATCGCTAAAACTGGTAGGGGAAACCCCGACTACGGTCTACTTTTTACCACCAAAATATTGATTCCTATTTTAGATTGCGATCATCGAACGTCTGTGCTCATGGAAGCCAGTGCTTTGTTTGGAAACGGGTGTACATTTACGTGGTACACCTTCGTAATTGCCGCTTTCCGGAGTTATTCGTCGCAGTCGTTCTCACCAGTTTTATTTACGGAAACAATACTCTTGGGACTTCTTGTGGCACCGGCATTCGGTAGAAATGTAACACCACTGCCATTACGACACTTGAAATCATTATGCTGGCAATGATTTGTAGGTTTTGCTTGTGGTGTCTTACAAATGGTATTCTTGATGCACATTTACAACTCATGGCAGTCAGAAGTGCTCATTCTCCTGTCCACACCATTTGTGGTAGCCTGGATTGCATATTACTTATTTGGCAGCTGTGCAATGCTTTCCGTGATCACATTAGGCTTATGGACGAACTACAAGTCAGACGCTATCAGCATCAACATAAAACCCGTGGCTGTCCAGTAAGCGTTATTCTGTACTGCGTTAACTCCAACGGATCACGCAAGGGATAGGTTTTTAGTGACATTCTCCTACATCTTCAACGTCTTCATCTTCTTGCTGGTTGGTTATCTCCTGGCTGAGACCGCATACACGGTCGCGGATGACCTTCCATCCGATTGGTGGAAAACAGTGTATCGGCACTTAGCGCTGCACGCCTTTACGGTATGGTCGACGATCGGGGCTCTGACTATCTTACGACCGATTCTGATGCGAATGGATGACGCCAACAGCATCTACGATCTAAGGAATGTTTTCTTGATTACCTGGACAACGCCGAGAGGAGCCACGGCAATGGTTTTGCTGCACCATGTTATGGATACCGAAAAGGGTATGCTGCTGGGGAATCGCCGAGATACCGAAGTGGATTTGGAAATAAGTGTGATCGTTGTCATCGCATTGTCGCAGTTCATTCAGTGTTCGACGATGAGAAAACTGCTGATCTTTTTAGGTAGTGCCTTAACCAACTGACACTGGATTCCAGAACACGTTTTTTGTTATAAAATGCTACGCGTTCGTAGGTTCTTTCTCTGAGCATTCCGAGTCGCAAGTGGTTATTACAGCACGTAAAGGATTTTTCAACTCTTTGGAGAGAATTCGGCAGGAAGAAATAAGGACAATGAGGCAGAATTCACGGTTTAGCGATGTCAACTGGCAGATAGTAGCCAACCACACTAGCTTGAAAGAATCTGGAAAAGCATCCACCCAAAAGAATCCTAAAAACGTACGAGTAATGCAATAAATACGAGTAAATAAAAGACTGATAATCTCGAGAATGCGTGCGAATACTCAGCCATTTTTATTAAGCACCAAAACGTTATTCCTGCAGACCGGAAGTTTGAGAATCCTGACTGCTCAAATAGCGTGCATAAACTGCCAGAAAGCCTGCGTCCTACCCCAGGAAATTCTGAAAATGCAAGATACGGGAGTCAGCAAATTGTCAAAGGCGCTAAAGATGTCTTTTTACAAGCAGTATGAAGGCGGCATGCTGACCAGAGTTTCTTTGAAAGTTTTATGCGACTTGATAGACGAAGTGACTATACACCGAAAGGAGCTGTCAGGAACGCATATTCGCCATTATTTATATTCGCATATGTCTTTCGGATTTGTAAGCCGATAAGAAACTTAAGCATCAGCGAGAATATATGTCTGTTTCATTATTCTCATTATTCTGTTGTTGGTAGCGGAAGCGGCTCTCGGATGCTAGACACCCCACATCTCACGAGAGCAGCATGGTGCCACCGCAGAATTCCTCTCGGCGTGCAGCGTTCGAGATGGTTCAGACATCGGAATTCGAAAACGTGGTTCTGTGCTCCGTGTTTTTTCACGTTGTGTTGACTATAGCTGGATGGATAATTACTGCTAACAACGACTTGTCGTCGGTTGCGCAAGTGGTGACCATCGTGATGTTGATGCTCAATTTTGGCTTTGCTGTAATTTACACCACGGAGTGCGTACTGAAATGGTATGGATGTGGAACGAAGCAGTATTATGGCACATCGTGGATCACCTGGAACCGATTTGACTTTGCTTTGTTGCTACTGACGTATGCGGACCTGATCATGAATGTTGTCACACTATCACAACCTATGGAGAGTGGTACGCGTATCGTCTTAAACCCGGCAGCGGTCAGAGCGCTGCGATTGGCGAGAATCTTTCGGACTAGTCGCGTCCTTAGATTATTAAAGGTAAATCGAAGCGGTGAACAATTTCTATGCCAATGACGATTAATCATTATTTTTGGTTTGTAGCCACTTAGCCCTTATTTGCTCCGGTTGATCGAAATCAGCATCACTCACCACCTATACGAAGCATACATGGTAGCTCATGGGTACATCGTAGCGCAGGAAGATGTTGGCCGCCTGCTCGATCAGCTCATATCTTTCCAGCCATTAGTCATAGGCTTCCGCCTTAAATGCAGGAAGTCCAGTGAAGATATCGCGCATGAAATCGGTTTGCTGAATCAACAGCATTCGGATATCGCCACTGCGGTGAAAACGCGGCAAGCCATTATGGCTGTCTGGAATACCATTGGGCAGACTATCGTCATGTTGAAACGCCAAGGCGTCATTGAAGAAGACGATTATGAAAAATTCGAATCGGAACTGGATGCTAAGATGAAGAAACTTGGGAAACTTCCGCATCGTATACCGTTGCGCGATCCCGAGCAGCGTCTCCGTAATTTACCCTGGAGTTTAGGCGATGAAAAGATCTGCAACGTTCTCAAAATGATTTATGAGAAGCAGACGGTGGAAATGGGCTCGACGTTCTTGCATGAGAATGACGTGCCTAAAGGGATTTACATAATAGCGAATGGATTAGTGCAGCTGAAAACTTCCAAAGTATTTCTAGACCATCATACTCTTGGGGAAATCTATAGCACCGACAATATCAAACGGCAGTATACTGGTACTTCCGAGTTTGGGAGCGACGTTAAGATCGAATATGCCCTGCCTGGAAACGGACTGAATGAACAAGCGCTTCTTATTGGCTTTAACCGTCGACTGAATGCTATTGCCGAAACAGCTGTAGATCTCCTCTTCATTCCCAGTGAAAACTTGTTTTTAGCTTTCCAAATGGTCCCTGAATTGGAACGGAAGTTGTGGAAGCATATCGCTGTTACCATTGTGACAAATATCGAAGTTCAGATGAAAAACCTCGTGGTACGCAATTTTTAGCTGATTCTTCAGTTAAGCTCGCTCATTTCTTTGCCTCTTCTGTTGCAGAGTGACAACATTGACAGTGAGATCGAACAGGCTCGTTTATCTCGCGGTGACGTTCGGTTAGTCAAACCCGGCCGTATTGTTGCGGATCTCGACATGTATGCTGACACATATCTTCTGGCTGGGTCCGTTATGGAACTGCAAGGAAGGAATCAGCACTTCGCTCCTGCAAAGCTGCCTCACTCTGTCCAAGATATCCAGATCAAATCGGGCCGCGAACCAATTCGGGATTCCGTGAGTACAGCGCGCTTACACTTTTAAACGTAGTTTAGAACGGTCTTTGTTATATCTAGGATGGTGACGTAATATATCCTGGGTATGCAGTTCTCTTTATCGTACCACATGATGGCAGCGTAATGGAAACATCCACAGTTCACGAAAGTCAACTGGGTTTAGCCAAGACCAGTGACGTATCAAGCCGAATATCCTCCCTATCAATGGTAACAAAAGTAATGATAACACTGTGAAATCAGAAATGATTTTATCCTTTTCGCAGCCGCGGCAGCATCGACACAGGGAATCGGTTTTGGACAAACTCCGCGATGCAGTACCAAGGGGTACAATTGTGCATCTGTAAGAACCGTTTGTTGACTGTTATCTATGGATACGTGCTAGACTGCTAGTGTGTTACTAAAAATAACGCGGCATTTTGTAGCTTGACCACCGGTTTCCATCGGTTGGCTGGCGGACCTGCTGAAACTGTTTATGAGGAGCATCAGACGGACGATGATGAACTTAAGGCGGCGCGGGAACGCGCCCATGCGATAAAACATCTGCGGACCGGTTCAGTTGGACAGAATCAAGCCACAGCAACCGCAATGCAGGTAGCAATGGGAACAGAGCAGCAAAAAGTAAAAGTCAAAGCAACCGGATACCAGCGTTTGTCTGCGGTGGGAGAAACACATGGCAGGCACAATCTCCACCCGGGAATGCACTCAAAACCAGTGGATGACCATTCTCATTGGGTTAAAAACGAAGAGTCGGTTGAAGTTGTGCATGAACAGCGCCATAGATTGCGAATGCATTGGTGGCATCAGTAAAATTGTTTCACATAATTATAATTAATGCGCATACCATGAGCTGTTTACTCTGAGATTCTCGCACAACATCATTTGCTGCTGAGAGAGAACTTGGGCTACGAGTACTTCTCTATATGTCGTACAGAGAGAGCAGTTATTGCAGCTTTTCTGTTTTTGACTGGAAACCGGCTTTGATTCTTAACTTTGGTAGGCTTTTAGGAGGTTAATAAAATCGTTCTCCGTGGCAGGAATCTCGGTGTCTGTGGTATCCTTTGTATTGCGTTGCTCACTAGTCCGTTGCTGTTCCTTGAATACTGTTCGCCATTTCTGAAAGGTTTTGTTAACAAAACCAAAAATGTCATCCGGCCGGAAAACCAGCACGGCGTGCACCATTTGTTGCAACGGTTCAACGAGTTTAGGGTATCGACCAACTGTGTTGGAATAGGTCATTCTGGCAAATCGCTGCATAAACGCAAGGAAAACGGAAATTATGGCTTAACGAACAGACTTAGCTTTCGAATAACTTTACCAGCTGTTCATCCTTTTGTAAGTTAATAAACCAGTTATCTCCCATCTCCTCGGATGCGCGGATTTGCTTTTTAAGTGGGGGAATCGATGCTGCAGATAGACAAAGAGTTAAATATGTTAATGACAGTGGAATCTTTTTTTTTTGCTAAGGGCCTTGCTGATTATTATTTTGAAAAAATAAAGTAGTAATGGTCACCTGACTTTTCGAATGGAGGAACTGTATTTCTTTTGATCACCGCCTCGTTATCCGGGATTTCTTTGTAAACAACCCTTTGATGGCAAGTGCAAGTGAAATCAATCAAAAACTTGGCAGTACGTATATGCTTAGGTTGTTGGCACAGATTAATATGCGGCGTTATGCGCAACAGTATATTGTAATTCTACAGCCGCTACTGACCTTCGGTTTAGCAAGTACGTGCTGCAGCTAACCGTGCGGTCCTTCAGATGAGTTGTGGTTTGAAACCCAAAACAGTCAGTTCTGTAGGGCCACAACGCGATCATTTTATTAGGAACTTGGCTCTACGACGGTCATCGTTACAAGAATTTGCAGCTAGAGATGGATGTTGCACTTCTAGAACGCCTTACTCACGTATTCCATTTTCTGAATACAACCCAGCCGATCGACCGTCAGAAACACAAGGTTCTCAGGAGTGACTTCATTCGCTGCCAATAAACGTTCCAACAGAACATTTGCACACATACCAACAAATCCTTCGAGCAAGTCTTTCGTATACTCATGGTACCATGCAGCACTGGAACCATTTTCCAAATTTAGCACATTTACCAGGAATTCTTTTTCACGCTTCTCGATGTAGCAAGTGTATCGATTGCGCTGGGCGCCTACCTGAAGAATATGTTGCCGGTACCAAAATTCAGTACGCCTGTGCCAACTGCAAGGCATCATGGGTTTATCGCTACATACATACTTTTTCTTCCTCAACACTTTTCTGCCAAATGGTTTCTAGTGTTCCATTAACACAGCCTTCGTGGTATACCGTTTTTGCAATAGATCCAGAATGGATTTCGAGAATGACCTTTACGTGAATGATAGGTAGATAATCGAGAACTGCCAGCCTATGGGTTTTCACGGTATATTTGCCAATAATGTTTTCGTGTAAGTAAATATCGATTTCCTCATCGCCAGCAATTTCCGATATCCATTTTGGATCTAATAATTCATAAGCAAGCGCAACACAATGGTGCAACCGGATCTCTTAGATTGTTCTAGCGATAGATAATGCGCCTAGCCGCTTACCGATGTTCTTCAGAAATTTTAAAGCTTCTTTAGACGTTTTGCCATTGACTTCCGGGGACTCAATTGACTTTCCGAAAGGATCTTCATGCCTGAATGGAACTGGTGGCTTGTCTGCCAGGATCTCTTTAATACTGGCGAGAAACGTTTCGTTTTCAGTGTGGGCATATTCGTAATTATCGTAATCCAGAACTGGAATTCTGTTCTTCTCGTCCGGGTTCGATGTGGTGTCAATATTTCCGTTCATCTTTCAGACGGCATAAATAAAAAACTTCTACCATAAGGCACACGGTTATGCACGCTAACTTTTCCGGGCTTTTCACTACTCGGTAGGTGACATTGTTCTCGTAAGATCTGAAAGAAATACCAACGTACTAGTAATGCCAATGATGCCAATATTTACTGGCCAGTAAATACTGGCATCATTGGCCATGGTAAAATACCACGGTATTTTATATGGTAATACTGTGTGCACAGTGTATTTTGACGTGAATTAAAGACCTAACACAGTGAAGTGGGTACCGTATCCACTTGTCCGACCACGTCCAGTCGGATAGAGCGACTCTGTCTCAAACTGTTACGGAAGATGGTAGAAGATTACGTTGATCTGGTATGAAGTAGGAAAGGAAAAGAAGAAGAGGTCCGGGTCCTGCAAACACGAGAAATACACACACGACGGAGAAGTATACGTTACCTGTCCGACGCTAGATGTTAGCAGAAGCGATAAGAGATATCCATCAACCTGGCGCTACAGGGCATGAAGATGATGATGAGACCGAAAGGTCACGGCAAATCAAGTGGGATCAAATGGGTAACCTGTTACGTCACGAGATTATCCGAAGATGATAATGCACGTCGACGAGATAGAGGAATGACCCCTGACAATAGGTGAAAGGTCACCCAGAGGTCAGTTTGAACAGCCTCACTTGGAAAGAGAAGACCAGAGCAAAAGCCTGAAGTTAATCAGATCGAGTAACAAGACTCTACTTTTGTTGGGATTACAACTCTTGACATTTGTGTGGGCGACGAGCGCCTTATATAGCCCTGGGCACCGCAAGTGCTGGCTCTTCGTACGCGCAGGTACGGGTCTGAGAACAATAGGGATTTACACGCTAACCAATAAGAGACATCTGAGGACACGTGGACTAATCACACCGCTGCATCACTACACGTGGACTAATGAGAACATGAGGTCAACTAATACACTAGAACAATAGGTTGAGCTACGTCATCGAAGCGCGGTCACGTCGAAATGGCAAGTCGCGGTCAAAGTTCTCTGCTGGGGATTTCTAAGAAGTCGATACTCGGAGTCGCGGTCATGACTCGCGTAGAAGTTGTAGTAAAGCCTAGGCCTTAGTAGTAGGGGTAGAAGTAGTAAAGTAGTACCGATGTGTACTAAGGGACGCCAGTACACGTCAATTTATAATAATTACTGAAAACTACATAGGCGTATGCTACTTAAGAAGTTTAAGAAAAACTTAGAATAATAATATGCAGACACACATATTTAAAATTAATAGTGTGAAGTTTTCAGTTATCGGTTCTTTAACTGCACTTTTATGAGCAGCTCTTTAATTGCTCATAAAACTGCCTGTGGTAGTAAGTACCATGTAATTTTGTGTCGTACGACTGCAATCTCATTCGAATTTGCTGGAGCATTTTTTTATATTTTCACCTATCTCCTTAAACACCTTTAATTTACGTAACCGCCAAGTGATATGGGTCCGTAAATGTATGGTGTTCGTAACACGGTACGATTGCAATTTTTGTCCCTCGAATTCTTTCCTTATTACATAGTTTTATGACCTGCTTCTTATTTACGTATTATAATTTCAGAGATCACAATAATTTAAATGCTGGTGTTCTTGATACATTCATTTTTAAATAGCTTGTGTTACAGTCATACTAATTAACTTGTTTTCATATTTTTCTCTTATCGTGGCTGTGTTTGATTTAATTGGAACCTTTTCGTACTAATTTAAATTTTACTGATGTTTTAAAGTTTTTCCTTGTGGTTGTATTCATACAGCCATATGGTTTGTTCATCGACTGGTGCGTGAAGTTCATGGCTGCATATTCTATTCTAAATTTGCAGGGATTATTTACTCTCGGGCAATTGGTAAGATGGTCGACAGTTTCATAAGAGCTCTGTACACTGGCCAAACAAGCACCGATCCGTCTGGCTAGCACATATTGTCGGTCATGTTTACTTTGTACAGGATTATTTATGCCACTGTTAAGGGTGCTGTTTTTTAAAACAACAACCGTGTCGCAGTGTGAAGCACCAAGCACTTTGACGTAAAGCAAATAGCAATTATGATTCCGGTCGATTGCAGTATCGGTATAACCAGCATACACAGTTGTATAAAAGCACTCCACACTTTATAACTTCGTGAAAAAAGTTTTAATACGACGCTATAGGACTGTGAAAACTGATGCAAATAAAAACTGATTCGCTTTCTTTTATTATTCAATTATTACAAAAAAAAGTTTAGTTAAACCATTTTATAATTAATAACTAAAGTAAGCGACAAACCCGCTTAAGAAGTTTCTAATTATTTTATTCTAACAACATTAGAAGTTTCACGTAGTTTGAGACATTGGTTAGGTAATTACGTTATCATTCAGGTATCAAGAGTTTGTTAAGACTTTTGTTTGCGGCTTCATTCTATATAATATTTTGATATTCACTCTGATAAATGAGTAGCTTGTTTTAGCGGAGAAAGCAGTGTCGTCATGTGCTTTTGTTACGATTTCGAAAAATGAAGAGTGTAGATTGTTGAGGTCTGTGACTGTGCGGTTGTTGGTAATGGCCACATGATTAATACGCGATGGCAAACGGAAAACCGGTTACACTTCACGCTTGTCAGCATCTTGCAGATATAGTCCTCAGCACCGCGCAATTGTCGACCTACGGAGAAAAAATGCCGAAAGAAATAATACGTTCATAAAGCCCTCACACATATCTACCGTATATATGCGCTGCATACTTTATGGACGGTTGCAAGCCACTGCATACACTATGAACATGATGGTTATACTATAGTGTGTGTCGTGTCAAAAGCTGCATCTCAGTGCCGGCAGCTTTTAAGTTGCAAGATCAGTTGAAGCAGCTTTTCTCCTCGGCGAGATTGTAATTCTTTCCTTCCTGTATAAAATCTGTTGTGCGATCTGTTGTTGTATAAAGCATAAGATTTTCAACGGCATAATACCCCCATTAAACTGTTTGCCCGCACTGATCTGAGACTGGATGCGGCGGAGCAATCAATATGGCCGTATATGGCGCAATCACTCCTTGCTAAGTGCTTTCCTCACGAATGGTCAAACAGCTATTCCAATCACTGATCTGGAGCAACTTGGTAGTTGTGCGTTTTATTAGCATTAAGAGTGCCGAATTTTATCCCTGAACGCTCAACAGTGTGAACACAACATCAGTACTAGTTAGTAAATGTAATAATCTACAGAAGCTTCCTATTTTAAACAAAATTAATTCTTTTCTCAGCCGTACACCGGTATAAACTCTGCATCCTCGTTATCCGTTGTGCCATACTTATAACATAATAAAATTATGTTTTAGGTTTCTGTGGGTTTTAATACTGTGTCAGAATTCCTGGTCTGCCCTTAAAAAATTGGATTCTTTAATATTTTTACCGGCAGCCGAAACCTTGATATCGAAGCATGAACCACAAGTCGCCGGGCAGGATTTGAAATTCTGGCCTGGAACGATCTGTCAGTGGTTTTCTCATGCGCATAACCACACATGTGGATGGATAACGCTTACAACTGAAGAAACGGACAGCATTTTGCTTTACCGGTAAGCTGAACTCTTCCGGTGTAGCCGCATCTACTGTACTTTGTGCATTCCTTACTGACAAAAACATTTGCATCTTATTATTAGGATTTCGGTGTTCTCTTATCGTTAATATTAACTTATGAGTATTCACTTCAATTATCGCTTTATTATAATAAATGTGTTGTCATTATTAATCTCGCTCGATTTTATAAGTCGTATTTCAATATGGTTAAATCGTGCTGAAATTTGCATTCGAACCACTTTATTATTATGCAATTGTACTTTATGCTGCACCCCACCACACTTGCACTGTGGTTTTTCAAGTTTCATTATATTATAACTGAATTATTAACTGCTGAAGTGTGCCACATATTACGTTACTGTAAACGAATGCGCCAAATCATCACCTTTCAAAGGGTGCAGGTAGAAGGTAGAATTACATATTATGTTAATGTGGGAAATGGAAACATACTTTGTGCATTCCTCTTGATTATATTTTCACATCTTTTGTAATCACTTAATCCATAAGACCAAGGTACTGAAAATTAAAATTTTATTGAAACGGAACGTCAGTACTACACTCGAATTAAAAGTATGTAAAGAAATTCCATAATTAAAACCTAATGCTCGATATTTATCCTATGGTAATTTCATTAGCCCCAAAACGATCAAGCTTTCAACTGCATGCAGTATAATTTTGCCCAAAGTTTTGGGATAGATTTGCAAATCCAATTAAGAAAATCACAAAATTAACAGTTATTTTTGTGATTATTATTTTTGTGATTTCCGCAAAAATATAGTGCTACTTAATTTCCGAAGGTAATGCACTGCATCAGTGGACACCATAGTTATATGTCAGAAAGATAATTATGTTTTTAATTATTATGTCTACGAGTATTGATGCAACGATTTACGCTTTAAACAAGCAGCTAACACCACGGAAGCTGGCAAATAAAGTTTTTGATTGTAATAATTGTGCGCGCCCTGTTAGGTTCTATTTTAACTGCCGGCAACCTGTCACACCCAGTAGTTCCCTTGTGCACAGACTGAAAGTGTTCATGGTGTGGAAACACTGAGAAAAAATTTATGCCGGCTATTTATCACTCACGTTATGTGGTTGCATTTTGAATGTCGCTGGAACGTTTAGCTTTGCGTATTACGTAACGTGAAGCAGGTACCTTTATTCGCAAGCCAAGGTTTGATGGCACACTGACACAGTATAACGATGGTTTAATGAATTAACACCGCTTGGGGCTCATGCTAGGCATATCTGGCATTCATAGTTTGCAAGAATAATTTTATGAGAGCAGTAGCTCAAGCTGTACTCAGGGCTGAGTTTTACTTTAATTTTTGCTGTCCAAACTGGTCAGCTGATGTGCGGTGGTATGTTTTTATCTCTCGCGACGAGTTTGCTACATTGCGATAGCCACATTACATATTATAATTCCTCCTTGTGGTACTTACAGGAGAAACCGGCTTATTAGGTTTACCGGGTTAAACCATCAAGAATGATCAACAATTCATTGTCTTATAACCTGCTTATCCCACTTTCCGAAACTGGATTGCTATAATTCACTCAATCTCCATTAATTCCGCCACTGGTTGGATCAGCTATATGCGAGTGAGCGGAAACTGTGTGCTTCTACAAGATCTATCAGCTTCAATTTAACTGCACATTAATTCCCTGGCACCGCGACCATGCGCTTTCTCCGGAAGACCGCATACTTATCTCCCTCAAAGTTCGGTCGCATTTTCATCGCCGTCCTGCTCAGTACAATGTGCGTAATGGGTTTAAAGTCATTTCTCTCCCTTGAAGAAATCAGCGCCAAGAAAGCCGTGATTGTCCCGCGCAACACCAGCGATCAATCAAGCGAATTACAGCTAAATGACGACGCCCCGCCATCAGCACTGAAGACGCCGAATGAGGAAGAAATGCAACTGGCCGGAAACGATCTGATGGACAAAATTAACGGGGCGGATGCCAATGAGGCCCTGTATCCGGGTTGGCGGGAAGAAGACGACGAGCGACATAACCCAACGCTCACTGCAGCACAGCCATCCATTATGGAGGAGGAGAGCGTGAAAAAGAAGAAAGTGGATGGTCGGTTTCTGTCTCAGGGACAGTTTATTCGACCATTTCCTGGGATGGACATTAATTCCGAACCACCGCGCCCTCTTACTTCTTTTGAGGCGTTCCAAACTAAACCGCCGCCGCCCACACCCGTTCCACTGGCCTCGGGGCAGGAACTGCTTCATGGACCAGCTGCCACCCGCGCACCCATTCCGGCAGTCGAAGTGTATGCACAGCAAGGAGTTACGCTTCCGTCTGGTCCCGTTGGAAACGCTCATACGAATCCGCCATGGCCGGGAATGCAGGTAATTACGCAATAAATATTTCGCTTGAAAAAATAGTGTAGGTATCTTGATTTCGTCGTTGTTTTGTTGGTTTAATTCTTTCTTTGTTGCACCAGTTATTTTCGTTTAACTTTTTGGTTGCTATTTACGCAACGACAACGCGTGGTATACATTAACGACGGCTAAGCTTTCCAAAATATGACTGCAGGTTAGAACCATACTTTTATGGCACAATTTCGATCGCTTGCTTTTTAAAAAAGTTGTTGTTTGTCAGAACTGGATCGATAACATGTAAACCGGTTTTCCTAGCGTCAGCCACTACACTCTTTTGAATTTTCCCGCTCGTCTGCCTTTTGCTTAGTTATAGGCTTTCATTCTCGTGAAGCTCGGGCCTACAGTGTCTCTATTAATAACAACAATTACTCCATTATTATTGTATTAATAGCAATGGCAAATACAAAGTCGTTCAGTGTCACTTCCCTTGGCCGACGTTCGCTCATCGATTTTAATGTTTCCTATGTTATGCGAGAGTAAAAGTTAAAAATGTCTGATTTTGTAAGCTGCTAGCGGTCAGTTGATTAGCAAAAACCGGCACAAAACATAGTGCGACACAATCAGAATTTGTTTCTCACTGCAGTCGACTTCCGATTAGCCTTTTAGGTATTTTAGTTTAATGGAAGCGCGTACGTAACCGTTTGCAATTTGCTTACAAACGGTAGTGCGGCATAACGGTTAAATGTACCACCTGACCGCAAAATGTAATATTTTAGTAATGTTCTTGATCATTTTGTGCGAATCGTCGAAGTTTTTCCTGGTTTTGGTTTCATGGAATGTTAATCAAACTGATTTCTTTTTAGCTGAACCAACAAATGAGTTTCCAGCCTGGTACCTTTACCTTAAAACCGTGGATTGTTCAGCAACTTCAGCAGCGAGGAGATGTTCCACAAAATCAAAACCAGTTGGTATCTCAGCAGCCACAGTTTATAAATACCGCCAGCAACATGCCCGGACTGCCGGGCATTGTGCAGGCCGTCCAGACCGGTTTCCAACCTCCCCCGCCTCCACCCAATTACAATCCGAATTTCCGAATCCAAGAACGTGTTGTGCATTTCGATCTGAAAGGCGCGCCTTTCAAGTTATCTTACTATAAAGAAGTCTTTCCCTTGATACGCAAACTGGGTGGAACGGGTCTGTTAATGGAGTACGAGGACATGTTCCCCTATTCAGGACGCTTTAAAGTGGCTAATGCGGGCAATGCTTACACAATCAGTGACATCCAGCAGATTAACCGGTTGGCAGAGGAGAACGAGTTGTACGTAATTCCATTGGTACAAACGTTTGGGCACTTGGAATTTGTGCTGAAACACAAGGAGTTTAAACAGTTCCGCGAGGTCGAAGCGTACGCGTCAGCTGTTTGTCCTACGAGAAATGGAACACTGGATCTCGTAACGGAAATGGTTGAGCAAATGCTTCATTTGCATCCCAATGCAACCTATTTACACATTGGAGCCGATGAGGTACCTCTTTACATGCATCGTCTTTGTCACTAAAAACGTTATTAGCATAGCCAGTAACAAGCTTATTTAACAAAAAAGCTTCAGTTGATCTTACATCTTAACTTTGCACGGCATCAATCAGCCTATTTAATGCCTCAAAAGAAATAACGCAAATCATACTACCATGTTATTAATTTACATATTCTTATGATTTTATTGCAAGCGCACAGGCCGGTAGAGGTAAATTGTTGAGTGACTGCCAGCCATTTTGCGACATAAATACGCACTCAACAGTTACTGCCACAACATCGCGATTAATTTAACAGACACTGTCTTGATGTTGCTGCAGGTATATCACTTGGGTCAATGTCCGGTTTGTCGAGCGCAGACGCAAAATAATTATTTTATTGGACGGCAGAATTTATTCCTCTCACATGTGGCTCAGGTTTTGCATTTCCTGCGAACGAAATATCCACATATTCGTCCTATCATGTGGGACGACATGTTCCACAATATGCACGAGGACACTATCCGAAATGGGCTGGGTGATCTCGTTAATCACGTAGAAATCATGATCTGGAGCTACTTTACAGAGTGGACCAGACATCTCCCACGAAACGGTGACCTATATGGTCCAGTTTTCCCGAATATCTGGGGTGCTACGGCATTCAAGGGTTCTGACGGGGAAAGTCGACAAATGCCGGACGTCAAGACACAGCTGGAGATCCACACCTCTTGGATCGAGGCACTGAAGGTCAACGGCTACAAGCTGCAAAATTTCCGTGGAATTGTGCTTAGCGGTTGGTCGCGCTATGATCATTTCTATCCATTATGCGAATTATTTCCTCTGGCGGTTCCGTCATTAGCCATCAATCTGCAAGTTTTACTGACCGGCGAATACAACGTGCCCGTCATTGAGCAAGTGGCAAAGATTCTGAGCTGTGATACGATAAGAATTTCCACCGACTTTTTAACGTTTGATCCAACTGCTGAACAGTTTAACACCTGCCAGTTTCCGGGTGTGGACGTCTTCCGCGTCGTACATCTGGTTGAGGGAATACGCAAACCGGTTAAGGATTTTCTGGAAGAACTGACCAACCGTTATCCCGAATACCAAATGCGACATCAGTACATGCAGATCTGGCGCGGAGAGGAGCAAATCAACAAGATCAACAGTTACCTGTACCTGTATACCGGCTATCTAAGCCGAGCGAAAGACGCCTTCCTACAAGTGTACGACGAAAATACGCTCAACGAATGGATCGCCGGCAGTGTCGATCCATCCATCAAAAAGTTAACTGCCTGGAGAACCATATTCGAATCAGTGATGAATATGGAGGAGTGGCAGTCCCGCCCGCTGAACATTCCGACGTTACCCCCACCGGAACTGCCCAGCACCACCCTCCCGCCGATCAATCCATTCTTCCCAGGCTGGAACCCACCACAGCCCTTAATACCGTTGCCGGGAAGTTTGCCGCAGTTCGGCAACAATTCCGTGCCGAACGTTTTACCACCACAGCCACATTTGCAACGGCAAGTCTCCGGGCCAATCCCAGTGCAAATGCCTCTTGCGCTCAATCAACCCTTGTTTCAACCACATTGGGCCAATAATGTCGGTGGCCCAAATCAGTCTTTCGTCGATGTGCGTCAACCGCAAGGTCCGCAACTGTTCTTTGGGAAGTAATAACGGTACCAACCTGTTTAGATGACGTCTGTGTTTAGCTGATCTCTAATATTGCGAATCGCCCGAGCGAGCAGCTGGTTGTTCATTCTGGGTTACGGTGCTTTTGATCTGTGATATACTGACAATACTTAACCCGTTTTCATTCTTTTATCTGTTGATGGTTTGACTGCCCAAATAAATTTTGGTAAAAGTCTGCGCTGCGCTTCTTCATACCCCACAATTAAGTTTAGATTTAGCGTTTTTAAAAATTAAATTATAGTGCCGATTGCAGAAAATAAATCATAAAAACATATTTATTACCTACATGTACCACGTGCCGTATTCAACAGTTCGGTAACTTCGGTTTAGTGGTTATCGAACCCATTACACGCAACCAAGCGAAGTGATGTCATCAAAAGCTGAGAACAAATTAATTATATACTCGTCTACTGTACTTCGAACACTTGTAAAAGCAAGTAAACGGAGAGACCTACCCGATAGTCCCAAAACCAGTTTTGCGATCGCTTTAAACTTTAAAAGAAGGATTTCTGCATTGTCTCCCTGGATCCTGCTCCTATTTTGATAATTTAACCAGCGCTGGAGTCAATGTAAATTGTAACAGAATTAATTTAGATATGGTTGCATTTGGGTGGATCTTGTTGTTTTATATCAGCAGCGGACTTTGCGACGACACGACACCACCGACGTATCAAATCATTCTTAGAAATTTTACGCCATCCGCTCCTCCTCCCGATGGTCAGCCCACTGTCATTAAAGTTGGAGTTGTCCTATCTCGAAATGCATCGTCCAGCGATAGCATGCATAAAGCAGCCAATATTCTCCCTGCGCTGTACGTGGCGTTCAGGGACGCTCTTCCGCGATACAATATCAAGTATGAGGTCAAGCTGGAACTGTACGACGACTGTCGAAGAGCAGCGTATGACGGTGTGAATGTTCCTTTACCATTCGAAACATTCAACAAAACGGTCAGTCTTCTCTTGGACCAAGGCATTGCGGGGAATCTAATCGTAGCTCCTGCTTGCACGGAGGATATGTTACAATCCACGTTGTTGACTTCAGCGTACCCCACAAATGTGGTGAGAGCAAAAGTGAAAAAACTGAGTACATGTCTAACCCTCCCCCCCCCAGGTCACGGGTTTCGATAAACTTGCTTTTTACGGTAGTGTTCGTTCATACTGCGATTTTTTTAGGCAACCGGGGGAGGTGAACTGATCGATACCACGGCACAGTATGCTTACTTGAACAGATGTTCTTACAACACGTTCTCGCAGTGGAGTTCACTGATGTTATTTGCTGCACAACAGAACTGGAGCCGTTTTGCTGTATTTTATGATAGCGATGACGCTACACTGAAGACCAATGCGCTAAGTACGGTGGGTGCGGTTTTCAGTTTTTGTGTATTGATGTATGTATATAGGTATGCCGCCCCTAAAGATGATAAAGACTGTTTACGACATTTTCGCCTATAGGTTTGATATCGAATCTGCAAATTGCATCCACCATTCCCAACACATACGAAGTGCATTATCCATTATATTCTCACACCAATATCACCGCAGCATTTTTGAGCGCAAGCAAATCTGCGAGAAGTTGGGCAAATTACCTTTCACCTCAACAAACTTAATGTTTTCATACCATTTTTGTAGTCTTTGTCCTCCTGGTAAGAGGAGACCGACTGCGTAACTTGATGCTTAATGCGTCGAATTTGAAGATGACAAACGGCGAGTACGCTTTCTTCACACTGGACGTATTCGCCACGGACGTCCTAGCGCACAATGGCTGGAAACGAGGTGCCGGTTTTCAGTAAATAATTGCAGAGGAATTAGAAGTTTTCCAAAGTTTGACAATGGACGATTTGCGTAGGCGACACATTTGATAATCAAGCGAAACAAGCTTATCAGTCCGTGATGGTTATTACCCTCCATGACAAAACCCAGAGCGCAGCTTACAAATATTTGGACCAAGAAGCAAAGAAAATGCTGGATGCTATGCCAGAGTTGACTGAATTTCGCAATGACTACGATGGTTTGAATTACTTTGCCTCGGCATACTACGATTGCATCCTGTACTGCGCGTTTCAGTACAATCTCAGCCTCGGAGATGGAATTACTGACCTTACAGCGGAGGAAACTATGGCTAATGTGTCAACATATCTTTGGGGTCAATCTGTATTTTATGGTAATATTTTGGTAAAGCATCGAGAACCCGCAAGCAATATTGCTTTTATATTTTACTTAACGTCATATTCATCTATGAAAAGTGTTCCTGGTTTCCACCGGTTCCGTAGGTGGTGCCAGTGGTGACATGTTCATTATGATTACTGGAGACCGAGATGATGATTTCTCCATTCATGCAATGACGGATCCAGACGCTGGGACATATTCTGTGAGTTTGCGAAACATGCATACCAAAACTGCATTTAAAAAAATTTTGAAAGCTCACAGGTGATTGGTTCTTATTGGGGATACTTGTCCAATTTCACCCAAACAGCCGATATACCATGGCCCGGTGGCAAAGCGCCGTTGAACGAGCCGGTTTGCGGCTACACAGGAACTAACTGCACGACCGGTGGTGCGTTTGACGCTTAATGTTTCAGATTATTAATTTTGAAATACTTTCGCACACGTTGAAAATAGGCACCAGTGATGTTATGGAAATATCATTTGGCATCGGAATACCAATTGTATTTATGCTGGCGTATGCTGCACACCGGCTACGGAAACATGCGGTGGTTCAAAAGCGACAAGACGAGATGTGGATTGCGAGGTACTCGGTAGCCGGTACTACAACAGCCCAAAGTTCCACAAACAAATCTGTGTTTTACGCTATCGATTAACGATTGGGTGCTTAGGTGGAGCGAATTAAAAATAAGAAGCAAAGACAAAGAAAAAGATAAAGAGAAAAAAATGCTAGCAGCAATGACTGCTAAAAAGGAAGAAGAACACATTCCTGGCGCTTCTATGGGGGCTTCAATGGGCATGAGTACGTTCAGCATGCAATTTTTTGCTAAAATAAAGCATCCACACCTGGATTACTGATAATCGAACTTTAAGGCTGAAACACAGTGTAAGATTAAACCAGCTTTGTTTGCAGGTATGGGTAAGCAGTGCCGCGGACTGAACTAAAAGAGCACAGGCTCTAAAGTGACCGTTGCTTAGGCGAATCAATGGGGAATGCTCGTGTAACTGCCTCCGCCTTTTGGAAGAACCATCCCATCACTGTGCGCTGGTCAAAGAAACAGGTTTTGCGTATGAATAACACCATTCTGCGGCAAGTTCGCCAGATGTTCAAACTGGAACATGACAACCTTTTGCCGTTTCTTGGAGCATGCATTGAGAGGGACCATGTACTGATGATCTACGAATTTTGCAATAAGGGAACGCTTCATGTAAGTATCCCGGCAGACTTCGGTAAGAGTGGGACTTCAACGTTTGAGCTTTGATATTTTTGATTACTGTATTTAATACACCTGGTACAAGATGCACAATTAATTGCAGCTTTGTTGTTTAGAAAGCTCTGGATAATCCGAACGTTAAATTAGAGTGGACGGTTCGCTTCAGCTTTCTTAGTGACTGCACTAAAGGGCTCGCGTATCTTCACAACAGTTCCTTGAGGGTGCATGGACGGTTGACATCCATGTGTTGCTATATCGACTCTGGATTTATGCTAAGAATTGCCGATTACGGTTTACCGGCATTCTATGAACTTACTGTAGCGGAACTGTGGGAAGCCAGACGGGATCCGGAATATCGTTTAGCCCAAGTTTGGAAAGCTCCCGAACATCTTGTTAAAGAAGCCTCATCACAAATCGAAGTTATCAATTCAATGAGTCAACCAGGCGATGTATACAGCTTCGGTGTGATCGCGCAAGAAATCATCACAAGACGAAGACCATTTGCCAGGGAAGATACCCCGGATCCTGAAGCAGGAGGCAAGGAGCTGCAGGCCACAAATGTTGAGATTGCAGTTTGATCTTTTCATTTTTGCTAGCGATTATTGAGGCTGTAAAGGCAAGCACGGTTAAAGGGAACGCACCATTCATTCCATATATCGAGCCAGATGCATGTTCACCGGAGTTACGTGACCTTTGCCTAAAGTGTTACACAATGGATCCAGCTAAACGGCCAACAGCTCAAGATTTGAGAAAGGCACTGCGAGAGCAAGGAAAACTTATGTAAACGCTCAAATGTCCTTTCTCTAATTTCGACCTTAACAACGTAACTAAAATATTTTGCGTGTGCAGAGGAATGACCGAGCACTCGAATGTTCTTGATACTCTTTTGCTACAAATGGAAGCTCAATCTGCTCGTCTTCAAGCGATTGTGGAGGAGAAAAATCATGAGCTATTGGACGAGAAACTGAGAAGCGACACTTTGCTTTACAAAATACTGCCGATGTAAGTACGTACCGTACCCGTATCGAGTCAGCCATACTGAAAGCAATCCTTTGTGTTTGTAATCTATTGCGCTGTTTCGAATTTTGTCAGGGACATTGCAGAGACTCTCAAAAAGGGTACGAGGCCGAATGCTGAAAATGTAGAATTGATCACTGTGGCTTATATCGATATTCTTGGATTGTGAGTAGAACTGAGTATGAACCAGAATATTTTTTTAACCGCACGCAAGACCATATGCGACCTATTTCTAGCAATACGATGGCGTCGGAAAGTACACCTCTGCAAGTTTTGGAATTTCTGAATGACCTTTACGCATTTTTCGATGAGAATATTTCAAAATTTGACGCCTATAAGATCGAAAATCGGAACGACGTTACGCAGGTCAGAAAGGTCGCGATAAATTAGAATAACGTGTTCCATGCTTCTCAGAATTTTCCAGATTGTTTCCGGCCTACCATTACGAAACGGAATACTTCATGCAAGAGAAATTGGACGGTTGGCTCTGACAATCTTATTCAAGATAAACAGTTTCAAAATAAAACACCGACCGGATGATCAGATGAAGCTTCGCATAGGAATTCACTCTGGTAAGTTTGACAGACTGCACAACAAAAAATATTACTAAAAGATGCAGTGATGTATTGTCACTGCAGTGATGTATGCGTTTTGGTAGGTCCGGTTGTGGCGGCCGTTATAGGTAAAGATTTATGCCGCGTACAAGCCAGTGTGAAAAATCTGATTTAAGTTTTTCCACCGGATCAGGGCGTAAGCTACCCCGCTATTCCCTTTTTGGAGCTACAGTAGACATTTGTCTCAGGATGCTGACGAGTGGTGAAGGTATGCAAGTATAGTTTTCATCAGCTGAGATCATAATACTAGTAATTGTAGCCGTAGAAAGATCCAATGGTAGGTACAAAAGAGGTAGTAAAAAAAAGGAATTGAACGTAACGTGCTATAACGTTAACTGAAAAATTAGCAATACTTAAGCAAATACCGAAGAAACATCAGAACTCCATTATTGATGTGATTAACCAGCATAAATTTTGCAGCGTTGAAAATTCAATTAAGTTCCATGACGAAAAATATCTTGGAAACGTTTGGAAGCTTTCGTTTAGTTGAAAGAGGAGAAATTTTTGTTAAAGGAAAAGGAGCAATGAAAACATACTGGCTGATGGGAGAGGATGGTAAGCATTCTGCTGCAAAAGTAAAGATGTACGCGGCTGACTGCTGCCTGCTCAGTGGTACGAAATTTCTTAACCTTAAATGATTGGTTGAACGCATTTTGTAGGCAATATGGAGTTACTGGAGTTGCAAAAGAAATTTGAAGAGGAAGATATTGAAGAAGATTTGGGAGAACCAGGTTGAAACTGAATGTTTATGAAAGGAATCCATTGCGATGACGAAACAGATCATTATTGGCTATTATATGGCAACTAAAAAATGCAAAATGATTGATAGCGGTATGAAAAAAAAACAATGATTACGAAACAACAATGAAAAAACATTCATCCAGTACAAAAACGCATGACTCAGAACATGAAAACAGATTCATTACATCGGAAAAAAGCATAAACAAAACAGTACCTGATTTGATCAATCTCATAGAACGACAATACTCTGAAACTGGGACACAGCACATCTTCAAGAGATATACCGGTGGGAGCAGGACGATGGCGTGGCATTTCATTTCGGGCGCTTCCGTTTATTTCGCAGCCCATAGCAGCACGAACAGCATCCACCCTGGTCGGATGCCGAATCAGCGCGTTTATTTCTTGTGTCCTTTCCTTTTCCGGCTCCGGGTTTTGCCTTTTGGCTTCCGAGTTTTGACTCCTTCAAGGTAAAGGGTATATCTTTGCCTGCTTCCCGGACTTGCTCACTGAGATCATCCGGCAATGCCGGCAAATTATCAAGTAACTTACTCTTGGTTTTCCAAAACTCCGGAATCTGCCCAGTCCAATCGTACACATCATCAGACTCCAGCCCGTTCGCTGTCATCATCGCTTTGAATAGCCCGCGACAAAATTCATAGTCCGGCTTGGCCTCAAATTCCAGGTTCCGGGCGTATTTCATAAATTTCCCAAATTCCGGTGGAGCATCAGCGCACACTTCGTCGACCGTTAGCTTTAGTTTCTTCTCCAGAATACGTTTGCACTTCTCGGCAAATGTCGACCCGGGAAGGCCCTGCCACGGTAACCGACCACAGTATAGGTAGAGGAAAAGGTACGACAAAGCTTCCAGGTCATCGCGTCGGCCCTGTTCATGATGTTGCAGTGCAGGAATACTCATGTACCGTGGCGTACCGACTGAACCTTTTTTTACGCTAAAGGCAACATGTTGGCGGGTGGTAGGATTAATGTATTCCTTGGATAGACCAAAATCAACGATGTGTAGAACCTGGTGATTGGGTTCCTTGTACCGTCCAAGGAGAAAATTCTCCGATTTGATATCACGATACAGTAAACCTTTGGAATGGATGAACTCAATGCGGTCGAGCAACTGGACTGCCACCATACAGACGGTCTTAAGGGTGAAGGATCCGCCGCACGCTTGTAGGACGTCCTCCAGATTCGGGCCCAACAGCTCCATCACCATGGTGTGATATTTCGGAATGGATGCATTGGCTTCCGAAAAATAGTGGACAGCCGGAACACCCTGGCCCTCGGTGAGCATCTGGTAGAACTTGTACTCGCGATGCAGTTGCGGGTACGAGCACTCCTTCTGCTCGGCTTTAACGGCGACGGGCTGTTTGCTGTGGATGTCGCGTCCAATAAAGAGCGTACCAAAACTTCCGGCTGCAATCTTCTTGTCAACGATCCATTGGCCACCGATGACTACTCCAAGCAGCTGGTCCGGGTCATCGCGATCGCGGCTCGATCGGCCTCCGGTATTTTTATCCTTGGTGGACAGGGCGGAGCCTGGGAGAAGTAACGGGCCGGTGCGCTGAGCGGTGCCACGTTACTTCGGTGTCAGCCCAATGTCTAGGAGACCTTTAGCATTCCGGATGAATTTATTTATGCCTGTAGGGGTTGCATCAAACCTTATGGCATCTGTAATCAGCAAGATTTAGGCGGAAATTAAGGGGTACATGCAGTATACGAGCGCTACAAGAAATAATCATAATTCACTTCTTAGCCGGACTATCCAATGCGTGATCGCCGATGAAAAATGGAACGAATCGGCAGGAATAGTGATGCAGAGAGTACAGGGCATCCAGATCACCCTTCGAGTTATCTGCATTGGCTTTGCGACCAACCTGAATGGCTGATTAAATCGGAAACAGATTCTGCGAAGACTATTTAAGTGATATACCGGATCGCAAGCTTTTCTTAGCTTTTAAATTTTCGATGCACACATACCGATCGGAATAATACATCGGAATAATTATATCTTCTGTATTTTTAGTAAATACTTACACGCTGATCATGGGGTATTCGACATAATTTACATTTTCTTAGTATCTTAGTATTCAGTTGGTTATGCGCCTATGCATTGGATCGAGTTGCTTAGGAACTTAAACGTTTTTGAAAGCATTTGCGAGTGACTACATCTGGGCGAGACGTCTGGGTCTTATTTCGGCACTGTAAATTACCGACAGCATTCACAATACTTGCTTATGCACGAATGACGTTTACGATGCAGTTATCGCGCAATGTTTTGTTATCGCGCAACAGTCAGAAATAGTATAGCCTTACTAACTTACTTGTTTACCACAATCATTAAGTACTGTAAGTGCTGATTTTGAGTAAAACACGTAACAAATAAAAACGGAGCCTTAGAGTTTGTAAAGTACAGAAAAAAATAAATGCAAAGGTTTGCGTACCAGGGCGCTGTTTAGTAGCCTGTTTAGTAGTAGTTTAGTAGCCTAGTGGTTTAGTAGCCTGCCGACCCTTACGCAAGCACGGACGGCAATGTGTATGTCATAATATTGCCTGATAATGATAAATTAAAGGACTGTGCAGTGCGACTTGCGTTAAGTACGGGTATGCTGGTGTGAATCTGGGCATCAGATACGGATCATGAATATACTTACTAGATATGCAAAGCGCATTGTAAGGTGCAAGTAAGAAAGTTACAAAATTAGTACCCATCATCATCGTTAAATTTTGTTCTTATTCGTCAGTGAATTTTTAGCGCGTGTGTAATACCAAACATACTGGACAAAAGCTGCCTGCTCTTCTATGAACTGCGATTTTTTCGAAGGCCGTACAAGTTACAATGTTATTTGACTAAAATATCACGAGATGGATGTCGAATCCGACAACCCATTTCAGCTTTGTGCGCTGGATTACGATATCGTTGAAATTGGCAATCAAGTGCGCGTACTGCACAACAACATGCCAAATGAGTATCTGTCTGACATAAGGTCATGGAAGTACCCATTTCTGGATGCTTTGGAAGTATGCGCAAATGACCCGCTGTACGGTTCGGACCACGATTCGTCAAAGCGCGTTTGCTGTCTGGAACATCTTCTGGATCGTTTATTTGCAGTGATCCAGTTTTCTGGAAGTGCCGCAGAAAAAACCCTTGCCGAACGTTCCAACCAGCTGACACCCACAATGCAAGGAAAACAAAGTGCAAGTGCGATCTGTCAGACATTCGAAATGATTTTAAAGAACTGCCAGCTGCATTCTGATGATACAACAGACAAGCGAAAAATCTCAGTATCCACGCAGCAAACTGAGGACAATGAAATTAGGAGCCGAAATCCATGCAGCCGCTGTTTGGAATTGTCAGTATTTCTTGATACCCTAGCAGGGCATCTTCGAGGGATCCTTGCTCAGTTTCCAGAATCGTATACGCAAGTAATTCCCGGTTGCAAGTTGCAAGACGAAACTGCAAGTTTGCGTTTCTTGGAATCCGTGATAATAACCCTTGCGAATATACGCCGGAGTACTGACACATTGGTGGTTTCGTCATGCACACTGCAGGACAAGGCTGCAGAATTAGATGCCGTTTTTTATGATCTTCAGAGCTCCTGTATCGGCTTTGCAAGCGAAATCGAAACACAGAATAACGAAGCCAAGCAAACAAATGCCGACAAGATGGCTTTCTCTTATGACCTTTCGCAGCTTTGCGCTGCAATTACATCCCTCAAGAGCTCTTTGAGTGTTGACAGAGAGCGCAACGAAAGGCTTTCCTTACAAATTATGAAAAAATCGGAAATCTTAACCCGGAAGCGCAGTCATTTTGCTGGTTTGGAGCAGAGCCTGTGCGCAGCCATGGAAGCACACAGAACCGAGCTGGCTGATTACGAGCAAAACTATGCCAATATTTGCTGTGAACTGGAGAAAGTTGGAAGTGCACTAGCGGAATTCGATGGATTCGGTAATAACCGAGTATGTTGCTATTAACACTTCCAATAAAAGTACGATTTGGCACGAATTACTGGCTTTTAAAAAGAATTTCGCCGTCCGTTCGTTGTGTTACGAACATAATTGCTGAATTTTAAATGTTACTTTTAGATAGGGATTGGTCCAGTAAAGCTGCTGTTTTTCAAAACCGAACCAAAGATGTCCGTGAAGAATGGCACTGCTTTCAAAAACAAATCTTGGAGCAAAGTCGTGAAATCGAGGCACTTCAGGCTGAAATTTTTAACAGCGCTTCACGGAAGAGCAAAATCAGTTTAGGCGAAGGTGAGCCGAGTGACCTTGGAAGAAGCCGGAGCGTGGACGTGCTGGAAGACTTCACAACCGAGACATTGCTGCACCTGGATCAAAACATGTGTGGAGATGTCGATCGACCAATAACAGAGTGCGGAACACACGTAACCACATCCGAACTTGCCGAAGAAAAGGGGATAAACACATCTCACCCAACTGACATTCACGCACTTTTTTCGGAGTTTCTGGAGATACCGGATGTGGGAAAACTGCCCGAATGGGATCTAGTGTCGGTCACTCCTGATTTCGGAATTGCCGAGCTTCCTGTAGTATTCCATTCCATACCTAATTCTGTCTCACAGAAAGAACGGCAGACACATCCGGCCACAGAAATCAAAAGGTGGTCGCCGAACGACGCAGCTAAAGTTTCTTTACGTCATATCTCGAAGTTTCCCATAAAATCAGACAAAGTTCTTGCTCGACAAAGCATTTCCACTTCTGGTGTCTTGGTCAGACCTGATGCTAAGCCTGCTGTTAAAATCGGTTTGCCTGGTTTGCAGCCTTCTGCACAGAAACTCCGCTGTATGGTTCCCCAAAAGCCAATGGAGTCGGCATGGATCATTTCAAAGCCCACACAACAAACAGTGAGAAAATGAACGGCTTGCAAATTGTGCACCGTATTCAACTGATCTGTGCCGGCGTTGCATTGCTGAAGTTTATTGCATCTTTAGAGATCCTGTGGATACTCGTAAATTCTGTGCAGCATATCTATGCGGTCTAAGCGTTCAAACTGTTTATAATTTCTTAAAGGTAGTTGTGATCACTTTTCGAACGTAGAAAACTCCAGTTGCATAGTGGGACTGTTAATAGTTTATTAGTCTGTAAAAGGTTCCGTAATTGTGGGTCCGTTTTCGGACCGCAACACGATGGCTTCGAAGGTGTGCTATGGTATGTATCACTGGGTATGTATTATTATACTACTCTGTATTTTTGTATTTTAAAAAGTTCGTAAACCTAAAACAGAACCTGTTTCTTTTGCCCTGTGTTGGGCATAAAGGCGAAATGCAAGCATTCAGTTTGCGATATTCGTCATTCTGTAAAAACTGGTAAGCAACTCCCGGCACTTTATACTATGCTGACAGTAATCGATCATTATCTGCAGTTTCACAATACGTCGTAATTATAAAATGCAGACATTTCATCGAAGCTGCCTTCTCGCTGTCGATCATAACGTGCTCTATTCATTTCGTACCAGCTGACGGCCTCACTTCCTGGGTAGACGTGTGGCGGAATGTGTGGCTTAGGTTCAAAAACATTCCATTGGCACAGGGCAACGGATACGCTAAAGGTCGCTAGTAGCAGCACCGGTAACCATCGTTGCATATTTGTGCTCCTCGATCCTAATACTATTTTATACAAAATTAGCAGCCAAAACCACTGTGTTGCTTTAACTCCTAACTGATTAATGTTATGGATTTACAGCACTCGTGCACACAAGTGGTTGAAAACAGGGAAAGCTTACAGTACTTTTAATTCGGAGAACATGCTCCCCAAGTTGCACACGTTTAGGCCTAGGCAACTGTTGTTGCATCGCCTCGTCCCTAATATGATTGCAAGGGCTCCCTGACACTTCGGCCGCCTGACACTTCGGCCGCCCGACATTTCGGTCGCATGACATTTCGGCCGCCCGTTCAGTTCGGGTGTAAAAAAACCTAATAATCCTAAGAAAACCAAAAAAATGTAAGAAGACCTAAAAAAACCAAAAAGCCTAAGAATAATCTAAGAAACCTAAGAAAACCAAAGAATAACCTCAGAAACCTAAGAATCCTAAGAAAACCTAAGAAAACCAAAAAAATGTAAGAAGACCTAATAAACCATAAAACATAAGAATAACATAAGAAACCTAAGAAAGCCTAAGAATCCTAAGAAAACCAAAAAAATGTAAGAAGACCTAAGAAACCAAAAAAACCTAAGAATAACCTAAGAAACCAAGAAAACCTTAGAAACCTAAGAAAAACAAAAAGTATTAGGCGGCCGAAATGTCAGGCGGCCGAACTGTCAGGCGGCCGAAATGTCATGCGGCCGAAATGGCAGGATACCATTGCAAGGATTTGATCAGATTTTCAATATGCGTACATGATAATATGAGAACTCCCCAGGTGCGACATCCAGAACGTAATTCCTTCTTCACACTCGGAATCAGAACCGTCAGAGAATATCAGGCTAAAATATGTCTGTAGAAACCCGTGATGCACAAAATTCGAGTGCCTCCCTTATAAGCATTTGGCCGGAATGGTCTGAGCAGGATATTTTAGGGGAAAAATGGGACGCCCAAGGAATACTGTCGCAAAGTGCAAAAAGTGCAAAAGACCCGAAAGGTCGCAGTGCCTCATTCGAAGATCCTGATGGACGGACGCGTTTGCCGCAAAGTCTTATGTCTGTCGTTCGCGACTGGAAGCGACCCCAGGAACTGTTCGGAGAAAATTTGTGTGTTGTTCGCAATGTGAACTACATCAACCTTAAGGATGCCAATTCCCATCTCATGCGCAGTGAATTAATACGGCATTTCATCAGCTATGTCACGTTCATCTGGTTCAGTGCACAGAGAAAGAAAATTCACAAAGGATCTGTGACATCTTCAGTGCAGGCTCATCCGGTTCTCGGGCCGTTCTCAGTGGCTGTAAGCGATGCACCTGCTAAAAGTGCAGTGGGAGGCCATAAAGAATCTAAAGTTAATCTAAGCGCAAAAGATATGATGTCTGCAAAAAGCTCTCAGCCGGATTTCGCGGTGGGTCGCCCAGCTTGCTTTGAAACTGAGCCAATGGCTGATTGGGCGCCTTGGAATTTAATTTTCGGTGGCCCGATGGTGGCCGGAAAGACGACAGTCAAAGGGGACGCCGGGCAGACTTTGCCTCAGTACAAGTATGCTGTAAGTTGCGCAAGCAAAGTTAACTTTAACTGTGAGCAAGGTGCGATACTACGTATGGTAGGGATAATCATAAACATTTATATTTCTCTCTTAGTCCCAATGGAAAGTACGCGGTGCGACTATTCTGGATGGGAACGTGGCGTAAAATAAGTGTCGATGATCAGATACCAGTGGATGAAAATAATCACAGTCTGCTACCGATTTGCTCAGAACCCACGGAAATCTGGCCAGTTATTTTGTCCAAAGCCGTATTGAAAATTGCCGCCTTAGATTTTGGAGGAGGATTATCTAGTTCCGAATTTGGCGATCCGGCTTTTATACTGCATGTTCTAACTGGATGGGTTCCATACGTTATCTATCTGGATAATCCAAAATTTACAAAAAAATTCATGTGGAATAAGTTGCAAGCGTACGTAAGCAACAGCTTCGGTTTTCATGGTACTTTATATTTTGCGGTTGTGCAAATAGATTTGGGGTGGTGTGTTTGTAGCTTGCTTGCTGTTAACCGGAAATCTCCACCCGAGGATATCCTGTCCGCATTAGCAGTAAACTGGGACATTCGAACTATACCAGCAGTTCGAGAATGGAAGCTAGAGAATCACCCAAATAACTTGCAGAAAATTGATATCTTGCGAATGGAGCGAGCAAATGCGGCAAACAACCTCTCATCTGCTGCTACGGCTATGGCTAGCGCTCCGGTATCCAGCCAGTCGACCGCAAACTCACTTGCTCCCAAAGCTGCTGCCCGAGGAGCAAGCGCTGTACCGCGCAAACCAGACGCAGCGTCTCCAAGTTCCCTAGTCATTCCACAGAATCCTGTACACAGTGCAGAAACACCAAAACTTGCGAAACAGCGAAAGATGCCGGAAATATTTTTAATGGCAACGTACCGCAGTGCTCATCATGACCAGCCGATATTCGACAGAAATATACCTTCGCGTTCCGAAAACCTGTACAACAATGGATTTCTCCGGAGCGAATCGCACCCTGTTTTCTTACGACGAATGCGGGATGTCTATCCCAGGCGGTTAGCCATCGCGGTCATTCCACGCTACAAAATGGTACGCCCACTCAAGGTGGCAGCCCATCGGTACACGACAAAAGCAGACGGCGCCCGATTGGCCAGGTCGCATCCAGTTCGCTATATCGAATTCTTATCTTTATTTTGGAGGGAAAACGGTCGGCTAGTCCATCAGACCCCGATCCGGGCAGAGAAACTCGTAAAGAAAGTGATAGCATCGCCGGAAACTGAGATCAGATTTAAACCGACTGACGGATATCAACAACTGCTGCCACCGTTACCAGAGGACGCTGCGTATCCACGGGTCAAGAAAAAAGTAATTCCTGTAGAGCCTCCTCCGCCGCCACCGCCTTCACCACCTCCAACACCCGTTCACGGCGAGAAACCGGGGAAAGGAAAGGGCGGAGAAGCCGGCAAAGGAGCAGCGGTTCCTGTTCTTGAGTTACAATCCCCACCACCACCAATTCGTCCACCGGCGGGAAACGCCGAGGAACTACAACGTTCCACAAGACTGTCATTCGGATCCATAGAATTTAATCAGTTTATTGACAGCCTGGAGCAACTGTACATTTTATTCAAGCCAGAATCGTTCGATCACGTGGCCTCCTTCAGCTACTATCAGCCCAATGTTGTGGATGGCCGGGTGGCCGTAACGAAGAAGAAAGGCGGAGCAGAACCAGCTGTACAGCATAGTGTGAATAATGTGGAGACAACGCGTGCCACCCCCAAGCAGGTCGTAAACAGTGTACAAACAAAGTATGGAAAAACCTTGCTAGAACTGCCGTCAGTATTTCTGTTCGTGGATAATCCTTATCCCACCAATGTTATTTTGTGCGTATCGACGGTATCGCGATGGCCGTACGCGCCTCGAAACAGCGACTTCAAATCACAGGATCGTTTAAGTGTGGTGATGGATTCCGACGACGCGAGAAGTAAGCACACCTCCAACAATCATCTACCGGCAAAAACACCTTGTTCACTGTAGCATCGTTATTTGCTAGCACCAGCTGCGGAAAAGCCATATCCAGTTATTGTTACTGCAAAGCGGCATAGCTGGTTGGATTACAGCGTTCAACCCGCCCTTTTTACTGTAAAGACGTCATCGGTTCAGGGTGTGTGCTACCACATACCTGCTGGGAAACATGTTTGGCGCCTAAGTGTATCGTGCCCTAATAGAAAAGAATCAGAGCCGCAAGGGTTTGTCATCAAGGCGATCAGCAAAGATCCTGTGCAAATTGGTGCTGAAGAACATATTCTAAAGGTCTTACTGAAAACTTCCTTATCTTATAAACATAAAAAGAACCACAAAAAATATCGATGACAAATAGGTCTATAAGTACAAATTATTACTATTATTTATGACATACAACCCGGATAACTTTGAAACTACTGGCTAGATGTTAACGTTGTGCATACTATCTTTGCAGATGACTGGCGCCGATTCATACTATTTTACGGTAATGGCTAAAAGAATATTGGCACCACTTCTCAAATGGTGGCGCATTAATGGGACTCCGACATTTGCACATCCACCTCACCATGAAATCATTAAACTGCTTGGGCTGGAAGAGGATGCTCCTGACAAGAATTCTCGTGGGGTATTTTTAGAAGCTATGCTTCGAGGAATATATAACGCAATCCAACAAAATCTCAAGGATTTTTGCCATCCGAAAGCCTCGATGGCGCTCAGGGCCTTTTTTAGCGACATCACTACTACTAGCATGTTAAAATTCACTAGCATCCATCTAATAAAGCGTGACTCAAAAGGTTAGCCATGATGACCCTTTGCGGTGTGCAAATACAACCTGTGCCTCAAATTATTTAGGCAACGCCCCAATCCCGCTGTCCAAGGCCGACACCCATGGCGGTCGTGCAACCGAAACTATGAAACGAGGTAAGCAAAAGAATGCTGATTCCTCCAGAGAAACCAAGACCAACCCGGTGGCACCGTCCAGCCTACAAGTGGAAAAAGATGTTCCAAAAAGCGCAAAATCCGTTAAACAGCCGCCTGCAGCAGATCTCACTATAAAATTTAAAAACACACCCGAAGCTCAAAAGGCGGTGATTATGTGGGAAATGTACTTTTTCTCCATTCGAGCTAAAGCTGTTCGAGAGGCGCGCCGTTCTGGGAGTAAAAAGAAAGACGCAGTTTTGAAAATTTGCCAGGTAGAGAGAGTGAAGCATGCTATTTCACCCCTTTGTAATCTGATATCATTCCTAACAGGAAATGCTGGAAGCCATTACCAAAATGGAGGGAAATTTTTCTGCCTGTTTTCTACGTGGGCTGTGCCGAAACTTACCTGGGGACTGGCTTGACACCGAGTTCTTCATCAGCCGAGAGAATCGCTGTGTATATAAAGATGTCTCTGGGATGTTTGCTGAATTCCTACCAAACTCCTGGCGGCTAATATTTCGGGAAACGTTTAGCGTCAGCGAGCCGGTTTTAATGAATTTCCGATTATCCATAAGTTTGAATTGCTGCCGTCTATTTGTTGTGAATAACGATACCGGTAAGCGAAAAAATTACAGATGTAGATGTATTGTATGTAGGTACAGTGCTTACTGTACTATACCGTGCTTTAGAATTGTCAACAAAACAGTTTCTGTGGCTCTTATTAGGTGAAGCAGTCCCTTCGGTACTTTTTCAACCCCTGCCATGCCTGTATCACCCAAACGAAGCAGGTTATACGGTTGTCGCTGAAGCCAAATCTGGCCGTTCTCCATGGCGAGGAGGATCTTGGACACTGCGAGTGATTGTTGGTCTGGACCCCTTAAAGCATGAAAGCGCCCAAGCGGATATGTTGCTGCCTAAATTTTCCAGTGCAGCACCACCGGTTGTTTTTCTTACAAAAGAGATCAGGTAATGTAAATCACGAAACAGCCTTTTCTTGTTATTTCTGCAGTCGCTTAATGGCGGTTTCTGGCAGTGACTACTTTCTGCCAGAGGTCAACAGTAGCACAATCGCCAGAGTTGTGATAAAAACCAAAACGCCATCGAATTGCACAATCAGTTTCACCACATCGGATCCGGAAGTACTTATGGAGGTTCTAATAATACGGAAGCAGGTGGTGATGCACCGTGTAAGTATTCTGAACCGGCATATGTGCTACATCAGTTTCCCTATTCCAAAAGATTGTTGCGTTATAGGAATGGGGACGAGGTTTATGTATTGTGCCTTCGTATTACTTCAAGGAGGACAGCCAAAGCGAGCCGTACTTCCTACAGGCTAATGTGTTAGAGAATTCCTGGATACTATCTGCAGAAGACAGGAAGTTTTGCTACAGTGAACTATTAAAGCGCTCCACTGTAGAATACGGCCGAGAAACTCCCATCCCCATCCCCATCATATCCCCAGCAAAATCAGCCAAGGAGACGCCAGGAAAGAAAGGCAAAGGAAAAGACAAGGATAAACTGGAGGATAAGTTGGAAATTAAAGATGCCATGGATAGTGCTCGAAGCAATAGAACAAAAGATACTAAAGAGAAAGATAAACCAACAGTTTTGGATACCAGTCGCCCATACTGGGCGGTCAGGTTTGTATTGGACGCTAACGATGCGGATTTCGAATGTAAGCGGGATACGGAGAAAGACGACTCGTTGAAAGCGATGCTTACCGCCGCTATGGCCGGCGACTCTACGATTCTTCAACGAGGAAAGAACTTCCGGGATGATTACCTGAAGAGAGCAGCAACAAATGGCTTTATTGCACCAGATGCACATGAGTATGCGGACTGGAGTACAAACTGGCCGCGGCCTACAGGAAACTGCTTGGCATCGTTCGATTGGTCCGCATTTGTTCGACGAGGATCAGGTGAATCATCGATGGAGTATGATTCGTGTACGCACGAGCAACGCATTGCGGAACTAAGAGGACGTTACGAAGCTGCCGTAAGTACCAGGAACGAGTGGATAGCAACAGAAAGGAGGAATCGCGATGAGCAGATAGCCAGCCAGGTTCAAATGCACAAAAGCTTGCTGGAAAACGTTGTTGCGAGAAGACTGCAGTATATGGACAAGAGGGAGACGTTAAGTAAGCTTCTGGACGAGCAGGAGGGACGAACCGGGATTGTTGCGCCACCAGAGCTTCCGACGAAGACCGTCGAAAAGAAAAAGAAAAAGTAAAACTACCTGAATTTTTAAAAAGCTTGGTTTCGGGTTTGGAAATTCGCGCCATTATAATTAATGGTTCGCAATCCGGAGCACATATGCAAATGTAAAATGTTACTGTATCCGCAAATAATTAGTACACCGGCTTTCGTGACATATCTTGTTATTAAGCACTGTTACGTTCGCGAAGTTGTTATATTTACATTGCACGATAATGATAATATCTAGCGGTGCTTGTACGTTTTCCGTTTACAATGAGCAGTAGCAACAAACTATAATGAACTCATGGCCAATGTGGTTTGCCTTACATGACCTTGCGCTTTGCCCGGGAGTAGTTCAGACCCAAAACAATAGAGCACTTATGGAAATGTATGTTCCTATTGAATTATTCTGAAATAACCAAATTCTAGTTTTGTAATAAGCACACTCGAATTTTGTGGTATTGCGATATACTCGTGGAGTACTCGTAAAGTCGTAATCAACACTGAAATACTAAACCAAACATGGAAAGTACAATACCAGCCTCAGTTTCCGGAGAGACATCGCCCCAGTCGCTGCCAGCCCCTCCCGAGCGTGTAGATCTAGTCAGCAGTCATAAGTCCCTAAATGATGTTTTCAGAGACTTTAGTCCGGAATCATTGATCCGTGCACCTTACAGAAATCTATCGATACTGTTTTTCAGTAGTTGTTCACGCCGCACACCTACCCCAGGATATCCATAACACCGCAAGAACTCTTGGATTTTCCACTGGTCAGACACTGTCCACAACCGCAGCGGCAGTTAGCTAACCGCTTTCAAATCATCCACAATGTTGTGCCGCAAGGAAAACGTACCAGGCTGCAGCTTAGAAAAGTTCAACAAGTCACTGATACTGTGTACCACTGCCTCTTAGAACAAGAGGAGCCGATAGCGGTGCGGCATTCCATAGTTTATTGTACCATTTACTCCACCAAATGCAGTATGTGTGTGTTTTCAGCAGCCGGAAGTTAAAAAGTTTTATCAACTTTAGTACAGTAATTATCGCCTTACTTGTATCGATATATATACCTACGTTAAGTAGTTTTATTATACAGTCTGTTAGTACTAAATAATAGTTAAAACGAATTATCCAGCGCACACGTTAGCATAATGAATATGCCCTTAGCCGATGTTTCTCATGGCGGCCAGAAAACGTGAAGAGTTTGGGATCGTTTATTGGGACTTTTGGTTGGATAATAATATTTATCGAATGCAGCGCACTGATAGCTCGTACGCCGGCACCATGAAGTAAGGTGTCAGCTTAGTGTACTTACCATGGTTATGAAGCCGTTCTTGATAACTCCTGCATAAAAGTTTTCAAGTCGGTAGCCCATTTGTTGCTCGTAAAAAACAATTGTTATCGTAGTCTAAGCTGTACGCAAATTCGTTTTTCCAAACAGCAAATCAACTAAAGAATAATTTGTTGTTTAAGGTATGAATGCCGCTGCTTCTGCTTTATTTTGGTAACTTTTAGTAGTACAAAGTACAAGCCGCACATACGATTTCTTGTAAATTACAGATCGATGCCATTTGAGGACTTCTATCTTCTTCACGCTGAATCCGAATCGAAGCAAGAAATTTATAAAGAAGTTTTGGCGGTGACCTTTGTACGCAGTATAATTTCAGACTCACCATAAGGAAACTGTTCGGATGTATTGTTGCAAAGCAGAAATTGTTTAGGATGTCATTCACTTAAGCCATAACTTTTGCAGACCTTGCAACAACCAGGGCCGAACGAAGCTGCTGTATGGCACGACCTAATCTCATTGTTACCCGGGGTTCTATCTGAAGGAAACGTTGTTGCATCATACGTGCCACTTCGGGTAAACAATCGGCATGATAACAGCATAACCGAAAATGCAAAATAAGGGGTACTGTTTTAGCCGAACGAAAAATTATTTTCCCGGTGGCAACGCCGAAGAGAGCCGGAGACACCTTTATCCGGCTTAACAATTTTGGCAAATAGTCAAGCATTTACAACAATTGGTATTGGTATTTACAATTGGTATTTTAATTAATGACGTTTTAAAGAAAAATTTAATATAACAAAAGCCGAAATAACGTTTTTTCCAGACACCGGAACTCCTGTTTTGAATTTCCAACACAAAAAAAGATCAGCAAGAAAATCTTTTTTCTTTCTGACGGCAAAAAAGCAGGTCACGGGAAATCTTACTGAAGGTATTTCTCATACTAATACAGCAGTAATTAACGTCATTTTTAACTTTTTTCATGATATTTTGTTAAATTCCTTCGTGGTATCTTGCTTACATAGGATTTTTTAAGAGATAATTATTTTCACATAATATAGTCTTGCAACTCGTACGACACTGGTATAATGCCGTCAAGCGTGAGAACGAAGCAAGCCCGTGTTTTTATACTGAAAACATATGAGGGTTCTGCTAAGACGGGGAGGGGAGTACCCGTAACCTTTCGATCCAAAATTGATAGTACTCGTATTTTCAACGTTTATGTCATTGGATTGACAGACCTCGATGTCACGGTGGTGCTGAACATCGAACGGCAGAGCAGAACCGTGGTCATCCTAGACTTCACTTTTCCCCTGACGGCTTACTCAGCACTCGCGGTTTCTTTGGCTGCTTTGGACGGTAAAGCTGCTACGGATTTCATTGATACTGCCAAAAGGAGCGTTGACAGCTTCGAAGGTGACCAAATTATGGAATATATTAAGCCTTAATGCAAAGCTCGGCACCTGTCAGATGGTTCTTTGCTGACGGACGTCCAGCGTCAACAAACCGCAAAGGTTACATCAAACGTTTTACGGAACAAATTCCCTTGCATTTGAATTAATATTCTTTGATTAACCACAATTCTTAGTATTTTTGCCTCAATTTCTGGTGTGACAGTACAAGAAAATAAATGACTTTCAGTGAGTCGTCGTTTATTCAGTCCTCATCACTACTGCTGGAGTGTGCTTCCTTCGCAGAGGCAAAATCCGCTACTGCTGCACGCTTCTGCACCAGCACATCATTATTCAAATCATTCTTACCGCTTCCTTGTTTAAATGAGACCAATTTAAAATCACTGGGCAGCTTAGCCTCCGTTTCGGCATTCATGGGGGTATACATGATGTCAGTTTTTGGTCGCTTCTCTGTAATCCAGTCATCCTGGTCCAGAGCAGTTGCCGTTTCCTCTTTGTCCTTTTCATCCTGCAAGGAGTTGATTCCACTGATCGCGCTTTGTAGAATGCTTGCTGCAGCAAGTGCCTGTTGAACTTGTGGCAGAACAGTTTTGCCTGATGCAGCATATCGCAGTTCGACAGAAACTGATGTGGAGCTCGGATGCTCTGTCATGGCAGCAGTACCCGGTAGTATCTTTCTGGCGCCATCGGCTGCTTTTGGTAAGTTTTGTTCAACTTTTCTGACTCCGTCGTTTGGGAGCATTCCCTCTCGGTGTCTGCGCGGTATAGGTTCTTCTAGTTCTGCCTGCTTCTCATAAATGTACGGTGAATGCCAAATATTTTCTGTAACCATACGGTAGCATTCACGTGGGCGGTCTTTTCTCCAGACTTCAACTTCTCTGCGTCGTTGCTCCCATTTATCATTAATCTCACGGTACTTTTTCTTCTCATCGTCGCGCATTATATCACCACTAATCTGCTTCCGCCAGGCCGCCGCCGCAATAGCCACATTCCCACCGCTTTCCACGAGGTTTTCATATAATTTGTTTAAGGTCACCTCGCGCTTTGCCATGATTTCCCTTTTATAATCGTCGTCCAGCGCTTTTTCTTCCAACTGTCGTGTTAGTTGGAGTGATTTGGTAATGCTGTCGTGAAAATAACTTAGCTCCTGTTCCCATACACTAATAAAAAACGACCGAATTTTCGGCCCCAGTTGCATTTCTTTTTCTTGGCGCCACTGTCGGAATTCAGTCATTTTTGCTTCGTAGATCTCCATTGCAGCATCGTATTCCGCCTCGATGGCTAGAAGCTGCTGCTTGGTGTCCTTCTCGCTTTTACTACTTTCGGCATTTGCATTGGCACTGGCACCTCGTTTGAGGTCCTTCCCCGCTATGCTCGATTTAGCTGAGCTGACACCGGATTTGGATGGTCGATTGACGGCAAGCGCTGTCTTTTCTCCACTATCTCGTGCGCTTCTTGTCTTAACATTGCTGCTTTGCTCATCCAGTCCAGTATCTGGTGTTCGCAGTTTCTTACCTTTTGAACCAGATTTCACCGACGCTGCAGTATCGTCCACTCGGATCTTTTCTCTGGCCTTTTGTAATTCTACTGGCACTGCTGGTTCTTCCGGAGTCAGCTGCGCGGCGTATTTTTCAAAGTGTCCATACAAATCCCTGGCGTAAACAGTAGTTTTCTCCACAATAGTTTCCAATGTGGCTAAAATCAGTTGTTCGATCTCTTCATCGCGGTTAAAGTTTAGTTTGCATCTGGGCTTTAGATGTATCAATGTCTGCTGCACTTTCATTATCTCGCGTATCAAAGCCAGCTTGACAAAAATGTTGTGACTGGATGATTTATGGATGTGCTCTTTCAGTGTCTTGATACGGTAATCCCAGGTAGGGACGACCGGCTTCGGAGTGTTAGGGTTACTGTGCTTGTTTAAAGCATAAGTGACAGCCGTTTTGATCCACTCTTGGTCCATCCAAAACTGTCGCCAGCGTTCATCGACTAGGGCATCTAGTGCAAGTTTCTCTGGATCCGGAGGTGGTGGTGGGTCCTGTGGTGCATTAAAGGTCCGCATCGTTAAGCTAAAAGCAGGTGGCTTGGTAGCCTCTGCTTTGCGCTGAATTACAGCTCGCTGAGGGTTGCTTTTTTCATCATTGACCAACTGCACGGGAGCCCATTCTGAGTCCGGTTCGGACAATCTGGATTGTTGTGGCTTTTCTGGTTTCGAATAGCCGGTGTCCGTAGTTATTCTTTGGGGAAGTTGCTCATTTTCCGTCTTTTCGGTCACAGTAGATCCATTTATACTGAAACGAGGCGGTTCGGAAACAAATTGTGGGGGCGGTTTTCGAATCAAGTGTCGATCTGCATCGGCTGCGATCGGAGTGACATTGACATGAATCTTTCTATCATCCGGCTTTGAGGCAGAATCTGAGGAAATTCGGGGTAATTGTTGAAAAAACGGCGGCACTTCGGTAACAGTTTCGTTTACCTGGAAGCGGAAAATCTTTGTCATGAACATCACATTTAAAAATTTCATGTGGGTCTTTCCAGTAGACGAATTCGGTAGATGAAGGTGTTTTATTGTAGAGATAAGCCGGTGGATTGGTTGTCTGCGATAATGAAGACGTTGCATGAGCTGCAGCCAGTTCATCCAGCATGACCTTTGTAACTTCACCGGGATGGCGGTTTCTGTGTGCGATTTCTGTTTCGATCAAGCACTGGTACCATGGAATACTATCAGGGTGCAGATGAATGAAAATCCATATATACAGTAGTTTCGTCACTGGCTCCGCTTGATATTCCAGATTGTTTTCGCTCATAAAGATTTCCTCTAGTGTAGTGAGTTTCGGTGCTTCCGTTGATTCAACGGTATGAAGCAGATTTCTGAGACGATGCTCGACTTCGAGCGACGATGCCATAATGTCCATATTCGTAGCACTGTTGAGGCAAGTTTCGTTTTCATCCTTCTCCTGTCCGGTGTTTTCAGTTCTTCCTTCACTAGTGCCATTTACAACAATGACAATGTTATCAGGTTTCGTTCCTTTAGGTAATAACCACATTTTGTATGATTCAGCGAAATTTCCATATGCGTGGCTCTCGTAAACAGCTGTCAGAATATGGACATTGCCTTCTTCCAGTACTCCTTCTGGCTGGAGAAAGTAGATCAAGCCATACTTTTCAGTTGGCCAAAGAGGTTCAGGATAGTCGTACGGCGAAAGGCCAAAAGATAACGCTTCTGGTCCAGGGTTGGTCAACGTCAAGCTGGCCATGGCTGATGTGCCCTTTGGCTTTGCATGCAGCTGGATAAAGATACTAACTCCTTCCGGTTTGCTGTATATAGTAACGTTGTCGTCATCGAATGTCCGGATCTGCAACACCGGACGTGCTGTCGGAACATTGGCTCGGATGGAACATTCTTCGTCGAGCACCTTGGTGTCATGTACCGAAAAAATGTCGCGCGTTGTTGGTATAGGGGATGCAAGATCAGCCGATAGGAGATCGATTTGAGGGCCCATTGCGCAAGATTGTTCTCCACTCGGCAAACGAGATGAGCTAGGTGCGTTTGTGCCTTCAACCAACAAATTATCGAAGCTCGGCTGCCGCATTCCAGGCGGTAGTGCTTTCTTGGAAGCCATCGCTAAACATTGACGATACCTTTCAGTGATAAGTTGTTGTTTCCCATTGCATTGTGCTGAAGCCGAACCAGTAAGAACTTTCAGACTCCTGGGCTTTCCTGTGAAAGAAAGGTTTTCATATGGCGGATTTTTCAGTAGATCAGGTATCACTTTATCCATGCCACCTACAGGACGTAGTCCAGGACCGGAAGTTTCGTACACTGAGCGCGGACCCGCTTGGACTTCGTTCAGCGCGTCGCGTTCTTTCTTAAAACGAAAATTGTCGACATCGCTCAGCACTAAGTCCTTGACCGGGCGATTCAGTCTTTTGGCTAAACCATTTGCCATCTCTCGACGCTGGCAAGCAATACGTTCAAATTTAACCAAACATCGCGACGAAGCGTCATGTACTTCGGTTTTCTTGCGCTGATCGATTATCCGGTTCTCAAATAACGGTACGACATGTTGGAAGGTCTTTGCCAATGGACTCACCAAATCAGTTGATTTGCTTTGCTTTTGACAGCTCCCCTCTGGGTAGTTATGTATGTTTCCTAAGACGGTTGACGGAATTAGGTGATTGCTGTCGGTCAGTGCAGGACCTAACTTCTGGAAAGACCACTTGTCAGCAGGCGGGGCTCGCAGGCTTAACGGGGACCGCTTTTGGATGGCAATCGGTAGAGGCTTAGGTTGAGCGACAATGACCCTTTTGGGTTTTGTAGTAAAAGTTTCAGTAAATGTAGGGATCGCAGCGATCTTGGTTCCCATCTGCGTGTTATTGGCCAGTCCGTCCCACGATTGCACATTTCTGAGATCATGCAGTTGTTTCGATATATGTCGTAACAGAGGTGTTCCGGCAGCAGGCTTGATCGATTTTAGTAACGTCTTCTCTAATGCTGGAGATGTTGAAAATGGTATTCCTTTGACAGCGGGTGTATTTGTCATTCTTCACACTATATCTGACAATAAGGAGGCTGCATATTCACCCAGCAAAAGAAGCGAATACCAAAATATTTTCATCGACTATTTCTGGAATTATAATATTAGCAGAGATAAACTTTTCCAATGTTTGAATCAAAGATTTATGGGTACTCGTACATTAATAACACTTTCAACTCTTTTGATGTGACGACTGCATTACCATCCACATACGCAATCTCGCATAATTTGTGCGAACCCGGACGATCACTACTGAAAACGATGGTAGGTAAATAAAAAAAAACAAAAATGCTATAATAAAAATATTATAATGATCAAATCAGTAGTACGGATCGCATTTTTAACTAACGTTCGGCTGTTTAATTTACTCGTGTACTCGTGGCTTAAGGATCTGGAGAGCCCTACGCACTAGGTACATCGCACGCGGTTCTACGTAAACCTATCTCTACGGCACATCTTGGGCTGTGTTTGTGTTGCCTGGCAACGGCTGCAATGCCAATAAAACGGCTTCCCAGGACATGGGTGATGTCTCGCGTTTGGTTTCCTCGGGTAAACATAATGATGTCATCTGGCTACATATGTCCAGGTAATGAAATGTGAGTAAGGACTAAGGAGCCGATCGAAAGGACCATATGAGGGCGAGGAGGCAATGGCACAAACGGGCAAACCGCCTACGAATGGCTTGATTTCAGAAGGTATGGCGAAATATCTCTGAATTTATCTTTCGAAAGCCAGGCACTCATTCCTGTTCAGATTTTTCACAGCAAGTACTTTTATAAACAGAGAACTGAGCAAGTGAAACCGTCCTTTGCTTCGTATAAATATCGTAATATTGTTGACAGCTTTATCGCCGTCAATTAGAACGTGACACGGTTTTCAGCAGATATGAAATTTGTTTACGTATTCTAAGGGTGACACTATAGGCACCCCAAAAACCCTCGTTTACTATAGGAACCCCTTTTCCGCACCCCGTTAATTAAAGGCACCCTTATCTTATTAATTGATTCTTTCGTGCACCCTGTTTTTTATAGGCACCCCTATGACAGACGCACTGCAGTAATTTTGTTTTGTAATTTTCTGCTCTAATAATGTCCTCCAGTTCCCCACCTACACCAAATCAGACAGATATTAATTGTCGCTTAACGTACCCTGTAGTAGACCCTGAGAATGACCTGGTTGATCTATATGCAACCTTTGACAAATTCGAAGAAGCATTAAGATCTACCAAACAAAGACGTTCCAGACATCTGTTATCCGTCGGTGACGGTCGGTCAGAATTCCGGACATTCGTTATCCGAATGGTATATGATGTTGGAAATACAAGACCTAATCGATTACATGACCAAAAACTGGTTCGACTGCCGGCATATGTGGAGTTTGGCGTACAGACACGGCTTCCGTTTGTTGGGGAATAACACTAATAACTTCGTGGAAGCATTTTTTCGGACAGTGAAAGCTTTCAAAATTACCGCCGACGATGCCATCCTCATTAGATCCAAGTTAGCAGGTTAGCCTCACCACCCGATCATCGGATGGAAAGTCTGATTCTGTCTGTATGCGAGTATCTGTATGAGACTGACGCACGTACATGAAATCATTTTCGAATTCTGTATCCGAAATAAGCTATTAAAGGGTGCCCATAAAATACACTGACAGGGTGTTTCTATTTAATAAACAGCAAAGGGTGTCTATAAATTACGGGGTGCAAAAGGGGTGCCTATAATAAACGAGGGTGTAAGGGAGTGTCTATAGTGATTTCCTTATTTTAATTGCCCCTTTCCACAACGGTAGCATTCTTCAACTGGATATTACTCGGACTGCTTACGTAGAGAGAGGATTCGGTGTAGATTCGCACACGCTTATTTTTTGCCCGCCTGAACATTATTGCTGGAGCTTAATTAGCAGCAAAGTGTTGTTAAAGGCAATCAAAACTTTTTTTTATTAATTTTGTCGTGAGGTTCTGAGATTTTTGGATAGCTTTTCGTTTTCCTGATTATATAATATCAGCAAAACATCTTGCAGAACGATATGTTTTACGCATTGTACCAGCGCACGTGGGGGCTGACCGTTTCTTAATTAAATGTTGAAAAGCTGCAGCATTTACCACTTAGTGCCGGACAATAATTACATATTAGTATTTGACTGCTTCGGTGAATGTAAACCTTAATTCTCCAATTGACAAATCGATTGTTCCTGACATTCGGTGCAATTTTAGATTCCGACATCGAAAATGTGGGGTTATCGGGATCACAGCTGTTCAGTTTTGACGGTGGCGACATCGACGAAGACAAATGTTTTGTCTCTGGATCGGACGAGCTACTTACACGCTTGTCATACGATGTCTACAGCCTGCGGTCATGCGATGCGGATGTCTACGACAAGGTTGCCATTGTCCTGCACGATATGGCAGGTGTCGAAATTCCTCCTTTCGTGCTCCAAATTCTCAAGATTTCCCGGCAAGATGCCATTGAACGAAATTTTGATCGTGCGCAGCGACTGAACTTCGAAATTGATAATAAAATCCTCAAATGCCTCCAAGCCATGCATCGAGCCCAAATGTGTGATCGAGTGCGCGGGTTCGACAGCAAGCTGGGTAAAGTCCTTAGCATTATTTACCGGCATTTTACTGACGGTGCCAGAGAAATTTCCGAAGAAGCTGTGGAGGACTTAATCCCGGATTGGCCAAATACTGTTTGTATGTTGCCGGCAAAGGAGTTCGTTCCCTTCACATCCTTCGATGACAAGAAACAGAAGCTGCGCACGGATCTGCAACCGCAACAATTATCTAAACTCTCCTTGCGGTTTGAAAACTTTGTCCCACGAAAAGACAGCGGTACAATTAGTCACGCCGGCACCGAAAACAGCGTTGTACCTACCAGCAGTCGCACCAGGAATGCGGCGGTGACAGGTGATGCAGTTGTTCCAGAGGAGGTGAATTTGTCAGCACTGGCAAAAAAGGAGGGGGTAGAATACGGAATGATGTTCGATTTTTATGCTCCAGAAAAGAGAATTTTTAGTGTTTACATGCATCCCAATATGGATTATACAACGGAACCGAAGGAAACCCCGGTTGATCCCGACAATGTTGCTGTAATTGAGGAGAAAGATCCGGATAACCCCAGTCCCCTATGGAAGCAAGTGAAGCGAGCTGCTACTCACATCACACGATCGTTGCGGGGTAATCCAAAATATTTTGTTAGTCCGCAAGATTTGCAGACGTAAAACGGTCCTCTACTGTTGTTCATTTAAGCCTTCTTTTCGAAGAGCGTATTCGGGGAATCACGTTTACATTTTTCATATTTAATCGTTACTGAACTGCAGTACTGTATTGTTGATCATGTTTTGTTCATGTTTGTTTGGTACTGGGGACTGTGCATAAATACTGCATGATTGTTTTCATAAAAGCAGGACCGACACCAGGGAGTCGGTCCTGATTCAAATGAAGCTGAAGGGAAAAGCGGTAAACCTGTTAGGAAAACGGCCATTTATTCGTACATTGGTAAGAAACTAATGAGATCACTTGCAAGCGAAGACTACTCTTACCAACCTCTTGACAGCTTTGCCTTTCCCACTGAAGTGCAGTAGTACTTAGTATAACTTGAGGCTTTCCGCAAACTTTGTTACAGCATAAGTTAAGACGACCATCTTATGGATAGTGGTATAAGTGTGGAAGTCCGTATGCGGTATGCCGAAACCGGCCAATCAGTTTTTTATCGGTTCCGTTTTTTTTCTGCAGTGGTACTTTCGTAAAATTTTTCATTACTGATTTCCTTTATCTGCATCTACAGTAATATCAGACTTCGGTTCTGGTGTAATGGACAGCAGACTGTCGACCTTTGCCAAAGGCATATCGGAAACACCACCCATTTGATACAATTTGCTGCTTCGTCGTCGCGCTTCCGCCGACGCCCTGGACCTTCTAAACTGCCCAAATGTCCGTTGGTCAGCATCGGTACTGGTGTCAAATGAACCGAAAAAATCATCAACCAACGAGCTTTGATGTGGCTGAATTCCTGCCGTGACATTTTCGGAACCGGAAGCACTGACCGAAAACCGTGAAACCAACATGCTAATAAACTTTTCCTCTTCATCAACCAGCTGCTCTTGGAGTTCGACATTTTCGGACTCAGAATCCTGTGTCGCAACGGGCTGTTCGGGTTCAGCATCGGGGTTTAATTTAGTCTGACTAGTAATTGTTGGATCCATTTCTGTAATTGGTGCAGACGTGTCGTTTAGTGATTCATCTGCTGATTGACTTTGTGTCTCCATCTCATCTTGAAACAAATTGTCTGCCGGCCCAGAGTCATCCAGCAGTTCATCCAAGCTCTGTCCTGTTGTCACCAGCCATTTCTGTTTTTCTGTGGGGTCAGTCAGTATTCGCTTTGCAGTCTCCTCCAGGAGGCTCAACGTTTGTTGTACTATCTTGCCCTTTTTTGCCAAAGGCGGCTGTGACCGTGACCTTGGTGCTTTTCTCGGCATGACAGCATCGCGATACAGATGACCAAAGAGGTTGTGCTTGCTGGCCGCCGTTGCTTCTTTCTTGCTTTTTTCATCTTTGGCACGCACGTTGCTACAGAAGCGCTCTTCGGCTATTCGGTCCTGGTTCACTTTAACGAACCATTTGTTTCTAGTGCTTTCCGGGAAGTGCTGCAAGTCGGAATTATAGCGGTCGACTTTTTCGATAATAGCAGCAAGCAGTGTTTCTGCGTCCGAGGGATCGCCTTCTGTGATTTTTTTGACGTATTTGGTGTATAAATCGACAATGCAGTTTCGAAGCGTTTCTAGTGGTGCTCTAAAAAATACTCGGTTTCCCGATCTTTCATCAGACGTCGCTACCGTCTGCTGAAGATCTTCCATTTGAGTTCGCAGCAGTCCGCTCTATTTGGTCGACAAAATATCACTAATGATAATGAAGTTGAGAAAATGGTAAAATTATCAGGGTTATAGTGCACCTACATGATTCCTCAGGAGTTCGCATTTACTTTCTCTGGCTTCAACAAGCCTTTGAATGTCAGCAAGCTTTTCGCTCACGTGGTGTTTGATATCCCGAATGTCCTGTTTGGCAGCTGAACACACTTCCACAGATTTTTGTGCATTGTCATAATACGTCACCACTTGCGATATTATGCTGGCGGTATTCGATTCCGGTAGCAAGGATAATGCCACAACAGATCCGTCATTCGCAATAGTGCTGTTCTGACTTTCTTCACTCATGCTTTTGTGTGGCGGCAACGCTTTTTCTGTTTCGCCGGGTCTGGGCTTTTCCTCCTCCAGTTCTTGTTCCTTGAGTTTTGCATATTCGACATGAAATCGTTTCTTGTCTTCAAATGAAACAGTGTACAGCGCATCCAAGCATCGCTCAATCAGCTTGACCCGATTTTCTTTACGAAGATTGTGGCACTCTAATAAGTTGTTGTTAAGCTCCAATTGTCGAATGACCTTTTCCAAATTTAGCCGTTCCACACGGGCTGTTTCGGCATTCTTTATCGCAACTATGGTTTTTCCATCGCTTTCGTGTAAATAATCATCAAATTCTTTCGCAGTGATTTCGGTTTCTTCTTCCAGTTGCATGATGTCTGAATCGAATTTCGAAACTGAACTGTTTAACAAGTCCACCATACGGCGCTTAATTACCATGCTTACGTTTGCATGATGCGTTTCCCGTATGCGGTTGGTAATGTCTAGTCTGGTCTCTCGATCCATTTTCCGATGCTTCCTAGTCTCCTTCAACAAAGCACCGGGGTTCCGAAAATGAAATTTCGGTCCAGAATACTGCAAAGTTTCCTTGAACTATCATTCCACTGTGCAGTCGGGAAACATTTGGACACAAACCTTAACATGCATTGTGCGATTGTCGGTATCTCCTGATGATGTTCGTTGGGCTTTGCCACACAAGCCAGCTTTACGGGGATTGAAAGTCGGCGCCAAAAGGCGTCTGTCGTTAAAAATGCGATATTGTACAGCATCGCTTTCTTCGTCAAAGATCGGTGTTTTCTTTTCTTTCTTCCGGCTGTGTTCAAGCATTTCTCGGAGTTCGATTAAGTCTAGATTTTTATTCAGCTTGAATGGATTAATGTTCATAATGGATTGGTTAAGCCACGGTGTATGGCCATACGGCGAATCCACTCTGCACTCTTTCAGTCTGGAAAGTTTGGCTGTGGGATAACGATCTTTGCGCTTCACAGTACCTCCCAAAGGATCAGGAATTCTGGGTGACTTTCTGGGTGTAGCATTGCGTATCAGAAAGTCGAGCAAGCTGCGGTCGTCTTCCGGGGGTAGCTCAACGGTAAATGGAAACCTGAGAGAACTTGAGTGTAAATTTGAATGTGCTTGGTCATTCGTGTGTGGCGTTGTTGTAGACGACGATTTCTTAGTCACCCGTTTCACGTCTGCTGTATGTCGGTCAATCTCGCTTTGGATGGCTTTCAAGAGAGTAACCGACAGTTGATTTTCCCTCCGCTTCATGTCTTCGGTTGGTGCCGTGTCAGGTATTTGCGTCAAAGCCAAGACAGTGACATCTTGTTAATTCCTTGGGCTATTAATAGTAAAGACAACAGGTGAAAAAGTTGTTACTTCAAATTTGATGTAATCCAAAATGTGCATAAAAACGGAACTGCCGTGAAGATCTTAGCGCTGGTTTCAAGAACAGTTTTAAGAGACTGAACCAGATGCGAGATACTAGTTAAAGGTCTTATGCAACCGTAACGGCGAACCCTGAACTACTGCTGAATCCAATGTTTGTACTTTTTTACTAGTAGACGTAACTTACAACTTACAAGTAGAAATGTACAAACATTGGATTCAGTAGTAGTTCAGGGTTCTTACAATGTGATGACAATGACTTACGATGACTTACAACTTGTAAGTTATTTACTTATAAGACAATAAAGACAATGTGATCAGCACTTGTATAAACGTTCTTCCTGCTGGTTTACTTACTTTACCTTGGATCCGTTGCACCGTTAGTCTTCAGTGCAGCTTTCCTTTCGAAAGATTATGAGGATACTGTGCATAGGATTTTAAATTCCGTAAGAACTACTTGTACTGTTTTGGGCTAGCTGGTTTGCAAAATTCTAAAAATCATTTGCACACGTATTATTTTGTGATGGCAAACTGACATAAATAAAACTTGCTTGGTACCAAAGGGCCAGGGCGTTTACATTGCATATGCACTTATGTACTGTATCAGTTTTTTTTACTTCCGATGTCCCCAGCCATGACAACCATACTTGCTTTTTCAGTGTTGAGATACTTAGCATTAAAAAAGCGTTAAAAAGTTCGTATTCCCAAAATTTTACCAGAATCAGTTTTAGTCAGCCATATTACACTTGTGTGTTACGTACTCCATACTTCGAAAATATGGGATCCCACAGTCAAGTTTCCATTAGATGGCTGTGCATATCGATATGCTGGATTGGTTGTGCTTCTGCCCTGCAGCCTTTTGCTCAAAGCGTAAGATGCCGGAAACTGGTGAACTGCGAGGAGCCCGGCGTATATTAACAAAAAATTTTGTTTTTAGTACTTCGCGTTTGACCGACAGGATGCACCTTTGCCAGAAAAGCCCGCTGGTGGGTGGGATGGAAGCAGTGTCGCGAATCCCGCTAATCCAATGGGGCAGGCAGTGCCCGCTTCACCACCGCAGCCCCCACCGGTGGTTCAGCCACAACCTGCCATACAGCCCCCACCAAATGGGCCTTCCCAAGGACTGCCGGCAGCGGTTTCACAGCAAACCAAATCCACACGTCCTCCATTCGTAGAACCCCAGTCCACAAACCGCCCTGCTGGCCTGCAAAACATTCCCGGCAAAACTACTCCGAAGCGCAAGCAGTGTGCCCGCCCAATCAAATGGCCGATGCTGCCCAACAAGCCCCCGGTGGAAGCCAGCAGCATGGCATGTGCTGTCTATCCCGATATATACGCCAGTGTTAGAGACACATGCACCAAACTGACTAAAGCAGAAAAGAAGAACGGATCCTATTTCTGGTACTGCTGCTACGTAAAGTGGGCCAAACCGGAATGTCTTTACTGACAAAATTATTAAGATCATGCTTTAGGAGGATGGCGGTGTGCTTTGGTCGCACTGAAGCAAGCTATCTTCTACAGCCCGGTTCTTTCTCTGTGCAGTATTAAGAGATTACGCAAAACAATGGCACCATTTATTGATGTTTGACCTTAATCTTAGAACTAATGATCTTGCAATTTGATATCCCACCGCGCGCTTTCTGATGTATTAACCGATCAAAATTCTATGGAAGCATGTGTAATAAATTATTGTTGAATTGCTTCGAATCACGTCTTTGTGACCGGTTTCTAGTTTTAACAAACCGGCTTATTCACACGGATGATTGCAGCCAGTTTAAAGCACCATACGATCACCGTTCTTTTCCAATTGGTGGTTATTGTTTACAAATAATTTATCAATCCCAGTAGTAAAACAAGCCACCCATAGCAACGTTTATCAGGCTGTTTGCTGGAAGAAAGTTTTTCAAAATGGTGACAGTGAATCTGTTACCTTTCAACTTGTGCGGTTGTAGGCTAAATCAAAATTAGGTGTTTATTAGTTAAATTTTAGCTTGATTTTTAAAGCGCTGCGTACTATCCTTTTTCGCGTTCTGTAGAATTAGTATGTTAAAAAAGGTATTCGTACTCCTTACTCTGCACTGTACCTTAGCAGCGGCCATCGAAAATTTTCAATGGAGCGAACCCGATCTTGTACGTAAAATTTTTGTGTTGTTCCGATGTCACACGACTTAAAGAGCAACTTGTGCCGTTTATACTATTGTCGTTCTACAAATTTCTCGTTAATTTGTCCAGTATAACAGCTAGTGCCCTACGTTGTTAGGCAGGCAACCTCATTTTTGATAAAACTGGTACCTTCTCTGGCAGGACGTATCCCCGCTTAAACTTCGTCAAGACAACGATATCAATGTAGCGTCAGGAAGAGCCGCTCAACCTGGTGAAAATCTCTTGGACCGTCCGTTAGCTGCCATTGTTCCGGTCGCAGGTAGATCATTTTTAGAATGTTATTGGCATGTCTTTCTTTATAAATTTACAAATTAGGGAATTGTACCTGTTGCGCTGACGTCAAAGTGGACAAAGTCACTTTTAGAACTTGGCTGTGATCTCAGGCGCGTATTTTTTATTCCAGCTAACACACGACCCGTTGCCCCTTTCCCACCCGCTGCATTCCCGGTTAAAACCGCGCCAAATTTACCCGCGGGTTTGCCGGTCTCGCGTGCAAATGTAGTACCACCACAGATCCCTGTTGACTTTAAGGGATCTCCTATTCAACAGCCCGCAGATAACCCGCTGTCATTATCACGGAATTCCCCAACAGAATTCGGTAATAATGGGAACGCAATGCCTCAAGATATCGCGTCGTCCGGTAGGAGACCGTCCCTGCCCTCCAGCCCAATTCAACCGATTCCAAGCAATATTCAGTCGGTTGCAAGTATGCCATCGACCTTGCCACATTCGTCTGTTAATATGCCAGCAAGTATTCCAGATAATTCGGTACTTGGGGACAAAACATCCTACGTGACCGATGCCCAGCCATTCAAAAATGATTCTTTTGCAAACCATTCAGCAACATTTCAAAAGACCTTAAAGCCGGTTGTTCAGCCTTTTCGTACAATGGCTACAGCCCAAACGAAAACACAACGAACGAGCAAGAATAAACCACCTACCAGGAAACAGATTTCTGTACCATCAACCACGAAGAAAGCACTGAAAACAAGGACCACGACTACACGACGGCTTACCACCAAGCACTCGGCCGTGTCTCCTTCAACTGGGAAAAAGAAACCTATGCCAGTGTTTTCGCCAGTAATTACGAGGAAGCCAGCGGCAACGAAAAAGACCACCGTTGCCACGCCGCGACCGCCATGCGCATACCCTGTGGCGTGGCCTTTGAAAGGACAAGGCAATCCTCCAGCCGTCTCGTTAAACTGTGATAAATATCCAGATGCGTACCGCAACGAAGAAGACACATGTACCAAAGAGAAAGGCTTCGAAAATACGGATACAAAACTGTATATACCGTTTTGTTGCCGGAAGTGGCAAAAGCTTGGATGCTTTACTCGGAGTCTAAATAAATAATATCCAAATCTTCTGAGATAACCACATCTTGCATGTCATTTTCTAGAAACTTTCTAAACTTCTCAACACACTCCGAAGTTATCAAAGTCGCACGTATGTACAATATGTAGTGGAAAGTTAATACACATTACACATTATTGACAATATCTCCAAAAACGAGCGAATTAGCTGGCGCAAGAAGGAACTCGAATCATTAGTTCACTACTAGATGGCGACTCGCATCGGTTGCAGCCAATAGCGTTGTAGAGGGCCTAGTGCTCGAATTCAGCCGTCGCCATTATGAATACATAAAATGCTGCTACGCTGTGCCTTTAGACCGCGACAGCATCTGATCCCGCCAGTATCGTGCTATCCTTTTAACCAGTTTATCTCGATCCGAGGGAAAACTGGCTAACAACTCTACTTGCTCCTGGCCACCGTCAATAACAAGGCGTCGATGTGAATAACTACGCCACATTTTCCTGGAGGTCGGCACCTGCACACGGATATTTGACAACGTAAAATTAATTTCCTCCTGCAAAGTAAAAGACCGGCTTATTAACGGGAAGATTCCGCAGTGACCCTTGTATATCATGTCGCGATTACCATTTCGGTTATAAGAAATTTGATTTTCACCACTCCGTTGCCGATTTCGATGCGCACATGGTGGAGTGGAAGGCTCGCTCCTCGGCATATCACTTTCCACCAGCAGTGTATTTCCACAACATTTTTCAACGGAGTGGTATCCACAGATTCAGCGGCTTTCCCTAGGCATTCAGAACCCAAACTGTAATAAGCTCAATAAGCAAACTTAGCGGAAATCGTAAATGTACAGTATGAAAAAATTCATGTTTCATACATATACGATTTGCGCTAAGTTTGCTTATTTAGTTTTTACAGTTTATCAGTGATCGCTGATGATGCCGTGGCTATCGAACCACTAACCAGGTACACATCAACTATCACGACTAACTGCCGGCCAGTAGCTGAACACTGTACACTGGTACATACCTGTCTTTTCCAGATCGACCTCAACCATGATTTCCGATTGCGCTCCATCACCCCACGAGTTAAGCTCGTTATTTTCTGGCGGTTCTGAATATATTCCACTTTCCAAAGACACTAGCGTAGAACTAGACTGTCTACTGCAAATAGAAGGAGGCGAGCTTGTGTCCGTAATGGCCACCTCAGTCAAATCCCGAACAATGGATGAGGCTTCTGAATCGATATGGGAAGACGAGTTCCCTCGATTTTCGTTCTCATGAAGCAGAGCACATTCTAGCTCCTGGTTCGACCATCTGGTGAAATAGTTGTTAGGTTTTCTATCGACTTCGAAGGTTGCCAACGATTCGGAACTAGTTGTTACAGCATCATTAAGCTGCAGATCAGAGGCAATGGTTGTTCTGGAAGATCCAGAAGATTCTGTAAAGTCAAAATTGTGACAAACTTCTACGAAATGGTGCACCAACTAATACGAAGACGTTCTGAACTTTTACCAAATTAAGACATGCCTTCTGATGAGAAAATAGACTTCGATCTTGATAGGGATGGATTTAAATTTCTAGATGCCGGCAATCTACTACTCATCAAGAACACTCCACTCAGTGACTCCTCGCTAATTCGATCCTTGAAATAGCCAGGCAGAGCTTCGTCAATGGCATGAGTGATTGGGCTGGAGACGTCTTGAACGAAGGTTGCCGACATTTGAGCGTCTACGAGAGACTCCTCTATCGTACTGCAATCGGTCAAACAACTGTTTTTCAAAACTTCGATGTCTTCCTTCAAAGCCAAGCTTTCGGCAGTTGGCGAAGATAAGCCAAGAATTGTCGGAATGGCATTAAAATCTGCATTAAATTCGGCATGCACGTTTTTTGCAAGAGAGTTGCCTTCATACGATCTTGGTCCCGCATCGCGCAAAATGTCGTGGTCAGAAAACGTCTCTACATCGGTCGCACCATCGAAGCATGGGACATCACCGCTATCAGTTGCTAACAACGCTTTGGTGCTCTCATAACTCTGAAAAAAATCATATAGTATTACAAACTTTATCTATTGGGACTGTTTCTCCTGCAAGTTAAGCACTCGTAACCGCTTCGATAAAACCAGCCCCTACAGCAGGCTCTGAACGTCAGTTAAGCAATTACTGCAATACTTTACTGGTTAGTTGCACTGTGCAGTAAAACAGAGGCAAACCGGTACAGGTTGCTCATAGTGGAAGCAAACATTTAAGTAGCTATTCGTCTGTAGACCAGTACCTACTCCAACTGGAACCGTATGAATGGGTTCTGTCCAATCAGGAAAACGTTCTTGACAATCGTTTTCGGTAACAGCATTAGTCGGGAGATGCATGAGGTTCATGGCCAACTTCCTATCGGCAGGCTTTGAAGGAGAGGAAACGGTGGCTTCTTGCAATAACGGTACGCTTGTTTCACAAGCGGCTGTTATTGGATACCAATCGGCTTTCATAAAGATCGCATGGTTTGCTGCAGGCAACAGCGCTTTCTCGTTAGCAATTCGGATGGCGATGTCCATGCTTCGGCAGCGAGGAAGCACGGAAGTCGTGGAAGCTGCTGGAGTCACATTGGTTGATGTGTTCAACGCCGGCACAGACGACAGCGCATTTAGTTGATTTATGACTGGGGTTGCTCTTGCGCTAGTGCGGGGCTGTTTTTTCCGCGCTTTCTCACGAGAATATCGATGCGTTTCACTGTACTGTAGTGTCCCACGTGGCCCGCCAAAAATAATGAAAACATTTTATCACAATTATGATAATAATTCGATGCACAAATATAAGTTATATATTGTAGGCTAAAACAAGAATGAAATTAAATCCGTCCTTAAAGGTTCGCATAAATAGCTAAGAAACACTAAAAATGGCAGAAACCGTCTGTGCACGCTCATTAAAGCGTGTCAAATTACTCACTGATGAGAGTAATCGACGTATCCTCTATCTCAAGCTTTGGGTCGGCGTCCGCTGAAGGATAATCGCCATTTCCTTGTAGACCTTCGGGGATTTCAGTGGGCAAGTAAGATGCCGATTTCTTACGCTCTCCAGCAGCCAGTGCATTAAAAAGGTCAGCAGATTGGATCCATGCCCGTTTTGACACTTTCTTCTGCTTGCAGTCCAAAGGTGGATGCATTTGTTTATCTTGTTTTGAAATTATCCGATTGTCTGCGGTAACCCGATTGCAAAGGAGGAAAACATTGATGCAGTGCACAAAATGAGTCTAAAAAATATCACCGGTCGAATAAAAAAGCTGATTACAAAGTAAGACACCGTATTGAAGATCCGGCGACCCAAAACTACTACCGAAGAGCAATTTACGTCACTTCCTTAAAAATATGTCTTCTCGGTGCTAGCGAGTTTTATCACTTTCATGCATAATATTTGAACGATTGCAGCATGCTCCTAGCAATACGGCCAACTAACAACAAACATGTAAGTCAACGTGTCGGTCTCTCGGACTTTGCCCGTAGTCCATCCACGGCGACTCGACCCACAAAAATACCCTACATGCTATTTACGCTTCCAGCGCCAGATGCTGAGCATCTGCATTTGCCTCAATTACAATCGACCTAAATTAGATTTTAGGTAGAACTTGATGTAAGTATCAAATTTATGATACCAACAGACAACAGAAACCCTGAAGCACTCGCAGCAATCACGGAAGCTAGTTTGCTTCAAAGAATGATCTGACATTTTACAGAACCCGACCGGACGATATGAACAATAACGCAACGACAAGATTTAGCAAAGTGAACACATAACAAAAATCATAGCACTAACAAACAAACAGAAAAGTGGAAATTCACTGCCTAGCAGAAACTGCATTTTAAGTCATCAACCATTGCGCTTCTTCCTCCAAATGGCGAAAATGATGCAAAAGAGAAAGAGTAACTGCAAGCGTAAAACATTTGTAAGCATATAGCAACCACCTAAACTCGTAAATATGAATTCAGCGTAACTCACAGCTACAGCCACGATAATTCCAATCAGCATGCCATTGCCGGATGTTTCTGGTGGGGGAGGAGTTTCGGCCAAATCTACAAGTTAATAAAGTACTGTACTCGTACTGTATTAATGACACAAAAACGTGACAATATGCTACCGCAGATTGTTACGTACGTCTGACGTTGTCTGTCACAGCAGTTTGTTTATTGGTAACCGCACTGGCGCCCGCAGCCACCGATCCCGTATCAGGTTTCTCAGCGTCTCTCACAAATGTCGCCGGAGGCGTGGGAGACAATACATTCGAACTGTTGGCAGCTGGTATGTTGGGAGTGGTTACAAGAAGAAGCGAAACGGTGATCGGAACTTCATGATCCCGCAGCGGCTCATCAGTCTGCCAAGGCGGTAATTTCCGCTTAACTGTTGTGACAATCCTTTGGATATAACCCGTTGTTTCCTTATTACGTAAATTAAAAACTGCAGGGTCACCATCGGCCAAACTATTATTGGTTACGCTGATTGATGCAGCATCACTGGGACCAGTGGTAACGTTGAGAAGAACTACCAAAGTTGTGTTACTGTTGTTGGTTGCATTGATCACCGTAACTAGTGTCGTCAAGGGTTCATTGTGGTCGCTTATTTGGCGGAGCGGGAAAGTCATGACGGAGCTGATTATAGAAGAATAACCGTGTCCGGCTGGAATAGTCGTTGATATGGTTGAGGGAATACTTAAAGGAAAGGAAAATTCTGAATTGTCAAATAATGCAGAGGGTAAAGACGCAACCGTACCTAGTAAAAAATTGAGTGGTTCATCGTCATACTCTTCTGTAGTCGGAGACGAATCCGTACCCGGTTCTCGCACATCACTGGTCACTTGTTGGAGCGTTGTCGCCGTTACTGACGATAAAATTGTGGACAACAGGGTCACTGTGGAACCAGTTGTTGCAAATGATTCGTCGTCGCTCAGGGTGTAAGTCGATATATTTGCCCTTTCAATCGCCGGCGAACAACACGGCCCAGGAACACAGACATTTGCATCAATGTGCTGAAGTTTAGTATTGTGCCATCTTCCATCAAGCCACACGGTTTCCCCGGTTGCAAATCCAGGAAGAATTTTTGAAGTATCTTTAGCTGTTGCATTTCTATTGTACTCGATCTTCGCACAGTGACAAACATGTGCAAAACCGGACATTTCGAGCGCTGAGGCAAAGTGCTGATCGCGTTCCATTTCGCAAGGTCGGTTTATAGCCACCACGTACTCCCCCTTGTTATTTGGCCAAACACCACTAACCCGAACTCTTTCGTCTAAAAAAGTTTGCCAGCTGCCTGAGTCTAGTAAGTAAACAGAGTCTGCAACTTACAGTTTGCGTATTAACCAAGTACCTTTAGGTCCTTTATACACAAACATTGGGGGCTCTTTTATATAGTAAAGGTTTGTCATAGGAACACCAGCTGCAACAGCTTCTTCAAAAGATTCGCACCGAACATTTTTCTGTGATAAAAGACTCCATTGGTAAATTTGTAAGCTCCACACCAGCTTAATCCATAGGTCAATATTCATCAATGGTCTCACTGATCATTTCCTTCATCAGAACGAGCAATCTGGATTCCGCATAATCTTCCTGAGCACAACAGCAGACCCTGGTTGTTAATGGTTGAATAGGCAGTGTGGTTTGACAGTATGAGTCAACTGAATACCGGGGCCAGGTCGATATGCTTCTGCCTCTACAAGGCAAAGAACCTACTGTGAATGATGTTACACTTCAAAAAGTGCCCAGAACGACAAGAAGAGAAAATGAATTTAAGCAAGGCGAGATGAGAGTACGCAGATGCTATTTATTTTCTTGTTTAAAGATTCAGAGATTAAAACCAACTATTTCGTTATAAGTACAAGCATGAGATAACTAATAAAATTTCTCGGGGGATTTATTAATTAAAAATAATAATTGCCAAAATATGCTGTAAATTTTTACTTAAGCACTCTGTGATGGGTAATAGAGCTTATTGCTTACATTTAGGTTTTAGTCGTTGCTAATGAATACCGTAATCGATATGTATTTCGGTCATTAATTAAACTGATTAGAAGCAGAACTAATTTAACATACTCTACTTTCGCTATAATATCCACTGAAAACTCCCAGGCTTCCACTATGATGCCGAACAGTACATTTTTCAAAACAAATTGAGGATATCAAATTTGAAGGGTACGTACTTGAGAGCCGACAAATAATCATTGGTTTTGCTTGGCGTAAACGAACCAATACAAGCACCGTAGTGTTACAGTATTTGACATTTTATTCTTTTGTGTGGAGCATACCGTGCCGTTTTGATTGTGTGAACAGTGAATCTGTTTTATATAGATAGGCGCGTTCGCTTCTCCTGATAGCTGTTTACTTACGAAATCGACCTTCGATATGGCTCTCGACGGCGGAAAATCTGCGAAACTTTTTGTGACATTAATATAGTTGTGAGTCTAGTGCTGTCCAGTCAAATGTACGCAATTGGTGCTACATGTATCTTGTGAAAAGATGCACAAAGTACTTTGCGTTTCATCGATATTCTGCGCTCTTTCCTCACTGACGGCACAACAACAGAACTCGATCCTTTGGCCAGTAGATCCAGCACCATTACTGAACGCCATTAGCATGGTTAATTCTACAGTTATGGATGGTTCGTGCATGCCTTCTTTCATGTACATTCAGAGTTCAAACTACACCGGAATGTTCACAAATCCACTAACGGTCAGCATGACGCAAATAGGGCTGGAGATTTACTATGCTGCCTGCCAGAGCAAACGACACGACTACTTTCTGGGATACACAGGTTATCAGCGCTTCATAGACACCGGCACTAAGTTCGTGAGCTATATGGAAGAACTGTATTTTGAGGATTGCTTTCGAACTGGTTTATCTTGCAATATCGATCAAAAACAAAACAAACTGCGCGGGCTAGGCAGAACTGTTCAAGGAGCTATGGAAGACTACGTGTTTTCCGGTGTGCTGGATATATCGCACTTGCGTCGGTTTGTGTTTTCTCAAATGGCTCAACTGCAACCACTTGCCACTTATCTTTTACAGTTCGGCATTGATTTAGAAGCGAATTTTATACCTTTGCTGAATTGTTCAATCGATATTTTTTACCTTTTACCCAATGCTGATTCTTACCGAAATGACAGTTCTGAACTTAATAATACAATTCCACAACCGACCGTCAGAAACATTTTCCCGGCTATTCTCCATGCTGTGGCAAAAAATCGCAAGGATAAAGGTGTCTTTCTCAATCTCATATCACTGCTGTGGTATCCAGAGTTCTATTCGGGTTTCTCCGGTAGCTCCGATACTATGATGCCAAGCTACCTGCCAGCTTGCGCAGAAGGCGGCACAGACGTGCATGTGGTCTTGGGTCAGACTGTTGACATGCTGGATGGGCACGTCATTTCGGTGTTATTGGCACCGCCTTGCCGCTTGGAACTGAAAGCGGCATCTCAGCTGGCCGATTTGTACAATGTGACGACCTTTACCGGCGGTGGGGAGCTCATCGGGAATTACTCGAAATATCCCTTTATTGTTAGGACAGCATACAGTCCGATTTATGTTTGGGAGGGGTTGGTGGCGTTTGCGGCTTTGTATGCTTGGGAAACTTTTTTCATTATTTACGATGACATGTCAACTAACCTCCTCGATGCTCAGGAGAAGACCATCCTGGCTGACGGCCTGTCATATATTTTGCATCAAAAAGGATGGAATGTCATTTTAGTACGACATCACGAGGACAGTGATGTTGAACCGAATTTAGCTGCCCTGCGGAAGGCTGCTCGAAGTTAGTCTGCTGTGACATCGTCGCACGCGTACCTTGCCAATGTTTTTGCTATCAGCGGCTACTCGTAGTTGTCGTCATCGTCTCAAATAAAAGCATTTTTCGGAAGTACATGATGGCTGCATCTAATCTGGGAATGTGTAAAGGAGACTACGCGTTTATTGCTCTGGATACCTTCAAAGATCCATATTTTAATAATTCTCAGCCGTGGCAAGCAGGTCAGTCACTGCAGGCAAGCAGCATTAATTACTGCATTTGCACTTTGCAGTAAGTTGCATTCTTTGCAGCATCAAACCTATGATCGGGTAATCCAATTACTACTTTGTAATACAAATGCATAATCATGTTTATTTAGAAATATGGAAAAATTCATTCTCTTGTAACTGGTACGAGGTTGTAGGAGACGGCAACGACGACAAGGCCAAAACTGCATATGAAGCTGTGCTTATTGTTGGCATAGCGGACCCGGCAAGCCAGATAGCGCAGATGATGGGCGATTTCGAGCAAGATATAGGCGCAAGTTCATACGCCATATTCTTGGGCCAATCCACTTTTTTATATGGCGTGCCAAATTATATCCTTTTTCTAAGTCGCACTAATGCCAGAATAGTTACGCCATGCTTCATTGGTTTCTTTAACTTGTTCTCGCTCTCCCACATTATACAGCTAGCTACTTTGATGTTTTGATGCTGCTCGGCCAGCGCGTGAAGGACGCTACCAACGCCGCCGTGGAAACCTGGAAACGTGATGGTGTACCGTATTTGGAGTTTACAACGAAACTGTCCACATTTCTGAGAAAGCAAAACTATTTCAACATTGTGGAAAAAAGTATGAACGGGATCATCTTTCCGTATTAATGTTTTAACCCTAATAATTCTAGACGGGATGACTGGAGACGTAGTTATTGACATCGAAGGTAACCGACTGCAGAATACCATGATTTTTGATATGCTCGAGAACGGCCAGTTTGCAGTAAGTAAGCCTCGCCCGCTACAGCATGATCTGAACGCTTTGTTTTTGTTAAAACATTCTTCCAAACGTTTTACAGCCTGTTTTCAACTATAGCACATCTTTAAAAAAATCTCAAAGTGGAACACTGCGATGGCCTCAAGGAAAGTCACCAGTCAGTCGTCCTTTTTGCGGTTTCGAAGGAGAAAATCCTGCTTGTGCTCCAATGTGTAAAAAGAGCCTAACCCATGTGCTCCAAGAAAACGTCTGAACTTGTCTTTCGCTTGCAGCAACAAACTCCATTCTGACGATTGCGATGACCATAATCCTCAGCGTGATGGCTGTGATAATCATTGCCGTGTGCTACACGCGCAACGAAAAACGCAAAATAGCCGAGAGGAACTGGATCGCCAAACTGGACGATGTGCAGTACCCACGGGATATGCATGATTGGGTGCGTCGACGGTATACGTTAATCGATGACGGAGCCGGTGGAGTAGCCGTTGGTGATGCGGTGCGTACGGCACGAAAGGCTATGACGGCTCGATTAGGACGAGGCTCGGTGGTCAGAGAAATGGAGCACCTTGACCGGATGCGTCTGTCACTGAAGAAAACCGGGCATAAATCTCAAGGAGTGTACAAGAAACTGCCAGTAACCATTCGGCACTGTCAGAAAAAAGTAGTGTATCTGACACAACAGGTTCTTCAAGAGGTCAAAACCGTGCGAACGATGAAGAGTGACGATAATATCATCAAATTTCTTGCGGCCAGCATGGACTGGGAAAAAGTAGCAATTTTTTACGAATTTTGTGCGAAAGGAACATTGCAGGTACTTTGCAGTACATGCCTTGTATCCGTTATGTATGGCTTCATTTGCTTATCATAGGATCTCATCGTGAGCTCCCACTTCCGCTTAGACTGGACGATGAGGTTAACAGTCATTGGCGACCTTCTACGGGGATTAACGCACATCCACGCTTCTTCTCTTGAAGCGCACGGCCGCTTAACGTCCAAATGCATCCATGTTGACAATCGCTTTGTGCTAAAAATCGCCGATTATGGTTTGCCTAGTTTTTTCTCTTTGACTGTGGAGGAAACGCAAGAACTGAAAGACACAGGCGAACTGTGGGACATGCTCCTATGGACTGCACCCGAACATATAGGGGTTATTCTCGGCGGTGAAATGACGAATTTCATTGCAAAGCGGGATCGGCGTAGTAGTCAGATCGGACCACCGATTTCCAGAAATATGAAACGCTACCGCATGGCTAACGAAAAGTCTCGGTACGAAAGAGACCAGCTGATGCACGAACAAGCAATGAGTGCTAAAAGCGGATCCAGACAAGGCGACATATTCAGTGTCGCTATAATCATGTCGGAAGTGTTCCTAGCCGCAAAGCCATATAGCATGTATCCATTTTTATCATCGGAAGGTAACTAACTAGTTTTGTAGTTTTGGTGTTGATTATTTTTGCGTGAATTCTGCTCATGCTAAAGTTTGTTCCCGCAGAGATTGTTTCGCACGTACGGGATCGCTTAACTAGCGAAGTGCCATTTCGACCACAGATTGCTGTCGAAGATTGTGGTCATCCAGAACTGCACAAGTTGTTGCTGAGATGCTGGTCAGATCAATATAACAAGAGGCCCACACTGACTGCGGTTCGTATAGCTTTGAAGGAGATCGGAGAAGAATTGTGAGGGCAAGGATTGTATTGCAAAACTGGCTCAGCCAGACTTCCTCAAGATTTTGGCAGTTAATAAAATCAGCACAATCATTGCAGAGGGATCGGCAGTAAAACAACATCTATTATGGACGTTATGCTCGGCCGCATGGAGGAACAAGCTGTTGAACTCCAGCAACGAATTGCCGAACGCACTAAATCCATTCAGCAGGAGAAATCCCAGTTCTTCCAGCTGGTAGCTGAAGTTTTGCCAAAGTAATTAGCTAAGGGAGCGAATTTCCATGGTACAAGGGATTTGATAGGTGTGCTAACAGTAAACGTTTTTGACAGGTCAACAGCCGATAGACTGCGTCATGACGAGACTATCGCCCCGGAATTGTACGATATTGTGACCTTACTAATGTGTGATGTTGTCAACTTCCAAGAAATCCTTGAAGGATGTTCTCCAGCAGTTGTCGTCGAGTTCGTTACGGATTTGTATCGGTATTATGAATCAGTCACCACAGAGTACGAGTGCATCACCGTGGATATTCAACAAGCTTTAGTTATGGTACGTTGCCACCACTGATCCAGCAGAGGAAGGAATAAAGTACTGTATATTCTGACAAGCCCTTTCCATAGATTGCATCTGGGTTACCTGTTCGGAATGGTATATTTAACGCTAGAGAAATAGCACGAGTGGCGTTGACCATGCTGTTCAAAACAACTAAATTTCACATTCCGTGGAAACCACAAGCGCATTTGATTTTCCGCATGGCTGTTAATACAGGCATGTGACAAACAGTATTGTATTGTCTTTTTGAGAGCTGAAGCATGTAGTTTATTTATTTGTTACACGACGCCGCTTATTGTATTATTTCAGGACCCGTTGTTGCCGGCGTTATTGGCCAGATGTGTCCAAAGTATTGCGTTTTTGGCGAAACAGTTTTTGTTGCTCATCGACTGCTTGCAGTTACAAAAGGTCAGTTAAATGTCATACACCCTTTTGCTTCCGATAAACACTCAAAATTTGCTAGACGCATTGTGCAAAACTCTGAGTGAGTTTTTTATTATGAGTCATAATAAAAAAACATTATTGCAGTTACTCAGATTTTGTGCAGTTCTACTGCCTGTAACCTGATGGAGACGTTCGGCAGTTTTGTACTGATTCGTCTCCAAGATATATTCCTGAAAGGAAAAGGATTTGTGCCCAGTTACAGTCTGTGTGGAGAAAACGGTAACCGATGCCGGAGAAACAATTCGCCAACGGAATTCCTATTAATAAAACTAATAACTAATACCGGTATCTATAGAAATATTCTCCGGTGTATTCTGGATTACGGTTATTTTATTGTTGCAGCTAACCCAACTATTCAACGTTTGGAAACTGAGTTTCGCTCTGCTGTGCCAGACGCTGGCCGAGGCGAATAAACATATCGCTTTAGGGCTCAGCTTAACAAGCTGAGCTCATTGTCAGCTTAACAACGTTCCCAAAAGTTGCTTCGTGTTCATCACCGTGCATGGGCCTGACATGGGTAATAAGGGAAAAGCATGCCATATATCGTTGTTGTAAAAGACTATTGTATATCGTTTGATTTTGTTACTGTATTTTACGTGGCAACAACAATATAATTAAAAGATTTTCGTATGCTAACACTGCTAAACTGACTGTAGACAACTTGTAGTTTCCGTTACAGTAACACGAAGTCGATTAGCTGAGACTTGAATTTCGCAACGCTAACTGCAGTAACCAAAAGAAAGACTCTGTATTTACTCAACTTCGATCACGATGACTGTATTTTCTGCAGTAACCTCTCCCAGTGTTATATACTAATCACTCGTAAGTTCTGAGCTTTTCCACTCATCAGAAGCCGTAATTACCGCGTACAAGCCAATCTGTTATGGAAAAACTGGCAGTTATCACTCATCAAACACTGATATCAAGAATTATATTGGATTGCTGCCGCAACAATTCTTATGTCTTACGCTGCTGATTGGAAGCGCTCAACTTGAATTTTAAACTTACGATAATCAGGAATTCAACCGTTTGTCAAATGGTAGCTGCTTCTCGGAAACGGAAGTCTCAGGGACGCCCTTCTAACAGTAGATCTAGAACCACCAAGCGAGTGTGTTTTGACGACAATCCAACAATTCATGATTTTGAAAACGTTGAGGTATCTTTTTTCTGTTCTGGCTCACACTACAGTCGTTCCAGTGAATAAACAGCAGCTGCTGTACTAGCTATTTTGTCATTACTAGCGACAAAACAGTCATAGTCGTGAATTGAATTTATCTGGCGCACAGTTAAAGCAAGAGTGACAATCGTAACGTGTGGTATGATGCATTCTGCAGATTTCTTCTGGCATGGATGGAGCCCCTTCCTGTGGGTGCAGTAGCAGTGCCAGTGCAGACCCAGACACTGATCTAGCAGACATTACTTCCATTTCAACAGGCATCCAACAACCCCCGTCAACTGCTGGAGCGAGTGCAGCCACCGCGTTACCGCCGTTCAGCCAATCAGACTCGATCGGTGCAGCATGTGAGACCAACAGCCTGGCCAGTCGGATAGAAGGCGAAGTCCGAGACAGCTATCAGTTCAACATGAAACAAATCCAGAATGTCTTTCAGCGGAAGGTCGACCAGTTAGAAGTCAAGCTGACCGAGTCCGAACGACAGCGTGAGCAGCTTCTGGGATTGATCGATGAGAAGGACAAGCAAATTGACGAATTAACATCCGCTATCGAGGAGGTGAAAGATATCCGTCGTGTAGTGTACCCTGCCCATACGAATAAACCTGCCAGAATGTGTTTGTGTGGATCATACACCACATCCCTGGATGACCTTCCGGAAGCTCTCTTACTGGGAATACTAGCGTTTCTTGATGCTTTTTCTCTGCAGCGAGTGCGAAGAGTCTCGCGCCACTTCAAAGAAATCCACCGGCATCCTGGACTGAACAAAAGCGTATACTTCTACGTTGACGTTCTGCAGCACAGTGCGCGATATCATTCGCATCGTTCAGCCAATTTTCTCCACGACCTCTACCGGCACTGTCTGACAGAACACACACAGCATATAATATTTGATGCAGGTCGCGAAAGAATGGAGTTATGGGACGCCTTCAATGTAGAAGATAACGACTTGTGCGGAAGCATACTGCCTGTATCGCCCCACTTGCAACGGTTGACGTTTAAAAGCTGTCCATTGGGTTTCAACCACCTGTTAACTCTGCCGGCAAATATCCAGCGCGTGCACTTACTAAGTGTGGATCTGGCAGAGAAAGCGGGATTTTTGTCAATCGAGCAGTATATCAACAATTTTGAGGTCGGGATACGGATTGAGGAAGCCGTGGTGGACCTTTCTGACTCTAATGCTGACCGCGAGGAAATGTTGCTCAAGCTGATGAACCACCATATGCCACGGCTAAAAAAGACCGACAAACTGGAAATCGAGAGCGGTATTGGTAAAGTCAACGAAATGAAGCGCAACCAAATTATTCAGTTAATAAACAGGTATGTAAACTCTGCGACATGAATGTACATCTCCATATTCATTGTCTAGGACCAATAACGTATTGTTTTAGGCGAGAGCCGTCGCTTAAAAACAAGCTGGACGCTAACATTAGAAGACTGACGGTCAACCACTTGAAATCGCTTCGACCCTGGACCAAGTTGGGGATCTTGCAGATTATTCGTGGAGTAACGGTACCGCCGACTACTCCGTCTGGTGGGCGTCCAGGTTTATCGCCGTCGACAAACGCTTCCACATTCGAGCATCGTGCGGTCTCTAAACCTTGTCTTAAACAAAACACTCGTTCAGAGAGCACTATCGGTGTCGGTGTGGGTAATGGCGATAACAATGTGGGGTAACTTTTTCGTGAATTTGTGTGCATCAGCTATTAAATATGTAGTTTGGAAGCATTGCTACAAGGTGCATGTATACAAGATGTCCAGTCGGCAATACACAGCAGTAACCTGCCAAGAGTTTTTGAACAGTAACCAGTTTTATCAAATTTTTGCAGTTGCCGTTAATAATGGAAGTTTTCCTAACAATAAGAATTGTGTTTAATTGCTTTAAAAACTCGTTGTCGGTCATATTTTTCACTCCGGCATCGCCTCGACTAGATACTCAAATGCGGAGTAAAGTATCACCAGAGAAAAACGTTTCAATAACGGCATGCAAGGATACTGAAAATATAAATCAAAAATAATTTGCAAATCTTACACATGCGAGTCTTTATCAAAATGCGAAGCATCTTGAACGATCATAGCAGCAAGGTCCCACTGCAATGCAGCGCCGTCAATGCTGACTGAGCAAACAAATTTCTTGTCGGGCGATATCCTTAAAGCCGTAATTGTACCGCTGTGACCTTTTCCCACCGAAACCAGGCGTCCATCATGATAGCGCCAGATCTGCAACGTACTTGCTGGAGTATAACAGTTTATTAATTTAGTTAAGTGAATTGATACTGTTTTGAACACGCCATCTTTCAGGTTTACCCAAAGCCCATATTGGAAGCTATGTAGTAATTTCTGAATTTTGAAGGGACAAAAACAGCATAAGGCATTATATAATACATAGCTGAAATTTTTGGTCTATAACGTGACACATTTCTTAAAACATTTCAGTCATGTTTTGCCACCATCTTGTTATATTGATCTTCTTCGTATCGCATATTATTAATGCAAAATTGCGCTCGTTATATTTTTACTCGTATTTACCTTCACAGTGCGCTCATCCCCACCAGTCACGATGTATTTTCCATCATCAGTAATGTCTAACGCATTAATTGCTCCTTGCTGTGACCCGTATATGTGGCGGCATAACTGTCCATTAAATGCTTCCCAATATGCGATTTTTCGGTCTGTTCCACAGGTCAAAATTTGACATCCCACAGGGTGAAATACCACACATTTAAACAATGTATTGGCAAAGACCATCTGGAATCTAGTGTACCTCCTAATGAAAAGTTGAAAACGATGTTGACTGCTCAATGTAAAAAAAGATGCGCAATTTTAGGTATGGTAAACGGTTTCTTTTTGCATATATTATCCTTATACGCACCGTTACCAATAGGAAAGACTAAATGTACTGTACTGGAATTCTCAAAATGGTGAAAAGGTGGACATAAAGAAACAGAAAAATGCGGTAAGGAAAACAAAGCTAACGGCGGTAATTTCTTACTCTAGGTCCCAGATGACACACGTCCCGTCTTCGCTTGAGCTGACACATTTCGTGCTATCGTGATTCATCCGAATGCAGGACACCAGCCCTTTGTGGTCATGCATCGAATTCAACATTTTGTGACCACTGAAACAACAATATTACTGAATTTAAACAACACGAAGTTTTCATATATGGCAACCATAATAACGAAAAAGAACGCAACTTACGAAGTTGTAACCAGCCACACTCGAACTTGTCCTTCTTTCCCGCCGGTTACTATGCGGCTACAGTCGGATGTCGTAGCCATAGCTGTTACCGATTTGGGATGCGCATCAAAAATTTCATAGATTAACCTTCCGGATTCCGGACTAAATGCTCGAATGCGACCATCACTCCATGCTGCATCGAAATTAGACTGGTTAACTAGATACTGTAATGAAAAAGCAAATAGCCGTTGGGCATACCCGACACGATGCTGTGTCCGTCTTGCATGAAATCAACGACATTGCACAGAGCGTTCGGCACTTCCAATCGAAGCATTTCCCGGCCATCAACCGCTGACCATAAGCGGACAAAATCTTGCCCGGCAGTTGCAAAAACTCCAGAAAACTCACTATAATAGCCTTTGTAGCGCTAATGTAATCGCTAATAAAATCTGCATCATATCGCTACTGACTTACTACGGAAACGCAACTCCCATGACTTGTCCGTGATTTGCAGTAAAGATCAGCTCATAATTCGCCCAGTTCTCCGAATCAAAACGGTGAATGCTGGACGCTGATGTGCCTACATAAACCTGCAGTTTCGAAACTAGATTCAACAACAAAATTCTTCAGCCTTAATTTTTAATTATTAACAGAACCATACCATTTTCTTGGAAAGAACGGGGATGATGCTCGTAATTTCGCCGTGAAGTTGTGCGCTTCTGCAACGGTAATTAGCTGTATAAGAGACCTCACCTGAGAGTCTGAGACAATCTTCGAATCTCTTATGGTTTTCGTAAAATTCGAAAACTTGTCAACAGAGAAAGAAATAAAATGTAAATGCATAACTGTGAGACACTACCTGATGGGATCAAGAACATTCTTTGGATTAGGTTCTGAACGGGTCATACCATGGCGTGTCTTAATGGGATCGCGCACGGCACTTTTTACGATGCGTGCTTCATATAACCACCCATTGCCGGTGCCCAAGAAAATCACATTGGGGCGATCGTTTGGGAGGAAAAGCGCGGTTACGCCTAAAACATTGCAACGCAACGTAAAGTCATTAATGTATTAAAATGGATATTATTTGGGCGAGAGCCTTGCGTACCATTGGCGTACCAGGAAGATTCTTTTTGGCGCTGCCGTTCGGTTGGCAAATAGCGCCCGACGCTTTCTATAAGCCGCGGTTGCATAATGCCATCAACAAAATCGAGTTCGACCAGCATGATATCGCCGCTTCGAGTGCCACATAACATGAAGTGGTCATCCGGACTAATCTGTACAAAAAAAGCATACATGAGGTGAGTTTGACCAAAGACCAGATTGGTTATTTTCATTTTTATGAAACTTAAATGTACTTTAACTGTCTCGATTGTGCGGTGAATCAAACCCAAACAACAATTCCGGTATGCTAGGCGATTTTCTTCGGCTCTGAATTCCCACACTCGGATGATACCTCTGCAGTTCGAATTAAATAAAACAGGACGTACCTGAAGCCGAATATAAAATGCACAAGTGTACATATGTATATTATACCTACGGTCCGACTGCCAAGTAGATATCGTCACGGTGGTTAAGCGCCACAAACTTATTGGGAACGCCTTGAACTGTGCGAGGTACTTGCAGACCGGAAAGAGCACGACGATTCAGCACATCATATATTACCACACTGCAGCCAAAATGTGTACCCTGATTTGCTCGACTGTGAGCGTTAAAATAATATGCTTCTTGTGCAAGATACCTTCCGTCGTCCTGGCCTCCCATTGAGCAGCAATATTTATCATTTTCAGAAAACACTACGGCTTCAACTTTGACCTTGTGCAGTGCATGTCTTCCACGTGGTGTCAGCGTAGCAAAATCCCAAACAAAAACGTCCGCCTATAAAATAAACCGACTGTTTTTCGGCTTCTCTTTCTTTGATTTCGGCATACAAAATAGATGAAAGGGAGTGTAGCATTCAAAAGAGAAATATTACAGTAAATATACCTTGAATCCCATATGGTTTACTTGCCCAGACGCTATATATCGTCCGGACGGCGAGAGTGCTACACAGGATATTGTGTTGCTGTGTCCGGATAAAATAGTTTGTTTGTGAGTTTTTGTATCAAAAACAATCAAGGAATTGCCCACTGGATAGATTATATGTACACCGTCGTTGTGCACATGGAGACCATCGTGTACGCTGCCTGTAAACGGCAGAGCAGGACAAATATGAAAACTGACACGATTAAGTATTTTACTGGGGCAGATGCTTAGACAGGTGGAGGTACCGTTAAATCCAATGGCACGAGTCATGCGTAAATTATGAACGGAATCTGACAACAGTTCTCCATCCTGATCGTGATCATCTTCTGGCATTGCTGCCAGAGCCAATTCAGTGCCCGCCATGGTTTTCCAAACTTCTGCGATTTAATTACGATGGATGGTTAGCGTTACGAACAAAAAAAATTATTTCAGGCTTAACAGTTGCTCCTATGCGTATCTTGGAGACTCGTGTATTGACTTTTGAATCTTTTGAATTTTATTCTATCGGGATGCGTAATAACCCGAAAAAACGTACGGGGGTTCATTTATAAAAATTTCAAAAGCCATATTTTTTTTAAAAATAGGTATATATATTCCAATCTGAAGGTACTGTACACAGTTACAGACAGCACAGTGATTATTATTCGGTAGACATAATCCAAGAATGTTGAAGAGCAGGAAACTGGAATTTTGCTGAAAATCCAGATTTGTTTTAATATATCCATTTCTTTAGCTTCGCCTTTTCAGAAATCATAATAATACTAACGTTGCTTTTACACGGGCCTGTACACTATGTTTCACTGCGTAATTCCTTGTGCCAGCAATCTGCAGCGCCCAATTCGTATTTATACGCCGAGCAAAGCTTCGTTCAGGAGACAAAGAATCGTCAATGGTACAAGATGTGATACACGGCAGGGGCCATGCTCAAGCAGCCAAAATTCACTTTTTACGACGGATGCTAGCAAATCGGCTGCAGTCGCCCGATTTAATAAATTCACCAGGAAGTTGCAACTATCGACGGCTATCGACAATTTCAAAAAACGAAAAAGCGTTCCACATGTTTGCCAAAGAACCGAAGGAGAATCGGCAAAATCATCTTCTGCCAACGTTGCTTCCACAGTCAGCGTCGCAAAAAAAGATGCAGTCCAACGGAAATCGACGTCGCTGTATCGTCGATTTTGCTACGGATTTCCTACAATATCCCCAAAAACTATTCAACGAGTAATACAGTATTGCCAACGAGTGGTTTGCACACAGGTAAACCTACACGATGTAGTGATTCAAAAGAGCAATTTTCTTGGGCGAAGTTCAGTTAACAGCTCGCTCCGGCTGTTCGCACTAAAACGGGTTGTGAAAAAAGTCTTTCAAATGCTGGTATTACTTGAATTTCATCGAAACTGGTCATCGCAGTACAAGCCGTCCTCAATGGAAATGCACTTAAACCAAGGAAAATTATTATGGAGCTATCGCCTTACTACAGCGCTTCGTAATGCTTTGGAGGAAACGGGAGTCATAGTGCAACGCGAGCGAACAACTGAAGAAATGCAGAAAACCTGGACTAGCTGGAAATGTTTTGGTAGTAATTTTGAGCGGTTGGGAATCGATGTTGAAAATCTGACACCGTTGTTTACTCTACAAGACTTGACCAAACAAGTGGCTGGTCTCCCTGAGAAACTTACGGAAAACGGTGCTTCCATGGAGTTCTGGCTCCAAGTTGACCTGCCGCACGTGAGCCTTCCGGAACTCCGCGACATTTACACAGAGTTATCACCACTTTATGACAATTATATACCGGATTACTTTGAAGAAGATTACATGCAGCGCATGAAGCGAAAAGAGGATATTCTGAACGCAGCCCTGAAGCAACGAGACGTCCTCAAAGTTCGTCAATTATGCCGCTTGGGATGTTGTGCGGCAAACCGCGATGCCGCTTGGACATTACTGTTGCGAGACAAAACAATCGAGAAAACCCACTATACAAAATGCTTAGCGGATTTTGTTCGAACGGAGACATATTTTGACCACCTGATGACCAAGTCTGTTGTGGATATAATTGGAAATTCTGATCAATTTTTCAATTTCATTCAACTGACGCATCAAGTAATGCAACTGTTTCAACGAGACTGTGATATTTGCGAAAGATTGTTGGAATACGACATTGAAATACTGCAGAAAATCCATCCCTTCCAGCATCAATCTTGTGACGCCATGGACAACGCAGCAAACACGAATGAGTGCGAATGTGACTCCCATGACCTTTTCCCGCCCAGTCGCGTGTTGCCTTTTCATGAAATATCGATGTACGCAGCTCCGTTGGCATATGTATTCCTTAAGCCTAGGCCGTGCTATTTTGCTTTCCGGGAGTTATACATTCGACACTTCCACTACCTGAGCGAATTGTCCACTCACCCTCAAAGCATTCTTAGCCTGTACTGCCTCTTCGAACGATTGCTGTATGAACGAGAGTCTGAGTTGTGGGAACATTTGAGAAAGACGATAAAGGTCGAGCTAACAGAATTTGTCGTGCCCTGGCTAACGATGGCCTATGCCGGCTTTATAGAAGTAGACCAGCTTCTCTTGCTGTGGGATCGAATAATTGGTTATAATGATCTAAGAATTCTGTCACTATTAGCGTTGGGAATTTTTATGATCAGGAAATATCCTTTGTTAAAGTCAAAGCAAGAGAAAGAGGTTGAGGCTGCGCTGTGTGACATTTTGAATGTAGAGATCGTCCCGCTGCTTCAAATGGTTTTGTTCATTTAAAACATGGTTGCAGACAGGTACGATCGGTGTGGAAATAGATCCAACAATAAGCCGAGAATTAATTCGAATTTTTATGCTCATTTTTATAGCATTGTGCTTACATTGCCGACAACAGTGCAGCGCTCGCTTAACGGACATGGAATACAACTACGTATGCACATCCGCGGCATTCGGTATAATGTTGTACAGAAATGCAGTTTTACATGACGCGTTATTGTACATCCCATGCTAAAGATACCTGGCAGGCAAAATGACTGCAGAGATACCTGTTTTGTATACCGGCATGCTTATCGAGGTGGTTTACTTAGCACAGTAGTCAGCAATTGTTGTTGCTTATCGAACGGCTGCTAGACGTAACCGTCTGTCAAGCTCGAACCATCTGTTTACGCTGAGATTCAACTAGGTACTACAGTCTAACATTTTGTCGGTGGCGACTGAAATTAAGCAGTTTTCCTAATATAGGTATTCCAAGATGAGCTTGCAATGGACGGCCATTGCTGGCATCCTTTACGCCGAAATCGCCTTTACCATTCTTATGCTTCTGCCTTTCGTCAGTCCTACAACATGGCACAGCTTCTTTAATTCACGACTAATATTGCTGATCAAGAGATATAAGTACGTGCAGCACATATTCGTTGGCGGGATGGGATTCCTCCTGGTAGATGCCCTCCGGGATGTCAGCCGTTACACGAAATCATCCAGCGACTTGGTGGACGTGACAGCAACGCAGGCGCCGGCCGCTGAAGCGCAGTTCCATATGAGATTATTTCGAGCCCAAAGGAACTTCTACATCGCCGGATTTACTTTGTTCTTGTTCTACATTATCAAATCACTGGCTGCCAAATTATCTTATGAAGCTCAGCTGCTTATTTCCAACAGTGCAGTCATTAAGCAAGCCGAAAATGCCTCCAAGATGGCCCGCCAGATCCTCAGTGGGCAAAAGGGAAAAACCATTCCGGATTCAGAAGCTTTGGAGAAAGCTAAAATTCTTCAACTCGAGGAAGATATACGGTCTGCGGCCAGCGCACTAAAAGCCAAGGATAAGCAGATAAACGCTATTAAAACGCAGAGTGAAGGACTGACCGTTGAATATGACCACCTTCTGGAGGAGCACGAAAAACTCCACAAAGCACATGCTCTTATTGTGGGTAAAGCGTTGTCAGAATGAGACGAAGTCTAACGCCAGGATAAGTGCAAAGATTGCCTCGGGATCTGAATCCAGATAAACGTGATGAAGCTGGTGCTACGAAGATATGGACTTCGCATAGTTTACTGACTTATTGTACTACTACTGTAGTTGATTATACTTTTGATAAGTAATTGTGCGTAACTGATAGTCTGAAGAGTGGAGACACCTTCCATGAATGAAATTTCGACGCGAATGGATGGTAAAAATCAACTTGAAAGTTACGTTAAAGCTATGTACCGGTAGGTAAAAATAGTTTGATAATACCTCCGATTGACGATGAGATAACTCAATAGAACTTAGATCATAATGCAACTGATTTTGAGAATACTAATAACAAAATTTACTGTACCAATAGCACTTCTGCTCATGCCGTGGTCATTGGATGTAGCATGGCTTCGTATTTTGCGAGTAGCTGTAACCAACTCATTTCTACTGCAGCCTTTTCATTATTGAGTGTATTTGCACTGCAAAAGTCTATGAAAGTTTCGTTAAATTCTTCTGAGCCCTTACGAGTAGGAGTTTTACGATTTTCCAGGCAGTCCAAAAATTATCTGTGTACGTATAAATATAGGGTATTTACAAAGTTGCAAAGTGTGTAGACCTCGACTCCGTGCCCTGTGTGCAGTGCTTCTATAAAATTAATTAAGTAACTACAATACACCTGTGACCTTGGTGGATCATCCGCTGTGTGATACTACTGTACTGTACTTGTTTACTTAACCACTACCATAATTATATAATTAAATTAAATGGTTTTGTCATAATAATGACAACGGAAAAGAACTGTTGCAAAACTACAACGTATATTTCCAAAATAATGATAATCCTACAAAAAATTACCTGGATTTGCTTCCAAAGTAAAATATAAGTAAACAATCATGACTTTGCGGCGCCATTCAAGGCCCAGGATCGATTAGATTTATCAGCCATGGTAATCATCTTAGATTATGACCTTTCTGGCTTGTGCAGGAGGTTCTTCCATTTGTAATTAAACCAAAAATTACAACGGAGCAGGTTAAGCATTATGAAAAAAAAACTGTCGCCAAACTGAAGGCACTATAGAGACCGCAAAGGAACATTCGGAATCAACCACTTCTGAAACTTCTCTTCTGTTAAGGTGCCATTGATCAGGGGTGGATACTCTGGAGCGGATTTTGCAACGGCTGCTTCCGCTTGGGCAGCGGTCGACAATTTAGTACCGCGAATTTTAGATAACTCGTCCTCTGCCAGTTTCATCATAGCGCTAATTCCGTCTTTTTCCATTCTGATCTAAAGCTATGACGTGATGAAAGGTTTGCACTGGATATAAGTACTTTTTAATTTTTCCGTCGGTCTGCATACAGATGCAGGACTTAACACTATGAAAAGAAGAAGACTAGTCTTCGATCGCGTACGAATAGTGTTGACGGCTTGTTTTGGAACGCTCTATGGAGATTTGTATAATTATAGTTCGCACCTTCTCGTTTATCCAGCAGTTTTCGCGGATCAAGCTGGCCCATTCAGCCTTTGCATCTATAATGGCCAGGTATATCTTTTGGGTCTGATTACAGTTATCCCTAGCACTGATGTCGGGATCCAGTGTAGTCCATGCTTTTCTGCAAGTCCAAACCATGCAGGTACTTTTTCCTTTACCTTTTACCTTCTTTTCATTCCTCAGCAGGAAATTTGTCTTACAGGATTGCTTTTGCTGGGCGTTGTTTGTATTTGAATTCCAGCAGATTTGGAATGAGCTCATTGATTACTGAAACAGTATATTCGGTCGTACATTAGCATATCTTTCTGGCCTTCGGACTTGCGAACCCCATATTCTAAAATCCAACATGGCGTGGCTGTTTTTACGCACTTAGTTAGTTAAATTGCATTACATATACTGCAGGATACTTACCGTCTGCACAGATTCTGCTCACAAAGGTGCGCTGTAGACATTCCGCCGTCGTTTCAGGTTTCCAAAGGTCATTGTGAACCTTTTCTTGTGCACTGCTAAAATTGATGTCGCGCATCATTATGCTTGTAGTTGTAGGTGCCGTTTTATTAATTTGAAAAGGGAAGCTATAAAATTAGTCGTTTACTATCATCATCAAAAGTAAATAACGTAAATATCTGTACGTAACTTCCAAGCAGCCTGTAAGCTTCGTATGGATCTCATGCAACGACATCTAATAAATTTCACCCTTTGGCTACACAATACGAATGGACATTAATGCACAGAGTGCTACAGTTGCGCTTTATTACATACTGTGTAATTAAAACGTTTATGAAATAATTTATATTAGGCGAAGCAACAGTAAGTAATTAAGTATCTGCTGGCGAGTTACAGAATGATATTACAGTGTGCGCACGGTTATTCGGCTTTCGAACATGAATGATGACGCATGAACGATGACGATTTTAATTACAGTAACTATTCTACAGCGAGCAATATATATCATTACAGTTTACTTACTATCTGTATTTTGACACTGAATGATGTTTATTCTGCCGTGTACCACCCAGCGCAGTTCTCGTTACTTTTTTACAATATTAGATTTGTATTATAGGTACTGTAATCACAAATATTCAGTATTTTTTAACTAACATTAATTTTATCTGCAACTGTTATTTTTAATTATTATTAAATTCAATATTTCGCTTGTTTTTATAAGTGTATTTATTTATACGATCGAAGTAAACAGTATAAGGCTACCCAATACTTGTGGAAATTGCAGTTGGCGCACTACACACATTCTAATGCGCTTGTACAATGTATTACTCACCGTAGGTCTGGTACTGTCCGTGTTCAAAAGATTTCATCTTCGGTCTTAATTTTCAAGCATGCCAATCGTGTACAGCATTGTAAATTAATATAGATATTAGCAATATAATACTTATGGTTAACTTAAAATCGTTATGGAATCACCGCATAATTTACCGGTTAGTCTAACTCATTTGCTTGATACAGTATTGTACATCTTGTAACGCAATGTGATTTGCACGATACTGATGGATAGGCCTTCTACTAAAGTACAGAAGCATAGATATGCATTCTGTGCTTATCGTTAGATAAAATACAATAATATAGATATGTAGCGTGCTATCCATTGTTTTCAGAACCTAGCGCTAGTTTTTTTTATTTCTTTAGGTTTATTCTGTGTAATGTTTTTACATTAGAGTGTTTGAAATTGAAAAGAACTACATTATTTACCCATACAGGTATCTGTACCGTACATTACTATTTTCACAATACTTAATATAATAACAATATTATGTTGAGCCGTTTCCATGATGTACGACTTGTAAAACAAAATATTAGCACAATAATATGGTGCATGGTTTATTGTACACTTTACGTCGACTGTGGCCGGAAATTACTTAAACACCGTTTAATTTCTGAAATGGTTTTTTGCGTCGACGGAAGCGCAGCAAGTTTACAGCCAAGTAAATTTGCCAAAACGGTATCAGGGTAATAAAGGGAAAACAATGCAAACAATATTTTACGAAACAATTTGGCAGCGATTCTTTTCATAATACATATGGAATCAGAGATACTACGCGTAACGTTCCAAACAACACAAATCTTTTTTTGGTGTGCGTTAATTTGCCATCGTGGTAAAAATATGAAAACGAATACTACGAAGATGACGGCGAATCTGAACGGGGCGGATTGGCCGCTGCTTGGACCTGTTGGCCGTAGAGACTTCCGAGGGCGGGCATCATAACGACATGCGGAATCTGTCCGGCTGTCCCGTTGCTGACCGGCACAAGGAACTGATTCATGGGAAACATGGACATGGGGAATCCAGAACGCGCGTAGAAAGGGAATGCTGTAAGGTTGTGATCTGGCCAATAAGTGGCGTTGTTGATCATCGGTACGGTCATGTTTTCCGTATACGGAACCGCAATTTTCGAGAGACCATTTAATCCACAGTTTTCTTGAACCGATGGAGAGAGGTGCGTCTCCAGAGCGGGAGAGATTGGCGACAGCACCGGCGATGCTTTGGTTCGGTCCAGAAACATTCCATCCTGCTGATCTTGTAAGATGCGCAGTTTAATCGGCAGTACTTTTTTCCCTTCTGCACTGGCTGGACTCTTCACCGGTGGAGAAGCCGGTGTGCTGGCTGTCGGTTCGGAACTGGTTTCCCGTAGGATTTCCGTTACCGACTTTATGGGCGGCCGACGGGACTTGGCAGGGCTATCGCTACTGTCAGGGTCACGCGATTTCTTCCGTGTCGCGTTAGAATCGTTGCTGCGTTCAGGCGGGGAACTCGACCCAGCGCTGCGTCGTGACGGGCTTACCGGCGCGGTGGACCGCGATGTACTGCTCTGTTCCGGCTGCTGGGACGAGGTGTGTGACCTATCGTCTGAGGGTTTGTATAACGGTGCTGGAGAGCCTACAGAAACACAGTTCAGAGTAACCTTTATGTAAACACCGAGATACGGGCCCAACCACAAACCAAACAGATAAGCTTGCTTACCCGGCGCAGTGCAGGTGGCCTGACTGTCTGCATCGTCCTCGTTACTGTGCAAATACGCCAGAACATCAAAGCAGGGATTGTTTGCCATCACCTCACGTTTCAGGTCGATAAAGCGCTGCTGTGATGAAGTCTTCTCCTTTAGAACCCGCTCGTGGTCCCGCTGCAGTTGCTCGCTTTGTTTTTGGAGTTGCTAAAACAAAAGAATCACACATACAGAAATCTATTGACCCTGGCATACAGTAAACAACGCCTACAGCATACGCATTGCAACTACGGTCTCTATCTTACATAATGGACGCGCGAGCACTTAACTTTTGCATTCAGTCATTTCAGAGATAAGTTTAAGATAAGTTTTAATTTATAACAAATAAAAAATATTAATGAATATTTTTAAAGATATAATATTGTTGTTGTGCAGCGTGCAATATGCGCGCATGTTTTTCCGAAGAAAATTTCTGCTGCCGGCTGTTTGCTTGCCGGGTGGGACGGGACTGAGTAATCTGCGTTTGACACATGCAGCCTGGTCTTTGTTTGGTGGTGACGCAAATCATTAGTCATCGGCGGCAGTGGCAGCCGGCGCGCCACACACACACAGTGCGGCTCGGTGGCAATTTGGCTCGTATCGGCAGTTTTTTCTCCTTGACATTGACCGTCAAACACACAAGCACACAAATTTAGAGCTCCAACTGTGGCACAAGTGCTCACGCCGGGCGCTTATCTTCACGCTCTACCGCCGCTTGGAAACTTCGCAAACAGCGCACAAATCAGCCAAATGATTCCAAAAACATATACCCGGCTATTTTTAGCTGGCAGCAAAAACGTGCAGCCGCGTGACTTATGCTTTATGTTGCTGCATAAAAGGCTGGGTTGAAAAACCTCGATGGAAATTGTACAGTAGCTCACGTGGGCCAATTGTAAGCGACAGGAAACAGCATTTCCACGTTGTACACTGCATGCCAGCCGGCAATGCCGGTGTGCTTATCGTGAAAATGGATCAACTATGTTAAGTTTTGTGACAGAAAAACAGCCGGAAAAAGTAAAACCTGGGAATGTTTACACTTCCGACTGCTGCCGTACTTCGTGTACAGTATTATGCCTTAAAAATACCGTTAATAAATCTTAGGCGTTTAAATAAACCGCCACTTAAAACAACAGAAAAATATTTATATGTAAATACGTAATGCCAAAACATTGTAAAATTCATACATCGCTTTCTACCATTAGGAGGATAGTGCCATATCGTTGAGAACAGCATTACTCTCCACATTGTTTTACGACCGCAACCGTTTAACTGTAGGGCTGCATTTTGAAATTCAAGGGCAATATTTCGGTGAAATCGTTAGGTTAGGCGGGTAAAACCCGGTTTGTATTTCCCGAAGCGGCCGGCGCACAATCGATTTATTTGGCAATGGAGCGCGCGTGATGGGCGCTCGCGTGCCGGATAGGTTGATCCGGCAGACCTTGTAAGGCTATAACGTGGCAGTGTTTTTATGAATAGCATGCGCCCGATGACGCAAATGGGAAGATGCGAGCATGCGTGGGATGCTCTGCGTAAATAAAACATTTACTCATTATAACTTGGGCAATCTGCGCTGCTCCAAGTGGGCCGCTAAGGCTGCCGGCTGCGTGCGCGCCTGTAGTCTGTCTTGTGCATGCACGGGCGGGATATTGGCCTGGGATACTGCTTATCAATGTGTTAACGCATGTGCACCCGATCGATTTGTGAATTTCGGGCGGATGAGGTATATACTCTTCTCGCAGCCTCGTAACCCGCAATTTCCCGTTACGCGAATGCCCAACGTGGCTCGATTGATGCGTGCCAATAATTCTACAGAGGAGTATGGTGCATTGTTATCCAGAAAGAGTGTTGTTTTCCAGTGAATTGAAAAAAAACATTTAACCAGCTTGAGGAATTCCTGATAAAACTTATAAAAAAATGAAGAAGGATTTCAGCTTGCAAATTCCACGATTACTTAAACGCGTAGATGGGAAAAATAACCAGAATTCACTTCTTTGTACGGCACCGGCAAGAATCGTTTATAGACTACCGGAAATACCGCATACAAGCTAAACTTTCCCTGTTAACGGTGTGTGCACGCGTAATTAATGCTTTCACCTGAGTGAGCGCATTTATAATCGGTGGGGCGTCGCCCACATCGACATTTCATTTCATGCTTCTTTCTGCAAGCGGGAGACACCGGGAAATGGGATACTTTTATCCTCATGACGTCTGTCCTAAGGACGTATGTTCCCAACCTTCTAGGTCAAAATTGTGACCTTTACAGGCACGTGAGGTGGTTAAGTAGTGCATAGTATAGAAATCACCAGCATACTGGTGCCGCCTGTAGTTAGATTACAGTGACTTTGTAGTTTTGCCCATAATTGCCAACTCTCTTCCTGTTATAATCTCGGCAACGATTTAATTTTATATATGTACACTCATGCGGATTAAAACATTAGCAAGGTATACATGCCAGTTTATTGTTTGCTATACGGTTATGCACCGCTGCATTGTCTGTTTTGTGCGTGTGGATCCAATGCAAAATAAAAAACTTACATTCCCAAAATAATTAAATAAATAATTTACCGTAGTTTACCTGTATGCAGCGGACGGCACTTTTAAGCACAGCCAAATGTGACGCTTTTTTCTCGTCATCGGTTTCCATAACTTCGTGCTTCAGCGATTCAAAGCAGTCCTTCAGATGCGCCCTCCTTATAAAACCAAATCATTCTGACGTTGCCCGGTTATGGTACACACTTCATGCTCACGATTTTTCCACTAATGTTTAGTATTCCTACCGATTTTTCTCCAGCACATTGTGAACGCTTCGGTTTTCCGTGTTTGGTTTGATGCCACTGCAAAACAGCGAAAATGCATTACGTGATCCGTATACGTAAAATAATTCACGAAAGCATGATATACGTTAGTATTTATAATTATTTACAGGACTATTTATATTATGCTGCATTTTTGGTGGGCACGTTCTTCTTTCATTATTAATATGTATACCAGTACCATGGTTATTAAAATATATACCGCCCGTACCGGCATCAGCCAAGTAGGTAAAACATGTGATATAACCTGTAGTAGCTGAAACAGTGGAACCGTAATTTTAATCGTACGTCCTTAATTGTGCATACCCTCTCTTGGCTTTTTCCTTCTCGCGTGACATGGATGGTGGTACTTTTCGCTTTGTTGGCCGCTTTTTTGCGCACTCAGACTCTTTGGATGTGTTGGAGTCGCTATCCAGCTGTCCGCTGCCATCTGAATTGTCCCCGCTCGTACATGAAATGCTGTTTGATGACGATGCCTTCGTTATATTTCCTAACAACGAACAAAATTATTAAAAGTGCTTAAACACATTTCTTTAAACGCCATTGCATTACTGGCATGTTTATTATTTCACCAAACGAAATTTTTTATAAAATTTCAGAGATCGCCTACAACACTATAATAGGCCCACCTTTTTATTTGCGCATAGAAGCTTATTATAACTGTTATTAAATCACTAAACTCTACGTTTTTAATTCCGCCATCCCAAGCTTGAAATTATGCGGACAGGGGCATGCAAAGTACCGCACAGGCCGCATCACGATTAAAACTTAATGCAAAAAACGAAAGTGTAAGAATTATTGCTGCATCGGTTGAATGCAATTTTTGCCGATATTATGTGGCACACATGGTATTGAGAAGGGAATGATGTGCCGAGGCACGTGCAACGGCGCAGTACAATAGATCCATGCATGTGCATCGCACGTCACGGAAAACTTGCAAACCGTGTACTACTGTAAAGACCTACTGTGTTCCTTGATACACTGTTTATAGGCACACTGCACAGCATACGAAACGATGTACGAATGTGCTTGCACCCAAAGTTCTAGCGATACGGAAATCATTAATCGGAGATGGGCCACCCGTCGTGAAAGCAGGTGCAAAATAAATACACATTTCTCAGGAAATTATTCCTGGGAGGTTTGGTTTGTCAAAACTTAAAAATTTTATGTTTTTGATACTTCCCACGCACGGAATAATTTTGTCGCGGTAACATGTAACAGCAATACGAAAATATTTTAAATTAAGCATAATTCTTTACTGAGTATTAAAATACCTCACCAAAATCGAAGGGCTAATGTCGTACACCACATAATCAGGAAACTGATGTAATTAATAATTTATGAAATCGATCGTCGTCTGCGCCGGTATCTAAAGCCACGTGAATCTTTAGCTACATTAATAATAATATACGTGACAGTAAGATTACCGGCATTGTCGATAAATTTGTTAGTACCACGATTAGATCACATGCGTTAGAACTTTGTCGGTTCAAACTTCCATGCTGCATAAATTCAGCATTCAGGCTATTCATGTTGTAAATTACTAATGTAGAAAATAGTGAAAATATGTTATTTTAAATTGTAATTAAATTTCAAGTTGCGTCTTGACAGTAGATTCTATTCCAGTAACAATATTCTCATTATATAAGTTACGAAATGTAGTTTTGGCAAGACCATAAGCCGATAAAAAAAGGAAAGTGAAAGCGTCGATTAACCAACCTTTTTCACGATCGAGCACGGTTCCGGCGGCGATCTGGTCAGCGGAAGGCGTCTCCGATTGGCAGACGTTGGCGCCCGTATCATTATGATCGATGTAGCGAGCCGCTTGCAGCAGTACGTCGAGGCTCATGCCGACAGATGCGTACGGGTATTATGCACGTGTGGTGGCCACTTGACCACCGCAGTCGCACCACACACTGACACACAACGTACACACACACACACTAGTTAACCACGTTGTCCGAACAGCAGACAAAACCCTCAGCGTCCTTCTAACGTAGCGCACGCTGTGTGAAGCATGCGGTTGCCATGCTCGTTTCCGGCATCAGCACACCAGCCTCGAAACGCTAACTATAGTCATGCTGTTGAAAGCAGACTTCTGCATCGCTGCCTCGGCGCTGAACAAAGCCCGGACACAGCAAGTGCTAAAGGGCGGCTGCCGTACTATGCCGCCCGGTGATCATCACTACAGTCGTACTGTGTATTAATATACGTGTGTGTGCGGCGGCGCCGTGTTGCATATACGCATATGTGTGTGTTGAATTTACATTGGCGTTAGTCAACGTGGGCTCTGTTTGCATCGCTTGTTGTCAAGTCTTTATTTCAGCGTGCAGTGTCAAGTTAAGGGCGGGAAGAGCAGTGGAGAAAAGCGGCCTAACAAACAACCGCAGTTGGATATCTGGGCTTGTGTATAGGCTGGCGCTAGCGTTGTGCTTGCAGCAGTTAGGGCGAAAACGGCCGTGTCTACGTGGAACTGCCGAGAGGAAGCGTGACGTGACATGCGTTGGCAATGACTCTACCTCCGTTGTCCGTACTACGGAGTGTACAAAGGCAGTACGCTGTGCCGGCTCGCCGCGCCGTATGCAAGCATGGAAAAAACGTGAGCGTCTCCATGGCAGACAACAAGACCGGAGCTACACTACACTGCTTACCGGTTAGTACCACTGCCACACTACTGTACAACCGACAACGCACTCACAACCGCGGCATTAAATGAATACAGGAACATGCGGCACTGTTGTTCCGTGGGACGAATACAAATGCAGAGTTTAACGCGTCAACGTGGTAAAGTGTTGTATTACCATTTACCAGTAGCAGTACGCCTTTGATCGGGCTATATAATAGACAAACGAATGTTAAACAAAATTATTTAAGTAGCTATAGTTTATACTGATGTAAGTATTAGATGTAATTGTAGAAAGGCTTCGAAAATGATTACATAAAAATAAACGAAATTAAGAAATCAAGAAAAAAAACACTACCGGAGTGTGTATATGATATTAAAGCGTCCAATTTAGGAGAGCTTCGCGTGTGCTCTGTTTACGAATATAAATATTTTTTATTATTTCACAGTTAATATTATCGTACCTTTTCTCATAAAAGGTAGGTGCTGTATGCGACGAAGTACAGTACTGTGGCACGTTTGCCGGGTTGTTAGTTGTTACTTGTTCGGTGCGCGTTTACCGTTAACCCGTAATGTTCAAGTGCACTTGCCGTCCCGCCCGTTGCCACATTTAATATTGTAGTCGTTAATGGATGCGCAGACCGTGATCATAACAGCGGCATCACTCACGTCAGCAAATTTACAGCACTGGCGTTTAATAAAAACTGTTTCGTATTCTGCAGAACTGGTGTCTATAACGTACATCGTCGCCCTTGACCTTGAATAGGACTTGCAAGTTTGCATTTTCCGGTCTAGGCCGACCGCAGCTAGGGCTCTTACTATTCACTGCAGATAACGAAATATCACGCGGCCGCGCGCAGCCGGTATTTGCAGTCAACGGCTTCCCAGCCATTTCTGCGCTTTAACGTTGGCGGGCAGATGTACCGTGCATAAGCGGTTCCGACAAAGATATGGAAGCCTTACCATAATCAATTTTAATCACAGAAAATTTATTTTTGCGTTCGTAGGTACGCACTACGCACGCTGTGTAAGTACTACTGTGCGAGTCAGGTTACCGATTATTTTGCACGTGTGTTTTTCGGTACAAGTAATCAGTTAAAGACCACAGTAGCGTGCGCGTAGGGCTTGACTTTGCACATACGGCATATAAATATTAATAAATATTATTTTAATTAGTGGCCAAATGCCACAGCTCGAATATATAGAAGTAGTTTCTTCCTGACTCGCTGAATAGTGAATATTTATTACACCTACGCTACTAACTTGTGAATAGTACTGTATGTACAGTACCTAATTACCTATTCACTTACGGTGCATATACTATACGTCTTTGAAAAAGTTTTACCATAACGAGCACGTGGCTTTGTTACAAATGTAGATTTCTTTTTATCCTTGAACTAAGACTGTTTTTCATGTTATTTTGTTTTCGTGTTTATGACGAGTCTGCTGCCTCGGATTGGGTTTGAGCCCAGATTGTGTGCGGACTTTAAACAATTAAACATTAAACATTATACGTAGGTATTCATCCATCGCTATAACCCAGGCATGGCGAACCGTAATAAAGACATTTTTTATGATTAAGAAGACAAGAATGTGGGAAACGACCGGAAACGGCGGCGCAGCGGTGTCGCTCTGACGTCAGTCGTCCGGTACGGCACGTGCCGCTGGTCTATTTTTATAACTGACTTGATCCTGCCGTTGGATTGCTCCAGTTGCGTTGAGGTGTACTGCGTTGAATAGATCGATAAACGCATAGGACTTCCACAACGGTGAACGGGGAATATCCGACTGTTGAATGAATGTAGCGCATGCAGCATGCTGGCTCTGGCTGACGATTTTACTCCGTTAACGAACTTGCGTTTAACGCTAATGCCGTACTCGCATACCTACCTGTACTAGCTATGTATACGAGTAGAATATCTATATCGTTATAAGTAATATAAATATTCGCTATATTATAAGTAATATAATATAAATATTCGCTGTTTTGTTGCATGTTACGAGTGACGACAGAAGAACCCAATCAACGTTCAGAATAGAGATACCTAATTAACGTATTCCCTGTTGAAAGGAAGGCACTGCTACCATGTCGTGTGATCACTGATTAACCGATTATGGGAACAGGAATTTTCTTTTCGTAAAATTTGTAATTCGACTTCTACGTCGGATGCCATACGGCACACCGCACGGTATAATTAATGGGCTGCCTGATGAGAAATATAGATATGCGAGTATAACGTATTATGCCTTTCAGAACCTAATCCTATGTAGGGTATTAATTAAATACTGATTACCGGAAATGTGCTATAACAAACTCAGCATGCCTCAAAGTTCATCCTCGTAAGAAACATTTCCCCGGTCATCTACATTTACGGTATTTCCGGTTTTCTCACGACCAGATATTCTTCAACAGCAAGCACAAAACTCCAGATCAGTAGTCCAGTTCGCAAGGTGGCAATGGCAACGACTTGAACACAAACGAAGTCCAAATTTAACTGAGTATACTATTTATATAACGCACGCATCTCGACCGTAAAGTATTAAAATACGATATTTATTTTAATTTAAAACACCAGATACACCGCAAAAGCCGCGAAGAAAGCTACTACGACATCCAATTCCTAAGTAGATTACAATCAGTTATCATTAAGGCAGTAAACATAATTCTTAAACACAGACATTCACGACTCAAACGACGATTATTAAATCGAAATGGATAAATAATAAACCAAATCTGTTAAATAACAACTGTTCCTTCGCACAAACCATGTTAACAACAAATATTAATTGTTACCGCAATATTTGAATTCCTCATTAGCCTAAACGCGCGGCATCGCTCCCGTAGCGAACAACGTCACCTTGCTGCCTTTCTTCTTCTTCTTCGATCCTTTACCTCCCATGCCTTCCGCCTTGTTACTGCTCATCTCCAGCTGGCTGAAAGCAGCGTCCAGTCCAGCAGAGAAGGATGCTTGGAAATCCGGCGCTGCTCCTTGCTCGTTTTCCTCATCGGAAGATGTTTGCTTCGGGACATGTTTACTCGCAGACTGATTTCCTTCGTTTCCCGTGGACGACTGACGCTGAACTTTCCCTTCGCGCAGCATCTAAATTAGAGAAACTGGTTATTAAAATCTGTTCCAACTAGTTTTTCAGAAATCGCCCAATCTCGATGACAAGAGCCAAGCGTATCTTTGCCAAACTGAAATGAATGCTCTGACCGCACCTGCGCAAAAGATTTCGGCGCTGAAGTACTAGGAGTCAATGTGGCGACTTTGGGTGGAGAAGGCAAAAGCGTTTCGCTGCCAACTGTTGGAAATGCTTCTTCCGAGGCCAAATTCAAATCCTCCATCGTCGGGCTCGGACTGACGGCGGGAAACAGTTCCGACTGCAGACTAAAGGATACCCGTCCGCGAATATCTTTTCGAAACGCATTCTCCGCATCACGCTGGCGCATCATTTCGTCTCTAGAAGCAGAATACGGAACAAATTAGAAAGAGCTTGTGATCGCAGTATCGCTTACACTTACTGCATTCTGATGTTGCGAACATGATGGCGTTGGTCGATTTCCGGCGCGAAACTGTCCAGCACCTCCATGGACACCATCGGCGGCTGCAAGTCCAGTTCAACCACGCTAAATACACACGTCAGCGGCAGGTGCGATAAATACCGATACCTATAAAAACCGTACTGGATAATCCAAAGAGTTCACAGATGGAGAAACCAAACAAGAAATGCAAATTACCGTTTCCGTATTTCCTCGTTAATACTCCATGTATCAACGTCCACCACCTTCCCAGTGATCTCCAACGGCGCTTCTCGGACATGTCCATACTGTGCTGTCAGCATTCGCACGTTAATCGGATGCAAATAAATATGCTGCCCGTCTGCTGCCTGATAAAAATAGTGCACTCCAGTAGGGATTTCTCCAGAGCCACGTGATCGTCCGGAATATGTCGACGAGGATCCAGTTGGAGATCCCACAATGCCCTCGCTCCCAGAATGCTCAGCTACCTGTGTAAGTGCCGAGTTTGACGCCGACGGCATATCTCTCCCATACTCGCTCTGCCGATTGTCAGATTGCGCTGCCTTTCGATCGGCCATCGTCTCGAGAGTGAAATCGTCCTCCAGTGAGCCCAAGACGACTTCCTCCTCGGAGAAAGCGCAAGCATACTTCTTGGAGCTTTTTGCAGGTGCCCGAATAATGGGCTCGGGTTCGGTTTTCGTATCTTTGACCACCGTAGGGGAGGAAGAAGGAATCACCACGCCCGAAGAGTTTTCGCGGCGAACGCCCAACTGTTTCAGCGCTGCCTCGATGAAACAACATTCCGGATTATCCTTTTCGGTCTCTAAGGCGAATTTCAGCTCATGCTCCTCCCGATTGAGAATTTCTTCCGTCAACTGGTCAGGACGAATCAACAACAACTTGGAAAATTCCAACGAAACAGCATCTGCAACACCCATGCAAGCGTTAGCACCCTAACGCATTCTATGTACCAATACAGACATCACTGTACCTTGCAGATTATTAAATTTCCCATCGGTGTTATTTGGATCCCACTGACTAACCGGATAAGCCCGTACAGAATTCTTTTGGCGCACCATCAATCGCATAGTGATTTCACTGCCAACGCTTATGGGCTCCACAATTTCCGTTACGACACTGAAAACATAAACTCGGACGGTTACAATACAAGCAGCACGATTATTATGTAATTATAAACGTATGCACAAAAATGAACCTTTTCAAATCTTTCGCATAAACAGATTCGTAGCAGATGGGACATTTTCGATAACTTGCATCCGACAGAGCCAAATAATGCAGGATACATGCCCAACAGTAAACGTGGCCGCAGCGCGTCATCTTGGCAGCAACGGGTGGATGCAAGCAAATCGGGCAGTTCAGCTGTTCAGACTGAAACACTTTCTGCAACAGATTTGTTCGTTACTGTTAGACCCACTAGGATCGCCAGTCGAAAGATAAAAAAACCGTACTTACTATCAACTCAATATTGCTCCATTCCACCAAAACATCCGGATCCACCTGGTGAATGGAATAATCGCCCGCATCCTTGACAATGAACTGGCATCTGAAAAATAATCCCCAAAATCAGCTGCACGAAGAAAGCGTAAGTAGAAATGCGGTACTTACGTGGCCTGCAGAAAATTCTCCTTGTTGTAACGTGGCTGGAAATAGTATCGATGCACCTGCTGACCACGTCGACCACCATGAAACCCTCCATGATCACCGCGATGTCCGTAGCTGAAGTTCAACAGATGATTGTAGTTGTGCTTACGTGTTCCCTGTTCCGCACCATTCAATCCCAGCTCATCGAATGATCCGAGGCCCTGGGGCTGCAGCGAATAGCACCATGGTTAAGGAATCACAAAAACATCCGCCCATGGTGCCACATCCTATTCAGTCGCGACTCACAACACGATATTTTAATAACAATTAATAAGGATCAAATTTAATGGCAGACCATTAAACACCAATGGAAATCACCTGGTTTCCTCCTTTGGATGATCCCACCGTTTTCGCAGATTTAGATTCCCTCTGAGATGCAGCGCGCGACTGATTCTGCACGTTTCCGCTGCGATTGCCTCCTCGTTGACGGGTAAATGAGCTTCCGCTCGGCTGAGAGCTGCAAGCTTTAACTGGGGAGGCATTTCCATTCGCGCCACCTTGTAAAACAATCAGCAGAGTTAATTCAGCCCAAAAAGAGCAAACAAAAAAATCCAAATGATGCCAAAATATCAGGCTAACGGAAGTCTCTAAACATTGCTGACTGCAGCTCAAAACAACATTCCCACAAAATAGCGTGAATGGCCCACACTCTGTAGCGGATATTCTGTTTGATCAAACGTACAGGCAAACAACTTGTTTCACTCGGTTTTAAGGATTGAAAGGCTGCAGAAAGAAGAGCGAAAAGATCCGATACGCACAGCATCGATATGAGAACAGTATTCCAAAAAAACTTGAAAGTCGAATTAAAATCAGGAAAGTTAACATTAACGGAGCAGTAATCAAATCATCAGTTTTCGCATGAGGACAGGAGACAGTGCAGTCAGTACCTTGCTGGAGGCGGGTAATGCTGCCATTTACGCAGCTTCCTTGCTGAGCAGGACTTGGATTCCCGTAGCGTTTCATCTGCTTGTCCATCTTGTCGGTATCGTCCCTTTGCATGGGCTAATTTGAGAGAAGGATTCTCCCAAACGTTCACGAGTTTGGCAGTCAAAAGAGGCTCGCCACCGTCGAGGAAAACATTTGCACTCGAATTGTTATAACAATGTTCCATGATACTAATAAAATCACAAATCCATTTTCCACAAAAACAAATAAAACCAACAAAACTCTTACTAAAGTGCAATATAAAAACGTAAAAAATGTTTTAAAATATGAAAACTGGGGACGGATGGTCCCGAAAGGCGCGAGGAACTCGGGAAGGTCACGGGGAAAAACCTGGAAATCCTAAATCACAATTTGCTGCTAGAATTCAGCCCGAAAGACATGTGAGGACTGAGGACTGATATCGCAATTTCAAATTTGCGAGCAGTGCGTTTGTTTCATAACATTGCTGGCCCAACACAGAGTGGGCCACCACATCGCCACTCAGCAGTTGCACTCGGTTGCGAAGGATATGTACGTACAGTAATCAAACCGAACCGGTCGGTCTGCGGTACGGTGTGATCTACGGTCTATTAGCTGCCTTATTTTAATTTTCAGGTTTTATTAAATCTGTGTTACAGAAAAAGTGAAAACTGTTCACCAGATTTATAATTATAAGTATAAAAATATATTTTTAATTTTACTTTGTAATCGTCTTTTGGCTTGTACAGCTTTTTGTAAAGCCGCCGACTCGGTCGGGCGACCATACCGTGAGCCACCAGGCTGATGAGCGCCAAGGCCGGAACCACACTTTAGAGCATGGCGCCTTTTCATGGCCCGATTTCTGGTTTATTCATTCATTCAAAAAAGTGAACCTTGCCAAAAATGCCAGAAAAAACAAGAACGATTGTAATGATTCTGCCATTTTTTACAACTGGATAGAATTTGCTCCAAATTTTTAAGTTTTGTTACTTCTCATAGTAAATACCTGGATCCAGAAGTACTGAGATATCTGTGTGCAACAAATTCTTTTTCATCTATCTGCCGTTGACGTTGTGATAATCGTAACTGGGAAGGTAAGAGTCGTAAGACTGCAAGAGTGTGAGACCGTGAGAATAGATTGTCAGATTGTGAATTTTTACTGCCATTTCTAACTCATTGATTGCGCTCGTTGCACTTGGAGTTTTGCGCCCTTAAAAATTGAGTGTTTGAATCGCTCAGTCACATCTTTTGGAGTTGATAAATATCCGTTTCTTGTATGTCGTTGTAATACGTTGGATCGCAGCACTTCGTAGTCCGTAATACTTTGTAACAGAATACGGGTGCGCGGAATGCTTCATAAAAATTTGAAACTCTATCTGTCTATCAGTTGCATTTTATGGACCATATAGCTCTGCGAATATAGCGTCAGGCTTATAATGATGCTTGGCTGGCTTTGCAGGGACTGTGTAAAGAACTAGTCAAGTGACGCAGTGCAGTGGCATGGTTAGGATGCCAGGAAGAAATCAGGAGGATTCTCCTGGCATCTCTCCCATCAGGGCCGATTCAGCAGGGGACATGGAGGAGGATCCTGCCGATGTGACGATGGACAGTTTGGAGGCCAGCGAAGGGGTACCTGATCCCTCCGTCTCTGATGCTGGCCCGACTCAAACAGCCCCGCAAGATCGCGAAGAAGGCCAGAGCGAAAGCGACAGTCAAATGAAGGCCCCTGACACTCCGTCTGAAACGAAACTCAGCAATGGGAATCGCAGAACTAACGGGTAAAAGCGTTTAACGCGCTTATCAGCAGTTGCATTTAAGAAATTACGACATGGCTTTAGCAGGTTGTCTGAGCTGGTATTCACTGTATTACTATTGTGAGTTTTAAAGCCAGATTCGGGTAATCTAAGTTTGTAGTTAACTTAGTTTAATTTTTTATAATTTTGTATTGTTAATTATCGGTATAAAGCCTTCCTCGCATATTAAGGAAAACGGGGAGTCTTTTCGACGTGTAGTTTTGTTAATTTTTTTACACGTTTACTGTACAAAATACTGTCCGGAAGATATTGATTCATTTAAGAATTTTAAACTCCTTTTCGTCTGTTTTTTAGATTTTTCTTATGATCTCGGACAGATCAAGCTAAGAAATCGATACTATCTATTTTAGTATGAATTTGTTCGCAGATTTTCCGAGTCTGAGGGTGCCGTCTCCCCACCCGCCGGGGGGTCTGAGAACTCCTCCACTCCGAAATCCGCTGCTCCCACTCCTCAGCGCCCCCGTCGAGCTGCCGCTGCAGTTGCCAATGAGCGCATGGTACTGCGCAAGCGTCCCGCAGCCACTCCCGATGACAAGACGCTCTCCCCGGCCAGCTCTACCCCCGCCAAAGCTTCCAATTCTTCCGCGCCAAAGAAACGGCGCCCCAGGGCGCTGGACAACACAATTACCTCCGCTGACGCCTCCGAAGTCACTCATTCTCCCTTGATGTCCGTCTTGAAAAGCCGCCAACGGAAAGCGGCCGCAGCCGTGCCCGTAGCAGCGCCCAACCGGAAGCGGCAGCGTGTCGGCGAGGATGATTTGTACATTCGAAGTTTATGTGGAATTTTGCGCAGTGGCGAAATGACCATCGGGGGCCTGGTGGACAGCTGGGTGGACACCTATAAACGCGATCATTTGATGGGATTTTTGGAGTTGGCCAACTTCTTTGTCCATAGCTCCGGGTGTAAAGGGAAGATCGGTGCCGGAATGACCAAGCTCGCTGCTGATGAAATTATGAAGCAGCTGACGCCAAAGTTTGAGGAGGTGCGTGGCTTTGAAAATCAGTTCGGCATGATGTGATAAAAAGCAGTAACGTCTGTCTTTTCCTTACTCGATACTCTGTAGCAGCACCCTCTATTTTTTATTGCCTGGGAGGGGAGGGGCAGAGTGCAGGGAGGTTTTAACGCGCATACGTATCTCGGAATGTGTATTAGTGACTTCATTCAGGTAGTCTTGTGTTCCTGCGGAAATCACTTTCCTCTCAACTTCCATATATATTTTAAGTAAAACTATCAATTGAGTGTTTCGGTTCAAAGGAGTTCAGGGACTTCCGGTGCGTGAAGCCATTACAACCGCCCAGCGTGGCAAGGGAAGGCGATTTTCTAAAAATTGCTTTTGTTATTTTTACTGTGCCGACAAAAGTGGTTTTCTCGAGTGCTAGTGAAAAATAAAGAACAGATTAGAAATGAAAAAATTGTTGGCATTTACAGTGTCCTTAGGGACTTCTTTTTCGATCGGTTTTCTGCATCGCGTAAAACCAGTACCGTAAGTACTTCTCGAATAGTACGTTTTATGATATTAAATTATTACAGTATGCTGCTGGGTACGAGTAGTGGTTCTGTGACTTTGCTTCGGCAATGACGCTGGTATTTCCGGTCTCAATGCCCCGTTTACACATTAACTGCTTACAAGTTAATGGTTTTGCAGGATACAAATGATTATCCCCTCATCCGAACGGACAAAGAGTTCAAAAAATTCCGGTCTGACTTCTGCAAATTCTTGCACACTGTCGTGCTTGCCATAAAAGACACGATTCTTTTTGATGACTATTTGATCGACAACTTATTCCGTCTCCTCATCGACATGGCCGATTCGGGCATACGGGCTTTCCGCCATACTGCCACCCTCGGCGGTAAGTTTGCGCGGTTCCTGGTGGGGAAGTGCTCAACTGTTCATCTGTTGTTTCATTTCGTGCTTTGTTGTTTAGTCATGAAGATCTTGACGGGATTAGTAGAAGTCATGGTCCATCAACATCGTATTGTGCAAAATGACCAGCAACAACTCGAACAGGAAGAGAATCGAAAACGCTCGAATCCGCAGCGCGTCCAGATGCTGGAAAGGACATTGAAAGCCCATAGGGACCAAGCCGATAAGGTGAAGGAATGCTTCGAACTGGGCTGCAAGCAGGTGCTCTATATACGCTACCGTGACACGGTTTCGTCGATTCGGGAACTGTGCATGGAAGAAATAGGTAAAATGCCATTATTTTCCATTTTCATATTTTTACAGTTTGCTTACTGGCCTGTTCGTGTTAGGGGTATGGATGAGCATTTATCCGGAACGATTTGTGGATGACAGTTACTTGAAGTATTTGGGATGGACACTGAATGATAAAGAAGCAGCAGTTCGACGGAAATGCTTATCAGCTATTTATCCCTTGTATGAGACCGAAGAGAACGTGGCCCGCCTTCAACTGTTTTCCTCGAAATTCAAAGACAGATTCGTGCAGATGGCAACCGATGTGGATACAGAATGCTGTATTCGGGCTGGGAAAATCTTGATCGCCATGAACAGGTATGGCAAGCATGTTTGTAATGCACGGCTTTTGGATTTTATATAACGATAATTATTGGCTTCCGTTTATTTGAATTGTGTTGATTATTTTATAATTATACCTCATCGGATGTTTTGCGGTTATTCGTAGGTCCATGCCAGAATTATTCGGTGAAGCAGATCTGACTCGAATTTTCGATCTGATATACGTGGCCGATCATAATTTAGCCGTAAGTTCAGCGGAGATCCTCATCAACCATATGACATCAGTAACGGCAGTGGATCGTCAGAATCGGCCGCGTTTTAAATCGGGAAAAGAATGGTCAGATGATACTTTTGACCTGTATTTCCTGATTGCCTTCTCCGTAGCCAACACCAGCAGGAGCACGAACCAGGCGTACTTTGTGGACAGTCTGATCGATGTATGCCCAGCCCTGAAAGCCTGGGAAGCCATGACGGATTTGCTACTAGAAGAATTCGAAGAAGGCACTACACTGCAGCCGCTTAGCGACAAGGAAGAGAAAGAGTTGATAACCGTCATGAGTTATGCCATTAAGCAGACGGCAACTGCCGAAGCACCCGGTGGACGCAGTCACGTCGGAAGGAAACGCAATAAGGACGCCAAACAGGTGCGGTTTTATTTGTGAACAAATCCTATAACTATGTTGTGTAGTGCACGATTTACAGTAAGCGTTTATTATTATAAATGAGTTATTTTACGAGTCCTTGTTCTACTATAGTTATTGGATATTTGAGTGTAAATGGATGGCATTGGGTATATTAAATATTTTTCTTTATAGACCAAAGATGAAGTGACCGATCTGACTACGCACTTCATAGATGTACTTCCTAAATTAATCAGCAAATACAAACAGGATCCCGCCAAGATTACCTTTCTGATCTCATTCCCGCAGTATTTTGATGTTGACTTGTATACTACCAATCACAAAGAAGCGGTAAGGTTTTGATTTGTGTTTCGTACATTCTGCTTCTTTCTAATGTTTTTAATTGTACGTACAGGAACTGGGCACGCTGCTTGATCTCCTGTGTGAAATCTACGAGAAGTACGAGCACGCTCCGCTGCTGAAGGCGGCCGTGAAATCTCTGGACTGTCTGGAGCGTGAAGGCAGCGGAATCGTCAACCGTGTGGCCATCGCCCGGACCACCATTCTAACCAGTATTGTCAACAAATTCCAGGAGGCTTTCCCACACTGGCTGGCCTTCAACGGGGATAACGATCAGGAGCTGGTGTATCACATGGAGAGCAGTGTCAAGCGCCTGTACGCGCTGCTGATAACCAGCGACGGCAGCGATCTGGATATCTGGGACCCCATCCTGCAGACGCTGGAAAGAGCAGTGACGCTGAACTATGCGTCCATTTGTGACTCGACCATTAAGTGTTGTATGTTGCTGCTGTTTTGGAAAATCCGGGCGTTACAGAGAAATGCGGATGGACCTGACGCGGCGATCTTAGAAGAACATCAGAAAAGATTTCAGTACTACGTCGACGTATTGTTAGGGGTGGTGGCAGACCATGATGTGGAGGAAATCGTTTATACTGTAAGCAAAAAAGCTCTGGAAATTAATTAGCCCCTTTTTCATTGGTCTCGTTTTTTTGCAGGCATTTGGATCGGTTATTGATGCAGTTATTGTCCATCAGCCACAGAATGATCGAGTTCCTGATTGGTTTAAAAACCTGTCCTTCCAGCTCAGTGCGGATCAACAAAGTATTCTGTCTAATTATATCGACAAAGAAGTGTTATCCAAGCCTTTGCCCGATGGGGGGTCATCCGCTGCCTTCAATTCAGTGATAGTCGACAAGGAGAAACGGGATGAAGTGGTGTACAAGCGAAGAAAACTGCTTCTCCAGTTCGTCAAAGCGATGTCCTGTGCCATTATCCTTCCTCGTTATGCTTCCGTTGTTTTCAAACATGCTATATCTGTAAGGAATATTTTTGGCGAGAAATTTCTGTGAAAGTATTGTGAGATTTTCGTGTGATGTGTAGAGCAACATGGATTACGGTGATATTATCAAGGAGACCATGAAGCGTCTTCAGGAAGTCAATCCGGTTTATTTCGCGGAGTGTATTGCCGCCAGTCTGGTTGAGATGTTCACTGGTATCGCCAAGAAACGCCGAATTACCCGCGTGAGTCGAGATGTTCTGGATATAAAGGATATGGCCAAGCGGTTTGCGGCCTACTTTGGAACTGACAACGTTCGATCACGCTCTGCTATGGGAGCCCTCCACAAGTATGACGAATTGGGAGATGTTTGGTGCAGATGTACGATGACTTGAATCGTATCTAATTGTTCTGCAGGTATTGTTTCGAGTTCATCAAGGGCGCTGCGAGCCGGGACGATGCTGTCCTTCGGATTATTTTCTTCGATATTTTGAGCGAATTCCATAGTAAATTGCTGCGACCGGATAAAACGAGCTTGTGAGTTGTTCTTGTGGCTTTCTTGATTGATATTTGTTTGAAGAGATCACCCATTGGCCATCGGAAGGGAGCGATTGGCTTGTTGCACTGTAATAGATTTATTGGCCATGAATCCATTGTGTTTTGCGTTTTTCTCAGGGTGAATCTTCTGAACAGCATGGACATCCTGAAGACAAACCCCGGCGAATCAATACCTTCCAATGATCTGTTGTTGCCATTTCTACAGTACCGCAATACTTTAGCTCTCGGTGGAATGGAAGGAGAACCGGATGACAAACATCGTCGAGGTCGTCGCATTAATCCGCCTCAAGGCAAAAAGGGGGCTGTGCTTGAAGGAACTGTGGCCGAGGCTGAGTCTTCAGAAGCCGCGGAAGCTGCCAATCTAGCCGAAGTGAACAATGTCGGACACGATGATGCGACATCCGTGGCGGGAAGTGTACTGGACCCGAATGCGACGGTGGAAATCGAGCAGTCCATGGATGTGGTGTGAGCAGTGTGAGTTCGATTTTCTACGCAACTCATCATCCAGCAATATTAATAGGTAAATCACTGTAAAAGGATATTGTTTTATAGGACCTGATGAATTGGTCCAAACGTTGGGAGGGTTTATTGCGAAAGGAGGACAATAAATTATGGCACAGCATTAGCAGAGTTTCTGTTCAAATCCGGCAGTCATTGTTGTTTCCCTTTTTGTATTTTTGTCTCCTCTCTTTTAAGTTTTACACTTTTTACTGTATTACTAAAATCTTTTCCTCAGAGTCTTGTTGCCATTCACTGGTTTTTCCGTAGTGTTGGACAGAATTATTTTTATTTATCAGTGAATAGGCTTTATTTATTAGTCTAGCGTACTTCTTGTTTGAATTTAATTTTTCAAGTCAGTTTCGTGTGAGTAAAGTAGTGCTGTTTATAGTGAACTGTTGTTTAAATAATAATACTGATGTCGATAAAATATTCTGGTTATCTTCACTTATTTCGAAGGATATAAAGCAACAATGTCGTCGTCGCCAGCTTAACGTTCGTGGTGGCTGACAGGATGGTACAAGCACACCCTTGTTAAATGATATAATGAATATACCGTAATATCTCATTTTTTATGGACAGGACACTTTTCATGAGAACAGCAATGTTCATTATAAAATTAGCGCACCTTACAGATTAGTCATTAAACGTAGCGTAATCGCACAATGGGAAAAAAAGGGAAATTTATCGTGCATACTTTCAGATTATTTTCTAGGTTTCGAATTTTTGATCTCTCAACTTGTATATTCGATAATTTCGATTATATAACTTCTATGCAGTAGTTATAACTTTTAAGTAATTTTTATTAGCATCGAATACGCAGGACGGTGTATTGTAGGCGTAGCATACTAGATAAAATGTGCGTAATTCATCTATAATATTATACAATTTCTTGCAAAGTAAACGATAATGCGATACTACTAAAATAAATACTTTATAAAATTTATGATCAACGTAGAATATCGTAATATTGCCGAGCTTTTTTTCCTGAGTTTATGACCACTTTTTATTACTCGAAGTTGGAATTCAGTTTCAGGTTGAAGTCAGAACATTCTTACAAAATTGTGCATGCCGTTATTGATTTACTGTTACATAGAATTCCGAAAGGAATGCAAAACGGTAGAGATAAAACACAGGAACTGATTCAACGATCTTAAGCGGACATATTATCAAAATTTTACATCTTTACACACATTTGATACGAACGTAATCTATGAGGAATATGGAAAGGTCCATTCCATCGCGGAATTGAAAGGTCACATCCGCGGGGAAGCGGATCCAGTCCATCGCAGAACTGTGGGAGCTGCTGCCTTAGGAGTGCTTCACTTCCGACTTGTAGGTGTGCGTCTCCTTGCCATCCTTGACTTTGTGGTGTTCCTCGGTGTGCTCTTTCCGGTCACATCCACCGCATCCTTTGGTCTCCGACTTGAAGTCGTGGGTCATTTTCCCGTCCTTCACTTCAATCTTTTCCTTGGTCTCGGTTTTGGAGTCCATTGCGAAGATGATAACTGGAGTGGTTACGAGATCAACACAATAATACGGAGTTCAGGAACAAAGTTATACTTAATAGGAATCAGCTTTGTAAGTGCAGGTTAAAATTGCTAGGAATGAACTGCAGAAGCTTGTGCTGGCAGATTAAATACTGCTGTACAAGTGGCATCAAGCTGCATGGTATGCAGGCTCTGAAATTGATTACCATATCGCGAATCTTGCATGATCCGAGGAATCTCCCCGGCGGCAGATTCCACAGTTTAAAGCACTGTACTCAGTGGGCAGTTATCGTGCGTGAACCATTCGTAAGGCATGACTAGTACTGTGCGATAGTGCAGCAAGGTTTGGCCGAAACCGGTATTTTCTGTAAAGGTATGTACATAGTATTGTACACCACGAGATATCGGATTCACATTGTACTCGTATTCCACTTACAATCTGACTAAATGAGGAGGCTACGGTCTATGTTAAAAAGCCAGCGAACAGCCTTTTATGCCCGCTGAGGCTGGTTGATCAATGCAGCCTCTCTGTTGTGACTATAAATAGACTGAAGACAGCGCATTCCGGTGCTGCCAAAAAGCGCAAGCGGAGTGCTGCCTTGCTGTAACGATCGATCGCGCACATGTGTGTGTGAGTGGGTAAATCCGCTCGCATTCACTTACACACGTATGAGTGTGGCTGTCTGTGCGCGTACTAGCTGAACAAACCGGTTTTCGCTGTCTTCGCTACAACGCATACCCTAAACCCGTAGCTTCCTTTCTTGCTCGCATTGTATATAGATATACAGTGTACTGTACATGGTGACTGCCTGACTGGTGAGCTGATTTACGATCGATCTGCGATCGATCAGCTGTGACGTGTGCACTTTTCGTGGGTTAACAAACACAAAGCAATGATACCATTTATGGTTATATAGAAATAATATAATGATAATAAAATATATTGCTTATGTTTTTGCTTTTTACAACGTACAACAATATAAATTTGTCGTGATGCCAACGTCATCATTCTTTTTCTCACTGGTCAGTTGTATTGCCCCGATATATCACAGAGTCAGTGACCGCGCACAACGAATTTCAACTAATAATTATCGAAGTCCAAAGGGGAAACGCGGCATCCATCCTGGGAACGGCACCAGCCACGGCTAATTTAGATCAAATGTTCTCTGTAATTCGGCCGCCTGTTTCCGCTGTTTGTTAAATTCGTAATGTCATGTTCCTTTTGTGGATGTTACATTACTTTGTATTCGCTCGTCATATGGTTAATTTCTCATTAAAAACCACTAATAATTATTAACAATATTAAGTACGGTACGAGGTGGCACGGGATACAGCGCTGGAAAGTGAAATTTACAAAAAAATATTATGGCACTACTTTTTCAAAGGCAACAACTTATCTGTCTAAAGAAAAAGACACTTACTTGTGGGTAAATCCGAAAGTGTATTAACACATAATTTTATGGATATTTATCTTGCTCTGAGTGCCTCTGACAGCATCTGGGACTGGGAGACCAGGACTAACAAATTTTTATGCAATAGACCGTACGAGAATTTTTAAGCTTCGCTTGTTAAAAAATCATATTTATTGCACAATCGCACGCAGAAAAACAAATAGACGAATAAAATTATTTACTTCTAAATTAAAATAAAAACTCGGTGGCAAAAACTTTCATGTTCGTAAATCGTAATGTACGAGTATTGTACATATGACATATGCATACAATATAACATAACGTATGCATATATATATTCACATTTGACACTATATAATAAAAATTATATTTTATCTGTATAACGAAATTTGACCACGAAAACTATTGGCATTGGTTAAGAAAGCACAGTAGCAGATGTCAAAAGCTTTTGTGTTACGGAAGTTGACTTTGTTAATTATCAGTAATAATATAGTTATAAAGTACTTACTTATAAAATTGAGCGGTAGTTTGTCTTTGCAATATAAATTTTAAATGTAAGCATGGGCAGTACAGTAATTAAAATTTGTAAGCTTCCGGCCACAAGAGACTTTCGGAAGAGCTAGAGATATGTTACGTATCTGTATTTGTTTTCGCTATATCAACTAAAACTTTTCGGCACATGTTACTGTTTTACTAGCGATTTTATTCGTTTTCCTAGCAACGTTGTACCTTTTGCCGGATGTTGTACGACAAAATACTGTTACAGTTTTATATGGAAGTTAAGTATGAACATTTTACAGAATTAATTTAATGCATAATCCCCGTAAGCCGTAAGTAAATGTGTTAATGCAAACGCGTTTTTGCAGTGCAACTGCCCGTTTGTGTGTAGACTAATTATCAACGTAAAGCGAGTTATCAATACGGTTACCAGTTCTCATTAGTTGCAGTTGCATAGAAGAGTTACTAGGCTGACTCCAAAAGTACGGCATAGTTTATAACTAACTTGTGGAATGGCATCCAGTACTGATCTCAAGAAGGTGCCTTCGACTAGTCCTTCGGCCAATTTAAAGAAAGTGCCATCGGCCAACGTTGACCTCAAGAAAGTTCCTTCGGCGGCGCCCTCGGCAAAATCCGCGAAATCCGTTAAATCTGCCAAATCTGCCGCGTCCAATGTGTCTGGTGTTTCGCCCTCACCGTCCAAGACTGTCCTTCCGGTCCCCTCGGGAACTCCGGTGGCCGCCGTGTCATCGGGAACCGTAGCTGTCAAAATGCCGGCCGCTCCTGTTCCATCGAATCCCGGGCTAATTACCGACGAAAGCGTTAAGAAAAAAGCTCTCACGCTGGACGCCATCTCGAAACTGTCGGCGACACTGCCGGCGGATAAACGAACACATTTAGCCGCCACCGGCAAGCAGCTCCTCAATGCCTGGAGGAACAACAAATTCTGCGATGTGGTGATTAAAGCCGAGCACAGTCTGTTTTATGCTCATCTGGAAGTGTTTGTTGCATTCACGGATTATTTTGAGGATGTCCCCGCCCAGAGGAAGGTGCAGCAGATCAACCTGGGCCTGGATGTGAAACCGGACGACTGCGCAGCAGTCCTGAAGTACCTGTATTTTGGGGAACTCCAGGTTGGTAAGTGTCCCTGACGGATAATTCTAAACCGCTTAATCAACGCTATACGCCTATCTCTCGGATAATCTTTACTTGGCTTTCATTTTGTAGGCTAGTGCGGAGAACGTGTACGGAATTTGGACAATTTCCAAAGCGCTCCATATTCATGATATCGATGTGGCATGCGCTACGTTCATCGAACGTCTGCTGACGCCACCGAATTTAGTCTACGTTTTGGAATACTGCGAGCAGAAGAAAGTGCAAGATCTGCATGCCGCAGCGTATGATCGATTTATGGTGACCTTTTATGAACAGACCGAGAACAGCCTTTTCTTGGAGTGGGATGTTGATAAGGTCATCAGATTACTTGGCTGTGACGACTTGAAAGTGAAGGTGAATGTTAAGACCAGTTAATATGCAAATAACTGAATTAAGACGATCATTCAGTACTGCAGTTACTGCAGTTAAAGAAAATGTTCTCTGAATCGATTTGCAACTTTAACAGTTAAATTTGACTAAGGTTGTTGTGTTCTGAATTTTGACGCCCGAATGGCTGATTGCAGACGGAGCTGGATGTGTATGTCGCCATGAAACGTTGGATAGACCACAAACGTCCAGAGCGTATTGCATATTTGGAAGTTCTTATTGAACTGGTGCGCTTTGCGCATATGACACGGGATGAACTCGTGCAGTGCACGCTGTTGGACCCAAGCTATCTGGAAGTGCTAAAGGTTAAAGAACTTTTGGCCACAGCAAATTGGTAAGGGTTTGTGTAATTTATCAGCGTTGGTAACATTTGTGCCATCAGGTGTGGTTATGATCTTGATTGATAATGGTTGGTTTGCAGGTACATAACTATGCAGCAAAGTGGTCGACACTGGTCAGAATTTCAATTACCCAAACCGAGACATCCTCCTAGAAAGGATTGAATAGTTCCTAGTGCTTTAATATATGAGTGTTATGATTATCCGTAGAAATATTCTCTTTAATTTATGTTCTAACGGATGGAAATCTGCCCTAGTGTGACGATTGTTTGAAACATGTGATTTTCGTTTTATGTGGTTACCGGTATATAGTGGTGCGTTTTGGTTTTTCTGCCGGATACTGATCCTTTCTAGAACTGTTTGCAAGTTTTATTTGTATGATCAATAGTGAAATTATTCCACAAAAGTGGTTAACATCTACAGAGTACAGTGAACGTACGGTTTTTTCTCCTATGCGCCTATGCGTAGTTACATGGCGGTATCCGTAAATTAAGTATTGTGTTTATGATAATACTGTAATAAACTACTGTATCAATAATATTTACACAATATATTTGCTCCTGTCGCTTCGCTCCTTGAATTCTTGCAGTAGAAACGAAATGCTTATTTAGATAACATCGAGCAAGGGAACTGAGCGGTTTTTGAAATATTGCAGTCATGGTGGTTCTGAACCGTGTTACTCTGACCTTTGAGAACAATGTACCCAAACTGCGCGAAAACGCGGTGGAAAAGGAGGAATCGCTTGCAGCTGTTCCCAGTACCAAAACACATTTACATTTGGAAAGTCAAGGAATCACGGAAATTGTAATCACTTGCGGTTTTTTAACATGACATGCATCCACTGTTTTTTTTATCCAGGGTGAACTCAGCCCGTATCCACGCCTGCGCGTGCTTTACCTTTTCGACAACAAGATCAAGAAGATTGCAAACCTGGATTTTTCGCCTAACCTCACCCATTTGTATCTGCAGAACAATCGTATCTTCACCATTGAAAATCTGCACTGCCTACCACATCTGCAGAAGCTGTATGACACGATCCTAACTCATGCATATCTTTGTGATTGTAGTAGATTATACAACTGCTCACAGTACTTACCGCGCCTCTAATTCAGTGTTTAACAGCAACTTGCAAAATTAAGTCGTAATGATAAAAAAATTACAGCACGCACGCAGCGGCATATTGGAAAATTAATATTTTATTAGAATTTGCTGTAGGTTTTTGAGTGGAAATTACATTACCGTAGTTGAAGGACTAGAAACCAACAGTCAGCTTAACGAACTACATGTTGATCACCAGAAGCTAGCGGATGGAGAATCACTTGTTCTGGATCCACGTAGTGCATCGATGCTGCAGGTATAAATCAAGGTATGCTGATACGGATTAAAAACAAGGAACTTGCATGGTACTACATACTTACCATTGTTAATTGCGCAGATTTGCTTGATTTAGAATTGCGTTCCGATTTTGGTTTAAAGTACAACGTATACCTCGGATATCGTTGTATGATATTTACACTTAGTTGTAATGTAATTCCGCTGCGCAGTGTGTGGGAATATAATTCGTTCCGCTATATAATAGAGATGTCTGCTGACCCTGGACATTTCTGGCAACAACATCCGGGATTTAGGAAATTTCCAACACTTGCGGAATCTGACCGGCTTGTTCCTTTCGGATAACCAGCTGGCAAATATCAACTTGTTCCTCACCGTTCTGGAGAAGCTGGCCGACCTTAGATATTTGCGTGTATCTGGAAACCCTCTCTCAAAAACCATGCGATACCGAGAAAAGATCATCATGGCTACTTCATGTCTTGGTACGTGTAGTTTCTGCTATGTGGCATATGCGTCTTTGCGAACTCAATAAAGGTGAACCCGTAATTCTAATTGTTATTGGTAATAGCCGAAATTTTCAGAAATCCTTGACGGCAAGACAGTTTCGGCCCAAAATAAGCAGTTTCTAAGTAGTATGTTACATTCTCGTCATCCGTTTCCTCCGTGCGAGGTACCGTCTGGCATGCGTTCGTCGGACATGAATGCCAGATCATTTAACGGAATGGACGGACTGTTGCTACCAAATGTTGTTAGTGGAACTAAGGTCACCGATCGAATAAGGACAGTGGCCGACGGCGATGGCCCAGTGCGGTGCGCGATGCCGGCGAGAAGTGCTCCGAAACTGAGAAAGATCCCCAGCGCAATGCTGGCGCAGCAAGAACAGATTCTTCGGAAGCTGCAACTCAGAATGTAAGCCGAATGGATTTCTTAAAACCACCGGCATTTACAAAAATTATTAGTGCGTTTTCGTTATACTGAAGCTCTTTAAGCATTGGTACTGATTAGTGACGTGAGCCGTTTCAGAATAAAGGAACGACAGAAAAATTCGTTTCATTGTTAATTTGCCTTTACTGGGCGGGTCTGTGACATACTTGTATTGTCATATTGCCGTTGAAAATGTACGTGGTTACTTGATATTTTCGTTAAATCAAGGCAGCTGCAAACAAGCGACGCTGTTATTATTCACATAAGCGACGTACATTTATCCAGGCGCTGCTGGTACATTTTCAATTGTGCAGTAATGATAGTTAATCTCTTCTCGAATCTGCGGGCGCAGCAAGTGCTGGGATCGCATGGTACCGTACTAATCATGGCGCCGTACCGCCTATAATAAACTCAGAACAATTTCAGTTTTTGCAACAATCTATGAGCATAAAAAATTGTTTTTGTTTGCCATGGTCAACACTAACAGGGTGATGCATGGGCTACACCACAGTGCGGAATTTTAATTTTGCTTTCGCCACGTCCTCTTTACCATGCCAGGCAAAAATATTTTTAAGGTTTCGCTAGAGTATTTTTTTAAACTTTTTTGAATTTTTAATTTTTCAATTTGTTTTAAATTTTGATTTTCTGAACTTATAGCCGGTGACGGCACTTTGGTTAGTTGTTTCGTTTCTTGGCTTAATTAGCACTTAATTAGCACTTACGGAAGTACTTAATTACCTATAGCAGTCTGTAACAACTGACGCAATACAATTATCAAGATTCTAACGTAGACCTGTACAAATGAAACTCAATCGCAGTTCCAGTATTGGAAGCGAAGCCTGTTCGTACGGACATCTGAATATCCTAGTCCGGTCTCGTCTAACTTCCGGTTAATTATTTGGCTTCAAGTGACTGTCGTCTTACCATACAGATCTTCTGGCTAACAAAAGTTGCTTAGTGACCACCCCTCCTGGGTGTTTCTGCGGGCGTCCCGCTTAACTTGAAACTCACACAACTACGTGCGTTTATGATCTGATTATATTCCTTTCCACTTGTAAGAACATGATTGGCACTGAACAGACTATAAAACAGATACGCGTCGAAGGACCGATGGGATTAGTATTTTTCAGGTCATTTTAATATACCTCATTCTGCAAATGGCTGATTCGGAAGAGTCAGGTCGCCATTATTTTGAAGTCGGTCCTGATCCCCTCAGCGATGAGGAAAACGGTGAAGTCTGGGAAGATGAAACCGACCCCGAAACAGCCAGATCGTCCCGCACGTCATCGGCATCTTCTCAGTCTACGCGGTCCGGCAGCTCCGATAGTGACAGCTGCTCTGGAAGTGAACAGGAAGACATTCGGGACTATAAACGCGGCGGTTATCATCCGCTGAAACCCCGTGATTTTCTCAACAATCGCTACCTAATCATCCGCAAACTAGGTTGGGGTCATTTCTCCACCGTATGGATGGCCTTTGACCAGACGGACAACGATTTCAAAGCGCTTAAAGTGGTTCGCAGTGCCAGCACGTACACGGAGACGGCCCGCGATGAAATCGATCTCCTGTTGCATGCCGCCAAGGCCTGCCCCACCGATCCTCATCGCGACCGCATTGTCCGGCTGCACGACCATTTCGAGCTGGATGGACCGTTCGGGCACCATGTGGTACTGGTCATGGAAATAACCGGGCCAAGTCTATTCAGTGTGTGTCGCCGTGCGGGCAATCATGGGCTCAAGCTGCAGACTGTACGTAATCTGACCAGACGCATTCTGGAAGGGCTAGCGTACATGCACGAGAAGGCGCAGATGATCCATACGGATCTCAAGCCCGAAAATGTCTCCCTGGATATCGGGGCGCCCGAGAAGCTGCAGCTGGCTAAGGAAGCACTGTGGTTCTCGAACCATAACCTTTCCATGCCAAAAAGCATGGTGTCCACATTCTTCTATGAGAAAATTAGAAAAGAGAACCAAATTCCTACACTTCCGCGCATTGAACCCGAACAAAGTTCATCCTCGTGTGATATTGACGCTGTCAACGATTTGCTGGAGAATCAAGACAAAGGAGACGATGCGGTCAACAGTCCGCTTTCGGCGACCTCAGGTTGGCTGCTAGCTTGTACACGTATTACATCTGCTTGATTGTGCACAGCTACGTTGATTTATGCAGAAAAGAATCTCGATCCCGCCAAGGATATCTGTGATCCCAGTATCAAGATTGTTGATATGGGCAACGCCTGCTGGACGTACAAAAAGTTCACCAGCGATATCCAGACGCGCGAATACCGCGCTTTTGAAGTCCTAATGGGCTCGGATTACCAAGCCAATGTCGATGTGTGGAGTGTGGGATGTATGGCCTTCGAATTGGCCACGGGCGACTACTTGTTTAATCCACGTCATGGAGAGGATTTCGCCACAGATGAAGACCATGTTGCGCAGATGATCGAGCGGATTGGCTATCCTAGCCGGAAAGTGGCCACCAAGGGCAAATACTGTCACAAGTTCTTCAACCGGCGAGGGCATTTTAAATGTTTCAGCCAGAAAGAATTAGATCCACAAAGCATCAGCGCTTTGTTGATCGAAGAGTATAAATGGAAACCGGAGGAAGCCCGGATATTTGCTCAGTTTATTGAGGCCTGCTTGATCTATGACCCCGCTCTGCGGCCAAGCGCGTTTGTCCTATTAAGCCATCCCTTCTTTGACGCCGAATTAAGCGACGATCATATTATGCGCGAGCAAGCGAAAAATCCACCTCTGGAAGCCGGAGACACAGCTGCCTCAAGCAAGTTGTGCGGACCACAAGAAGTAAGCGTATAACTGTAGCACCACCTCATACTTTTTCGTATTACAGACAAAGGTGTATCTGTAAATGCAAAACTTTAACAGATTTGTACACTTATTATGCAAACAAATACACAGTCAGCATTGTGCAGACAAACGCAACATAATGCGGTACGCTTTCAATGCACTTTATAGCGGTAATTTTGTACCGGGTGCTATCAGTATTATGCATGGCATACTCGACATTTTGTAAGCACAAAAAATGGTGATAAAAGCAGGTGGGCTGTTAGTCTGCTCATTTATGGTTTCAGCTAACCGACCCGGAGACCACTCCACCAAAAACGGTCATGACTTGCAGGGAGCCGTCACCTCACGAACTAGACGCTATTTCCGTAGAGTCGCCGCCAAATCCGCCGAGCACCAGCGCATTAAAATCGCGTAGGAAATGCTAATTTAAAACAGTATTTTCTGATGCATACCGATGCTTCCATTTCAGAAGGCGACAAAGCTCTGTCGCGCAGCAATATAGACCTGTTGTGCAGCGAATTAGACGCGATTTATGACACCAATGAGTCATTGAAGCCAAGACGGATCCTTTCCTCGCAGAACTGCAAAGGATTTGTGTGACTACTTTTACCGCTGGTTCTCTGTTCTTTGCGCACGCGTTGTCCATTGTTAAGTGCAGATCTTGCTTGTATATTATTTCTTTATATATTTTTACATTAATGTTTTCCAGTGTTAACTTTCTCATGTTCTCTTCGCAATTTCGTGTGTTTGATCTATGAAATTTTTGACAACTGCTCTCGTGCCATGCCATCAAATACTAATAACGTTTAATAAACAATCAAGTGAAAGTGTGCTGCTACTGTACTTATTTCGTAGTCCGTACGTATACATGCGAAATTTGCCAATCGTTGGTATTGTCCGGCTCCGCACAGATTTTTATAGGCCATTGATTCCGAATTATTCATCTCCAGAAAGTAATTTTGCATTTAGTAGAATTAATTATGATTTGCATTAATTTTGGCTGTACAGGTTTGTAATTAAAGTTACCTTTTATACATTGACGTAATTAGCGTCTTGGTAAGAAATAGTAGCTCAAATACCTTCTCCGTTCTTGTACAATTTGCTTTTAATTAAGTAACAGCAACTCCAAGCAACTATTGTATAACGTACTACTTCTATTCACGCAGGACGGTATAACAAAAACAGTGCAGTCTATCAGTTTCTGCAAATAAGTGCAGTACTTAAATGTTTCTGTAAAGAAAAGCATGACATGATATTCGACAATGTGCTTTTGTGGCAGATTATTTACTATATTGGCCGTATTGTGAAAGCGTTAGTCTACATTTGGACCTACCCATCTTGGTATTTTGTGGCAATATTGAGTGTGCTATTAACATTGGTCCTGTACCAGTGCTTTACCGATGTTAAAAATACGAATCAAGTACGCGATGCGTCGGCGACTCGCACAGGGCCGCGCGCTGGGAAATACAGTGCCGTCAAAGGTCGTCCATGTCCCATTTCGCCGTCAGATCTGTATCTGGCCGTTAACCCTTTAGCCGATCCACTTTTTATTGCTAGCTCGAACAAGAGCGCACTACTGCGCTCAATCCGGATATTCGGAGATGGTACATGACCAGTGGGAAGACGTTTACGCTATAACAAGACAAACTCTAACCTGCTGTTTCTTTTTGCAGCGTTTGACGAACCCGATTTGAATGAGCTAGTAGCCAGTTTGGAGACGGTGCACTTACACAACGGAAATGTACTTTGCAACATTGGTGAACCGGATGAACACATCTATATACTCCAGAGCGGACAGCTCCATGTGTCCAGTGCCAATGACGTAAGCCTTCGCAGACGAGTTGGATCGCGCACTGCAAAATTTCGAATAAACATCAAATTTCATTGCGTGTGTTATCAAGCAGACAAAGGCTGCGCCCCTTGCAGTACGAATTGTTCGTATTCCTGGAGAAAGCGTCTATTCGGTCATCAGTGTACTGGAAGCACTAAACGTAAGCCGGTGTAAGATGCCGATGCGGCACAGACTGTGGAAATTACCGCTTTATGGTAGGGTTTTCTCAACAGAAAACGTCTGAGTAGGATCACAGCCGTTGGCGGCACCGTGGTGGTCAAGCTTTCCATCAACACTTTGAAAACAGTTTTATCAAAGAATCCCGAATCGACCTTGCGCGTGGTGCAGTTGATCATGATGTGTATGAAGCCGTTCCCAAATTATTTTGGCTGTGGCTGAATACAGCTTTTTTACAGGGATTCACCGCGTACTCCTGGTGGCACTGCTAAGCTTTTTGAGGTTAGACGGCAATGCAATGATGAAGATGGCGAAACTGCCGATTGTTCCCCAACGTGAACGAGGAGAAAGTCTGGACAAACCAAGCAGCTTTCGAAGGAGCGTGCATACATTTGTTCCATATAGAAGATCCGACTCGCAGTCGGCAGAATTGGAATCCATAAGCCCAGATGCCGATTTTCGATGGGGCGTGAAAGAGCTCAAATCAAAACTCAAACTGGATAACGTAAGCAGTGATAGTTAAATATTTTGGTGGGTAGGCTACAAAGTGTATCAAAGTCGTGAATAAAGGAGATTTTGTAGCTGTCAATGTTCGAGAACAAGCTGAAATACCTGAGCGTGCCGGCTGCCACCTTAATTGTACAAGCAACGGAAAGCGATGCGCCTTTGCTGTTTGTCGTATCTGGGTGCTTAAGCGCCTGGATCAAACAGCCAGAAGATTACACCGACGAAAATACAATGGAAGCTTTTACCATAAATCGGGGAGAAATGTTCAGCGGATTAGCGGTGCTTAGTGGAGAACCGATGCTTTTTCAAGTGGAATCGAAAGTGGTTACAAAACTAATTGCTATCCATCGGTAAATTTATCGTAACAGCATGGCGTATTCTGATTTTCTACTGTATGATACTAATTCTAATTGGTACAGACATGATTTTCACGAAATGATACGGATGAGGCCGCAGATTGTATCGTCGATTGCCCAGTCCGTAATCTCACGTTTGTCACCTTTCGTCCGCTTGATTGACTTTGCTTTGGACTGGGTACACATCGATGCCGGGCAGGTTTTGTATCGCCAAGGTAAAACGGAAACATCACTAAACCCGAAGAATCTTTTATAATACTAATTAGTATTATATAAAAGATTCTTCGGGTTTAGTGATGTTTATGTTACCTGTTTATAAACAGGTAACATGGTTTTAGGAGACGAACCAGGAAACATCTTTGTGGTATTAGCTGGTCGAATTCGTGGCATTGTTAGCAGAGAGAGTACCAACGACCTGACGCGAGATTACTGCAGAGGAGATTTGATCGGTGCGAACTAATAATGAACATCTACACTAAAAGTTTAAATTATTGTAAATGTTGATGTTGTAGCTGTTTTACTGCAACAGGACTTGTCGAAGTATACTGCAGAATACCGCGTTTTTCGACAATGATGGCAGTTCGAGATGCTGAAATCGTTCGCATCCCTGTTCCGCTGCTGAACTTTCTGGTGTCGCACTACCCAGCTTTAGTTACCAGACTGATTCGATATCTTGGCAAAAGTGTTGCCTCCGCTCTGCACAAGGTCACCAATCCCGAAAACCCAATGAATGGTCTAACGCAGCTTCCGAGCAACCCGGAAACACTGACCACCATAGCAGTGGTTCCATGTGATAAGTTCACGCCACTGGACACATTTGCTATGGAATTAGAGCATGCCTTTTCCGATATCTGTCGAACCGTGAGAATCTGCAGCGATGACGTCAGGTAAATAGTGAGGCCAAAAAACGTCTCAAAAAAACTTTACCGCTAAAACGAAACAAGTGTCATCACACTAAGTAATATTCGTTGCAGGAGAGCTATCGGAAAGCGCGCTCTAGAACCTGTGTCCGAAGCAAGGTTGTCAGCATGGTTAGCGCAGAGCGAAGCAGAAAACCGCATTGTGTTGTATCAGTGTGACCACTCTTTGTCGCTGTGAGCTCATTTATTCAATCAGTAGGACATTACGCATCATGAACCATAAAAATTATCCTATTGTGTGATTACCGGTAAATTAACTGTTTTAGTTGGACCAAGCGCAGTCTGCGGCAGGCCGACTGCATACTACTTGTTGGAATGGGTGACCGCTGTCCTACATGCAAGGCGGACGCCGTACTTCAAGACATTGACGAATACATTAACAGTTGTGCCACTTCTCTTCGTGCCAGGAAAGACCTCGTGCTACTGCACAAGCATGACACCAAAATACCGCGATATACGGCAGAATGGTTGGACCATCACGAATGGTGCTTTCTGCACCATCACATCCGCTGTCCCGCACGCATGTTTCAGCCGCGCCGGTCAAAAAACTTCCAAGAATATTATCAGTCCCTTATCCCACCTATGATTGACAAACACAGCGATTTTGCTCGCTTGGCACGAATCTTAAGCGGTACAGGGATCGGCATGGTGTTGGGTGGGGGTGGAGCTAGAGGTTTCGCCCATGTCGGCATGTTAGAAGCGATGAAGGAAGCGGACATCCCAATTGACATGATTGCTGGGGTGAGCATGGGTTCGTTCATTAGCGCTTTGTGGGCACTGAAGTACAATATTCCCGATGTGCGGCTCATGGGCAAATACTGGGCCGACAACGTCCTCCGTCCTTGGAACCTGGCGCGAGAGTTCACGTATCCATACATGGCAATGTTTAGAGGAAGATGGTTTAACGAGATACTGCGGACATTGTTTGATGACATCCAAATAGAAAATCTCTGGATTCCGTATTTCTGCGTTTCAACCGATGTTACCGATTTAGGAGCCAGGAGCCACGGAAGAGGCGCTTTGTGGCGATACGGTAATAATATGGCTCATATGCCATACGTATTTATTAATTTGATGAAAAATATTTCAGTGCGAGCCAGCATGACAATTGCCGGATTCCTTCCGCCGATCTGTGATCCTGTTGACGGTATGAAAAGCAGTTGCCATGCTTATTGTGGAAATAACTCAAATAAGCAATATGCTCGTTTGTGTTGATTATTTTTAAAAGGCGGTATTGTAGGTCATTTGCTAATCGATGGCGGGTACACAAACAATTTACCGGCCGATGTAATGCGGCAAAGAGGGGCAGGCATTGTCCTCGCTATTGACGTTGGTCGTGAGAATGACCGACAGACGTTTGCCTACGGTGACGAGTTTTCCGGTTGGACTGCTTTAAAGCATAAGTTTTGGCCATGGGGCGCAACTATCTCCTTGCCGGATATTGCCGAACTTTTGTCTCGTTTGGCGTGCACCGGGTCGATTAACACATTAGAAGATTTCCAGAAAGCGCCTTGGTGCTGTTACATCCGACCACCAATCACTTCCTATCAGACTTTGGAGTTTAAAAGCTACGATGAAGTCGTGGACGTAGGATACTATTTTGGTCAGATGACCTTTTCGGAGGATGGGCTTGTTTGGTCTAAATTAGCAGACATGGAAAGGCAGCTGCTGACCACGAGTTTCGGACTGTACATACCACATTTAGCACAGCAGCCGGTTCTTGGACAGTATTTAGCTGATTTGTAAGTCCTACGTGCAGGCTTTTACTGGCGTATTTTTACTGTATTATTGGCGTACAGAGCATCCTACGTCCTGGTAAAGGAAGAGCCTGAAGAACATACCCATGAACCGGAGGAACAGGCTGCACCAAACAAAAATCCACAACCGGACCAAAGGATTGAGCAGGATCAAGATTTGGAGTACAGAGCGAATGCTCATATCTTGAAGCGGAACAAAAATGACCACGAGCCTGTACAAATTGTCGTTCAGCACGAAACGCAAGATGATCTTGACACCGAGCGCAGTTCTTTTGACGCATCGTGGAAAGTTGCTGAGCACCTTTCGGATGTTGATTTGCCGCCAACTGCTCTCAAAATCGCCGAAAGCTTCTGGGCTTATTCCTGAAAACATTAACGGTGCAGTGGTATACATATACCGTATATTCTTAAGCTATCAGTACGATGAATCCAGCTTCGACTAAACCAAGCCTAGCCGCTTTCTGTGTACTCTCGGAACTAAAGATGTGCACTCTTAGCAGTATTAAACATTCATGCATTCACTTTTTTATAGTTTTAGGGCAGGGACTTTGGACTTCTGTGTTTGATGGCAAGAGAGATCCCGTTTCATTTCTTTTTTTCTGTTATTAAATAATTTTCTCTGATAGTTTGCAATTTGTAACGGTGAAAGTAATAAGTCCACTAAAGTTAGTGATGTAATAAGTGCACTATGTAGTCCATTCACTGTTACTCATATTAACAACGCACTTTGTTATTGTGTTGATATTACTCATTTCAGCAGCACAAGTCGCCATCGAACAACCATTGTTTCTTGCCGTATGCCGAGCAGCGGCATAGGTTTTATTGAAGGATTATCTTAGTTATTATTGCAACCTGTTGTAATCCTTAAGTACACAGTCGCGAGACAAAAGATTGACTGCAATGTGATAACTCATACAAAAGCAAAGATAATACCGACTTCTTTTTATCAATCTGCCACATAATAACTGCTATAAAATCGCCATTCTGAAAATTACACATGAATTCTTCAATCTTTAGTCGGCTGACCAATTATACGATAGCACTTCCAGTATATTGACATCGACCGGTAAAATGGCACGCACTGGAATATTGCTGGTGGCAATAGGTAAAGCAGAACTGTTTGTTACACTAAAGTAAAATTTGAAATTAAGATTTTCTTTCAAATGTACAGCGCTGTCGTCATTTGCGTTTTCTTTGGCCGATGGACGCTTCCTTCAGCCCAAAAGCCAGCAAACGTCATTTCTATGCACCGTCGCATTTGCTGGTCAATCACCGGCATGTTGTACTTGGGCACCCTACACCGCGCTGACCGATACCATTGGCTCAACAGAATGGGAAAAGCCCATTGGGATGAGCAACTTCCAGCCGTCCACGCATCCTGAGCAGCTAGCTCATGACTCTTGTAAATTCAACTCACCTGTACCTGATTCACGTCTTTAACAGGACGATTTAATATTTCGCTTTGCAGCCATTAAAACACTGTTTTCTGTCTGCGACAATCAAGCCGGTTCATCTAGCCGTTCGGCCACATACCAAAGCAAGGGTGGTTTGTATGGCAATGGTCAACCAATTCGGCTGCAGTTTTGGTACAAGATTGCCGAAGAAATACTTAATGCTAAGTTGGAAATTTCTACCGTCACCAAGCCAAGAGGACTTAACAGAATATGGAGCAGCTCGACACTCCAAAGCCAGTGGGCCTTGGGCGAAGTTATTATCCAAGAAAGTGAACTTTACCAAATCAGATTTACGGCAAGGCACACCTGCATCACCTCCATTTGGCTTTCAGGCATTACTGCTCATAAAAGTAAGGCTATCGCTAATCTAAGTTGTCATCGGTCTTTATTGGTCAAATCAAACTTAAGGCAAAGTAAAGAAGGAAATACAAAAATTACAACAACAAAATTTCATTCAATTTATCCAGCCCTTCCATCGTGCCCAGCACAGACGCCGCATTACCCCGTTGAATTTCTATCGACAAACGCTATCGACTATCGATTTGCCATTACGGTTATTAACGGGTTTAATTGTAGCCGTTACTTTTATTACTCGTATTTAATTTACGTATGCTTTTGTATTAGTGGAACGCAGCAATAACGATGACTGCCTGCCTACAACTACCACCACCACGACCACTACAACAACGCCGACAACTACCACTACCACAACAACGACAACCACGGAAAAAGTGTATCCTCCACCTACTCTGACCATGCGCGTGAAGCGCTACAGATATGACAGCAAATGTGATCCATGGATTCACGCTAATGCCGGTAGATGTGATCCACGATTCGATATTGTGTACACGTGGATTGGCACCGATGGCCGAACAATGTACGGAAAGTCAATGAATCTACCTACCTTTAGTCAGAACGTGGGCTTGACATACACAATACTGCTATTTTTTTAGGACGCATAAGCAGTACTACAACGCCGGTGACGATTTGATTGAGGTCAATTTCCCAGAGTCCGTGAAACATGCGGCTCTGGTGCAAAAAGGTAGTGCGGCTCGCGTAAGAATCGTGGCAGAAGACGAAGACGATGTTGGAAGTAACGACCATATTGGAACCTTTGACTTTTTATATATTGTGCCAAATGAGCCGGAACCGCCAAGAACCGAAACACGACAGTCTAACGGAGCGGAAATGTCCGTAGAATACACAGCGGTCTTCCAGTAATGTACCACCAGCATCAGCATAAATGTTTTAATAAAATATAATCTGTTGCTTCAATGCAGACTAATGGCTACCTGATTACTGTATCTGGGGCACCAGAGTTCTTTGAATCGTGTCGTATACCTGTTCAATTTCTCTGTTGGCATCAACCTAAAATTTCCACTGTTCAGTAACAGGACCACAAATCAATGGCGCAGCACTGGTGGCGTAGCTCTACTTATGGTTAGACTTAGCGTTACCCTGATAATAAACTGTTGCATTTGCATGTCCTTTATCATCGGCGTCGTGTATTTTACGTAATACTGTATCCGTTTGCAAACAGTCTCCGCTTTATCTTCCGGACGAGTTCCGTGCTTGCTCCGAGTGGCCGTTCTGTCTGCCAGCACTACGTCGGGGCACTCCAAAATTATCACTACCGAGGCTTTTCCAAACTACAAACAAAGTTTCGCGAAAAGCTGTTGGTGCATGCAAGTGGTCGCCCATCAAACGTACGTCTGCTTCGAAGTAGGACCGCTGCTCAGGATCTCTGGGGTATCCATGAATAATATAAGGCTGTTTTCGGGATAAATGCTTGAAAATGTTCTCCCGAAGCACCTCATGGACATCGCGCTGCAATACCGGAACTTATTAGCAGCCATATTCTAACGTAAATGGTAAAGATGCTCAAAATTACTGAATCGCACAGATATCCTATATCGACGTTCAATTTACAACGTTTTCCGCGAGGTGTATCATGTAGAGCTTCTTCCCGCATCAGTTGTCCCATAGAAAGATGTGTGTATCCAAGACGTTCTGCAATCATATCGCAAATCACGGCTTTCCCTGCCGACGGTCCTCCTATAACAGACATAAATTGCAATAAATAGCATTTTTGAAAGGCACGATAGTTGAAACTTTGATAGTCGCCAGCATTTTACCTAAAACAAGTACTATCGGCAATCCAGACCTCTGAATAGCGATCGACTCCGACGTCCGAGTCTGTATGCAAAGTAATGATGGCGTCCTTAGCTTATGGTTAGTAATTCGGATATCATCTGATGTGATTACGTAATACCTGGTTCCACGTTCTGAACGACATTTTAGCGGTAATCTCGTAACTGCAGCAAAATTAAGAAAAAATCAGCCCTACCGCACACCGGCAACACGCTAGGTTTCGCTTTTAGCACCATTGAAGCAAATTTCCCGTTTTCTTAGCCATTAACTTTAAAAGTAAGTACAATTCACAGGAGTCAGGATAAGTCATATTTTACGATTAATCTTGTTATCGGTACAGTATTAATTTACATTTTTAATAGAAATTGGACTTTATTTCTCAATATGTATTTTCTCAATATGTTTCATTTTTAATAGATACTTACTGCACTATGTGATACGTTCAATATTAAAAGAACACGGTCAACACACTGGTAATCCTACGCAGTGTACCAGTTTGTGTCAAATAATAAAACGAATATACAGGTTCCCGAAAAATAAAGAATCAAACTTTTTTTTGAACAGGAATCAATTTCCGCGCAAAAAAACTTGAATATGTACGACAAAATAAAAGCTTGTATTGTACGAAAATCGCTGGTTGTTGCAGGTTTATTTTCACTCACTCAGTACTTTACTTGAAAATTGAAATTAAGTAGGTATCTATAGATGCGCTTATAACTGCGAAAAACAGTCATCCAAATCTATTATAATTATATGTTGATGACAGGAATATTATACACTTTTTTGGCGACAGTACAGGAAGTGAGGAAGTTAGCGACTGCGCATTTCTCAGCCCTTTATGCACTGCATTCACGCAATCTCGGCTGTCTCAAATGGTTGCATAGTTTTCATAAGATTCAAGCTATCGGACAATGGAAAAAACGATGGCAGAGATTTATAGCGTTTAAACCATTTGCTGTGGACATTACTGGGAACAGGCCCGTCACAAGCTTTGTGAAGCAGCTCTTCGAAGTGCGCAAGAGCCGCCTCGCGGCTTTCCACTCGGTGATCAACATCCTCAGTCCGCAAGAGGACCTTCCTCAAATTATCTTCGGTTGACGACAATGGAAGCTTCCTTTTCCTTATCGATTTAATCAGCTGCCTAAAGTCTGTCCACATACCTCGGCGGATGCTACCTTGATAGCAGTCTTGAATCTTTTTCATTCGAATTTGCTGCACCAACCGGCGTTCCACGGTTTCGACAGACTGAAACTGGCTGATTTGCATCTCTCGTGCTTGCTTTTTGATCTGTTTTGTCAAGCCTCTCATCAAATGGTCGCGCTTTTCACTAAGGAATGACTCCAGTAGAAAGGTCACTTGAGCAAACATCCTCTCGATCCGGCGCTCCGGGGTCTTGGATAGCGCCATAGCTGCTTCGTCGGCTTGTTTGCGTAGGACCTCTGCCGAGTCCACAAACAATAACTCCGGAGATAAACTAAGTTTTTCCCGCTCATTGTCCTCGGTAACTTGCGGAACAGGTGTAGTTGTCTGGTAGGAAGCAACCGATTTCGACACGCCTTTTTCATCTTGAAATTTGATAGGCCTAACCGAGCTTGCGCCAGAGGGAGTAATTTCTGGAGTATTACTTCCGTATGCATACGCACTAACAGCAGATACCAGAAGTTGGTTATTGTTGGCGGACTGAGACTGCGAACCCGAAAGACCAGAAAATCTGCTGCGTATCTTACTCGGTGCGAATGGAAAACTAGCAGTGCTTGAATGCTGTGATGCGGCAGAAGCACTGTTAGACGGTATGGAAAACGTACTAGTGCTCTTCTGACCGACTGCGGCTGGTGCACTGCGGCAAGAAATAGTTGACAGGCTGGTTTTTCGAAAATTTCTCGGGTCGTTCTCCTCCAATACCAGCTCGCTTTTCAACCGCCTAGACCGAGCCAAAATTGCTTTGGTCCGGGAATCCATAAAACAGTAATCTTTTTTAAATAGCCCTGTTGTTTGTGTCAATAAAGTAGCTCGGAGTTCCTTGCGGTCTAGCGATTGTTCGTTTAGCTTCTCCGCTCCAGCTGTCGGCGGCGCAATAATTTCCTTCCGCGTCTCTTTCATAATAGCCGTTGCAGCTTGCACCAGTTCTCGCGTTGAATCATTTCTCCGTGATGGATCGATAGCCGCGAGTAATCGTTCCTCATCCTGCTTGGCGGCTTGTTTTAACATTTTGTACGCTCGGAGCTGTAGCGCCTCCAGGACATCTGTCGGAGTTGGATCAACAAGCCAAACGTTATGGATTTCACGGAAACGTCGTCTCAAAAACTTCTCGTAATCCGTTCGATCACCTTGGGCGGTAGGTGCTACACTTGGTTTCTTCCTGGGTTTTCCGTGATCCAGGATATTGGCTTCCGAATGCAGATGAGGTGATTTTGCGATCTCCTGCAGCATTTGCTGTGCGTTTTTATTGAGCCGGCGAATGTCTTGGTGGTTCACCAGCGTATTAGCCGCTGCAAGTACGTGCTGGGTGTGGTCTGGTTGAGGGGAGAAATGAACGCTGGGAACTGTCGCCTGAGCCGTATCCTGGTTCTTTTCATGTGTGCCAGGTGATTGGGAGCGGTACTTCGCTAACTCGTCTTCTAGCTGACGCAGTTCCAGGGCTTGCATTTGTAGTCGACTTGTTTCTTGCGGAGAAAACCGTAGCGCAATCATGGCCGGCGGTGGCGTCATTGGTGTCGCACTTTTGGCAAAATGGGCGGTTGAGATATCATTGGTGAGCGCATACGGAGTCGGCAGGTGCAGTTCTGCGTCATTTTCAGAAAAGCGATTGACCTTTGAGGGGGTGTATGGCGAGTGTCGCGAAGGCATCCCAAGAGGGTTCCCATCGTCCCTCAAAGAGAATCGTTTCACAGCGGCATCGGTAGAGATTTTACGACCAGTTGGAGCGTGTTTAGCCAATCGCTCCATTCGCTCGTCAGACGTCAGCACTTCAGGCTCAGGTGGCGGCTGCTCCAGTTCAATCTCGTTGACCAGCGCATACTGCGCAGTGCGGTAATATCCAAACACGCGCAGCAATTTTTTGATATCCTGTAACGAATGCTCTATGAAAATATTAATTTTGCAGTCCTTTGCGCAAAATCGTACCAGCCAACGGCTCTGCATAAATAGTTTCTCCAGTTTCTGCTGAATCCGCCAGGCGAGAATCAGCCGCTCAGGAAAAACGGCATGCCAGTTGCATGTTATGCCCGGGATATCGCACACATCTGTTCCGATTTCCTTTGGCGGCATAAGTGGCTGCGGATTACGTTTGCGTACATACTGACGAATCGCGTTGAACGGTTCTTTTTTCTGTGCCGTCTTATCCTTAATAAAGCCTGTCTTTGTTCTTCTGCCTGATTCCGATGTGAACGATGCAAAGGAATGCACGGGCTCAGATTTATCTGACAAACCTACGAAACGGGACTGCAACATCCTGTGGATACTAAACAACACGTGATGGCTATACATAAGTAATTGTTGGTACCTTCTACTTCCAAACAGTAACGTAGTCGAACTCTGCGCTCTTTGATCCAAGCGCGCATTCCTTTGCGAAGCTCCTTAAAGGTCACTGCCTCTCGCGTTGCTTCGTCAACTTCGACCATCATGTCCAATATGGTTGTCTCGGTTACTTTATCCACATCCATCTAAAAAACTACAGGCGAGTATTATTCAGCTTTTCCAGAAATGCAATATGGAAAATATGGCGGTCACATGATACGTAACACGCAGTACGTCGGACAAAATAACAAACACGAAAGCTTATCGCCGACCTTCGATAAAATCAAAAACGTTGTGGTCACACTTACTTTCTCACATAGTCGCTGCACTTTTGCCATATCAAGCTTCCATGATTTATCTTTGTCGGCATAACGAAAGAGGTCCGATAAACGCCATCGTTTCCGGGCGGCCAGATCAGCCAGCATTTTCATCAGATGGGGTACCGGCAGCCGGGGTCCTTCCTCGATTACTTGATCATCCGCAGCAATATCCATTGCATCATCATAAAGGTCAATCGTGTATCTGTTGAACGCGTGCTTTCTCAATAAAGTCAGCTCATCGGGGGTATAGTATTCATGATGCCCTTTCTTGACTGGAACTGGTCGCTTCTTAGCTTCTAATGCCAATCGAGATTCTGAAATTTCGGAATCCGATGACATACCGGATACGATCGAGCTCTGTGTCAGGAACTCCTGTGGTGTCCTGGTGATCTGACGACTCAAGCGCCGGCGACCATCCTGGCCGTGGGTTGTTACTTTGCGACGCTTTCGTTGATTAGCCCCTTTTGGCGCCTCCATGGTATCATCGATGTTATCATTATCATCATCGTAATAGTTCTCATTCTCAAGCTGACTGGACTTCCTGTGTTGTGCAGATGTTCTTGTCCGTCGTCTCCCCTTACGAACTGGAAAGCTCATTATGCGTTTCGTCAGTACCGTTGACCTCGTGGACTTTCCTTGACTTATCCTTTTTCTTTTCGTTTTGGTGCTCTTGCGTTTACTCTTGATGGGGATTACTGGCATCGAAAGTGAGGCCTTTGAAGATGTACGCTTCTGTCCGAGAAGTCGTGCTAACTCCCACAGCACTGACTTCGATTTTTCGGTGTGCAGAGTACTCAACAACGCGGGAAAATTCTGGTTTGCAGCAGAAATTTCAGAGATTTTGTCATAAATAAATCCTCTGTTTGTTCGTTCTAGTAAAACTGCTGACTGGATCGCCGGTTGGGGTGGTTCGTGAGAAATTGCTGCGGACAAGTCCGTTTTATTTAGGCCGTATCGTGGAGAGGTGTTTAACTGCGCAAAACCGATACGATATCCAGGGTTGTACAGCTTCCGATGGGCCCATTCCAGATGCTGGCTCAGTCTGGATTCGATATCGAAGCAAAGAAGTTTATAAACGCGCTGCGCTATCGTATTTCTGTGAGTAGCTTCATCCAGCCATTCGAAAAGCTTCTCGCTTCCATTGAATTCCACGGTCTGTTCTTGAAGTTTTTGAATCGCAGCGTTATAGCGACGCCACAGTTCTTCAAAGGTCATATGAAGCGCGCCGTTTGAGGTGGATTGGTTGACAGTCTTGCACTCAGGTTGGCTATCACTTGTTGTGGCATTGCGCGCTGCAGTGGAAGACACATCCGGTGTAAAATTCGAAGTTGCAACTGTAGCTGATTTATCCGGGTCAAAAAAATTTAAACGAGGAATTAGGGATCTTTGCTTATTGGCTCTCAAAATTGGTACCAATCTGCTTGGCAGTGCCCACGCAAGATATGGCAGCGGCTCAGTTAATCCTCGCTGAGCAGCTTGCGACTCATCCGTAAAAGCAGCTTCAGAGGCAGACATGTAGAATGGACCATGAGCGTTACTTTAGTTCACCTAGTTGTGTAGTAGGACACTGGGAAAAGTAAACAAGTACAAAAGAACAATTCTATTCGGAAAACAAGAACATGCAGCTGGCAGCTACTCGCAAGGAGAACAACATCAGCGTGCTTGCGAAGATTACTGTACATTCAATGCAGCACTGTGACGCCAGTGACGGCAAATTATATAATGTACATAGTACTAACCAGGTAAGTAGAGACAATATCGTGCAACTGGATCAGGACCAACATCTGGTAATAAATAAATAATAAATAAATTTCCTAACAGCTTGGTTGCCATAGATACCATAAATTCAGCTGCGAAAATCAATACCGATACAATAATTTATTATGTTCGAAGAAAGTGCCGATTCAACTGAGTACAGCTCTTTTTGGCTAATTAAGTATGTAAGTTAAAGAATAAAGTGGCATGAACCCATTAATTAAGAGTGGGTACATTTCTTCCTGTCCGGTTGACCACAATATTGATACCACGCACCATGCAACTTAAAAGTATTAAAAGCGCCTACGCATGAATGATCGAGGTCTCCACTGACTGGAACTGTCTTTTTTACCAGCTGGCTTCTGTCCTGAGCGTTACAGTCTTTTAAAATCAGACGAAAATATGCTGGTGCTACGTGTTAACGGCTGGGTTGTGGATATGATAGCCCGACTACCATTAGCATTGTTTATCGATTATGTAATCGGACCTGCGTGGTCATGGCCGCCCCTTCCTCCTTCTTTAAATGAATCCATAATGCGCCTAAAGTATCTCAATCCTTCAACTGTTCCTTCTCCTCCTGGCTCTCCCACATTGTTGGAATTCTTTAATGCCCTCGGACTACGTTTATCCCTGGCGAGCGGTAGGGACGACGTGTACGGGGATTGATAACTGCGCAGAATAATCCAGCGCGCTGCGTTTTTCAGCTGTTCTGGGCGCATGGCTCGTCATCCGCTGTTATCCCACATCTCAAATAGTTCTATGGGCGCTGTGGATGGAAACCCTTGCGTTGTTTGCGGCCGTACTGGGACTAAATATGCTGACTATTTTCACCACTATATTCTTTTGGATTCCCATCTATTTGGCTGTGCAGATCTTACACGCGTGGATGGCGTACAATCTCCGTCAATTGCGTATGCTGGAATCAATGGGGTTGCCAAATGCTGGGCGACTGTATGGTTTGCCTGTCATTCATGACGGCATTCTGATGTTCTTCTGGCCAAAAATGCCGGCAGTTGTCGGTGCTGTTCAGATATTCTGGTATCCAATTGCGGATGAATCGTGGCGGTTGAGCTTTTTTGTGACCGTTATCTCCGTGACCGCCGCTCCCGCACTGTATTATTTGACCAGTGCTTTCGTGTGGCGCCTGTATTCCAGTTATATCATGATGAAGATCCGGTACAGAGGAACCATCAGCGTCAGGATAGTCACTCCATACTATGCTGCACTAGAGGCAGTCATATGGCAGACAGTTGGAGAAGACCCCATCAATCGAGCCTATGCTGCGGTGCTTTTCTCCAGAGTCTTCTATCGTTTCTCGCTGAACTTTTACGGGAACGGTGCGCAATCAGCCATACAGGATCTTTCGCAAAACCTTGTGGATAACACTGTTAATTCCTGGATTACGATATTTGGAGCGTGTTGGGTAGTCTCTGCAGTATACCATTACGCCATGGAACATTGGGTACAAGGAATGCAGCTCAGCTTAACGGACAGTGATTCACGAGAATTTGATGTTATGAAGTATGACCTTTGTGGATACTTGATAATCTTCTGCTCTCTTGCTAATCTGACGGCATATCCAGTGGCGCAAATCCATTTGCTTCGACTCTGCATTTTCTTTGTTCTGTACCGCTTGTCGAAGCTGTCATTGTATGCGCTAGGTCACTGCCGTATAGCCGCCATGGACGAGGTAGACGATCATATTTTGTTTATTCGGACTGTCGCTGATGGAGCACTAGCAGTGCTAATCGCGGGATTCTTCCTGGCGCACAGAATGTGGCAAGCGCCACTAAAAATCCGAGAACTTTTGACTTCCGGTTGGCTTAAAGACAGATCCACGTTATTCACTCCTGAATTTGAGATGTGGATGCACGGCGAAGCCAGTCTAGCCGTTGGAGATCTGATCGTTTTGTCGTGCGTTATTCTGATTAATGCTGTAGCCAGTTACGCCCATTTAATCAAGAAGCGACCACCAAAACTGTGGCATGTTGTTCTGCAGAGAACAGACTGGTTCGCCAGTTTGTGGAAACATGGTATTCGGGAAGCACTCGCTATTGCGCTTCACAGTGTTGTGCTGACTCTGTTGTGGGAGGACCGCGTGGACATGATTTTTCTGACCGTGATCTATTTATCACGACTTATGGATGCGATGACGGCACTCCATCAGGCCGTAGTACGGGGACTCGATGGACAGATCTTTTGCTGGTCAAAGTGTATTATCTATGCATTGCAGTCTCCGGATGAAGCAACGTTTGCTGCGTGGAATGACTTTTGCAGCATTTGTCGTCTGGAAGAAGATGACCGCTTGAGCATTTGTACCCTGCCATGTGGTCACTACTTCCACAGAGAATGTATAGAAGAGTGGTTAAAACGCCAAATGAAATGTCCGATGTGCATGCGGAAAATTTGGTTCGATAATGGGGATGTTAAAATGGACAAGACATAGCCTTGAATGCGTTAACGGTTTGGATACGGTGTTGCTTGCTCACTTATCAACACAACGAATGCGGCTGTTGTGCGTTCTACCAAAATTTATAAACGGATGAAGTATTCAGGACGCGTTTTGCCTTGGACTTTTGGACTGTTATCTTGCGGAATACGGATTGACTGTTAAACACTTTGCTGTTTCACACATATATTTTGCGTACTTAGTGCGATTTGGTAGAAAAATTCTGTCAGAGTCGTAAAGGTTTGCAAGCTGAACGATTGAGAAATTTCTTTGTTGAATTGTTAATAGTTTTAGTACTACAGTAGTAAGTACTATTAACGCCTGGCGCAATCCCCTTTTATGTACGAAATACGTATTAAAACTATGACACTCCAGAAGTGGTTTACATTCTGATGGTTTACATTTGTTGAAGCAATGGTCCTTCTAAGGACTACGCTGTATACTTATGCAACAACAGCAACTCCAGAGGTGATTATCGCTACGCAACGTGGTTACATTCGGTACTGAAACTGACAACTGTTTTGTGGAGCTGCGTTTCCGCTTAGGTGGAATCAAGGAAGTACTTACTTAAGTAGAATGGTAATACAAAAATACCTATCCTAGGCATGACTAGTTACCCCATGCTCGCTACAAGAACACGAAATTTTTGAGATGCAGTCAAACATCAACGATATTCGGTACAATGTTTCCATCGATTGGTTTGGTGTCGATGAATCGATTGTACAACGCCAAATGGACTGCATCGAACAACAATTAGCAGACATCAATGCAAGCAAACTTCCTGGACAAATTCGCATGTATGTGCGTGGAATCGTGCCGGTGCGCTTTTCTCAGCTGATTATGTGCGCGCGATCCTGGTTATTAATCTTGGTTTTATGTAATTTTTTGGTTTTATTGATTGTCTTGAACGAAGTCTGATTTTTATTAAGGGCACCGCAATCTGAATAGTCCAACACGTATCTTCTTCTATTATGAAATACTTCTATGCATTGCATATTCTGAAATTTTATTTTACTCTAGGATGGACAGAAAGAAGCAGATTATGTGGCCGCGGAAGATCCTACTTCTCGCCGAGTACGTATTTAAAACATTCTGTCTGCCGTCTCATATGTACAGGAAGCACTTTTATTTAGGACTTTTCAATTATGCTCTTCTAAAGTAACAAAGTGAGGGTTTAAGGGAAATTTTTGTGTTGTTCTGAGTACTCTGAGTTCGCATAATAGTGTGCATTTTGTACGCGGGAGTACAGTACGTTTTTACGATCTGCTTTGCTTCTCTCAATCTCGTTGCTCTAGGTCATAGGTTCCAGAAGTTCGGTGGATGAATCATTCCATGACCGTACCGCGCACAACCATAAATCCTCAACATCGTTCCCACAAGCAAGCAGAAGCACCCCGTCAGCCAGTCCTCATCGTTCCCCGAAAACTTTACTAAAGCCGTTGGGTACGACGTCCTTGATCAGTTTTGGCAGCCGTTCTCGGGAATCCCATTACGATCGATCGGATGATCGGAACGCATTCTCAGATTCCGATCCGTTTTACGGGGCACCTTTTGAAGACCAGTTTGATACAGTTTTTCACGGCGGTGAAACCATCGACAACAGTGGCGATGCGCCGGCTCCTGATAATTCCGAAAAAATATCACGGACAAGGAAGTCGAAATCGCAAGGAAAGGGGAATAAAGTCCGAGCTCCATCTGCCGGACAATCCAGTATGGCGTCGTTATGCGAGGATTTATTCAACACACCGCGGATGGCAAGGCGGTCCGACGACGTTCTGGAAGGAGAAAAGACCTTCAAAAATTCAAGTACTCCCATCTCAAGGAATAGTAGAAAAAGCAGTGAGGACCTGCCAGAATCAAACGATGCGCCGGATGAGGACGACGCAGCAAGCATCGCGAGTAATGACAGTGCCGATTCGCCGGCCAACCTTACGAGCCCTGCGCCATCCCTGTCAGATATAAAAGCCTCGGACTCTTTGATCTATCATCAGAAGAACCGTGTTAAAGCAAAAAACCGGTCGTCAGCACGGAAGCAGCGTAAAAAGCCGTCAGCAGGTGATAAAATTGTAACAGTGCAAATCATTCCGCCAAAATCTACTCTACATCAATCATTTTAAAACTTTAAATTTTAATCGTTTCCTTCATTTTAATATTTTTTTAATCCTTCGCGATTTAACGGCACATACGGACGTCATTCATGTTAGTAGGATAAACAGAATTGTTGTTGCAGATCGACCAACCGCAAAAAAGGCAAGGAAATGACAGCTACTTTGGAAGAGTGTGGAATACGCACGACTGCGAATAATTTGCGAATTTATTTCTCGGTTACGGTTATTCGTCGACCTACTTCCAAAAGTATTCAGTTAAGGCCTACGGCCTTGATGTCGGTGTGTGAGCGGTCTACGATATTTTTGCGACGTAAAAAAAGTTAGTTTTCGTTTGTTTTGGCCGCAATATGTGCTAGCCAATTATTCGGTGTGACTACGGTTTTCATTACAGAAATGTATAATATACATTGTTCTATTGACCTTATACGCAAAACGGTGCGGTCCGCACTCTGCGGTTGGTATAAACTTGGCATATGGCACCAGCAATATACATTAATTTTGGTATTCCAAAAGAACATAATGAGTACGACTCCGTGCTGTGCTTCCTTGATAGCGCACATACAGCATAAGAATAAAACAAACTGTACAAAAAACGACAAGGTAACAACTCACAAGTCAATTCCAAATCGGAGTACAGGATTCCCATACAATTCAGTCCCAACCAAATTCCAAATCGGAGTATCCACTAATTTGCACCACTTTGGAGATCACCCTTTAACACATACACTGCTTCAAAGTTGTGCTGAACTTGATCAACTGACGTTTGGCGAAAATCCCAGATTGATCACCGCTATATTGGTATCTTTTGCTCGTGTTGCCTCTTGGTTGAGCTGCTCGGCGCTCCTTGATGAAATCATTGTAAGAGCAAGGGAGTTAGGTGTAGATTTTGATGGCTGAGTTTTATAACCACCCCCGTAAAAGATTGTCTTCTGGTACAATGGTAAATCTGTACCATAATCCGCATTTCCCTTTCTAAAAATTTGGGAAGTCGACCGTTTGTCGCTAAGTTTTCGCAGCCGGAAATACTGTGCTTTGTACTCTTCGATGTCTCGAATCAATCTCTCATTCAGGAGTTTTTCTTCATTCCACATGGACGTGTACATGTTGACATCCGCTGTTAGACCCTAAATTAAAAATAATGGATTTTTTAACGAAAAGGATCTGTAGGCATTATGGCTGCTTTGCATGTAAATAACTGAGGCAAAGAACTTTACCCGCATCTGTTTGGTTTTGTCTTGCAAGGCCTTTTGGAGATGTATGACCTTTTCGTAAATCTCCTGACTGGGTAGGCGCGCCATGATTGATTTCAGTTCGATGTACAGATTTTCTTTCTCTTGCAGCATGCGTTCTATCTGTATAACTTCGTCCGTCTTCTTGATCAGGCGACGCTGGTACGTTTGTATCTTGAGTATCAGCTCATATGTGCTGGGATCGTTTCCTTGCAACGCTCTCCAGCGATGGGCATTAGCGGGAATTCGTAGCTCTTCTTCCAAAGTTTTACAGTGGTTCTTCTCCGACAGGAGATCCTTATTCAGGCGATAAATTTCCGCACGCATTTCTTCCATGGCTGACGAATTCCTGGACATTATACCCTTTTCGCGGTTAAGCCTCTGCGAAATGAATATCACGTTAATATTTAACATCAGAGTTCAAGTAGACGATTCAGTTTCTTGAACATATTTATTTTACCTGTAATTCCAGCTTAAGCACGCGTATATCTTCCAACCGTGCTCTGTAAGCTCCTTCACCCTTCTCCATGATAGATTCCAGGATCTTTATCTTTTCCGACAGCAAAATTAGTTCATCATTCCTGCGCACCACTTGCGTACCGAGAATATCCCGTTCTCGCGTAATACGCTGAACTTCTTTTAACATTTGCTCTTTCTCTTGGTCGGCATGCTTAATAATCCGCACTAATTTAACCTGCTCAGATTCGACATCACCCAGTTTGTTCTCAATATCCTGGGTCTTCTTCTTCAGCAGTGTCAACTCTGACCGAAGTGTATTCCGCTCCGTCTCCAGACGCTGCCGTTCCAGATGCTCTTTAGCAATAGCACCTTCCACTCTGGAGATTTGATCCCGTAGTTGTTCCATCTGATCTGCCATAATTTTGATTCGTCGCTTGTACTTTTCAATCTCTTCATTGGCATCGCTGACGTTCTTGCTGAGAATGTTGCGCTCGGTGCGGATGGTTTCTAGTTGATTACGCATGGCCTGTGTCTTCGCATCGGTTTCTTCGTTTTGCCGCTTCAGATCGGCAATCTTGCTGTCTTTGTCGTTGACATTCTTTGTCATGTCTAGAATCTCTTCTTTCAATGCATTTATCGTACCTTGAATAAATTAACAGAATGTGCTCGCAAAGTATGTTGAAACTTGAGTCATTTTAAAATTTTTGCACTTGACTAACCGGCATTTTTTACTCTCTCCTTTTCCAGATTCCCCAAAATTCTCCTGGATTTCTGAGCTTCTTGCTCGTATCTTTGTATCTCCAGCTCAAGCGCGTGTTTTTCCATTTTGGCTGTGAGAATTTGCGCCTCCAGCTTGTCGGCATCCGAACTGTGACGCTCCAGATTTCTCCTAATAGTGTCACGTTCTCTTAACAGATCTTCCATTGCTTTTCGATCTGCTATGCCTTGCAGCCGTTGTGTTTCAAGTCGCTTTTCCAGCTCAATCGCTTGCTCTTTAAGAATCTCCCGGTCCGACTCCAGCTGCGATTTAACCTGGTCTAAGGTCTGTACTTTTCGCAGAATGGCCTCATTGGCTTTCGTGAGCTTCCCATTTTCGACATTCATTCGGTGCACCTCCGATTCATGCAAATCCTGCTCCTGCTTAATCTTGACGTTTTCTTTACGCAGTTCTTCCGCGGTATTAACTTGTGTGTCGTAGTCGGTCTGCAGCTTCTTTTGTTTGTTCTCCATGGCTCCCAAATCGGCTTTCATGCGGTCAACTTCCACCTGATAGGCCAACTTACATTTATCTACTAGAGGAGTAAGTAGAAGGCGCATTTTATTAACATAACATAATCGTCTGGCGAAGCCATGAACTTCTAGTGCAGTTGTTTAAATAAAACGTAACCCTTAGTTCGCGTAGCTGTGTCCTTTGTTGTGCCATAGTTGTCTCCGCCCTGGCCAGATCATCCGATAGGTTTGTTTCCTCCTTTTTGGCATCGACGACTTCCTGTTTCGCCTGCCTGAGCTCCCTTTCCAGCTTTTCTCGCCGTCTTTCTTCTCGACTTCTTTCGTCTTTCTTCTCGGCTAACTGCTCCACAAGCTAAAAGCCAAGGCGGTATTAAGTGCGCAACACGATTAGCAAAAATCCAGTGATTACTGTCATTTGATGTATATAACAGTGCATAACACCTACCAGACACCTCTCAGCGTTGGCGTCCTGAAAATTTCTTTCAATTTCGCCAATTTTGTTCTTTGTTTCCACCAGCTCCTGCTGGGCTTGCTCCAGTCTGACAATGTACTCATCGCGCTCTTGCGCCAGCTTGTCCTTGGTTCGCAGCAACTCCTGTGCACTGAAATGTATGACGTTCATCCCGCAAAGGAAATTACTCCACCTCTCAGCTTACCTGTGTTCTTGACCGGTTGCAAAATTGGCATTCTTCTCTACCAAGCGGGTCAGATTACCGATTTCCATTTTGAGTGTGGTTATGGTCTCTCCGGCTTTGTCCTCCCGTTCATGTGCTTCATCGAGCATTTTCCAAGCTTTCTCTATCTCTTTCTTCAGCGCTTGTATGGTAGCCTGGTCTTCCTGCGCCAACCGAGTTGCGGTGGTTATTCTGCTGGAGTTGGCAACAATCTCCGCATGTAAATCCCGGCATTTGCCCATCAACTTGATTTCATTCTCATGCGCCATTTTGATGGCCTGATGAAGTTTTTCGTATTCGACACGGAACTTGCCCAGACTTTCATTGCCAATCAAATCTTTGATGACCAACTGGAAATCGCGTTCCATATCCAGCATAGCCGCCTCATCATGCGACATACGAATGTTAAGTTCATTGAGCATTTGATCATCAATCTGATAGGGAACTTGTCCCGCCGTTGCATCACGGTTGCTTCCACCGGCAGCCCCGCTATCTCGGCGGCCTCCATATCCCGGTTGGCGCTTAGCTGGCGTTGCAGCGGCCGGCTTAGATTTAGCCTTGGGATCATTGAGATTAGTGTGGCTGCTCGATGTTCTACCGGGACCCTGAAACCAGAAATTGTAATTCTTCGATTTTGTGCACAGTGAGTGGCGGCCAGACAAAAATCTTCATAAAACTTGCCTTTTCAGTCATTCTTCAGACAGCTCTGCACCAACATCGGTGTGCGATGCAGATTTTTAAATCTAGTCAGGACATCAGCTAATCTAAAAGAAGATAGATTTTCGCAACTTGTTTTACAAGTTGTAGCAACAGCAGAATTCTGCAGACTGGCTGGGATCGCTCGACGTAACCAACATTGCCTGGTTACATATGTTTCTGTGTGGTGTGAAGCTGTGCGGTTCTTGGTAAGCTTCTTGTAACAAGCCGTAACATGATTTGATTTTGCTTCTTAAATCAGGAATTCGAACAGACGATCATATTAGAAAGATTCTTACAAAACTGTAAGAGTATAAGAAGCGCTCCATAATTCTGCGCCGAAAACGCTTTTTTGTTGACGATGTTTTCGGTTATCACAGAAAAACAGCAGCACTGCCGGGCGAATGTGCCTTTATTGGAATATATGTTTAGCTTTGAAATGATTGCTGTACGATCGATCACAGTTGTTTTGGAAAATTGTCATCAGACTTCTCACAAGTGCAATAATCAAAAGGATAAAATGTCCCGAACAGATGTCAACGGCATTAACGAATTCCCATAAAAATTTTGGACGCGTGAAAGTAAAACAGTAGCTGTTGGGTTTTTTTTTCCATTCCAAGCCATACAGATTATGGACGTCGGCCTAACCGATAAGTGCTAAGGCGACCTGCCCCATAAATTCCGGTACCTCTGTACAAAGAGGAGACCATACCAATCGGGCATGGACATCACTGGGGCAGAAATAGATCCCATCCAAAATTTTTACGGTAAAGTGGCCTTCACGCACAATGGATCAAAAATGGCGTCCGTTCTGCTGTGACCTTTAAATCCGAAATGTTGATTCTGTAGCGTGCGTGCAGAATGCTGCAGAAGCATTAAAACAACTGGAATGCCAAATATCCTCCGAAGAGGTGAGCCATGAATCTTCGACCCAGCGTCTCAGTTCGCTACAGTTTTTTATCGCTAGCTTTTATGGCACATGAATGGCACGATAGTCATTAGTCGATACTCAGGTGTTGTCAGCGAACCGAACACTCGGTTCCATTAGCTCTATCTGCTCTCAGCAGTGAGTGAGTAGGCTAACACATTCAGCCATCTCCCACTCATGCGCGAATTGGGACATATCCACGAACGAACTCAAAACACAAAGAAGCTGTAAGTACCGCACGTTTAGTAGCCGCGTGGTAGTGGACGCAGTGGTCTTGGTTTGCTGACAACATCCATATACAGACAGGTACTCGTAGTTTGATGCACTCTGGGTGACTAGTACTGGTTGTGATCGTAAAAGCGAAAGCGAACCGCGTTTCCGCTGCTGGGCATTGTACTCGTACTATGAATTTATGGGTTTCTATCACAGATTGAGCAGGAAGTTTTGGAAAGAAGATTGGATTATTACCGTCGATTTGTAACGGAACACTTTTGTCCAGCCGTTTCGACTGAAGATAAACAGATATCCACAGATTACCAGCAAGAGGTCATGAAAATAGGTTAGCAGTTTGTGAAGGGGCAACCGTGTATTCCTAATGCGTACTCTAGCCTGTAGGAGTTAATGCAGTTGTATCCACTGTTTAAGATCGGACAACCGTTGGAACTTCTACTTCTTCTGTGGCAAAATTCGAAGTAGCCTCAGCGGTGCAGACCAAATCACTGCCCCAATTTGTAGATCAACACGTCCAGTGTTTGCCTTCCGATGAGAAGGCAGCTTCGAATATGCGCCTTGATAACCAACACCATGAAAGTGGCCAGGTACAAACTGCAATCGCTATGACCTCTTGCCTGTAGCTATACGGAGAACAAAGTTTTCTAGACCGTCACGAACTAAAGAGAAATTGCTTTTATTAACTGCTGCTGCATTGGGGGGGGGGGCGGCGCATGTAACAATAGCTTCGACGAAGCTGCTGATTGCAGGAACACATTTCACCACCGAATTTGGTATGTATTTTAAATTTTAACGTTAATGTTACTGATAAACTGTTTTGTTTTGCAGATGAAGTTCATACAGCTACCTCAATCAAGTTCCAGTGACTTAATGCTTGACGAGTTCCCTAACCAACTAGCGAATTCTCGCAAAAACGTTCGAAGTCTAAAAAAGAATAATTTCCTATCACAGTGTTTGCGAAAAATGTTTCACCTTCAAAAGAAACCAGGTTTTAATAAAGGCATTGCGTGAAAACCTTATACGAACTATTCTTTCTTCTAGCCACCTGTGGTTAGAATGTCGAAAACTGACAACCACTGTGTAAGATATGATATATTATTTCCATCAATAACCTGCTAATATGAAAACCACATCCAGTATTTATTACAGTATAACATTGGTTTCGTCATGTGATCGAGTAAGGTCACAACCGCTCGATTGGTAATTCAGCAAATGAAAGGTAGTCACTGTATATGGTACAAAAGTTAATGTCATCCCCATAATCTACGAAATCCTGCTCATTCAGTCGTTTCAGACAACTGCTCAGATCGGTCGCTTTACTCAACAAAGACTGAATTCCCATGTGTTCCAACTCAGTCCGAGTAGGTAAATCGCAAGGATGTGGCTTCGGCTGTCGTACACCTCGCAAGGGATCAACCTGGCACGGACGTCGGTTTATGAATAAGCTGTCCGAACCATCGGATGAAAACGGTTTTCTGTCTGTATTCCTAGGAATACCTTCCACCGCCGACGATGACTTGCAAAGACGAACAGCACTAGCGATTCGCTGGGATAACGTGCGGCTTGGCAGTGAATCACAGTATGTACTGTTGGTATCACTGGCGTCTGCTGGCGAGGAATCTTTCACCGTTGTCAAACTGGATCTGCTGTGTTCCGCGTCGGCATTTGGAAGGAATATTTGTCCTTGGACTTGCTCGTTGACATCACTGGTTGTGTTAACACCGGGTTTAACACCAGTGTTTGGGCTAACCCCGGTGCTAATCGTGGTTGGAACGTTCGGGAAGACACCGACATTTCCCTGGTTTGGAACTGCGGTCGGAGGGTCCTGTGCGTTTTCGCCAGCGGGTGTTGTCAACCCACTGGTATCTACAATACAGTCTAAATTATCTATCCACTGGTATCTGGTATCTATTCTGACCTACGACGCTCCAACACAGCGAAGCGAACTCATAATTTACCAGTCGATTTCGAGGTGACTATGGGCTTTGTCGGGCGTAAGTCATCTGTACTGGTTGCTCGAGCTGCCCTTCGCGAAACAGTTCCATCGTCCAGCTCCGACGATTTCACGAAATGCACATTCCGATCTATTGGTTCTGCAATATCCCAAAAATACACAGATTATATCTTTGCACTGCCCAACCGATGCAAAACTGGGGAATGCAAAGGCTTCCGCACTTTTCGTTCATTTTTGTCACTTGCGCACCTTGATTTTTGTGAACCGCATCATGCCGCTGAGTGTGCCGCAGCTGACGCTTTAGCTCTTCGACGTCGAAATGCAGCTTAGCCAGTTGGTCATCTTTCATGAACTGTGCTTCCGAAAACTTGACATCCTCGTTGTTTCTTACGTTTCGCGAATCTAGCGGTTCATGAAAGATATTATTTATTCCGGGTACTGCTTGCCACAGGCATCTGAAGCGGTGGCTCTCTCGAGGAAAAAAATGCCTACCGCCCTTTTCATCAAAATGATGCCGTGATTCATCTGTTCCGTTTCGGACATCCTGGAGATCTCTCCTTGTTTGCAAATGTTTATCGCTTTTAAAAGGAGTTTGTTCAAAATCCGACCGGCCACGGTTGTTCAGCGCTTCTCTGCGGTCTAAACAAGAAGCAATGACAGTGCACACTGATGAGTAATAGTAAATCGTGTGAAAGGCTCACCATGAGCTTCCCGTATTTGCTTTAATCTTTCTTCTAAACTAAATCGCGGTGTCCCTAAAGAAGCATCGATTCCCCATTTAAATTCCGAAGCACACCATGCACAAGAAAACTCAGACCTGATGCTCGGTACTGTGACCGTTGCAATTCGTTTATCATTTCGTTGAGTTGACAAATTTCTTCTTCCTGCTTTTGAATAGTTTGTTCCAAGTTTTTGATACGTATTTCCGCATTCTGAGGGATTTCGAGGGTCGTTTGTCTTTTTTCGCGTTCTTCTGAAAATGATATTATGTCGTGTCGCTCATGGTCAGTATTTGCTACCTATACATCCAGAAGACAAAGCTGGAAATCCTATGCCTGACTAGGCATACCATTTGGTGCACTTCCATTCAGCTTATAAGTGTTGTATCCACTTTGTGTTGTTGTTGGGTCACCATATGGCCTGCTGCTGATTCTAAGGGTTTTAATAGTTTCTCGAAGCTGGATCAGCGCTTGGTTCTGCCCCGCTACCGCAACAACCAGTTCGGATAGCTGATCCTGAATCTTTAGTGCTATACGTTCCGCCCGATCCTCCTGTCGATTTGGAATACTGGTTGCCGCTTGAAGAAACCAACCGTCAGTGAATAAAAGCCGCTAGTCATCGAAGCAGCGCGCACAGCGAATGTTGTTATTATGCAGCCGAGGTTATAACAACTGCGAGTTACCAATATCTTCGATTTTTCTCGACCCGGTTTTTCTCGACCCGGTAGTCGAGCTTTTAACGCAGTCTTGTATCGCCTTTAGAATTTTTAAGATCTCATTCCGGTCTTCTCGCTAAATATAGAAAATAATGCAGTGTGAATAACATAGCCACAGTAAGATTTATGTACAGTATATCGTTTCTTACCGGTACCAACGATACTGAACTGCTGGACGAAGGCCTAGGTTTCTTGCTAATGGGTATCTTCCTGATGCTTCGGTTCTAGATATTATTCATATTCAAACACACTGCTGACTCTCATGACAAGTATTTGCCGACCAGTTTTACACAGTAACACGGTTTACCTTGTTACTTCCCGATAATCGTGTAGGGCGTTTGGTATATAGCTTCGCAGCTTGTCTCTCTAACAGTTTCCGTTTCTCGGTTTCTCGCTCCAGCTTGTCTTGAAACTCTGTTTGCAGCTGGGTAATTTTATCATGTAGATTCTCGTTTCTTTGCTTAATACGCTCATTTTCCGCTCTGCATACGGCATATTTCTTTAAACAAGCTTGAAGACGATCTTCGGACATAACTGGTAATGGCTTCAGTTTATCTGCGCTCGCTTCGCTTTCAGTTTGGACGGTGTCTAGTTTGTTAATTAGCGATGCAAATTTTTCTTTCAACTCTGAATTCTCCGCTTGGCACGCGCTTAATCTGTTCAAACAATCATCGAATCCAGCTGGTTGTTTCAGGTCCGATGTTTTCTTGGGTTGACCTTTCAGTTCTGCACGGGATAAAGGGACAGATTTTTGATAAAAGGTTTTTAACGCTGGCCTTAGCATTTCCACGAGCTTGTCCAAACTCTCCATCCTAACTGATTTGGACTGCTTTATAGCATTCAGAATCTGCATCAAAATCTTTCTTTGTTTGCGAACTTCACTGGATGCTGAGACAGGATTGCTGTCTCGAAACAAAGCCTTGTTTGTAATCCCACGCATTCGCACCGGATTTCTTCCTTTGTAAAGTGCCGAGTTCGGTTGAAGTCTATCTGGTTTGGTTTTCGCCGTGGTGTAAAGTTCCTTGAGCTCGTCTAGTCGAGATAGAAGTCGCTCGATTCCCTCTTGGCTTTTTCTGTCGATCATGATGCGCTCTTCATGTGCACGATTTGCCGATTTATCTACTAGACCCCTGAGTTCTGCTCCAATGGTGTTCAGTTTTCTCACAACTTGATTCGCCTGAAATTTGAATGGAGACTGCGCATTGCTAGATTTTCTATGGGCCTTGTTAAACTGGCGAAGAGCGTTACATGTCGGACAATGGATCGAATTTCCGATAGATCGTCCAGCGTCGACGACAGGCTTATGTTGACGATGGAGTCTCTTGGAGCGATTTGGCTTACGGTTTTCTGTATTCGGAATACGAGACGGGCGCCCACGAATGGTTGCTAACAGTAGCTCTTCCATTTTTTGCAGTTGGAAGGGAAGTTTTTTACAATGACTACAGTCAACATGCACCGGCTGCTCAAATCTTTTGTCCAGCCTTCGGAGCTTCCCAATGATTTTCTCACAGTCGCGGCTATTTGATGACGCTGCTCCTTTCATCTTTTTCTCGATGCTTTGCAATCGCTGAGCCATTTTCTGACAAGCTGCGCATTCGGATTTGACCGGTTTGGCTTTTGAACTGCCTGTTTCTAGCTTCCGAATTAACTCCTTGCGCAACTTTCGAAATTCATGTCCCAAAGCGGTACCCGCTTCAGTATTAGGTGGTTGTATTGATGAAGACCGCTGGCGCTCACGGGGTAACGATTGTTCGTTGGGTGTTGTCGCGTGCGATCGATCCTGTCTTGGACTGTAGTCGGCAGACACAGAACGACGTGGGTTTACAATTCTTTCGCCTTTATGCTCCTGCAAACTAAACTTAAGCAAGTCGAAAATAGGATCTACTGTTTTCTCAGTACATACTTTTGCAGAGTTCGGATGTAGCTTGGCTGTCTGCTTCCGTAACAAGAGAAGTTCCTCGAACAGCTTCTGCTGAATTTTATTTAGCGAAAACAGCGCTTCCTCCACGCCTGCCATCGAGGCATTACTCTCTGTTTGGTCGAGCGGCATATTCGCCGTGCCTAGTTTCGCTGTCAAATCTCTTATAGCATTTTTTAAACTTCGAAACTCTCTCTGCATCTGCCAAAAAATGAGTATATCAGTCGACAGAAAATGCGTCCGTCTACTCGCTTACCGATTCTGTACCCGCTTGAAACCGCAGTTGGTTTTCATACACTTGACTAACTGAATCCACGGTTCGTAGGTGTTCTTGTTTATTAGCCCTTTTTTCCCCTTTTTGCGGTGATTTCAGCAAATCCAGTGCCTTTTCCATTAGGAGTTCTGCCTTAGTACAAAGCGCTTCAAGTGAAGCTACAACTTCCGCTTGGCGATCAAGATTATCCGGTATTTGTGAAAGGTGTCTTTTACGAGTAACTATCGAAGTACTTCGTCTAACCGGAAATATTGTAGCAGACTTCGTTAACTTCCGTGAAACAGAATCAGCATCCCCAGGTGACGAGAATCCCGTCTGCAGTAAATTTTGTAGTTGGTTCAAGTACCGCTGGAAAGTTTCTAAGAGCGAATTCAAATTGTGACTGGTGTCGGTTGTCGACGGGATTGTCGGCATGTATTCATCTTGACTGTTTCTTGCAGGGTTGTGCTGATCTTTCGTGTTTCTGCTTAGCTCAGGATTCCGATCTGATGGGTTCTTGGAGCGTTTGTGCGAACCATGTGCCGGCTCACCCAAGCTTTCCTCGAAATCATCCACACCATTTGATCCACGTTCCGGTTCCACGATTCTTCTGGAGTGCGTGTTTATGCGCTCATAATCTGGGGATGAGCGATTGCTTCTCTGAAACATGGCACCCGAATCTGGCGCTGTTTGTGATCGGGAATTTCCAGCTTTCCTGTCCGAGTGCTGATCCACATCATCGCTGCGTTCATCAGCCACATTGGTATCTCCATATGACTGGAAGGATTTCGGTTTCGGCGTTTGCATTATCCGGTCATGATCCGAACTTGCATATTCAGTTTCGCTGTGGCTTTTACTCGCATCTCCTTGGAGAAGCTGAACACCTTGCACTGACTGCTTGCGCACACTGCGAGCACCATCCGATGCTGCAACAGAACTACTTGCTTGCGTAGGCTTTTCTTTGCTTTTTATGCTACTTCGCGAGGCTGATCGGTCATCTAAAACGTGACCTTCGGCTGCGTTATCGTGTACCGATACTGTTGACAAGCTTGCTGGATATTCCGTCACACTTTCCGGACTTTCCGGTCGCTCAAATGAAGCGTAGGTATTTAGTCTGACGGACGAATCTGACCGTTCGCTGGTTATTTGCACATCAGATTTTGCGTCGGCTTCTTCGACGGTGTGCGCGGGTTTCGTAGGTGTCATATCTGTCTCTTCCACGCTAGAATACGACTCATGTGGTAAAGGGAACATATTCGTTTCAGACACATCTCTCGTTAGCGCCGCATCTGCCGAATGTCGTCGTCGTGATCGCCTGCGATTGCGATATCTCTTTCCTCTTCGCTCTTCCGGATTATTTTCAGTTTCATAATAATCAGGATCATTGCAAATGCGACACTTCTTGAGAACTTCTGGTGGTTGATTGCGCGGTATGGATTCTGGTTCCGCTCGTTCTGTTTGTGAAGACCGATCCACGTGCGAAGGGGAATTTTTTGATATCGATTGATGAGACGCTTTGTATACAGGACTGGGATGCGAATGGCCATTTCCTTTCGTCGGTCTTGAGAATATGGATTCCTTTGATGAATGGTCGCTGTGAAGTGGAAGCAAATTCAAAATATGCTTTTGTCGTACAAAGCGCATTTTGGACAACGAAGATTCTCACCTGTATGCGCTGCTGTAGCTGATCTGCCCACTGAACGAAGCGGCATTGCTAAGAGGATTATCTGAACTCCGCCATTCCCGGCTTGACGAGTTTGCAGTATTTCTCGTGTTTCTATGTATAAACTTGTTAGCACTAGACGTTAACCGGTAAACGAGTACTTATCATTCTAGAAAATAACAACTAATACTACTTTACTGGTTCTACTCTTTTCAACCATTTTTTAAACAGAACATTCGATACGTTATACAGGAGCTACCGATGCATTACCCATTCGACAACTGGTGATGATTTGGTGGTAATTCTTCTTGATTCCAGTGGTGCGATGTAGGCCCCCCGTGTTTGTTTTGACCATTTGTGGCCCGCGTGGTAGGATGGAAACGGCAAGAATTATCCTGCAGTGTACGAAGTAGAAATGGGAATTGGAATGTTTCACGTTTTCTTCCATCTTGATATAACAAACAAAAATTTCAGTTGACCTGGGTAACTCCTTTCAGGCGCGTTTTTGACCGACTATCTTGACCTTTTATCCTTTCATCGCCGGATGGTGTAACATAGCGCTTGTTCTGTTCTTCGCATAATGCGCACCTGTGGTACAGTTTCATTCGGAACAATTTATTGCGCTTTGAATATAAACAGAAATGTTACCTGCTCGTTTCTTTTGATGACTCGAGCTTAGAAGCACGCTGATGATAGGTCTATAACACAAAACTCGTTTACAAACACATTTGGTTGGCTTTGCAGCTGCATCGCTTCTAACGTGAGCTGAAAGTATTAAATTTTAATATTTGTACTCGTATGCAGTACCTACGGCAGCTGCTTGGTTCTCCAGGAAATGAAGAAGTCGATGGAGATGGCCATTTACATTGGTGACGCTGTTGCGCAAATTCTTGAGCCCTGACGTGAACCTGCAACAAAACGCGCTAAAAGCGATACCGGTAGACAAGCATTTACGGATTCGTAAAAAATGTTACACATCATTCGTTTCCGTAAATCCTTTGCTCGCTCCTTTTTTCACTTGTTCGTATGCCGTTTTAACTTGGTCGATTTCGTTAACAATACCACTGCAAAAAGGGAACATAGGCAGCAGCCACTGCAGAGGAAGGAATTTTCGTAGCATTATTTGGAAGAAAGTTTATATTAGGAAAGGTTGCTTATACTTGGTATCATCGCAGACTTCTTTAATATGTTTGGCGATACGCTCTTTGCCGGGCGAACCAGTGGCCTAAAATACAAGCATGCGGCTCAAAACGATTTTTACACTAAGCACAAATGATGAAAGTGCAGAATCCTGCACCAGTGTATCCTAAGAAGCGTACAAACGATCCCTTCCGCAGAGAAGCTCCCGATCCCTTCCCTTTCCTGGATGAAGCATTTATTTTTTCACCAGCATCTCCCACCACCAATGCGAAGCGATAATCTCCTGATCCCCCAAGTTCCTCCAGTTCCCTCTGGGAAAAGACATTTTCCAGGCCATAGATCTCAAAGTCTCCCCTGAAAATAAATTAATCGTTCCCAGCCACATACTGTAAGATATTTTGTTTTTTTCACGTAAATTTCGATCACATTTACGGCTTAAGGGTCAAGGTCATACCTGTCAGGAACAAACGAGGACCCCGATCGGCTTCCCATGGCATCGGTGTTAATGGATTAAGGTCAAAAAAGGTGACCTTGTCGTACTGATACAATGATACATATATTTTTACACCAAGTACTAACCAAAGCTCCAGTAATTAAGAAGTACGACTGTACGAGAGATTATACGTATGTTACGGAAGATCAACATAATAATAACAATTAATAATTTAATAATAATAATTTTTGTTTCAGCGTTTAAGCTTAGAGATTATGCGTGGTAATGCTATGAGTGTGTTGTGCACAGTCCCTTCTCATGTTAATTGGGACAAATTCTTCATTTGATTGGTATTGATTGAGCGAAGCTCGCTGTATACAAATTGCCAAATTAACAGGCATAATAAATAGCAAGATCAAATTTGTAATATAACCGAAAGTGAAATGTTGCTTAGCTATAGCCTATAACAATCCTTGTACACGGCAGTGTTAGAGCGTCGAGCATACTGGTACAGAAACCAAGTGCTTCATATCGTACTGAAACTACTTCGTACTCTACTTTAAAACGTGCGCACTTTAAAAATACAACAGATACAACAAAGCATAAATATAGTGCTGAAACTTCCTCTGCTCAGTACACAGATAAGTACAGTAATGTGAATACTATATTTATGCATTAACCTACATAAATATTTCTGTTATTAGAGTTTCGAACGATAACTGGCACTTAATTTAAAAGTTGTTTTTCTGAATGGCACATTCTGTTATCATGCGTTTTTTCTCGGGGCAGTAGGGTAGGATTTAAATACGTAAAATGTAATTTAACGAGCGAAGACAACGTTGGAAATATTACAGTAATATTTCCAACGTTGTCTTCGCTCGTTAAATTACATTTTAAAAATTAACGATTTAATTTATTTTAATTTGTTTAATTTGTTTAATTTAAAATTAAATAAAAAATAAATTAAATAATTAAATAATTATTATTAATATTAATTAAATTAAATAATATTAATAAATAAATTAATTAATTAATTAATTAATAAATTAATTAATTAATTAATTAAATAATTATTATTAATATTAATTAAATTAAATAATATTAATTAATAAATTAATTAATAATTAATCGTTAAATTAAACAAATTAAATCGTTAAATTACATGAGTAATCGAGGCAGTTTGCAGAATATAAACAGCAGCAGGTTGGAGGCTATGATCTAATCAGCTTACGTTAGTTCTTTCAAAGAGTAATATTATTACTCTTTGAAAGTTCTTTCAAAGAGTAATAATATTACTCTTTGAAAGAACTAACGTAAGCTGATTAGATCATAGCCTCCAACCTGCTGCTGTTTATATTCTGCAAACTGCCTCGATTACTCATTAGTCATTACTGCAGAATTTTTCAGCATCTGCAAATAAAACGTAAAACTCGGGAAAAGTACTATATTTAATTACTTAATGAAAAATAATTTGACGGATACCTGCTTATCTAACTGCAGAGGATTCACTATCTACGAATGTCTCTTTCGGATAAGGCTTCCAGAGCGAGCGAAAAGAGCAATTTAACATGGACTCGCACTGAACCTCTTTTCCAGCTCAGTCCAAATTCACCATCAGACACATCTTTCGGTGGAAAAAATGAAGTATCCGCCTTTGAATCGGATTTTATCGAAAGTATTTCGGATCGTTTACAACGGGTCTATGGCTTGCCATATGGAAAAGTCACTAAAAAAGTGTATGAACTGGTATCTAAAAAACTGATATAAATTCAAAGATAGCCACTAATTATGGTACATATACCTACGATCCATGAATCACTCCTAGAGTAGCTTCTAAGCTTCCTACTTGGAATAGGGCATCACTGGCATAAAGAGCCAGAAATGTAATTTCCGATCTCATTTCTTTGACTGTTTATTAATTTCATGCCGTGAATTGCAGATTTTGCGAAAACAATATGAAAAGGTTATCAGCATTCTCAACGAAATCTGTTGCTTTGATGACCGGACATTTTCGGTCAGCATTTTCTTGTAATTTTGCATCTAACTGTGTCCAAATAATTGTATTTCTTCCCAAAACTAGGCTGGAAAGTTTTGCGCACTATTAGGATTCTGCTATTATCAGACGAAAAACTACCGAAGTGCCAGCGAATGCTATGGGCGCTTGTGGAACAACGACCAGCAGAATCCCAGTCACGGACTTTGGCTGGCACACTGCTATGTTCTTTGCGATCGATTCCAGGAAGCATTACATGTTTTGGATTCAATTACCAGTGACAATCTACTGGCCGAGATAAGAGTGCTGCGAGCCGCAATCTTCGTAAAATTACAACAGCTAGATGACGCAACTGTAGGTTAAGGCCAAAGTTGTAGATCTCATAAGAAGTATTTACAATTTTATCAATGGTCTTTCTGATTTACTCTAGGATTTATTTAATGAGTACGGAGAAGAAAAGTCAAACGACTTCAACTTTGGCATTTTGTTGTATAATAAACAAAAATTCCATCAAGCGCGCGTGGTTTTTGATAATGTGGAGCTGACTCAAGGGTCAACAGCCGACTGCCAGTATGCACAAGCGTTATGCTCTTTCAAACTACAGGATTATGCTACCGCGCAGGAGTTATGTTCCGAACTGCGCGAAGCCCTTGACGTGCCGCATGCACCTTTAGAAGTGTCATCCAATCGTCTCATTTGTTCAAACCAGGAAAGCTCAATGCCGGCGAAATTCTGTGCAGGCATCGCAACACTGCTTTCGGGATGTTACCTGCAAGTTAATCAGCGTATGCAGATTTTACGAATTACGACAATAATGCAAGTACGATGTCCTGATTACGTATTGTAATCCACTGTTTGCAGGGCGTTCCGCCAGTTCATATTTAATATCCATATCCACTAACGGAGGATCCAGTGAAGCAGAATTCTATTGCAAAGCATCGCAAACATATATAGCAGCTGCATCTGGTGACAGCGACTTTCATACGCTTGAAGCTCTGGTGCAATCAGAAAACCATGCCGGATGTGCTGTCCATCGTAACCTGCTGCTGTTGTATTTGGAAAACAACAAAAGAGTGGAAGCCAGAAATTTGATTGAAAGTTTCGGTGACCAGTTACGGTGCGAGTTTGATCAAGAGGTAAGTAGAATCCAGAATGCAAGGGGACTCGACCCAGTGCACATTTTTGACAATGTTTGTAGTACGAATGGCCAATCGTTCAAGCAGTTCTCTTGGGTCTGGAGAATCCGTTAGCGTCTTCGTCGGTTTCGCTGGATATGCAGACAAGCATCGCTAAAGATATCGCTTATTATCAAGAAGAGCTCCGAAATCTCCAGTCGATGCAGCAGCAAGACGGCGACTCACCGAGCGACACTGGGAAATACGAAAAAAAGCTACAAAAAGCCGAACAAGCGTAAGGACGCAAAACTGCAGCAATCAAACAAATAGACGGCAATTTTATCTGCATTTACATCTGCAGGCTTCGCACCATTCAATTGTACATCGCAAAGTTATACTACGACCACAAAAATTATTCCCAAGCTATCCACGTTTTACCAAGGGATACCAATGTGGACAATATCGACACAACAACGGCCATGGCACATTGTTTGTTTATGGATGGACGCTACGAAGATGCTGTTGTTATATATGACAGCTTGATCGCCCATTTCCGCAACGCCTATTTTACACTAATTAGCGTATGTAATTATCATACTTTTAAATATATTAGCAATAACAGCAGTTAGACCATATGCATATACAGTACATTTTCGGGAACTTTGCAGTAACAGACATCACAAGAAGTTTTTATTTCTAGACGCCTGTGGACATTGTTTCCCATTACTGTGCCTCACAACTCTTCAGCATAGAAGATGTCGCAAAAATTAAAGAGATCATTGGGGAAATCATTCGCTCGGAGAAGGTTAATTTCGAGGATATGGAGTCGGAGTATCGGGAAATTGCTGCTGCAAGAAGTCACCTGATTGCCACGTGTCTGAATCTGGCGTGAGTTTTAAAAGCAAGCGCACAATTATACGCAAATCGTTATCTGATAATGCTTCTTTTAGCGTGACCTTTCTGGAAAATGGCAACTACGGCGAGGCTTTACAAAAGGCTGAAGAGGTGCTGCGACTGCAGCCATGGCATAAGGATTTCACTGTCTGGGACATGTTAAAGAAAGTGATTGTGCTAATCGCAAGAAACGTAATATCAGAAAGTTCCAGAGGAGACGGACTTATTTGGAACGCGATTGTTAGCCATTTATATGCATTGGAAGGTAAGCAACTTCTTAACCTGAACTTAATCAGCAGCATACGCAATACTTACAATTGTCAACCTTTTCAACTTTTTCGTTTCAACTTTCAAATTATCTTTCGAATTTGTGTGCTTCGTTAAATTGGTACTTATATTTAGTTAGTACTGCGAGAAAAACAAAAGCATACCAAAACTGATTTCTGGAACAAAATTGCCGCTTTATTTAATTCAAAACTTTTATATTTCGTTCGACAGAGCAAGTTCAATCCAGTGGAGTAGAGGACGACGAGCACAGTAACATAAAAAGGAATGAAATGCTTCCGATGTTAAAATTACAAAAAGAGGTCCGAGATGTTCGGTTGGTGTGTCAAACAGTTATTTGTGAATTTGCCGGAGTGAATTCCCAATCCAGTTCGGACAGAAAGCACAAGAGAAACTTCAGTCGAGACTTGTTTACGGACTTAACCAGAATCGTAACCACTTTCGGTCACCAAAAAAGTTAAATGTAACCGCGATGAACTTAAACAATGGCATTAAAATTTTGCACCTTCGTTTTTCGCGGCATGGACTTATTTCCTTAACCGGCTCGGATCCTTCGCAAATTGTTTGCTTTATTTGATTACAATAGTATCAAAATCGCCTTTTTTGTACAGAGTAAATTATTCTCGTCGTACATTATTCCACAAAAAATAGTCCGTACTCATATCTCAGACAAACGCGTACAGCAACTCCTTATGCAAACAAAACAGCAAAACTGGAGCACAACACAGCAAAATTGGAAAGGCCAAAAAGAATACCGAAACAAGTACCCACTTTCAGAACGTCTTTAAAGAGCAGCATATATTGTCAACCTTTTGTCGACATGTTTTTGTTGCTTGAGTCAAGTTGAAACACGGAAGATTACTGATGGGGTAAGTATACCGTACCGAAGTACTGTAAGTGATGACACCTCAGCCGTTTGTGGTGTTGAACTGGGAAACTAGCTCTCTTAAGGGATTTGGCCCGGTACATAGCACCAAATTCGTGTACATCCACGGGAACCTTCGCTGTCGCGCACTCCCAAATACTTTTTTGCATTGCTTTATGGTACGTAAAGAATTGTATACGTAGTTGTGAAATCCGTTTGCGCAACATCCGGTTGCGGATTATGAGGTAACAAAATTCCAAAAGTTTAATGTTCAGGTGTAAAGTCATTATGGACCGATCCTTTCAAATTTGCGTAAATGCACATAACCATGAGATTGTTTGGTGGAACCAGACTTCTAGGATTTTTTTAGATTTTAAAATGAATTTTAAAATTTTTGAAATTCATTTTAAAATCTAAAAAAATCCTAGAAGTCTTCTGTACCAATCTTCAAAATGGGATCGAATCTTTTTTTGCATTTAAACTTTTGGAATTTTGTTACCCTCATAACTCCGCAACCGGATGTTGCGCGCGCAAACGGATTTCACAACTACGTATACAATTCTTTTGGCTACAAAATACCATAAAGCAATGCAAAAAAGTGTTTGGGAGTGCGCGACAGCGAAAGGTCCCGCCAATGTACACGAAATTTAGTGCTATGTACTGGGCCAAATCCCTTAAAGGACTTAAAGACTTGAATGATGCGACTCGAGCCATGTTCTACTTATGGGAAGTGCGAAGCGATATTGCAATAACAAAGTAACTTACCATGTTCAAGCTGAGACTGCAAGGTGCATTGTTACGATTATCCGTGAAATGAGAACCTCAATCAACAACGAGAAATGGAGGATACAATCCCACCAGGATTCTTCCAACAATAGCGATAAGATGATAACGACTAAATAAAGACGTGGATGCAGCAGATACGCAGTCACCGTTGACTTTATCACAGCAGCTTTCTCCACGGATTATCTTGATATACTGACAGTTCCAGGCAGCATTCAAAAGGTCAAAGCGTTTTCTCCGTTAGCTGCATCCACGTCGGCCTGCCCGTCGGTGAGACGCCGCTGGATCCCAGGATACCAATAATAAGCGCTGGGTAATAGAGATGATGCGCTGTTGGGGATCTTCTTTTCCAGTGTCGTATGGTGCCATTCGTGGATCCAGCGGCGTCTCACCGACGGACAGGCCAGGAGGAAGCCCATCAGAATCCATTTTGCTCCAGTGGCAGTCGGCTTCCATGAACTCGTGATCCATGCAGTGGGAGCCGAATAAAGGGTTTCACCATTCCCAGCTATTGCTAATAATGAGACGGGAAAGTTCACTGAAGAGTAAAACTGGATACGATCCGGAAGACAGAATAGATATACAAAATGCAGGTAAGGTGCTCCATAAAGCGATACTGTTCGTGGTTGAATAGCAATCCAGTTGATAAAGGGTGTTAGGACGAAGCGCTACGATTATCGGCCGAATTCCGGAGCTCGGCGGTTATCGTCCAGCAGCTGGGTAATAGGATATACAACGAGCTATCACAGCGGCAAAAATACTGTAAAGCACAATAATCCTAAGCAAATTACAACAGCTACAATAAACCGTTACGCAGCTTCACATGTACACTTCCATAAGTAAACCATGGCTCATGGTCAGTGGAATCACCCATTTGTTTCCCTTCCCTGAGGCGTTGCCTTGTACTACAGTACATACAGCCTGTGGTGATCTGCCCTGCCTACATGATTAATATCGTGCCACCAAATTCCCTGACCACTACCGCAGTAATGCTATAGATACCGACTAATAAGTAGTAATAACCCAACGATCGCACATGACACCACACACGACAAGACGAGACGTCCGCGCCGGTACATCATTCTCCCAATTGCAACCAGAAGGCCATCTGTGGATTAGCTGATCTTCGATGGGGGCAGCAGACAGTCAGGGTTGAAGTTACCCCGCCAAAAGGCAAGGTTGAAGAGGCTCCTTTACCTTGAGGCTCCTTCCCGTCCACACCACAGCTGAAAAAGTCCCGTTGACTTGACAGTATGAACTATGAAGTACGCGACCAACAATCAACTTGAACAGTGAAATAATATAGAAAAGGTTGAGGTACGCGGTACGGTTAACTACGTATCTTCATACACACAAGGGACTCATATAAATATACTCGTGCAGGGAATTGTACTCGTACTACTCTGTACATAACTTTTATTAACTTACCGGTACTTTTACATTTTGGAAAGACATTGTTTTTGGCGAGGCTATTGCTTACCCGATAATCCATTTTAATGCGATGAGTGCAAAGTTTCTCTCATTGAAGACGTGGCGGGAAGTCGTGAACTAATCCGGGGGTTATAAAGGATTTCGTCATTTTGATGATCCCGATAGACCTAAATCACATTCCAAATTTACCATGGCAACCAGACGGCGATAAAGTAAAACACGCAAAACATTGACCTTTCGCTGATGCAGCAAAGCGAGGGAAATTATTTTTATGGATAGTTTTGTTACTTACTTAACACGCGAGATTTTTCGGTTACCAGAAATCAGCGAAAATAATGAACCAAGTTAAAAGTCTCAACTCGGGTCCCAGAATTCTAAGATTTGATACTCGTGACAGCGGTGACACAGTCACTGACACTTACTTCTGATCGTTCCTACGAAACTGCGACTGCCAGTGGTATTTCACTCGAAGTCATTCTGGAAATTTTAAGCAAAGTAACGAGTAACAGTTTAACAGAATGTTCGTCCCGGACATTTAATATCAAGTCTCAAAACCAGCAGGATTACGGTTAACCACATCTGTTACTCGTATCGTGGCATGCACAGGACCACAGATGCTCAGGCTAACAGCCTATACCTCGAAATACAAAAAGAGCAGGAACTGACAGGTAGCTGATCTACCTCAGAAGGCCAGAGCCTCTTAGTTGCTTGGAGACCTAGTTAATTTCTTTGTTGCCATGGATAACTCAGAGCAAATTCTCGCGAATTAAAGTTCTTAAAGCACAGGCCACGTGGAAATAGGTTACAAGTTCGAGAAATCCTTTTTTACCGGCCGTCCAATCAGCACAAGCTCTCAAACTGCTGATTGCGGTGTTGAGCAACAACAGTAATACAATACGTACTCGCCTGCTCAATTTGTGATGCCGATGGTACAGTCCGGGCTTTGCGTTGCTACTTGTATGCTACACAACTAAGGACCCATCAATAGAAGTTACGCCATGGCCGAACCCACAATGCGGCGATTCGCTGCCGCGCAAATTAGATCTGTGCTTGGGTGAGGGCGGTGCCAAAAATGCATACTCGTAAGAGCCTTACGCGTATGTATGTAACTCCACCCCCTAGCATGCATACATACACGAAACTGATCGAACTGCCAGTGGATCTCGAAATTCAAACGCTCGTCTTTTCGTTTATTTCAACAGAACTTCCAAATCGATATATCAAAGATAGAGTAATTTTCAAACTTTTGGTATGCAGGAGTGGAAATCTATGGTAATGAAGAAAGTTATGGCTGTTTTAGTTTCTCATAGACTTAGCATAGGATGCAAGCAACGCCTCCTCACACGGGCCTATGCTTTGTTTACGAGAAACCAAAACAGCCATAACTTTCTTGATTTGCCATAGATTTCCACTTGCTATATACCAAAAGTTTGAAAATTAATTCTCTATCTTTTGATATATCGATTGGGAAGTTCTGTTGAGAGGCAAACGAAAGAAGCGTGCTGCAAGTTTTGGGGATTGACTGGCAGTCAGGTCGGCTACTTATGTGTTTATGAGCGAGCTGGTCACATCTACACGCGTGCCGCACACCAGCTCGTTTTAAGCCATACGCACAAACCAATTTCGACGGCCGGAAGTCTTACTTATATAGACGGGTGCTAACTTATGTGACATACAAGTTGCAACGCAAAGCCCCTAGTACTTATAAAATCATCGATGGTTAACTCGGTGTAATGCAATCAGTGCGCAATCATTTCGGTAAGTATTAGGACATTGGTCACATTGCTACTGGCAACATATATAAGGCATTCGGTACTTAGTGTAATTTCATAGAAATAGAAAATCAAGAGATTAGGAAATCGAAGAAACCCAAGAGACCAAATTAAAGACCGCAGAAAATCCAAGAAACGCAAGAAAATTAGGAACTATTTCCAAGGACATTTTGATAAGATGACCACAGAAAATAAATTCTTTTGAGAAATAGTACATACCGAAGTGCCGTATGCCGAATTGTCTGTATGCCGACATGTCCCGCAGGCCGAAATGGTCGTACCAGCTATGCTTACAAGTACACCGTAGTAATTTTAGCAACAAAAAACGACTCAGGAAACTCTAATCATACACATTCGAACAGGATAGATTAGTAAATAAAAATAAGAAACTTAATGTAAATCAAAGTAAGATTTCCCAATGATCTCCGGCATTGCTGAATTAATCTTAATATAATATTTACAACATTTAAGCACCCTATTTACTACAATAAAATTAATTTCGGCACACGAATAGTGTTTTTGTTAAATGAAATCCTTTACATACTTCTCCCGCGCTTTAATTACAGGCGGAAGATATTATTATTATTAATATTTGATTTATTAATCAGACCGCAGCAGGACCATATTTTTCCCACTTTGTGCCAGAACCTGGACCTGTGTTATACCGTTGTTTTAAATTATATTTCCACTATCTCATAAATGGATACTCGTCTAATTCGTCTTTACGGTCGCACTTTCACACGCTACGGAATTATTGTTTTAGTGAACGTGAACCTCGTTTCGGAGCATTACAGTTGTGCAAATTTGGAAACATTTATTTTCTGCCTAAACAACCTTTGCTAGATTTATCGTTTACTTGGCTCACGTGCTTACTTGGCTTATAAGTGATGCTGTTTATTTCTGCTGCTTGTAGCGAATTAAGTAACTGACTGCATTGACTGACCGTCGCAGTTTTATGCAGAATCATATGATAGCGTAGGAGTCGCATTAATGTTAATTTAACCGTTTGATGGGATCGAAAACCATGCATGGCGTTCTGTGTGATTAATCTATCCGAAAAAGGCCGTAATACCCTGGGTCACGTTGGAACGGCCTTTTCAGCGATCCTGGTGGCTTTAGGTGGGAGTGAATGCATTTTGTGTGCCAGCGCTCTTTTTGCATATCGCATTACAAGAAAAGCCCAATTATTAAAAAATTTTTCTGTAGCAATGCGGCTGCTTTTACAGGTTTGGTAATAATTGCGATGGCTCTACACATTCGTTCCCGCATTCAAACCAATCTTCAATTGCTTGACAATTACAACGGCTCCAGTTTTATCTATTACCTAATTATTGTTGGAGTAATCGTTATCATAACCCACGGGGTTGGCCTGAAGATCTTCGCCGATCTGGGATTTTACGAATCACGTTATCGATGGGAGAATCACACTCGTCTGTACGGTCTTATAATACTGGTCGTCAAAATTATCGTCTTCGTTACTATAGTTGTTGTTTTCACTCATCAGTTCACGATGAAGAAATATTTTAAAAATGGTCTGAAATCTGCAATGGGCCGCTATTCCAAAAGTCCCGAAATCAAGCGGGCGATGGACCAACTCCAGATACAACTGAAATGCTGTGGAAGTAATGAGTCAGCCGACTGGTTCACCATTGCTTGGATCGATAATGCTTACCTCGATCTGCAGGCAGCCGAAATCAAGAAAGACCTAAAAGATGGCGTGTACAAAGCCGATAATGTGCCCTTTAGCTGTTGTAATACCAATATCTCGCGTCCATGCATTCACCGCAACGTGAAAACTCCTCGAGTCGACTATATATGGCCGAAGGACAGTACACTATACAACATGGGCTGCACACCGGCTTTAGCCGAAGATTTCGGCAGAACCACCCTGAATGTCACCGGGTACATAGTGGTCACTACTTATCTTTTAATGGTTCGTTCGACTGCAGATTTGCAGCAAAACTTTTACACCTAAGCTTACAAAGGTTTATTTACTGTTAGTGGGTGATTCTCGTCATCTTGAAGCTGCTTTCCACGGGAATCGCTAATACGTATCCGTGGGGTGATCCCGAGGGAGATGCCCCAACGTGGCTGCTTGAAATGTGTCCAATACAGTGGTGTGACAGTGAAACTCCCAAACCGCCGGACGATACCAACCAGGGCATTCCTGGCTTAGCGATTCCGCATCGTAGGAAATCGCAGTATACGAATGAAGCATTTGAAGCCGACGAAGAAGACAGCGAGCAAGAGGTGGTGGCCCATCAGCCACTATTACGCGACATAGCGAACGGTAAACCACCTTCCGATCCGGTACTCAAGCATCGGCTGACTAATACGTTTATGGACGATGAGCTGCCGGATATCGTGTACTCCAACACTGGTCAGCCACAGCAAAGATCCTTCAACATGATTTCGGACATTGCTGCGAAAAGAGCCCACCGTACGGCGGCGCCGCAAGGTATAGTACAAACGCACAGGATACCTACCCAGTAGTATATTCTATTTGAATAGAAGTTTGCCGCGAATGATATAAGGACTGTATAATACCATGAACAGGTAGCACCCGTACTGTATTTCATGATCGGGTGAACGACACAATTCGTACTTCGTAGACGAGAGAGATACTGGTTCGGTAACGGACGATGGCGAGACTTCAATGGATACCAACGATACTTCTCGAGCAAAGCGGAAAAAGAACCGAAAGCAGAAAAAGCGTGAGAACATATTCATGTTGTGCAGACATGCCCATTATAATGGTTATTGTTTCAAAAGCATAGCACGTAGTACGTCTCTGATAGCGTTATTCGCTTATTCGATAATCTGCTATTGCTTGACAAGGTGTCATCACCGTTGGATCTTACAAATCGGTATTGGCTTTGCAGCGGCAGAGCATTCACACAAAAGAAAGACCGGCAAACATGATAAAGCTAAGAAGAAGAAAAAGGAAAAACACCACAATGACAGAAGAACAAGCAAAGAGGAAGACGATACCGATTACGATGCCCAAGATAATGACAGCGCCGGGAACGATGGAGATGGTGGAGAAGACTCCAAATCAAAGAAAAAGGACAAAACCCGGAAGAAAGATGGTGCTCAGCAGAAACATAAAGGTCGATCCAAGAAAAACCGCTCCCAACGCAGAAAAAAGCGATAGGAACGCTCGTGTCAATCCCGAATAGCTGGCGGTAGTCCCGCAGACTCCCTCTCATATCTGAGTAATACAATCAGATTGAAAGGTTCGTTTTTCTGCTTATCTTGGAGAAAACCGGCACGTTCCAGTTATTATTCAAGCTGGGAAGTTGTTACACAATCGCGGCAATCATCTGCGCGAGCGGCGCTGGTTAGTTAATCTATGCACTGGTTATCATTGTGATAGACGCTTAATGGGTTGATAGCAGATAGCAGTGTCTAGATTGATCAGCGTTTCTGCTTAATCACTTTTGTTTTGTGCGTGCTAGTCGGCTCCGAACTGTCCATGATATACAGAAGTTTTGTTTATGTGGTAGTATATATCACAACAAGAATACATTTACAGATTTAATTCCACAGACTACCCATTTGCGTGGTATTCTGAAAACCGAATTTAATAATATCCGAAAATGACCACAACCAACTGGACCCGATTAGTCAGCCCCATAAAGCGCAGGCTAATTCATTGGCGGGTGTATTTGTTCTTCCTTATACCTCTGCTGCTGTCTCCGATACCAATATGCCTTGGCACAAAGGTATCTTATACGTTAAAAAAAATAAATTTAGTTCCGTAAAAAGCACTTTTGGAGTTTTTTTGTGAAATGCATTTCCAGAGCGCGAAAGCCGGATACATTTTACTGATCTCCTCGTCGTTCCTTGTTTTGGAAATTATTCCGATGCCTGCTACTGTGTTACTGTCTTTGTTTCTGATATCAGTCACCGGCCTGCAGTCTACAATGCAATCTGCGCTTACATTTGGATCGGTACGCTTTGTCTTCGTTATGCTAATTCAGTACATCGGTAAAAAAGGTTTAAGATATATACCGCTCTCCTTTCCCTAATGACTGGCTGCGTTTATTTCTTTCTACCGGTTACGTTGCAGGATACGATGTTCATGTTCACCGCTGTGCTGATTCTGGCTATTTCTATTGAAAAACAAAACTGCATAACAGATTGGCGCTGTTAACCCTCAGAGCTATTGGAGTTAGTGAATCTAGGTGAATAATCGTTCAACGGATATTTATGCATATATGGAGACGACAACGGAAAGTACTTTAAAACGTTTTTTAGACTGATTCTGGGCTTTCTTTTAATTTGTGGGATCCTGTCCATGTGGATGTCCAATACCGGCAAGATACTCGTATACGTAACATAATCACACTTCTACAAATCTATCCAATTCAATTGTTATTTTTTTAGCATGCACTCTTATGATTTTACCAATTGCAATGGCCGTATCCGAGACGCTCTCGGACAGTGATGATTCTGATGAAGAGGCATCCAATATAGAAAAAGCCGACCAGTCACTGAAGATATCGGCTGAGGAAATTGTTGAACTAACGCATAAATCAATCGAAGGTGAAGCAACGGTGTTCGTTGAGGTTAACCAGAACACTTCGGAAGCTGTAGCAGACGAAAAAAGAAAGACAAGCACAGCGTCAAAGAAGAAGTCCCGGATGCCGGCCACCCCGTTGTGTAAAGCGTTGCAGCTGGCTATAGCTTATGCTGCTAACATCGGCGGAATGGCCACCCTGATCGGTGCTTATCCCAACATGGTGTTCAAAATGACGCTAGAAAAGTACTTATGCAAGGAATTGATGCGCGCAGTTTAAGTTAACGTAAATGCGTAAATTGTATCAGGTTATACGGAATGGATACGGGGTTAAACTTCCTTTCGTACTTCGTTGTCTGTGGTCCGATGTCCATCTGCTCATTGCTGTTGACCTGGATCATCTTCTCAACGATGTACATTCCTAACTGGTTATGCTTTTGGAGAAGAAAACATAACCCGCCACCGGATTACTCACGGCGCATAAAAGCACTGAACAAGAAGATTGCTGAACTGGGAAAAATAACGTAGGGTCAACAGCAATTGCCTCGATGAATTAATTCTGAGACAATCTTCTTCAGGCAGGCGGAAATTACGGTTCTGATTTTATTTTCGACTGTGATCATTTTGTGGCTAACGCGGGATCCAAAAATTTTTGCTGGATGGAATGTGATTTTACCTCCCAAGTAAGCATGACCGATATGACCAATGTTAAATTTATGATGCGATAACATTTATTGCACTTAATCTAAAGTAAAATACGTGCACAAATTAATCGTCCTCACTTGTTTTTCACCTGTGCTATAGAATAGCCACCGACTCTCTTCCGGCACTCTTGGCTGCTGTACTTCTTTTTGTTTTGCCACAGAATTATTGCCATTTATGGAATGGGGAATATGCACCAATTTTGAGGTGGAAGCAGGTGGTGCTAAAGTTTCCTTGGGAGTTGATGTTATTTGTTGGCGGTATCACGACAATAACCTCAGTAGCCGACGTACGTTCATTATAGCCGTGAAAACATAGCCTGAACCCGGCAATTACTTATTTTTGTATCGTTTCTATATTGCAGTCGTCCGGTCTTATTACTGCCCTGGGAAATGCCGTTCCCGATTTAACCGGCATTCCACCAATTGTAACGCTTGCCATCATCTGTATCGCTGTTTCGGGACTGACTGAATGCATGAGTAACTCGGTGATCACATCGATACTGCTACCAGTGTTAGCCAATGTGGTACGTGGAACAGTTCATTCATTCAATGACATTAAATAATCTCAACAACGGCATCGATCTCATTTCCCGTTAATATTTACAGTCGGAAGACATGAAAATCAATCCGATCTACTTTATGCTAGCGGTGGCCATGGCCAGCCAGTTCGCTTTCATGCTACCGATCTCAGCGTTTCCCACACTGATCGTTTACAATTACGGCAACGTGACAGTGGGAGAAATGGCCAAATCAGGGATCGGTCCAAAGATAGCATGTCTGGTCTTCCTTATCTTTAGCCTGGAAGTGACGGGAGGACAAGTGTTTGACATCAAAAACTTTCCCATATGGGCCAAGGACAGATTTGACGCCAGAACATTGCAAGGCGCTGTAACAGCGTTCTCCAATGCGACAAATGTTACTGCCAGTTGAACGTTCCCTTTGATTATGTGTCATAGCAGCGTAGAGCTTCATGAAGGTCCAAAAACTTGCAGTTCAAAAATCCAGCAATCAGTGCTTCCGGTGGTGTAAACATGCTTTCGGCATAGCGATCATTCTCCCGTCTCCTAACCGCCAAGGCACATAGTGTTTTTTCACGATTATTGAAGCTACTTGTACTGTGTCCCCGAATGGGAGATTCACCATTTGCAATGGACGATACTTTCTCAAAGCGTCCAATTGGTCGTTCTTTTTCACAATGGTCGTTTCTTTAGCGACATCGTGCACACTGTACGCTCGGTGCCGATTGGGCAGTACTCGCTCATTGCACTCCATCGGATCATTGCAGAAGGCAGCATAAAAATTCAGATAGAAGGCACGCAGTATTCTTAAATGTTCGTAGCTTAGCGGAGTAGCCAATTTAAAAATTTGTTCACGCGAAATTTCTCCCACTTGGAAATGCAGCACCAGATGGGTGACCTTACGCGCCCAAGGATGGCATGCCCAGGTAATCTGGGACGTAAATTTGCGCCGCCTTTCGGTATCTTCGGCATCCTCGTCATCGAGGAGGTTGTACAGTCTGGTTCGGAGTTCGACGTACGCTGCTTCCTGGTACCGCTTTAGTGCGCGAAAGATTTTGTGCAAATGAGCAGCTGCTGTGGGATCTTGGCCGCGTTTTTGCATGACGGACAAGTGACTGATTCCGCCCGCCTCTTTTGCAAAGTCTCCACAACCTAACTGCGATCCATCGACGGTCACCTTTGGAATTTCTTTACGGTTTACTGACATAGTTCTTGTTCTGGCCATATTGCGTAACAAAGTATCGGTTCCGGTGTTGTAAAATGAGGAATTGACAGTTCGTCGTGCTGCTGTGATTAGCGCTTTAGTATCATATCCGCGATTGGGTGCCGGGGGAATCAACCTGGGCTCTGATAAAGAGCGTCGATGAGTGAACTTTCGGGGTTCCGGTGGGTCCAGTTCCTCATCCGGGTTGGGATAAGGTAAACTTGTGGGATTGCTAAGATGTCGGTCCGTGTGGGGCATCCGAAAGTAACCCCAGCGATGCCGTTCTTGGTTTAGGGCGCTTGCCGGCATCTCTTCGTGCATCCACCGGAGAATGCTGCGAATCTTATCTTTCAGCAGAAAATCAGTATAGCATTGCCGAATCTGAACCATCTGAGCGGCGTACATGATCGCCGGAACTCCTGTGTGTTCTATTAGGTACCTAAAGGCACAGCATGTTCTTAATCATATAAAACGCAACTGCGTTCGCCAATTCACGAAAAACGGACTGCAGTACCAGCAACATTTTGAAATCGAAAGATGCCTACAAAGAGCATGAAATGTTAAAGTTCACCTGCCAAGTGCCCACTGTAGTCTTAATTTCTTTTCGCATTCCATGGACTTTCCTTGGTGAAAAACTTTATTTTTGTGATCACCGTGAATTAACAAGCACAGAGGAATGTTGGGCGCTTTATTACTCCCGTTCCACAAGCGCTTAACGCTCATGTCCACTTGGTCGCACATAACAAACCAGTTACTATGTCGGATAAGAACGATGATGCCCTTAGCATTGCGTCGACCTAAACGGATACACAGCTGCTGAGGTGTCGGTTCGGTCTGGAATAAACGCCGGCTCACCACCATGACATCGTTGAAATCCTTTCGGGATTTGGTGACATGCTTCATGGATTCGTGCCGTAGGATTTCTAGTGGTCGGTCACGCACACAGGAATAAAACGGAGCCAGTATGGCTAATGTACTTTCGCGTCCGCATTTGATGTCCATTAGAACACCGCTGCGCGGCTTGGACGAGCTTTCGGATCGCGGACGAACTGCCATTTCAAGTTTCAAATATCAGGATCGGAAAGCTAAAGAAACTAGTGGTGTCTACATATTACTGTATATAGGGTGTACTAATTCCGTATTCGCATTTTCCATCACAAAACAATGAGACATTCACATAAATTTGAAAAAACAAGGTTTGTTACAATGATCGAATCTTATAAGTCGCGTCTCTGTCTGGCATCTGCATTCCATGTCGGCTCTAGAAGTGTTTATTTCATCGGTTGCTAAGCTCCAACCGTCCCCGCGCAGCCGTAGTAAGGCGGAGCATATATATATTATTGTACCTGCGCAAAACTAATGTAAGTTACTTATTACTGTGGTCTGTGGTGCAAATTGTTTTTGTTCATGAGGCTGAGTTTTATGCAGTTCCCTATCATTTTAATGTTGAACGACTATCATTCAGCTTTCAGTTTTTGAGTTTCGTGCAAGCAGTACACGGAGTTTGGCTTTACTAAATTTTACTCACAAATCACAATGGTAAATTAAGTCTCGTCTGTAGAATATTTCAAACATCAATTCGGCTGCGCTGTTAGTACCCGAGCATTGCGTCTCAATGTATTTATCGCGGACTACAGTGTCTGATACCGAGGACTGCTTGTGGCTGCACAACAAGTACTGTAGATTATGTAGAGCGGTATGAGTTGCTCCGGTGTTGTCGTTTCTTGCGTGGCGAATAAGACCGCCGCCGTTGTCGCGATATTGACCGGCTGTTATATCCAGATTTATGTCGCTTACTGCGACCATTTCGCGTTCTCTCACTATCCACTGAGGATTCGCTTTCAGAGCGGGTAACTGCGCGCTTCAAATAACTACTGGCTATCTTGTTGGTTATCAGCTTCATCAATCTGAATTTGTCGCTTTCCTGATGACGAGGGTCATCTCTGAGAACAGCTGTTTCCGTCTTTCCTGTGCTGCCGTCCCTGGCCGAATGATGTGAAGGTTTTGAGTTGTTCCTTAGTCGGCTCGTACGCGCACTTCGCACCGAGGTTGAAGATGCAGATGAAGAGTGATAATGCTTCTCGCTGGAGATTGTGCTGGTGGACCTATATCGCTCAGACTTTTCGGTCGGAGGCAGGGAAGGGATAGCGAGTGCACATTCTTGAGCTGCAGCCAAAATGTCGACTTTGTTACTCACTAGGGTCAACGTTCGAGTAACAACCACACAGACTGATAAAATAAATGATTCCAATAATGGTTAGATTTTCAATGGATGTTAACGATTTCAGTAACCTTTGATGTAACCTTTGATCAATTCACAGTGCGAGTACTTCTGTTGCTGACCTTTGTCATCTTCGTTAAGATTTTTGTCATTGTCCTTTTGACTTATACGATGGCGTAATTGTGCCAACTCATCTCGCAGCTGCGATATCTGTTCTTCCTGCTTGTCCACTCTTTTCTGCAGAACTGCACACATTAGGCATATTACTACAAGCGTGAGAAATGTGTTTGTTTGTTTGTGCACGAAGAGCCATACGTTTGATGCAGGAACTCGCAGATGCTTCGCCCTTCGCGGACAACAGACTTTCTTCTGAACAAACCGGTTCCAATTCCTCTGCAAAAACGATGAAACCGATTACGTATATATTGTGATTTTGTTGCACATAAGGACAAACATACCTTGCGATCCCGGTTGAACCGAAAGAAGCGGCAGTCTGTTCTGTCCCAGAAGGTCGTACCCTGAAATGGAGCAATTTTAGTTTTTACGAAACAGAATTATATCTTCACCTATTTTGTTTAACCAAAATATTAAATGATAAGCCGTTCATACTCAACGCCTGCAAAATCAACCATAATCATGATTCATGATAAAAGATACGAAGTTCAGCAAATCTTCCAGCTGAATGTTATATTCCGTTCGCACCTTTAACGATGTTCACATGCATTTCGAAAGCACGTGTAAGCGTCGTTTTCAGCGATTTCGTCATTTCGGACAGTTCTTTCCTTGCCTCGTTAGACGGTTTATTGGAGATCAGTGCACTAATAGGATCATCGGTTCCCATTTTTAACGTGTAATTACTTTTGGACTGAATTTGGAAAATAGCTGTAGGACTGCGTTTTCAGGGGACAGCTTAGCGAGAGCTCGAATGCATATCAGCGGAAAAGAAAAATAACTGCCATTGCGGCGCCATATGTAACGTTAATTTAATTCTCAGTTATTGTCACAAACATGTTATCATAAGTAAAAGCTGTTAAATTTTTCTGACCGAAGGGTATTCCATGGTTACAGACACTGACAATAAATTACGTGTACGTAATGTCCTCTTATTTTTATCGGCGCGCTTTTTTTGTGATGACCAACAAAACAAAATACTGCAATAGAAAACTACTATACATAACATACTGGCAATACCGTACAGAACCTATTTAGAGTAAGTTGTTGTGACAAAGCTTAAGTTGTGCGAGATAAGCCGGTGCATATTTCTGAAAACTAAAAAATCTTTAACAAAATTGCAAAGGAAAACGTAAAATTGAGGATATGCTGTTACATCACTATCCATAAAAGGCTAGTGTGGCAGTTTTTTGAAATGAGAGTATCTGTACTGGTACGCACAACCAAAACCTCCTCTTTATCACCTGCTCGTCTATTACTTAATTAAATATGAATACCCCGGTGCTGGCATCAATTTTGTATACAAGTTTCAAAAAATTCTCCAGACATCTCTTAGTTTTCGCAAAGTCTTTGTTCTTACTGCAAAAGATTTGTTTGTTAGCATGGATAATACATAAACATTCCACCATGCATATATGAGTATGATTTACTCGTAATCATTGTCTTGTTTAGCCTAACTTTTTGTAGTAAAGTTCAAATGAGCCGGTGATTGCATTATGTGCTGCGCATTGTCAAAAGATCTTTTCTGAGGTAACACCCGCCACACAAAATCCGGTGACTTATGACGGACCAACCTCGACTGCCGTTATGCTGTTATATCTGTACGATATCACCATTCGGTGGGGTCAGTAAATTTAGCAGCTTTCGGCAAGTCCTTTTGGGACGTGTGATCACTGAGGTATTTTATCAGGCTGTTTGTGTAATTCGGTTATATAGTAGATGTCGTCTCGGTTTTTTCTTATGTTATTTTGATATTTATTGCCGCAGACGTACAAATCATGTAATACCTAAATATTTTGGTTGCGTAAAAAATCGTGATAGTGTTGGATAGTCAGCTCAGAGAATAAAAGACCATTTGCATTTTGGAAAATGTAGCCGTAGTAATTATTGTGATAGCCCTAACGTTTTCGTCAGCAAGAAAAAATAATGATATGACTAATGGTACTGGTGCACAAAATTAATTGGTTTACCAGCTTTCAGCTTTTCAGCTAGGAGCTTTTAAGCCTTTTGGCACCGCATGACGGGAAGCGGCTATCATGACACTTTTTAAGCTTGAGAAGGCGGCTGCAAATCCAATTTCCTATGGAGTTATTGTTTTAATCTAATTAATGGGCCTTTCAGTCATCCTTAGGAGACGTTGACTTGATCACACTTGTCAGAAGGCCAAAATGATCCGCAAGCTGTAGCGACGCGGGTTACTTAGCGGTTCTACCGTACGTCCGTCCTGTTTAATTTTACCGAGTCCGTACAACGCGTGGTTAACGTTGCCGGGATCACTTTAGCTGCTGCAGCACACATGACGGCTTCCTTGATTATGTAATGCAGCCTGTGTACAATATAATCTCATCTTTATGGGAACCGCTTAACAAGCTGTGCACTTAAGATAAAAAAGGCGTTCCTCTGCTGTAGAAAGAAAGTCCGGTATAATCTGTTTTTTTTCTCCTGCCGAATGTTGCTGTCGCAGTACTTGCATATATGTCGTTGGGAATCAGATGGTGGGAAAATGTGGAAATCGGCTTTTCTTCCCGTATTGTCATGACATTAGTAAGTTCAATCGATCTCTAACCCTAAGGATTACTTAATAGTCCAAGTCATCCTCTTGGCATGCGTAGCGTCATGTCGTATTATGCAAAGTAGGCAGCGCTTCTATACAGCTATATTGTGCCTTCATCGTATATACACGCAGCAAGCAGCCTTGATTTCAAAGGTTATCTCCATCCGGCCTAATGTGTTCCCTGGGGTCAGGATTCCTTGACGCATGCCGTAGATGGGCTCTTAGGGCAGATAATTTCCAGCCTAATAGCTGTTCAAGAACTTCATTGTGAACTGTGTGGACGGTTGTACCAAGGCCAGCGGAATATGCTGCTGCAGGCAACGAGAGCAGCGCCGAGCGCAGCAAATTACAGTTGATGTAATGTGTTGCCGATTTATAAAGACGCTGCGGCAAATGATGCTGAAACACTTTTTGTTAGCCATTTAAGCGGGAATGAAAAGGACCAGCACGACCGGATATCCGAGGTTGCATCGGGCTGTGCACCTGATTGCAGACGACCAGTTCGATGGATCCGATTTGAGCGGCGATTGTCAGCGTTCGACTGCGGCTGAATATAGATGTGCTGTTTTTTACACAAGCGCCATGGAGGCGATTTATATGCAACGAATTTTTTATCGATTAAACCGGCTTTGAAAAAGGTTTACTTATACTAGATTATCTAAAAATGATGCTGTATAACTTAACCGGCACCGAACACATCTCGGAATCGTGGGCCGGTGTGATTGTCTTGCTCATACTGTTTCTCCTCATTATCGTTGGCTTTATCCTGTTTTGGTGCTTCAATACCCCGACCGAAGACTGGCTGGATCAGCCGTTACTGTGGACGGACGGGAGTGCCGTGAAGGCGCAGGATTTATGGCAGGAGCGCTATCTTCCTTCAGCGTCAGTATCGTACAACGGCGTGGAAGGCCCAGATAAGCATCTGACACCGGCGGAATGCGAGCCGGTGAAGTACGCACGCAGTGCGGAGGAATTGCACCTGACATCTCCGGTAATTCAAAAGAGTCCTGCAAAGCGTTTGAAGGAGTGGATGTCGCAAATGGCCAGTCGAGGCTACCGCAATTTTCGGCATTTTTTCGTGAATGAACATGAGAAAATCTTGGACTGTCCGGTGGATAAATCATCGTCCGGGCTGGCGGTTGTGTGCGACGCGGATTTTTATTCACAGCCGTTTTCAGTGGATCAATCGCGCAGTAGGAAAGATGGACGGAATATTCACCGCATTTCCATGTCCGAGTTTTAACTTTACGCGGAATATGATTTTTTGCTAAAAGTGGATTTAGCATTATTTATTTAAAGAATGCGAGAAGGTTCAATGGAACATTATGGTACCGGCTTTCATAATCGATCATAACTTTTAGATATACACGATACAGAATGAATGGACATATGGAAGCGTCTTTCAGGCATGCCGCATGCGGATACGTAAAAAACAGAACTGCTTTTGTGGTGATGCTAGTGTATACTCATATAAATAGTTCTATACGTAGTTGCGCTCTTTTATTTTTAACATTCGTGTTAATGCAGTAATGAATTAAAGCATTCTAGCGCCCCATTTAAAATTCGATTCGGTTGTTTGCAGTTTGCACTTACATAATATAGCTGGGATAATCTCGCCTTTATATTATTTCAGTAAACTTTGGGTGACCGATTCTGCAGGACAATAATTATACCAGATGCAATTTAAGTACCAAGAACAAAAGAAACTTTCGTGTTATGACTTTCCATACGCTGCGTCAAATCTGTGCCGTGCGGCTGAATTCAGCAATTCTAGTTTCAAATCAATTAATTTTAATGCATTATAAATCGATTTTCGTGATGACGCATCTGTGGGAAATTTGGAATACATGTTTTATCTATATATGCACAATAGAAAAAGAATTAAGTCTAAAATAAAGCTAATAACGTCCCGAAAAAGCAACGTCACGTCAAAGTTAAAAACGTCACAAAGCTCTGCATCCCTTGCATAGTACATTCTACCTATCGTTATTAAAAAGTACAGAATATTTTCTTATCAGAAAATCAAGTTTAATATTATCATAATTAAAGCGAACATCGACTTGACCTTTGCTGTTGATAATTTTTCTGTACGTTCTAATTTGCATAGTGCATACAATTAGCCTGCGTCCATGAACTGCCGCTTCACTACTCGTATACATAGTATAGTCTGTACTATTGTACTAGTGATCCGCGTTATAACACGTACAAGTGGTTACCTGTAGTGAACCCGATAGCTCAAATTGTTTGTGAATTTCCAGAAACAAAAATACTGCACAAAAAATGCGCAAGAATGTTCGCTCGCATTGCTTTTACAAAGTATGTGGTAAAAGCTGAGCATTTGGCAAATAGGCTGAACTAACCTGAGAAAGAATTGCCCGGTGTAGGTTTTGTTCGTTAGTAATAATCAAATTTGAACAATAGTTTTCTTTCACAGAATATGACATTATGTAGAAGTACTTTTGCTCGCTATCAATTCTTTCTCGTAGGAACTGTTCCATAATTTTATTAGATAACAGTGTTATCCTAATGCAGTCAATAAAATTTGAAACTGATCTACATGCCATTTCTGATAGCATGTCGATCTGCGGGAGCCGTTTAAAAGCGATTAAAAAGTGTAATCCTGCCGGTAAGTGCATGCATACTAGTACTATACTCGTACTTACGTTCTCAGTCTCCTGCTCGATCCGCAATTCAGCAGTGACCCATATTCAAAGTATTCCTAACACATACGCTAATACGCTATCCAAAGCGCGAGCACGGATTTGAACTATCGATCTAGTTTATCTCAAATTTAAAGACTATAATATTATTTGTACTTTAGCAAATAGTGTACTTGTCCTATACCTTCTTCCGTTTGACTTCCTTGGCTTGCGCTTGTGTTTACAGATGTGTACGTATTTAACAGATATGTGTATAATAGCTAGGCATGAGGCAGTCTTTACTTATATGAGCGCTGGCGGCCGGGCTCTTATATCTATATACGGTAACTTAATTTGATAATTAACGTAATCACTGGTAGTCGATCCACATCGTTTTCGGTAGCTCCTCCATTTATTTTTATGTCTACCTTCTCAAATTTTAATGTCTGGCGTTGAAAGATTAGTCCATGGAGCTCTGGCAAATCAGTCAATGAAAGAAAAATAATATAGGTGTAATTGTTTGTTTCCACTTTCCAGTTTTTGTTTGTGTACGTTTATGTGCGTTTAGAGGTGCACAGTAAATTTTCAAACACACACTATTTGTTGATTGTCCGCTGTTAGAGATTTAGAATGAGCTACTCTAAATTATTTAGTACTTATTTTTGTGTAAAACGTTTTGTTAAAATAATTTTCGCTAAAACTTTACAACATTGATACGGTGACTATCGTCCGCTCAGAGTTTCAGACAATATCATAATTATAGTACACAAAGTGTGCATGAATTTTGAAGAACTAATACTGTAATTAAACACGTAGCTGCATCTGTGCTCTTCTTTTTCTTCGTCAGTTTATAAGATTGATTTTAACTTGTTAAGCTACACTTAAAACTAAGATACCGTATATAAATACAAGTAGAAGTATAAATATAAATATAGATCTACGATGGATATATACTGTACTCGTATCTGTACAATACAAGTCCAATGCGACTATGTGCATTGTGCACCGTTTTATATTTGTGACGCGCGTTTATTTGTGTGGGTGTCCTGATAGCGCTACACACGGGGTGGCGGTCTTGCATCAGCTGTTTTTGCAATTTCCATTTTCCAGTCTCTTCCTCTTTAGGCTCGTTTTTCGAGAATCCGATCTCGATAGAGAACCAAACATTCATTTGTTCGTTTTTGTTACTGTGAATTACCAGTTGAAACGGATGAATCATATAAATTCAGTCCTGCTTTTATCCTTCTGAGCATTCCTGCCATGGATTAATTCCTTCGATGAACTGAAAGTACTGTAACGCTCCCAGGTGCCCAAAAACACCATATCACTGATTATGGGTCTCCATCGTGGTTATTGTTTGAGTTGCTGCACCCGACTTCTGACCAGTATCGCAGCGCGGACATTGTGCACGAATATTACGAGCAGCGCAGCGCGAAATGGCTATACCAGTTTAGCTCCGCTTAGTTCGTCTACTGGATTCTACGGGAATATTTGGCGGGTAAGTGAATTGCAGGCGTTTGCAGCACCCGTGAGTTTTTGGCCGTTTGATTGACTGATTCTGGACGCAGAAGCCGTGGAAGATCGCTGCATACTGGCCGCGATTCGCCAGCAGTTCCTCATCGCACAGCGGCTCCGCGAACCAGCAGAACAGCGAGCAGGATGCCTCCGTGCATTCCCATTTGCGACCGCCTCGGAAACTGCGACAAGTCGCTGGCGCAGTTGTCAGCGAAGTGCGCACCGACGAAGCACCGGAGACCGATTCGGCCCAGCGCAAAAAACGTCGACGTAAGTTCGTCATACCCGAAGATCGCTTGCCGATCGTCTCATATTCGACGGCGGAGGAGTACAAGCTGGAAGAACTGAAAGTTGCCCTGAAAACCTGGACCAACGGACAAGGAAAATCCAGGTAAAAAAATGGTATTAAATTATTAATAAATATTTTGGGTATATTTTTCTACATATATTGGTGTTAATTATTTTTTCACTTCAGAATAATTTATATCCAGGCATAAAATTGTATTAAATAATATTTTCTGTAAATTGTTCTGTATAACATCTTGTTATTAATTGTTTTCACTTCAGAATAATTTTTACAGAATATGTAATTGTGATTCTGACATTCTGTAGTAAACTTTAGCAGTTTTTCGTGAATTGTCTGTAATACTCATTTTTTTCGTACACCTTGTATTTTGCACACGTTTTGGACGCAAAGTGTATTTTGTCGCGCCTCCAGGTTGATTTTTTTTAGAATATTATTTTCTCTTTATTTATCGGTATCCCAAACAAAATCACCGATAATTTCCTTAATTTTATTATCGGAGAGCAGCTGCTGATTTTGAGAGGAGTTTATTATTGCTAAAATACTCTGATAAAATTCATCAGCTAAATACTGCTCTTTGCGATGTGCATCCTGCAGCCAGTGATCCATGACACAGAACGTTTCCTTGGCTGTGTTGCGCACTGCTTCACACTTTCGGATGCAGGCGACGGTGATGCGGCACACTCGCAGCATCGTATAATCCACCTCCTGAATTACGGTTTCGGTAACGATTTTCTTCAGTTTTCTGGTCCGTTGCATTGCATTCGCAACTTCCACTTCGTCCACTTCCGGTTGACCATCGCCGGAATCTAGAGCAGCATCTCGATGTTGCTCCTGCATTTCTGCGATGTCGTGCTTCACGGTGGAGATGAATTCGTCGTAATCGTACTTTTTAAACTCCTCGAACCATGAACTACTGGTGTCTGTTCCGTTTTCATCCGGAATCGTTTTACTTTCCAGTAATTTATGAACCAAGCGAGCAGTTTTTCGGTGCTCCATTTCCGTATCTGATTTTTCGCTTTCATTCGAATATTCTGCGGAAATATTTTCGGGAATCGTATCTTTCGTGTTTTCGCTTTCGTCTTCGTTTTGCGGTGACTCCTTCGCATCGTCGGTCGGATTTTCTTTTGGTGTATCGATTTTACAATGTTTAATTTTGTGTGTCACTCTTTGAGCCACTTCATCCAGAAAAAAGCGAATTATCTGCAGCATCTGTTCCCAGTAAGCTTTATCGTCCGAAACGATATCCACAAAATCACAGAGTTCCTGCTGGAAGCTTCCACAAGCCATTCCCAGGCAGAAATCCATCGGTGCTTCCAGGCAAACTCGCCGAAGAATTTCTTCCGCTCGTTGTGTCTGTTCTCCCGTTACGGCATGAAGAGGCAGTATCGGCTTCCGGAAAGTTTGGGGAAACTCGGTGGAATGTGGGAGGATGCTATTGTAACACTGTCCCAAGAAGAGGAGAATATTTTGGAATAACTCAATTTCCGCGAGAATCAAGGAGATATGGGTGTTTCGGTATTTATATACAACATCCGTATAACCGGAATTCTTCATTAAATCCCGGACGAAATCGTGTCGCGCCGCGTGCCGATAGTCGGCGATTTTGCAAAGCTTGAGGTAGAGATCTTTTAGCTTTCGTTTGTCTGTCTGAGCTGCGCGAATGTCCGGATATTTCTGCACATTTCTATCGTAATTCATCACATATTCCTTCATAAGATTAATGGATGTTGCATTTGGCATACTGAGGCACGATGTAAAGAGCTGCTGATTGTGTTTCGTATTGTGCGCCAGATGGATATCCACCATGTTCATCGTCGGAATGATTTGAGAGATTTGCTCGATGAATGCGTTTTCAATGGAGTTCCAAGCTTCTTGGATGTGTGTGAAGTTGTCCGTGTTGAGATACGGAAAATGATAGATTATGGGTGGAGAGTTGGACGGATGGAGATCGATTACAGAAAGCACCAGTTCGTTTCTGCGATGGAACTGTGAAATGGTTGGTAAATACTGCGGTATCGCCTCTTCTAGCCATTGGCGCAGGAAGGCTTCCTCGTCCTGAGTGAGTGGCCCGGTTTCCGGTCGATGGTGGGATCCATGCGCCCCTCTCTTCATCCGCAGCAGTTCTTTCTCCATCTCTTCGACGGTATGAAACGTGGGGAAGTTCTTTGAACTGGCATCGTAAATCACTCGGTCTTCTAAGCAAGACGATCGGTTTCGGTTGGAAGCCGGTTTTTCTTGTGGATTACTGCGATTCTTTTCCATGATCTGTGCAAGGCGCTGGTGGTTTCTCTTCAAAGGGAATGTGGTGTTTCGGTACAACGCGATCGCTAAAAAGTACGATGTAAGATAAATGAAGATGTAAGATGGTACGATGTAAGATGAATTACTGCATCCATGTATACGAAGAAGTTTTACCGATATGGTGACGCATGCCTTGGCGTTGGCGCGCGATGTGGTAGAGCTTTGCCTGACATTTGCAGTAGACGTCCCTGACCAGTTTGATGTCCTGCTTGAAGAGATAATGAATGGCTGACGCCGCCAGCGGTGATCCCAGCATGTTTTCGGCTACCTGTCGCCGGATACCCTCTCGATAGTTCCATACCCGATCACAGACCTCTTGTATGGTTTGGTTGAGCTGCTGTTGTACCGGCAGACTGACGCCGTCGGTGTGCATGATGGTGTTGCTTTCCATGACATCTTCAACGGTTTTCGCAATCAGGGAGTACGTTTCCTCTGGATTTTTCCAGTTGGCCAGACGTCCAAACACTTTCATTAGGAAGCGGGAATAAAACGTTTCCACACCTTTCCACTGTGTTTCATCTAATTGATCCAGGGTGTTCAGGAATTCCGTTAGATGTCGTCTGATTTCCGGAGGGTTGAATATCTCTTCCGCATCCTCCTGGACGGTGGTAACCGGGGCATGTCCTGGTGTGTTGTGCTTATTTTTGGGCTTGCTGGGGCTGTGTTGTGCTGAATCGGTCACGACGCGATCTTCTTCCAGTGGAGGGGGATCCGTGTGTTTCTCGGGGTGGAGAAGGTCGTTTTCTTCCGGACAGTCGACACACAAAATGGCGCTGAAGAAGCTGCGTGGAAATTCCCGAGGTTTTTGACCATAATCGTCTGGAATTAATTTGGACGACTGCCAGTGGGTTGGGTGGATGTCCAGAGAGCAGCCGCCGAGTCGCTGTTCGATCAGTTGTAGCAGCTCTGTCGAGTTGGGCAAGTCTGTCACTACCCATCCAAATGGCTGTACCTCGTCAGCCGGTTTTTCGCGGGCTACAAATTATACAGCACATGGATGAAATGATGATTTTCTCGAATTTTAAGGAAATTGTTTTTACTGGGTTGAATATTTCTTTTATAAAAAAAATGTAAATTCTTTCAAGCACGACTAGGCAGTTGCCTGAAAGTAGCTTAATTAATTTTAGGAAATTTAGTTTGTGTAAGTAGAAAAATAATTAAATTTAGTATTTAATGAAAATTAATTTACTAGCAAGCTCCGGTTAAGAGTAGATAATGCCACCTGGGTTGTTTTCTTCCGTTCTGGATTTTGACTCCCCTCTGCCACCCTTCTTCGTGCTGGTCGTGCCGAGACTAACCGCGTCGTTAAATGGATCGACCGTGTTCTGCACAGGATGGACCACATGATTCTCGATCGCTTGTTCGAGTAGATCCACAATAACGGCCGGTTCAATCGCGGCATCTTCGGACAACGAGCGAAGCAATCGGCGAGAAAATTCATCCTTCTGTGATCCTGGACTCAGCCAGCCGGTGTTGAGAGCAGAAGCCGATGCCGCCACCGATTTCGTTTTACTGCGCAACTTGGAAATACTAGCCTTTTTCATGGGACCTTTGGATAGTCGGCGTTTCTGTGTCGCCTTTGGGTCTTTAGTTTCCGGTACCTCTATTTGAAGAGCCAAAGCGGTTTCCACGGCTTCGTGAAGCAGATCGGCGAGGCTGATGATTTCCAGATTATACGTCAACGCCAGTTTGTGGAGAATTGTCTTCTTCAGCAGACTTAACCGGCGTCCCGCGATAAATATGCTGATAAATTTGGTGGAAAATCTTGGCGTCTGGACGGTCGGCTGCCGCCATGTGGGATCATTGATGACACAGGAAATGATGTGACCGAGGTTGCGCTTGTTGATTTTCGACGCATTGATGAAACGCTGCATCCAGCTGAGGTGTTCGTACGGGAATTGGGTTGTTATTTCTTGGTACTGCTCGAATTCTTGATTTTCCCAGAATAGTGTGGGTCGGTCGGTGATATGCGGTGGATCGTTATCTGGTTGATCGGTTTCTTGGCTTTGTGTTTCCGGAATTTCGGCAGCAGTATTTTCACTGGAATGATCATCTGTCGTAACTTCCGTTTCCGGTTGTGGAGGCTCTGCAGGATCGACATCTGCTGCGGGTTCGGGTGATTTTACGTAGGTATCGTGATATGCTTCGGCAAGGAGCTCCCTGCATGACTTGTAATTTTTGCATATATTGTCGTAGAAGTTTTGGTTGAAAGGAATTTCGGCTTTGCGACACCATTCTTGGACATTGTCCATTGTAAGGATTCCTTCGTCTTCGAAGTCCCAAAAACCCTGATTCAGCATTGTCCTGACATATTCCATTTGCCGGAGTTTATCCATTTCAGCATTCAAGTGCGCTTCTTGTACCTTTGTATCAAACTCGCTACGCCTGTTAATCAGATGAGCTAAAGCGATCTTTCTGTCGTGCTCGATTCTGGCATTAATGCGGTTGATCGTGGCGATTTCCGTTTCCTGTTCCCTGAGCTTTCGCTTCTCGACTAATGAATTCAGCCATAGTTCTTGTTGTTCTTTTTCCAGAGAAAGTTTCTGCTGCTTGCGCTCTTCCGCTTTTCGGTGAATATTTCGCATGTACTCGTCGCGATTAAAAGTTAGGCTTTGTTTGGATTTTTTCCTCTTGGGTGGTACGAATTCGGCCAGATTCGCTGGTGAATAAGGTGGCAGGTCCGTTGCCGACGGAGGCGTGATTTCGATCCCCGCTGTTATTTCTTTGAGCAGTGCTGAGTCGTCTGGCGTATTTTGAGAATGCAGAGGTTCACGAGGTGGTACTATGCTAACTGACTCCGCTGATTTTACTGTTCGTGTGATGTCTGATGTTGGGCTTATCTGGGATCTGGTGGATAGGACGGATGCCGCTGATGTCGGAATGGGAGAGGCAACAGCTGGTGCGATTGGGACCACATCACCGGCTTTTGCCTTATTGTTTGGGATCGGCTGGTTGTTGTTGTCGAACTCGTCTAATTCAGTTTGAACCTTTAGTCTCCAGTTAGAACTGTCTTGTGCGAGAGCCGGCCCTGTTCTAGAAAATGAATTTGAAACCAGGTGATTGATACTGTTTAATTCGAAGTGACCTCGGAGAAGCTGTTAGGTGGGAGTCCTTTTGCAGGCGACGTTCATTTTCTGCATTTAAAGCATCCCGGAAATAGCGGCATCGTTCTTCGCCCGGGATTTCATATTTGTTAGTCAACTGGGTGAAAGTGTCGAAATCCATGTTGGTGCCGGCAATGAAATCCGCCCATTTGCCCTAAGCAAACGGCAAGGTTCGCGGATAATATTACAAGCAGAATATAGACATAATTGGCGCGAACACGTAGTGGGTACACACAAACTTTTCGGTGGAATCTTTCGGCTTTCTCTATCGTCCATCGTGGGTTTTTTATGGGCAGAACTTTCAGGGCTTTTAGAACGTTGTAAACCAAGAGGGCCGCTGAGCCTGCTTTGGCCTGTGTAAAATAAACTTTTGTGCTCTCCATATGTGTTTTGACGAATACATGCACGAAAACGTGAAGAAGTTTACGTTTATGATTTGGACGATATCTGACAGGTTGATTTTCATGTCAATATCCTCCAGAGCTGGCAATATCCTCGAATAGTTATGGATTTTGGTTTCCAAATCACTGAAACAATTTGTTATCGTTAGCTCACAATCAGACGCATAGTTTCAGTAATTTTAGATGTATAATTTAATGCAGTATGTACGCAGACAGTGAATGTGTCATGGTTCAGCTAATTTTGAAATAAGTACTTAAAAGTTGGTAGATATTCAGTTAAAACTTTATACGGTTTTGTAATCTCTATCGTGCGAAAATTGTGGTACTGTACTCGCTGTTCCGGATAAAAGGGAAATCAGGTTGCAGTCCAAATTTTGACAGCATTTCTCCAAATAGATATCCATTGGCGAATTGTCGGTCAAATGAATTTTCATCTGTAGTTTTACAGGAAATTTAAATGGTGGCTTGGTTGGTCAGGGTATAAAATTAAGGAATGGTGTTTTAGAAATCAAATTACTTGTGTTCGGAATTTTCGTTACATACCGATGATGACAGACAGCTGAATTCGATGATTTAAAATGCTTTTTAGATCCTTTGCCATATTTTATAAGGATGGGTGGCTGAGCAGTGACAAACAGTTCCAGCAAAAATTTTCGTAGTTCTGAACAAGGTTATCTTTAAACAATCTCTCTTTGTTCAGTATTTAATATCTAAATAAACATAAAAATTAACTATCAACAAAATATGTGACCCTTTTTTATGGCAATTCTACATTCATGAAAAAGGACTTTCTCACAATTAAATTTTGAAATTGCGTAAAACCCCATAAACATCAGAACAGTAATACGAGTAATTAGTGTGTTTTTCAATTCGACATGCTGCGTTTTTCGCATTCTGTGAATAATCAGCATTATACAATACTTGCGTCTCAAGAGTTAGTACTTCCGGTGCTATTGTACGAGCATTGCTTAGCAACAATTTGCGGATAACAGTTGGATCCATTTTTTTTGCAGATATCAGCTGGCTGATTCGTTTCTGACCGAAGAGTTATCCGAAGATGCCGTCCACTACAAGCTCTACGAGCAATCAAAACCGCCTTCCGGACAAGCTCCCACTAACGAGGGCGATGTGTTTATCTTCAGTGAGGGATCGGTGGTCTTCTGGAATGTGAAGAAGGACGATGCGGCGTCTTTTTTGAAAGTGCTCCAGCAGCACGCAGTCAAGCCGTATTCACGTAAGTGGAACAGCAACATCCGATACCTATATCTTATCGTGCTGCAAGTTATATAAATCGTGATATGGAAAGGCGAGGAATTCTGCATTAGAGGCTTCAGCTTGTGTCCCTAATTTTCTGTATGTTTTTTTCGCTTTGTAAAGTGATGTCTGTTTTATCTGTATAGAGTCTATTGTCCAGGACGAAGCGGAATTTTTGGACTACTCGTTTACGGATGGCCATGGTGATGAGTACCGTGGTCGACCAGGACTGCCGTCGGCAGGAGACGCTGCGAAGCTGTCATCCGACGGCCATATTCTGCTGCGGAAATCTATGGAGGCTGCTCATCCCCAATTGCTCAGTTTGATCAAATACGCCTTTTCTGATGCCATTGTGCTTTCTGGTACGTAGTTTAGCTTGACTGTTATTTATCGCTTTCGCAGTTATTTTCTTGATTTATATCACATTATCACTCTCACGATTATCATTTTCGATAAATCGGTTTAGAATATTTGTAATCAATGTTTTGAATGTTTTTTTACAGTTAAGTTGGCCGTTTATGAGGCTATGTTGCAAGAATACGTCGGATCCATCGAAAACGTTGCTGAGGTGAGCGCAACAATGAATTTTAAAATTGTTGTGCTTTCTTTTTGTGTGCAATGTGCATGTAAAATTAATATGGTTCTCATAATTGTTGTGATTTATGCTTGGTTGCGCCAACAGGACATCAAAACAAACGGACGGATTAGCTTATCGAAAGATCAGGTGCTGCGGAAAACAGGGGAGCTGTTCTTCCTCCGGCACTCCATTAATCTGGGCTCGAATATGCTGGATCCACCTGATTTCTACTGGGATCGTGAGGATTTGGAAGCACTGTACCGTGCCATGTGCACATATCTCAACATCGGTCGGCGTACACGAATTTTCAACGAAAAACTGAATCACTGTTATTCTTTGGTGGAGTTGTTGCGTGACCATTTAAACAACCAGCATCATGTTCGGTTAGAGCTGATGATTATCGCGCTCATTTGTGTGGAAGTGTTCTTTGAATTCTTGCATTATGCCGAGAAGTACATGAGCACGGCTCCGTGATTTTGTATATATTTTTTTACGAGCCGGTGTTTTCTTAGTTTTTTATCGTTTTATTGTGATCTTGAATAAAGCAGACTTGACAGATTAAAATCAGGGAATGTATTTACCACATCCAGCAGTTGAACTAAGGTCAATAAAAATGGAAAACATTGGGCTGTCACCGAGGTACGCGCAATACAAAGCGGCGTCTGGGCTCCGTTAAGCGAATAATATTATATAAAAACAAGGAGTATCACGACAACACAATGATTCGCACTGCGCACGGATCAATCGAAAATAATTACATAAAAAACAAAAAAAAACTTCAATATTTAGGTTTCACGTTATTCGAATTTCAAAGGTCGCTTAAATGTTATCGTCCCGTGAAAGGGTGTGCTGCACTTAACCGCCCTGCTTCAGCTGCAAGATAATGGAACGCAGACGGGATACATCCTTCGTGCCTTTGGCTGATTTGGGATTGAAGTCGCACATGCGTGCCACACGCTCCCATTCCTCGCCGGGCTTGTCCGAATCACGCTGGCTGACGAAATCCTTCTCCGAATCGCGGTTGTTTTTCCTGGCCTTCTTAGAGTTTTCGTCCTGCAGCTGGTACCATTCCTAAGCAAACAATTTGCGATCTCAAACTGACAACAAAATTCTCTATTGCTATCAGAATACTGCATGAAAAACAATTGTACATCTTGTGCACAAAGTAATCCAATAATTTAACCCTGTTTTCTGGCTAACTTCAGTGCCTTCGAAACGTTATCACACACCCAATCCGTAATTACTTGATTTTGTTAACGTTCACTAACACTAAAATAATAATCCCAATTTTTTTAGCAAACCTGCAGGCGAAGGATAATATTCAATTTAATTACACGACCATATACGATCAGCCGTACAAGCAAGTTTTTTAGTTTCCTCTAAGCGGAACCAACTAGCCAGGGTTATTAAGCCGAATTTACCAGGTTTACTAAGTTCGTAAAAATGGAATTTGTAGTACGTAGAAGCATTTTACAAGAATACGTTCGTTGAAGCAACTATGCAAGATTTTCACCGCTATGTACTGAAACTCACCTCCAATTCTTTTCGAGCCTGTTCGCGCAGCTCCTGCTTTTTCTTTTCTTCGTCGGCATCTACACATACACGACAACTTACGATTGACACTCAAAAATATCTTCCATATAAAATAATACGACGACAATCATTTGGTTTTATTATTGTACTGTTCCTAGAAAGTACTATTCGTATTCCTCCATTGTATTGCTTATTAATTGATCGCATCACGCAAAATCCATTGTCAAGTCAACAGCACTAGTCAACTTGCAAGAATTCCGCTTTTTAATAGCAATTTCATAATTGTAACCAGCAACCCAGCACATGGTACCAAGTACTTGATGACCAGACTTGGTCGAACTTTTGACTGGACTGAAAATTTCTCCACATATTTCCCAGCCCATCCCATCTCTTTTGGATGAGATGGGAACGGGATGGGGACGACCAACAAATGCGCTAAAATGGCCTGAGATAATAATGATGGATGGGAACATAGAAATAAACATGCGAAATTCAACAATTTTATGTTTTTATTTTCATCCCTAATTTCGGCACTTTGAAACCAACTTTTAAACCTGTCAAAATGGGATGAGAAAAGTTTGAATGGGCTGAAATGTTATCCCCCGGGAGTCAGATGGGCTGATAAAGTTAAATACGGTAAAGGTAGGGTTGAAATGGGGATGGAAAAATCGAAATGTGACTGGATTTTATCATCTGCGCTGACTATTAATGCACTGCTTCAATTGTAGAAAGTGAAGCAAGGCATACTGTCAATAATCAAAACATACCTTTCTTTTCTAATCGCTCCTTCTGATCCTCGCGCCACTTACGGATCTTTTCCGGGGTCGATGGCCGGATCTTGGGAGGCTCAAACACCGACGGCCCATTCATCTGCTGAACCAACAGAGTAATCACTGCAAGTCGCATATTCGGGTGTGTCTTACTCACCGATCCACATTCTATGTACCTTTCATATCATTATCGAAAAGGAATTAATACTCAAAACGCAGTATGCTTGATAAATGCGTAACGTAAATTGCGCTAGTGAAAACTTATCTTGCAGTATTACTGCACTATTAATGATGAGCCCTTCAACTGTGAATTTTATCTAAGAAAAAGGAACGGCACTGTAAAATTGCGTCACCATTTAGATTTAAAAAAAAACATAATGCTACTGTTTGTTAAATCAAAATTATACCAGACACAAATCAAACATTTCACAAGCGAGCATCATAATAATATTACGAAGGAAAAAATCTATGCCATACTGGGGCCTTGTCAGTGTACCTGGCTAGAAGAATTTCCAAATCCATTCTCCCGTTCATCCATGAAGTCATCACCATTGACACCGTTAACATAGGGATCCGCGTTATCCTCGCGGACATTTGTCATCGTCGGCTGGTGGGCATCAAGATTCTGATGTTCACCATCTAAACAAGCTCTTCGATCAGATCACGATCATGAACACTGCGCTACAGCACCACTCCCCGTAGCGGAGTTGCACGACACTGCGTTACACAACAGGGTGGCATTATTTCCGGTCCTATTTCGAGCTTTTAATTAAACATGATTATTAAGCACTACTTTTCATTCCTAAAATCGCCTCTTTCGCCAATACAAATTAACTCCAATTAATGCATTACTGATCAACAAAAATCTTTCCAGATATAAAGCAACGATCGGGGACGGCGATAAAATGGTAGAATATCAAATTAGTTCGTTACAAAAACAGAAATATCGAGAAGTTGCAACGAAAACCAAAGATGCGACTTACTCATGCCAAAGCCATCATCAAACGCGTTAACTTTGTCGAAATCATCATCCTCCAAGCCCGCTAATGTATTGCGTTCCTGAGCAATGAAAGCTGCCGCTGGATCAACTTCTTCTTCGCCAGCGCTGTCCGTACGCTGCTCTTGTTCAACACCAAAGGGATCCATTTTAGAGATGTCAAAAAGTGATGCTGTCGACGTAAGCGGTAACTCGCGCACACTCTCTCACTCACACACAGCGCACGCCACCACTCGCTCGGATGATCGGATAGAGAAAATCGATACGGATCTGGAAGCCGCTGCTTGAATACCGATACGCTTAATTAGTCCACACCAATGACAACAACATCGAAAAGATCCGTACTTACCAAAAAAACAGATTCAATTTTCGATCTGAAATTTATCCGAAGTTAGCGCCGAATTTTGGCACACTACAAGCGCAAGAACCGATGCGAGGCAGAATTAATATCGGACCACGTGATCGTTCGCGATGAAAAGCCGAGCCGAAATGGCACGTGGCCTGAACTTTTCTTACAGTACGCGTTGGGATCGCTTAACGTGGAGCAAACGCCTTCCGTTTCGCATGGTGTATTCCAATGGAAATGGCCTTGACGGTAGCGGTAACAACATTCCATTCCAGTCTAAATGGAAGCGTATTCAGTCGTCGAGCCGGTATGTAAGTACTTACATGTATCACGAAGTTTATGCATAAAAATCGAACCCTTCTGAGCATGTAATAGCTTAACACAGTCTTTACTTACCGATGCTTTGATTTAATAAACACATGTCCGTTCTCTTAGAACTTAGAAAGGTTCTGTCTATTATCATAATTATCATATAAAAAGTTATTTACCAGGTTAGTTGCTGGAAGTTTGTCCGCTCGATCCTCTGCAAGTCAACAACCAACTTGTACGTGCATGTAGCGACCTTTCGACATCTTATGATTTCTACTTGCCTTTCCCTCCGGTAGACTCCTTGATTCGTCCATGAAGGAAAATGTGCGTGTGTTTGTCCGGTTACGTCCGACGTCCTCCCAAGATCTACTGGATACTATTCAAACTTGCAAGCTGCCGTGCAAATCTGCGTTCGAAACTGCGGAATCTGTTAATCTCCCTAACAATGGGGAGGAATGTACCACTCCTCGGGGCGGTAACAACGGTGCGACTTCCCACTTGCGACAAATCTTGAAAGTAACAGTTCCAAGGCCGACAGCTACAGATGGAACTAGCAGTCATTACCGCGACAGCTTCCAGTTTCAGTTTGATAGGATTTTTCCCACAACATGCTACCAGGAGGACCTTTTTGAGCACGTTGCACGTCCCCTGGTTGATCGCGCGCTGGAAGGATTCAATGGTAATTTATCCTAGTTTAAAGCGGTATGTTATATTAACTTACAGATAAGTGCATATTATCGTATCTCTACTACCGAGTTATTTATACGGCGGTAATTGTCACATCTGTGACCTTTGACACATATTGTTTACGTTTCGAACCGTGTATTCATACTTGGTAAATAACTAAATATTTCATGGTTAATTGCAGGAACATTATTTGCCTACGGTCAAACGGGAAGCGGGAAGACCTATACAATTACTGGTCCGTTAACTGGCTGCACCTCCCCGCAGTGCCAGTCCTTCGGGCATGGCTGCTCTCGCTCCGATTGCCAACATGGCATTATCCCGCGCACTGTGTCTCACATTTTCCAGAGCATCGGTTCCAACTCGGAAGTATCCAATATCCTGTCCATATCCTACCTAGAGATTTATAACGAGTCTGGTTATGACCTTCTGCATCCGCTGTGGGCGACGGCTGGTACAACTAGCGCTACCGCAGACGAACTGGGTCTACCGAAAATCCGGCTGCTTGAGGACAGCGACCAGAATGTGCACGTGGGGAATCTGAGTATGCACACGGTGGAAACCGCGCAGGAAGCCATGACACTGTTGCAGATCGGACAGACGAACCGGGCCCGAGCAGAGACGCCGGTCAATCCCGCTTCTACTAGATCACACTGCATTTTTACCGTGATAATCAAACGCCGAGAACGGGATTCGGCGGTGGTGAAGATGGCCAAACTACACATTGTCGATCTGGCCGGTTCGGAGCGTGTTTGGAAAAATGGTATTGGCGGGCGGTGTCTGACGGAGGCGAAGTATATCAACTTATCACTGCACCATCTTGAACAAGTACCCAGCTACTATTATCGTTTATTAACTAATTTTACAAAATTGCAACATTTCTGTTAAAATGTTTGAATTGTTTCTTTGCCCATTTTGCATCAGCGTGACCTTTTTGGTAGGTGATCGGTGCGCTTGGCGAAAAGAACCGTAAGCATATACCATATCGGAACAGTTTACTGACATCCATACTGAAAGACAGTTTAGGCGGCAATTGTTTGACGAGCATGATTGCCACCTGCTCGACTGATACCGGGAATATCGAGGAAAGCCTGTCCACGTGCCGGTTCTCCCAGCGAGTTGCTCTTATTGATAACCAAGCTGTTGTTAATGAGAATCTGGATCCGGCCGTTGAACTGCAGCTATTGCGGAAACAGTTGGCTGATTTAAAAAAGTCTTATTCGATGTTGTTGAATGCTCACACGAGGATGCAGGGAAATCTTGTAGCGGAAATGCCCTTTGAAAGCTCTGACGGCGATGTATCAGGTTCAAATCATCCCGCGTTCTTGACCCAACGCCTTAGCCAAGAGGAAAAAGACATGTGTAAACGATTGGTTGATGAATACCTGGCGGCGGAAACGGCTGTTCATAAATCCTTTGACGGAGATACGGAAGAATACGAATTGCATGTACCGGATTTCGACTGGAGGAAAGTTCAGTACCTCTTCCGAATTCTGAAGGAAATGATCATCGCAAAACCACGTGACGCCCCTGCTCTTGGAGGGCAACTGCCTGACGCTTACCGTCAGATTAATGAAGGTAAGTGATGATAACAATTGCTAGATTTTGTTAAAGCACGAATTCATGATTGCTGTTTTCTACAACGGATATGCAAGTCTTATAACGTGCTTTTGCCATTTGGAAATTTATCACCAGTTTGTACATGCCAACGCCATTTACACTTGAACGTTTGCCTATTTCGACAAAGAAAATTTTGCAGTACCTTTTTAAAAGTTGCAACCGTGTCGTTATAAACAGCTATGACGTATCCTTTTGTGAGAAGGCGATAGTTAAATTTACTTACGATTACTTACATATATGATAGGATGATATGTCTATATTATACACAGACAAAGAGAAGGTCACTGAACTTCAAAAGACACTTCAGCAGCGGGATAAAGAATTGGCAATATTGTGCAAACTTTTGCGACAGGAAAAGAAAAGATTCGACAGGTTAACAGGTAATTAGTAACTACCCGTAAATACTATACGATATTTCTGTACACCTGCTGCATTCGGTATGTATGTAACAGAATTCCTGCATATATAGATGCTGTACCGTTTTGTTTTCCTACAGAATGTGCACAGTAGATTACTGTGGTGCCACGTCGAAGCGGCACTATATTTAAAGAATTATATTTAAATATATAGAATTATATTTAAAGAATTAAAATTGTAGAGTCGTATCAGTCATAACAGTACACGTAATTCACAAGTGGAATAAATTACGCGCCATGCAGCTGATTTTTGCAAAACGCATCCTTTTGTGGTAAACGATAATATCTTAGATTTTCATAAAATTTCAGAGCAAAAAAGTGGAAGAGTGCAGTCGGAGAACTCTACACATGCTTCTGACCGGCAGGAACTAGCGCACGTTGACCACAAAGAAAAGAGCGGCAACTCTGCTACGAAAGCGGAAATAACGCAAGCAGTCTATGAAAAGAAGGCAACGGCAAGTAGTCCACCAGATATCCCATGTCACACCGACAAAGAAAAATGGCCAGAATTCGTACCTATAGACCTTGTTGCTCAGATCCAATTGGCTTCCGCCAATAAAACCCTCTTGGATGATTCGAATTTGAAACGTACCGCTCTGATGTCGTTCATTCAGTCGCACCCCGAGAAAGATCGTTTAGAGCAACTGAAAGTTTCCTTGGTATCCCGAGTCGATCAAGCACGCCACCTTGGAGGTGGTATTCGAGACCTGCAGAGTCAGCTCCAGAACGTACCTGCGGACAGCAACTTGCTACAGTCAACGGAGCATCAACGTGATGTGGCCTTGAAGCAGATTCGCCTAAAGGCAATGCTGGAGCAACTACGCTCATTAAAATCGGAGGTGGACGTCCTGGAAGCCGAAACCAAGGCAAGGAGCGGGGAGATTCAACAGCAGTTTGATCAGTGGTGGAAGTCGTTGGTTTAGATATGTTTTACAAAAACATAGGCACGCTTCCCATACGAAGGTCAAGAGTGCTGCTTATAGCAAACTGTACAAGTTTGGTAAGCTATGTGGCTGAAGCTGTGTGAGTTTTAGTAAGTTATGTCCGTGCCAAATTCAATATAAATAACCGCATGTTCTACATTTTTACTCATATTCCAAGCTGCAGTTTTGTAAGCTAGCAGATTTGGCTTGATTCAATGTGATAATAACTCAAACTGCACTGAAATTTCTAAACCTACGTACTACCGTAGTACTGACAATCCGAAATCCAAGAATAAAGCAACAACAAAAAATACACTTAGTGAATGCGTATTTGTTACAAACGCATTTGTATTTGTATTATTTCATTTCTTTGTGTAATATGTTTTTGTCGTATTTGCTATTTGTTTGTTGCTATTTGTAGTTTATGTACATGGACCTGGCAGAATGTCGATGCTGGAATCATTGATGGCTTTACCTATCAATCAGTGATGCACGTCGATTAACCGGTAAATTAAAGTGATTAACAATATTTGTATTAGTTTACAAAATACTAGAGACACATCCATCAGGTATTTGGAAGTATTTAAAAGCATTTGCTTGTACGTACAGCGGTATACTGTATAGTCTGTCGACAGGTTTGCCGTGTACCGTTAATGCGACGGTTTATTAGAGCACAGCAAAGGCATATATGTATTTGCTAATGGTTTTTATCTTGGCTTCTGTTGTGCATTTTTTCCTGAGGGGATACGTTCATCATCCAACTTTGCGAAAGGCAGTAATAATTAACAGCATTCGTCACTTAATTGGGACTGAGGCCGATTATCATCCGGTTAGCAGCAGCATAAAAACTGCTAATTCCGCCATTGTGCATATTGACATTATCTTAATTTTTGGCGCAGATTGCATTCCCTAACTTGTTAATCATGAGCGGTGAGCAGACTGTATGTATTACATGCGCTAGTAGCTATCGCTTCTTTGCATAAGTAGTTACTCGACTCCATTAAAAAAACTGGACTTAGTACTCATCTTTTTTTTTATTCTGCAGAACCTCAAGCTTGCGACAATGACAACTACGACAATGATCCAAGCGGAAAAGAGGAAGCGGAGCGGGATACCGACATGAGCGGTCCACCAGATAAGGATGAGGTCAAGGAGTACAGCAACGTGAAAAATAAACAGCACACCGCGACCCGCGGTCGTGACGATCCCGATTCTAGGTATGGTGAAAGCTAAATCCTCCCGTCAAATCGCCCGTGCTTGTCCAAGTTGCGGCTATTTTAAATCAGCTTATAATGGTAATATCAAATCGACAATATCTATGTATGAGAGTAATGTCGGAATTGACTGCTTGAATTGTGACGATTTGCCATCTTTGTCGGCGCGCGTCGAGCGATTCTTTGCAGCTTTCGAGGTACATATTTGTGGTCGCAGCTGTTATTAATGCATAATTATATCTCTTATGGTTTTGTAAAACTGGCCAATGTAAACAAGACCTATTGTTTGGTGCATGGTTGCAAACTGTTCAGGCTTGAGGCTAAATGTATCGCGGGACCGGTTTTGGCTGGGGATGACAAGAATAAACATAATTACTTGATGGATGAGCTGAAATGGATTTTCAATTTAAAGTACTGTTAATATTGCGTAGAATGCAAGAACATAAATGCTGTCAAATACATAATTACAGAGAGCTTAAAATTAATGCTGCACACAAAGCTGTACATTTTTTTGTGGATGGTTGCGTATCCAGTTGTATGTATTTATTATGTAATATAGATATACGAGTAGTATGCGATACCCAATCACGATTTAAACTGCTAGCTTGTGTTTCACTTTCAACGTCGGGTACGCAAGCATCGAGTTTTAAAAGTCAAAAGTGCGAAGTGATTTATAGAATTCATAGGATTTACGTATTAAGCGGCGCACTCTAAAAACGAAATTTATTTAAGTAAACTTACCGTATTTGAGTTTACTGATAGAAGTACGAGATACCCATAGAAGTATTATTGATAGACTGTTTATTTACTGTTCCATTGGGAAAGCAGCAGCAAAAAATCAGCGGAAATTAGGCAAAACAAAGACAAGACTATGCGTACACAGCGTCAGATAAATCCTGAATGCATATCTATATTTTAGTTCCATTAAAATTTGTATTTGAGTCGGTTAACAAAATTTTCAGTAGTTATTACGCTTCGCTTTAAATTTGTTTGGGGGGTAAGGGGTGTATGTTGTGCCTGATAGAAGAATTTCAAAAAGCAGCCAGTAGAAGTAATATTTACACATATAAATATAGATCTACATAAATAAGCACCACTGTATCACACTAGTTAATGTTCACACTAATTAAGGTACAATGTACGTGTTTCCGATTTTGTTTAACACCATGTAAGCATGAAATACAAAAGAAAGCACTCAAGTATCAAGGGCATAATGTACACAAAAATCACAGATAAAATCGTATAAATGAACTAACTGAAAGGCTACGTAACAGCAAGTTCCTCACCCCCAACAAAACTTTTTCGATGGTCCAACTTGCCACCATCTTTAGGAGGTCCAGGCCAGGGCCAGCGAGCATGAGGCGGTTCCATAAACGGGATAAGCCGCTGTATCTCCTGCGATTTCAGCACCTCCACCGTCTTCGGACTGCGTCCTTCCGTGCATATCCCCATCATCTCGAACATCTTCCGACACTTCTCCTCTTCGTCTTTGACCAGTCGGTCGGCTCGTTCCCGCACCATTCTCGCCTTCTCTTCGGCTTCATAGACGTTTTTGTACTCTTTCTCCGCAATCTGAATATCCCGAATTACGCTCTCGTGGACAAACGGTTGTGGTAGATTGAGAAAAATATGGGCGGCGGCTACTTCGCCATACAGCACGCGCGGGTCCCAATAGTAGAGATTCTCCGCTACTCTGTTGGGAGGAATGGGTAGCTGAAGTATATCGCCTCGTTTTAAACTGTCTTGTATAAACAGATGCATGGTGATGACCAGCTGCATTTCCGCGAAATCAAACGTTTCGCCCTGGGCATTCAGGTTCAAGCAGTCGTAAATTTCCTCCGTTGACATCCGGAAGAAGCGAATGCAGTGAAGGAAATGGTTGGCGTGTTCCAGGTGGGTGGGATCGCATAATAACCATTCGCGCACCAGACGATATACATCAAATTCCGTCTACACGAGTGGAAACCACAAATAATTCATAAAAACAGTTATCACGTTATCACGGTGTGCAGAAACATACTTTGAGTCTGAGGTCATCAGCTTTGATGTAGATGTCAAGAGCATCCGCCGTCCAGTTGCGGAAATGCTGACCTTCCAGATAGTAGTAGAAGTTGTTGGTTATACTGGAAAAAGCTGTATATTAGCAGCACAACAGGCAGTTTCTGTCACAATATTCGGAATGTTCAAAGCGGGTGCACTTACAAATCGAAAGCAGCCACATGAAGCCAGTACAGATTATTCGCAGCGGAAAATTTCATGATGTCCACCGGATTTTCGTGTAGAAGTTTATGGCGGATAATCTCCTCCATAACCTGTCGCAACTTGTACAAACCGAGATCAAAGGCCAACGCCACAAAATGTCCTAACGAAGCCGGGTCGATATCATCTTCCTGAATGCGCCCATACAGAAACCTCAAAAACAGTTCGATATCTTTAAAGTCGTGATGCTGCAGGTCGTAGCTGCTCAGCACGCCTTCATCCGGCTTTAAGAGATTTTCGTGGCCGTCGTAGCTTTTATTCATAATAAGTTTTGCCCGTTTACTAGCGATCTCTTCGAAGTTCCTCTCGATTGACCCTTCCAGGAAAGTATCGGTTGTTTTGCACTTTGCATACAGGTCAGCGTTCGGATATTTTTCCGAGGGCTCCATCCACGGGAGCATCAGGTCACGGTGAAGACGCCGGTCGCCCTGGGCAGTTCGTATGCGAACGAAGTCGATGGTGTCGTTTTCGCTGGAGAGATGAAGATGGTTCCGAAGGTCCCGAAACATCTGCTTTGCTGTAAATGCGAATTATGATACTGCGCACAATTGTAGCAATCATCAAGTGAGTGAAATGAAATGGTTTAATGTCATCGTACCCTGTGACGCCTGTTTCTGACGGATTGTCAAATAGTACAGCGAAACATTGGTGCATAACGATGACGGCTCATAATTGACATCCAGCGCGCAGGTTATGTTATGGACAACTTCGGAATCTTTATCCTCGTGGACGTATGCCTGGCGTTCATCATCAAACTTATACTGCCTGGGAATAGTTTCTCGCTGCTGAGGCGCTTCTTCAGCCACACCGAGATACGCTGTCGCCCGTTTGGCTTTCGGTTCTTTACAGGTCGGGCGGAGCAAGTGAATGTGTCGAGGATCGTGGTGTGTTATGGTCAACTGCGGCGTTGGTGGTCGCCGTTCATGTTTACTTGTGGGTTTTTCGGGAAACAGCGGCTGACCGGTGGAAGGATCCCACTGTTTTAGCAGGCTGGTTTGCGACACCGAGGGCATCATATCGCAGCCAGTGGCCAACGAGAAGGCGGTTCCGTGTGTAGATGCGGGATTTATCGAGGAATCCGAGCATGCTGGATGAAGTTTGGATCCATCGGGCAAATATACGGATGAAGCCGAGTCGTGCTGATTGGACAAGAATACAAGCTTGGTTTCTGAAAAAAAGATGTTTCGCATAAAAACAAAATTTTAAAAAGAAATCGCAGCACCGGTTCGAATTTTTTTACTGCGACGAGCATCTCGGTCGATTACCAACTCCATTATTTTTTATTCGCTTTTCATTGAACACTTTTCTTTTCACGCAAATTTCATTTAAACGTGGCAAACTTCGATTACAGTTTTCAAGAACGTTTAGTGACTCTTTCCTTACAGTACACATACTCTCTAATAAATTCTTGGCGTGTTCTTCGAACCATCCTTTATTGCTCTCGAGGTTTGTGGCCAGTAACGGGTTAATATCGATTGGCTGTACGGGTTCCCCGTACTCTGAGTTGTGGTAGCGCGGCTGCAAGGCGGGCCCCGTGACTAATAACGGCGAGTCCTCAGGCAAGGGGAATAACGGCCCATCTCCGTACGTAACCACCGCTTTTTTTCGCTGGTGTTCGAATGATTCTGATGGATCAGTGGCCGGTGCAGTTCCCGCTGATAACTGCGTCAGTTGGCTAACGGCCATCGTCGGTGCCACCGATGATACGGCCGCAGGCGTCGGATTATTGTCATTCTTTTTGCGCCGCGAGGTCACATTTGTCGTGCTTTCTTTGGCCTGTTTACGTTCATGCATCGCGGTTAATAAAAAAGCAGTGAGTACGAAGATCGATAACGGTGGCTGGTACAGCGATACTGTAGGATGAAATATATACTTAAGGAAAGTGTAAGACCATTTTCGGACTAAGACAGTAAGATAAATGCCTAGATATCACGAAGCCTGTAAGTGTGTGCTGTTGTTGTTGTTGTACGTCGCCGGTTTCCATAGAAATTCAGTGATTTTTATTGCCTTGATGACTGACTGAAGCTTCGATTTCTCCATCTTAAAATGAGCAGGATATACAAAACCAGGAACCCTACTCGCAAAAACTTTGCCGTTTTTTACATCGTGGGACAATACAAACAAAAACTTGAATACACAAAGACAAAAATACGGTTTACAACCAGTTATGCATGCTCTCCCGCTGCCATGTGCTGTTCGTCGGAATGCTTTGACGCAGCAATCTGGTTTTCTTTGTATTTGTTGTCGTCCGCTTCGGCCGTCATCCCTTGCTGAATGATGTTCATAACCTGGTTTTAACACATCATTTTGTCGAGGTACCATTAACATAAAAGGGAACACGTTTCACGCTAGCGTGTTGGTAATTTCTCGCGAAGGGAAATACTATAAGTACGTACCATTTCCAGCATTTTGTTCCAAGCTGTTTTGTGGACATGCCCGAAATTGTGCCCTAACTTGAATGCCAAGAAATCTACAGTGGTCGTGTGAAGTGTCTGCATGCGAGAAAGCACAACACTTTTCAACTCATTAACTGATTAACAGTTACCATGTACAAACTGATAAATACAATCTACTACAGCGCATCGCGCCAGATTATTCACCGTAAAATGCTCCGGTCGCATTCCTCTTTTTGCGTGATTCCTTCCTGTCTAAAACGTTACACAACGCAATATCAGGTCTGCAATTGCGATAGCCGGCAGTTTCCCAGAATTTCTCGGCTAACCTTCATTAAAAGGGAAACGAGTACATCCGGATCGTTCAGGTTATCTGCAATCTCACCAGGAAACGAATTACCAACAAAACTCCACAATTTTTTTTTCACGATGGGACCATACCGATCAGGGCAGTCAGAGCGCTAAAACACAAAATATTTAATTTTAAAAAGACGTGTTTCATATTTTTATTTTGTAAGTAGAAATAAAAAAATATTTTTGTGTGGTAATTATGTGCTGTGCTGCGCTGTCACTTACGTACTGCATAACTTGAACGGAATGAGCTCTTAATTTATGACTTTTTCCAATATCTTGGAGCCTGACATCCCGGAGACTTTCAAAAGCATCTTTAAACTCCGGGAATCGACTGAAATACCTGTATAAACAATTTCATATCTTTCTATTAGGTATTTCAAGAGCTACAAATATGTCCACTCTAGGTTGCACTGCGTATGCTCCTGCTTTTAACTGTCACGCGAAGAAACGTTTAAATTCCTTGTCGAAGTCGGTGGCTACTGCGTTCATTTAAGTACCTTACGAACAACTCCACGCCGTTTCCTTTTAGATCTCTATAAATAATTCTCCAGTTTTCTTGAATAGCCCTTTTTTCAATTTCACTTAGCCCTGTAACTTTATCGGGGGCATCTACGCTTCCAATGGACAACAGTCGAGAGGCTCGGTTTCCCATCTGCTTATTTTAATACCACAGAACTATCGCTCGGCAAATACACTCAAGTGTGTCCACAATCGCTCTTTTCCAGTAATAACCCCAATACTGCAGTGGCCGGTAATGGTACAGAAAAACCAAATCACGGCCGGTGGACTGTTCTTCGTATGTTCCATGGTTTCTATGATTGGCATCATGCGGACAAGTTTCCGTGAGCACACGAATTTATGGATATATAATTTTGCGACTGTTAATTGAATTTATTTGCCTTCGATTTAGCAAAATGTAGTGGCAAACTGTGATCAGAGTTTCAACTTGCTTGTCGCTTTTGCTTACAAAGAACTGATCATTGTATTGTAGCGATAGAAGTTAGATGTACCGCCAGTAGGAGTGTCAATTGCTTTTCTCTACTGGTTATTGGTTGTTGTGTTATGAATAACAATCCTATTTTCCTACATTTTACCGACCGCATCTCACGGTCAGAAACAACTTGAAATTGGTCTTGGTGCAGCTTGCTCCGCGCCTTCCGCGCTTCTTGCCCACGCTTATGTGTTCTTGCTCCTCAGCTTTGCTCGCTGATTCTTGCTACGTTGTACTTCCTAATAAACACTTGCGATGACCCTGTGTTGTGTTGCTTAACCGTCATGGGTTGATCGTACATCTCCCACCGTTGTCAACCTGTAAATGGTAGTCAGCTTCCGGTCAGCATCACTGCCGACCGTGCCAGCCTTTCCCACACTAACAGCCGACAGATCATGGTAAAGTGGATTAACCAACCCTCTGTTACAGTATGTACTTGCTGTATCGTACGTATCAGTGGTTCTTCGTGACCTTTAAAGTTCAAATCATAATAAAATCATAACCTCTAATAGACAGACAGTGAGCTGCTTTCTCTTGAATTCTGAACTGCTGTCACTGCGCTTACCGTATTTACCGCGATGCATTTACTGACGCAGTTGCCAATCTTTTAAGACACTAAACTTTAGTTTTAGACAAACTGGACTTCGAAAGTGATCAAAATTTTGATCAATTTATTCTGGTAATAATACCATTATATACAACTTAAATTAAATGCTTTAGAACTGTGTGCTGTACAAGCCACAAACAAAGGTTGGTCGAAAATGAAAGCACTACTGTTATTTGCTGTTCGCAACATGCATCCATAATCCATATACATATAATAAAAGCGCGTTTAAATTGAACGAGAGATATGCATTCTGAAGAAATCTTCATAATTATTAGATCACTTCACTGCGCAGCCAAGCTATTGCTTCCAGTTTCTTTAGTGTTTGTTGCGCTGGTAGTCCGTGTCTGGGATTCTGCTGGTTTTGGTGCATTAGAAACCTGGGTTTCAACGGAGATCGGCATAGAAGCAGTCGCTGCACTAGATTTGGCTGTACTGCTGCTAGCATTCCACTGCTGCAGCACCGGTGAATTATCGGGAATCCCCCTTCCGATAACACCCATTTCTATAAACATTGACAATTCCATAGTATAATTAACAGCAAACACTGCATGCTGACCGTAACAATGTTAATCTGCATTAAGTAAGTGATATTAAATTATTCCACCTGGGAAATTATTCAGCGCGGTGTCTATGGGACCTTCCAGCGGCTCCTCCCCCCTATGCGTTCGTATCAACGGGTTTGCTTGTATCTTCTCAGGTGATCCAACTGTCAAACCTATCCTTTGTTCCTTAAGAAATTTTAGCTTTTGTGCTATGGTGGCATTCAAATGATCACTGCGTGGAAGTTCGTGAACATCGCGAGGCATATCTCGAAGTCGTGAAGCCAATTCTGGTGGCATAGCTTCCAACATCTCTTCTGTAAAGTCGGCTGTTCCACTTCCTGGTTCCAACGATAAACCGACTGCGGTAAATTCTGGCGGCATTTGATTGGCCACTTTCGTGCCAATATAAATGGGCTTATGCGATCCTAAAGCTGGTTTCTCTGGAGAATAGTGCGTCTTTTTGGGTGATAATGACGAGTGGAAGGCCTTGGTTTTCGGACCGGATGACTGATCCCAAACCTGACCTTGCCGAAGAAATCGGTTAATGGCTTGATCCAGTTCCGATACACGACGCTGTCGATGCCGCTTGGATTCCACTAATCGATTTTTCCGTGTTCGACTTAGCTGTCTGCGATAGGCAGATCGTTCTGCAGGTGACATGCTGCCTGATTCCGGACTACTCAAATCCCGTTGTATCCCACCTAGAATACATATATTATTTCGTCAGTGTTTTGTATTCTAACGAAATGCATATATTTTCTGAACCACCTCCGCTGGATCTCCGCCTCTGGCGTCGTCGCGTAATTTCTTTTATGTCCTCTCGTATCTGCCGCTCCGCATTTCGCAAATCTTGGGTGACCTCCAAACCGCCTTCCGATCTTTCCCGATAGTATTCACCTTCCGAGTATGGCGAGCCATATGCATGTCGCCCGTCAAAGCGAGACCTGCGCCGCGCACCTCCTGTAACTGACGACTCCTCGTAGTGCATGCCCCGCTCATGCTGTTCTTGAAGCAAAGCCTTTGCATGCATAACATGATCCCGAATTTTTCGAATTTGATCCGCTTCTCTTGGTGTTCTGCGCGGGGAATTAGCGTCAGCTGGGATACTGCGCACTTGCTGTTCCACCGCTTCTGCTTCCATCGATATGAGAAGGGCTATAGCTGAATCTAAGGAACGCTCAGCCTGACTATTTTTTCCATAGGCTGACTGTTGAAGAATCTCCTTTTCTTGCGGCTGGTGTGCTTCCGGAACTTCGGGTCGAACTGCTGACTGTGGCTTATGTCGAATTTGTTGTCCAACGATTCTCTGCTGTTCGAATCTAGTAGTAACAATGTTACGGTGTTGCTCAAATTCGGAAACTCCTTTGGGATCCAGGTAGGTGGTTGTTTCTGCGTTCAGACCGTGCGCTGGAACAGCTGTTTCTAACGGGCCAACCGGTTGTGGTAGTTCTGGTTGGACTTCCTGGAGCCGTGTTCCTGTAACTACAATTGGCTCACTGGTTTCCTTTCCTTTTGTTGTTGGCTTCTTTTTTGCTTCATCTTCCTTGGTGTCTTTCTTTTTCTTAGACGAATGTTCTGGGAATTGGTTCCAATCTTCCGCTCGAGGAAATGCACCGGTATAAGCGCTACCTTTGATATATAAATCAACTGGGCCGGTGGTCTGCATCATCTTGTGTTCCTGGGTGACCTTTCTTGTTTCCGACTGTACAGATTCAGTATGTGGATCAAAACTGTACCGGGTATATTCTACGTAAGAGCGACTAATGCGATCTGTCGTCGTTGTGCCCTGACTGCGAAAGTAGTGCTTGCCCAGATCTTGGCTGCGTTTTCGTATCACCGTCCAGCTGACCGAGGTTTGTCGGTTTACTAAACTGACCGGTTTCGGCTGTATCACGTACTCCGCATCCGAAAACGGGCTCACTAAAACCGGAGTAAAAATATGGTCACATACAATACAAGAATAAAACATGCCAGAACAAGATCTTCTTAAAGAGACACCTTAAACTGTCAACAAACATCGGCATCTGTTATACCGTGTAATTATAGTGCAGGTTATCGCCAGTACACACAACAAGTATTCATACCTGGCAAATTGGATTCCATGCTGCGCAGTGCATCACGGAAATGTACGCTGGATCGTGGTGCTTCCATGCTTCTTGGTGAATCAGGGTACTCATCGGTATGGTCGAAAAATGTCTCCTGATGAGCCCCTTGAGCCTGCATTTGTGGAGCTGGTAACTTTTGTGGCAGTGGCTTTTTAAGAGTTTTTCCAAGCCGCTTCTCCGCACTTCGCAACAATGATATCATATCCACAATTGATTTCCTTTCCGGCATTGCGGCAACTGCTTCATCACGCAATTTTGCTAACGACTCCGCTAACGTCCATGCCAGCTCCTTTATACGCTTCAGTTCGTCTCGATATTTTGATACCTCCGCTTTCTTCTGGTCCAGCTGCGTGTCGAATTCTGACCTGCGTTGTTCCAGTACTTCGTTCAGTTGCTTGAGCGTATGACGGATGTGAGTGTTCTCGACTTCGAGATCAAGTACTCGCTGCCGCAGTTTCATTCTGGCACGTCGCATCTCCTCGCTGGAGTCCGTTCCGCGGAGGTCACCTTCCATTTCGCTGGCTTTCTGTTCGAGCACTGTTGTAAATGCAGCTCGATGTTCAGCTCGAAGCTTGGTGAAGGCACCCTAACGCATTCAAACAAGAAATCGTTTGGGTAACCAGTTTGCGTAAATAACAGAGAACAGATTTAACGGCAGGTCAGAGCACGGTTAACTTGTACCTGACGCATGGAAAACACACAGAAATCTTGTCTTAAAATTTGAAACATACCTGAAAAATGGCCGGGATCGCGCCAAAATGTTGCCTGACATCATCCGTAATCTCTGCAGCCGCTGAGTGGGCATTCCAGGTATCTTTCAGCTGATGAGGGAAAGATGGTATATCCGCCACCAGGTCTTCTTCGGCTAGCACCGTTATTAGTGATTTTCGAAAATGGCCCAAAATGGACTTCAGCCGCTTTAACTCCTCCTTTACCTCCGGCGGTGTCACGTCCTCAGTCTGAATATCAAGAGAAGTTCCGAATAACACGCCGACCGTTGACGTTTCCACCGTAATTTTGTTCGCGCGCAGTATCCGCAGGGTCTCCTCCAGCGTGTCGACCGAATGCTGAAGATCCGTGATTATGCTGTCCCGTGATGAAACTTCGTACTCTAATTGATTGATACGTGATTGTAGCACGTCGGCATCGTCCTCGGCTTGCTTCAGCGTCACTCTCAGTTCATCCATGGCGACCTCCAACTCGGATTTTTCTCGCTCCACACTGTGCATTAAGTCCTCAAGCTCTTTGGCTTTCTCTTCAACGGTTTGGAGTTCTTCTATTTTAGCACTCAGCTGTGAAATCGTTTCATCCTGAGCGTCCAGCTGCTCTTGGGCCTCGGCTAGGGCCTCTTGTTCTGATGTCTTCGCATCGGCAAAGCTGGGCTGCACTTCAACATCAGTCTTCGGAACAGAGCCACCGATGAAGGAGGCTTGAACCGGTATTCCCCGGCTAACTTGCGCTACTTTTGGTGCTAAATTTGTCTGTGAAAATTGGATAATGCACGTGTAATACTTCACCATTTCATCCCTGTGTCGTAACGGTAAGGTATATAGATACACAACTATCGGTTTTCGTAAAATGGCACACTTTGTACCTGTATTTCTTTGTGAGCCATTTGTACTTCTTCAGCTCTTGGCAGGCGGGGCACCGGCGACCGAGGTGGTTCATCCTCCTCTTCTTCGGGCTCACTGTCGCCCTGCGATTCCCTTGCCACTGCCTCGGCTTGACTTTTTTTCTCCGCTTTTGTTTTGCTTGTATCCTCCTCCTCGGTATTTGCATTCTCGACGCCCTTCTTTTTGCCCTCGCTTCTTCTGGACCCTGTACTAGTGTCTCTGGTGTCACCACCCGTACTGGGTTGCGCTTTATCAGTAACAGAAGCTTCTCCGGTATTTTGCGTTACCAGACCTTCCGGCGTCTGCCTTGTCGATTCTGGGCTTTTTGGAGATGCCACCGTAGGACTAACTTCCCGTGTTTTCGACTCTGTTTTTTCTTTCTCTTTTGTTTGTACCTTCTTTTTTGGCAGGTCTAACTTTTTCATTTCTGTCTTCTCTTCCGGGGTTACGCGGCTCATTCGACGCCCTTGCGATGCTTTTTTCGCTTCAGCTTTCTTTTTACGTGGAACTTGATCAGGTTTTTCTGCCTCATAATCTTTCACCTCACTTTCCGTCTGATTAACTGGCTCGCCGACTTCCTCCTCACTGGGACCCGCCGGCGGATGCTCATGACCAACAGACTTTGGACGAGTGCCGTGACCAGTCGACGGTTCGTGCGCGACAACTGCTTCGGGTTCGTGATGCTTGCGGATTTGTTCGACTACACTTGCCTTTCTGGGACCGCCAGATTTTTTCGTTACAGTGGAAACGGGAGGAGCAGCTGATCCCTTGGCCGGCTGCTCGTGAGGATTTTTTTGAGCTCCATCGCTTACACTATGGGAAGTGTCTTCATGCTCGTTGCTCTGTGAATCTTCACGAACGTGAGATTCGTGAGTTCCGCCTGGTGTCGCCGCACGGGTGCCTTGACTTTTGGCTCTTTCTGATTTACTTTGATCCTGACCTTTTGCTTTAGATCCTTTGGAACCATGCGCTCGATCGTTACCTTTACTCGGCTCACGATCACGATCTTCTTCTTCAGTAACACTTCCGACGTTCCCTGGTTGCCCACTAGATAAGCGTCTACGACATTCTCGAATATCCGCGATTGTTTTGACATGCTCGGTTTTTAGCGCATCATGCTCTTTTATGATTTTATTCAGCATCTCCTCGGTCTCCTTTGTATCGATCCTATACCGCTCATTTTCACGGTTCATGATATCCTTCTGCTGCATCGTATCTTCCAGCTTCGCGGCCAAAGCACCTAGTTCATGAGTATGTTTCCGTTGAACTTCCCGTAAACGCTCGATGACCCTACAGTTATCCAGTTCAGTCACAAGAAATGGCCCATTTAGTGCCATTTGAACGGTAATGAAGTTTTGTACCGTTTACTTGTAAATGGCATCTAACTGCTGGAGCGCCAGTCTAGTGACCTTTCGTTTTCCCGCTTTGTTCTTGTGTTTAGCAGCCGCTCCATAGAACACCAAACCCTTTAGATATTGTTGAGCCGTCTGCAGTAGAGTCACATCACGGAACAGCGCTTCATCATCCAGGGTGACGGTTATGCGAATTTGCAGGTCATTGCTGTTTTCCGACGGAATAGTCATCAAAATGGTGTCTTCCTTCTCAGGTGGTGGTCCATCGGTGATTTTAATTCCACTTGCCGAGCTTAACGCCAGTATTTCTCCAATGTGCTTCAGTTTTTGACCCGTATCACCAATTTTGCTGATTGTATCTTCGATGGTCTCTTTTGAAATGCTCTGTTCGCGATGACGCTCTTTGATGTTTTCCAACTCAGCGTTGAACTCTCTTTCCATTGACTTATCCGCTAAAAGCTCGTGGAACCATTGCTCGATTTCTTTCATGACATCATACTGATGTTTTGATTTGGCAAGATGCAGATCAATGTAGTCTTCGATGTTAGCCTGAATTCCCGCTTCTTTGCCTTGACATTCCGTAATGATTCGGAAGTACGCCGTTTGCTTTTCATCGGCCAGAGTGTGATCACCGCTGATGGATGCCAAGAAGCCGCTGGCATTGAGATGATCGCCAATTCTGTTGACAATCTCGTTAAGTTCTTGGTATATTTTATTCGTTTGCCTCTTCTGTTTATGTGCTTGCAGGTCAAGGTACGCAAGAAGGGCTTCTCCACGAAGATTATTAAAATTTCCGCCAGCCGCTTCGTACTCTGCAAGATTATGTTCACGCTGGTGCTGATCGACAGCGTGGTCGATGGCTTCCTGGACTGGAGTGGGAACTGTCGGTCCTTGCCGCAGCTTGACCACGTTGTTATTTTTATGACCTTTTTTCGACATGGTGAGACTGCAACAGGTTTAGAAATGCAGTTTCGGTTCTTCATAAAACGGGTAAAACCATTTTGTCGTTCGTTTTACCAATTGCCTGTTCCGGCACTTGCAAATGTCTAAGCAGGACTTGAATCCAGAGAACGTTTATGGTAGGTCCTTTCTCAACCGGGAACCCGTGCCCGAATTCACGCTTACTGACTTCCGAAGAACGCAGTATTCCTTCGCATACACCATGACAAAAGCTTCAAAATTTCGCAGTCCACATTCGAATAACCTTTTACACTAGCATCAGACTTCAATCATACATGATACAACAAATAGAAGTGTATCGCACTGGGCGAATTTTTGAAAGATTGCTATCACACAAGTGTCCATCGCGTAATGACTGTAGAGGAGTCAACTTTTATGCAACATAATGGCAACTGAAATAATTATTATTGTTTGCTGCACACTTTCACTTAATAAAAAAACTGTAAGACAATTAAAATTACTTAATTTTCTTACTACACACTGCCGCACCATTGTTCAGTTTCTAACAGGTGATGCCTCGCATGTTATCATGTTCAATCCAGCATGTGGCATTTATACCTTTATTCTTTAATAAGCTAATATTCGGCTGTTCACAGTGTGTTGTTACATTATCAATGTTATGGCAGAGCAGAGACATCCTTTGGGTGCAAAAGTGGCTGTACTTTTAAAAATAAGTACGTATAGCCGTACAGGGAGTATAAAAATTTATTGGAAGTCGTCGCTTGGCAATACTAATAGTATCCATAAATATGTTTTGGAATACTGGGTTTTCGACAGATGATATTACACAGTGACGAAAGCAAAATACTCGTACATTCCAGCATGCACACAGGTTTGCAGGTACATAGCAGCCAGTGCTGCCGTGTAACCGATACAGTAGTACCCTACATTTCAAATTAAAACGTACCATGCCATTTCGCTCGTGTTGTAAAGTTGTAATCTTATTTTAAATTTTGTCAAAGAGCAGGCAACTAATAAACAAAAGCAGGCAACAGGGAGCATTTTGCAGTAGTACTTTAACAGCCAACAAAACTAAAAGCTGAATAACAGCTTTCAAGAAATCCAGTTAGCGAAATCCATTTCAATCTGAACCAGATGGAATATTTCCACCCGAATGAGCCGCTTAGCGATCTGGACGATTGGGAAAAACTGGCGCTCATGGATCGAGCCCTTTGTATTTTTCGTATACATAGTGCTTCTAATCATAGCCATCCCGATTTGTGCGCTGATATTTGCTAAGGAGAAGACCAACCTTCGAACGAGAACATGGTTCGTTGGCGGGATATTTGTTCTGATGTCGCTGCCGGTGTCGCTGCACACCATCTTGCAACACCTGATCCACTACACAAAGCCCAACTTCCAGCTGCATATCGTGAGAATTTTGTGGATGCCACCCATCTACTCTCTTACTGCCGTAAGGTCTAGACTGGACTGGTCTCTTACTGGACTGCGCCTTTGGTCTAGATTCAGTTCAGAATGATGTCTCCGGTTTCGCCTACACCGGCTACACGTTATCCAGGATCAGTGATTTTCTGTAGATCTCTCCCACACGATGCATCTCTTTTATTGTCAAGCGAGCGGAGGCCCAGTGCGGACGATCTATGGAATTCACTGATTCTTTGATTCCGTGTAACCGCAGTGCACACTTAAAAACACACTTAAAAACACACACACACTTTTGCACACTTAAAACAAAATTTTCGCGTTGCAGTGGCTGTCTTTGCGCTTCCCGGAATCGGCCATCTATTTTGAAACTTTTCGACAATGTTATGAAGCTTATGTTGTGTATAATTTCATGCGTTTTCTGTTGAACTATCTGGAAGAAAAGATTGTCGTCATCAACATCTTGGAATCGAAACCTCCTCAAAAGCATCTTATTCCGTTTCGTTTAGTTCTGAAACCTTGGCAAATGGGAGCGTACGTGAAGGTTTCCGTCTTTCTCATTACTTTACTGTAGAGAAATGTTGATGAAATTAAATCCCTGTGAAATGTTCGGTTCGGTGAATTTTTACTTTTAGTGAGTATCTTCTGAACTGCAAACTTGGAACGTTGCAGTACACAGTAATCATGCCAGTGATTACCGCCATATCTTTGTAAGTTAACAAAGGTCAGTGGCAGCATACTTTACCCGAGCAAACTCCAGGAATGTGAAGGGGTGTTTTATGCGTTGCAGCTTGTGCGAGTCACTGGATGTTTATCACGAGGGAATTTTTAGCGGCTCCAGCGCTTGGACATATTTGATTGTATTCGCCAACATCTCACAAATCTGGGCAATGTATTGTTTGATTATGTTCTACCTCGTATTTCGTGAGGAACTGAAGCCCATGTACCCGCTGGCTAAGTTCCTGTGCGTCAAATTCGTTGTTTTTGCCTCTTTCTGGTATGGTAAAATGATCTGCTTGCGCAGTATTGCTAGCCTGCTGTTAATTTCGTACCTGACTCGGCTTTCAGGCAGCAAATATTTATTGCCATTTTAACAAACGCCGGGGTTACCCAGTGGCAAACCGCGATTCCCGAAAACGACATTCGTTCCATATCGACGGGATTACAGGTCCGCTTCACGCCTTGCGTACAATCAAAAATTCTGTTTTTTAAGCGGCGTGTTTTTCATATCCGACTTTTCCCTTATTTGCAGGACATTATCATATGCGCTGAAATGATTGTCGCATCGGTTGCGCATTATTTTGCATTTTCATACAAGCCTTACGTGAATTTGGATGTACCCCAGACTCCCTGTTGCCCATCTTTCTGGGCGATGTTCGGCATCCAAGACGTTAAAACTGACGTTATGGAGCAAGCGAGGAGTGTTGGTCGGTGCGAATTTTCGCAAGTTTCTTGTAATTACAGTTTCGAAAATTCTCTCTCGTTTTCGATCAGGTTCTCAAATAAAAGCAATCCGGCCAAGAGCAGTGTCATTCCTAACTCATGAACGGGAAAGAGCTCGATTAATGAGCCGGCGCACTGCAGGGAAACCCATGCAACAAGAGCCCATCAAAGGTTCGTTGGCGTCGGATCAGGCTGCCCGTCCCCGCTCTGCCCCTGGTTCTCCGATAACCTCAAAGGCAGCACATGGGTCCACTGTTTGGAGTGCCACGCAAAAATAAAATCTTATGAAGAAGACTGCTGCTTAAAGCAACGTGATTTTGATGGCTGTTGAAAGCGATATTGGCGATGCCGCGGCTCGGGAACCACAGGGTTTACGCTGTGGCCCGGTTTACATTACATTCAGATACTATTGCCTTACAGCATGATACGGATACAGGGATACTGATTTGTTTTACTTATTTCAATCCGTACGTATGCAACACAATCTTCGTGCGAATCGAGCAGATGCATCACATTATAGTGACCTTTTCAAAATTCCTTGTGCAGCCAAAGAGTAATTAATAAAGCACAGCTAGGTCGAATGATAGCTTTGAAATGCTATCCAAATTGCGCCATATTCGCCAAAACAGCGGCAGTCTTCTCCACAAGCAATCAAAGTAACAATGACAAGCAGTTTATGACTGCTTCTAGTGTCCAGCTTCGTCTGCATTTCCGCCTTTGGCTTTGGCAGCGTGGTATTTATTTTTGTGATGTTTATGGAGTGCTTCCGAATCATCAGTTTTCACCTGGGGGTGCGTTGTAACAATGCCCATATTTTCAAATAAGACATTAGGCTCCGATCGCGGCTCCTGTACCACCACCAAAAAATGGCGCGGGAACACTATAGAAGAAACATGCACAAATTACCTGCTAACGTGCTTTTGAAACGCTAGCAGAATGTTGCAGTACTTGGCATTACGACAACTTCGTTGACATCGCTGACCAGTCGCAAATAGCGGACATCGTTTTTCGGGTCTAGATCTCTGGTGGTCTCTACCACTCGCCAGATGAGCTGTTTTACAAAGGGAATGATGCGTTTTGCTGTAATCAGGTCAGTACTCGAGTAGATGATATGCAGGGGAATCTCCCACTCTTTATCTACAACTTGTAGTTTCGACTTTATCTACAACTTGTTTCATTCAACTTTTCATCAGAAACCGCCGGCTGCCACGCATGCGGCTGAATGAGTGGCTTATACTTTCCTTCTCGTTCGGGCTTATTTTTCTTATCGTCAGCGGAAACTGAAGGTTCTTTACTGTGCTCGCCTGCCGATTTTTGTAGTTCCGCTAGCTCTGCCCGTTCCCGAAGCCTCATTTTAATGTTCTCCATGGTCAATGGCAAACCATCTCTTCCCCATACTAGCGGAATGCGGTCGAATTTCGAAGCGAGCGCGGTTTGGAATGGTGTATTTCCATCGGTTATCGTGGTGGCATTAGGATCTTCGGTGGGGACTTTTTCCACTGATTTTTTGCGCTCAGGCGCACCTTCCGTTGGCGCCTCGCTTGGTGGCTGACCGCTGTCAGCTTGATTTTCCCCGCCTGCTGTCTGAGCATCGTCGTCGTGCCCCATGAGGCCAAAATGTTTAATGGGTGTTTCTGTTGCGAAATGCTTATCTCCAATCTGTTACGCTCCGTTCCGCTAGATATGGTGACCGTAAACGTGTGTACTTACTTGTACTGGAGACTAGCGTCAGTAAGCAGAAAATCCAACCAGATACAAGACTTAAAAACTTTGCTACTAAATTCGCTATGTAAATATAATTAATTAATTTTAAATTCAGTGCAAAACGTTCGTATTTGTGCGTTAATACAACACTTAAACCATGCGTGCACCTTTTTTCGTTCAGTTCGTCTCCTGTGACTGCTATTGGAGAACTTTATTCTGGGTACATTTTCCGTACTGGGGTTGTTGCATAGCACCATAAATACTTGTTCGTAAAGACGTACGGAATCGAAGATACGCATAGTAACATGACTAACATCACCTTTTTCTGTTGATCAGAAAAGATTAAAAACAGCCATTTGAATAATGATCAACTGAACAAACGCATAAAACAGTAAAAACAATTCACGGAATATGTAAAGCCGGCGAAATGTGTTCGTACAAACCAAAGGGTGACAACATATCGGTGAAAACGAGAAGACAAGATTTGTCCAGCGTATCCGATTCCTGTGGCGAGGCCGATACAAGCAGCTTAACAGAATGCGAGAAAGGCGATCGAGAACGAATGATCGAGCTGGAGGAGAAGTTCAACAAGGGATGGGAAAGCTGGATCAGTCAGATGGGCGGGGAGATGGACATCTGCACGTATAATTTTGATGCCGAGGAATTGGCCGTACGTCTCGGTATGCGGGTGGATAAAGCCAGTGCACTACACGCCAAAATGTATGCAAAAATCTGTTTTGCAGTCCGAGTCAGATACTGTTTAATTAACGCATATTTAGTTTGCTGCAGAAAATATACCATTTCTGGCATTGTCGGCAGCACACAGATATGGTTTTAATTGCGGGTGAAGACCGCGAAGAAGTTCATCTGCACATGTTCTTGGCCCATTCAGAATTCTATGATAAAGTTGTTATGGTGCCGTGTTGGGAGAAGCTGTGGAAAGCGGGCAAGTTGGTCATTGATTTAACGGGGATGGTGTCGCCTAAGGCACTGAAGTTGATAATTGGATTTGTCTACACCGGTGCAGCAAAGGTCAGTTCCTGTTGCATCTGATTTGATTTTTAGCTGACAATTATTATTTGTAATAGCTTACTCTTGATAACGTTACGGACATTGCGATGGCTGCAAAAAACATGGGTTTGCGAAAGCTGCAAAAACAATGCATGGAGTTTTTGGATTATGTGTTTGCGGACTTTCATCTTTTCGTGATCCTACGAAACGTCCCCATGGACCACAAGTACTTTGACGTGGCATGGACCAAAATTTTGAAAAGATTCAAATTCATCTACCATGACCCGAATTTCTTGGAAATGGATTCCGGTCAGCTAGAGCTGCTGGTGGCATCAGACAAGCTGAACATAGATGTATGTTAGTGACTTCAGACAGCTAGCAGATTACACTGAATTGCATGAAATGGTTCATCGCCAACCCTAACCTTTTGTTTAGTCAGAATACCAGGCTTTCGAGGCGGTATTGAGTTGGATTAATCACGATCGAACAAACCGGGAAAAGTTCTTCTTCAAACTAATGGGACAAGTGCGTTTCGCTTACATGGAGCTGGACGAACTGATTGGCGCTATGAAGGAGGAAGAACTGTTCCGCACCAACAAGGATGCACAAAAATGCTTGAGGATGCTGACATGTAGGCTCACGACAAAGATTTTAGCAGAGGATTTTTAGGTTTATAATATATCGGTGTAAATAGGTACGCAACAATGGAATCTATGGGTGACCAGTGGTGTAATTATCCTCCATGGCCACCTCGAAATGACACCATTGCCAGAAAGGTTTACGGTATGGTCAATGATGAATTTACAGACGATTTTATACTTACGAAGCTGCAGACTTATTTAGTCTTTCCCAGCTGTTTTCATATGTACGAGTATCGTAAATTTAGGTCGACACGGTCTTCTACATATATTTTTATTTGATCGTTGCTACAGTTCGGCAAGAGAAACTAAAGAATCTCCGACCCAAATCCAAAAACGATATCTGCAATGCCAACTTGCCGTGTCCCCTGCAGACGAACTACGGAGCGAAGTTTGACAAAACGTGCCCATCGGACGGTAACGACGATCGCACTTGCCGAAGTTATTGTGGCTCTCGTGGCTACGGCAAGATTCTGCCTTTATCCTGCACTCCTGGACTGGATGACGACACGGGCACTATGGCTAAGTCTTGTGCTAGAAGACGAAGAAGACGAAGAAGACGAACTGGAGATATTTGGCCTCAGTGAACCCTGTTATGAAGATGTGTGTCCTAAGCCACCAAGAAAAGCTACCCAAAATGAATGCCCGAAGCCACAGAAAAAACGTTGGTGGCGCGAATTCTAAGATACTGCAGTTCGAATAATTAGCCAACTTTCGTTAAATCGTTGCGTATTCTGTAGCGCTGAACTTGACACCAGCTGGACCGGAAGCATGCACCAACCGGGCTAAAATGTTGGACGAGCTCCGTATTAACCGTGTGGCCAAGCAGGCCGCTGACTTGTGCGGCCGAAAGGAGCAAGAGCAGCCAGATGCGAAGTCTATATGTCCGGCACTAAGTATGGCCACTCTCGGATCGAAAGAGATCAATGTAGTTAAGGGCGTCAGCGAAATCAGCTTGCCATCCGTCATGATGAAGCGGCAAAACCGGGCTCCATAATTCGTATACCCAGTGAATTGTTTTTACTGTTTTATGCGTTTGTTCAGTTGATCATTATTCAAGTGGCTGTTTTTAATCTTTTCTGATCAACAGAAAAAGGTGATGTTACTATGCGTATCTTCGATTCCGTACGTCTTTACGAACAAGTATTTATGATGAAAACGAAGCTATGCAACAACCCCAGTACGGAAAATGTACCCAGAATTAAGTTCTCCAATAAGACGAACTGAACGAAGAAAGGTGCACGCATGGATTAAGTGTTGTATTTACGCACAAATACGAACGTTTTGCACTGAGCTTAAAATTAATTACTTATATTTACGATTACATAGCGAATTTAGTAGCAAAGTTAGCAAAGTTAGCAAATTTAGTAGCAAAGTCTTGTATCTGGTTGGATTTTCTGCTTACTGACGCTAGTCTCCAGTACAAGTAAGTACACACGTTTACGGTCACCATATCTAGCGGAACGGAGCGTAACAGATTGGAGATAAGCATTTCGCAACAGAAACACCCATTAAACATTTTGGCCTCATGGGGCACGACGACGATGCTCAGACAGCAGGCGGGGAAAATCAAGCTGACAGCGGTCAGCCACCAAGCGAGGCGCCAACGGAAGGTGCGCCTGAGCGCAAAAAATCAGTGGAAAAAGTCCCCACCGAAGATCCTAATGCCACCACGATAACCGATGGAAATACACCATTCCAAACCGCGCTCGCTTCGAAATTCGACCGCATTCCGCTAGTATGGGGAAGAGATGGTTTGCCATTGACCATGGAGAACATTAAAATGAGGCTTCGGGAACGGGCAGAGCTAGCGGAACTACAAAAATCGGCAGGCGAGCACAGTAAAGAACCTTCAGTTTCCGCTGACGATAAGAAAAATAAGCCCGAACGAGAAGGAAAGTATAAGCCACTCATTCAGCCGCATGCGTGGCAGCCGGCGGTTTCTGATGAAAAGTTGAATGAAATGATTTGGGGTCCATATGAACAACGCACCATTGTACGTATGTAAGTTGAACCTCTGCAATCAAAATTTTCTAATGCGACGCCAGTCATTGTTATGCAAAACTTCATGTGTCAACCTACCTTTTTTCTTGAAAATGCTTTAGGGCTTATTTTACGCTTGGGAGCAAGCTCGACAGTCTTCGGAACTATCTCATATCATTGACCGAATATCACACACAGAAGGTGTAACGGCATTCATAATTTTCGATGCATTTGAGAGAGAAAAGTATCCAAATCTTCTGCAAGATGACGACAATGAAGAGGAATACGAGGAAGACGAAAACGGGTTTCCAGTACGACGCGAATCGAAACTACAAGTTGTAGATAAAGAGTGGGAGATTCCCCTGCATATCATCTACTCGAGTACTGACCTGATTACAGCAAAACGCATCATTCCCTTTGTAAAACAGCTCATCTGGCGAGTGGTAGAGACCACCAGAGATCTAGACCCGAAAAACGATGTCCGCTATTTGCGACTGGTCAGCGATGTCAACGAAGTTGTCGTAATGCCAAGTACTGCAACATTCTGCTAGCGTTTCAAAAGCACGTTAGCAGGTAATTTGTGCATGTTTCTTCTATAGTGTTCCCGCGCCATTTTTTGGTGGTGGTACAGGAGCCGCGATCGGAGCCTAATGTCTTATTTGAAAATATGGGCATTGTTACAACGCACCCCAGGTGAAAACTGATGATTCAGGCACTCCATAAACATCACAAAAATAAATACCACGCTGCCAAAGCCAAAGGCGGAAATGCAGACGAAGCTGGACACTAGAAGCAGTCATAAACTGCTTGTCATTGTTACTTTGATTGCTTGTGGAGAAGACTGCCGCTGTTTTGGCGAATATGGCGCAATTTGGATAGCATTTCAAAGCTATCATTCGACCTAGCTGTGCTTTATTAATTACTCTTTGGCTGCACAAGGAATTTTGAAAAGGTCACTATAATGTGATGCATCTGCTCGATTCGCACGGAGGAGATTGTGATGCATACGTACGGATTGCAATAAGTAAAACAAATCACTATCCCTGTATCCGTATCATGCTGTAAGGCAATAATATCTGAATGTACTGTAAACCGGGCCACAGCGTAAACCCTGTGGTTCCCGAGCAGCGGCATCGCAAATATCGCTTTCAACAGCCATCAAAATCACGTTGCTTTAAGCAGCAGTTTTCTTCATAAGATTTTCTTTTTGCGTGGCACTCCGAACAGTGGACCCATGTGCTGCCTTTGAGGTTATCGGAGAACCAGGGGCAGAGCGGGGACGGGCAGCCTGATCCGACACCAACGAACCTTGGGTGGGCTCTTGTTGCACGGCTTTCCCTACAGTGCGCCGGCTCATTAATCGAGCTCTTTCCCGTTCATGAGTTAGGAATGACACTGCTCTTGGCCGGATTGCTTTTATTTGAGAACCTGATCGAAAACGAGAGAGAATTTTCGAAACTGTAATTACAAGAAACTTGCGAAAATTCGCACCGACCAACATTCCTCGCTTGCTCCATAACGTCAGTTTTAACGTCTTGGATGCCGAAAATCGCCCAGAAAGATGGGCAACAGGGAGTCTGGGGTACATCCAAATTCACGTAAGGCTTGTATGAAAATGCAAAATAATGCGCAACCGATGCGACAATCATTTCAGCGCATATGATAATGTCCTGCAAATAAGGGAAAAGTCGGATATGAAAAACACGCCGCTTAAAAAACAGAATTTTTGATTGTACGCAAGGCGTGAAGCGGACCTGTAATCCCGTCGATATGGAACGAATGTCGTTTTCGGGAATCGCGGTTTGCCACTGGGTAACCCCGGCGTTTGTTAAAATGGCAATAAATATTTGCTGCCTGAAAGCCGAGTCAGGTACGAAATTAACAGCAGGCTAGCAATACTGCGCAAGCAGATCATTTTACCATACCAGAAAGAGGCAAAAACAACGAATTTGACGCACAGGAACTTAGCCAGCGGGTACATGGGCTTCAGTTCCTCACGAAATACGAGGTAGAACATAATCAAACAATACATTGCCCAGATTTGTGAGATGTTGGCGAATACAATCAAATATGTCCAAGCGCTGGAGCCGCTAAAATTCCCTCGTGATAAACATCCAGTGACTCGCACAAGCTGCAACGCATAAAACACCCTTCACATTCCTGGAGTTTGCTCGGGTAAAGTATGCTGCCACTGACCTTTGTTAACTTACAAAGATATGGCGGTAATCACTGGCATGATTACTGTGTACTGCAACGTTCCAAGTTTGCAGTTCAGAAGATACTCACTAAAAGTAAAAATTCACCGAACCGAACATTTCACAGGGATTTAATTTCATCAACATTTCTCTACAGTAAAGTAATGAGAAAGACGGAAACCTTCACGTACGCTCCCATTTGCCAAGGTTTCAGAACTAAACGAAACGGAATAAGATGCTTTTGAGGAGGTTTCGATTCCAAGATGTTGATGACGACAATCTTTTCTTCCAGATAGTTCAACAGAAAACGCATGAAATTATACACAACATAAGCTTCATAACATTGTCGAAAAGTTTCAAAATAGATGGCCGATTCCGGGAAGCGCAAAGACAGCCACTGCAACGCGAAAATTTTGCTTTTAAGTGTGCAAACACTGCGGTTACACGGAATCAAGAATCAGTGAATTCCATAGATCGTCCGCACTTGGCCTCGGCTCACTTGACAATAAAAGATGCATCGTGTGGGAGAGATCTACAGAAAATCACTGACCCTGGATAACGTGTAGCCGGTGTAGGCGAAACCGGAAACATCATTCTGAACTGAATCTAGACCAAAGGCGCAGTCCAGTAAGAGACCAGTCCAGTCTAGACCTTACGGCAGTAAGAGAGTAGATGGGTGGCATCCACAAAATTCTCACGATATGCAGCTGGAAGTTGGGCTTTGTGTAGTGGATCAGGTGTTGCAAGATGGTGTGCAGCGACACCGGCAGCGACATCAGAACAAATATCCCGCCAACGAACCATGTCCTCGTTCGAAGGTTGGTCTTCTCCTGAGCAAATATCAGCGCACAAATCGGGATGGCTATGATTAGAAGCACTATGTATACGAAGAATACAAAGGGCTCGATCCATGAGCGCCAGTTTTTCCCAATCGTCCAGATCGCTAAGCGGCTCATTCGGGTGGAAATATTCCATCTGGTTCAGATTGAAATGGATTTCGCTAACTGGATTCCTTGAAAGCTGTTACTCAGCTTTTGGTTTTGTTGGCTGTTATAGTACTACTGCGAAATGCTCCCTATTTGCCTGCTTTTGTTTATCAGTTGTCTGCTCTTTGACAAAATTCAAAATAAGAGTTACGACTTCACAACACGGGCAAAATGGCATGGTACGGTTATCTGAAATGTAGGGTACTGTATCGGTTACACGGCAGCACTGGCTGCTATGTACCTGCAAACCTGTGTGCATACTGGAATGTGTATTTTGCTTTCGTCCCTGTGTAATAGCGTTGACTCGTGCGGAAAAGCATCTGTCGAAAACCCAGTATTCCCAAACATATTTATGGATATTATTAGTATTGCCAAGCGACGACTTCCAATAAATTTTTATACTCCCTGTACAGCTGTACTTACGTATTTTTAAAAGTACAGCCATTTTTGCACCCAAAGGATGTCTCTGCCCTGCCACAACATTGATAATGTAACAACACAATGCGAAATAGCCGAATATTAGCTTATTATTATTAAAGAATAAAGGTATAAATGCTGGATTGAACATGATAACATGCGAAGTGGCATCACGTGTTAGAAATTGAACAGTGGTGCGGCAGTGTGTAGTAAGAAAATTAAGTAATTTCAACTGTCTTACAATTTTTTTAGAAAGTGAAAGTGTGCAGCAAACAATAATAATTATTTCAGTTGCCATTATGTTGCATAAAAATTGACTCCTCTACAGTCGTTACGCGATGGACACTTGTGTGATAGCAATCTTTCCAAAATTCCCCCAGTGCGATACACTTCTATTTGTTGTATCATGTATGATTGAAGTCTGATGCTAGTGTAAAAGGTTATTCGAATGTGGACTGCAAAGTTTTGAAGTTTTTGTCACGGTGTATGCGAAGGAATATTGCGTTCTTCGGGACTCAGTAAGCGTGAATTCGGGCATGGATTCCAGGTTGAGAAAGGACCTACCATAAACGTTCTCTGGATTTAAGTTCCTGCTTAGACATTTGCAAGTGCTGGAACAGGCAAGTGGTAAAACGAACGACAAAATTGGTCTACCCGTTTTATGAAGAACCGAAACTGCATTTCTGAACCTGTTGCAGCCTCACCATGTCGAAAAAAGGTCATAAAAATAACAACGTGGTTACGATTTATGGAGCCCGGTTTTGTCGCTTCATCATGACAGATGGCAAGCTGATTTCGCTGACGCCCTTAACTACATTGATCTCTTTCGATCCGAGAGTGGCCATACTTAGTGCCGGACATATAGACTTCGCATCTGGCTGCTCTTGCTCCTTTCGGCCGCACAAGTCAGCGGCCTGCTTGGCCACACGGTTAATACGGAGCTCGTCCAACATTTTAGCCCGGTTGGTGCATGCTTCCGGTCCAGCTGGTGTCAAGTTCAGCGCTACAGAATACGCAACGATTTAACGAAAGTTGGCTAATTATTCGAACTGCAGTATCTTAGAATTCGCGCCACCAACGTTTTTTCTGTGGCTTCGGGCATTCATTTTGGGTAGCTTTTCTTGGTGGCTTAGGACACACATCTTCATAACAGGGTTCACTGAGGCCAAATATCTCCAGTTCGTCTTCTTGTAGACGCTTCCCAGCACAAGACTTAGCCATAGTGCCCGTGTCGTCATCCAGTCCAGGAGTGCAGGATAAAGGCAGAATCTTGCCGTAGCCACGAGAGCCACAATAACTTCGGCAAGTGCGATCGTCGTTACCGTCCGATGGGCACGTTTTGTCAAACTTCGCTCCGTAGTTCGTCTGCAGGGGACACGGCAAGTTGGCATTGCAGATATCGTTTTTGGATTTGGGTCGGAGATTCTTTAGTTTCTCTTGCCGAACTGTAGCAACGATCAAATAAAAATATATGTAGAAGACCGTGTCGACCTAAATTTACGATACTCGTACATATGAAAACAGCTGGGAAAGACTAAATAAGTCTGCAGCTTCGTAAGTATAAAATCGTCTGTAAATTCATCATTGACCATACCGTAAACCTTTCTGGCAATGGTGTCATTTCGAGGTGGCCATGGAGGATAATTACACCACTGGTCACCCATAGATTCCATTGTTGCGTACCTATTTACACCGATATATTATAAACCTAAAAATCCTCTGCTAAAATCTTTGTCGTGAGCCTACATGTCAGCATCCTCAAGCATTTTTTGTGCATCCTTGTTGGTGCGGAACAGTTCTTCCTCCTTCATAGCGCCAATCAGTTCGTCCAGCTCCATGTAAGCGAAACGCACTTGTCCCATTAGTTTGAAGAAGAACTTTTCCCGGTTTGTTCGATCGTGATTAATCCAACTCAATACCGCCTCGAAAGCCTGGTATTCTGACTAAACAAAAGGTTAGGGTTGGCGATGAACCATTTCATGCAATTCAGTGTAATCTGCTAGCTGTCTGAAGTCACTAACATACATCTATGTTCAGCTTGTCTGATGCCACCAGCAGCTCTAGCTGACCGGAATCCATTTCAAGAAATTCGGGTCATGGTAGATGAATTTGAATCTTTTCAAAATTTTGGTCCATGCCACGTCAAAGTACTTGTGGTCCATGGGGACGTTTCGTAGGATCACGAAAAGATGAAAGTCCGCAAACACATAATCCAAAAACTCCATGCATTGTTTTTGCAGCTTTCATAAACCCATGTTTTTTGCAGCCATCGCAATGTCCGTAACGTTATCAAGAGTAAGCTATTACAAATAATAATTGTCAGCTAAAAATCAAATCAGATGCAACAGGAACTGACCTTTGCTGCACCGGTGTAGACAAATCCAATTATCAACTTCAGTGCCTTAGGCGACACCATCCCCGTTAAATCAATGACCAACTTGCCCGCTTTCCACAGCTTCTCCCAACACGGCACCATAACAACTTTATCATAGAATTCTGAATGGGCCAAGAACATGTGCAGATGAACTTCTTCGCGGTCTTCACCCGCAATTAAAACCATATCTGTGTGCTGCCGACAATGCCAGAAATGGTATATTTTCTGCAGCAAACTAAATATGCGTTAATTAAACAGTATCTGACTCGGACTGCAAAACAGATTTTTGCATACATTTTGGCGTGTAGTGCACTGGCTTTATCCACCCGCATACCGAGACGTACGGCCAATTCCTCGGCATCAAAATTATACGTGCAGATGTCCATCTCCCCGCCCATCTGACTGATCCAGCTTTCCCATCCCTTGTTGAACTTCTCCTCCAGCTCGATCATTCGTTCTCGATCGCCTTTCTCGCATTCTGTTAAGCTGCTTGTATCGGCCTCGCCACAGGAATCGGATACGCTGGACAAATCTTGTCTTCTCGTTTTCACCGATATGTTGTCACCCTTTGGTTTGTACGAACACATTTCGCCGGCTTTACAGTTGCGTAAAGTATAAAATAACCTAAGAGTAAAAGAATAAAAATTTAGAGGTTGCAATAATACCAAAAACTTAGGTCATCTATCATTTACTTCATACAATGAGGTATTTCAAATACAGCAAAACCATTTGAGTTTTTGGGGTCAAATTAGGAGATGCACTGTTGCTACGAGTAATATATCGGCCGAAAATTACGGCAGCAGGGGCCGGGTGTCGATAAACACCCATCTGTACAGTACAACGTTAAATATCAAACAATAGGTGGCAGCGCGAATGGTGCCGAAAAGCGTTTTAAGTTGTCTTGATCAGGCTTTAAGCAGGCACTGTTGCGTTAAGTAAGTGCTTCTATGGGATTTTAGATGACGGAAATATTTACCGCGGATGACGATTTAGGTCCCCTTGGAGGTGCGCTAAAGTCTTTGATATTAATAGGGACCACTGTTGCGTTAGCCACATACTCCGTCAACCATGCTTGGATTAAGTTATTCACTAATTTGCTCAATAATGTGTGGGCAAAATCTCCTACGGCCATTGTCGTCACATTCATCATTGTCGCAGTATGTGTGATAGAAGACGCTGCTTGGTCGATTTTCACGTTTCCAAAAGATAACATGTACCGATGGCTGCTCCTTGGTGTGCTCGCGCTATTGTAAGATTATCTTCTGATTTTCTTGACTATCGCAACTGAGACGTATGCGTGCAATGATAATTAGAGTTTAATGACCTTTAAGGAAGGCTGCGAGCTTCCTGGCAAAAACCGGCATTCTTCCTCGGCTGGTGCAACCACGCAATTATCTGCACAATGTCGTGAAAAACGGAAAGATTACTTTGAATCAGATCCAGTTTTGGGCGGGAGTGTGTGAAGCAGTGATTATCTTAGGAAGTATGCTCAATCATCGGCACGACGGGAAAGCACCCAATGCCGGAGAGGTTTTCTTTGCACTGGTGGTCGCGCTCGCTGTTCTGAGCAGGATGTTTATTCCTGGACCTAGCACCCCACAGAAGACGCCAGAGACGTTCAAATCACTGCAATCGCTTCGAAAACGTAAGGTGGCGTAATATGGCCGCGATTGTTTGACGCTTTGGCTAACGTATAATGGTTTTGTTTTCGGTAGGGTACGCTTCGGTTGGACCAAGAAAATGTTGTATTCTATGTGGCCACTGCAAAGTCGCACTTCCCGAAAATTACGATTTTAACGATGTGGATCCTTTTGAAGAAATTGCAAAAGCTTATTACAGTGACGCAAAAGATGACTAGGATTTAGGAGCAACCAAGTACTTATCAGTTGCATGAGTGAGTCATGCTTTGTGCTGTTCCTCCTCTGGACCGCTTTATCGTGCGGACCATTGGCTAAACATGGACCAAATACTTAAGAATTTTTATAATTTCGGTCACGCACTTGCTCGTCATTGTGTCATCGAATTAGTGACCGTGGAGATTATGACGACGATGGATCAACAGCGATACTGCTATCACATTCACAGTCGAGTAAGTTGGAGTTGTTTTGCTGTAAGCACGTGTAGAAGTACTGTAGTTCATCTCCATTATATGCACATCCCCAGCAGGACGGTAAACGTGTGGATGGTCAAAGAAGCCGCATTATTCTTTTTACCGGATTCCCGGAGAAAGTTTGATGCGTCTTTAATGATCAACCATCAACACCTTCACCTTCCTCCCATGCCGTGTATGTTGCACTCATCGTCGGTATCCCCTTGTACAGATTGCAGCTTAGCAACAAGTCAACAAACAACCAGATTTACTACTGGTAGGTTGTGGAAATAACTCACCTTAGTTAATTGCTACCGTAGATTTTAAGGTTAAGCACGTAACCGACAAAATATATTGATACATTTGCTTGCCATTAGAAATATGACGTCATAATTGGCCTCCTGCACAGTATAAAGGTGAACCTCTACTTTACTTGGTTATGTGTTTGAAGTGGCCGGGTTACCAGTGTGGACTATAGCTTCACGTGGAATTTGCAGTTTGTTGTAAGGTAGATTGGATCGCTCAGTCGGCAAGTCAAATAATTATTATATAATATTTTTTTCCATTTCATAATCTTGTTCTTAAAATCGTAGTTCTGTTACTTTTACCATCTCATTCGACAGACTGCCTTGATCAATATGAGTAGTTCTGGCATGTTCAACCTACACAACTTCGAAATGAACACCGTGTGGGATCCGACATCGACCAGCGTCTTGTTCCCTCTTATATATTACAAACTACATGCCTGCAGCAAAGCAGCCTGGAGAGCGGCAAAATCCACCTGGGTCGAGGAGCAAATGCGCCAGTACGTGTCTCCTCTGCCGCTGATACGCCGAGCGGGGCTGGGGATCCTTGCTGGATCCTTCATAACGTTCCTCTCATACAAATTTTATCGCAGTTGGAGAAAGAACAAAGATCTTATAACTGCAGAGCGAAATGTTCGGGTCTTCGCTGACGACGAACTACTGAGACAGTGGAGTTTGCCCCTCCCGGAAAATCTAGACGAGGACTGGTTCCTGGCCAAACAAGATGAGGAATACTATGCGCGGCAAGGAATACCCAGCAGAATCTACTCAGATTTTGAAATGCCCATGGATTTGTATCTGCAGTCCGGAATATCTACGAGTCGTTGGTTCTGTGATCTACTAGAACGGCAGTTTGTCATCAACGTCAGAGTGATCGAAGAGCCGAAAAGGGTAACCTTTTTCTTTGAAGGCCCACCGCGTAATATAAGCAGGGCTAGGGAATACTTGAGGAGGATAACGTCAAGTCTGTTTGAGCATTCTGCGATTCCTATTATTGAATACCCGTCTACCCCGGCTTCCAGTCGGCCACCAAGTGCGGTATCTACGGGAATGTCGCTGAAATCTGACACAGTCGATCACCATGAAGGTGACGTAAGCAGGCATTAACTGAATGAATTTTTCGTACGATATGCATTCGTGTTTTTTGCATGCTTTATATCTGATAGTAAATTGTATGTTCCAGGTCTAAAAGTATACTTATACTGATATGAGGAACATTAATACAAGCCTGTTCTGATTGCTAAAAAAGCACAAAAAAATAATGAAGTTCAAAATTTTTAATTTAGTAATAAAGTTTTGCTAGTGAGCCACGTTTATTCGCAGAGATGCCGGAAAACAAACAACCAATCTCGTCCGAAATTGATGAAAACAGTTAATAGACAAGAACAAAAGAGCGCAGTCAAAGTATATTTTTCTGACAATTTCACAAAAGAAAACCAAAATCTTATGCGAACTAGAGAAACGCTCAAATGCGTTATAATAATAATTACGTACAAAACAGAAAACAAGAAAAGATAACGCTAACATTGAACGAAGCATCCAACGAACACAGATGATAGTGAATAATTAGGAACTGATAATTTCAAGAACAGAAAAAGATTATTTGTACGGGCAGTGAAGCTTGCTGTATGATTAAACAGATTAAACATTTAAACCTAAAGCACCGCGGATCATCCCTAAGAACATTACTTAATCCGGCAACGTGGAACATGCCGACACTGAACATTTCTCATCCCACATAAATCTGTGGCTCCAAAGTGGATGTCTGGAACATCGCGGCTCCGTTCTGCAGATGCTTTGCGAACTGGCGGCTCCATTTCTGGAGCGCTTCGGGTAGCAGTGACATAGGTAGCTTTCTTGCCCAGCATTTCTTTGCCTAGTGTGTCTACAAAACCGAACAACGGTTCTGGTCAATCATTCCAGTAAAATAGGATAAATCAGCATTATCCTTTGCGAATGACTTAATAGTTTAAATAATACAGTACGGGCATTTCAAAACGTTCCTGATTATTGTGCAGTTTTACTGTACCTGGCAAAACATCGCCTGCGTCACTTCTGATATTGGCTTGTGTTGGTTCTAAAATGTACGTACCCGATGTAATTAAAACTGTTATAGTGTATGTATAGTAAAAGCGTTTCCTTCGTACCCATATCACATCCTTTCCTGGCTTCTACTGCATAATCTGGAATTATGGTACACTGGTCGGTATCGTCTGAAGAGTCCTCACCGACAACTCCGTCGAAATAATCACCACAGCGTTGATCAGTTTCTTCTGCATCCGATAACCCGGCATCCTCTGCGCATGGGTACTGGTTTGTTGTAGCTGGTTCCGGCTGCGTATCAAGTACCACTACGAAGCACATCAACGAAAATGTACACTGAAAAATTTACATCTAGACAAAAAATTAAAATCGAGTTCTATATTAAAATCGGCCGCTTCACTTACAAGAACAAGAGTTGTTTCGGTAGTGACACAAATAAGCATGGATAGTGCGAATCCATTTGATAATTGCGATGCGATCACTTTGACTTGTGGTCAACAGGTGTACTAAATGTGATTCTTGGCGTAAGAGTTTTTCCAAGAGTAAATTTGCGCCTTCCGTAATTATGGTCAGCTCATCTGCTGGAATGTCACCAAGCGATCCAACCTTGTTGATACGCTCGGGAGCACGGGTAGCCTCTGACTTACTGGAGTCGCATTTACTACTGGACTGCGTCTTAACATTTGTAGCAGCGGAAACTGAAGATTTTGGGGCGGTTGTATCAGCTTCCGAACGTTGCACTTCGCTGTTCGGAATGATGGTTATTAGTTCGCGCTTATATCTATTTCCCTTCCTGATGCATCTCGTCGTTTGGTGTACAAAAATCGCCAAGAGGAAAAGGCAGCTGCCCAGTACAGTCCACCAAAAAATATGATGCGTAGCATTAAAATCTGCAAACAAAATTTTTATGGCTTATTTAACCCCTCTTATTATGTCAGTCAACAACGAAAAGACAACCATCAGTGACCTGCTTACCAAATATCGACTTGACGGCTGTTGTTGTTGTATCCTGGTCCTCTATGTCGACCTTAGCTTCTACTCCCTTATTCTCGTTAACTGCCAACGACTGGGGCATTTCATTTGCAGTCGGTTTTGGCTTATTCTGCCTGGATGTAAGCCAACGGTAAAAGTTATTCGATGTTGATCTGTCCGGACGTTTTTGCTTTAGTTCCGTCTCGTGGTCCAGATGTGTACAGTCGCTATCCTGCAACATTTTCGCCGAATAAATCACAGTGCCACACGCAAATAGTATAGCTAAAAAATTTCATGGTAAAAGTTTTGCGAAATCCATATACAGTATGTACAGAAAATTGCAGACCAATAACGATTCCGATTAGCAAAGTTTGAAATCTTGTGATCTAAAACGCTATAATATGTTTGTTTAAGTTCACAAATATACAGTACGCAAATTTACGTACCGTATAGTTGTGACCTTTAAACATATAGCGCATTAAGAATTTGTTTTCTTTAAGGAGAACAAATTCTTAACGCGCTTTATTGACAATGACCAACAGTCAGTTTAACTTGAGATTGCATCAATTGCTAATTATTTAAATTAATCTTGTAAATTACTGTTTGAATTTACCTCTTCCGTGCAGGTGGGTTCATCAGCAAAGGAATTTGTATTCTGCGCAAGAGTGCTTTCTCTCCAGTTTTCTTCAAGTGTTGCAGTATGAACAGGATAATGCACGTCTCGGTTATTTTTCTCGCTAATGAACATGCCAGCGTCAGCATGATGCCCAGAAGGTCGCTGTTCAAATTCATCATGGGTATTCCAAAGATCGAAATCGCCAACCTCCTTGCCATTTAATAGGTTGAGCCTATTATCATTCCAGCTGTTGTAGTTCGAAGTAGGTCGCTGATAAAACGATCTGTGATATGCTGGGATTCCATCTCGCGCTCTTCGGAATTGTGGTAGCTGGTGCTGCGCATACGGAATGGAGTTTCTAGAAAAAGAGTGGAACGAGAAAACCTTCTGGCATAATGTCAGAACTAGAAACCCATCAATAACTAAGACTTGCATTTCCAACTGGAGCAAGTCACAAAATCACCGTGGGTATTACTCCCTGTTATGAAAAGAATATTAGGCAGTTATGCTTCGTTCCTGGCGTGCTGCAAGCCTCGTTCGAGATATCAGTTATTAATAATGTACGGACACTTCTGTTTCCCTAATAAATCAGTAAGTATTGCGTTGACTTTTCAGGAAGTACCCGTATTGTTGTTGTTCGTAACTGTTGTCGGCGAACCTTATTTCCTTGACAACAACACCATCCGTCCCATGGTGTGCCTACAATAACATTAACTTGGTCCGCCTAGACGCCGGCAACTGCTATTTGTATGAGCAGTGCTGCCGCCGCAGCTTGCCAGAATGCTTAATATGTACAGTACATCAAATTTTATAGTAGTACATTTACAGTACATTAGTACATAGTACATTTGCTTACATTTACAGTAGCACTTACAGTGCCATGAAACCGAAGAATATGCATGTATCTCGCATCAGCATGTGATCTTATGAACCAGCCAACTTATCAAAATTAATAATGTGTGTCATGGACTGTTAGAGAGTCCTGAACTTATGCGTAGGTAAGTTCACACTGCCTGTACGGTAATAAGTTTATTGCAACAAAGAGAACTAGCGGAGCTAACTCCAATTAAGACAACAGGGGAGAAATAGGCGGTATGGCGTGTCCAGTTGTACAGTGGGTCAGCAGGAACGGTTTCTGTCACCGTCGTTTTCTATCGCGGCACGTATACTTTATACATGTGGAATGTAGACTGACTTGTTCGTTTAGATTCTCCCGGCATTTGTATTTCTGCATCTTTCTTGACTATGCTGTCAAAATTAATCGCATCTCCCACCAGCTAACAACCTTTTGTGGTATGGAGGATGGTCGATGTAAAAAGGGCTCATGCGTTCCACAGCACCAGTCACTTACGCCTGAGCTTCGCGCATTACCAAAAAACTTAAGTACTTCCGGTCCATGCCCGGAGCTGTCTTAACTGGGGATTCTGTTTGCCGTGCAGCATTCAACAATTTTAATAAGTGCTTTAGTCATTCACTCTTGTTGTTAGTGTTAGAAGAGAGCGCATAAACGCGTCAAGGTAGCTCCGGGCATGGATCATCGGAACACTCATCGAGAGATGCTGTCGCATGAGTTACGATGAAAACATACTGTTCGGATCGGCTTTCAATCAGTTTTGCTGCTTAGCGTAATCCCGTAGCCGTGTTAGTTGTCGCAGCCTAACAGCTGCTGCGATGCCGATGACAGCTTGGCACTGCTTAAAGCACCGCAATTCAGGTGTTACCTATTTCCCGAATTTTCCTTTTCGGAAAAGACGCGAGGGAGATTTTTTTATTACATGTTATAAGGGAAAGAAGCGTGCAGTTTTAAATGCAAAACGTCAGACATACGTAAGCAATGTTACAGATAAAACAAGATAAAATACTGCCTCAAAACAACCATGACGTTCGCCCTTATAGCCGGCTTATCAACAAAATGATTAAAGTGGCCGACACATGTGCGAATGTTGACCGGTACTGCACTAAACCAGATGAAGGAGTCGTTGCTGCTGTCTGTGCATCCTTTTGATGGCGCTCCAAACATCAAAAGAGGATTTCTGTCGAGTTTTCTCAATCAGATTCTGGCAGTCGGTGTAGTTAGCATCCCATTGTGGCAGGCAGGGCGGGATATTAGAGGTCCAATCGGTCAGCGTAAAATTACTGCTCGAAAAACAATATGGCGCGAGAACATTGTCAGTGGTTTTATTTATATAAGTCGCCAAATGCGGCATGGCTTCGGTAGGCTTTGAACGAATATTCACAAAGAAAAACGGCTGACTACAAGAATCCCCGCTAGCATTGTTGCACCTGTAGACTATCTGCATGAACGGGTCCATGTACAGAACGAAGTACCGCACGTTTGCTGCAAGAAGCAACAAAATTATGACGCCAAAATAAGGTGAATTATTCTGTGTGTAAAATCATATTCACTACGTACGCTGGTTTATTTAATACTTCACATACAGGTCGCACATCAGTTCAAGAGGTGTCTACAGCTTGTAAGCAACTACTACGACTCATATAGAGTACCTAACGATGGAGCTTTTCCTGGCCCGGAACCGGTGAGAAAAGCACCAAAATCCGGAAACCACGTGGCTGATGCTCGTACTCCGTCTCCAGTTATGTTAGAAACGGAGCAGATACCAATACATTCTGGATCTTTGTTTGGTACTTTCATGCGGAACGATATGGTCCAGTTATAGGGCACACCGTTCTCGATTCCGGCGCCAAGTGGAATAAAGATGTTGGTACATTGATAATCAATGATACCTGGTGTATACGCCGAATACTCGTACCATACCCCTGCATGCTGTTAACATTGTAACTATTAAACAAAGTACAGGAAGCAAATACGGCGGAAGGCGTACATTTTGGAATTTCTGTACATTTAAGTAATACGAACTTCAATGGGATCGTGAAAAATTATTGGAGGCACCGTTGGAACTTTGCACGTCGTCGGATTTTGGCACAGATGGTAGGGAATACTGCAGAACACCAGTAGGAATGTGGTGCGGGAAAATAAATCAAGCATGGTAAAATCTGGTTTCCTCAAGTTTTTCGCGATAAGGCTTTCTTTCTCTTAGAATTGCGCCGTAGATGAGGTACCGCTTGAACAGTCGAGAGCGTTAATACGCGTTGCGTGATTAGTAGGACATCTCGTTGGAAATACCACAGAAAATTCGTTAAGTACGTTACATCTCCGCTGTCACTGGACATTTGACGCTCTTTGTATGCATGGCCTCAGGATGACATGCAGTGACCCTGCACTACATTACTGTACATTTATAGCATGCGTACATTTGCACACTTCACGTATCGTGGCAAGTCGCTAGGAGAGCGTACGCACGGTTACAAACGCGAAGGAAAGTTAAGTACTTGGTAAGTTTCGAAGGTCATCCTTGGTATTTAAAAATCATCATAATTACGAGCACAACCGTATACAATTATCCTGGACATTTAAAGTCCAGACTGTGCAAAATTCTACATTGTGGTCGTTTCGTCTTTTGTGTTTTTCAACGCATAAAGTTTCTTTAAATGCAGGCTGTAAAAGTTGGACTGTGACCTTTATTGGTTTCCCAAAACGTTCTTTGGTCCACAATAGATTATAGTCATTGTACTGTGTTATCTCTCAGGGTCACAGGTTTAGTAAAGAGATATACGTCGAGCTCGAAACAGATGTCAATGAAATTAAGTGACGAATGCGTAGATGCCCGATATATTCGCTATGGACCTGGACCGAGAAAGCAGCTATGAGCGGTACCCTACGCGTATGAATCCTCACAGCGAAAACCCCATTGGAGATTTCAAAGGGCACTCCGCACATCCCTTTGTGTTGTTTCCATACGATTACCGCATTCCGTCAAGAAATCTCGGAAGCGCTGGAGAAGACTTAGATATGCATGATCGACAGCTGCACGAAAAATCGTTTTCTTTAAGCAAATATCCAGATGTGATCCACGGTGCAGAGGAACTGAATGGAACATACACCTCCTTCAACGTATCAGATTTGCACGAGGCTCCTCTTCGAACGTTGACGTCTTTCACACTGTTAAAGGAGCGTCCCAAACCGTTGGACATGTTTAAACAATATAAAGAAAATTTGGACCCCAGCAAGTCGTCCCACAGCCAGAAGCACGAACGAATCAGTTCTGCAGCGACCAATTCGAATGATGCGGACAGTGTAGCTTCGCTGCATGGACGGGAATCTGGTTTCACTTTAACTCCATCAAATTCGCATGGATCATTTGAAATTATTGAAGACGCAGTAAGCGATGTGGAACACGAAAAGGAGTTACCTGATTTGCCACCGGTATGCTCCAGCGGACTTGTACTGAACGATCCGCATGCAGAGGAAGAAAAACAGGCGAAAACTTCGAAATCATTAACGATAATGCCGCCGTCAACTGTATGGTCCAACGAGCAGCCCAAAAGCTACAACAGCGTTAAAGATAACACTGATATACACCAGTCGCTTGAGCCAAAAGCCGCTACTTCTCAGGAGGATCACATCTCGCGTACGGCCGTAGGTGTAGTCATTTAGTTGAAATAACAGTAGGTCGATTTACAAACCATTCTCTGTTGTGGCAAATGCCGATGTATTTGCTGGCGGAAGTTGCAAATATCAAACAGATTTTGTTGGTGCTGAAAATCCTTCTTCGATCTAACTATTGGAAGTGCCTTTTCAGGTTTGAAGAAGCTTCATTCCGATGAGACCTTCCCTGCGGAAGATGAGCCACGTATAGCGCCATCTGGATCGTTTTTTCTGGAAAATGCCAGCAGTGTGCATCCGCCAAGAAATCGTTTGCAAAGCGAAAGCGAGCTGGATTTCTCCTGGCTGAATTCAAGCGAACCAAACAACGATATCAGCAGCATTATAAGTGCTTTGGACGAGCTGAGAAGCAGTGTCCATTCGTTAACTGCCAATGATCTTGTTCATAAAGAAGACTATTCGCATTGGCAGGCAGATTATCTAAGAGATTTCCCCGTCAAAACAGAGCAGAGCAGCACAGAACTTGAAAGGTCATCAGAGAGCGAGGGTTCTTTCAGGTCGAACTATGAGCAGGAAAACAATCAAAGGCCCATCGGACAGCTCGATCAAATGTACGGGAGAATGTGCAGCACTGAAACAGACTTTTCCAACAGAGATGCATTGTACCGCGAATGGACTGATGAAAACCAGAATGATACACGTCTGTCTAATAATATCTCTGACAAGCTGAATGTAAACCCTATTTACCAGACCTTCAGCCAAGTAAACGGTAAGCTTAAACTTCTGGACATTGTGTTATTCAAGTTTTCATCGAGTGTGACTTAAACTCCCAATTCTGCGATAGTCAACAGACGATTTGCATTGTTTTCGTAGGTGACGGATCACAAACTGGAGTGCGACCCCATGCGATCCAAAGTGATGAAACAATACCGGAAGTGTATAGCGGTATTGTGAGCGACATAAATGAGTTGCAAACAGCCTTGCAGCAATTTGCCGATTTGCAAGAGCGGAAATTGTCCGAAGCCGAATTGCTATTGGAGACGAGGTCCGATTTTACCGGAAGCGACAACCAGTCTCCCTTCGATCCCGCTGCGGATAGCCCTATGATACACCTGGCTGAAGAAAACGCTGCCGACTTATCAGCATACGACGAGTCGCACACTGAGGATTTACGAAAACAATTAATCGAAGATCGTGATTCGGCGTGGGAACATCGAAGCCAAAATTCAGCTGAAATCGCAGAAGACCTCACTTTAGAATCAAAACCTATTAGCTTCTACATCGCATCGCAGCAGACATCAAGAGCTAGCACACCGTCTCTATCGTACGCAGACGACGAAGCAGACGACGACCACGTTTATGAATGTTTGGACGCTGATATCGAAGACCACGACGGGGGCTCGCATTGCCTTACTGATCTGCTCGTGCACGAAGCGGAGGAATTATATTCAGCGGAATACGAGAGCTCACTTGCATCTGCTGATTACGAGGAGCAGGCTTTACAGCCTCTGTCTCCCGAATATCAATCTACACAGCTGCATCATTCAAACCAAGAGGACATTGAGGTTGATTCGGACAAACCCCAGTCGTCCACAAGCAGAATCCAACAGAATCTGAACGATTTTGGAACCGGATGTTACGAGACCGAAGAAGAGGGACCAAACGATTACCAGAATTCAACGGTCTACGTTGTTCAAAGAGATAAGCCACTTGAAATCCCCAGTATCTTACCGGACATCGTAAAAGGCTGCCTCTTAGGCATCGCCGAAGTTACTGTTGTCAGTGATGGCGATCATCTTCTTTATGCTACTGAACGTAGCGTATCACCTGGGACGAATGTTGAAGGTGTAGAAGGAATCAACACTGACGTTCTGAAGATCCCGCCGCGGAGTGGGTTGGACGTAATTGTGTCGGAAGGGATCGACATTGGTCCTGTTACTATTAATACTGAAGTTGTTGCGGATATGCTTCCGGAATTTGAGGAGAAACCGTTAGTCACAGATGACCTCTGTACCCAGGTGTTACCCCCTCATGAGTTAAACAAAACATGGAGGACCGAACTGAACGACCAAGCAGAATGTTTGGCGCGGCAGTATTATGTTCACACAGACGAACTTCCGGAATCTGCTAACGAAGCTTACAATCCGTCCTCGGAAGCGCTGATTTACAATACGGCTGACCCGGAATACCGCTCTGCGATGAGCGCTGGCGCCGGTGTTATACAGGTTCCAAACGACCATTCGATCCGGAATTTGACACTAGAAGAGTGTGGAGATACGGATAGCGCACGATCAACTCTCTTTAGAGGCACCCTTGAATTAGTTTCAGCAGAGGTGTCGGATTGCAAAGATGATCTACCTAATGTCGAATTCAAAGTAGAAGCAGAGAGTGCAGCAAATTTTCAGAAAGACTTACCGGTTATTACGCTTGAGATTCGTACTGTATCAGAGCCTAAACAGCAGAATTTGCCGGAAATAGTTTCGGAACGGTTGGAATGCGCGTCCGCACTAAATGCACTCCCTGTAAGTCCGGGTACAGGCACTAAAAAGGGGTCAAGCTTGTTTGAATTAGCATCGGATTCTTCTGACGAGGACAGCGAAACCGATTCGACAGCAGATAACGGAGACTATTTTACTTCAAGAGAACCGTATTATATTGTGGAAGAAACCCTCACCTACATAGAAGACGAAACCACAAGTGCCACACTCAGTTCTCCTGAGGTTGCAAAAACCGAAGAATGTGCTGACAATGGCCAATCACATGATCAATGGAGATTGGCGGATCACGTTAGCCCGAATGAACTCGCTGACGCGGCAACCAATATGACTCTGAGCTGTCCCGACATCTTGCAGCATGCCCTGGAGAAAATATTTGCTCAAGAACGAGAAGTCGAAGCCGATTCTGGTGACACATGTTTGCAGTCTAGGACCTCCTCCAGAAAAGATTGTCGGAATGCGCCTGATGCCGAAGGTATTACCATAGAAAAAGCGCTAGATAACCAGCCTCTTAAGACATCAGTGTTTGACCTGGTCCCGGGTCAATCTGAGCCTGTCGTACATGACCCGCACACGCCCAGTCTGGCGGTAAACAGGGTATTGCGACCCTCCGGTCATCGATCGTGGTACAAGTTGGCGGATCTGCCGTCGACAGTAACACATCTGAGTGAACTGCGAGTATCGTATGTTCAGAAACCGGATTCGGCAGTTTTGCCTTCCACCACAGGTAACGTGTCAATCAATGGGTAAGAGCGCTACCGATCACCGCTAAGTACGCTAGCAAATATGATTAATTTTTAAAGATTCTTTAAAACTAACTAAATTAACGACTGACAGAAAATTTGAGCGAACCGAAATTTTTTGTTGTAACGTTCTTCTAGGTTCAAAAAGCCCTGTTCGAAGTTTATCAACACATAGCTCGGGATTTGGGCTCGCTGAGAAAACGGACCCAGATAAACCGGTAGCCGACCTTCCCCTGGCGGATGTTACTTCGCATGGAGATACCAAAATGCCTGAGCATAAAGTTTCCGAAGATGGCGAGCCAACGCCGGAATATCTCAGACGATTTGACGAGCTGATGGGGTTGAAAAAGGAGTGGACATACGATAAAGGCGCAGTTGAGCCATACACGCATCTGGTCAACGTCATACCGCATGAAGGGGTGCATGAGCCGACTGCGGTGTTTCTTTATCCGTGCTTATTACCCGACCATGCTGATCCTGACTATGACAAGATTATGGAGAACTTGCTGCTGTAAGTCTACCACAGTGCGCTTTGCAGCATGATAAACTCGTAATTCACAAGAAAATTCTCATAGGTACGTCTTAAGCCATGTGCAGAAAATTGATAAGGAGCCATACCGTATCGTCTTTTTCAACTCCGGCATTCCGCATGGCTGCGAGCCATCAGCGTTCTGGCTGCAACGCGTGTATAAATCAATGGACGAAACGTAAGAGCAGCTGGTACTATTCATCGTCAGTAAACTTAAACCGAAGGCATCAGTAAGTAATAAAGGCCGATAATTTTAGGATGAAAGAAAATTTGATTGAACTTCTCATAGTTCATCCCCACTTCAAAATCAGGGCTCAGTTGCAAACAGCCGGCAGAGCTATACTAAGGTAAGTCCTCAACTACGTCACATTTGCTTTGTACTGCAAACAACGGTAGCAATACAATGAAAAAATTTCAAAGGAGATTATATGATTATGATGCATCGCTTACCGCGTATAGCAAAGAATTTTTCCGGAAGATAAAATTTGTGAACGGTCTCAAGGAGTTAGGAAGGGTGGTCTCCATACAGTACGCCGCCATTCCGAAACCTGTTCGCGATTATGACAGACGACGAGAGTGGAAACTGTCCAAAGCATGTTGTTAATTTTTAAATTTCATCGTCATTAAATTCGTTTTTGTCTTTTATTTGTTTGCTCGGAAATGGTCAGTTTATTGAATGTAAATATTACCGCTAGCGAAATATACAGTAACTAAATGTTAAAGTGATTTTGTCAATCGTCTTCATAATAGCTTTTTCTCACCACCTGAATGCCAGACATTCTACAGCTGTGTACAGATACAAGATACATACTACATCGTACTGCGACAAAGAAGCCGATGAAAATAAAAATAAGCACAAAACTCGAGCAAAAGTTAACACGTTGTCCGTACCGATAATAATTTGAACTCCAAGTGAATACGAAATTATGTCGGTTCTGCCTGAAGCCGACCAGCTTCTATACAAAGAACTGTTATTATAAAGAATTTCTGTTGCAACAAGCAGGATCATCATGCGAGACAATAACGATTTTATGAGATTTCAGACTTTCAATCAGTTTTTCCAAGTCGTTGATTTCTCGCTCCAAATGTTGTCTATCGCGTAGTTTGGTTTGATTGTCAAGCACAACTGAAAGGCCTTGAAATAACTGCATAGTATGTTTCAAGCGTGCCTCCAAGCCTTTGATAACTTCAGATTGTTCATCGTTAGCAACATGGCGAGATTTTGAATTTAGTTCTAATTCGAAAGCTTTCTGCTTCGCAATGGAGGTTTGCTGCTGATCTTTATGCATCTCCCGATATCGTTGGATGTAATGAGGGAGAGAACCGTAACCCTAACGCAATCAACACTTTGAAACTATGTTTGCGAAATTTCTCTTCACTAAAAAAATATTACCAAATCATTGATTCAAAATTTCGACTATCGACGGAAACCGCTGAAAACGTGGTGCTTATTAGCTACTATGTCCCGTTTTATGGCGAGAAAAGCCGTTGCCTTCCTTTGAGGTATTATAGAAAATGTGTTTTATTTGGCTATATAAGAAAGTGTTGGTCAGTTACCCTTCGCAATCTATAATGCGGTGCCAAATCTGAACTTTCCATGCGTCGCCTGTCTCCGTTTGATCGATTAACGCGATATGGCAGACGGTTTAAGTATGCCGGGTTTGGGTAAGTTGCAGCTCGGGATTTATTCTTTTCTCTCCAGTTGACAGGAAATCGCTGCTGAACTTTCTGGTTGGATACTGCAGTTGGCCGCGTTTGTCCGTCACGACACTGAACTTTAGCCGAAACGCCGGATAGATGCCGTGCTTGCTGCTGCCGGTAGATCTTGGCTTCCCTGGGTTCTAAAACATTGATTTCGAATTTTCACTAGCAGATTAGCATATAATCTTATTATTCACTGCGCGATGGATGAATGCAAAATCTTTAATTAAGGAGATGATGCTGCATAACGACGATTTTCAGCAGTGATTTATGAATGTGAACCTTTACATACCAGGTAATCTAACTGGTCGTAATTTCTCATGTCTTCGAAGAAACTTTTCTGGTTCTCTGGCTGAAAGCTGCGGAACCCCGAATGATTTTCTGCGCGGGACTAGCAACGTCTCCTTGAATGCGCTAACTATGGCAGGAGCATGAATAGATACGTAACTGTAACAAAACTGCATTAACCGTGAACAAACTTTGCCGCTTCATGAACTGTGCTACAATTAGCAGTAAATACTACTGGCTCGTGAGTCGCAGTTACATACGTAAAACTTATTGCTCATTGTGTTAATAATCCAGAGTATAAAACAACCAGCGTTACAATACAACTGTTTCTCTACCTAGTGTTACGAGTACAACACTTAGACCGTGTTCTTAATAACTAAGGCTGTTGATCTACAATCATACTTTCGATTAACTCAATGTTGTTAAACACTTCTTAAGTGAATGTCGGACATTAGTACCTAAACCCATCGTCGAACTGTGACTTGGCCGCGTATCTCGCTTAAGCAAATGTTACCGGTCTCGTTCTGAAGTCCTGTGGTGCTTGAGTTCCGGCTGCAGATTGTATACTGATTCACCAAACACATCATGGTACAAGCGATTCGATTTAAACATGATGTGACGGTTCAAGCAATTTCCGTTATCACTTTCTTGAAATACAAATTTTTCTGAAACTGCCGGTATTCATTTTGGCAGGCCTAGAAGTTAGAGGTCATCCGACGCTAAGCTTTACGGAATGATGATGCATGCTTAGTTACAATGAGCACTCACCCGGCAGAAGTGGACAACGGTGGACATCTTTATTATTATTAGGATCAATAATTTTGTCTAATTTTGTTATCGAAGTCGAGGGTAGTCGGTGCCAGGGAAAACCTAGACACTGTGAGAAATTTATGGGATCTAATGGCTGATATTGAGCGTTGGGCAGTTCAGGGCAGCACGTATTTCCTTTTGCACTGTGATTGGCTAAGTTTGCTGGTTTTAGTGATAAAAGAATAAAATGTACTAAAGTCACACAATTGCTGTTACTGTTCAGGCACTCCTTGGAAGAAATGGCAGCAGCTGTAAAACAGATAAATACTTTGTTCATTTCCCCTACAGTATTATAATAGTAGGAATAGAGCGTGCTGAGAAGAAGTGCAATTTTGGGCCTGTATTAAGGTGCATTATTCAATGTGGGATGTAGATGAAAGCATTTGCCAACAATCGCATAAAATCGTTTTGTATCTAGCGTTTCCGACCTTTTACAAAATATTCCGGTGTAGCGCGTACCGATTTATCAGTAAAATGCTTTTCTTGCTTATTCCATTTTTGCTTTACATTCAGTCCACGATACGGAAACAACAGTGGAAGCAATTACCAGAGAACAGCTACGGCGAGTAAAAAACTGTACAAAGAGATCGTACTGTACAAAGTTAAGCGATCGTACTGGCTTCTGAGGAAACAGTTTCTACATACTTAAACTGGACGGCATGCAAATGCGAGTGACGAAGCTTCGCAGTTTTCTACAAAGTGCTAAAAAATGAGCTCAGTGTACGATTTGTACAATCGTACTTTGCATTACGACGCATCAGTCATAGTGGCATCCGCCGGCAAAGATCCATGTTCCATCTCTAACGCATCATCTTCGCTAAACGATTTGTCCAGCGTATCATCCTCATTCATGTCCTCGAACTCTGGGAGTGTAGATAGTTGATGGGGAGGAGGAGGTAGCTGCTCAGGTTGTTTCACGCAGTAATCCGCCAACGTGTCCGGAATCTGTATGCCTTCTTTTGCCGCTTCGGCTTTGGATGCTTCCACTTGTTCTTTGATGATCCTCTCATATTCTTTATCGCCTTTCTCCTTCCAGCGCCGGTACATGATAGACGCTTCCACATTGGCCGGGCTATTGGTATTTGGCTCATTCAAGAGGGATATAATACTCATGAGAACTGAGTAAGCATTCTGGGCTGGATTCCATCTTTCGCTTGGGAGTTCCCCTGAACGTTGGCTATCCGTTTGCTGCCGAAACAAAACAGTATTACAGAATCAATTATTTAACGATAACAATTCAGTAACATAGTCATAATATTTTTAATTATATAATATTATGTTCCATCTAAATGACTGAACTGCTAACTTAATGCGCACTTACGTACTGGATGTAAAATACTAATGCAGACCGATCCGTTATTGTACACATTCGGGTGGAAAATTTTTGTTTTGAAGTTCACGGTCGGCGGCGAGAAAGGATACAGAGCTGGGAATTTCATGATCGCTTTAAAATATCCACCAGCATACAACGTATCTGGTGGCCCAAAAATTCCTGCTTCCCATTCGAATATATCGTCTTCTTGCAGTAATTTGATTGTGAATCCTTCATTCTGTTCTTTCTGTAGGGTTTGCAGTTCCTGCATCAGAATCCGAGCAGCTTGCTGATTACCAGCGTTAATCTTTTGAGTGCGTGTCGGTCGCGCAGTGTTTTGATTGGAACCAGCGCCATTGGCCATTCGTGGTTACGCCCCGTAAATCTGCTGATAACGGATGATCAGTTCTGCAAAAAATTTTTCTGTGGTCTACGAAAAAACTCCCATTTTTCTTTTGACGGTTATAAAAACAATACGAGATAGTGCAAATTGAAAATATATATACGAGTACTAAATGATCTCAATAGATGTATCTTCGGGTCCTGACGCGGGCCAGTGACAAAGGTCAAAGGCCGACATAAAATGCTGCAGTCAAGATGACCTTACGGCGTTTATTCGTTTCCACCTTACGTTTACGACACCATAGTCAAACCAGTTGTTAAGTATTTATTGCGAATGCTATAACAAAGTACAGAAGTTACTTTATAAAACAAAATAACACCGCAGTACTAAAGTTTCAACAGTTTTTATAGTTAGCAACAAATGCTGTAAAACTCCCTCCTAGCAATAATGTTAGAAATGTCATACTGAACCGTAGGTAAAGCACCCTAAGCAAAATCGGTGCATGTTGAACTTTTAATCAGTCCATTTTGGTTGTAGTACTAGTCATAAACAGTACTGTACTTCAACATAGCACATCGGCTCGCGCATGCACAGTATTATCAGCTGCTGAATGATGATCTCAGATAGCCGGTGTGGTAGCCGAAATCAAGTCAGTAATATTAATAATGGCAGCCAACAAAAAATACCTATTTCTATGATATCCTTATACCTTAAATTAGGTATTTACATAGTACAAAAAGGTAAATCGCTAGTTTTCACATGGTGCTGTAATGTATAGATGATCTAACAGTAACATTTAGTAGCATAATAAGCATTTAGTAGCGTTCAATGGACGAGCAAACGATATTAATGTTGTTAAGTTTGATGGAAACCGTGACCTACTTTACATAATAATTGAAATAATTATGTAAGAAGTCAGTCACTATAAACTAAGAAGTGTTGATTCTTGCAGGGGGGTTGTACTGAGTTTGCATGATATTATTTGTGCGCGACTTATGGTTAGATACAATTCACATGCGCAATTTTTTTGTGAAGTATGTGGTAATACTCTATAGTCTATATGCACATTTTGGACGTTTACTTCTCTTGTTACTTGCAACGATAGCATCCTTAAAAGCATAACACTTTTTTTGCATTTTCAATCTTTTATCCAAATTTCCTGATGTAATTGTAATGCATTCGCACGTAGTGTACGTCCCGTGGGATCACATGCACAATACAGGGTAGGGTTCGGTTTCCGCATGTGCCGCAGCTGAAAACTATCCAGCTGTAGCGCCGCTAATATCGATGTTTTGTAGCTTCCAATCCATGACTGGAACGCACATTATTATGCAACACTACACTCCCCAGCATCAAGCCGACACGCACATATCTGCCGGTTGCAAGTACGTGCCCGGCGCAGCGTGGTCCCACATTGTGGATGGCAGCAGCATTGATCGTACCGCGCGCCGCACGACACGGCAATCCAGCAGTGTTCGTGTTCGGCAACGGCGGCTTGGCCGTCAACATCAATAACACCACCGTCAGTTCTGCTTCCAACTCCTCGTCATTATCATCATTCATGCAGAAGCAGTAGCGCAATTCATTCCTGTACATACTTTTTATGAGATCTGGCTTGTAGCGCCTTCTCCACAATCGCTTCCGTGTAGGAATTTTATTACCAGTGTTTTTTCCTGTGTTGACATTTACTGTGCACACACCATACCTCCATTCCCTAGCGTTTCCACTGCATTATACACGGATATTCCTGTTGGATTATTGAATTCCGTGCTCGGTAGCTGAAGTCAGTTTGATGTGGTTGTGAATGCCAACGGTCGCGGTGAATGTCCAAACGGGCAAAAAATGATGCACTGTCCGTTCACGCGCAACGGGCTGGGTTTAGGCAGTCCGCAGAATGCCGCACCGGACACGTTACGGACCTCTCCGTTACCCCCGACCGGATCCACAGAAAATGTGGATTCACCGGTTACTCAGGATGCTGTCATTACTCCCAGCAACGGAGAGGCAGTTACACCGGCCCCGGATGGTGATTATGACGCCGAACATGCGGATTCCAAGCGGCTGAATCTTCGCCATCTGACCAAAGCAGTTGGCACGTTTGTGTTAATGCCAGTAAGTAATCTCGAAAGATTCAGTAGCAATCGTTCTGGCATAAATATTGTATTACCGAGTCACTTCCTCCGCCCGTTCTTTCGGACAGCAAGGAGCGCATGAAATGGACCCAGCATGTTTAACAGTTTATCAATAATATAAGAACCAAAAGATATTAAAATTTGTCGCTGAAATTTAGTTTTAGAACCTACAATAGCTTTTAATGCTGTATATCGGTGACTTTATTATGTCGAATAGTGATGCTGTTTATTTTTATCCGTTTTAATATTACCACCTCAGCCGACGCTTTGAGCCGGTACCTACCCTAGCTGATCCATTGAAAAGTCTTACCTGGCATACCGTTGCCGTTGAACCCTCGCCGCAACCGTAATTGATCGATAATTTAGAACAGAAGTCGTACTTCCGTTGGGACGCCTACGTATAACGCAGTGGCAATCTTGGAATATGCGCTCCAAAATTTTCACGTTCCCATAATTTTGTTATAACTTACTTTTTAACATTAATCATAATAATGGTGTTATTGTCGTATGTACGCATTCCACCGGTTAAGCGAATGACGTAACCCCATTAATTTCACACATATGCACCGTAAACAGTCTTATGAAATTGTTTTTAGCACAGCTGTTTTCATGCGTTATAGTGTTATTTTAGTGTATCACTCCAGACAATCGCCACATAAATGCTGATTTATGGTACATTGTGTAGTAATCCGACTATGCGCGGAACGTGTTAAGACTTTTCTTACCATGGTTAGCAGTACAGAGAAAATCGCTCCCTTTGAGTAGAATCGAAGCGCTTTTATCTGACTCCAAGGATAGATCATCCTATAGAAGCCGTAAGGAACATTCGGTGCTAAGGTTGCTCAGTGTAAACTTGCCGGCGGGACCGAGCGGAAGAGGTTCGATTTAGTCGATGCTGATCGATGGTGAACAGTTCATAGAAGCCGATAACGTTAATTACGCTAAACTTATCACTACCAATTTTTAGCGCTTCAGTTCTCAAAAGCACTAGCTAGTGTTAAGTACTTACACGGAAATACATTAGTTTCTATCGATTTACTTACTGGAATGCATCAAAGCCACTAGAGCGGCGTAGGAGCCGCTCGAGCGCTCTTTGTACGTAAACTTCTTCCATGTCGGGATAAAGACTGTGGCTGATCGCCTTCCTTTAAATTATATAAGAAGAAAATCAGCAAATCAAAATTATAACAGGTTGTGCAGTACAACAAGTCGCTAATTAATTAGCTACATTGTTGTCAATGTTTGCAGACGAATTTTTTACGGTCAGCTTTCCGCCGCCTGTTGGTACATCTGGACAGCACTTTGTGGATAATTGTGAAGTACGGAAGTTTGCCGGTGTACTGCACGCGTGCTACTGTTTGGACAGGCACCAAAGTAGTGAAATTAATTTATAAATTATAACTACAATATTTTGACCATTGTAGGAGTGAATTATACCTGAACGAAGAAGATTTTCCCCTGAACCCATTATCCATTGGGCAGGCACATTACGACTTTCAAGGAGCGGAAGTCATAGCGTCCTGCATCAGTTGTCTGAGCCAGAAGCTTGGTATATTCCTTGTCTACAAGCGTTTTTTTCTCGGATATTAAATTTTGTTTTTCTGTGCCCTACGTGACCGGCCATTGTGCTGCAGGCACCGCAGAGCCCGATCTCTGGAGACGCCTCGGTCAACAGTTCGCGTCCCTCTGCTATTTGGAATTCCCCAGTGCATTGCGGTGTGTCGGCAGCACACTGCAGGATTTTTTCGGTAGTCTGGACTGCTTCCATAGCCATCTGTCCAAGGCGGAGGAGTTCCGTACATCGATGTGGGCGCCCCCTTTCGTCCGCTGTATCCCCGGGGATTTCGACCAGTTAGATATCCAGTACGCCACAGATGCCCAACGTCCCATGGATATAGCAGCGTTTCTCCTCGGGGTCATCCAGCAGATTGCCAGCAGCGTGTTTAGCGTGGATGTCACCGTGGACTCGGTAGCAATAAGCCCGGATACGAAAAGCAATTATGTCGGCGCAGAACGCAACGGATCAGCCGTTAAGACCTTTCTATACCGTGTCAGTGTCAATGAGAAGCCCGGATCACCGACTTATAAAACGGTTATCGGAAAGCTACTTAATCGGCATCCCGAGAAATTATCCCATGATCCCCGCGATTTACCCGTTAAACCCAGCGCTTTCTGTGCGGCGTTTCCGTTTCATTTCATGTTCGACCGCAATTTGCAGTTACAGCAGATGGGTGTCGGTTTGTTGCGCATCTTTTCTTCCATGTTAGCCAGCGATCTCAACGTTTGCACATATTTTAATCTAATTTCTCCTTGCCTCATTCCGGTGTCCTTTGATAACATCTTGCTAACCATGCACGTGCCCTTTAGGCTGGCACTGCGGGAGGTACAGAGTGGTCAGCAAAAAAGTTTACAAGGCATGGAGTTGAAAGGTCAAATGCACTTCTGTCCGGAGTCTAACCTGATGATTTTCATTGGATCACCGGTCGTGGAAAAGTTGGAAGAACTGACTGGACGCGGTCTGTACATCTCCGATATTCCCATTCATGACGCTACCCGGGACGTTATCTTGGTGGGTGAACAGACCAAAGCGCAGGATGGCCTAAAGAAACGCATGGATAAACTGAAGACCAGCATTGAGGAGGCTAACCGCGCCGTAGAGGATGAACGGCAGAAGAATGTCGATCTTTTGCATCTTATCTTCCCACCGGATGTAGCTAGGAAATTATGGCTGGGGCAAACCGTTGAGGCGGAAACCATTGACGACGTCACAATGTTGTTCAGCGACATTGTCGGCTTTACGGCCATCTGCGGTATAGCCACGCCCATGATGGTCATCGATATGCTTAACCGTCTGTACACTCGTTTTGACGCGGAAACCGTCAAATGTGATGTTTACAAGGTAAGTTGGTGATGGCGCATTAAGTAGTTGCAACATGCAATAAGTACCTGGCCCGCATTAAGACAGATTCCTACCAAAAATTACCAAAAATTCCTTATTGGCAAGATTTCTGCCTAATTTTAATCATAAGCTTAATCGTTCGATTAACGAGCTATCTATCCCTTTTACACGTATTATAAGTGATCATTTTTATGACATAGGCTGGCGAAGCACTAGACAAAAACTGGATTATAACTGCAATAACCAGCTTACCGTATCGTGCTGAGCAAGCTGGACATAGTTTCAATTAGTTTGTGACGTTTCAGTTTTGCAAATTATGCGGGGCTTTGTACAGGAACCATTTCTATACTTACTGTATTTACGCAGTATTGTTGAAGCAGTTGAAGTGTATGAACGATGAATAAATTTCAGCTGGAAACCATCGGTGACGCCTTTATTTGTGTGGGAGGATTACACAATAGACCGGCGCCCTGGCACGCCCAGCAGGTTGCATGGATGGCTTTGAAAATGATGCGACATGCAAAGCAAGAGATTGCTCCCGATGGAAACCCTATTAAGGTATGCCATACAATTAATTAGCGTACGCAGCGCGTGTATTGTAGTAGTGTGTGCGTATACTGATCGCTTTTGCTGCAGATGCGAATTGGACTGCACACTGGCTCGGTGCTAGCCGGTGTTGTGGGTATCAAAATGCCGCGCTACTGCCTGTTTGGTAATAAGTAAAATGCATAGCTGCCTGCATTCATGGAAAACCTTTTTCGGCTTTTTACCATACGGTGCTGGCGATTGCAGGTAATAATGTCACGATTGCCAATAAATTTGAGTCAGGAAGTGAACCGGAAAAAATCAATGTCAGCCCAACAACCTATCCGTAAGTTGTTACTAGAATGGTCTACAAAATTTTCCAATGAGTTTAAATAATTTTAATAAACGTGGCACGCTGACATGATGCAAGCACATCTCGATTTTTTAAATAAACTGCTAAACATTTCGCCTACTATTTGCAGTGAAAAGCGCTTGCGCCAACATATGTTTTGCTTAACTACGATAGCAATCTCGCTGGCTGCAGTTGTGTAGAAAACAATCAATATGCTGATACAAAGAAAAACGACGGTTGACGGTCGACTGTTATGTTGATCAGCTTCGGGAAGCGCAAAACTGTTTAATTACTCTGCGACACTGTCAGAATTTATTATACGCCTGCATTTGTTGCAGCGCACAGGATACTGCACTTGTCAGTATTTACATTTCTCAATGTATAGGCTTCTATGCAAAACTCGAGGCTTCGTAATGACGGCGAGACCACGAAACTGCTTGCCAAAGGGATTCCCAGCGGATATACCCGGCACTTGTCACTTCCTGGAGCTGTACAAGCACCCTTCTGTGTCGGTCGACAAGGATGGACCGGAAGTCGATCACATTGCTCTGGGCTTGAAAGAACTCAATATCGGTCAGCAAAGCGCTGCTGGCAGCCAGGGACGAACAAACTCCCATAATCAGCCCCACCAAGGTTCTAACAACGCTGTTCCCAATTCCAACGGCTATGCTTAAGAATGTACTTACTATCTGGCTACCATTTTTTTCCAAATTTAATAACTAAGTACGCTTAGTTGGTAGTAGTGTTGTGTCGCCTTCATCTTGCATGCACCTGACTTGAACTAGACTTCAATAACGGTTTTATTGTATTTTAATTTTGAATGGCATGGAAATATACGACAATAAGGAACTCCAATCATGTAGAAAGCTTCCTTGAGATATCTAAATAAATACGTAGGCAATACCACCATTATTATAAAAATGTTACTTTGTTATAAGCTTCCATACTTGTTAGCGGTTATCATCCTGTGAGTCGGCTGAAACTTTTTGCAATATACAAAAGTACTTACGTACCCAATAACTGTACCTGATGATAACGACAATATAAGTATCAAGTAAGTAAACATGTTCCAAAAGCAAACATTTTGTTTAATTAACGATATTTGGTACAGTTTACAACACTGAATGTGCCGTTTATTCGTCACCGGGTTTAAGTATGTATGTAAAATACGAAAATCGAACATATAACATAATTTTGTGACGGATGAAGGTGCCGGCATGTATTCCAAAACCGGATCATGGTACATGATAAAACTAGTAACAACTACTTACATGTACGTCCGCGAAACAGACGGTTTATTATATATCACAGATTTCTTTGAACGGAAATAATCACTGACTCCATTCAATTAATTTTATGCTCTTTCATAAACAGCATAACTGGTTGTACCAGTAACCATTTATGCCGTGATGAAATCTTGGAGTCGTCGGCAACTGCTTCGATTACATTACAATATTATTATGTTGGCTTGCGAAAATTTTCTCCGGCAAATTTAGCTTTACCCCCCAATTCTTCTTCGATTCTCAGCAACTGGTTGTATTTGCAGCAGCGCTCTGTTCGACACGGCGCACCGGTCTTAATCTGCAATGGCAAAGGCATGACGATAATAAATGGATATTCAGATTACACCTGCACATGTACACAGGAGTTACAACATATAATACAATTGTATGTTGTAGTATATACATATATTATATTTTTGTGCTATTGACTATTCTGTACAACACCACCAACAAAGTTTTAAATTTCGTAATTCCACTAGAATAACCAAAAATCCAGTACCTGGCCACATCCAAGACCGACGGACAAGTCGGAAATCGTTACGTCTTCGGTTTCTCCGCTGCGATGCGATACCATAATGCTCCATTCATTTGATCGAGCTAAGACAGCGGCAGCAATGGCTTCGGAAAGAGTGCCAATCTGGTTGACCTTTAGCAGAAGACAGTTGCAGCATTTCTTTTCGATGGCTTGCTGAATCCTAAAGCGCAGTTGTGCCACATACGGGTGTCTTTTTTATGACTTGTGCGTTTGTGCAATATTACCGCTCGGTGTTGGAAACTGTGAGGTCATCTCCGACCACTTGAATCTGCACAGAGCTACTAAACTGTTCCCATGCCGGGAAATCATCTTGCTCAAAGGGATCTACATACAATCGAGCGAAAACGTTCAACGACGAGGCACCAGCAAAAAGCAAGGGCACCTTACCTTCTAGCGAAACAATTTCGAATTCGTTCATATAGCTTCGGTAAAGGTCAGCTAATTCACTGGATGTTAACTGCAAATTTCCCAGTGAAAAGTTTTTGATCTTTGCACAGAACGGTTGGTTTTTTACCTTTTTGGCAGTTGATTGGTCTTCGGCTTTGAAATCCAAATTATACTTACGATCTTGGTCAGCTTTTTCACAGAATTCTGAAGCCGCTGCATCGATGGCGATTTTAATACGGCCGTTATATCCCGCAGCTTCAATGGCTTCTTTAACCAGCTGTAGAGCTGTTAGAATTAGAGGAAAAGTGTTAGTGCGCCTTAAGTAATCGCACTAAGACAAGTGTGTTGTCTGATCATGACCTTCCTTCCCGTCAGCTATGTCGGGTGCGAAACCGCCTTCATCTCCGACATTCGTTGCTGAAAATAAGTTTAAGAAACTAGTGTTGATTGTAGGCGAAGGATCTATTCGTTTTCGCTACCTGTTTTGCCGTGCTTCTTCTCAAGAATAATTTTTAAATGGTGGTACACTTCGCTTCCCATTTTCATTGCCTCTCGAAAACTGGTGGCGCCTGTTAATGCAAAATACGCTATGACGAAAGGCTAATTATAATAAACTGGTTTGAAATAAGTACCAACTGGCATTATCATAAATTCTTGTATGGCGAGGCGATTGCCAGAATGTTTGCCGCCGTTGATGACATTCATGGCCGGTACTGGTAACATCACACCCGGATTACCACACAGTTCTCCAACGTAGCGATAAAAGGGGATTTTCTGTGTTAAGTTTGAGAGAGTCCGCGGTGTTAATAAGTACAGTGAAAGTACTTAATACGGGTTAATATTGCATAATGCATGATGCACTTCACCTTTTCATGAGCTGCGGCTTTTGCAACGGCCATCGACACAGCTAAAATAGCATTGGCTCCTAACCGACCTACAAAATTTTGATATATCCAATTTGGCTTTATACTATCCGTTTGACGTAAGATGCTGCAGAGGAACAGAGGTACACTGAACTATGTAATTAAATTGATATAGATATGCGCATTGTACATGTCCTCTACTGAAATGAAAAGTGCGATCTGGTCCTTGTGCTTCTTACTTTTGTCCTTTGTTCCATCGAGATCGCACAGAAATTTATCGATTTCCGCTTGGTTCAAAATACTGATATTCTGAAAAATTCAATTATATTATAACAACGATCAAATTCACTTATAAGCGTCTTTCAAAAAAATAATTTACAAGTTATGTTATAAGGTTTGAGTATCTTTTATTCGTTTTCGCTAAATTTATGGCCGGAAAGCATGCATTTCTTTGAGCGTTGCAGTATAAACTGTACAACTATGACGTTAGATCTGATAATCAGCTGTGCAAAACGTAATACTATTGGGTTGAATTTACTTCCTATGCCATCATCCAACGTATATTACATGCACACCTACCGAACTGATTAATTTGGGAGCGATCTCATTCCTGATGTTGTCAATGGCTGTGTTGACCCCTTTTATATTAAAAGACATTTTAATTTTTATTACGAATAGATGGATGCATAGAGCGGCAAGAGTTGTAAATTTTTTATAGGTTGTACCTCGACCATGGTGTGAGGATTTATCTCCATCTCGAAGCTCTTTCGCTTCATAGATTCCCGTGGAAGCACCGCTTGGCACTGCTGAACGAAATATTCCTGGAAAGTCATACAGGCTATATACTGCACAAATCCATGCTGTTTCTGTGTGCGCGCTCAGTTACCGTTGAATAAGTATTCGAATACGATTGTAACATAGAAATATTAAATTACAAGGATTATGTCGAAAGGGTCCTATTATAAGCGACGTTTAATAAAACAATACCAAGTTTTGTAAGGCTTTGAAGTTAGTTGTATAACAGCACTTATAACATTTTATTACAAGCATTGTTTGCCCACTAGTTCACGTAACCAGAATTAATTCTAGATTAAAATGAGAGCCCGTTTCCGGTGACCTTTCTGGAATATAGGCTCTTGATTTTATACCTTTAGTGGTGAAGACATCGACCTCAACCGTAGGGTTTCCGCGACTGTCATAAATTTGACGAGCTAGAATCTTCCTGATGGACATGCCTGCTATCTGCTAGGTCACCACACTTTCACAAGTACAAGGGGCTGCCCCAAGATAAAAAATCAAATTTAATGCGACATAAGAATCCCGAAAGGCTGAAATAAGCTACGACAAAGCTAAAAAGTACAGAACCTTGGGAAATAGATCAAAATATTTCTACAAAAGAGCGCTTAAGCCAGTTCTTTTGTCTGTTGCGAGCTCTATCCGAGCCGTTCTGTAATGCACATTGCAAATCTATAGCAACCACTAGCGTTTTATATTCAAAGCTATGGAGCGCCGCGGGCTCACCGGAAACGATTCCGAAAGCTGTAATTTTGATTTATTCGTTGTTTTGCCAGAATGTTTCTTGTGTGTTGAACATTCAAGGCATTTTAACGGGCACAACCAGATGACCAAAAAAAGTATTACAAATTATTACTATATGCTTATTTTATAGTGGTTTAGGACTTCGTACGGCTGTATTACCAAAGAGATTGCTAATAAAATCATTACGTGTCGAATTTTCTACCGGATGACGAGCCGGTAGACTGGTACGGCCAACAAGGATAAACGTTCCCAGTTTTGTAACCAGTAACAGCATCGCCTCCAGAAGCCTTGAGGTTTACGAGTGGCCTTGAACTGAATACTTTTCGTGTGGTACCATATTTAGCTTATCACTATAGAGTATAGGTACATGCTTCACTGACAATATATGTTGCAGTAGTGAGGTGTAAGTATTATGCGCATTTTATCTAATTTTTAAGCATTTAGAGGGAATTGCGTGGATTTATCTCAGAAGTGAAGAAACTCATAATTACGGGAAAGCCGGCAAAAAATCCTGCTATTAAAAATAATCGCCAAAAATGCCGCATGTAGGTGTAAATGATAAAGCGCGATAGGTGTACGCTGAGCCTTTTCTGTAAGTACATTAAGTCATAATTCCGTTGACGCATTTGCAGAATATGTGGATCAGTATAGCGATTCTTGAGAAACATTGATATCTTCCGTGATAAAGTCGTAATTATTTTGATCGCTATTAGCAGGATTTTCTTCCTGAATCGGCTGGATAGTCTTTGCACGAGCAGCGGCTTGGTATCTTCTTTTTGGGGCTACCAACGTGGGGGTTCGAGTATAACCTGAGACACCGATCAGAGTCGTGGGCACAAGGGCTTTGTCTGCTCGCTCCTTGAGAGCGTTGGCAATCATCTCCCGTCTAACCAGATCCAAATCTTTGGGGAAAACGACTTTGTAGTCGAGGTAGAGATTTCCTCTGCGCGACGCATCATCCACACGGGGCATGCCCATACCAGGGATCATGCGTGCACTGCCTGGCCGAATCACACCGATCTCCTCGATGCGAACCGGGGTGTCATCGATACTGTTAAGACTGATATCTCCTCCGCACAGTGCTACTAACAAGTCAACCTCGATTTCAATCCGCAGATCATCGCCATCGCGAAAGAATCGATCATGAGGCAGTTGCTCGATCTGCACCACAGCGTCAGCGGAAATAAAGTTGCGTGCCTGGTGACCTTCTTGAGGAAAGATGAATTGGGTGCCGTCAGGACATCCGGGCCGAATGATGACATCCTTAATTACGGCCTGTTCCACTAGATCGCCTGTTGGTAGTAAAATATTCCGACTGAATTCCACTTCGCGAATGTTACCGTGGAATATTTCCTCAAGGGTCATATCCAAGCCAATGATGAGAGGCGGCAACTGCGCTTTTTCTCGTGCCCGGAATATAGCTTGGTAGTAATGGTAATCATGAGCGGCATCGAAGGGTTCGTAGATCTGTACCAAATTCACCGGTTGCGAAAGTGCCACATAGACGTAAACGATTCGCAAGGTTGTGTTACCTGCTTACGTGGGCGTAAGGATTTGATGTACCAAAGTGCTCTTCAAAAGTCCGCATCGGATCGCCATGATAGCGATAGCCATGTGGTTGGTCCGGTAAGCTGTTGAACCGGTTAGTGAGACCATCGTAGCCTAAATCGAAATAGAAACTTTTGTTTCCTTACATTGCTTCAAGCACCTTTATGAACAGAGAAAGCCATTACCAAATTCATCGTACACTTTACGGGAAATCGAGTTCCTCAAAATATCGTAAGCTTCTCCCAGGTCGCGAAAAGCTTTGCGTGCAGCATGAGGGTCTGTATGGCCTCTTGCAGGATGTTCGGCGACCGCAAGTCGCCGATACTGAGCATGAATGCGACTCACCGGTGCATCTGGATCTAAGGACAAGATTTTGTAGCAGTCCATGATTACTGAATGTTTTCGAGTATCACTCGTATCGATGTGAAAATGAGTTTGTAGAGCCAGATTAATAAATGATGTAGAGCCAGATTAAATAGCAAATGTTGATATGCTTTGTTAATTTATTACTACACAGAGGACAACTGGTTTTAATTTCGACTAAAACCAAGTTCAAATAACATTTTATGGTCAGCGTATCAGTTCGGATAATAAAGCAAGAAGTAGAATGTACTAAAGGATTGCTGGAAAACAGTTACTTAATTATAACAGTAATCTCACTTGAGCCAAGACTTAATGGGCAGTTTGTTGGTTAAGCTTGCTTTGTACATCTGCATTCTACGATACAGTATCGTAAATGCAATTACAGATATGCCTCACAAAAACATCATTTAGCACGTAATTTTTGCAGTAAGCTAGTAAACCGGTATCTTCTGAAGCGCGAAAATTAATGGTTTTAGATAGTTATTTTTTAAATTTAAGCGGATTGCAAACTATGGTATCGCACTATGGAAAATCAATAAGTTATTAGTACCGTATTTGCTGCACTATGGTTGCAGGCGTCCGTCAAATACTGGCGTCGCTCCGATCCCGAAAATACTGTAATAAAAGCGCCCCAAGGATGTAGTGTGCCTACTGCCTAGTAACTACCGCACTATCAGTTGCTTAATACTGATGAATTTTCCAAATGTGGTGATGCAGTTCAGTCCGTATCCGACAACATCTGGCAGTATTCCTAACTATTTTAAGAAGTTAAAAAACCATAAAAATTAATGCAGTATTCGACTCTGTAGTACTTCCGACTCAGCAGGTAAACCAGGAATAAAACATGCATAAGCGGATCGATCCAGTTCGACAGGCTTTCATCGACTCAGAAGGACATCCACCACCTTTGGTCGGCGCTCCTTGTACCATCAAAGTAAGCTTTTCTATCCTAGAGTAGCCTGCTACGATAAGCTGCACTGAGCCACTTATCGAAATTGATAGGTGCAGTGCACAGACAAAAAGACTGGACAATGTCAAATGAAAGATTTTGCCGGGGTCATCCAGAAGGCATGCGAAAACCATGGACCATTCGAAGTATTTGTCTACAAGCTTGGTTATAGAATGTAAGCATGCTCTACTTTCATAAAACGTACTACTATTGCATAAAGTAGAATGGAGTCATGACTATAAAAACTTAAATGTTAAGTCGACTATCTCCTTTATTAAAGCAGATTGTATATTAGAAAATGTATTTATAAGCCAAATGTACATTTTGTTGCAGAACTGTTCCGTATGATCAAGTGACCGTGCGCAAAGAAGCGTTCGAACCGACTTTTGTTTATAACCCTAGTGATTTTAATGGTGGAAACTCCTGTTGCAATAAGTCAAACAAAAAATGATAAAAAAATACTCAGGAATCGCAGGAGTGCTCGCTTTGAACTGATCTCCGTTTTTCGTTCCAAATTATCCGTGCAACGATAAAATTTTGCAGCAAAACTGACCATTAATGTCCCTGCTGCATGTAACGCACGCATTATTATGATACAATGGCATGGATATTTTTAATTTTTCACATAGCATTTCCATGGAAGCCCAGGTGGGGCTGTAACACAAGAAGAACGTTACTGTATTTAGAAAATCTTTTTTGATGAGAATATTGCAATGAGTAACAACGAAAATCTATTACGGTATAACATCAGAAAAGAATTCGAAGCCGCTAAAAGCAGAGAAGCCCAGCTTAGTTTAATTCGTCATCTGGTTACTGACGTCAAAGAACAGCTCGCTACATCTGCTACCAGCACATCTCAGCCGTCAATTCACAGCGCACCACGTGTGTATTACGGCCCAGCCTCCAGCGCGACCTTACTGTGCAACACAATAAGACCTGCGTCTCGGAGACAATTTGGAAATGTAAAATTTTTACCCTTAAGCAGACCATCAAAAGCTTTCAATGCACTGCCAAGACCGAATACACGCACGTCGTTTACCGGTAATTTCAGTGAATATGGGGATAACAAAATCGACTTCACGAAGGCTTACTTGCCCGGAAAGCGGATTGGCGCGACATCAGACGATATTGTATCAAAATCCAGAAACCAAAGCTCTAGTTCGGTTGACTTCAAGCGACTGAAAAACATAACCCGTAATGAGTTTAGAAGAGTCGACCAGTTTGAAAAGGAGATAAAGCCTGCTGGATCACGAGGATCAACGGCAGAACAAAGGGCAGCAAAGGATACTCTGACCACTGACAACGAAACCTGTCGACGATGTCTGCAGCGGGAGGAGCGAAACATATCAGCGGTTGTTCCAAGGAAGACTGGTTCATTACAACGAGCATTCGAGGCTAGCAAGGAACGAACCACGAAAAACGTTCAATCAGAACGTCTAACTACTGCATCTGCTTCTGGTAGTGCAGTAGAATACGAATACGTTCCCGGATCTGTTGGCGATAAAACTGCATGTCATTTCAAATCTACCCTTAATCAACAACTGAAAGCGGAATTAATCGGCCAAACACCAACCACCAGCGGTCGCGTCAACAGGGAAAGCGCACAGCTCAATGCGTCCACAATCGGGAAGGACCGTCCTACGGAACCGCTTACAGCCACTGCTAAAATCAAAGTGCCAATTAATAGCGCTTCTCTCAATGAAAAAGAAAAGTACAGCAAGAGCTCCGCTGCAGAACCCTCATCAAAGCAGATCCAAGAAATAATCCCTTCAGCCCATACCACAAGGCCGAACAAACGACAAGATATGGTACCGCAGAAACATATAATAAACAGAAACATAAAATACTTTACCGACCAGGGATTGACACCACTTCTTTGCGCTTTCCGCAATCTGAACTGGAAGGATTATGCTAACAAAGGCCGATGGAATATGTTCTGGGGAAACGTTAACACGGCACGTGCACTGTATCAGCCAGGACAACGGCATTATTTCACGGATGATCAACTGGTATGAGTGACCTTCCATTTCCCCACTGGTGAGAGTTGCGTAAAGCAGAAATCGAATGAACCTTAGTATACAAACGATTCATCCGCGATTATCGGTTTCATTTAATTATCCGCCTAGGTTTAAAACGATCATATTATTAATGGAACGACATTTAATGAAACCCTTCAGAAACGTTTATGTTTTGTAATTAGATGATAATGCAAGCAAATTTTCGTCAGGAAAATACTTCGCGTTTTGTCTTTTTGGAAAGCGTAAATTTTGGTGCCAGATTGTAAGTCCGAAAATCGCACGCTATTTTCAGGTGAATCATTTTCCATCGTGCTATCAGTTATCGCGGAAGGATAATATGACGAAAAATATCAAGAAATACAGGAATGATTTGTACCATGCGAATGACCCATTAGGAAAAAAGGATAGGCATGGGAATTTTGTCTACCTGGATCTGATCGCTCCGACATATCTGCTGCCTTTTGACTTCAATTCGTTTGTCACGGAATTTCGCAAGCATGGTGGTTTATGGATCGTGAAACCATGTAACGGATGCCAAGGCCAAGGTATCTATTTAGTCAATCAACTTGAACAGGCGAAGCGCTGGCAAGAACGTGCTATCGCCGAAGTGGCTAACAGTGTCCAAGATAACGAAGCCTACCAAGGATTCCTGATTTCCCGCTACATAGCCAACCCTTTGCTGATTGACGGAAAGAAGTTTGATCTGCGGCTCTACGTGCTGGTTACTTCATTTAAACCCCTGCGTTGTTATTACTACAGGCAAGGCTTCTGCAGATTCTGTGCTAAGCGCTACAGTCCCGATAGTGCCACTATCGACGACAAATTCATGCATCTGACCAATGTGGCGATCCAAAAGCAGAAAAGCGATTACAATCATTCTCACGGAAATAAATGGAATGTCAAGACGTTTCGGCTGTATTTGGAACGAGTCTTTGGCCGTGGTCGGACCGATGCGCTGTTTGACCGCATTTTTTGGATGATCGTGCAGTCACTTAAAGCAGCACTACCATTAATGGATAGTGAACGACATTGTTATGAAATGTACGGATATGACTGCCTCATTGACGCGCACTTGAAGCCGTGGCTACTTGAAATCAATGCATCGCCGTCGCTGGAAGAATCCACACCCATTGACCGTATTAATAAAACCAATTTGCTGATGGATACGATGAGAATGGCAATGTACGAGAGATGCCCGGGTCTCATAGGAATAAAGGAGAAACGACCGGACGGGTCCGACATGCCCCTGGGCGATTATGAGATTCTGTATCTGGAACCGCCAAGCCCGCGTCCACATTTAGAAAAGCGGAAAGCCGATGCTGTCATCGCTGGGCAAAGAGATAGCAGTATTCAGGGTCGGCCTCGATGGAATATCTAACAAGAGCTGTGGCTCTTTCCTTCCATCATTTTCAATTTACCATGTAATTTGTAATGTGTTCAATTTTATTGTGTTTGAACTGCGCTAAGCCGTTTATTTTATTGTTGCAACAGACTGGAAATTTTAAGTGCTGTATCAAGAAAGAAGCTGCTAGAATTACAGTACTTGTACAACGTTTTGCAGAACCTCCAGCACGTGCACAATGCACACTACTAGAACTATTTCAATAATAGTGCGAATGTTCACTGATGATAGGTATATATATGCATATAGTGTGCACTGTAAACAAAGCCGTGTACTGCAATCGGCGTAATGCCAGTGAACGTTTTACAACGACAAACTGAGTTAGGTTCTTGTTAATTCAGTTGTTGCCCAGCAGGGCCGACGTGAAACTAAAGTGCACAAATACGCTAAGGAAAGCAGCGGTTGTTGATTATTGAGCGCAAAAGGTCATAGCATTAGGCAATGATTGTGTGAAAAATTGCACAGATTAGGCTAGCGGAAGTCTTTTTCCAGATAGATATTTGAATGACTGAGCAAATTACTATGCAGTACGGATTGTTCAAAATTGCAAAAAAATTAACGTGGGCTCTATTAATTCATTGCATATGCCAGTCGAATAATGTAATAATAAAAAATACATGGTGATATTTATTATGCTGCATTATTATAATCACCTGTTGAGAACTGTTTTCCCTCACTGTATTTAAGTAAATCCTTGTAGCTGGTTGGATTATATCCCATATTGAATGCAATATTGCAAGGCATTAAACGAAATTGCAAAAACAACTGGACAGTTAATTGATCTGATTTATTTATGATGACTGATCTATTAATAAAGTTAGTTACGGTAAACCAGCCTTCAATTTCGTATTGACGACATGATATGCATGCCAGATTATTATCGTACGGTTGCCCTGTATCTGTTTGTTTTGTAAAGATTCCGCAAAGTTAACAGCGGGATTTCAAACGATTTGGCGATATTTGCGCGAATAAAGAATATCAGAATCATTGGCACTATATTGGTCGGGTTTCTTCAGCTGGATGTGTTAACACTTAACAGTACCATGTCATGAACTCCACTCCAGACATTGTCCCATGCGCTAGTGCAGGTAAGTTTGTATGGCTGATTTCTGCATACTTCATTTACTAACAAAAGCGCTGATTTTTTTTCTTTTCGCAGCACCGGCCGGCACATATGTCATTGTATTATGTATCATATTGTGAGATGGTCCATTATTTTGGCAGTAAGGTTTGCTACCGTCTTTAGTGTAAATCAGCGCAAAATATTTTAACGTGTTTCAACGCTTAATATAGTGGCAGCTTTGAGGCGATGTGCCGACATCAAAAATGGTTATGGCTGGAAACTTGACAACGTCCTCAAGTGTTTCTTGCTGGCTACGGGAATATGGGTGTGCGTTTGTAGCGGTGACTACTGCGATGGTTTTTCGTATGATATTTTTGGCGGATCAGTTAGACAGCCGGACGGTGTAAGGAACAAGATGTTTTGTCCGGCGCGTTGCCAAAATATATTTAATATCGAAAAATATTACGCTTCTGCAGGGTCTTAGTCGGATTCAACCACAAGCCTTTAACTATCATCCACCAAATCCTTTGCCCGAAAGGCTTTTGAATTCGTCCGGTAAGGTAGCCAATACTAGCCATTGATTTTGCAGTAATAAACTACAATTAATATTAGTAATTTCATACTGCCCAACTTATTGGAAAAATATTCGATAATTCACAGATGTGTCTACCACGGTAAAACCTTTTGTAATAACCAGTCAAGTTTCAGCTGCGGAAAAAGGCCCGGGATCTGGTGATGATGCTTCGGCCTCAGGTAGTTAAGGTGAAATTTGATTTTGTTGTATGTACATATCGTACAGAATCATTGCTGACGATTCAACAAGAGGTTCGGCTGCAGGGTCCAAGCGCGGTCAGTCATCAGTCTACAATGTGGATAGTAATGATGATCCATCTGGAAATGCGAACAACGCCGCTGGTGGTGATACGCGCAATGAGAGCCACAATGACGGAAGCTTATCCGGCTTAGGTGTGTCCCTTGCATCCGTACTGACTTAATCTTTCAAAAGAAAAACAACTCGAGATCATAATATTTTGTTTTATGGAAAGTTAAAGCATTACAAATGGGAGAGTATCAACGAAGAGGGGCTGGCGCCGTGGGATCGGGTAATCTCACCCAGCATAAAGGTATAGTAACCGCTATTTTCCAGCTAGGTTTTCGCATGCTCTTTGCTGTTTTCAAGGATCAGGGCGTGGAGTAACTGGGAATGTTACGTCATCCCAAAATCCCGGTAACTTCTCTTTCCTTCTTCTTTCTCTTTCTTCTTTCCTTTTAGGCTACAGCTCGAATTTCTCTAAACACCGCTTTGGAAGAATATTTTAGCAACTTTTCCATTGTCAGTAGCCGGTACACATAACCGCTACGTTATGTGCAAATGGCATTAAATGATAGCCTGACCAGTTTTTACACAGATACTGGCGGAATGTCCGCTGGAATGATCGCCGCTATTGCAGCAGTGTCTTTGGTGAGTTACTGTATTTATGTAGAGAAATCTTGCAAGTGTGGTACTATATTTAGCTTCGTTTGTTAACAGTAAAAATTCATACGGAAAATTGCAGTTGTTCGACAGACACTAACAGATCTGTTTGCAGATAGTTGTTGCGGCATTGTGTGTTGCTGGTTGGCATATAATCCATAGTGCTGACCATAAAGACAAGCTTGGAAGCCAACTGGACAAGGGTGCCGAAGAATCAGAATAAGACATTTTTTCCAGCTAATGTCTCCTTCCTAGCTTAGTTTGCAAAGTATAACAGCGATAACACAATTTTAACTTTTATCTTGCATTGTATTGATTCCATTACGGCTTGATTTTCAAAATTTATACACGGCTTTGATCAAGCGAGTGCTTTTATAAAGTTAATGAGGGCCGGGGCGCAGACATTTTGCTTTTATCCGTGCTGTATGTGATGTTAGTTCTTTTCGGTGTTTAATTAGCCTCTACACGGCATGTGTTCAGAAGCTTTTAAAAACTATAGTAATATTGTTTTTTCACAGAATTTAACAGTATTCGATGCAATGAGAATTTACAATTACTTAAAACAATTCTTAGCTGTGATTTAGACCATTGTCCAGTTGCACCTTCCGACATGCGAAGCCCAGTTTTGAATACCCTTATATAAACCGAGTTTTGAGAAACGAAATGAATAATGCAGATCGGACAATTCATACGAACTATACTCGTATATATTTGTAAAATGTTACATTTTGCACATTTCCATGTTGCGCATTTTCATGTTTCACTTTTCAATCGTCGATTCGTATAGCACAGGTTGGAGCAAATAAGACATCTTCGGTCTGCTTAGCAGCATCACACCGTGTGGCGCTAAGCACTTGTCTTTGTTTTTCCAAAGTGAACAGTAAACGCGTCTTAAGTCTTGACAATTTCCCATGCATTCTAGCATTAAGCAATTTAGCATCCAAGGATACATTTTCGTACTCGACTTTAGTAATTTGTTTTTGTGTCTGACATAACGCTACTTGGTTCAGAATCCAGTCTTTACGCTCATCCGGTAAAGCCCGTGGTCTCACACACTTGGAGACTTTCGCGGCCTTTTCTGCACCTCTCGGAAACACAGAATGCAGCGCAGTGGCCACTGCATCCTGCAGAGCCTGAACTTTATCACCAAGCACCATGGCGCGGAAGCGCAGCTGATTAGCGAATTCATTGCGTTTGCTGGTGATGAGTTCCTTCGTGTAGGCGGCTTCTTTTGTCAAGATATCCATTTGGTACTGCACATAACCCAGGCAATACGCCACCGATCGCAGCTTGGAGATTGTCTCCGCTTCGTGATCTGAATATCCCATGTCTTCGATCTTCCGCTGCACATCTTCCGATTTTTTGCAAATATTGTCGGAGCGTCCTTCCTCCTCCGCTACTGAATCTTGTACTCTCATTAATTCGCACCTGTAAGAAAAGTTTATGCAAAGTTTACCGGCCGTAGAGAACGTTGCTACGCTGATGGTGAGTTGCTAACAGTAATCGCTTTTTTCAGTGAAAGTACCTTACCGCTTGCGTAAAATGCGTTCGCGAAGGTGTTCAATGCAATGCAACTGCTCTTGCATCCGTTCTGCTCGCAGCTTCCGATATACATTCGGAAGGACTTCGTCGTTCACCGTTAAATCCACAAACAAATCGATGTTGCTTTCAATAATATGCTCTTGCAGTTCTTGGTTTTTCTTCAAGTAGTACTTGTCCACAACGGACTTGCGTTGACCTTTCTGAAACTGTTTATCAGCCTTTGTGTAATCCTTTTCAACTGCTGCCAGGTCATTCTCCAGCTTCTCCACGACATCGCGATGGAAATCAATCTGCTTGCACAAGTTAGCGTTGGAGAGTTCCAAGTACATAACATTTTCTCGCTTGGCTTGCACTTGGTCTAACAAACCCGAGATGACGAGCGTTAGATCTTTTACTTCGGCAATTAAACGGCCTTTGCGACGCTTCCGGTCATCTTCTTGGCGATCGCTTGGATCGCCGTCAGTTTGAGATGCCTCGCTTTGTCGAGGTGGCAGTAATGTTGATTTTCGTGGCTCTACATCAGCAAAAGCTAATGGATCTTTACGATTTTTTCCTCTTTTTTTCCTGAGTTTTACCTGTTCCTTGCTCTTGCTTGATTCTCCCTTTTCGTTTTGCTTACTGTCCCGTCTTTTCCCCTTTACTTCGCTTGACTTTTTCTTTTGCTTCTCGGGCGCGGATTCTTCCTTCTGTTGTTTTGCATCCGATTTTCGACGGGACTTTAATAACTTCTCTTGACGAGAAAGTTGTGCCTGACGGCGTTTTTCCTGAGAAGCAAACAGAGCATCCTGCTCCTTTTTGAAAACGTCTTCGGTTTTGTCCAGCGACCGCTTTATCTTTTCATCCTGCGATTTGCGAACAGCTGATTCTCGTTGCAGTTTTTTTAGCTCATAATCCTGAAGTGGTTGGACGTACTTATCACTTGTAGCTGCATTCATTGTCCTTCGAACAAGGCATTAATAATCAGCGAGAAAAATTCATCAAAAAAAACACGTCTCAAAATTCGTCCGAAGGGAAAATGTCCCGTTTTTCTGTAATGAGTTACTTAATTAAACAACCCATGTTTAGTACTCGTACTGCACTGACTGTACGCGCATATTTTTCCCAAATCTGGAACAAAACACCGCGGATTAAAGCGCATGTGATACACACAGTTTACAGTAGTATAATATATCACAGTACTAACCTAACCATAAGACTAGTAAGTACTTGTGCTAACACGTGCTACATAATAAATATTAGTGCGCCAATTGTCAATTCGCGTTAATACGCTACTTTCAAGTATTTTACTTCCGATATCAACATTGTGTACTTACATTTTCCAGAAATTTATGTTTGCAGTTGACAGTTACTGGGTAAGCAATTATTTTCTTTCTGGTTGTAAAAATTTCAGCAAAGGGTCATGCCTCCCCCGACCACAAACACCTCTCGTCGAAAACTCAACGAGGCTCACGCAGAAACTAACCAATCTGCAATTGATGGTACCGGTCTCGCCGCTCAGGTGCAACGAATGAGCGCAGCCACGCCCGTCAACTCCGCTCCGGGCCCTGGGATTCTTCCAGACACGCTTCTTTCCCCTCTCAACGCCGGTAGCCCTTTAAACGATTCGCCTCCGTTAAAGCACGAAGACTATGCACTGCAACTTATGGAAAACGGTAGCGTTGATGGGATTCTCGAGATAATCCAGCATACGGCGAAATTGTACGCGGAGGGCGTACCACCAGCGCAAGCTATGGATGCGTTGGCGAAGATCCTAAATCAAAAGCAAGGTGGACAAGAACAGACAACGACCAAGATTAAGGCGTTGGAAGAACAGATTCAGAATCAGGAGGAAAATCTGACCAAACTTCAAGCCGAAAACACAGAGCTAAAGAAACTTGAAGAGAGCCGGCAAAAGACGGTGGAACCTCAGGGTGGTGATGGGGATGATGCGAAGCACGGCTCAGAAGATAGACAGAAAAAGTCCAAAGCGGCTAAAGCCGATAAGAAAAAGAAGTAATCGGCAATTGTTTCTCCCCGACCTATCTGTGGATGATGTGGACTCCAGATAATTCGGCAAAAACCTATTTATTAGGTCCGAAATTATTTTGCAATTCCCTCCATGCGAGGATGCAAATACGATTATTACCGTTAGTACGAGCACAGTATCTGTACAAATGGTATCAACGTGTAAAGTTAATAAGATATTAATTTAAGTATTTATATAGATATTAATTTTAATAGCTGTATACAGATATTATATGTAAGTATTCGCACAACGTATGCATCCATATGAATAGGAGGCATTCATATACGTACGAGTAGGTTGACCATACGTATAGTTAGATATTTGTATTCATATATGTAAACAGTTAAATTTATGTATACTGTATGATGTCTGTAACTATACTTTATGAATACATACGTTTGGTCGCTGTTACCATCCAGCAGTCAAAATTCCGGCATACATAATTAATTCATGACTGTAACAGCATTTTTAAATTGAATCCTATTATAATCGTTTTAAATAAATGAATTATATCTACGAATTTTTAATTATTTCATTTAGTTTCTAACTTTCTACCCGATCAGTCTTATTATTTATTACCGGAACTGGCTTTTGGCAAATAATTGACCATTATTGGCAATATCCCACTCAATTAAATTTAACAACAGTTGCAGGCGCTGGTACACTACTTGATAGTTAAAATTCAAGTTTTAAATTGGTAAAATAAAGTTCCATTTCTCTGTATTAAACAGAACATTAAGTTTTATCTTCAAATAAAAAATGTAGCAACGAACGTGTTTTGCAATAGTTTAAAATCCCGTTTAAAGGAAAAATCACAAGCGACGATACAACCATAATTATCACGTAAGACTAATGTACCCGTGCACCGGTCACAACAATTTATGAACATGCCCACAAGCCACGTCCAAATTTTGATAAGGTTAAGGCATTTGAACAAACCATGGCAAATTTCATTATTTCTGTATTTTTTCTTGACTATGTTTCCCTTACAGAAGACGACAAGAAGAACCATGGAAAACCAAAATCAACATCAGGAGACACGGAGTCACCACTCACGGATTCCTACACAGTTAAAAATCATTTGCAAATCAGCAGTAACTAAAAAGCAAAACTACCCAACAAGTAAGAAAAGAAGCAACAAAATGGATTAAGTTAAATTCCCAGAAGTATGAGTGCTAAACATAACTGATTCGCAGCCATCCTGCGGTTACGCCAGCCGCCCAGTTTCCGATCCCCTCCTAACCCAATCCTTTCCCGCAGCGATCCATGCAACGAACATCGCTCCGCGCCCACTCATCCGACCCATCACAGCAATCACAGATCCCATCTCCTACCCATGCACTGGGAACCTTCCGCCTCGTCCCTGGTACAGTCGTGGTGCAGAAGAAATACATCTGCTTGACGGTATAGCTGCAGGCCGACGTGGCAGGCTCATCACTCCCATCAGAGCAATCACAGTAATCGTCGTTGACGCGCTCCACGGGCAGTTCCTCCTTGGAGCCGATACAACGGAATGTCCTCGTGCGGAATGATGATTTATAATGGGGGATATTTTGTCTATCAACGCCAATGAGGCGGGGATTCCGTGCGGGTGGCATCTTGCTGGGGGGACGCCGTGAATAAACGAGCTCGATGGGCAGACTGCCTTCGTTGGGGTTGCCAGACGGGGGATAGGCGGTGAAAAGGAAAACGGCACAGTAAATCGTCAAAACTGCCACGGCGAGAAGTATAGTGAGCTTCCATATTTTCAGATGTAGGATATTTGAAATGATCAGCCACGGAGGTTTGCCACGATGATGTGGAAACATTGATGATAATCCAAAGAAATAATGATCATGAAATTATTAATTATTCGATTGAGAACTGCAAATTTAATTGCTGAAGCATGTAGGTCCGGACTTGTTGGATGGACAACTTTTCAGTATCTTGGTTTACATACAGTTTTATGGTTGCACTAGGAACTCATTGGCGTAAATTTCTTGTGACAAGAATCTTGTCACAAGATAAAAATGAAACAAAATACAGTTTAAGTACTCGTAAAAGACAGAAGTCCAACTCCGACCGTGACTACAGTCATTTTCACTCTTCACAATCAGGAATCGATAATATACTGTAACTAGCTGCTAGTGGCGGGTGGCGTTTCAGGCAGCAGTCAACTTTGCGTTCGATAGCCAGGCCATTATTGGCGGCCACTGGCCATTTACGGGCAAGTTATTATTAATGTCGGCTGTGGCGTAAAACTTACTATGTAATTGACTAGTTGTTTTTGTAGTTGCGGTGCACTTGTTTGTTTGTAACTCAATAAAGCTTTCCCGTACTGCCTTTTTGTTGTTGTATTCTACGCTGTTAAATTCCAGTCACCCGGTGTCGAAACTGTTAATTTATCGGCTAAAATACATCGATCGATTCCGTTAGCTGTACTACCTTGAACTCTACTCATGGATTTGGGATAAAAATTTTAGTGTACTCAGTTTATTGACTTTAATCAAGCCAACGAGATCACCTAGAATCTGCGGTGTACCAGTTGCACAGTGGAAGCACAGTGGGGAGGTCACGTGCAGGACTGCATGACGTGCACGTTTCCACGACCTCCCCTGAGCAGTATGCCCATTAGACTACTCGAGTACAAACCGGAACCGTCTAGATGCGGACGGTTCCGGTGGAAGTCCGCACCGCACGAGAGACAACAACAAAATTTATTTCCAACAAATTAAAAATCAGCAAATTCCCGCGCATATTTATCAGTCGGCGAACTGGGAATGGGATCCTCATCATATTTATCGAAATTACTAGCGTCTCCTGGACCCTTAGTTTTAGGCACAAACGGAGCCGGTATTCGTTTCCCGTATAAAGCCATCCAGTCTGTCTCAGCAAAGAAGGGATGGTTTTTTATATCGTTTGCTCCGCCCTTGAGATTGCCAAAGCGCTTTGTGACATCGACTTGCAATATGTTCTTCACAACATCTTTTAAGTCGGGCGAGAAATGCGTTGGATATTTTACTTTCCCGCTGACAATCTTGTTGTATGTTTGTATGGGTTGATCCGACATAAAAGGAGGAAGACCAGCTGACATCTCATAAATCAGTACTCCGACCGCCCACCAATCAACTGCGCGGTTGTAGCCCTTGCTCAAGATTATTTCCGGCGCCAAGTAATCTAAGAAAGGTCACAGTAAAACACCTTTTAACGATTTTCTCCAAATTGCGCTGCGATTCGTTCAGTGTTTTTACTCGTATATCAAGACAGTACACACACGGACACATCCATTGTTAGTATTGTATATTGTATCTAGGGCCATACAAATTACTTACAAACCACTGAAACCTGGGTGTGTATAATAAAACTGGCAGTAAAAAATTAATATATAATAAATTGTTATAGCGGTCGAAATCTATATACTGCGTTACAAAGTTAAAGAATATGCAGTATCCGGAAAGGTTACCTGGTGTTCCACAGAGCGTCCAGGTCCTTGATTTTATTCTCTTAGCAAATCCGAAATCCGTTATGCGTATATAGCCATGATTATCGAGAAGTAAATTTTCAGGTTTCAGATCTCGATACACCAGATCGAGGGAATGCAGATATTCAAACCCCATTATCACTTGGGCAGCGTAAAATTTCGCTTGTGGCTCGGGGAATTTTCCGAAATTGCGTAAGTGTGAAAACAGCTCTCCTCCACTGATAAACTCCAGACACATATACAAATTGGCATTATCCTGAAAATGATAAGCCATGTTCACGCAAAACGGAAACCTGATGGAATAGAGGACTTGTTTCTCATTCATAGTGTGCTCCACTTGTTTCATTTTGACAATTTTCTCTTTATCGAGGATTTTCATTGCCAAGTACTCTCCGCGGTCCTTGCTCTTGACCAGTATAACGCGCCCGAACGAACCGGCACCCAGTGTTTTAATGCGGTCGAAATCGTTGAGCGTCCGATGGCTGGCTGAGTTCTTGTTCTTCCATCGATCAATGAAAGCCCTACGTCCATCTTCGAGAACGGCACGCCATTGCGTGCCTTGGGCAATCTCCAGGAAGTCATTGTCGAAATCCGTAGTGGCCGCAGACATTGTAGTTCCCTGGATGCAATCGAGGGTTTTATTGGCATAATTGCGACATTTATAAGTGAGTCAGGTAACCAGGAAAAAATCGAATTAGATTTCGGCGCAGGCCCTAACGGCCGGATACATCAGCGGAGCATAAAACCAGTACACTTCGAGGCGGTATTAGTACAATAATAGCACAGAAAGCAAATTGTCATAAACGTCTCCCCGTTTTCGACTGTTAGTAAAGAAGATTATCCTTGGCAACATTGGCCGTCCGGTTGGATTTGAAATCCATCTTCTAAGAATGGGTAAACGAACACTGCCGCAGCCTGACGGCTTTCGGACGACGCTTATGCCTTGGTTTTTGTTGTACTACAGTATATTTTGCGGCTTCTCGTATATCTTTATAAATCGGTGGCATAGCTGATAAGGTAGGTCCTAAATCCTAATGCATGAAATCTGAAGTAAGCTTTGTGTGTAAGTTTGTTTCGCTGACGTGCCCGAGTTGATGCGAACGTGAGTAAAAGTGAAACAAAGATTCTGGTTACAGTTAGTGAATGTAACGAGATGATAAATTCCAGCTGCCCGCTGGCTTATTGCAGTCTGGGAGGAAGTAAGTTAGAGTAGAAAATTATTTTGTTGCAAAAGTTTGTAAGTAAGCAATACGTTTGTTTGGGCGGACGCCGGGGTAAACCAACGCACAAACCATTTTGCGATGGCCGGTAGTACGACCTTTGCGTCCTACCTTTTCGCCTTGCTTGCTTGCGTCGGCTGTTCTTGAGAGTTTTCAGTCATTAGTCATTTCTATAGTCTGCCTTTCTCTAATTCTACGACTACAAGAGAAATTCGCAAAAGTGTGAAAAAATAACAATCTTGGTTGCAGAAGCTGCAGTGTTATTGTAGGTATTTTCGAGTTAAAACAGCCAGGTCTTCTTTCGTTAGTGTATCTGAACTTGCACTGTAAGAGCAGGATTCATATTTTACGATTATGTAGTCTGATTAAAGCGGTATAAACCAGCGCTATGAAGCAGTTCACAAATTCACGAAACTGCTGGATGACAAAATGACAATATAAGACAAGGATAAAACAAAGAATCACAGAGAGTGATAAAGCAAAACATAGCTGAAGAGAATCGGGTTGGTTGTTTACTTGAACAAGGAATATTTAATTACACTCCACTGTATAAAAGTAAAAGAAACCAGGGAACGCGATGTCACATAATTGTTGAAAAATGGCACATGGTCAAGGCAAATTTCGTAGCACACAAATTGGCAAAGCATATTTATGGCTGCATACAAGTACTTTCTTGCATAACACGAAACATGACAAACGAAGCCTCCAGGCAACTCACCCATGTTTTGTATTTCTTATTTTAGTTTCATGTGCTGTATGTTTATGTAAGACCTGAGTACCTTCTGTTATCATGTAATTCGACTGGCTAATCATTTATTACGTACTCCTTGCTCTATTTGGTGAAAGCGGAAAGACCATGCCCAAGGTAAACAGCTCACGGAAAACAAAAGCGCGTTCCACAAGCCTGTGGATGCGACTGAAGCAGAAACCGTTTAAGACGACGATAATTCCTCCCGAAACTGGTCAATCAATCATATCAATCCCCGATGCATGGCCGCAACCAGAATTGCCATTGTGGCGCTCCTTGGAATACCGTAATAAACTGCCGCTTCCCAGCTGGCACAAATGGACGCTGAACTGCGGTCCCATGAACAAAGGCTACGTTCCCAAATGGCTAGGTTATTAGTATTACCGAATTACCCTCACTGAATTTTTTCCTCGACTTACTTAACAATTTCGGCACTGTTGCTGCTTATGCTTTACAGGAGCCATGTTTGACACTTGGGACATAAACGTGCACGTGTACGACACGGAGTACCATCCCCTTCACGATCCAGCTCTTCGTATATTTTGTTTTAATCGAAGAAAGATACTGTTACACCAAAAGCTGATCACACCCGATGGAAATGTGAGAGCAAACTTGCGACAGTTTAATCAGTGGCGGCGACATTTATTCCGGTATTGGTACCAGTAACGCAATTAAAAGGAATGAATTTTGTATTTTAATTGCACTACCGAAGCCTTATCCGGCCGTAACTGTTCTATGTTGTAGGTACCAACACCAGCTAATACTGAAGAAGCAAGCGCTGGCTCGTCGAGACGAACTATGCGACACGATCCGTGGTTAGTAAGGATGGTGAGCGTAAGTCCCGCACGTAGCGCATGCTGAAGCATGGTATACCTGGCATTAAGAACACATCGTTATGAAATACACATACCGTTATAAAATTATTCATTCGCAGAACATCATTAAATTTTGATATAACACTAGGAAAGTCAATTTTTAAATAAAAGTCATCGCGCACATAAAGTTTTTGTGATGTTATTAGGGTTTTTGCACGACCCAAAAAAGACTTCAATCGCACAGGATATTCAAAAAGACGCCGCTGATGTGACGGACGAACAAGCGAACAGCCGTTACCGAGAAGGCGACGAATTCAATGCCCTGTTAGTCGAGCTGAGTAAGCTCCATGACCTTTCCAAGCAAGTTCGTATCGAAATTCTGCAGTACATGCGGAAAGTGAATATCGAAATATCCCAAGAAAGGGAAAGTAACCGACAACTGAAGCTTCTGCAGTTATTATGCAAAAAAGATCACGAAGCCATGGTGCGCCGTCATTATCAAAAAGTCATTCTTTTCACCAATAACAAAAAGAAGAAAGCAGCTACTGCTTTGGAAAAAAGAATGAAAAGTCAAGCCGACGAAGATGAAAAAGCGGAGCAAACGCAAGAAAAAATTCGCATGAGAACACATCATAACGTGGACATGTGGAAAAGCATCTATCGCCGCCTGCATGAGAAAAATCGGCCTAAACTACCTTCCGAACGCACTCGCAAAACAAAGAACACCGATCAACATGGGCAAGCCCTAAGTGGTGGCGCAATACCACAAAATATTATTATAATGTTACCAGATACACCTGAAAAGGCGGCACCTGCTCCTGCAGTTAATCATTCCAAGGTTGACGGGGAACACATCGCGTGTGACCGGTTGGAGGTGGCACTACCCGTACGCTTTTCAGACAGCGATCACTCTGCACACCGTTCGGTTGAAGAGGTTACTAACGAGATTATGGAGAGCGATTCGGCTGGCGAAACAACACCAAGCGGAAATATCGAAAACAGTGGCACGTCTGTGTTGAGCTTTGAGCGCCTGGCAAGAAATATCCTGGAGGACATTTTAAACAGAACGGCTCCTAGCAGCGATACTGCGATCCCTCTTCGTAATGAATGCCCTCCAAGTGGAAAAAGAACGGTTCCAGTCAAATCCGTCTCTAGCACTGTCGAGCAGGACGTTCAACACAAGTCATCAGCGGTATATACAGACTATCGATTTTTAATTATAATGCGTTTTTCATTAACTTTTAATACACTTGACTACTGCTTATGCAAGATGTTTTTCTAGAACTCTGGGGATAGCAAATCGTTAAGGATAATGAAATCAGCGCTGTCAAAGTCAAACGCCAACAGTCAACATGGTAGTAATCACCGGCATATTTCCTTTGCCCCAAATGCTGCGCAAGAACCTGTGGTACCAACTGCCCGAATCAGCACAGAAACAGTGGACAAAAACTGTATCGCTTTTCCACATCAAGCGAAACCTGTGGAACATGAGACGTTTGGTACTCCAAGCTTAACAGGTAACAAAATTGGCAGTTTTTCAAGCAAAAGCGTGATTAATATGGCTGATACTTCTTAAGCAATATCGGACAGTAAAAGTATTATTTCTCGCACTTCCTAATTAAAGTTTGTTGCGTTAAAGATGTTGCTGTTTAAAATTACGTATACGAAATTGTGAGTGTCTCGAGTACCACTGCTTGTGTCATGATTTCAGAAGGTGCTCCAACAAAGGTCAAGAGCTCAGCCTCACCACAAAACATCGGAGGACAACATGCGTCACGTGAAGTCGTGGTGGAGACCACTGTGATTCCCCATAGCGATCATGGAATGCAAAAGGCAGTCTACGTACCTGCGAAATCGCGATCAAAGTTGGAACCCAGCAGTTCACCTAGTTTCCAAGGCAAACATTCTCCGCCTGAGTTCTCCGAATCAAAACCTTTAAGGGATAGGCCTGATTTTCTGGCTGCTCGATCATCAGAACATCAGATACGCTTGCTTGAAGTGGACAAGCCAAGCGCAGAAACATTTGTGGGAGTTAGCAGCAAGAGCAGTCTTCCTGTACGAGATTCACTGGCGACAGCAGCAGACATAGTTACCGCCTTACTGGAGGAGGGCGAGCAGGATGGGGCTGACGTGAATGACTCGAAGGTTTCCGGGAAGAGTCTGCATTCGGTTCAGAATCCAGCAAACGAATCCAAGTCTGCCAGTATATTTGCTCAAAGCTACGAGGTGGCTGATCCACCGCCGAAACGGGAAGCGAGTCCACCGGCAATTGGTGTCGATGAGGACGAAGGCTACGTGATATCAATACCGGTTGTCTCTGTTTTACGGCAGAACAATTATTCTAATTTGGTTACTGCCCACAGCGATACCACAGTAAACAGCTTGGAGCCGGACGGGCTAATTTCGGAAACAGACTTGCCGGCATTCGACGGTAAACCTACGGTAGAGGAAGCTGACGAGATTGTGGAAAAGCTAATAACTACGCAATCTTCGCAAATGAATACGGACACTGGATCGGATACAAATTTGCCAAAGTTATGTAATTCTCCTACTTTCAGTACTGCTTTGGACATAATTGACGATTTGACATCTCATGATGATATGTTCTTGAACATTTATTCTGCCTAAAATGCAGTTCTCAACAGTTCGTTCTATAAACTTGCCGGAAAATCGTTTTGCTAGTCTGATTTGTTTTTGCCCTGTCGGATATTATTTTCGGGCTAAACTGCTGCCCTTGTACTGCATTGTCTGCTCACCAGGGCACACAGGGGTCCTCCCCCTTCAAAAAAATCTTTTTTTTTGCAGGAAGCCAGTAAACATATGTAGGACATTTAAAAAAATATTTTCAGCTGCTGTGATCAAAGTAGGCGTGGTCAAACGTAATTTAAAATCGCCTAATTAGCCAGTACTGCACATATGCAAGTACATTAGGTTTTTTCACCAGGGTCATTTCACCGGCTCCCGCCTCCAAAAAATTTCATTTTTGCAAGAAGACAGAGTGATCCTGTGGTATAAATATATTTTCTTACGGGTCTGACTTGAGAAAAGGGTCTGACTACTGATAACACATATTTATGTCAACCTCTGACATTGCACGCTAAACTGATTATATGGTATTACCAAATCCCGATACGTAGTGCTGTTTGTGTGCCGCTGAAATTTTAGTTTGACCACGCTCACTCAACCATGGCCGAAGAAAATGTTTTTATACGAAAGGATCACTCTGTCTTCTTGCACAGAATGAAATTGTTTGGAGGCGGGAGCCGGTGACATGGACCTGGTGAAAAAACCTAATGTACTTGCATATGTGCAGTACTGGCTAATTAGGCGATTTTAAATTACGTTTGACCACGCCTACTTTGATCACAGCAGCTGAAAATATTTTTTTAAATGTTCTACATATGTTTACTACCTTCCTGCAAAAAATCAGATTTTTTTGAAGGGGGAGGACCCCTATGTGCCCTAGTCAGTCTGAATCGCTAAAACCGTTTAGAATTAAATTAATCAGTTAAGTATGTTTGACGATGGCTGTTGTCATCACTAAATTTTCTAGTACTTACTTAAATGTCTGACCAGTTGCGTCGATATCCCTCAGAGAACAAGGTTAATGATAACTGTGTTCATTTTATCTGTAGCACATGGTACATGCAAGTAAGAGCGGAACAACGTTCGACTACTTTGTGCATGCTGGTACCAAAAATTACGCAGTATTACCTAACCTGATAAGGTAGTAAGTGACAATAAGAAGAAAATGTAGTCACTTTATAAATATTGTACTCTGGACTGAAATGTCTTGATTATTAATTCTGTAACGTTGCATCAAGAGTTGTGACGTACTTGAAATTACTTCATAATTGCAAATACCAAGAAAGATAAGTATTTCAAATTACGTACAAATTAAAATTGTACTAATACGACACCACGCTGTGCCACCGTAGAAAAACAGTATAACTTTTGCCGATATTACTATCATTTGTTTTTTCTGTATGTCACAGTATGTGTAAACAAGCAACCGCGTTATCAAGCTAAAATCTAATTGTAACTTACATAAATCAAGATTGTTATGAAATAAAATTATGAGCAACTTATTGGCAGCTAGTCCGACCATGGGAGAAATCTCCACAGGACACATCGATGTGGAAATCGATAAAGCCGATCTTCCGATAGGTTTATACGCGTCTGAAAATTACCTGCAAACGTCACCAGATTTAAGAAGGCGCTCCGAACTGAATGTGACAACAGATACACTGATAAATTACGGTTCAATGGAACAAGAAAATCTCGCTATCGAAGGTGGCGAGCGGGTGCAGCGATACGAAAATGTAACCGTCAAAGAAAATAAGCACCCCAAAGGGCCTGAAGGTTACCAGAACTTTGGTATGCTGGCAGCGTCCTCATTTGATAAAGGGACATTAGAGGAATCGGTTATGCAGGAACACGCCTCCGAAGTACCACTGGACAAAAAACGAAACTATCAGCAGATGACGGAGAGAACAAGTAATTTTGTCCCGGAAGACAGTGAGAAACCGCGAAACCTAACCACTGACGAACCTCTTTTGCCCACCAGACGATCAGTGCAGCATCTCTAATCGAACTCGACAAACAACCTTTTGTCCATATATTTCACATTTTCGCTACCGTTTACGCTACTCGTGATTTTGTCGGTGCCCATGCCCTTTTCCAATTTTTTTTTAAAATTTTGTGAACACTAAGGCTTGTTTATGTACCGTAAGGATTGGTACCGGCTGTTGTGCATTTTCAGAACAATATTTCTTTAATTTGTTGCGCTTATGTCATGCGACTCGATGATGCGGATTGCGCGTAATGTATTGCATATCTTCGAGCGGCACCCATTCAAGGTTAGCTGAGGCTTCGACTGGAAGAGGGTACAAATCCTGCCTCATGCGTTCTTTCATCTCTTCTGTTACATTTCGCCGGTGCATCTTTCGTATAGCCACGGCACCTTGCGAACGGTCTAAAATGATGGTACCGCTCAGGCGTTCCAGATTGAGGCCGCAGCATTCGTAAAATCTATTCGTCTCCGGAAGGACCTGCCGTAATGTATCGAAAACTGGCAGACAAAAATCCCGTAAAAACTCCACCTACAAAATAAGAGAAAAATTTTTGTGTGAAATATTGCAATCGACAGGTATAGTACTTAATAGATGTTCGCTAAGTACAGTATGTATATTTATTACCTCTAACCGGTGCAGCTCAAGTGGGTCGTCTGGCAAATCCCAACGTTGACAAAATTCGGCTCCATTATCTTGAAATTCGCCGGTAATGCTATAATATTCTTCCAGTGCGCACTGAACAATTTCTTGATACAGCTCAAAAGAGCGACAAACAAAGTGCAGGGAGGCGGCGGCTACAATAAACTCTTTTAGGTGTTGCCGGAAATCGGGATTCTTAAAATTGGGCAGTCCAAATTTGATGCTGCTCCGCAGTGCAGCACTCCGTAGAAGTAAACCTGGTAACTGTGTCGCACTGACGCAAGACCTGCTGTTTTCCAACAGTTTTCGCCATCGCTTGTCTTTATAATTCGAAAAAATGTTTGTTGACGGGTTCTGCAAATATCGTTTCTTTCATTACAGGGTTTACGCTAAAATTCGTGAACCAGAAATTCTTACCCACAATACAACTGACGGGTAATAAACGGAGTTGTTATTCGGTGTCGTAGTCCCGAATACATACATCAAACCTCTGGCCGGATCGCATCCTTCCGTCAATGTGGCATTGTACCAAAAATGATCGACACCGTGGCATAAAGCCGCCACGAGCATTGTCAACTTCTCATCGTCGCTGAAAAGGTCACCGGTTTGTTGTACAATGGCATACACCGATTGCAGCGTTGCAAAAGCATTCTTCCAATCTTTGAATCGCGTACGAAAATGAGCGTTGCGGATCGTCTCGATGAAGTCAAACACCATCTTCACTTTAACACTCGACTCCGTCAACATATCAAAAATGAAGGTCATGGAAAGGCTAACGCTGTCGCTCAGATGATCAATAAAGAAAAACGTTGGCTCAAGCATATCGCGAGTGATTTCAGCAAACGGTGGCGGCGGCTTGATCACGTCTACGGGCATCCATGCCCTTTCGGTGCGGTGATATTGCCGTTTTCTGGCGTAAGCCAGTTTCGACCGTTGTAAGTTAATAAGATGTTCGTGTTTATTGGCATGAAAACGATACCATGCAAGCAAAATGCCGACAGCTGGAAACACGCTGTTTAAATGTAACATATCAATGTCCTGATCCGAAAAGCTGGAAGAACTCCTCTTATTCAGTACCTCCACCATTCCGTACGGCTCATTGTTAATAACGAATGGAACACAGACTTGAGACTCAGTCTTGTTAGAGAGAATGCGGTCAATTTCGGAGAAGAAGTGTTTATTGTCCTGTGTGGCAACTGACGCATAGGTCCGACGGTGGCGAAAAGTACAGCCAACAATTCCGCGATCGACTGACATTCTACAACATACAACTATACATAAATCAAGCATGCATAGATACAAATATAGATATTTGAATGAAGCGGTAGTGTCTGGTTAATACTGTGATAATTATGAATCGAAATAGAGTATACAAACTGTAAATCAACAGGCCCGATGTCTGTACTCTAGCTGCATTACTCGAGATTCATGATTATTATCATTAAAAGTATTTCGACGACTTACCGAATATCATATCCTCGGCGGTAAGATGGGCGACCGCTGATTGGATCGATCAGACCCGTACCCAGATGAAAAGGAACCAAATGTCGCTCCGCCCGCAAAGACTCCGTCAGAGTATTAACTAGAAATGAGCTCGATCGGTCGGCATCAGTCAAAATTTTCACCAACATTAAGGTATGGTGGAGAAATTCCTCGGTAGAGGCTTCCTTGAGCTGCAGTATTGACTGCATTTCTCTTCTCATTTTTTCCTGCACTTTCCGCTCCTCGTTACGAACACCGGTAAAATAACGGTACCGCGTCAAAAAGGAAACATAAGTGAATATCGCTTCACATTCGTTTTCCGAAAACACTGGTTTGTTTGAATTCCTGATGAACCCCAGAATACCGATAATACGACCATCATGGATGCCGACGGGTATCAACATTGCAGAGTGAGCATTCTCGGAAATATTTGGTAGAAACCGACATCCTAATGCCAGATACGACTGCAAGTTTACAACGCGCCGCCAGGTTTGATCGATCAGTGTGCGACAAAGTATATCACTCTCCACACGGTAATCCAAAACCAACTCGAACATATTTGGATCTTTTGTGAGAGTTCCTCTGCGCAACATGCTGAAATTCAAGTGCGATTTAGACGCAGGAAGATTGGAGCTAGGGACCGTATGCAGAGCATTTGCCGCCGATAGGAGACCGTGGGAGTTTCTGTCCGACATCTACGATTTCCGAACTGTATGTGCAAAAGCAAATAAATGACCCCCGACAACAGAATGCATGACGCACGACATACGGCTTAAAACTCACGTCTAAAGTGGAGTGTTCTGTCCTCATGGCATGCAGCGGTTCCAACCCATACTGTAGACTGTCAGGAATCGCGCGGACATAACTGGGCGACGGTCTTCTGGGTGGATATTGCTCCAGCGTAACCAGCGGTCCATCAATTTTTTTAACAGTGTAAAACACGACGGTGTCGGCAAAGAGAACATCTTTCTGCTTTTTAGCATAATTGAATATTTCTTTATTTAACTCGGATAAGTTTTCGATGGAGAAGTCCTTATCATCGTTCCATACAGGCGGCGTTGTGACCATCACACTGTGTGGAGGAAGATCGTAAATGTACTTGGAATCTTCGTGCCTCAGTGAAAGTTTGTGATGTCCTTCTGCTTCTTTACCTCCTGCTTTATGTTCAAAATGTCGCACGGATCCAACTTTGTACTGAAGAGTGTCGTCTTTGTGTGGCTTGTTCTTGATAGCAAACAATGGCGGAGGCAATTTGCGACGGGCTTTTTTTAAATGCAGCATGTGAAAAGCATCTCTAGCAGCAAAAACACCTGTTGTTTTAACATACTCTTTAACGAACTTTTTGTTGGCTAAGATTTCCTTTTCAATAAGCTTAGGATGCGTGCAAAACCAGAGAGGATCCTGCTGCGTCGTTTGTTGTAGGAGATCAACGGTCTGGCTTCGACAAGCATGCTCATAATTGCCGAGGTACATTTGATGGCGCAGATAGCTTGGATAATTATTGGCCGTCGTGTGACAGTTTTCGTTCTCTTTTTCTTGGATAATCCGCACAAAACTGTCATCCGAGGCTAGTTCTTGCACAGAATCTGGTAAATAATGATCGTAATTCCCGCTCTCCATTCCAGACAGCAACTGATAAAACTTGAAGTCAACCGGACATTTCGCATTTTCCGTCTGGAGGCGTAAGTCTTTCCAAGCTTGTGTGAGGTATACTTTCGGTGTCTTGAATACAGTCTGCGTTGACTGATCCGTTTTTGTGGGTCTCGACACTTCCTGCTCGATGTCTTTAACTTTTTGTTGTGATACCTTTTCTCCGGATACTTTTGCACGTCGCTTATCATGTTCGACAGGAATAACGGAATCTGCAGTGTTTGCTGGAGGAACAGTGGTCGATACTTCGAGAAATGACGGAATTTCTTCGGTATTTCTAGCATCCTGATGATGGTCTTGGACACTTTGAATATTTTCAGAATCAGCAGTCGGTTCCTCGAAAGTTGTTATCGATCGTTTAAAGTTGTTATCGATCGGTTGTCCTTGATTTTCATCCATTTGTGGATACCGCAGTAAATGTGAAAATTTATAAATAATCACATGCAGGTTTTTTAGCCTTTAAAATATAATCAGACATTCGTAAGGTCAAAATCCAAATCAACTGAACTCAAAAGCATCGCGAAAAACACCGCCCCTGTTCCATGGGAATTGGGATTGTCGAAGTATATTTTCATACCGACTGTAGATAGCCGCTGCAGTTTTAAGTTTTACAGGTATTTGCAATTCCGTTAAGTTTTTTGAGTTATCAGTGCGCCTCACGATCATAATTTCTGAAGTACGCGTACGATCAGGTCCCAAAGCGGCAGCTGCCTAACACTTTAATAATAAGAATCCGTGATCTAACTACAGAATACATACAGATACTTAGTGCTTACTGATTACGAATTCGCAGTTTAGGCTGCGAGTACATACAGCAACTCAATTACGCATTCAACTGGTGCCGGGAATTTAACATTGGTGGTGCTCTTCCGCTAGCTGTACAGTACTTATACCGTTTACGCAAGGATGCAGTAACGATGTACTATACTTAGTACACTATGCTTACTATGTACTATACTATGCTAAATATATATTGGGATGTACTATATTATGCTATTATGCTTAATATTAGTACTATATTATTAAGAGTCGTGCGTGATCCTTCCACCTTTTTAATTGCAACAGTGTTTTACAAGAATGCCAACAAACAGCTGATAATCCAGCGTTAAATTTTTGTAATTGTCCTCACATTCAATTCAGCCCGATGCATTGCATTAGTGAAACTGAACCTGAAAGTTACCAGTAATATGATGCACATTGCCACTGCATTCGTAGGATTGCAATACGCGGATCGGCGTTAACCTTAACAATTGGCAGCAATAAAGATCATCAAGCTGTTAAGATGGGCTTACAGATTTGCGAAGACCATATAAACAAAACTTATGGCAGGCCCTGCAGATCAAGCAGATAAATCAATTAAGTACAAATATTACGGGCCTGCTTTCGGCCGCGGTGTCATCGGCGTTGGTAACCTCACAGCCGCTTTTTCCCGATCTCCAAAGGCAATTGCCAGCATTGGCCCATCGTTAGCTCCGCTATCCGGCGTCTTCTTACTGGGTAATGGTACTGTTAAAGATCCTCGAACCGGCACGGGCGGGGCTCGGCTCAAAGCATTACCCACCGAATTACCTTGGCCGCATGCCAATTTCCCCAAATCCACTGTTCCGGACATTTCCACAGAGACACCCCGTTTCGATGCATCGATGCTGACAGTCGGGACAGACGGAGTAGACAGAGCTTTACTAACCAATATCCAGTTACTGTCGACTGGGGGTGGGATAGGCGTGCTGACAGTTTCCACTACCACGTCTCCGATGATTTTTAGCGCGTCTTTACAGGCTTGATGCATGGCCAGGGCAGATTGGCGTCGCGTCACCGCGTCTTGGGACTCTTCCATCAAACCTTCTTGATCGGTGCTACCATACAGTTTTGGAAGCAATTCAGAATGGATAAATCGTTTCATTTCACTTATCAGGAGGTGGACAATGGTTTTCGGGATGATATCACGCACGTTCTTACTGACAATGCGCATGTATGATTCCACCAGGTTTCGAATTGTCTCGACTTGTCGCTCGAGTTGAGGGTCTGCTGGGTCTGCATCTGAAGCATTGCTCTGTGTAATAAAAGATGGGTAAATAATAAAATTTATTATCAAAGCCAAAAGAATATCCATGATCACACTGATGGGGTTAGGGAATATGCCCAGAAAACTAAAAAAAGAGACCAAAGAAGTTCATCTCATCTTACTGTGCTTGTTTTAAATTTATCGTCGACTTTTGTAGGGTTAATTCCCACTCGGATAAATGCGGCCCTCCAGCCGTCCATCTCGTCCGGGTTTGCACAAGACAGTTCGAGTTGTTTGTGACCTTTGTAAACATTCCGTCCATCAGGATGGTATAGGGCGACTACCGGTCTCCTTGATAAAAATCCTGCGTCCAAGTCAAAATACCTCAAACCTTCCACCGGCAGTATAAATTTTCGTTCGATTTCACTCATATCGTTGAACCAAGTCAGATCCTCATGGGTAAGAACAAACCACTGTTCTTTGTTGCCTCGCATAAACCCTCCGGTCTTCTGTACAGCGAGATAACCTTTTCGCAGTACTTGATTCCCAGGCGTTGACTGCACCTAAGCACAACGCTCTTCTTGTATGGAAGCAAATGGATAATGTGCGACAATGAGATGCCTTATGTTGCATACCTTATGTTGCGAGGCTGAGGCACGTGGCGCAGCGCCTTGAAACCCTACGAAATCGTCATGGTTTGTGTTCATATAGGCGAGCTCAATGTCGATTATCAGTTTGATTTGCTCTTTCGTGATTCTCTCGCGATCGCGAGCATGCGTAGCAATCAGCCGTTCTATTTCCTCTTTGAGCCGCGGAAACGGATCCAGACGGTTGCTGATTTGGTGAATAGCCTTTGCCAACTCGATTATTACCATATCGACACAACGCAGTGACGGCTCCTTCAGCTTGACAATCTGAGTTTTAACGATCGTCTCAAAGGCTTTGTCTGGTGTGAACAGCCCAACCCGAACTCCATGAATGTTTCTGATAGCCACAGCAATTTCCCGTCGCAATTCCGTGTCAGCAAATCCAGTTTTTAATAATTCGTACGGAAACCGCTCATGGAAGATGCGATTTATCCGAGCGCCACCACTAAGTTCGTTGGTGTTAACATCGTAGGTGCCAACCGTGGCACCTTCTATGCAACGTTCAAATTCATTTGCAAATTGCTGCACCAATAGCAGCATGACCTTTGTCCTCCGCGACGTATCGCCTGGAGCCAGCAGTTTGTAGTCCTGAATTTCTTTTTCCATGGCGTTTATTTGGCGGTGAATTTTTTCTCGCACGGCAGGTAATACGTCACGAATGTGGTTGACGAGCTGCTGATTTAAAACTTGCTGGAGAAATGGTGTGCCCATTCGGTCTGCCATGTGTCTGAAAGGCAGAGCATTGCAGCAACTGCTTCATATTGACTGGAATAAGCTCAGTGTACGGTAAGCATCAAAACGGCCACCACTCACCCTGCCCCTCCCATGTTTTGAAAGTGATTCAAAGTAAATTTCGGCGTAAACAATGTACAGTAAGCGCAAAGTATACTCGAAGCGCCCCGATTAATGAGTGCTCGTTTGAAGGGTTGTCTCACTGGCCGATTTGAGCCTAACGATAAGTTTAATTACGTAATAATAATAATGTTCTCGGGTGACCGAATTCGAGCTGTACCTCCCAACATTCAAAATCTTCACCGGTATGCAGGGTGGCCCAGAAAGAAGATGCGTTCGCTCTCCAGAGCTTCTTGGATATTTTTATTCGACTCGACATCTCTCTGGCTACGACTGACCACTCCAACATAACCTCGCCGAAGCGGCAAGAGACGGTTTTCCAAGATTTCTCTAGCGTCAGTTCCCTCGTCCATTAGATCGAGTTTGGTGATGACCCCGATGGTCCGCACACCCATCGGATCAACTTCCTTGGCGATCTTTAAAGCATCGGATGTGGCCAGATCAGAGTTTGCGGGCGATACAGCGAGAATTAAACAGTTTTCCTGACGGACAAACTGAAGAACCATGTCCCGAATTTGTTTCTCAATATCCCGTGGCTGATCTCCTACTGGAACTTTAGTCATTCCAGGGAGATCAATCAAAGTCAGGTTCAAAACTGCGAAAGGCAAAAAAATGCGTTACATTCACTGGTTATGCTGGTTTCGTTTGAAATCTATTTGGTACAGTACTCAAAACTTTAGTACAGCTGCGAAATGTTCCACTGCCTGTTAAGCGAAACACATGGGCTATGTATGATAAGTTTCGGAAGAAACGCGGGAATTACCATGTGGCGAATAAATCCGCAAATGGATAGGTACAGGTGAAATATTTTTTGTATGACCAAGTAATCTGTCGGTTTCGCGTTCGATTTCACGCCGTACTTCACTGAAGTCTGTGAACTGTTTTCCTTTTAAGTGTAAGAACTCTGCGCACTCGACATCGTTAGTGACCAGCTGCAGTATGACTGGCCGTCGGGTCACGACACCAGATCCCCTAGGCAAGAAATCCCGTCCCACGAAGCTCTCAAGAACACTGCTTTTTCCAGCACTTTGCCCTCCAATAACAGCAATTTGGGGCAAATCAAGAGCCACGGGAATGAGCAACTGGGCAAAAGCATGTTGTAACTTGTTAACCATCGGAATTAGCTTTTCCATTCCAGGATTGCCCGGGATAATGTTAGTCATTTTCTCGGGCAAAAAAACTTCAGCTACTAAGATAAATACCAAAATCTGCTATGTGAAAGCCTTGTGCTAAGTAAGCAGCTTTGTTCAAACAAATTATATGCATCCAATAAGAGAAGTTGACGCACGACGGCGTTTGTGAGTACTGTAATAAATTTCAGGATGATCGAGTCAAACCTGGCAACGGTGTCGAACACCTTGTTTAACTGAGAATTAACTACTGTATATTATAAGCATAAGTCATAAGAGTACAAACTATAGCAGAACGTAAGTGTAAAAGCAACTTTAGTGCAATGATAGAATAATTTTCGATATTGCAGATTTCCTGTTTCTGGTTTACACGCCTGTAAAGCAGTTACGTATTAAATATAATATACATTCGCATTTGCCGCACAAGGGAGCACTGTAAAGTGCATAGTGCATACTCTGCATAGTGCATACAGTCCAAATATGATAGCGCAGTGATCTCAAGTGGTACACACTTGAAGAAAAGTTCCTGCATAGAAGTACTGGCGTGTACGACGTTTCAGCTGCAGGACAAAAGGAGAATCTGACAAATAAAATTTAAAATTTAGTGCAATCACAGACTTAAAAAATGCCATTAAAATCTCATTATATCCTCTTTACAACTCGGATCAGTACAAGCAGCAGTACGAATATCCATTTCTAAACTGCAGTAAGAAATTGTGCTAAATAAATCGCTTTCCGGTGGTATAGGTAGCCTTGCAAGATCTTCCTTCAGTTTGTCAATCTTTCCGCATGCATCACTCTCCTCTTTCTTGGGTGGATAGCGACTGGCACATGCATCTTTCTCTTTAGCGGGCGCACATTTGTTTTTCTTAGGCTGATCAGCTGACTTGGGGCAAGCAGATTTGCATCCATAGGCCACCTTCGGGCCACATTTTCCATCGCCTCCCCCTGCTGAGTCCACGCGGCAGCCGGCTGTGGGCCGGGGTGGAACCACCACGGGATGTTTACTAGCGTAGGCGCCACGTGGTGGTTTGATGTCGAATTCGTGCCATTTTTTGCCCTTCTGTATCATAACCTTATACCTGAAAGCACCATTCGTTAATAATGACGACCAACGCTTAAAAACTCATGTACGGCAGCCAAGTAAATTAAGTACTGTATTACATTACAATATGTACCAGGTTACCAAGTTTAACTTATGTCCAGTATTAATTCGCCAACATAACGTTTTGTAAACGCGTACCAATTAGCGTCAGCAACCAATTCATGGGCTTCGGATCTGTTCATCAGACAGGGATCTTCTCGTTCACAACAAACCATCTCCTCAGCTGTCATATATGTCCATCTGACACAATTTAAAACCGCTCGAATATGATCTAAACGGTCTTCGGGGCGATAATTTATCCACAACCGAGCGGCTTCAAAAACTTCCAGTTCCGTCTAGAAAATGTCGGGCTGAATAAGCACAGCAAAATTTTAGAGGTTGATGTCAACGGAACGATGAATACCTACCATAATAGGAATGTCCTCATGTGACAATAGGTTCAGCACCCAACGGACTTCCCAGTTCAGGAAGTGGCACCCGTTGACATGTTCAGAGAAGTTTGCCACAAACAATTTCCAAGTATAATCTGCCAGGCAGCCCATTTGTTTGCACAAAGCAAAGTCAATAACATTAGTTTGATTCGGTGGAGCAAACAGCTTATCGTGGTATTCCTTCAGGACAACCGGTACATCCACAACGCCCAGTGCATTAGCAGCAGCCATGATACCCAAAATATTGTATATGTTCGCTTTCAGTTCTCCATAATAAAGGAAGTGTAAGACTGCGGCTACATCTGATCCATCTATTTCCTGTAAACATTTGTCATCAGTTAAAAAATATATTATATTGTTTCTAGGATTTAGTGCGAAATAGCGGCCACTAAGCACTGTATACACTGTGTTTTGTAAATTTGATTTCGACTTACGCACAAATCTAGAGACGGTTGATCTCGAAGAGGCTGTCCTTCGATCACTGGTATATCATAATTCGTGAAAGCTAAAAGATATTCTTTGTGGATCTTGTATATATGATCTCTTGAGGTTACGGTAACATCCGTAAAGAACTGGTCTTTTAAATCCGCGCTCAAATAAATCGCCAGTTTTTTTGAGTCTTGAAGCTGCTCTTCATCGTTCAAGTCTTCCTCAAGTGACATTAGTTCTACGTAAAAAAATACATGTTATCGATACCTCGATCCGGGTGCGCTTTGACCAGAAGCGTACAAGGGGTGATTAAGTACGCTTCAAAATTAAGTACGTTTCCGAACGCATATTACGGAAAAATTCTAAAACGTTGTGTTTTGTGGCAAAGCATACCTTCTGCATCCATTTGACTAGGAGCCGAGCAGTCTTTTCCGCCCTTGGCCGATCCACAAGCTGCCTTTTTAATCAATGCCGGGTCCCCGGCTGTTTTCGTGATGGTAACCATCTGCGCCGGCCTGCATGCGACATTTTGTGGTTGGTTCATATCCTGTTCGAACACACTAGCGGCCAGTCTCATGGGTTCTTCGTTACCATGACCTTTGTGGCCTCCTTGCCATGCTATTATGTCGCACGGGTCCACCGGTGGGCCACAAGGACCGCAATTCCTGCTACCCTGTTTCTGTCCCCGCCCACCAGCCGTCATAGGACGCTGTCCATCGCGAACAGCAGTATTCAGTCTGCCTTGCGTGTTTTGAGTATCCACGCTTTTCCACGGCTTGCTTTGCTTTCCCTGCCCACATTCAACGGCTGGATCAGGTGGTGCACACGGATCACTGTTGGGAATGCAACAGGTTCGACTAGGCGGTCCGAGATGCGCCAGATGTGCAACCGGTGGAAGACAGTCCGCGTTGTGATCTTCTAAGTATCCTGTCCGCTTGCACGACCGTCCCAATGGTCCACGCGGCTTTTCCGCATTTTTCTTGCATATCGTTTTCTCCCAAACAAGGCTGCCCAGGTCTGGTCGTGAATCGGCATTAGGTTCAGGTCCTGAACACGGCACTGGGGCTGGCGGCAGTCCACACGGTGTGCCATATTTACGCTCTGTTCGCGACAAATGGGTCGGGCTAGGTTTCTTTTTTACCACCTTAATTGACACTCCGCGTTTGGTTAATCTCGTCCGCGATGGTCCGTCGAAAACCGATTCACAGGGCGTGTCCTGGTCGAGAGAATTGCACAATGTTGAGGTTATGCTGAGACCTTCCAGTCCGTCATCTTCTTTCAACATAGCCAACAGTTTCTGTGTATCGGTGGTCGCCAGTGAAACATTATCGCTCTGACGCGATCGGCCACCGCGTTCCGATCTGCTGAATGTCGTACTCGTTTGAAAAGAGTCATCAGTGCGCCGTGAAGAGTTCTCGTACGGTGGATTCCGTTTCGAATCACAATCTCGTTTGCTACAGTCTTTGTGGGTTTCTGTCATTTTCATACTGACCTGCCGTAACCCCACCAAACACGGTTCCACTCCCGTTGCTGTAGAGATGGCATCAATGTTGTTTGTACGCAAACGACAACCGTCTCTGTCCGTTAGACCCTCCAGGCCGGTGGGTGACGGCGAATGACTGGCTGATGATATGGAACGACTAAAGGGGTCAACACCACAGTTGTTCTGCTTAACGTTAACACAGGTCCACAAATCGGTACGCGGTTGTAAGAAACGGTTTTCTGTCTCTTTGCAACGGCGACGTTGACGGTTCTGTTTTTGTGCTTCCCGTGCCTGTTTTTGCAGTTCTTGACGGAAATCGTCCGCTTCGCATGGATCAATACAGGGATCGAGTGAGGTGGCCTCCGGAGGAATGACATCCGTTAGTTGCAAATTGTGCGCAGGAATCATGGGGGGCGGCGACAGCACGCCTGTCGATGGATATGGTTTCGGTCGGGTGTCCGCGGGCATTTTGCTTAAATTTGAATCATGCAGCTGTTGCAAGAATACTGCGTAAACGTTTCTGTTAAAAACAAAACAAACCTTCCTCCTACATTTAAAGAGTTGTTGTTTCGAAATCAAAGTGGTACAGCATTCAAGAGTCCAAGACTGATGATTATGTACTGTGTTGCTTGGTAGCGTGAAGTAATTTCCGGGCTTTTTAATACGGTTTACAAAACTGGCACAAAGCAATGATTACAGCACACCAAAAGTTAGAAAATGTACAGAGTCCGTACTAGCGGCATCAAATACTAAGAAGCGTCACCATTCTTTTGAAACAAATTTTGCCAAACAAGCGAAAAGCACACACCAAAACAATTCCGTTTTAGTTCAATATTACTATGATAAAAGTCACCTGTGAACTATGCAGCCATTGCAATATCACAATATCCCGTAAAACCATCCGGTTGTGGGCATTGCTGCGAAGGTGTACACTTTGGAGCAGTACCGACCAAATCGTCTGGGGCATGGCTCATTGCTTTCCCGGCAATTTTCAGACAGTCTTCCGGTTTATTGCACGCCTACAAAACGTATTCAATAGTGTGCCGAAATCAGTTAGCAAGACGCATGATACTACAATGCACTAGAAGCATCGAACAATCGGCTTCAACTAAAGACCAACGTACATAGCGCGGGAACGGATTAATTACGTTTCGTTCACAAAACGATGAACAGTATCCGTACGCAGGTTTTTAGTGTCTCAATTTAGATACTGTTCGGGAAGCCACCTCGAGAGGTAGATCTGCTGTATCGCAACGAGATTCGCTTCGAAATTGCGACACTCCCTAAGTACTCCTACAGCCATGCTCAACAAGTCCAGACACTTACCCAATTCTCCTTAGTCATTTCTTGGCTAATATCCACTAAGCAAAAGCATCTTGCGCCAGTGCATGTCTGAAAGTAATTACAGCATGTACGAATTGATAATTAAGTAAACACTTCGCACTAAAGGACGTAAACGAATCGTACCAGACCAACGTCGCCGCACTGTTTTGTCGAAAAGCACCCTTCTCCTTTGTTCAAACCTGACGGTCAAAGCATGATTGTTTAAAAATTTTTATTGTCATCTGAATTGCAAAAATGCTCAAAAATCTTTTAACCGGTTCTAAGACGTATGGTACAGCACTTACCGTATACGACAACCGAACCGGTCAACAAAAGTAATCCGACCGCGTACATATCCGCTTCGAGCTTTAATACAGTCAAGTATTTCCTATATTACTGTTATTCCGTACAAACAAAAGAGAGCGAGAACCGTTTTCCAGTTTTTTCGTGCAAATATAGCTAATTCTTCAACGCAAACGTTTCCGAAGATTACAAAAATCGCTTTCGATTACATCAGTTTACAGCTGATAAGTCAGTCAACCTGCTTTTATGCAATCCATCAACCCGTTCATTATCACTACGTTTCGTAACCGAGAGCGCTTAATCTGTTCTCCGCAGACCAGCAATCAAAATTTGTGATAAACCTTAATTATAAACGACGTCCGGAGAAACGATGAATTCATGGCTGCCTTCGTTCACGAAACATTACGGTGCAAATTAAATAAAAGACTCGTAACACAGCGATCACGAGGCATACTTGGAGACTGTATGCCGGTGCAAAAATCCCATCCACCTGGTTTGTCATATGACTTTAGTTTATAGCCGGGTTAATTTTAGTAACCCTGATTATTGATCTAAACAAGCTCAGCTGAGCCTTAGGCAGTATAATTTTCACACTTGCCACTGCCGCATGCTGACAAGTTGTGTTTTAAGAATTTATTGCCTCTAATGCCGGCAAATGCGGCACATTAGACAAGAACAACAAATAAACAAGTAAGTTCCCAACTAATGTTTACTAGTTTGCCGGCATGCATGCTTACTTGACCGTGCAGATGACATGAAAATTGTTTTTCATCACTGCAGATAAAATTCATGCTACAGCTCACAAGCAGAAGTCCTTACAATAGTGTAGCCGTACAAATGAGATCTGTAGTGAAGGTGTACATCTCATTGGTGCTAGTTCAACCGGAAACATCTGAATGTGTACTTGTACGAGATGACCAGTTCTAACGTGGATTTTCTAGACTTCTGAGATTGTCTGAATGTTCTGAAATCATTCTTGTTCTTGCCCTTGCCCTTGCTCTTCCCCAATGACTTTTCAGCTGATTAAAAATGTTTGTGCACTTTGACAATCGCGCCGGTATCGGTTAACATGTTCGCAATTGCATAATTGATTTTTGGGTAATTCGCTAGCTGGTAACATCACCGACGGTCACCAACGAACCATCAAACCTCGTTTTATCGTGGTACGGGTGTGTAACCCACTCCACTAGTGGCAGCTTAGAAGTTGCCGTTGCAATAGTGTGCCCGCGTGCAAAACTTGGCATTTGGAAAAATAATAGTTATCTCAAATATCAAAATTAGAAACGTTAAAAGCACGAAGGATACTGAATTCCATTGCAACAAGCGTTACCGACGGAAATCAAACGGCGGATGATGATAGAAAAACCGCTTTATCTTTCTGTCGGATTTCGATTTTTTATCATTAGCCATCAACCTGCCTACCTTCCGGGCGGTGACAAGGGAGCACTGGTGGTTATTTGCCTCGCTTCTTTTGCTGTTAGTAGATATTTGCATGACTGATCAAGATGCGATATTTGCAAATTTTTATTTGATTTTCTTTTTCTTGACTATCTTGTCCTGTTTAATTTGCCCATCTTTTGCGGGCAGTGTACCCAGGTGAGTTAAGGCTTACCTGCCCTGCGCATGCGTGTTTTGTCGATAATGCTACAGACTTATTCGTATATCCAGTGATGTAGTGCAATTGTTAGCTCTTGTACATGTGGAAAGGCAAACAAAGGATTTCCGCCATAAATCTTCAAAAAATCCATTAAAAAATAGTCATATTATATGGCGTGTTTTGTCTGTTGCGCATCAAAATAATACCGTAGTACACGAACGTAGCTGGTTGATAACACAATAATATGCATAAGACAGCGACGTACTTTCATTTATATACACTGGATTCTGAGGTAAGCCTGAATTAGTAATCCACATAATACTATTACTAATCCACATAAGACTGGATAAAATTTAAAACACAACAGCAGAACATACTAGCAATATAGCACAGCGTCCTTTACAACAATGTCAGACTCTACGCGAAATCTCTGCGGCATCGCCTTTCTTTCTATCGTTTACATGGCTGTCTTTCGGTTCTACGGTCAATTCTAGCCGTTCTACACTGCTTTTCGTAGCAAAGCGGTTGCTTTTGTTTGCCTCCGTAAAGTTGGTGCGGTTCTTTACGAGGGACTTAAAGGGAAACCTCGAGGCTAAGTTTCGGTTTCCCATCACTTTTAAAACGGTAGCAGTCGATACTTCGCCACAATCGGGTCGTAGGGGTTTATCTGGTCGCATTTGTCTCCAAAGCTTTTCTATTAACATCCGCCTAAAACATACCATGTTAAAGTTGTTCTGAACTGCAACATATTGACAATCACGTATTATATACACATAATTTAAAGCTCCGCCCTTTTCCATTTACTTATTTCGGGCACCTCCACTACCATCCGGAATTTTGGTTTTAAAATCCTCTAAACACTCGGCAACCAAGTGCACAAGAGACGCGGCATCCATCACTGTTGGCGCTGGGCATGCTGCCACGATTTCTTTCAAAAATACAACTTTGGTATTTATTGTTGCATAGGTATTTTTTGTTGAATCCTTGTGCCACCTTACCGGTAACGGCACGCTCAATATGGTAGTCTAATTGGCGATCCAACATTTTGACTTCTTCGGATACGGTCGGTGCGCCAGGGAACACAATAAGAGCAACCGTAATATTATCACGAGAACCCTAGAAACATACTGCATATTAGTAAAAATGCCTTACTCTCTTGTTCGACGCGATGCAGTCAGAGAGGGATAACGGATTCGGCAATAACGGGACCCTAATATCACGATTCTAAAATCGTTTTTGTAAACTACCAATTTACAGAAACTGATTTGATTCGACTGTCATTTGTTCAAAGTTTTTCGAGTAAACTATATTTGGCACGCAATTTAGGATGCGGTGATTCTTGGCATGTATAGAATCATTTTCTACACCTCTACGCCGAGTTGCTTGCACGTTTCGGTGGAGAGGCGTAGAGACGCGGCGTAAACACAAAAAAGCAGAAATCAGTGACTGCCGAATTCGCTGTCTGACTACAGCTCTTCGAACCAAGATCAAACAGTACAAGATTTTACGGCTCCCTGAGCTGCATCGAGCCAAGTACCTTGGATGAATCGGTTAGCCCATTACCCTTCCAAGGCAGACGTCCAGAATGGTGGAGCAGATGTGATCCAGACTGCTGGTCACTTGCAGCTGGTAGCGAACAAACCGGTAGAATTCCTCACTGCCCATAACATCCCATACTCCATCACAGGCCAATACAATAAACTCATCTTCGTTCCTCCTCGGTAGTGGATATAGATCCGGTTCCGGACTGACCAACTGCTCGAACGGGCCGCGGTCTAAGCGGTTCTTATAGTCGTAGTCGCCTAACGCGCGCGAAACAGCCAAGTTGCCGTTAATACGCTGCATAGTCACTGAGCCGCCGGCAGTGACAATCCGCTTCTGCTCATCAGTGCGGTACGGTTTGTGATCCTCCGTGACCACCATGAGGTTTCCGTTTGATACTGCAATGCCGCGGCTGTCCCCGAGATTGGAGAAATAAATGGTGTCAGGACCGATTAAGGCACATATTACGGTTGAGCCGCTTCGCTCTTCACCGCTGGCAACGCCCGGAAGTCGGCGCATTTGCAGGTCCAGCTGTAAAAAAGCGTAATAGATCCTGGCATGGCCAACTTCTTAACAAAGCCACAATTACTTTGTACCGTGAGGAAGCTTTTGGCGAACACCAGGTGCATGAGATCGTTTTTCTCTGTGACGGTTCGCGCGCTAGATGCTGCTTCATGGAATTCCGAGCAGCCCAGAATGGTGGACAAGATATTCTGCGCTGCATAATCCGCTACTTGTTTGCCAGCGTGCCCGTCGAATACTGCGAAGAACGACCATCCCGCAAAATTACTATTACCCAGTCCGATGCGGGCCACATGGGTGTCCTCCATTTCGGCTCTCCATCCCTGCATCGATCCAATAGCATAGCGAATATGATTGCCGCATCCTGTCTCGATTGCCTTATCCGTTTTAGGTTTGTCCATAAAAGCACCCATTTTACGCCGCGGTCTACCAGCCCACGGTCGTTGATAATATAGCATTCGCGGCAGCATACCCAGCTGTGGCTAATATAGTGCACATTGGAGTCAAGTCATTGTACAGCGTGGGAAGCACTACGGGGAATTTGGGAGGGTGAACTGTAATAGTTGCTATGGTTGCCAGGAAGGTTACAGCGCTGAGCTAGCACCATCCGCAGCCAAATCTGCAACTGATAATCACAGCTCTGATTGTAATGTCCCTGTCATTTGGTGAAGCTGAAGAGATAATTGGCTGATCACAGCTGTTTGCAAACAATTGCTACCAACAAAGATACAATTGTTGTGTCAGCTTTTTATCTTTTTGACATAGATTAGACCGATTAGTTGCCAAATTTAACAAGTTAATCGTACATGTAACTTGTCCTTTTTAAGCGCATCAGCATTCAGCGGATGCCGGTATCTCATCAGTACAATAACCATATGATCAAAGAGTATAATCACAATATTATTATAGCAAAGCTGGTGATGCACACAGCAGAATGTAGAACATTACCGACTGGAGCACATTGTAACGCACAAATATTGACATAATTATTTTAGGTACAGAGTATGTGGGACTATGTCCATAAGACGATAATTAAGATTTATAAACACTTAATTCACAATATTTTGCATTATCGACTGGTATTAAAAATGCTGCAGTATAACAAAGGCGACCATTGTTATTGAAGAGTGCAGAACACTTCTCAAACAAGTACAATGTAATTATTTAAAAAAAGCAGATGTCCATTCAAGGTTGCACGTCTCGTTTCGATACTACCCGGTCACGAATCAGGTTGTAAACCAAGTTCTGCAAAAATTTCCTCAATATCACTGTTTGCCTCGCGATATCTTCGTGCAATCGTCTCTTTCAAAACAGCAATGTTTGTATCCTTGCTCTTGAAGAATGCCACCTCCGTTGCCAAAGCATCAATTTCTGCCAGCTGAGTCTGCGCCATGGTTTCCCACATTATCAACTTTGCTTCATGCTGCCGCATCTCCTCGGCTGTGGCGTTCTCCAAAACACCGCGACCTGCAAGATACAGGATATTTACAATATGTAGGTATAATACCTTTCTTCTGCAGTACCTAACGTAAACCTTTACATGTAAGTGAATAAAGCGACAGTGCTCAATAGTACTACTCATACCTATCCGTTCAGCCCGCTTATCAATATGTTTAGCCAGTTCGTCACGCTGTAACATTTGTTGTGCAATAGTTTTCAGGTGAGAGGTTGTTGCAGACTTAATAGCAGTCAGCTGCTTCCATATCGCGTCCGCTCTCTTTTTCATCATCGCTACCGCAGCATCTTGCCGTTTCTGATTAGTGGCTATTTGTTCCTACACCAGTTTACCAAAGTAAGGTTTCGGTATTCTTTGTGATAACATGGGACTTGCTGCAAACAGTCCTACAACACTAACCTGCAGTTCTTTAATCTGCGAATCATTTCGGACGTTGTCAGCCTGGTCCAAATCCACAATGCTGCCATACTTCTCAAGCATTAACGACCGGCATGTCGTTTTTAGCTCTTCGATGCGCTGAGAAAACACGATTTGTTCTCGTTCTAATTTGGCATATTCCTCCCGTAACTGTGCTAGAGTGCGTTCATCGGTGATTGTTTCCTGGCGAATTTGTTCGATAGATGTCGATAGTGCTTCGATTTTCGTTTCGTCAAACGCCAAAGCGTTGTAGAGGTCGCTTCGTAGCACCTGATTGCCGCCAAACCGGACTTGGTCTAACCGAACAACAATCGCGAATGGCAGATCTTTCCAACTGTTAAACTTCTCCAGACGTAGAGCGTGCAGAGACGCGCTAACTTCCGACAGGAAGAACTGAATAAATTCGAGTTCTTCCCGTGCCTCGAATGAAATCTCCATGATTTCGCGATTGCGATCGATTTCGTCGTCAATATCTCTGCGGACGCGCTGGTGTTGTCGATTAATATTGTGCATAGCTTGGAAGACCTTTTTGTCTAAGTCTCGAGGACAGACCAAAATCTCCTCTGGGTTGAAATCGAGTAAGCTGGATTTAGATTTCGGCGCGCTGCTGTGCCGGCTGGCACGTAGCGCTCGTTTCGCCCATCTGGCTTGTAGCGATGATCTCGCCAGAGAGGAACGTCGTCGTCCCATGATATCCAACGAGCTAATGCTACATTCCGCATCCGGGACAGAATCACTTAGCTCATCAATGCGGTAAATGCAGGCCAATCCCCCGTCATCAGCCGCTGTGACTCTAGTGGACACGGTGTGACCTTTAATATTGTGGTTGAAGATATTCGTCAAAAAGCCGCGGAACCGTCGCTGATTCATGACGTTCCGCAGCTGTGCGTCGAATTCTTGCTTGATGCGGTCCTCGCGTTCGCGGTACACTCTCAGCTTGTTCTGCAGATTATTGAGGTCTGGTTCCAGCATGCGCAGCCGGCGTTCGGTTATTGATTTGCGCTCTCGCAGTTTGGCTTCCTCACGGCTGAGCTCTTTCTCGCGGTCTTCGTGCTTATTCAGGATTTCGTATTCCCAGTGATACATCAATAAATGCAGATCAGCGCGCTTTAGCTCGATATCCAGCGCGAACTTGTCATGACGTAGCAGGTTCAGCTTTCCGTCGAAAAACACCTAGAATTGCAACGTATTTTTAGCAGCTGGCCAGGTTGTTAAAAACGATTTGCTGCCTTACGCTCCGCCGGACATACCTGTAATGCTCTTGCAGCTTTAATGATGTTTTCTTGTTCATAAAGCAAGAGGGACGTTTGCTGCTCTTGTTCTTCTTTTTCCTCTTCTGAAACAGTATATTCCAGATGATCCCAGACACTTTCCTCTTGCACTTCCGCTGTGTCCGCTTGCATCGATAGTCTAATCTGTCTTGTCGTGAACGACTGCAGTCTCGCAAAGCGAGGCTTGCCGGCCGCACTGAATTCCATATTTTCCTTCTCAATGTCCGCTTTCTCAACAGCTTCTTTTTGTTTTCGTAAAAGTTCTGCTTCCTGCTGTAGCTGGTAGATTTGCAGGCATTCATCATACGTTGGCCGAAGAGATTTTTGCGATGTTGGTTCAGTACCCATTTCTGGATTAATACCCAACGACTTCCGCTTTTCCCCTGTCAGTTTCTTCTGCACTTTTTCCAAAACTAAATCGTACTCCTTAATGCGCCTTATGCAGTTAACCTTTTCTTCTTGTAACTGGAGTAAGCGATTGTTAAACTGGGTTTTTTGGTTGTGAATTTCCTTTTTCAGTTGTAGTAAACGCAGCTTAATCTCCGGCGCAGAATAATATTCAGCCATAAACTGGATTGCATGGTTTTCGTCATCCTTGATTTTGTATTCTTGGCCCGAAATACGTTTTCTTTCCTCGGCTAAAAAGAGTTCATTTTCTTCCGTGACATTCGGCTTTCGATTAAACAGCGCCCGCCATTGCTGACGTCGCATTTTGGCGCGGTCAAGGTGCTCTTGGAACTTAATTCTTTCTAAAGTCTTCTCCCCACCATTTGAGTCGTGTGTGGCGCCAGTAAGTTCAAATGATGTTAGCGATTCCAGGAAGAACTCTTCCCGCAACCTACACGGCACGTTATGCTGTGTGCAATCCAGTGCGCCCTTTGCTTCGCTAATTTTATGCTCCAATTCGTTAATCTCTTCATCAATGTTTGAATTCAGCTTTTGTATCCAGTATGCCGGAATTTCCGTTGTCCCACCAAAACTGGTAACCTTAATTTCCGGAACTTCTTCCAAATCTCCACGCAGATAAGTCAGCAAACGATCTATGACTATTCTTCCTTTGACCCTTTCAGTGATATTTTGGGCGTGAGCATCTCGCAATCTCCTCTCAAATTCGTTGTTCATTGCTGTATAAATATCGGAATGGATAACGAAGTCACTTTCCGGAATTTGCACGTTTTTGGGAAGTGTTGCATTTTCGGCAATGATAGCGCGGATGTCATTCTTCAGTTTCTCCACTTCCTCCATCATGGTTTCCTTGTTGCGCTCAGCCTCGCTTCGCCAGCGCTGTTCTGCTCGCATAAATTTGGTCAGTTCCCGATCTTCTTTATCGGTCAGCTTTGTATTCCGAAAGGTACTCAAAACGTCTCGAAAGAATCTGCGATCCAGCAGAGCCGTTGCTGTATCCGGGACGTCTAGCCGGAAATTCACGATGTTTCCATCCAGACCGGCTGTATACAGCTGTGTGTTATCAGCCGCGGCACACAATGCCGTGATGACTCCAACGTGCACCTTGAACGCCCAAGTAGAGATACGCGATTCGAGCACGTACCGTTGCTGCAACAAGAAAATGCGCACTTGCCCATCGGTTGTCGAAACCAGCATTAACTGGCCATGGTCCAGGAACAAAGCAGAGTTAATTGTTATATCGAGGAAACCGTCGACTTTGATCGCCTGTATTGGTTCGCAAAGGACTTCTTTGTCAAAAGCGCAACAGTAAAGATACCCGGCGTCAAAATCAGTTGTCGTCATCCAGAATTTGTGTTGGTCAAGTGGGTCGTACATTACCCACACAATTCTACTTGGATTGTTTCGCACGTCAGCTTCCGTTGACTCCAGGCGCGCTTTAATGCTCTTGAGTTCAAAGACTTTGGGATTTAAAACGTTCACAGAAACCAAACTTTTCTGATACACATCGGATTCCAGTTCAGCGGATTCGTTTTCCGCGATAGCCTTCAAGGTTTCTTCTTGTTGACTATCGGGTAGTAGTAACTCAAGCACTTGTCCAGTGGCCGACGACAGTAGACAGCACATCTCAAAATGCTCGTTGAAACGCTTCCAGCAAAAGTACAAAGGAGAATCGGTTTTGTACAGTGCAATGGGAAAATAACTGGGGGTGCTCGATTCCATTTGGAGTAATAATAAAGTAGAATCCTGAGTAGATATGCTGCCAATGATTCCGTTATCGCTGTTCAGCGCTAACTGGTTTATTTCATTCCTCTGCATGTTTCTGGTAAACGCCACTTCAAGCGCTGGCGCGGTCTTTTCCAGAAAGAAGTCGATATCATTTCCCTCCACGCTCCACATATCGGTTAACGCTAGCAGTTTGATGGTCCCATCAGCGTATCCAGTTAAGATGGAGTTCTGGCTGATGACAGTTTTGGCGTTTATCCAGCATAGAGCGGTTGCCGCCAGCCTTTCTCCCGCCAACTGTGCCAGACATGCCTTACGATCGTTATTATATACCCGGATATTGCCATCTTCGTCAGCGGCGGCAAAATAACGGTTGAGGTGATCAGCCGTAACAGAGCGCACAGGGGCACTAGGGACGTATAAAAGTTCGCTGGGAGTGGATGTAAGTCCTTCGGATTGGAAATTTACCTTCCAAACCAAACCGCGATCGTCCAGAACCAACCTAACAATTGTAAGACGTTCAGATGGCTCTATATATATATATACAAGAAACAGCCTCGGCTTCGCCTCCGCGTTTCTTGTGGTCCATGGCCATTTTATTTGAATTTGAAATGAATATTTATTAGAATAACATGAAACGAAACATGATCGGTACATGCAATAGGGCAAACACGAATTTTATATGAAAAAATTGAAAGTCAGTTCATGATTCTCTCAACCTTGAAAGCATTCCCTCTGGCTGTACATACAGATAATTTTTACGATATAGAAATCCCCTACCCGAAAAGAAAGCCGAAATATCAGTCTATAAAGTATGAAAGTCGAAACAGTGATAGTGCACTGGATCACTAGTTCGGTGACTCGTCACTTCTATGGCTCTTTTTACTGGAAAGTGGCGTCTGTCCGGTAATGTATGTCCGGTCAGTAGTGGTACCTCGATTACTTGCTTACCTAACGGTTCTGTTCGACGGACAGTAGTGGTAGCTCGGTCGCCTGCTCACCTAACGGGCTCCGTGCACGGACGGTAGTGGTAAGTAGTTCAGTCAGTCGTTCCTAACCGGCTCTGTACACTGAACAGTAGTGACAGCTCGGTCACCCGCTCACCTACCGGGCTCTGTGCACGGACAGTAGTGGTAGCTCTGTCACTAGTTCACCTAACGGGGTTCTGCGCAGGACAGCAGTGGTAGCTCGGTCACCTGCTCACTTAACGGACTTTCTGCGTCGGACAGTAGTGGTAGCTCGGTCACCCGTTCACCTACCGGGCTCTCTGCACCGGACAGTAGTGGTAGCTCGGTCACCCGCTCACGTACCGGGCTCTCTGCACCGGACAGTAGTGGTAGCTCGGTCGCTAGTTCACCTATCGGGGTTTTTGCGTCGGACAGCAGTGTTAGCTCGGTCACCCGCTCACCTACCGGGCTCTGTGCACCGGACAGTAGTGGTAGCTCGGTCGCTAGTTCACCTATCGGGGTTTCTGCGTCGGACAGCAGTGTTAGCTCGGTCACCTGCTCACTTAACGGACTTTCTGCGCCAGACAGCAGTGGTAGCTCGGTCGCCCGCTCACCTACCGGGCTCTGTGCACCCGTTTACCTATCGCGCTCTGTGCACGGGATAGTAGTGGTAGCTCGGTCACCTCGGCTTCGCCTCCGCGTTTCTTGTTCTCTACGGGCGGTCGATTCGAATTTCTGTTTTAATCGTTTTTATTCGTACCTTTTGGCTTTGTCAACTGGACTACAGTGGTAGACTGGTGGATCGGTAGCTCAGGCACACTGTACAATAATGACAGCGCGGTCACTCGTTCCCTAACGGCTTTGTACACTGGACAGTAATGACAGCTCGGTCAACCGCTCACATAGCTATCCATAGTGGTAGTTCGGTCGCTCACTGGCTTAGCGGGCTATTCGAACTAGAATATAGTGGTATTTTGGTCACTGTCTGAAATAACGACATTATATATATATTATAATAAATATATATATATATATATATATATACATATATATATATATATATATATATATATATATATATTATATATATATATATATATATATATTATATATATATATATATATATATATATATATATATATATATATATATATATATATATATATATATATATATATATATATATATATATATATATATATATATATATATATATATATATATATATATATATATATATATATATATATATATATATATATATATCAAACGGTGGTACTGAAAGCAACTGAGGAAGAGTGGTGTAAATACCGACATGTTTAAGAAAGTCTGAAACGGTTGTCTTTCAATGACTGCTTTTTGTACCATGCTGTGTATTACTGTATTTACAGATATTAAGGGACAGAAAAATCCCCAGTACCGCCCGCACTAGTTGTCGGTTCCTTTGACATCAATGTAGCCGACGCCTAGTGCGGGCGGTTCTGGGGATTTCTCTGTCCCTTAATATCGTGTAAATACAGTTCACCGTATGCATCACATAATTATGTGCGCAGGTTATGATGGAGAATGGAAAAAAACCATAAATGTTGTTGAGTAAAGATCTGTTCTTATGCTGCACCATACCAGCAATTTTCATTGTGATCGGATCCCTGTTCTCCTGGAAAATGCACCATGTGCACAGGAATATTATGAGCGCCCAGTTGAAATTCCTGCATCACGTCCAAAAATATGCCATCTTTGTCCGTTGGTCCTTCCAGCTGATCCCAACTCCATAACCTATTTACGAAAATTACGTACGGTGTAATCATCATACAGACTCAAAGCGTACGCTCAAAGCTAATCCGAAAACAACATTATTAATAAATTGTTAAGTAAACAATCAGGTTTTAATCCACCGCTCATTATCAAATTATGGAATGCTTTTGATGAGCTTTTAAAAGTATTACATACTTAATAAAACCATCCGTACCCAAAGTAAGCAGGTTACGTCCATATGTTGACATGTTGGTGACGATGCCGTCATGAAGTTTCTCTTCATCGGAGCGTAGCACTTCGCAGACGATCTCGCCTTCTGTCCATTTATATACAGCTCCATCTGATGCCGCAGTTATAACGCTTCGCAGCGCCAGCACAACGAAACACTCTATGGTGGACGTTGCCCGGCTGCCGTATTTCCCGGAAGTGCAGTGAATCTCCCATCCACTGTCTGTGCTGTGATAGTTCCAGAACCTACAAGGCAAGCAGTTTTATTGACAAGTTCGTTTCCTACCAGGTGGCAACCACAACGGGTAAAGCGTACTTAATATGATCAATGCCAGCGGACGTAATAAGACCCGTATGATAGGTTGCAAACCTGCAAATGATTAAGCCTATATTTGTTAACTGAGTCTGAGTGTGACATGTTGTACAGCCTGCACTCGTGTTGCGTTTACAGTTGAACTGTTGAAGCTACTGTACTTTGCTCTGATTATGGGATAATTTGTGGATGCCTTCGAGCGAACAATTGCCGTTTCGTTTTCCCAGTCCCATATAGTCAGCATATACGAGGGGGCCGGATTAACTGTGAGGATATGGCTTCCTTCGCGGCTGCACATAGATCACGATTAGTACCACTCAAGGGCGAACGAAGAGCACCGTGGCAAATCACTAGTCTAAATACTTGAAATGTACCGCAACGATGTCCTTGTCACCGTCGCTTCGCAGCCGGCTAACCAATCTCAAAGACGGATATTCGAACACATTGACAGTCGCTACTGGTCCATGTTCTGCGGCGGCGACACATATTTTTAATGGATGAACCTGGAAAACCATACACAAGTATTTTTATGGCTTAAAAGAACACTTATCGTATGGTAATTCCAGCATCACCGTTAGATGTCGAGTACTGTTCCCCACACTCGGTTGAAGAAAATACTGAGTCTTCGCGTATAGGTCATAGATGATCCCAACCCCTCCAGCGACGAAAGCAATAGTTGTATCCGAGAGAACGTGTAGATTGTCTTTCCGTTTAACGTCCAAGCCGTAACAGTAGCTGCGATTACCAAGAAATTTCAAGTCGAGCGACAAAATTAGCGTGAACTTCATGCTCTCACACCATGTCCAGCACCGGCTCTTTCACTGGCCATTCTTCGTCGTACGTCGGCACATTCAACACTAGTTCCTTTGGGTGTTCATCACGAAACGTTGGTAGGTTTCTCTTGTTGTCGTCATGTGGCGTCGCCCGTGCCGTCGAAGGTGATATCGATGGGCTCAGTTTCAGCGAGGCCTGGGAACAATCAAGTTAAACTACAAGATACTTTAAACTCAATTTACTTTACAGCCTGTTAGCGATACACAGTAACACATATCACGAGCAGCTGCTTTGAGTCTTTGACATCTATGCGTGGAACGTAAGATATATGTATTTAAAGTATGGCATGCTTGGCACTGCTTGCTCATAAAAGCCATATTCGTGGTTGACCAAATTTATGAAAGTTCTATCTGTACATGGTTTAGGCTTTTTCCGCAATCGAAACCACATAAAAAGTAGCAAATAGAGGGAAGCATTGTACGTAATTACTCGTATAAATCTCAGCAAACAATCTCAGTGATCGTTAATCTGGATATTACTAACGTAAATATTACATACAAGAGTCATCTTCGGCTTCGCCTCAGATGCTCTTGTAATCTACAGTCAATTCCCTAAAAAATAGTTTTTGTATGATCCGAAGTTTGAATATTTGATGAATATATAAAAAGTAATGTTTAATATAGTGTCCAAGATTTTTCTATTAGAACGCAGCATAACGAGGCGAAGAAAAACTTAAAAGAATTTTATTATTTCCGTTTATTTTTTTAGCAGCATGGTTTTTGTGTGCGTTTCTTATTCGAAGATTGCGTAGCGTGGAAAGAGCATTCGACATTACATTACGTGCTAGGACAGCCCCGAAAATATAGTCCGAGATATTATTTGAACGTATATTATTTGATTTACTGCACTTCGCGGTCTGAAATATCTGTAGAGGCCGCAAAGTTTCGACCAGACAAAGCTTTGTCATTTTAACCACGGTAACGTCGCTGTCGAAATTCCATGGAAGGATTGCCGCTCCAGGAAGGTAACAAATCACTGACAATAGTAAAAAATAATCATACTAGAACACTATGCGATGCCGCACTGTCTCCCGTTCATACGCAATAGCGTTCATGCGTTCATGTGTCCTGTAATTTCCGTCCATTGGTATGGACTACGGGTTGAATAGTTCTGAATTTCAATCGCTTCAGAATAAATATTTCATTCTGAAACGAGAAAGTGGACACAATTCGTTGACATAGATCGGCGACGATTCTGGTCTCATCTGGTCTAAACTGCGAACAGTTTTACGAGATCCTGTAACTTCCGTTCACTCAACAGGCCTGATCTGTGGTCAGTTATTGTATGTTTCCCGTAATTTTGTGTGGGTTTGGTCAGTGGAAAGTGTGACCCTTTGTGTGATTCTGTGCACTTGGCACCTCAAGCACTGAGCAGGGATATCGGTTCCGTTCTCACATAGTCTTAGATTCTGGGAACAGTTCACACCAGTTCCTGTAATTTCCGTTCATTCAGCTCGCCTGATCAGTAGTCCCGTATTGCACAGTTCACACACACAATGGGCAAACATTCCAGGGGCAGTTTTGGTGGTTGCGCTTCGTGGTCATACACTCACTTGTCCCTTGCCCGCAGTTTTGCGCATATGCACCGAGTTTTTGATTACAGTAATTTGATCAGAAATTCGTAGTTTTCCACTCGCTTCCACCGAGCAGACGATGCGTTTTCGTCTTCTGCTCATGTACGAAAGTGTGCCGAAAATTTTGAAATGCTTAAAAATAATTGAGGGGTACAAAAGTCTCATTATACAGTAGATCCAATCCAAACGATCCGATCGATCTTTTCCAAATTTTGCAAGCAAACGTATAACTATGAGCAGCAGGTAGTACGTACAATGGACTTCAAAATTTTGTTACACTCACAAAACGCGCGCAACCAGCTATTTACCTGTACTCAATCAGCCAAATTCCGGGCTGGCCATCGGCCTGTTGAGTTCAAACACTTGCACCTCACGCATTTCCCAGCAAAAACCACCAATATCTCAAACCGAAGAAAAAATTTTTATGAATTTTGATACCAAACAAGTTATGCAGGGTTTGACAGAAAATCGACGCATCTAAAGTTTCTCGTAGACAAAGCATAGCATTTGAATCCACGGTTTGGTTTCAGTTTTCACACAGAAAACGTATGCTCTGTCTACGAGAAACTTTAGATGCGTTGGTTTTCTGTCAGATCCCATAAAAACTAACTTGTTTCGTATCAAAATTCATAAAATTTTTTTCTCTTTCGTTTGAGATATCGGTGGATGGTTTTCGTTGGAAAATGCGCAAACAGCAAGTGTTCAATTACTGCGCGTTTCCAGTTTATTGGTCATTTGGTCTTGGCCATTTATTTCTATTGGTCATTCGGTCCCGGACCGAATGTAACAAAATTTTGAAGTCCATTGTATAATGTAGATGCAGGTCGTTTTCACCGAATTCGAACGATTTCCAATATTTGGCTTTCAAAATATACTTTTGTAAATTTATACGATTTAAAATTTACAGATGTAAGTATGCATAAGGACGCGCGAAAGCAAAAGTTCCCATGCGGTAAGCACACCGAAACCTGCACCGTCTCTGAATGGCACCGGCAGACGTCTCTTTAATTTACAAAGGCTTCCGGTGTGATACAACTTCACGAAATTTGCACTTTTCAGTCCTGAAATCTATTTTTAAAAATTCAGATTTTATTACTTACTACACAACTCTGTATTGGAATATTAACTGCTCCACGCAACAATGGTTTAAAGGTCTTTCAAAGTCACCTTGAAGTCATGCCTGTACCGGTACCGGCATCCGAACGATGGTCTCAGGGAAGATATTTTTGGAAAAAAATGCATGCGGGACCCTTTTGGAACATGCTGACTTTAATGGTGAAATCGGTTTTTTAATTTTCTCAGCGGTTTTTTCTAGCCACGTTCCACGGGGCGGCCGATCATAATATAGATCTATTTCCTTGATATACGTACATGGTGTATAATGTATTTCTTGCAAATACCTGCGTTTGCACTGGCCAACTGTCTTCATCTCCAGGGAATTCCCACATGATAACAACTTTCACGAAATAAAAGCGATTAAATGAGAAATCATCTTCGAAATAATCCAAAATATCCAAAGGTAGAAATTACCCCAAGAGTACAGAAAATTTTCGTAACCCTATGGCATTTTGCTTATCAAATCCGACTTGCGACGATTTTGATTCCCAAAATTTTTTGTGGTGTACAACCACTTGAATCAATTGAATGTAGTTATTTTAGTTCCGAAAGTGACAAGAACTTGCTATACTCCAAAACGTATTGGTGCAACGTACACTAAACACGGTAACGGAGTATCATAAGAATCCTGTTACCATGGAAAACAAGATGCTCCTGTGGAGATTGCGGTGGGATACAAGGAACCTTTCGTGGTGTTTTTTTCTCTGTTAATAGTAATCTTACGCGCGACTCGATTATGCAGCTGTCTACGGCATGGCATTCGATTATCATGAGAAATTGTTCGTTTTCGTCTTCATACTATCCTTGGGGTGTGTTGCTTATTCAGCTAATTATACATTTTTTGTCGTTTCTACCAGTACATTTCTTGCAGCTTGCAATGATTTGAAAACGTACTACACCAGCGCTAAGCTGAAGTACGGTGAATATAACAATATAACTTGCCTGTCATACGAAATTGCTGATCAGCTTAAGCTTGCTAATACCACCAATGCCTCTACCATAGCTTTGAAAACTACCACTGGAGCTAATCTGACAGCAGCTGAAGTAGGACAAACTGTATTGTTTCTGATGCGAACACCACTAGTTCCTCAAGAGGAAACGCTGCTACAGTCATCCTTTCGCCAATTCCCGGTTATTGTTAATTGTATTTTGATTGGTTACAATATTCCGGAACTTACTGCTAAAGGTGAAGTATTCCGATTAACTCAAGACAATTTGGTGGGAATTTTCAGCGGAACAATAAAATTCTGGAATGACACAAGGCTCTTAGTAAATAATACTGCGCTTCGTGCACCTAACGGAAGTTCTATTCTGCCCGGGAAGCGCATAACATTGGGATTTCGTCTGGATCGCTATCTTTCAACGTGGGTTCTGACCAGAACCTTGTCGTCCATATCTCCTGGCTGGGCAAAGACGTACGGGAATATTCAAGACGGCACCGTGTTTTCTACAACGGTCAAAGGTCCCAAGACGTGGCTGACCAATAAGATGTTGGGTATCAGCTTGTATGGCTTTTTGAAGGACACTCCTTATTCGATGATCATAGCACCACAGGAGGATGTCGAAAAGTATGGGTTTGATGTGGTGAGAGTACAGAACAGTCAAGGGAAGTTCACCAAATGCACTGAGCTTACGGTAAGTGATCCGCCGAAGCGTGAGCTGCAAAAGAATGCGTTACCGGTTACCAATCGCTGTAGATAAATGGAGGCATCGAAGCTGCATCCAGTTCCTACGCTGCCCGCGTCCGTAACGGCTCCATGGAGAATTTGAACGGAACGACCACTTATCCGCTGCTGGGTTTTTCATATGTCGGACTATCACTTACCAAACTTGGCCAACGGGACCAGCTGTTTGACTGCACCATCCTGTCCGGAAGCCTTCGGTTTCTCAATTGGATTCTCGATGCATCTAACCAAGAGTCCCAGCAGATCCTCACAAACAACTACTATATTCGATGCCCAGCTGCGTGGTATCCGGATTTATGGAGCCTGCAACAAGATCTCCGTTGTGGAGATCGAAAACAGCTGGTACAGCGCTATCTGGATTCGATTCAGTCGACAGAAGATACTTATGAGCTTCTACATTCAACTACGTTTTGGGCGTATCTTATATGTGGACTACTCGCCGGCCTGGCCGTTGCTGCATATGTTGGGAAACAAGCATACATATATCTGAACCGGCTTCGTAGAGAAAACATGGAACAGTATGCTATTAGCAGTAAAATGATACGTATTACGCCATCCGTTTACTCACCGATGGATCGTTTCAAAGGTGTCGTTGCGTCACGGAAAGTCGTGGACCGGTAATGCAAATATGGGTACCTATTTTGATATTTAAGCGCCACTTATCGCTTTTGTTTATTAAGCTTTGGTAGTAGCAATCATAGACTTCAAAAGGTAGTTTCGAGATACTTGTAATTGGCAACTTTGATGTGTCCTATAATATGAATAATTTGCTCTTAGATACGTGCTGTGCAGGTTCTGACAGTTCTCATTGCACGAACAGCTTATTTAATCAAATGACGTTTTTCAGGTATATACCTACCGCTTCTCTGCAATGTTTGGCAACCGGAACCTGGGGTGAATATGAAGTTTTCCTGCGGCCGTGCAGTCTAATGCTGCACAGGTTAAATCATCGAACCAGAATGCAGATGTTAAAGCTCATGGAGATATCAAGCCAGAAAAATATCGTGGAATTTTATGGAATGACCGAAGTTCCCGGTGGCAGATGCTTGGTGTGCAACTTTTGTGAGCCGAATGTTCTAAAGTAAAGGTCACGTCATCGAACATTCTTATAAATCTCTCAACAAATCGTTAAATTGTTATTTTTATATTGTTATACCGGTTGGCATATTATTAATTTTTAAGAAGTTAGTCACTTAGCCAGCGCGAATACTAATTCAACGTTAATACACATGCCAGATATTAGAATACACGAGCTATTTTTGGTTTATTTATGTAGGCCCGTTTGGTGACTTGCGGACGCTGGTTATTTCGAAGAAACACATTTTCAGCATGAACACGAAGTTTTCGTTAAGCGGAGATATTGCTGAAGGTATGGAATACCTGCATGATTGCGACGTTGTTCATGGAAATCTGCGCAGCTGCGCTGTATATATCGAAGCAAATTGGACGGCAAGGATTTCTGATTTGTATGCATAAGTGTTTGTAAAGATCCAACTATCTACGTTAATTTTATCCAAACAATAACAATAATATGTTAGTTTTGTTATTATAGCGAGTACGATACCTTGCACCAAGTCCAAGGGTCATTCCATCCAACCGTAGCTCAGCTCAAGCAAAAACTGAATTTGTATCAGCAAACATCACTGTACCCTTGGCTGTACTGGACTGCACCAGAAATTCTGCGGCAGGGAATAACAGGACGGAAATACCACCGGAAAAAAGTGCGGATATTTATAGGTACATGTAAAATTATTGTTTCATTAGAAACTGATACACCGGCATGTGGCACAACTTTTCTGTACAGTACAACTTCACTTCGCTGTATCTATATATATAACAAATGACAGTATTGTGTTTCAATATGTAGACGTTTTTGTACCGGTACGTATTTGCGCTTACAACAACGAAAGTGATTTGATAGCTTCGGCATCGTCTGCTCTGAAATCTTCGCCATGGAACCGGCGTACCAAAAGTACCAAGAACTGCCTTACAAGCTAACTCCAGCCCAGATCCTCAATGGGATATTGTCGGCCGATATGCGCCCTCGAGAAGACTGGAAGACCACCGCCACTCCAAAGTGTGTGCTGCGCGTTATGGAGCACTGCTGGCAAGAAAACGCTTCACGTCGACCGTCTTTCGCCACACTGCGCAAACTACTCCGCTCCGTGCGTTCACTGCGGCGTCATGTGGCTGATAAAATCATGATCGCGGCCGAAAAAACCGCCGAAGCCGTGAAGAGTCGATGCGACACAGCCAGCGATCGGCTCAACCGTTTTGATCAGGAATTCCATAAGTATTCCAAAATTCTTGTTCCTCCAGCATATTGGCGCTCCATCTACAAGCAGAAATTGTACATGTCAATGACGCGGCACAAGCTTGGAATTGTGTTCTATTGCAACTTAGTGGAGTATGGAAATTTAATTAACGAGCAGACAACCAGCCGGGCTTTCGAATGCATAAACCTGCTGCACGAAGGTTTTCAGAATTTGATAGACAAAGGTAGTATACTGTAATTAATATACTAATTATTGTAATTTTAGTGCCCGACTTGATATAGGTGGCCGTGTCTATCGTGTGTACCGCAACGGTACAGGATTTGTTGCTCTGGGGAATGTTCCCTATGGCGTTAAAGAGGATCCAATAGATTCCATCGCTCATTTGGCATTCGACTTTCTCACATGGGCATGGCGAGTCAAACTACCAGGACACCTTATGGACGGCTTTCAGCTGCAGATTGGAATTCATAGTGGGCCGGTAAGTGACTACGACGAGAGACATACGCAAAAAACTGCTGGATCTAAACCAAGCTTCGCTAATTTCTTGTCCAGCTCACAGCCGGTACGTTAAAGCATAGTACAAACCACTTCATTCCACTTGGTCCCGTTCAGAAAGAAGCGTGGGATATTGTTCGGTCTTCTGCTCCATGCCGGATCCTGATTAGTGAAGATTTCCATCAAAATCTTCGCCAGTTGGCGCAGATTTTTATTAAATATCGGATTGTGCCTAATACTGGCCGTGTTTTTGGATACTCGAAGAAGACATATTGGCTCGTCGGCATGAATTACTATCGAGGCCAGAGCCTGTTAGATGACATGTTTCTCTTAGATCCGGATAACCTTGAGGCAGCCGCCAAACTTGCCGCCAAAAAAGAAGCTCAGACTAAAGATAGGAAAGGGAATTTGAGGAACGAGCTGGTTAAAGTAGTGTCCGCCCTGCCCTTCGATTATCAGGCTTTAACAGCCGGTGGCGCGCAGTACGTGGTTGATGTAAAGGAGAAGGAAAAGCGGCGGTCGCAGGCATACGACCGAAAATCGTTTGTGCACCATGCTGGTCCGTTACTTTTGCCATCGATGCAATTCGATGAGATCTTCGAGCGGAAGTCCCACCTGGATATGGAGCCGTCGGAATTAATGGTGCACCCAACGGTGACATCTGGGAATCATCCACGATATGTTGCCGGTCCCAAAAAGGTGCACTCAGTAGAAGACACTGATCAGCAACATGCTGGTCGGCATTCACCGGAAACAGAGAAGGCGTTGAAACGGTTGCGAGCCATAAAGAAAAAAGAGATAACAGATATGGAGCACAAACGGCAGGATGAGGCCGCCCGTACACATTTGCACCACGAGTTATTAGAAGCCACCGGATCTGATGAACGTCTGCAGGAAGACTTACAGGATGTGAATCAAGGGGAACCACCCGAAAGCAAAGCAGACGAGAAAACCGAATACTACCAAAGATACTCAGACGTGCATAGACCCAACCAAAGACATAGACATTATTACGATGATGAGGACGAAGAGTACGAAGAAGCAGAGTCCGCGGAAGAAGGTCAGTAACACTTTAATTAAATAAGTGCCGCAAAAATTCTGGTTTCAAGGTGCCATATAATGTCAGGAAACACTACTACGTAATTAGTAATCACATAATGCGTGCTCTTCATATATGTATATTGTATAATAATTATTGGTTACTACTGGTATATTACAGTATACGGCCAATCTGACGAATACTTTGCTGGGGAAAATTATGAAGATGATCAAATATATTACGATCCGGAAGTGGTAACCGGCAGTCTACAGTTTATGCGAGAAAGCGAGATTTTGTCAGGTAAGAGCGCTGAAAAGGCGTTTTCGTTTAGTATTACCAAGATTTGCTGGGTTACGTTTTTAGTAAAATGCATAATACGTTTAAATAACGTTTTAATAATTTATGTAAAGACTGCCTTTTTTCCAGACCAAATGGAAAACCATCTGGCTCAAATGGCACAGGTCGATTTTGAGCAGCAGCAGGTCGCTTATGATACCACGTATTCGCAAACGAGTATACCGGTTACTGATGCACATCAGCCGAATGAAACAATAATCGATGTGGTGCCCGATGAGAAGGTCAAGCGCAAGAAAAAGAAATCAAAAAAGCGTCGCAAGCATAAGGAAGCCACAAAGGATGAGGATGAGTAAAGCGCCACTCTTATCATTCCTAGCTCATGCAGACCTGTGCTTAGTTTCGTTGTTTTTCACCTTTCTTTACAACAACCCAGGGAAAACTGGGTGAGATATTTCGAAGTTTTGAACATATTTTTTTATGTATAATCTTGTCATATTATCTTTGATATTAGTGTTTATTGACTACCATATTTAAACTGTAATGCTATTTGCTGTTACATAGTAAATGCATCGAATAGGTTGCACTTTGTCGTTCATTTGATGGTGTTTTGGGAAACACATAACAATTATATAAATCTTGAAAAGTGCAATATCAAAGTCGCCTCCTATCGGTAGAATCTGTGGATTTTGGCATTTCGTGCCAAACGCCAGGTTTCTTTTAGACTTATGTTTCGTAGACAACATAGATTCTAGGCAACTCTCGTCAGCTTCCGCGAGATCATGGAGGCACTACCACATAATATAGCGCTAAGCTCAAAATTTCTTCCGTTTCGCTTCTTACTCATGACAATAACATTATGGCTTCTTACTAATCAATGTAGAAAATGTTGAACACCATTGCGCTGAATGTCCACTTCAGCTTGGATAGCGTTATACTTATTTATATAGTATTATTACGATTTAGTGCAGTACTCACGGATGAATTCCCTTCTAATATTCCACAAGCAAACGTTATACTCCTGACTAGCAGCAACCCTGTTAAAAACCTACAATCACCAAACTATCCAAAAGCATATTCCAGCAGGTCCAGTACCTCCTATTGGATATCTGGCGGAGGGAGTCCCATACGGGTATGTTTGCATCTATCTTGTTGCAAAGTTTTCACACAACTGCTGCCACACTGGAAGCAAAATCGCTGTCCAGTGTTTACTTCTTTATAGATACGTTCGAAACAATTTTCTCTTAATCCAGCGAACAAAGGCCAGTGCGATGCCGATAGGCTTACTTTCTGGGATGCTAAGTGTAAGTTTACAGCCTACGCTGCCATACTTTAACCGGGAGTCGCAAATACTTTTTTATTAATGTAGATCCGTATTTCTCTCTGGGCACCTTTTGTGGCGCAGTAACGCTGGATGTTTTGTCGTACAGTGATAATGTGGTACGCAAAGTTGTGGATAACGATGCGGAAGTGCGTTCATCCGACAGAATGAATTACTTCATCGTATGTTCTGATAGGCGGTTGCATTTACTGCAAACAGTCCAAGAGATTATTCTGGCTTCGATTTGGAGGTCTCTAGTATGTACACAACTAGGAATTGCAGGCAACCTTTAGCTTGCATCTGCACAATCTAGCGCAAAGCTGTTTAACAAAATTATTGTACATGTACATCGTACGGAGTACCTTCACTGGTAGTGGCGTATATATTTACGTACAGTACTATATCGGTATTTCGCCTTTCGAAACAGACGGGATACTCGAATACCCAGTACTTTGTTTTATCATTCAAGTACATAGCACATGGCCGTTGGAAGTGACCAAACCCCCAAATAGCAGTTGCCAGTTTTATTGTACCTAGTACTTACGGTATATTTCCGAAAGTCAAACAAAAAAATTTGTTAACAACTGTGGTGGATGCGTTAGTGGCTTTTGTATCAAATGGACCATTCAGAGCAAACGGAATATGTACGAGTACTTTTTTATTCAAAGAAGTTTTTTATTATAGGAAAATTAATATTCTATACAGTTCAGTTAAATACGAGTATTCGCAACCAACGCAATTGTAGCCAAATGATGGCACCTGCAAAAGTGCTTTCGTATAACAGAATGTCGACTTCTGAACTTTGCCTATTGAAATGCTAATGAGAGGAATTGAAAACTGTATTAATTTTGATACCTTCTTCTAGGATCTCAATGCGGAAAAGCGGATTTCCTATGTCCCTCAAAAAAGGACAAATGTATTCCCAGTGACGCTGTCTGCAACGGTAGCGTCGCTTCAAAAACATGCAGTAAATGAGATATTCGATACTGAAAATAATCTAAACATATGCTTTCGGGATTGCGACAGGTGTGGCAGATTGTCCACAAAAGGAAGACGAAATTTGCTCGCTAGACTGTGGAATACCCCAAACTCCAATAGGTCCAGTACAGCAGGCTAATAACGATCGCATCATTGGTGGTACGCAGGTATTTGAGCACTGCTGGGACTATTCCGTATTCACGGGTACTAGAACTTACCGAAATCGTTTCTGCACTGAATGTAATAGGTGAAGAGTCGGTCATGGCCATGGCAAGTTCGGATGCAGTTTAAACAATTCATATGCGGGGGATCTCTCGTAAGTTGTGGGAAAGTTATACTGAGCGTGCAACGAATACCGGAAACTGCTATTTGTTTGCCAGGTGGCTCCCCAATGGATTGTGTCAGCCGCACACTGTTGCTTCGAGGATAAAGAGAAATACCGGTATCCGTAACTGCTGCGGATTGTTTTTGCGAAACAATTACGCTACTCTTCCGCCCTAAACTTGTCTGATCTTTGTATACGCATGCTTGAAGGCCAGAAGATATCACAGTGCAGTTAAAACCTGAATTATGCGGTTCTTCGCAAAGCATACGAGTCGAGGTTAAAGAAGTCATCCCACATCCTGATTATAAAGGGGAGCCCGCCAACGAATATGATTACTGTCTTCTCGTTTTGAAAGCGGTAAACAAGCTTAGCGCACCTGATGGAAAATGCCTGAAACTGACGAAAGACTGCTTGTATACGGATGCTTTGTTGTGCACTTTCTAGCCCATTCAGTTCTCGGATGACCTTAAGCCGGTCTGTTTGCCTCGAGCAAACGACATCGCTCAGATCAGTCAGGGATGCTTTACAGCCGGGTGCGGCTCTACATTGCAGTACAACGCCGACGTTTCGAAACCACCTTCACAAATATCCAAGCTGTTGTTGCAAATTCCGTTGTCGATTGTGGAAAAATCTACATGTTCAAGGAGCATCGCAATATCACCAGAGACCATCTGCGCTTACACTCCCGGGAAAGACTCGTAAGTGGACGTAATCTGAACACGCTTTAAGTGCCTGAAAACGGAGAATTAACGGAATTTTCATTTGATGTCGAGCCACAAACAACATAAAGTTACTCGTTGCGGTTACCTGTGACTGTATCCCGTTCGGCCATTTGCGCCGTATGCTGATAATTTTTAAAATCGTTGGTCACTCAGGTCATCATTACAATTTCATCCTGTGTTTTCGTAGATGCCAAGGAGATAGTGGTGGTCCACTGATCTGTCCACGGCAGGACAATCCAAACAGCACTCAGTGGGTGCTGCACGGCGTTACTTCGGTTGGATTGTAAGCTCAAAAGGGCTTACCAACAAGTTTGTTTAACAAAATACAGTCACCGGCATTTTTAAATAAGTTTTCAATAAAAGCGGTCTAAACTTGCCGGACAGGTGGTTTGTATGAAGCTAAACATCGCACAAGCATTAGTTTTCTAAAAATTCGTATTTCTAAAAGTTACTCAATTTCCTGCAGTTTTGTAAATCAGCCTGACCCAATACACAGAAGCTTATAAAAATTATTTCAATAATTTCTAGGGGTTGCGCGGACGCTACAGGCGTTTATCCTGGAGTGTACGCAAGAATGCGTATGATGCTTCCATTCATAGCCACTGTTGTATACGAGAAGAACAGGACCGGGTGGTTAGACAATACGACTATCGGCATTGTGGAAGCCCTCCCGAGCTACGACGAGGATGTTCAAAGAACTCTAGAGCTAGCCGAAGGCTGTTCGACTAATTTGCGTATTAATGCTGCCATTATTTTTATGACTTCGATTTCGGTATTTGGTTGGTGTGCAAAACCTTGGTAACCTTTGTCCAGTTGTTAAATGCTGCTTTCTCAGTGCAACATTGAAGCGTAAACACGCTTTCACAGTTGTGCATAATGGACTTTGATACGAATCATACGATTAAGCAACTTTTGTACGGTCACCCTTTACTTCCTTTACCGCAACATAACACTGAACCGGCAGAATGCTGCCATGCTAAACCAAATGAATCCGAGGGCGGGGAACAAATTTTCTTTTTTACGGGCGGACCTTTTATAAGAAACGTCCAATTGACCCCTGGCGTGTAGCAGTATGACATCGCATGCCAGAGCGGCTTGTGCTCAACGTGCTGCCACTGCACAGCTGCAACGCTGTGCAGGTTCAGTATTATTTTCTGTAAAATTAAACTTGGGCAATATGATTATTTACGGTTTCAGCAGTCGAATTTCAAATCAATTCGATGGTTATAACCGGAAACAGTGCGGAGGGTACTGCAAACTGAACTGGACTCACTCAAAAAAGGTGGGGTTGAATGTATGTATATCTCCACTTTGTCACTTTCGTTGTCTAGACGCCTAATTAATTACTGTACAGCGTAGCCTACAACTGTGAAAACCGCAGTTTAACCGCACGCAAGATCATCTTTCTCGTTATGTACGTATTTCTAACAGTACAACTATGTTACAAACTGGGTTTCTCTTCAGTTTGTCTTTCTTTATTAGCTTGCAGTAATTAATTTCGGGCTGCAATAGAGCAACGGTTGCGATAAGTGTTTTCAGTGAGCAGTAGTACCAGAATTTCCAGCGCATCTCCTCAATGGGGAACGACCAGTCTACTACGGATCAGGAGTATCAGCCGACAAAACTAAAAATTTTATGTAAGGAACGCCATAAATTTTTCGTCAGTTCGGATAATCGGGTTTGGTGTCAGTTCCAAATAAAACGTTGGTAATAATTATATGAATTTTGCAGTAGAGCGTGTACGGAATGTCCCCATGTACACATCCGCAGATGGTAAGACCAAAAGCAAAAACTGAATTATTATTTGACTCTTGATATTGGAACATTTCACTTGATATCATTCCGTTTTTAAAACAGGGAACAGGAAAGCTGAAGTGTTTATCGAACTGTCTTTGGGAGGTGTGGCGTTTACTACACACAGGGTATTTGCCTCTTTAACCGGCGAGGTCATTCTGAAGAAGAAATTCTCGTTGTACGTGACATCTCGATTTCCGCGGGACGTATGCTGAGAAGTGATTATTGCCAGTTTTTTGAAGGCTCCACCTCGATCTCCTTTGACGCTGAAAGTAATTGATTATAAGCTTGGAGAAATTGGACGAAAGGAATTGACATGGGGAGCCATTCCCCACTACAGAAAATGGGACTTATACACCCCCAGTTACCATTGGACGTTTACGCCGGCGAGGGATACTATTTCAAAGTTGAATAGCGAGGCTACCGAAAACGTGTTTGTGAACCCCGCACCATGCAAACTTGAATTCAAGGCCATTATTTCGCGCCGAAAATGCATACGACCGAAGGTTTCCGTCGTTGTTTGCCCTTGCATTCGCATTACGTCCTCTTCAGAGGCTCAGTCGGTTAAGGAAAACTTTCCTCTGGTCGACGAGCGCATTCGGCGCTGGACGGTCCTGAACTGCAACCTCAAGGAACTGGAGACCGCAACGCGCGCGGTAGTCCACAAGTGGTCCGTGGTAGCTAATCAGAATAATGTTATTCTTGGCGACATCTACGACCTATACGATCCACATGATCGGCGCCATGCGAATCGCCAAGCCTTTCTGCGCAGGCACTCTCAGTCTGTTGTTGCACCCGGTCCACCACTCACTAAGAAAGCTGATGCGAATATTTCCCAGCTAGATATTACAGTGATAGGGAACTTGTCGATGCCAGATCCAAATGAAGTTGGAACATCGATCTCAGGCCCGGAAGTTCACCCGGTTGTTGAATCAGCGGAACAGCGGTTCATCAGTCAGCAGCGCTCGTTCTCGACGGTAATACGCCTTGCAGACGTTGGAGAGCACGCTGATTTGAAGACATTATTTCTCTGGCGGAGTCTGCCAAACATTTTAATGGCAACGGACACAAAAGACACCATCCTGTCCGATCTTCTCAACAAAACCACAAACTACTACTACAACCCGTCCGATTGGCCGCTTATTTCTCACGTTCATCCACATCGTGTTTTGTGTTCTGGAGGGGAGACGGTTACGGTTACAGGACGGCATTTTGGTCTTTATCATACACAACTAGCCAAACTGCTAGTTTGTGGTGTGGACTGTACCGACACTCTACAGTACATATCGACCTCTAAATTCCGTTTTGTAACGAAACCCTGTATTCCATGCTGTGGTGAGGTTAAGTTATGGACGAGTGCCGGACAGATTAGTGCCAGCAAAGCAACAATTTGGTTTTACGATCCGCTTATGGAAGTGACCAGCACTGAAGAAACCGCTTCCCTAAGAAAATCACGAAAGCAGATAAGTTCGCTGGAAAGACTGAAGCAATACGAAGCTACACTGGAGGAGGAGATTGTCACCGTGATAAAAAGTGTTGTCCGTGAGTATTCGCTGCGTGAATGTCAACAGTTGCATTCGTCCATCAACTATTGTGACATGAACTTGCTTATAGATAACGAGCTGTACAATGACGCGCTGAAGTCTTATTTGGCCGATTTAGAGCAGCGAGCAGCGGCTAATCACCCGGATATATTTCATGAATACCGAGTGGATGTTGACGATCTATTGCACCATCACCACCACAGCTTGGCGTACCACAGATTGCATTAGGAAGCGCTATGTGAATTTTGCATCTGTAAATTGTAACGGCTGCACGAATTTTTTAGTGTAACCATTTCTTGGCAATGAGAAAAAACATTTTAATCTTGCCTCTAATGGCAGTTGAAAAACTTGGTAGACTACCGCAAAGCGGTTTACTGGAGCGATTCTTTAAAGAAATGCACTTGTTGTACTACGAGTGATACCTATTACCTAAGCAACCCCATCGAAGTACGGGTCTTTTCTGCAAAGTCAATGCTAAAAGTACAGTTTGCCATGACTTTAAAGTTTTGATCACGTATACTTTGATCATGGGAGACGTTCTTCGTAGCCCTGACCCTATGCCATCAAAAAATGGAACTGCCAAATTTGCCGGTGAAGACAGCAATGAAATCTCGGAATCGATAGCCCTGCATCCACTTATCTTTGGGCCGGGAGCCCTTTTGCGCAGTTCTCTATTATGGTTAGAAGATGTGGAGCTTGCGAAACAAAACTCCACCAACAGGGTACACTTTCCGCAGTCACCGTCTACAAAGCCAACTGCGGAAGTTATGCGCACCGGTCTCCAGAAGAAAACGCTTTTGACTGGTAAAAGCTTACAGACAGATGCGTCGGCAGATGCGAACCGCAAATCTATGTCATTGCTGAAACAAGCGGCAAAGACAGTAGACAAACCAGATTTTAATAGCTTTCGAGAAACAGTATTCCGACAATACGATCGTGCAGCGAAAACCCACCCAGTGTTGACTAATGATCAGTCCTCGAAACAACGCGCAGCCGGACGGTCCGACCTTTTTGATAATCGTGCTAAACAACTACTTAATGCCATGGCTTTAAACCTTTTTGGTATCACCAGCTCATTGAAGTTCCTAGGAAGTTTAACAGAAAACTACGTTTCATCACGACGACTTCGATCGACGAAACTGCGCCGACAAGCCAATATACTCCGGGTCAACGCTATCAGAACCTTACGAACGAGCCAGGAAGTTGAGAACGTTCTCGCTTTGTGTGCGGAGCATTTAAGCAACATGCAGTTTCGAGTTTCCCTGGAACTGAAAGAACTACACCCCTCACTGGCGGAGCGCCTAGACAAATTCGAGAAAACATTCCAGGTAAGAAAGGTTATTCATGAACAGAATTACGAGTACATTTGTTGTCGTCTTGTCCATTAGTTAAAGGAACTGTACATAGCTCGTTTTTGCGTTTGTCATTTGTTAACATGATGCTGCAGAACGAAATGGATAGAACTTCCAGTATGTTCAACAACATGAACGCAATGGTTTCCCGAGAAAATGCAGTTTTATTTTTGGGCGAAAGGCAACAGTACCAGTTGTCATACAAGCTAAACTTGGCGATGATGGGCGTTGTAGCCAATTTACGATTAGCCGCGCAACAAACGCTGGATCTTTTGAAATGGTTTCGTCGACAGTATCACAGCTTTATCAGGCTTTTTATGGACCGCAACTGGGAATACTTCTATTTATTTTATTTTTGTTTAATAAATTATCTTATTTGGAAAGCTGGTCGCAAAAATTTACCCGGTTTCATAACTTTCTACATGGACGCCATGGAGTATTTGGTTCGGTTTTCATGGACAGCAAAATTACCAGCGTTATATAAACAAATATTTATGGTTATGTGGAAGCTAGCAGATATCTACGGCATATTAATGCTATTCTCGTTTTTAATGGATTTTTTTCTGAAATTAGTAGTTGACTTCTTCGCACGAGTGCCCAAATTCTGGCTTAATCAGTAAGTACTCATCATGCCATGGCCACCAAAACTGTACTGACACAAAAAATTGTTTTGCTTTCAGCTTTTATTGGGCTATTCGTCCAGCGCTAATTTGGGTACCTGTGGGAACGTTAAGACTTTTTATTCCATTTTTGGATGCTGTACTAACAACCGGCTTGCAAGTGTGGGAAATCTGTGTGAGCGAATTTTATGATAATGTGTTGTCAGACTTTCTACAAGCCAATGCTACGAGAGCGATAATTCTATGGGTTGCAGAATATGAAAACGAAATAAGACAATCAAAAACAAATTACTACAAGCGGAAGTACAAGTACAAGCGGAAGTTGCTTCATTACTTATTGTAGTAGAAGTAGTGCTAAAACGATTACTTACTACAATCATCCAGCAATTGCAATTGCACTTCCAAAGCACATACACAAAACGGTACAACACAACAATGTTTTTTTCTTACTCGAATTGCTCTTAGCAACAGAACTGCCGACACGTTCCTGCAGTGACATGATTCAGTCTTTACTTGATTATAAATACTTATGGGTTTGATCAAGAGGAACAACAACGCTTCGAATGGGCGGCACCTACTCTAGCAACATTAACAACAAGTTCGAATAGGCCTTCTATAAAATTAATTGTCCTCCAGCTGTTAGCAAAAATGGGAGTCGTGGAAGATGATACGACCACCGGTGGTCGTCATCCACAATCTCTGCAAATGTCCACTATTGACTTTGATGCCATTCAACCTGTACTGCCCACAGGTTACGATCCGACAATAGTGGACATGCAATCAAAGCAGATTCTTCGCCATGCAGAGATAACGTACGAATTTTTTGGTAGATATTGCAAAGGGGTGAGTAGGATTAATTTCCGCAAGAAAATGTTAAATGAAGCGCTGATGATGCGTAATTAAATTAATAAGATAAGATGCTACTGTACTTGCAGATTGTTAAGCTACAAAGTCAATATCTTGTAGCATTTTACAGTGCCCTTAAACTTACAAGGGATAATTTAATGTAGCTGTTGTGTAAAATATGTATACCTTGCAGTTTGCCTCATACGCCAGGAAGTTAGCGCGATTGCGAGACAAAGGTGATGAACTCGCACGCTGCATCGTTTTCTGTTCGGAAACGCAGCCACACTCTCCCTCCACCAAAAGTCTACTAAACGAGTTCAGCACAGTAATAACGTCTGTGCAAGATCGACTTAACGGGAGTTTGCTGCGACTGGAAAGTCATGTTGTTCCGGGATTCTCCAAGTTTGGCATGATGGCGCATTCTGTCAAACAAGATGGTCAAAAGAGTATTGCTTTGCGCCAGAAAGAAGCAAGGCTTGCCATGGAGCTGCAGCAAATGCAGAATGCTACTAAAGCCGAAACCACGGTCCAACAGCGCCATCAAAAAGCGGAAGCCGTGGCCCACGCGGCCACTGACGCGCGTCTCGCCCACGAGCAACTACTAGAACAGGCGGATAAGTTTGAAAAGCAAAAACTGACTGATCTGCGGCAGCTGTTGATGAATTTCCTGCAGATTGAATTAGGATTCCACGCAAAAGCTTTGAAACTGTATACTCAAGCTTACAACCAGATAAAACGGTTAAATATGGCCGACGATATTGAAAGCTTTCGCGCCCAGATGCGAATACTGCAAGGCTCGATGTCTGCCGGTCCGGATCCGAATCTTCTGCTGGAACACCCTGAAGTGGCTGCAAGAATAGTCAGTGACTCTTCATCAGGTTGTGAGATCTCAAAGAAAACAGGCTTTCCATTAAACGGTCAGGAAATTATTACGAGAAGTCCGATCGCTAAAATTTCAAGCGAAATTAGCGAAGACAGACCTCCATGCTCTGAAAATCAGTCATCTTCGTCAGAAGATAGTTCCGCGTGAAAATAAATACTCATAGTTTCACGGAAAGCTTTGGTGGTGCTTTTGATGTCCAAGCGTCCGACCTGCAGCGTGATGCTTGTTTTCAAAGTCTGATCATCAACACGAAATACTCAGTATAAATAATGCACAAACTACGAGTAGAAGTATATAAACTACTGCTCACGAATATGTACGTCCCCTGTATTGGCAACTACCGCTGCTGAGTACTGTACTCTTATTTTGAATCCGTAATACAGTATGTCATAAGCCCTCGAACTATATTAATTTTTTCGCAGTACCTTGTACCGATATAAAAAGGATATCAGTAATTGTTCTGGACAACAAGATAAGCGGACTGCTTCAGCCACTCATCCAAAAATGGGTCAATCTGAAACCAGCATTCAATACGCCCTGCCGAAGCTGGTGAAGTGTTGTGAATGACCAGCGTTGAATAGCACGAGCAGGTTCCGTTTTCCGATAAAATGCCTTGAACGTGGTTATTACTGCCAAGAGTGGCAGCGTCAATCTGAAGGATGTGAAATGGATGAGTCTTTGGAGCATAGAGGATACCCTTTTCATGGTACCAGATAAACCGGTTGCTATAATCTTTGTTCGTTCCTTGAAGAAATTCGAATTTAGTGTAACACCGGAACTGAGCTGTCTGACCTTTGGGCTTATTGACATTCTGCATTGGAGGACTAAAAACATCGGTTGGTTGATAACGAGGGCTCATCAGAATTCTTGTAGCGAGAAATGACACGTTGTTAGGGGTATTTTCCGTGCAAGAGTACATGCCAGCGAAGAACTGTACGGCTTCTGGTATGTAAACAGTTGACACCAACCGGTTCGGTTTCGAGACTGAGTTTAGTTCTACAGTGTTGAAATTCCAGGACTTCGGTCCAAGTTCAGCAGCGCGTTTACAATGACACTCATAACATTTTGGAAAAGCGCAATCAAACGAAAATTTCGTATTGAGGTTGCCCAAGACAGAATGGTCCCATAGTACCCATACTGGGTTTTTGTAGCTGCTGTTTTCTTCACTGCGTTCAGGATAATGTAAGGTACATGATAGTGAAACGGCGGAACCGAATTCCGGGCGGATAACTGTTGTTTTCACGCTCTGGTTGGGTAGGTCAAGAAACGTTGAAAATCCCAAATTGATTATTCCATTCTTGCTGTGCTCTTGAGCATACGCAAGTTTGCGTGACACTACAGGTAAAATCCAAGCTCTCATATCATCAATCTCCAATGTTGTTTCTAACAAGCTTATGATCGTGATTACAACAATAGGATAAGTCGTAATCATTCAATTACCTGAGACGGCTAAAACAGTACCATATTATTGTCACCAAACCAGGCAATTGAAGACGTTTTATCTTAATTTATATAAGCAGCCGTTGGGGAACGCTCGTTCGTACGCCATTAAATTTATCGGCATTTTTCAGACTTTTGATGTATTACGAGTCAGCGAAGTCATATTGCCCTGTCAAGTAAAGTTCGGACAGATGCGTAAAATAAATTGCAAAATGATACCCTTTTGATGCAATTTGATAGTGTAAATTCAGTACAGTGCTACCAAAGCTTTAACTGGTTGGTGTGCGTATAAACCTCAAGCGGTTACTAAAGGGAAGGGGCAGTGGTCATTTCCTGTAAGCAAAAAAATGATTTGTGATACTTCTTACTGCCCTCTAAACAATTAACAATTGATGATATTCCCTGGAATAGTTCAAAGCGTGTGCGTTGCGGGTAAGCAAAAGAATCTTTCTCGATCGGTGTGTATGGTTAGCTCGAAACATTATATGGTATTTCCCATATACTCGTAAGTACTTTTTGCAGAATGCGGTTGCTGAGAGAACTATTCGCTTTGGTCAAAACGGTAGTATTTAGGCGGAAGTTAGGGCCAACAGAATATTACGTTATCACTTAGGGATTATCACCATCCACAATTTCTAAAATGTTTTTGGACTGAAAAGTGTTATTTCTTACTAAACAGTGCAGATGTTGCGAAAAGTTTTAGTAGATCCCCGAATTTGGCTTGACCGGGCGTATTTTTATATTTTTTATATATGTAGTGTAATATAGGGGGCAAAAGTAAACGTGTTCCACCGTTCCCCTGTACTGCTGCCGTCACCCGACTGGAGTTTGACGTTGTGGCAGAACATGGCGCTTATGTACCGCGCCAGATTTGACCACATGTATTGCCGTAACGTCACACTCCAGGCGGGTGACGGCAGCAATACAGGGGAACGGTGGAACGCGTTTACTTTCGCCCCTTATATCCAGCACTTTAATACTTACCGTACCTGCTGCGTAATCCATCCATGCCTGTTTATTTACTGAGCAAGAAAAACATGTTTAGCCTGACACGAACTATACGGGTGATACGAATGTACGATCCCTTTTTGTACTATTACCGCTCGCCGTATAAAATTACGTAAGTACAGTAACTAAAAAAATAATGAAACGTGTGGTAGTAAAAAGCATGGCTTGCCTGAATCTCAGGGAAATCGTACTATTTTCAAAGTCACTCGCTGCAATTCTGCATGTCATAAACTATTTTTTAAAAATGACTACAGAAGTTGAATCTCGAATCAAAAGCTAATTTTCTTGATACAAGAAGCGAATTTTGCTATACTGTAAGTACGGTAATTATATAATATCAATACTGTAGTTGTCCATTTCTTAAGTGAAATAATTACAGTATGCACTTGTTGTTGTGTTAAAGTACTGTACATAAAAATGTTACGGAAGTACCGTAACCATGGCTCCAGCACATTAGTTAATTTTATTCATCTGCAATAAAATTACTGTACTAAAATCAGTAATTTATTGAAGATGAATAAAATTGTCTAATAGAAGCTAACGCTAACTTTGCAGGTCAAGCGGTTAGAAACCATGTTGCGGCAGCAGAAATAAAACTCCAAGTCCATGGAATCTAGTACTACTAGTACTATTTGCTACTATTGACTAACGATGATGAGTAGCCCCTCCCTTGTCATATGGCAAATTTGTTTTTGGTGCCACATCGGTCTTTTCTTAGGCTGTTGTCTAATAAATATAATTTTTTCTGGAGAGCAACAGCCATCTTTTCTCTCTTGATGTTAATCAAAGTCTATTTGTGAGCCGCATTCATGTGCAAAGTGTCACAAGCCAGTTGATGCTTATGGCCACCACGGCTTATCGTGTTCCTTTTCTGCTGGGAGACAACCGCGTCACGGCGGCTTGAACAGCATCATTTGTAGAGCACTGGTATCAGCCGGTGTCCCTGCTAAACTGGAGCCCTGGGGAACATCCCACACCTCGGATCGTCGCCCAGATGGGTGCACAACCTTCGCCTGGAAACGTGGCATGTGCTTGGCGTGGGACGTCACCTGTGTTGATACCGTCGCCCTATCACACTTGAAATCAACGTCAGCTACAGCTGGATCCGGCGCAGCGCAGGCTGAGGATAAAAAAGTGCGACTGTACTGGTATCTGGTGGGAAGATACCTCTTCGCGCCAGTAGCTTTCGAAACCCTTGGACCTTGGGGAAAGTCGGCTACCGCCTTGGTAAAAGAAATCGGGAAGCGAATTCAGATGCATTCGGGTGAACCTCGTTCCCATGAGTTTCTGCGGCAGCGATTATCACTGGAAATTCAGCGAGGCAACGCCGCTTGTGTACTCGGAACTATGGAAGGAGCGGCAGCATTAAATGAGGTTTTGTTGTTCTAATTAATTGTTCATGATCTATTATGTACCCGCATTTTATGGAATAAATGGCGTCATCAAAGTCTTACTTATATGAAAACATTGCGAGCACTAATCTTTACAGCCGAAAAACAGGCATAAACATAAAACATTTTAACGCGATCTCGTATAAAGTAATTTTTTTTTTGTAATTTAATTTCCAATAAAGCGATAACAATATCAAGATTCAGTTACACTTAAACAAAACAGCATTTTCCACGGTACCCATAACAGAAGCGGCATTTCCTCTTTGAATAGCTAAAGAAATGTTCTGCTTTAAAAACTCATGGCTGCGAATCTCGCCTGTTTGTAATTCAACCCTCTTTCCGACTTCTTTAACCAGTTTCTTGGCTGATGAACCAAAACTACCAAAGGTTTCGAATCCAACAGCAGCAAACTCGTATCGTCCTGACAGGAAGCTGTATTTGTGTACTTTTTCGGCTTCTGCCTGGTCGGCTGCCGCTCTGGCCTGTAAACTGGTGTGATCCAAATAAGAGCGCGCGACGGTGTCCACACAGGTCACATCCCAGGCTAAACACAGCCCTCTCGTCCAGGGGAAAGTAGTGATTCCGTCTGGGCGTGTGTCGTTTTCGTGGTGCATGCCTCTAGGTTCCGTTCGTGCCGGGATGCCTGCCGAAACCAGAGCTCGTCGCAAAATATCGTTTATGCAGTCGTGTCGTGCCCGTCTTCCAGCAGAGAATTTGCAACTCAACCCGTGAAGGCCATCGGCGTTAACTTCGGCACCGCAGTTGCACTGGTGTTTGGAAGACGCAGGTGCGCCAAGTCGAATAGCAACGGCGATGCGGAAGGATTCGTCGTCCAATAAGTTTCCAATTGAGGAAGAGGGAAGAGCGTGTGTCCAAACACCTGATTCCGGTGTTGAAGTCGCCAATAAACGTGCTTTGTTGGTGGCGTCAGTTGCCTCGTATAACAAAGTCGCCTGCTCAGCTGAACAGTACGGTGTGTCCCATGCGCGTTGTAAATGTCTGCTTTCGAGCAGAGGCGGGGATGCATCATCACAGAGATAACTCCAAAGTGCAATGTGGTCATCAGCGTCAACTTCACTTGAGTGCGGCAGTAGTTTGGAAACCAGGCTCCGGGTAGCGTGAATCGAGGCCAAATAGGCCGGCAATGCTAATTCATCTACCCGTCGGATACCAAGTCCACCGCACCGCACAGGCAATGAAGCTTGACGCCAAGCAGGCGGATCCATACGGACATTGCAAATTGACTGTAACGACTCCCTCAGAACTTCGTCGAACTCGATAAGGCTATCTCTGGCTTCAAAAGATGGACAACATCGTAGCAAATGGATAACCTTCGGTGCGCTAAGACTGCATTTCAGAAGGAAATAGGCTTGGTGTTTTGGTAGCAGCTCGAGACGGTTGGCTATCAAGCGCATTACTTCGGTTTTCTGCTGTATCGCTGACTTGATTCCGTCCTTCAGCAGTGGAGCGCCAAGTAAGCACAAATTTTCTTCTACGGCGACGGTGACTGTTGGGAACCGATTCAGAAAAGTGCTAATTGCTGCGTCTTGATCTTCGGCGGTGCCTCCGCTCACGAAGATTTCACACTTCGACATGTTGACGCTTAGTCCGACTGCGTATGCGGCGTCGATGACCGTCTGAAAATCCTCTGCAACTGTCTCAACAGACCCGCCCATTGTACCGTCGTCGAGGAACCAAGCGTTGAACTTGGACTTGAGCGCAGACGTAATTGGCAGTATTCCCAAGGAGAACAAAAGCGGGCCAAGTGGATCACCTTGGTGGACACCACACTGTGAAGAGGGGATTTCATCATCAATGTACAGATCAGTATAGTAGCCGTAGCAAGCGTGCAAATAGTCAGCATATTCCGGAAGATGAACACTGGCAACTTCCATTATAGTAGCGCGGGATATGCAATTAAAGGCATTCTTCAGGTCAATTTTCAAAAGTACTTTTACGCTGCTCCGATCGCTACTTATAAATTCTCGCGCCGAATGGACAATGGCTTCTGATCCCCCTTTGACACCGAAGCCGAGCTGACTTGGCTGTAGCGCTGCCGTCGTGCGCACTTTTACGCGACTACAGATGACTTTTGCAGCCAGCCGCCTCAGGGTGTTGCCAACAGCAATAGGGCGCAATCCGCCATCTTTTTTCATAAAGTAATTGAATATCTTATACAAATTTGTACATTATACATTGCTGGTCCATGCGGTATGCGAATTTAAAACGATGGGGCAGAGAAAATAGCGATATTCACTAGTACGATACGTAAGTCGGTATGTACATACGACCTTTTGGCAATGACCGCTCGTCATAACTTGCTTTATGTACTGTAGCTGTATACCGATTATGCTAAACAGAAGAGGAGGAGAAAGGGATATGATAGGTTATTAGGTATACTGTATACATGCTTTGTCTTCTGGTAAAGGAGATGCTGATGGCTGTAACTAGTGTGTCGAAATCGAATACAACCATTAGGAGAACTATATACGGCAAATCTTGACACTGGAAATCAGCTTGCTATAAAACTGATGACCCGGACGAAGTCCATCTCCATTAATTATGTGAATACTAATTATCTAATTATCTAATACTAATTATCTATGCAGGATTTCGCCCCTCTACTTCCCGGTGATCTCAGCTTCTAATCACTCGATTTTGCTGATTTAAAGTGCAACAGAATCTTTAGACTACGGGGAGTGTTTCTGGGCTGTTGGCGCTTTGTCAACTTTATTTTGTTACGCCCAGTGGTCACTCAAACACGTGTTACCATGGATGCCTTAGGGCTAACATGGGCTGCTTTGTAACCACGGGCATAGTGGTGCGCTGCAAAAGGCGCTGCAAAATGACAGGGACACAGTAGTTGCGACCACTGTGCTTCCGGTTACTGCTCAGAGAACACGTCCCTAACCTAAAGTTAAAAACTGCATTAAGAATTTCAACGACATGGTTCTACCAATATTGAATACACCAACCCGAAGCCCCAGTGGGATCTCTAAAATGGATGCAAGCGGAGAAACCTAGCAGCAAACGTAACACCGAAAGTCCTTGTAACAGGCCAAATTTCATAAATGACTACTCTAATGTTCCCATTGCTCTTGCTGAATTCGAATTTAATACAATATTTTTATTCTGACAAAGTTGCACTACAATGCATGTGAAAAGTTCACACGAATTAAATTTACCACTAATCGTGAGCCTATATTCATCCGTGAGCTCGGCTTGTATTCATATAACCATCGGCTGGCTTCGACTCCCCGTTTGACAGGAGAGAAGGCCGAAGGTTTTTCTGCAGCATACAACCTAGACATTTCTGGGTTAAGGTCACGCCTTTTTGAGGTACAGTAACTTTCAATGCCGTAGCAGTTGGATATTGTGGCAGGAATATGTGCGAGCAAAATATATGTGCGAGTATTTCAGTGGGAATACCAAATTTTCGATGTAAGCATCTGCTATCCCATACCAAGGATTGGAAAAAACGCTTAGCAAACGGAGCGCATGCAGTTATTATGTAATATTATTGTTATTAAGTTCGTATGAATCATTCTTTCAACCATTTGACAAAGACAATATGCATTATACATGAAAGTCTAACATTGTGTTGCCGATCGAGTACGACACGCTAACTACCTAATCTACTTAATTTACTAACAACAAAAAAACTGTTGTTTTTGTTTGTTGCATAAATATACAGCGTATACTAATAACTGACTTTAATAGTAATAAGTGCCTAGAGCCGCCTCTGTTGTTGTTTAGCAACCTCTTGATCTTTTTGGAGAGTTGACCCTTTTAATTACAGCAACTGCCAAAGGTTTTTCAAATCTCCATAGTACCCAGGGTTTTCAAAATGGCGCATGCAGATAATAATGATAAAATCAACCCTTTCTTTTCTTGCTCAAGTATGTATGGTAACAAATCGTCAATATTAGCAGTCACCATAATAAGAACATTTACCGCTCGTGTGACCTTATCAAGCGTGCATTCTTTGTGCCGTTCTCATCATGCATCCGAATGATCCGATAAGTAACTTTGCTATGTTTCAGAAGGATCTGCTGAATGCTATCCGGAGCTCTTCAAGCTTTACTCACAGTCCCAGCAGACCAGTGCCAGTAATTCGTACAATTCCAACAAACTTTTCTTTCAGTCCACCCTTTTGCCTAAGGCTCATGAAACTCCTGTAAAAAAACGCGGCCGCCCACGCAAGCATCCACTGCTTGTTGATCAAGACAAATGCCCGAAAGGTTCGGAACGTGAAATCTAGAAATCTGTAAGATTCACTATGGCTATGTTTCAGTTTCAGATTGGCAGAATCCTGGCAGCTGCCTGCACGTTGGATATGCCAACTGTGCAGAAATTTCAACATTGGGCGGTGGTAAATGTGACAACTCGCCTAACGTGAACACTCCCTCTTCTGCGTCTGCGGCATCGTCAGTTACAAGTGGTGAAATTTGCAATGGCCTGCAGGAAGGAGTTAAGCGTAATTACCAACGGCGGACTTCGACACCCAAAATTCCAAAACCGACTCCTCGAAGTGTTGTCAATATACACGCTATGTTAATGGACGCGCTGTGCTCTTATACGATCAAGCGGTAATCCGTTATTTTCCTAATTCAAGTGTTATCCAGTCAAGCCGTTAATATGCCTGGGAAACGACAAGACGAATAATATTCAGTTGCATGTCAATCTAGTCCTTGTTTTCCTGTTTGTACATATCCTGTAATTTTGTAGCCGCTCATCCTTACTTTGCGCTCAACTGAATTTTTAGTGCTCACATTCCACGAGAAATCAAAGAGCTCACCCGGAAGAAGCGTCCATGTGTGGCCGATATGACAGCGATTCTCGGCTATCAAGAGCAGATGAATATCCTTCTGCGGTCTGAATATTATTTCTTGCAAAAGATAGAAGAGGAATATGGTTCAGTCACACCGTGCTACGATAACAGCGTAGGAATTCCGTTGCACTCCACAAGTAATTCTGCTCTCGAGTTAGATAGCCTTATTGTGGCTTCTGAGAAAGCGCTTAGAGAGTTTCCTGTGGAGACATGATCGTCAAATTAACGATTCTAAAGTTTCTTGAAGTACTTATCCCTGTATCATATTATCTCGTATGCAAACGAATTCCATAAGTATGGAGTGGCAAAGGGTCAAGCACTTGGTTCAGATTTATCAGAACTATGAAAAATAACTATGAACTAACAACTTTGTTGTCCCTGTACCTAAAATGAAATAAAATGGATACTGTTTCAAGGAAATAAAGGTCAAGTGACCATGTAAAAATTTGTCGTTGTTACGAAACAGACTGCATGAATTAGGGACATCGACAGTAGCATCATTAAAAGATAGGTCAAACATATCCGTTATTGCAGTAATTATTATGTATTAACCAACATCCATGCAGACTGTTCGATCAACGTCTGCCAAAATATCGGGCTTTTGTACTATACTGCCCACAAAAAATATGTCTGTAGTATTTTCTACTCGTTTATACACAACTACAAAATGCGTGGCCACTGGATCCCATGTGAAACCTCAAAATCCGGTTAAAAAAGTTTTAAAGAGTGGAGTATTCTGGGACATTGAGAACATACCGGTGAAAAAATCCATTGCCGCTAAACGTATACCGGAGATTAAGCAAGCATTAACGAATTTCATAACCCAAGTCAATCATTATGACGAAGAAAATCCACCGAAAAAAGAGATCGAAAAGTTTCTGGCCGTCGCGAGACAGCAGGGCGAAAATCAATTTCCTACGACATCTGATCTGGTGAAACGCACACTTGTGGAACACGAGGTCAGCCTTGCGAACAAACCACAAACGCACTACAGAATGAATGTAGCGGATGCACATGCTAATATGCAGTATTTTTGCATTTTTAGTAGATTGAACTCCTTGATCTTCCATACTGCAACGATCCGGATTATTGTGATGATGCAATTTATCACAGTGTGTTGTACTTCACGCGCGACTACGACAAGTGCGTCGTAGTGGCCCTGACGGGCGATGTCGGCCTGGTACGCCGCATTAACAACATCAACCGGGATTTTGACCTTATCGTGGTCATGCAGCGAGCCGGAAAGAAAACCAGCACTATGCAGAAGCACTGCGACAAAATCAAGCAGACAAACGAACGCGGCCGTCAACAAGCGGTCTACTTTATTGACGAGGTGATCAGGAAGTGTATTGCCGGATGCGTCCCGCTAACGTTTTCGCAGTTGCTGCGCCTAAACAACTCAAGGACCAACGTTTTTGACGAACCATACTTAGACGAGAACCACTTCAGACTTTTGTTTTCCGAGCGTTGTGAAGAAACATCAGATAGCTCGACAGATTTGGAATGGGCACCTTTCTCTGCAAACGGTAAAAACGGTTTTTTGGTAATTGTACGTCAGTTAATGTCCGGAGTCCATAAAGACCTTTATTGCAGTATTAGAGAAGTTGCGGCACCACTTCAGACTGATGAAAGCAGCTATCTCACAATGCTCAAACCGAATCAGGAAAGCGTTCTGCATGCCAGAGCAAACTTCAGTCACCGTTAGCGGTTGAAGGGAAACTCAGTGACTCAGAACTGTCACACTTAATTGTGGCAGGGATTGAATAATTAAGAATGAAACTGAAAGGTCGTCAAATAGCAATGATTAGCTACCATTCCAAAGCTAATCCATACAAACAAGGCTGTAGTAGTGGGCTGCAAAATACCTATGGTGGGCTGCAGGCCCACTACATACATATGTTCCCGACTTCCTGTTTGTATTCAGTGCAAGCAGTTCTTCATACTGTTAAGTATTGCATTGACATCTTGTATGCGGTGCGTACGATGCTGCAGTGATGCAGATTAAGTAAAGCATTACTTTTAAGAGAGCTGGACGTATATAGCTGGACATAACATTTTTTATATGGTCACAAAAACCTATAATTAGTTGTTATTGTGGGTATATCCGGATGTGCGTGCCCACTTCGAGATGATAAAAACAAGTTCTTACATTTTCCTTATTAGAATATTATTTAACCAGAATTTTAAAAATTAATGTCCTGATCGTTGTACCAGTGCTGGCAGTACATACACGTACACTCTAATCAGAATTTCTGGTTGCAGACTGCGAATTGTGCCTCGACCAAGAGTGATATTGAATAACTGCCTAAGCAGTTAAAAAACTGATACACGCGTAGAAATAGTAGAATTACGACAGACGTTCTCTAGAATCTGGTAGGCACTTATTTTACGATTATCGAATTTTACGTATCATTCGGCTGATTCGAAAAAAAAGTACAACAATACCAGGGCTTCAAGGAGATTCGCGATCGTAATTATCGAAGGAAGTGCTTACATTTCTGGTAGGATTGACACGATCGTAAACGGCGGTTAGTACTGAAAAGCAGAGATTCTGAGCCCTTGCCCAGTTTCGCCACAACAAACTGATACCACCCGTGCTGCCGGCTGGGCTGTGTTGAGAATCATTTGTCTCGACGCCACAAACAGAAGAATCCTGTGAGGGCGACGTGCTAATACTGAGAGATACATCACTATCACTTTCACGAACAGCGCGATTGCGGACGGCATTCCTTCGATCCTCTTCTTCCTTGAGACGCTTAAACGCATTGACGCTTTCGAGGAGGCTGCTGAACATCGGGATCCTCGTCGCTCCACAAAATGTCCTAAATTACCACGTATCAGGTTTATTTCACAAAACGAATGGTAGCTGATATTCGCACAGAACTTGAGAAACCATGTTCGCCGGTATTACCAACCTTGATGCCTTTTGCGTACCCCAGACTGAATCGTGGTTCCTTCTCGAGAAATTCCGTCCAAGCATTAATCTCTTGGCGATTCCATACACCCAGTCGTTCATGACTGACAAAGTGCAGCACCAACAGAAGCTTCTTCAAGCTTAGAGCTACAGCTAATTCCGCCAAGCTTACTACTTCGGACGGCGTGCGAAGCTGCAGAGCTGTACGGATCAGGAAGAATTCTGCTCTTCCAACCAATTCGGGCACCTGACGAAACATTCCTGTTTAAATTTTCAGAGGCGACTTTACTGCAAGATGAATATAACGGCTTACCTGTAACATGTCCGCTAAAATCGCTACATCTGCGGCGCATTTGTCCAAGTCCGGTGTTGCTTTAAGGTAGCAGAAAACCAGAAAGGTCTTGACTGCTTCAGGACTAATGTTGAGGAACTCGTAGGGTGTTTCGTCATTTGACTTATCGGTTTCCCCATGATTAAACAGCGCGCGAAACACCGGTGATGTGCGGTTTAACGCAGATTTGTCGACATGGAATAGGTCGCTTCCGGTTTTAACGGAATAGTTTCCTGTTAGGGGATCCGTGAAAAGTGTCGTCAGCTGCGTGATGTGGGATAACCCTTCAGTTTTGGGCACCAAAGCATAGCACACCCTTTGTATTGGTCGCTCCAAAAGGTCGGATGGTCTAGATTTCGCAACCAAAGCGCAGGTAATTGCGGAATGCTGATCTAGTTTGAAAGCGGAACGGATCGTGTTTGCCGTTAAGTTGCGGAAGAACGACACATCATCTTTACGGAACTGCAGAGTAATTGTGGCCTGCTCTGGTGATTTATTCTGCGTACGAGCAGATTCTTTCGGATGGGAATTCTCTTCATCATACAAAGGAACGTCTGCAATTTCGGCTTCCTGATCTCCAACCCGAAGCACAGCCGAGTGAATTTTACGCGGATAATAACCTAGCGGCCATGTAGAAGCATCACCGTCGCCGGACTGGGCAGGCTTTTGATTGTCGGGATCTGCGAGTGTAATTTGCAACTGGGCTGTCCATTTTCTCAACGAGTTATCATCGAGCCCTGTCAAAAACGAAAACAAAAGTACTAAACTAACATTATCCAGTTATGCCTGACAGCGGACAGCGGAGAACTTCCCCCCGTTATTTTTGTCGCTGCCTAGCTAAGAACGAGCGGTAATTATTTGGTTCGAAAGGGTTACCAGTCCTGCAGTGGGACAAACGTGCAAAACGTGAAACGTAGTACAAAAAATTAAACCGAAATCGGCTTTGTCAGCTGCAAATAAATGACTAAACAATCGTATATCATCATTTACACTACAAATACTTTTGTTATTCCCAGCAGTCCAGAATTCGAAATACCATAGACGTAAAAGCGGCAATCTTGTAAAGAAAGTTAGTGTAGTACATCTGCTAAGAGGACAAAGCCTACGTACAGCTTTCGTGAGAGGGTCAAAATTTATCTAGTAGCTTACAATATGCCGATGGAAATGCACACTCTAGTACTCTACCATTGTTAAGATAGTGATGGTGTTCCCATATACTGGTTGCTTCAGAATAATGATATCCTCGTTCCACGACTACAAATACTGACCATTACGATGCAAAACGAACGCTAACTGGCTGAACCCTGGCAGCTGTCGCTTGCGTGCTTAACAGTTTCTTTTAGGCCATTTAAAAAGCATTTAAAACTTATGGTTAGTGACTTCAGACGACAAAATGTAAGCTGCAGATGAACGGTACCGTAAATATTATGTAAGTTCATTACCAGCAACCGGCAGCATAATATCAGAATTCGAACAAAACATATAAATAATTATTACAGAATGCAGATTACTGAAAACGGAGGTTTACTGGCCATCAGCGCATCAAGTTAATAAGAATTTATTTACGGATCTTCAATTTTATCCAAATTTTGTTTTACTTAATATATACAGTTTTCCGAACTTCTAATTTGCTAAATCATTTGGGTTGTTCGAAGATTTCGAAACAGAACTATGATTTCTGTTGTATCGTTACTGGAAATTCCGATTACTCTACACAATACAAGCGTAGTTCCAAATACACTAACTTACACCAGTCGAGAGTAAGCCGGAAGTTTTTTGACAGCCATCCATTTCCATTCCCGGTCATCAGCGCAATAGAATTCTCCTCCGCTAGTTGATACGTATAATGCTGCAAATTTGGATCATCCGGAATAGAGGTTACTGTAGTTTGTCCGGTAGCATCGCCACTCATCAGATCGTCCGCGCTCTCGTTTCCCTCGGGCACAGCAGCCGTTGGATTTTCCGAATGAACAACACGCGATGCTTCTTCGTGACCATCCTTTAATTGCCAGGTAAGTTCAGCTTTTTTCTGGAAGAATCCGCACGAATATGAATGCTTGACAATATCTGCCGTGACCTGGTCGAAATTCTGCACTTCACGCAGATACTCGGCTGTTAAGGAATTGACCAGCGGTGTCGTTCCATTTGGGGTCCGGGTCAACTTGAGATGGTGTGACACTTGGTAGCCATTCGGCGCCAGACCAAGCTTGTCATCATGCAGTAGTCCTGCTGGATACGAGTTTGTTGAGTACATCATGCGCACCTTGTGCAACCACGGTAGAAGGGACGTTCTTTAATGAGTTTCAAGACAGTAATTCTGATATCCACATTTTACGGTTTGCGTAGCCTGAACGATTGCTGAGCTTTTAAAGCAAACAGACCCAAAAAGAAAGAAGAATACAACATGAACTGGAGTACAACTTAAAAACTTGTCCCTTTTTATTCCATAATATGTGCCGCACACTAAGCCTGCTGACTTATTGTTGTTGTAAAGCCATAGATTGTTCTGCAGGTTCAGTGCGGTACCATGGATACTTCCAAATTTCCAATATATCCGCAAAATTTTAGGCAGCAAGTATAGTAATTTGCTAAGTTTTTGATCCAAACAAATGAACAAGAAGCACTGACCACGCTGAAATAAACCTTAATCCGTTCCTATTTCACAAATAACACAAACAACAAACAAACAAAAACTAAAATTGTGATCCTTGACAGAAGACTCCTTGTACAAAATAATTTAAATTAAAAATGCATCGGCTACTTATTAAGTACTTTCAGTGCAATTCAAGAAAATTTCACATTTCGGGTTGTGCGCAAACGGTTAAACACTGGGAATACTCAAAAGCACCATATAGGCATGCTTCTTCCTGTCAATAACCCCACAAGACGGCTGGGCACATCCGCTCCAGCAAACTTATCCTAGAGTGTGCGTTAAGGCCCCGGGCACGAAATCGCCTGCGGTTAGCGGAAAGCTCCGTAGTCCAGTATCCATACCATTCTCTCAGTGGCGCAGCGCAAGAGTTTGACCGTATTGAACCATCAGCATGCTAACTATGTCTTCTCTAAGAATCCCAACAACTTATCATTCAAAGTCATAATGATGAATCTTCATCCAGTTAAACATAGCTCTTAATTACGTACCCTGTCTGAACCGTCCCCGTTGATCGATCCGAGTTTAATCGCTACAACCTCTCCCGGTCGTTCAGGAGAAAATCCTTGGTTTCGCCGGTTATTTTGGCCATATCCAGGTCTGCTTAACGGATAAGCTGCGTCGAATTCAAAAGTGGATGCCTAATTGAAAAATGGGGATACAAAATCAGTCGTACGTCTATGATAAACAGGCTAAGCCGCACCGACCATCTGCAGGGTCGCTGCAAATTTCTGATCAGCACTCAGCAGTATGCTATTTAAGTTAGGAATTGTAAAGACAAATGACTGCTTACCCTTTTTCGTTGTTTCCTTTCTTGTTCTAAAACTGCGTTCTGTTGTAATAAACTTTCAGGTTTCTTTGGCCGGCCTGGAGACGACTTCTCCTGCAACAATAAGGTGATGCATACAACTCATTTGAAACTAATTCATGTGGTTTTAGTAAATGTATTTGTTGCTCTGCTCAAATTACGTTATGGACGTCGGAGTCTGCATCTTTTTCTGCGATTTCCTCGTCTTCGTCCTCTTCATCATCATCTTCCGCGTCTTCCTTGGTGTTTACTGTATCTTCCTTTTTCACAACGGTTTCTATTTTTGTCTTTCTCTTTTTTTGTTTGCTGTTGACATCGGATGCCATTAAACCCTTCTGGGTTTTACCGCTGCGAAGCATGTTGACCTTTATGCCCTTATCGTGCTGTGTGCTCACCAGATCGTCATCCTCCTCGGCATCGTTGTTATTCTGATTCAGTCTTATCATCGCGTCTGGACCGATATTGATGTTAAGAGTCAGGAAATTTTTGACATTTGGTTCGGACGACGATGCATCAGCTGAGGATCCACCAAACTGCACAGGTCGGTTATTTGTGCGAGAAGACAAAATTTTCACGTCTGATTGCTTAGGATAACGGAGGGGCCGTCTTTCCGTGATAGCCATCGCAGGCGGCAAGAAAGGGCCCAGAACAACTTCTTTCAGAAAGTTAATGTCCTCCTGCTTTAAAATAACTATATAGTGCAAATAAAACGGGCGTTACTAAATGACTGAAACCCACATGAAGATACTTACTTGTGGAAATACTTTTCTGACCGATTTCACTTTTCTCGTTTCGCTCTGTCAAACAAATACTGCTGAGTGAACTGTGATATACTGTAATTCGTAGCTGCGAATGTAATATGATTTATATTTTGAGCAGAATTCTTACTGGTGGCTGGTCAAATAGTTTAGCCAGTTCATTGGCTACGGCCTCATCATCTTTGCTCGTTGTCTTATCCGAACGTTGTTTTTCCTTTTTTTCTACCGCATCCGAATTATCAAAGTCCATTTCAGGGTGATATGCGGACTGTGAAGTCTCCTTTTTGGATGTATCGATAAACTGCATCTGATGCCTCTCTTCCTCTGTTGCGATATCAAGCAATACATTTTCTGCATTCTGAAAAGAGACATAAACGAATATGTTCTTGAATTTATAACAAGATTTTTCGTAGCTTTCAACCTTAGTAATCTCATATTCATTAAACATTATCAGTTTAGATCGTTTCTTTGTTTACTACTTAGGAAATTCTAAATGGACGCGCTTAACGCAAGAACAATTCGCTTCGCTGTTAAATTTTTCGGACAGTGTATTACTACTGTAAATACTTTGTAGGCTACAAATTCATTGTTGTTGATAAAAATTATTTGGGTATCGATAGTTTTATACGCAGAGTCGAATGGGTAGTTATCGCATCGGATCAGTGTTATCTTAACAGATTTTGCGACGTAAACAAGCATTACTGCGACTATGTCCCGTTGGTGATGCGATATTACTCTTTTGCATCTGCTGTTCCTTGTGAAACCTGCACAGTCACTCTCATCGTCAGACATCCGTTTTATTACGTAAATCAACTTCGAATATATTCATTTCTAAGCAGGAATAGGAGAAGAGTCAAGTTGCAAGACGGGTAAAAAATTCCTGAGAAAAAATTGAAATGAGAATGTATAGCCAATCAAAGATTATGTTTAGTGTGCGATAACAAAGGTCCCATTCTACAGATGCAGGTTATTTAGTTGCGCACCTCCGTATCATCTTCCTCTGCAGCCGCTTCTGCTTCGGTTTCCACTTCATTCATATCTTCACTGTCATCGCTTTCGTCATCCATTTCAGCTTGACCACTGGACAATTGTTCGGTATCTTCATCCTCTGCGTTATCCAACTGCTCCGCGTTTTGGAACGATTCGTCCTGACTGTCCATCTGTGTATCATCGTTTACTTCCTCATCCAACTGAATTCCATCTTTCTCTTCATCGACAATATTTTTAAAGCGGTCAACCAGTTGGCCCGGCCACTAGAACATGTTTGAGCTGCTACCCAGGCAGTAAGCAATGTACAGTGAAACCTGTCTTTTACAGTACATACACCGGTAAATACATACACCTGGAAATTATATACGCGGAAAGTTTAACCGGCGCGTCCCATAGACTGTAATATACTGTAACTCTGTGTAATACATACACCTAATTGTAAATAATACATACGGTTTTGCTCTAACCGAAGGTGTATTAATTTTAGTAAACAGGTTTCACTGTAATACGTTCTAACTTACGACCAGTAACGAATAATCTCTGCCTAATGAAAACATTAAAATGTATATACTGTTGATTTACGCACCTGCGCTTTGGAGTTATCATGTTGCTTCTTCGTCAAGTCATCGGAGTCAAACTGCACGGCCTTTTTCTCCTTTCTCTTTTTGCTAAAGGAATCGCTTCTGTACGGTTCACTTCGCAATTGACCGGGCACTTGGAATTGTTCGGCATTATTACTGTCATCGGTATTATAATCGTCATCCTGGAACTGTTGGGAGGCGGCTGCGGTGTCGTCTTCATTAATACTTCGCTTTTTCCTTCGTAAAGAGTTTCCCTCTTCCAGGTTGTCGAACATTTCCTGCATCAAAACCTGGTCTTTCTGTGCCTGCTCTGATCGCGCTCTATGCTTTGCTGCTGCTTCGGCTGCTTTCTTAAGTTTTTCGTGTCTTTGCTTCAGCAGGGCGATGTTTTCCATTGACGTCATTCGCTGGTCAGCTTCGTGAGCATACGGTATTGCTCGTTTTTTCCGATCAAGATTATAGACTAAGAGATCTGCAGTATCCTCTTCTACAGAGCGTCAGAAAAGTTACAAAAAAAGCGATATGGCGACAGAATAATATACCAACCATTGAAATACCATAAATTTTGTAATACATAAACTCTTACACATAAATTGAATGTTACTGAACTTTCGCAAAGAAAATTGAGATTTATGCAAATATAATGATTAGCTTGTAATCCTAATAATATATAATAAAAATGCTTACCATTAGTATCACCTAATTATCGCATACGTACGCACCATTCCAACCAGAACGTTCCAACTTTGCCGCATAGTTCATTTTGTAATCCTAATAAAACAGCGACAAAAGCTACTTACTGCAAATTGAATCGGTAGGTTGATTTGTTAGCATAACAGGCAGATTAATACCCCATATATATGAAAGAAAACGCATCTCAGATTTTTCGACCGGAGCGCAGTGAAGTTCCTCTCATTCAAATAGAATCAAAAGTGTCTTTCTGTCTGTTACGAAAGTGGAAATTCCATCACTTTGGGAAAGACGTCTGTTAGATAAATGTATGGAAAAAAAACTTTGCTCATTGATATAGGCACTTCTGGACAATGTAGGTTGGCATGTACAAAAGGTCAACGTTGACCATTCACTAGTTGCGCTCCCGTCTACTAATGCATTTAAACTTGCACTTTCTTTTTTAACACTAGCTTGTCTGTTGATTCGAAGCCGGCACTTACATTTTTCTGGTCGTTCAGAGTTTTCTTTACAGAATTGCGCTGGAAAAAGGAACATTTGCGCTTACTATTCCGGTATCTCGTCAACAAGAGCATGGAAGAGAGAATAAAGATTTATATAATAAGCAACCATATCTATTACTGGAATCTTAAAACTGAAACGACAATATACAGATCGTATTCTTTTCATACATATTTCTTTCGCAAAGACAGTGTATATAGTTTTTGTTTACCTTAACTTTCCCGTTGACAGCAGGAACTGCTCTTGCAAAACGCTCTCGAGCTATAGGAGGATCAGTTGCACCATTCCAAACAAGAGCGGGCGCATGTGACAACGGCCTGACAGTTTGGTGTTGTGTATTGTTTGGCTGGAGAGAACGCAGAAATGAATCCGTATGTGTCCCATAATCATACGTATGCGAAGCATTAGCATCTGAGCTTTTAAAACTGGAATCTTTCGCAAATGACATGTTAGCGGCCGGCGACAGAATGCCTTCGTAAGGGAAACGAGGAAAGGCTTCTTCCGATCCATCGACAGGATGCTGCTCCCGCAAAGGTTTCCGCATTTCTTTGTGATGATGCTTGTGTCCTCGCCCTGGATGCTTGGGTTTCTTGGGCTTTCGGTAATCAGTGTCTGCAAGCAGACCATCACTGGCAAATCTGGTTAAAATTGCAGCATGTTATATTGCAGTAATCCAGCTGAATTTGGTACATACTGTCTTCAGGGTCATACCTCGGCCAGAATGCTTCTAGTTCAGGATACCGCGGTACAAAGGGTTCACCACCTAAATACCGGTACGCATCACTTACAACGGGAATAATGTTTCGACCCTCTGCAATGTTCATCTACAGCACTGATGTGTGCAACTGATTACCGTAAGTGTATTCTTCTCCTCCCCAAATTAAATAGTCAGGATCTGGAGCGTAACGTACCTGGAAAATGCAAACATTATCAAAATAGTTACAATATTTTTACCAAACTCTTGCGAACGATGGTTTTCATGTTTTCATGTGCTCATTTTTGGAGCATAATGATTTGCCACAAATAAGGTGAGGGAGACTGCTTTCAAAGATCTACCATGACGTTATCAAACAGCCGTTTCATCGCGTTCAATAATGAGTATGCCAAAGCCGCGTTATCGTCACGGTAGGCAACCACAGGCTGCTTCCGGTCCACCGGCTCGAATGAGTCCAGATTAGGATAATCTGTTTCCTTGTCTGCTTTTGTCGCTGATGATGTTGCTTCAGCTGTTAGCTTCTCGCTGAGAGAAACGTCAAAACTGGATACTTTTTCGGTGCTCTACAAAGCACGTACCAAATTCCAGTACGAAAGAAATGAAAACATGGCTTAGTAAATTATCATGTCTTTATTTTAACTTTGTTATTATATAATTAGACCTTATCAGATCGTTAAACCAAATGTTTGAAAAGGTCGTATGTATAATGTATACATTATAACTATTGTAATTTTACTGTAAATAAAGGTTATCCGGCGGCTTGATTGCTCAGAATTCGAAACAGATAAAACCCTAATTTCGAGCAGAAATAGATTAAAAATCACCTGGGGTTTTTCGGGTTTTAAATCAGTTTCATCATGAAGCGTACTGTTGCATACTTTAAAGGCTCCCGATAAAAAATCCAGTCCAAATCCAATAAAGATCAGGAATAACCATAAAAGGGTCACGAGGGTAATGCCTAAGGCCACCTGACGGGAGCATAATCGCCCTTTTTTGTATGTTTTATTTTTACGCTTTTCCGGTACAGAAGAAAATTCAATAATGTGACCCTCCTGCAAGTCGTCAGCTAGTAATAAGTTCTTCGTTTCGGCCGACTGCGCCATATCTGACATTTTGCAGTCAAATGGTCGGTCCTCACAATCCGCAATTTTGCTCACAGTATCAAAATTCTTTCTTCATGAAATGTCAAATAATGTTTTAAAATAATAAATAAGTACTGACTGCACACTGCAAGACGTTTCGAACTATACTTGCATACATCTTCCTAGTATTATTAATTTGGTTTTTGTGTTTAATAGAGTCAGATTCCGGCACATATTGTACAATCCATTCATTTGTGTTATGAATGGTATATATTGTGCAAAACAATTTAGCACGCTACCCCTGGCAACCAGGCTAGCTACAAACCACGGGCACGGATAACTTCGTATTTCAATGGTCAGACTCCAGAAATGTGTACCCGTACTGTACCACTGTACCTCCAGAAATTGTTATATGAATACTAAACATCTCTAGCAGGTGTTCGGCCTCTCTTCGTTGTCCCGAGTGATCTCAGCTCCTACTGAACCAATTTTCTTGATTTAAAATATTCTAGAATCTATTCAGGGCGGTGGGTGTTGTGCGGCTAATGACCTTTTGCTGTTGTGAAATTCCTAAGGACAGTGGTCAGTCAAAAGCTTGTTACCATGGATGCCATAGGGTTAATATGAGCTTGTCTGTTACCACGGGCATGTTATACTGTAATTCATCATGCATATTGTACGTACTGCACTTGCACAAGAAACAACTTTGGCTTCGCCTCTGCGCTTCTTGTGGTTAACCGACGGAAAACCTGCATTAATAATTATTTCAATCAGTTCATAATTTGATATAGTGTCCTTTTAGATTTTGATGAGGTCTGAAATAAGTCGAAAACACATCACCCTTTTCTAGTATTTCACTTTGTCACTGTCGCACCTTGGGGCCCAGTGCCCTGAGCTGTAGCAACAGTTCGGTAAATCACTCACCTAAAGCAACCCAGTTAACTAAACAGTAATACTACGACCTACCAAAAATCCTAACTCACTTATTTTCAGTACGCAGTACCTCGTCGTTAGCCAATTTTCATCCGGCGCGAATGTTCTTACGTTATTGCGCCATCGATACGCCCCAAAAGGGAAGGAGTAGCCCCAAAAAACAAATTGTTGCCATGGGCCCCCATAGACATACATGGTAAATGCATTGTCTGTTCGCGGACCGTTCGGAAAAACCGAGACAGATCGCGGCCTTCGGCATCGGCACGTTACAAAGTAGAGTATTGAAAATTTAAGAAACATGCGCAAAAATTAATCGCAGTCAATCCCACCAGCGTGATCAATATACCTGTATCCTTTTATATACGATATTTCATAGAAATCTTAAGTTTCTTAGGTTTCCTTAGGTTTCAAGAAACCTAAGAAACTTAAGGTTTTCTTAGGTTTTTTTTAGGTATTCTCAGGCTTCTTAGGTATTCTTAGGCTTTCTTTGGTTTCTCAGGTTTCTTGGGTTTTTCAGATTTCTTTGTTTCCTAGTTTTCTTAGGTTTCTTTGTCTTTCTTAGGGTGTCTCAAGTTTTCTTAGAATTTCTTTTCTTAAATATCGTTGTTTTCTTAGCGGCTGGGACCAATGCGATCAGCCGTTTCGAAGCGTGCATTTCGTAACAAACTTGCGCCGCAAAAGTTTGTGTACAGATGTAGATCCCGTAACCTGGTTATATGAATACTGTACATCTCTTGCAGGTTTTCGGCCTCTCCTCTTTGTTACCTATGTTCTCGGCTTCCACTGAGCCGATTTTGCAGCTTTAAATTTTCACAGAATCTTTTCAAAACGTAGAGTAACACAAAGCTGGTGGTTTTTCTACTCTCACAAGTAGAATAAGCCCAGTGGTCACTCAAAGGCTTGTTGCCATGGATGCCATAGGGGTAACATGCGCTTGTGTTTCACCACGGGCAAATTAGGGTTAAACAAGAAACAGCTTTGGCTTCGCCTCTGCGTTTTTTGTGGACTACATACCGAGTGAACGAATGATTCAGTCAGTTTTAAAATAAAATGGAAACTAGCAGCCGGGGAACAAACGAAACAAATTTTAATGGCGAAAAGTCAACATTTAAAGAACCAGGCATCAGATATTGGCCTAATCGACCTCAACTCATAAGAAAAAGTGCAAGCTGCTAACGTAATATATAATGCCAGTAAACGTCAGCTTGTTGACTGGTCAATAATTTTATTGCAGAAACAGGAAAATTTTCAGCTGATACAAACTTAGAGCATTCCCTGTCACCAGTTAAATCTAATAAACCGAAGGCGATCTGTTGTCTTATACTCGTATTAAAATTGAATGGTTTCAAACAAATTCATATCTTTAATAAATACTGCTTCCTCGAATACAGGCATAACTGTTAACTATGAAATCATAACTACTGTCTCCACGAACACACTGCAACGTTTGAATTTTAAGCAAGCGTATTTGCCCAGTCGTAAGCCAATATTCATCCGTGCTCAGCTTGTTAACTACATCCGTAACAACCGTGACAGAGTAAGGTTAAAAAACCTATGTTTGGGAGAACGGGTAGGCCGATTTCAACGCGGTCAAGTGCGCCAGAACCGCTGCAACGACGCGGTGGATGTTACGCTATTACCGAGACGATGCGTCCCTAGGGGAAAAAAGGGGGCCGGAAAGGAAAGTTGTTACCATGGGCCTCCATAGACATACATGGACAAGTTGTTCCCATGTGCGTAAATGACACTACACGCCTCGGCCAGCGGCCTCGATGCGAACAAAAACAAAATTAATTAATCACCAAAAGCCGACGCCGAAAAATTGGTTACGGATGTAGTCCTCCCTAAACTGGTTATCTACATCCGTAACCTCTTATACAAGCTAAGCAGACGACCACGATGATCCGGCGAACGGATGGTCCGATTTTGACGCGGTAAAGTGCGCCGGAATCGTCGCAACGTCGCGAGTGACATAGGGACACTGCAAATATTGTGCGCCTCAAGAGGGCAAGACAGCCCCCAAAAAACGACTTGTTGCTATGGGCCTCCACAGACATACATGAGCTAACGCAGAGCGACAAAGACAAATCGCGTCTTTCGGCCTCGCTTCGCTAACAATTCATGCAAAAATTGTAAATGCGTGACAAAATAACAGGATAAAGAACCTGGCGTTTAAAATTACCTATTCCTCTTATGGTTCTGTTTACTAAGCTTACGTATATTTTTTCGGACTCTTAGATTTCCTTGATTTCTTAGGTTTCTTAGGTTTCTTAAGTTTCTTAGGTTTCTTAGGTTTCTTAGGTTTCTTAGGTTTATTATATTTTCAGTTTTCTTGAGCGGCCGGAATTAAGCTATGTCGAAAGTTTGGAACTAATATGCGGTACAAAAGTCGTGTACGGATGTAGATCCCGTAAACTACATCCTTAACCTCTTATACATGCTAAGCAGACGACCACGATGATCGGGCGAACGGATGGTCCGATTTTGACACGGTAAAGTGCGCCGGAATCGTCGCAACGTTGCGAGTGACATAGGGACACTGCGAATATTGTGCGCCTCAAGAGGGCAAGACAGCCCCCAAAAAACGCCTTGTTGCTATGGGCCTCCATAGACATACATGAGCTAACGCAGAGCGACAAAGACAAATCGCGCCTTTCGGCCTCGCTTCGCTAACAGTTCATGCAACAATTGTAAATGCGCAACAAAATAACATTATGAGCCTGGCGTTTCAAAATACCTAATCATCTTAGGTTATGTTTACTAAGCTTTCTTAAAGGCTTTCGGATTCCTTGATTTCTTAGGTTTCTTAGGTTTCTTAGGTTTGTTAGGTTTCTTAGGTTTCTTAGGTTTCTTAGATTTCTTAGGTTCCTTGGGTTTCTTAGGTTTGGATTTCTTAGGTTTCTTTGGTTTCTTAGGCTTCTTAGGTCTCTTAGGTTCCTTATGAGGATTCTTAGGGTTTCTTATGTTTCTTAGGTTTCCTCAAATTTATTATATCTTCAGTTTTCTTGAGCGGCCGGAATTAAGCTAGGGCGAAAGTTCGAAACTAATATGCGGCACGAAAGTCATGTACGGATGTAGATCCCGTAAACTGGTTATATGAATACTGTACGAGGAGGAGTTACCTTGGCCCGATCAAAGGCATATTCGCGACCATAAACCGATCACTGTGCCCGTGTTGTACACGCTGAGCCACGTGGTTGTGAAACACGGCTGGCCGCCCAACGATGGCAGCATACAGGAGTCAGCAGCACGCACATCTGTTGATCATTCACACTTTTAAACCGTGCTATTGCACTCTTTTTTAAACTTTCCAAATTTCAACCAATGTTTCAAAATATTAAGAAAGCACGAATTTTTAGGCAATTTGTTAGGAGCTATTCCATTGTAGACCAAGGAACTTTAAGATGGCGGACTTTTTCGTAGACATAGCATAGGACTTCAATCAACAGTCAATAAAGAGGCTGCATTTACGAAAGCCTCACGTGATCCTCGTGCTAGAAGAAAAAATACCTGTAGTGTCTCCTTTTCTTTCCAAATTTTGGAATATTTAGTTGAAAAGTTTCAAAAGAGACAAAGAAAAGGGGGGCGTTCGAATTGGATAATGGCTGATTAAATTGTTTACGTGCTGTTTCTTGCAGCTGCCGTCGCTGGGTGGTAAGCCGTGTTGAGCACACATGAAAGCAGTGATCGGTTTACGGTCGTGCTTATGTCTCTGATCGGGCCAAGGTAGCTCCTCCTCGTACATCTCTTGCAGGTTTTCGGCCTCTCCTCTTTGTTACCTATGTTCTCGGCTTCCACTGAGCCGATTTTGCAGCTTTAAATTTTCACAGAATCTTTTCAAAACGTAGAGTAACACAAAGCTAGTGGTTTTTCTACTCTCACAAGTAGAATAAGCCCAGTGGTCACTCAAAGGCTTGTTGCCATGGATGCCATAGGGCTAACATGCGCTTGTTTTCACCACGGGCAAATTAGTGTTTAACAACAAACAGCTTTGGCTTCGCCTCTGCGTTTTTTGTGGATCACATACCGAGTGAAGGAATGATTTAGTTAGTTTTAAAATAAAACGAAAGCTAGCAGGGGAGGCACAAACGAAAGAAACTTTAATGGCGGAAAGTCAACATCTGAAGAACCTCGCATCAGATACTGTATATAATGCCAGTAAACGTCCGCTTGTTGACTGGTCACCAATCTAAATGCAGAAACAGGAAAAATTTCAGCCGATACCAACGCAAGTTGACCGCAAAGCATTCCCTGTCACCAGTTAAATCTAATAAACCTAAGGCGATCTGCTGTCTTAAACTCGTATTGAAAATAACCGGTTTCAAACAAATTCATACCTGCTGTTAAATAACTACTGCTTCCTCGAATACAGGCATAACTACTAACTATGAAATCATAACTACTGTCTCCTCGAACACACTGCAACTTTTGAATTTTAAACAAGTGTATTTGCCCAGTCGTAAGCCAATATTCATCCGTGCTCAGCTTGTTAACTACATTCGTAACAACCGTGACGGCATAAGGTAAAAAAACCTATGTTTGAGAGAACGGGTAGGCCGATTTCAACGCGGTCAAGTGCGCCGGAACCGCTGCAACGACGCGGTGGATGTTACGCTATTACCGAGTCGATGTGCCTCGAGGGGAAGAAAGGGGACCGGAAAAGAAAGTTGTAACCATGGGCCTCCATAGACTACATGGACAAGTTGATCCCATGTGCGTAAATTACACGACACGCCTCGGCCACCGGCCTCGATGCGAACAAAAATATAAATTGCTCAAAAAGCCGACGCCGATAAACTGGTTACGGATGTAGTCCTCCGTAAACTGGTTATATGAATACTAAACATCTCTAGCAGGTGTTCGGCCTCTCTTCATTGTCCCGGGTGATCTCAGCTCCTGATAAACCGATTTTCATGCTTTAAAATATTCTATAATCCTTTCAGGGCGGTGGGTGTTGTGAGACTAACGACCTTTTGCTGTTTTAAGAATTCTCAGGCCGGTGGTCACTCAAAACCTTGTTACCATGGATGCCATAGGGCTAACATGAGCTGGCCTGTTACCACGGGCACGTCATACCGCACTTGCACAAAAAAAGTTTGGCTTCGCCTCTGTGTTGCTTGTGGTTAACCGACGGAAACCGCTTATTTCAATCAGTCCATAATTTGATATTGGATCTTTTTAGATTTTGGTAAGATCTGAAATGAAGTCGAAAAGCACATTACCGTTTTCTAGTATTTCACTTGATTCACTATCGCACCTTGCGGCCCAGTGCACTGAGCTGCATCAGCAGTTCGGTCAATCTCTCACATAATTTTAGCAGCCCAGTTCACTAAACAGTACGCATTACTACGACGTAATTTTACGACTTCGAGTAACAAAAAATCCTAACTCACTTATTTTACAGTACCTAGTCGTAAGCCAATATTCATCCGTGCTCAGCTTGTTAACTACATCCGTAACAACCATGACAGAGTAAGGTTAAAAAACCTATGTTTGGGAGAACGGGTAGGCCGATTTCAACGCAGTCAAGTGCGCCAGAACCGCTGCAACGACGCGGTGGATGTTACGCTATTACCGAGACGATGCGCCTCGAGGGGAAAAAAGGGGACCGGAAAGGAAAGTTGTTACCATGGGCCTCCATAGACATACATGGACAAGTTGTTCACATATGCGTAAATGACACGACACGCCTCGGCCAGCGGCCTCGATGCGAACAAAAACAAAATTAATTTATCACCGAAAGCCGACGCCGATAAATAGGTTACGGATGTAGTCCTCCGTAAACTGTTATCTACATCCGTAACCACGTATACACGATTGATAATGTAGCCAATGTTTGGGCGAACGGCTGAACCGATTTCGACGCGGCCAAGTGCGTTAAATTCGTCTCAACGGCGCGAATGTTCTTACGCTATTGCGCCATCGATACGCCCCAAAAGGGAAGGAGTAGCCCCAAAAAACAAATTGTTGCCATGGGCCCCCATAGACATACATGGTAAATACATTGTCTGTTTGCGGACCGTTCGGAAAAACCGAGACAGACCGCGGCCTTCGGCATCGGCACGTTACAAAGTATTGAAAATTTAAGAAACATGTGCAAAAATTAATCGCAGTCAATCCCACCAGCGTGATCGGTATACCTCGTATTCTTTCATATACGATATTTCTTAGAAATCTTAGGTTTCTTAGGTCTCTTAGGTTTTCTTAGGTATTCTCAGGTTTCTTAGGTATTCTAAGGTTTCTCAGGTTTCTTAGGTTTCTTAGATTTCTTGGGTTTCTTTGTTTTTTTAGGTTTCTTAGGCCTTCTTAGGGTTTCTCAAGTTTTCTTAGATTTTCTCTTTCTTAGTTTTCGTAGTTTTCTTAGCGGCTGGGACCAATGCACTCAAGTTGAATCAACAGTTGCGAAGTGTGCATTGCGTAACAAACTTGCGCCGCAAAAGTTTGTGTACGGATGTAGATCCCGTAAACTGGTTATATGAATACTAATCATCTGTGCCAGAACTTTGGCCTCTCTCCTTTGAGGCAAAGGATCTCGGCTTCTAGTTCAGCGATTTTGCTACTTTAAAGTGCACAAGAATTGTCTCAGCGCAACGATGGATCCAAGATGGTTAACCTTTTGCCAAAAACATTTGGCTGGGTCCAGTGGTCAGCCATAAGCTTGTTACCATGGACGCGATAAGAAATGCATACTGTTCTAACACAAAACTTGACCCAAGAACAGTACGCAGACTTCTACTCAACAATACTTAAAGCACAATGCAAAGTAAAAAATTCATGATAAAATGGCAGTATCAGCCGACAGCGCAAACTCCAACTTATGTACAGTATATAATACTGTATAATTAAATGTATAGGCAGTCCATCTTTCGGTTAAGTTATGTACAGTCACTACGGAGTGTCAAAATAATTATTGCTAAATACACGTACGGATTTCGCAGTATTTTGACAGTTTGTAAGCACTAAAATTCAACACATCTTTGGAATTACTTAATTCTTATAGTCATCAGCCAATATTCATCCGTGCTCGGCTTGTACTCATATATACTCGTACCGGATGTACAGAAAGCGCACAGAATTACGTATAGTTTATCATGCACAATTTATTCAATATTCAGTATACTGTACTTATAGTAATACTGTATTCCTTTTTACATGGCCGTTAATTTTAGGTCACTTCTATGCGCCCCAAAATTTTAGGGCGCATAGTTAATTTGCTGTGCGCCCCAAAATTTTCGGTCAAAATAGAAAAGCCAGTAATTCAAAACGTTACAGAACGTTAAAACATGGTATCAGCGCATGCATATTTCCTATTTAATCTGTCACAAACTAAGAAAACTGCAACGTTCCGTGACTATTGATTGCATTTACGAACTTTATTGATGGGGTACTTGTATTCCTTAATTTTGGTGAACATAGCCGACAAATAGTTTTCTTTTTTTTCCATCAGGCAATCTCTACGTTAAAATTTTGAAGTGTGTAATTTATACTTTTACAGCCTGAATACGAAATGTACCAATACAAGTCTGGTAAACCGTAAATCTGACTGATCTGTAAATCAGCGGGGTACATATAGATATGTACTGTACTCGTACACATATTATACGAAAAATGCATTAGATTTCGCGGACAACTCAAAAACAGTGAAAAAGGTTCTAAAAACAGATAGCGAACGTAGAATTCATTTTCCCGTTAAAAGAAAGTAATAAAAACGGTAAAAACTGAAATACAAAATTTCTAACTGCAATTTTTTGGGCGCATAGCAAATTGACTATGCGCCCTAAAATTTTGGGGCGCATAGCACTTTCGTTAATTTTATAACCTTATCACAATTTTTTTCGTTTCGTTTCAAGTTGTTCCTTACCTCGGTAATACTCGTAATTAATACTAGCGATATTAATCAGTGATCACAGTACTTCAAGTAATGGACATTCGTTCAATCATAGTGAAACAGGTTTGAGATATATTATCTCCTTAACCGATGTGTAATTTTAATTAGCACGATACACAAGTTAGAGTACCGATCTAATAAAACTGTTCCAGACAGTGTGCCAATGCAAACAAACGTAACATAATCATGGGATTTAAAAGATTTAACCGAGTTTGATTAATATTGTGAGTGTACAATCACCAGTGCTCTAACGTCCGCATTCGAGTTTCACTTCAAAGTCAACATATTAAGTCCACCAGAACGTCCTGCTTGATAAACGGCGTGGTAGTGACTGTGATGGAGGTCTGCAATCTGGTTACGTGATCCTTCCTCATTTGCTCCCCGCTGTGATGGACACGAATCCAGGGCTGACCTGGACAGAAGAAAACCAATCCATCACAGAACTTGTGGAAACAGTTATCGTACATTACGAAATGCCGAAAAGCAATGCCCACAAACTGGTGGTAAAAGCATGAAGTTTTTAACATATAAATACATAGAAACAGCCTTCTAAGCACTTGCCGGCTTTAATAGCGTCTCCAGTAGTCACTAACAGCTCCAAGCCAACTGTGTAATCGATCGCTTCCCCAAGTTTACTCCGTCCGGCACCCAATTCCCCCGAAACATAAGCGAGCTCCAATCCGTCAATGTCCTGAACCACACCTACGGTCAGAAATCTCTGACATCAAAATACTGGGGGTTGCAATCATAGGTCATTTTTTTTAATATGAACAAGACATTATCATTAATGCGCAATTTTTACCTTCGGGTCCAGCATAAGGCAGCTCAGTGCAGTGCTTAGCAGTTGGAAGATGCGGATAACCTTTACTGAAACAGAGCTCTTTGGCAATGGTCTCCTCAACTCCTTGCGCTACTAATAATGCGTAGAATTTCTGTAAAGCCGCGCCATTCTTTAGGACTTCCCGCATCCGCTTTTCGCCTTCCGGCCGGTCAGTAACGACTCCCGCCAAATGGAGCAGAATTCCACCTAGCAGAAAATACGTCTTGACAATAAATAAGCAGAAAAAATAGTTTTAACCATGATTACACAGGAAGATCTTCCTTTAATTTACCTTGCATAACCGTCAAGTCAATAACATCACTTGGTCCACCACCTCGCAAAACATCCAACGTTTCTCTAATTTCCAGCGCATTCCCGATTGTTTTTCCCATGGGAGCGTCCATACGAGTAATGGCTACTGCCGTTCGAATTCCAAGTTCTTTCCCTACAGCAACCTGAAAAGAGCAAAGAAATTAAATAAGTATTGAGCCGTGAACGTAACGTTCACGTATACATGCAAAACGACGAAATTTAAGTAGTATTAGACTACTACTTATTAAGTAGTATTTAAGTAGTATTATCTATAGAAGTATCAGTTATTTTTCCCTTGCCGTTACCGGTAAAGGTAGCGTCGGTACATACCATTGCATTCGCTAATGCTCGCGCCGACTCTTCAGTTTTCATGAATGCTGCACGTCCACATTTCAAATCCAACAGCAAGCAGGAAAGATTTTCCGCCGCCTTTTTCGAAAGGATCGAGGCTGACAAAAACACATTGTACATGTACTACACTTTCGATTGTGAAGTACTTACCATTAAAACCAACGGCACATTAATGAATCTGATACAATTCTACTGGGTAGGGTAGTACACAGCTAAGGAGTGATTTTTCATTGTTTAAATATTTTAATTATGAAGTGGTCGGTCGCAGTGATCGATCATATTACTAAATCGTTATTAATTTACCAGTAATTAGTGGTATACAGTCGACGGTGTTGGTTACATCACGGGAAGCATAAAGGATCTTATCTGCCGGAACGATTTTATCATTCTGCGCCATGATAAAACAACCCACGTGCTCGATGGCGGCTTTTGCCTAGTAAAATGTGGAAGGTTTCCATAAATCATCGGGCAGATCAATCGACTTACACCTGCGCTAAACCTTAAATTTAATCTGGACGACAGTTGCTCTCTAAATTGCTACAAATTTCCTGGAATAGAGCTCCACATATGGCAGAGCAACGGTAAAAAGGAATATGCATATATTTTTGTAAGCGCCGGTAATGAATTAAAAACAAATATAAACACGCAGTTACAGGACGAGGGTGTGTTATCGCATCGTGTTACTGGCAACTCACGGCTTCTTCGGGCAACACAACTTGGAATCCGGGAATTGCTTCCATTTTATCGACGGTGCCACCTGTAAATCCCAGGCCTCGACCAGAAATCATAGGGATCTAGACAAATACTGAGTACTTACTAAAACTGGTTTGCATGTAGTTAAGTAGCATTAAATATCTCCAGTATAGGTTTAGTTTTGATTTAGCCACTACAAAGCCGCGATTAAATACCGTGTACGTCCATTATATATAATTGTGAGTATTTTTATTTAATTTTACCGGCAAACGTCTACCTTAACGCCGCAAGCTGCTAATGCCGGTGCGAGAATGGGGCTGATCTTATCCCCAACTCCTCCGGTGCTGTGCTTGTCGACCATCAGAGGTGCCAGGTGTGTCGGCCACTGAAAGACGTCCCCGGAGCTCAGCATTGCCCTGGTCAAGTTGGCTGTTTCCAGGTGGTTCAAACCGCGCATGTACATGGCCATCAACATGGCTCCTACGCGAATAAAACGCTCGATTGTATAATATTATTTGTAAAATAGTATCTGCAGTAAAAAAAGATGTAGTAATTCAACGATATCCTAACGTGATGACTACACAATCTCTTAATCGGAAGACAGAAAAATTTTCAACCTTTAGAATTTAAATCTTACCGAATTTATGCGCATACTTCTATCGACGGTACCGGCTTGCGTCATGCTAGTAAATCGGTATAATACTGAGATAGGCTGGAGCAGATAATGTATCTAACTTAATTGTAGGTACAAGTAGGTATATATTTATATTTAGTCGTGCAGTGATTAATCATTCGCACAGCTCAATTATTTGTTTTGTCGAGCGAAAGAGGTTTGAAAAATTTCCTATACAGTATAAGGCGTTATTTTTGGTAGACAATAAAAAAATTGTTAGGCAGTTTTAATCATGCAAAACTGTGTTGGTATTGTGAAACAGAAATTCGAAAGCCGGGAAGTTTTCAAGGCAGAAGCTTAGCGCTACCTTTTGCGTACCTATTTGCACGGGCTGTGCAGTGCCATTTGTGACCGATTGAATAAAGAAGGCGATTTCTTCCGGTGACAAAGCGCCGCCATCCCGTTTATTAGCGATAATATTCGGAATCCGAAACGTGCTAGCGACCATGATGGATGCGAGGAATAATCAGTCTGGACGGTGTAACGCTAAGATTGACAAGGCAGAGGACAGGAAGGCCTGGTGGTAGTGAGTCTGGTGTTGACGCCGCGGCAACAGAGCAACTGGTCAGCGCAGTGCCTTGAGAACCGTAAGAGAGTATCGGGGTGTGAGACGTATAAATGCTCGAATACCACCTATAAATGCACTGTAGGCCGAAACAGATATTATCGCCGTACCATATTTAATGTTTAGAATTAACCACATGGGCAGATTTTATCGCGTTCTGAGAAAGTAAATTAACTTGTACTAAGTATAGTATCAAATACAGATGGAAGCCGCTGATACACCCAACCTTCAGCAAAAGTGGGTGGTAACAATGTTTCTACTTGCATTACATAATATATATAAATGCAAAATAAAATTTTACATTTTACTACAGTATGATTTTCTACAACAGAAATACAAAGCTTCCAAGATCACAATTCACACGAACTGAAATAAGCGATGGTTTCATTAATTTCGATAATCCGGCATTACAGCATAATATATATACCTAGGTACTGTCTTGGACATAGAAGGTCCTTAATTACATCTATGGAACGTTTTTTACCCCAAAGCAATAACACCCGTTACTCACATTATTATCCTTATAATTATATTATAAAATAGTCAATATACGTACAACAGCTGAAAATGCATAGGATCGAATTTACCGCTCCAAAAGTCGTAATTATGATTTCCGGTTTGCAACTTTGCATAGATCGTGAAAATTGTAATGAATTACAGGAAGGGATAACCTAAAAGTTGATGAACAATAATATTGAAATACAGAGTAAGCACAGCAAACCTCCGACTTACATTCCTTGATTTACGTACAAAATTCTCCAAAAGCCGGCATTAAATCGCAAAGTGTGGCTAGACACTGACTTCCGGTCCAAACCCGAGGGCTCGGCACGTGACACCACCAAGAGTAAACCTACAAAAGAAAAAATCATGAAAAAATAAAATGGTTGACTTTATGTTTCTGACTATCAGCCATCCTTTTAAAATCTTATTGCTTATAACATAAACAAGTTTTGAAAAACAATTCCAAGTTTAAGAATAGCTGGATTTCGTCTGCTTTTCGGCAGATCGGACTGGATTTCGCCATGAATTGCTAGTACAGCTTTTAGTTATAACTTGGGTACCCAGTGCACTGGTACAGTACCGACTTGTCACTTGTGAGTAGACTGTTGCTGGTTGCACCATATTTTCGTGGTGGCCAACTTGATAATCTATCGACGCCTCACAAGTCACAGGATCATTCTGAGACACTCGACGGCACTTTCTGGTTATCATGGCGTCTTTATTAGTGCCCATCCATCTGGATGAGACCGATGACAACTCCGCGGCGTATGATTCGGACGAGGAACCTGACAAGGGTTCGCCAGCGCAGCTGAAAGGCCGCCAGGCCACGAAACACGATAAGCTGATCAAGTCCATTTCCCGACTGGATAAAGCACCAGTATCTTTGCGGAAAATTGAGCGCACGGAAGCGGCGGCGGTGATCAGCGACCAGAACCTGTCGGGCTCTTCGCTGCGCAGCGTTTCCATCGGCGCTCTCCTCAAAAAGTCCGATCGCTCGGCGGCGGATGAGGCTGTCAAGAAGAAACTGCAGAAAACGAAACAATCCCAGCTTCTCTCGGAACCGCTGAAACGGCATGAGGCAGTGAAAATCGAAAGGGCCGTCAACTACACGGAGGTAAAGCATATTTGGCCATTTGATATCTGAAAAGTGAAAAATATTATATAAAGTGCTAAACTTGAAAACTGTAAAGCGTATTAAATTACTCTGTATTAATTATTTTTCAACAGTCACTCGTAAAGTTTGGAGTAGCTCCTGTTGTTTGAGTTCTGTTTCAACACTGCACTGCACTGCAGTTATTATGCAGTAAGCTGTAGGTAGCATGTACATAAGTAAGCTTTTTGATAATTCGTAGTAAGTACCATAACTTATGGTTGGATCATTATAGTACTGTAATGTTTGAAATTGTTGATTTTTGACGTCGAAGTTGACCGAAAAATAACGGTACTGCGAAACACGGACTGTTACTAAACAGTAAATATTAATAATTTATAAAGCATAGAATAAATACTGTACAATACATGCACTTTTGCGTACTGTACCATTTAATAAATTGCGATAAACGTCATTCCTTAATTTTCATTTAGCTAATTACAAAAGTACTAGAGTAGTATTTACTATTTACTTGCAATTTAATTATCGTGTACCGTCTACTTTCTCTTTTGCGGGCTTTTAATTGGATATTTTTGTTGCTTGCATTACAGAAATACAAACGTTTTTTGTATTTAGGTTTCGAAAGATTTGGGGAAATGGGACAAAATCGTCAAGAACAACCGCACGGCGGAAGGCGTGGTATTCCCATTAAACACCACCGCCATCATCCCGCAAACAGCATCGGAATTCGTCGTCCGCGATCACACGAAGACCCCCTTGGAAGAGCAGATCGAAGCCTTACTGGGCACTAGCAAAAACAACCTGACCAAGTCCACCGTCCTGACGGAAGCCGAGCGGGAGGCGTTGCAGGCCATGAGTCTGCAGGAGGCGGAAATGCGCCGGCAGGAACTGCAGAAGCACCGCGCCCTCCTCTCCTACAAGGAGCAGAAGGCCCGCTGGCAGTCTAAAATAAAAAGTAAAGGCTATCATCGCCATCTGCGCCGGGCCAAGCGCAAGGTGGAGGAGAGGGAGTTTGAGGAGTTGAAGACGACGAATCCCGCGGCGGCGGCCGAGAAGCTGCTGCTGCTGGATAAGAAGCGACTGCAGGAGCGATTGACGCTGAAGCATCGCGGAACCGGCAAGTGGGCCAAGTACATGCAGCAGCGCGCGAAAACGGATAAGGATGCCCGGGAAGCGCTGCAGGAGCAGTTGCGGCTGAGTCGCGCCATCACCGAGAAGATTGCTGTGGATGATGAAGATGACGAAAGCGACGTGGAAGACATAGGTGTGTTGTAAATAACGAATTATTGTTATACGCTTTAATACATGCATCGATTTTAAGGCGTATAATATTGATTCGTTATTTACAACATACTGCGAATTAACTAACATGCGGTGAATACCTTCTGCGCTAGGAAATGCCTGTATTTGTCTGCGTTATCCCGGAAAAATCATGGCTGAATTAATAATTAATTTGTGTGCTTTATTTCCTGCAGTTTTAATTATTTGGCACAGTTGTATACTTTTTGATATACGTTTGATGAGAACAGTTTCGTTGCTTTTAGAACCGGAAGATAAGGAAACCCAAGCCATTTTGGATGAGGAAGCAGCAGAAAACCCTTGGATGAGTGCCACACTGGGCTCAGCATGGGAAGATAACGATTTGGAGCAGGGTTTCGCTGACGCCCAAGGGACAGAAGACCGCAATGCAAGGCAGCCCAAGCCGGCCGTTCCGCCCGTGAAAGCATCTCCGGCCCACCCCGTGTCGACACGGGGATCTCGAAAACGAGGTGGTTCTCCCGAGAAAGATGATGATGATGTTGTGGAGTTAAGTGGAGGCGGGGAACTGGTTAGCGATACCCGCAATACGGCGACGCCCAATCCGAGTGGAGTGTCGGCGATGTCGGATACATCCGCTACGGACTTCGATGTAGATCCTTCGAAGTTACTACTGGCATCGAACGCCAAGGTGCGAAAGACCGTGATTCCTATGGCGGAAGATGAGGAAGTCGATGAGGTGGAGCTGGAAGAAAATGACGCACAGCGCGATATTATCGCCGAAGGTAAGATTTCTCTTAAATTATTAACTGACTTTTATTTTGCATTTTGTTTTTAATTATTTCGAATTTATTGAATTTGGATTTTATTTTATTGGAAAGTAGGAATTTTATTTCTTTCATGTCATGAGCCACAGAATTTGGGTAGAGATTTGGATGTGTTTTTCGGTGTTTGAATTTTAACTGTGAAGTTGTACGCCGCGCTTGCACTTTTTGTTATCTCGATGGCTTATTGCATATTTGAAGTAATTTTATTGGGTTAGGAGCAATATCAGTTTGTTATATTACTTAACTATTATGGATCTGTATCTACTTGCTAGCTTTTGCGGACGATGATGTTGTGGCGGATTTTTCCAAGAAGAAGAAAGAACTGGAAGACACGGAGAAGGCAAAGGACATTGATCTAACCCTTCCCGGCTGGGGCGAGTGGACCGGTGCGGGGACGAAGGGAATTGATCCTGCCAAGAGGAAACGCTTTACCATCAAAGCACCCAGGGGGCCGCCGCGAAAGGATCGATTTCTACAAAATGTAATGATCAGTGAAAAGCACGATGAGAAACTGGTGCCTCATCAGGTGAAAGAACTGCCATTCCCCTTTCGTACTGTGGAGCAGTTTCACGGTGCTATTCGCATGCCGGTGGGAAAAATGTGGAATACGGAGGCGGCATTCGATGAAATGACCAAACCAAAATTTACTACGAAAATGGGCGGCTTTATAAAACCGATGCCGGTTCACGTGGCATCCAAGAAACGGAAGAGCGGGACTCTGGAAGAGACTGCGAAGGAAGATAGCCTTGCTTTGTCCAAAAGCGAAGTGGTTAGAGCGAAAAAACAAACTGTAAAGAAAAAGAGGAAATGAAGCAGTTTTATTGATGATATTAAATATCATTAAAAATTTTTAAATGTTGAAGCTGTTGTTGGTGCTTTACCAGTAAATGTAACTGTTTGAAGCTGTTAAACAGTTGCTCGTGTTTATCAGATTCTTATTTTATTTGGGTGCTGTCAGGCTTGAAAAAAATAATATGAAATTTCGCATTGAATAGTAAAGACCAGCACTGCTTTCCAGGCATGCGGCATGCTTAAAACTTAGTAAGAACAGATAAAATGCTGCGATTTTTGCGTAAACTGGATGCAGATCGCCTTAAAAGTACATGAACCGGAAGTTGACTTTCATAAGCTGTTTGCCTAGCTAAATTCGGTGCTTGGAATAAATCGCTTCCGAAGTTGGATACGGGATTCGCCGCAGCGAATTTCTGCGATACATCACACATGAATGATAAAAGCACGACTATTAAGATTTTGCGGAGCACTACTTTTGCCATCGCACTTCGAGAAACGAATAGAACAGCAAGAAAATATATCGCTCACAGAAAGCAACTTATTATTATTTAGGTTAAAACTACAAAAAACCTTCCGCTCTGGTCCAAACTAAATCAGCTGGTAATACACTATACACTGTATACAGTACATCGAAAATATCTCTAGTTCAGCGAAAACGAGTTAATTATTTAGTGCTTTTGCTTGAAGTTTTCCAAGAATTTACAGTCAGACAAATAAGTTGCTACGCATCGAGTTTTTAATTCCAATTCCATCCAAACTATTAAAGCATCTTTCAAAAACTCCTGATCAGCCGTATCAAGCGAAAACCATCAGCTAATCTCCGGTTGTTCACAACCAACAAATCCCGACGAGGAAAAAATAAAAAGAAACATTGCTCGTGAGAAAACAGATCGTCCATTGCTGCTGTTCAAACCACCCGTCTAACTTCGAAGAATCGCTTCAAATAATACACCTGTCCGACGGTCATGGCCACAATAATCAGCGCCTCGAAGAAGGCCCACATGACCACGCGCGAGTTGGTGCTCTCGTTGATCTGGGAATGGATGCGGGCGCGGACGTTCATGTAGTCCTGCTCGTGCTTGACCGTCGTCAGCGCCGCCGACAGATCCCGCACCATACCCTCCAGCTTCTCGTGCTCCTGGTTCTGCTGCTCGGGCGACGGCTTGGCCGTGGAGGGCGCGTCGCCCACGTCGATGCTGAACATGACGGTCTTGGTCGTCAGCGTGGACATCTTGTTGCTGAAGCAGTACTGGTAGGGGCCGTCCATGTGCGTGGCGAAGGTGTACTTGCCGTTGGATTCCCGCTCACCGGAGTAGATCACTTTCCCGTCTGGACCACTAATCTGCACAAGCACAACAGGGTTCAGCAGATGTGAGTAGCAGTAGTTTTTTGAATACTTATGTATTCATGAAACGTGATCATACGGCATAAATTTGGCTGCATCTCACATGGCCATAATATCACAACAAGTCTAACAAGAAGTGGTAGACGCACTAAGATTCGACAGACACTTCGCAAGAGAGACACCACACACACAGTCATCGCGCACTACAGCGCAGCGTGCTTACTATATGGATACGTTATACGAGGACCCCAGAGATACAAATAGTGCTATTATTAGCACTATTATTATTCACCATTTGTGATTTGCAAGACGAAAAACTTTTTTGTAGGCCGTAAGAGACCTACTGTACGAGTACTGAAATTTCGAATAAGGCCACGTAGTGGATACACTATCTAACTCCAGTGTCTATGTAGTATCAGCTCCCAAGTCACAAAACCTTATCAAATTTCAATGTAAAATTGTACGGGAAAGACTAACTATAACAAATCTAAAACCCAAACCCACTAAAATAATTAGCAACTGCAGTTCAACAAATTCAAAAAATCCCCAAAAAATATTCTCGCGAACGGTTTGCATTCACTGTGTGGCAAGTTGGCAACACTCAGAAGGCTGTTTCCCAGTTGCGTCAAAGGACTTGGCTAATCGCTAAACAGCCAGTGAGCCGTGCAACTGTGAAATTTCCAAATGCGCTAACAAGCAAATTACGTATTAATAACTTACTTTTTATTAGTCTATTCCTGCGTTTCCAAAAGTCAAGCAATTATCGAAATTACAAGAATATAGATACACAACTTAACTGAAACAAAAAATTGTTCCCGTTATCAGCTATTGGATTTTACCATTAACCCATGATTCCTACAGCAAGCAAAATAATGAAAAAGCCAACCGTTCTGAAGTTTGACAAGTGACATGACAATTGACAAGTAACAAGTTGTACCTGAACATCAATATCCATAAAGCCTCCCTCGACAACTTCAAACGTTAAACCCACTTTGATCCCGGCCTTGACGCGATCAAAAAAGCATTCTGAGCTGTCTGGCTCAATATTTATAAAAAATGCATGGCAAGCTCGAAATATTCCTAACAAGCACAGGCAAGACCATATCCAAGAACCCAGAAGCGCACTCCGCATTTTGGAGGAGATTTCGCGAGTGCCCCTAGTAAATTAAGCAGAATCCGACGAACGTGCAGATTCGATCCCGACCATGTATGATCAATAAATTTTTACCATGAAAATAAAACGATGAAATAGCTCCGTGACTCTATGAAATATAATAATAAGTTAATACTAATAAAATTTGCTATTAAATCGTGAAATTTAAATGTGTGTGCGCTGTAAAATAAACAATTCCGGTAGACACGTCACGATTCATTCACGTAGACGTGTAGCTGCGGTAATCGTCGGCCTGGGTGGTTGCCAATTCTGCAATGCTGCACTTGACCGGAAGTGCTTTTTAAGTTTTCAACACACACTTTTAGCAAATATCCTACACATCCCGCACATTCCGATGCCTTTTTTCGCGGTGAATAACTGGTATTACCAGTTTGTGCTTTGTTACAGTAGTTCTAGTAATTCCGGAAAAAAATTTTCACTGTGGCCGGGTTCAGCCTGCGGTCGCGGGGTAAAGCGCAGACGCTTCTTGCTATAATCGTATATCTCCTCACATCTATATTAAAATAAGTTGGAATTTACTATTTTGTTTGCAGAAAATTTAATTTATTCAAGCCGCTCACATCAGGTTGTCACTTAATATTACCAAGATCATCGTAATTAGGAAAATTCGATATTCCAGCTCGCCAAAATGTTTCTTTAACAGACTTAGTAATAACACTGATTACAGTCAGTTCGTTATCCGGAAAAATTTTGGTCAGACTTGTTCCGGTTGATGTAACCGCATCGTGCCTTCGCTTCACTGGACCTTGTGAATTTTTCATCACGCAGCGTATCCTGTTATGATTTGTTCGGACATGAAGAAATTCGGCAATACGATGCAACTGATGTTCCAGCTTTCCCGGTGGCAGTAGATCTTCGTAGAAAATCACCAGTAACCGCTCAGCCGTTCGCAGCGCACCGAGCGAGTTGTCTACCCATGACCACATCCATTCCCGGATTGTATTGCGGAAACCTGTAAGTGTAATTAGGAATGTACGCTTCAGGAACAAGACTTGAATAAATAAGAATTTGTGTAACTCTTTTTAGGTTAATTTCAACAATACCTCTAATTATTATCTTCTTATCGAAGAATTATAAATATGCAATAATGCTTTTGATTCCCAGCTCTACTGTTTTTAATTAATAATTTTTCGTTACATGCGTATACTATATAAATATATGGTACGTACGTTTTGTTGCAAAGCTGTCGAATGTGGTGTGTCCGGTTTGATTTCGCGTGAGCAGACGGTGGAATTCTGCCGGTATGGCATGGAAGGGATTACGAATAAGGAGAATCAGTGCTGTCGCATTTAATAGTTGCAACGAGTGTGTCTTATACACAATGGCGCCCTGTCGAACTTGGCTGTCTTCACACTGAAACCCTAATCCCATTAAGGTAAATAAGATATTATTTTTTTAGGAATCTGTATAAACACACACAGTACGGCACCGCTCTTACCGGCCCTTTTTACGGTTGGATCGGAGTAGACGCTACCGGTGCAAATACCGGTAAGCCGTTCTATTAACCAGCGCAGCCAGGTGTTGCCGCTGCCGGGTGAACTGAGCAGTGCAATGGTCGGCAGAGATATAGTGCCGTTGTACCGAACGGAGGTTCCACATGCTGCTTCTGCAAATGCAAAGTGTAACGTATTGTATGCATAATAATTACTGATAGTATTTCTAACGTGAAAAACAATATGTAGGCATGTTTTGTAAAAACAACTGTTAAGTAGTGCTAGTTAATACACATACATACTTTTTCTACACTGTGCAATATTTCGAAAGTTTACCGGTAGCATCGATGAGGTAGAGTTTGTTTGGGCCAAAATATCCTTTGTCTTCTTTTTGTCCTAATATGACGGTCTCAGACAATAATGGCAAGCATCTATGGTGAAAATTCGCCGGCCTGCAGAATCTTCCTTTTGGATAAACTTCTTTGTTATTCAAGAAGCATACTAACGAAACCCAGAATATAGTTGCGAGGAAGATACAAAAACTTTTAGCCGCTTCCGTTTTGACAGCCGCGAAGTAAACGTGCATTCTGTATAATAAGATAACAGTTATTCTTATAATCCATCGTTTTTCATGTGCTTGCAACCCATGTTTACCATGAAATTAGGACCAAAAACTCTCACAGGGTATTTCAAGCTTATGATTTCACAAAACAATTACGCTCGCTAAACTGCAGCATATATGGATTACAGCACCTTAAGCTTTAAAACGAAGGAACTGTTCACGTATTTTACAGAACATTGGTCATTAGCGAGAGTACTCAGCACTTTCAGTACTCTCACTTTTCTGCACTCAACGAAAGCGTATCAATGATCAGGATATTGTGCAGCCGATGCCGATATCAGCTTTAAAGCAAGTGTCGTTTTAAGTTGAAACCTTTGCCTTGCTATTCACTTGCCAGAGCAAAAAACGACAGTACAGCGCTCCGACACGCTTTGCGGCACTTTTTAACAACTACGCCTTTTTAACAATCAAGTGTGCACAATACACACATTTCATACACTCAATACATACATGCACTCATTTGTGTGTTTGCTTTTAAATTACTTCAATAATTATTAGTTTCGCTGTATACAGAGAATCTCACTTGTCAGTAACGATAAACGGAAAGGAAACACAGTTATACTAATAGTGCCGACAATCTGCACATGCGCTGGTATCAAGGCACAGCAAATACACTGCCGGTACAGTACTGTGTTATTGTGCAGTTCCCAGCCGGTATCGATCCGATCCGATCTCCATGCTTCCCTATGAAACTGCTGCACACTGCAGAGTAGCTTCCGGTCGGCAGCTAGATCTGATTTGGGAAACTCGGAAACGTCGTAACTGCTGGAAGCAAATATAATTCATGATGCAATCATCCATGGCGCGTGCAGGTATTAAGTCAAGATTAGATTTTGATTTGACTCAGTTTTGTACCGCGCACAATTTCATTTCATCCTGATGGTACTATATACCGCACTAATACTCACAAAGTCCCAATTCTACATCAATTACGAATGCAGCAACGTCTTTCTGGCTTGTGAGGCTCAACGTATCGTCATGATATTGATAAATACTGACTAATAAGAAACAGGAATTTGCTATATCCGTCCATTGAGTTTTTTTTTATCCGCTGTATTTGTGAACTGCATATCATCACTTGTTGAAGCTTGGCACAGCCCGCCTGCCCGCGTTATAAAGGAAGCGCCACGCTTCTACAATTATGCGCATGTGCACTTCACGCATTGATTAATCGTTATCCTTTCCGGCTTTGTCTAATTCATATTCTCCTTCCGATAAGCTGGACTCGTCTTCTCGCTCTGGAACGCAGCCATAACAATGGCCCTGCATAACAAGGACAACGTTGTTGTATGCCCGGGCGCTAGGCTACTAGTTACTCAACATTCTCATTGTCAGTGTTAATCCAAAGTACCCGGTTGTACCGTAACGCAAAGCAGCTAAAGGCATTTTGTAATTCCTTATAAATTTACTCTGCCAGTTTGCGTTTTCAGTAACCCTTGTTCTTATTTCATTATCAAAATGCGAAAAAATACAGAATTACAATAAAAATAAAATCTGGCTAACCTAAAAGACCTATCTAGGGTAGGTTTCTCAAATATGTGTGAGTGAGTGTGACTGAACTGTACTAATTAATGACCGTATGGTATAAACATACGTCCTTGTCCGAACTGCAACCAAAAAAGTTCAAAATACGAATTCCGTGCGTATGTACGTACCAGCAGATCATCCCAGCAACTTTGGCAGTATTCAAAACTGCAGCCCGGCGTCGGACAATGATAGAAATCATCGTCTTCCTTTTCCTTACACGCCGTACAGCGCTTCTTGCCTAACTGCAGCCATTTCAACCAGAAGCACAAGTAAGGACACTGTTCCCGCAAAGCCGACAGCATATCATACTGCATCTGCAGATTGCGCTGGCGAGCCAAGCGACGCACATGGTGCCGGATGCTACGAGCGTATCCCGCTCGCTTTTTAAGCGTGTCGTTGTACAGATGGAGAATGCGCTGTTTTTCTCTCTAAGGGACCACCAGTTATACGTTAGAAAGTAGCGTACAGATGCACAACAGTTCTGCTGAGAGATGCTGCGTACTTTGGGATAAAAGAAAGAGCAGATCCAGCTGCGCAGTCGTAAACCGTATGCTTCGAGGTAGATTAGCAGCCATATCACTCCTACCGTGCCAAACACTTTCCAGTAGGCGGATGGTGGTGTCAGGGTAGGATACGGTAAGCATTTCAGATTGTCGAAGGTGCGGTTGATTTCCGTGCGTTCATGGAAACCCTTCAGAATTTTCCGTACCAACTTGGCTAGTACACCGCCGCCTTGGATTTCCAGGCTGATGTCATGGACACCTGTTTGACAAAACAGTCTGGTCCGCTGGCTTTTGACTGGTTTAACAGCAATGGTAAAATTTTCTCAGTGCAAAATGTCACCTTTTTGCGTGTATACGATATAAGAATGCCGAGCCACAATGGAGAGGATTTCATATATCAGCCGATCGAAGAGGAATATAACGCAGAATGTTATGGCGTTGATGGCCAATCGCATCGAGCCTTTGCTGAATTCTTGTTTTTCTTCGGGCAGCAGCTTCCATTTCGTGGATTCAATTAGCACTTTACCTTCCAGCTTTTTCAGCGGAACAAGCGATGGTTTATTCTATAAAATCCGGCAACCAAAGCGATATGCAAACCATGCTGGCCATTTCCTATGATGCATTATTAAATTCTGTTATGTCTGCTTGTTACCGATAGTGAAGATTTCATCAAAAGCGACTAATAAAAGGTCGTTATATCAATATTCATATCATTTCGCAGTTAATTCATAAAAGAATAAAAAACTGTACTCGTATCAGTATTATGTTATGGAGTTTGCAATGAATAAAAACCATGCCTTACCTTGCTGCGCCTTCTTCTTTCAATCTTTCGAAAGTAGTCCGTTATATAGCAGTTATCAAACCGAATGGTACTTAAATACCTGTTTTGATACTGAAAGGCCCTGCAAAAAATCAGCATTATTGTACGCTTTGGTATCAAGCTAGGTTCAGGTTGTCGAGACATACACATATGTATTGTACAGCGTAATCCGCTACTAACGTAAGTGCAAAATTGCTCAATTTCTATTACACGGCGTACAGTGCACTTACGTTATGAAAATCCCAATAAACATAAATGCCAAAATCCTTTGAAACATGGTTATGACGAAATTAAAAAACCGCTGTTTCTTGCTGAATTCGTTTTTTAATCCCTGTTTCATGTCATTAATGTTAACTGCATCGACCTTTCCTGCCTTCGGCTTGATCTAAAAATGTATAAGTTATGACACTTTCGCTAATTAGAACTGCAGTAAAATTTGATCAGCCGCTTGCATGAAAAAACACATCGTGAGAGAGAATATTAAGGTGGGATACGAATCATACGATATATATATACGCCTTTCTAGTATAACAAAGGCACTGTGGCGATTGCAACTAACAATTTTACTGCTTTATTCCATTGCCGGCCATTTTCGAATCACTGCTCTGGGCTGGTTTTCCGCTTATTACCTTGTATTCTAAAGCCACATGCGTGCCCTCTTGTAATTCTTTACCAGCATCATCAGCTTCTCCATAAGCGCCACCAAAGCCTTGGTTAAGGATTTTATTTGAGTCACATTTGATGGGACTGGGGAAAACTGAAAAAGCGACTTGCTTAACAAACCCGGTCTTTAACAGGATCTTTACTGCAGCGCGTGTAACACAGTTTCCGCTTGCCTAAATCTAATTGGTTTTCTCATGGGTCACAAGCAGACTTAGGACTCTCCCAGAGTATTAAAAATAAGGGTATAGCTTAAAGAAATACTCACGTTTGACAATATAGCAAAAGAAATCAAGCTTAGTTGGCCAGCATAAAAGGTATCCAATAACAGGAATGGCTTTTAAACAGTTGTCCCAGGCGTTGGCGAAGCTTTTCTTGCATGTGTCCACGGCCAGACTCCATATATCTGTGAAGCCAAAGCAAATTCTGTATTTTGTATCTGCACTGCCACACAAACTAGACTCTTGGAGATTATTCGAATTTCGTTAAATAACTGGTTATGGGCTCTTTACAGTACCACGTTTACCATTGCACCGGTAGTCCAGTTTCTTGAGATAGCAAGTGTCTATCTTGAAAGCTTTTGATTTTGTTCCACCATCCGCTTTGGCCAGGGCAACAGCATTTTGTTTTTCAATTTGCGTTAGAAAAGCGTTGCGATCCGTCCGCATTTCTGCGTCTAATCGCTGGGCGCGAATCTCCGCCTCCCGGGTTTCCTTTTCGCTTTCCACTTCTTTTCGGACAGGTGACAGTGCACTCCGGATTTTCCGTCCCAAACTATCCATTCGTTTGTCTCCCTGCACCCACAAAATACAGGGCAGGTATATAAGGACAGAAGAAAGGTCACGCACCACAAAGCCTTTGACAATGTTAAAAATGGGCCTCCCAGTAAGCTCAAACCGGGTCAATGTTATGTTGATCATCATCTCCGTCATGCAGGTCACACACCGCACGGACTCCTTGAAATTACTCATCGTGTTCGATACCGGGCCAGTAAGCAGCGCTCCCACAGCCATGGTCATCAACACGCTGCGCCCTGACTTGCCGCAGAAACACGGAAAGATCAGCCAGGCGAGACAACGGATACGGATGGAGCGCGCGTAGCCCAGAGCTAAGGTCGTCACCGTCATGGCGCCGATCATAAACCGGAGAAATGCAGGCAGGTTAAGACGGTCCACTACGGCGTAATAGAAGAGCAGACCTAAGCCAACACCCAGTGGAAATCCTAAAAGGGCTTTGTAAAAGGAATATTCGTCTTGCCGGCTGTAGACCAGAGCGAACAAGGGCGGAAACACTCCATGGAAAAACCGCTTCCACCCTACAATAATGCGTAAATAACCGCTTGTTGTGGTATTTTCAAAGACACTACATATTACCACGACACTGCATTTTTTTCTAATTTGTTTTAACGTACTCAGTGATAATTTCTCCAGCCAGAATGCAATTTTTCCTCCAATCTGTATCATTCCATCGATATCTATGAGTTCGTCTTTGTACCGATAATGCGGGCTGCTTGGGTTGAAGGTTTCTGCCAGTTTTTGACGTTGGGAAATGAATGGCAGGTGCAAGGCCGGATCAATTACCATGATGCTGTTATCGGAGAGTCGGCTTTCAAATCGATCGTCCTCAAGATTAACTTTCAGAAATGGTACGAAAAAAGGAATCATTCAGAATTCGTGTGACTGACTGTTGCATCTGTTCTTACTGTCATGATCCATGTCGCGAAAAGCGCTCAAGCTGTAATCTTCAACAGGAATACCGTGATCAGGCTGAGTAGGATTATGATCTGCATAATTTGCTGGTACCGGCTCAAATTGCTCAGCTTCGACTTCTTGTTCATTGAATGGACTTACAATGTCGCGTGAGCCATCTGAAAATATCAAGCACATGTTTCAAGTCTGTTTCGACGATAAATAACAGCGGTAGCGAATGGCAGTACGGAACAACCACCAAAATAAGCTGCTTGTGCTATTCCATTTTACAAGGTATTTGCTGCCCCATTATATCAGAGATATACCGTAAAAGACATTCTCCATCTCACTTTCACCGGCATCAAATTCAACCGGAACCAAGAATTCATGATCCGTGGTGATGCTGTCATCAGTGATGCTATTGTCAACCTGTGCAGCAACCAAGAATTAACTGAATGCAGCTACTCACATACCCGTACAGTAAAATGAGCTATTTCAATGCAAAGTATAAACTTAAGTGCTCCTGCAAGGCTGGAACCCACCTCGTAACGAGGGCCATCGTAAGGAATGACATCTTGAACATGTCCACCAATACCATCAAGAGGGATATCCCACGGATGCATAGACTGGCCGTCATAATGAGCGCGATTATACTGGTCGTCTGTCGAACCAGTCTCAGAGAGAAGGACTTGGTCATGTTCGACATCCGGATAAGGTGCGAATACATCTCTGTCGTTTACTGAGCCGTAAACTGATGAGCTAGTATCGGTAGAGGAAGATTGTCGCACATCATAGCCTGGCGGTGTTTCGACTATGAAAACAGCAAAAATATTCTGATAAATCGCAAAATTAACTCAAAGAATCAGAGCAGCAAGTATTCTACATAAACAGAAAGCTTCCTAGCAAGGAGTTCGGTTTTAGTAGCAAATCGAACCATCGAGTAGCTGCTCGGGCTCCGGTCCTTCGTGAGCTATCTCCCACGGATCGTAACCTTCCCGGAATGAGTGATCCATAGCGAATGCGGGGATGCATCAAGACGGAAAATGTGAACGTGGGCTCACGGTTTCGATGCCACCGTCGTAAATTCGTGGGCTATTCCTCTGATATTGCACAACAAACCGTGCTGAGAACCGGAGTCGAGAGTTATTAGCAGATTAGCAGGTAGATCTTTCACTGTCAGTGTAGCGCGGATTTCATCTCGATAGATCTTTACAAATGGTGAACTGTTGGGACGCACTGCAACCCAGAGGTCCCAGACACGGCTGCATCGTGATTAACGCCATCAGACAGCGAGTGGACTGCTTTTAGCTACTAGAAACTTCCATGAGCGTAAACTAAGAACAAATACTCCTCTCCAGAGTGCTGAAATAAGCATCCGCCGGTTGAACACAATAATATAAACGTTACAGAAATCTCCTGAACAGCAAGGAATTCGTAACGGCACCAGTTCGAAACCCTTGTAATCGACGATGGCTTTTGGATGATAAAATTAATGACAACAGAGATTCTGAAAACAGTTTTGCAGTTTTAGAGTTTATAGATCAAAATCATAAAACGATTTTCGTCTAGTATGAGTGCAAAATATTTCAGCTATTTTCGTCATACAAATTTTTGTGCGCTAAAGAAAATTGCTGATGTCGCTATAGGCTTGGCAAAAGGGTGACGGAGCAGTGTACTGTACTCATATAGAGCGCGCGCGAAAGCCGCGAACCGCGCAAAAGCCGTACTTCGAAGTATGGTAACACATTTCTGAATGAGTTTCACGTGAGCATAATAATATTAATTTTGTTTACTCAAAAGGTTATTCAAAAATGTGGTACCGTGCGGCTTTTTATTGTTATGTAAGTAACAATTTTGTCTGGTCAACCCTGTACTTTACATACAGATTATCTATGTTCATAAAATGTACATACGCGGTGTTTCAAGTGATTATTGACTGCAAATTTAGTGCATAATTATTCAAAAACGACTTACAAGGCAGTGTCAAGAAAGCAAAATCGGATAAGTGAACCGGAATATGCACGAAACTAGAATAACTGAACGGAAATGGTTGCCGTTTTAATTCCAACCTTTGTGGTTAGTTACCCTGTTAAACTTTAATAAGCTTGCATTGTTCTATAATTTCCGTAAAATGCTACCAGTATTTAACAGCGGTAGCTGCAGATTACGATCTCCCGAATTGAGTCCCAATATATGCAGGAGGAATATCTCAAACAAAAACAATTAAAACCATAGAGTACCAATACTCTTTACAGCGCTAGTAATGCACGGTGCTCAGTTGCGACAGCGTATTCAACGGTCAAGCGTTTGCAAGTACTCGTACTGCTCCAAAAGGCCGCGCCAAGGGCTCATTTTAATCACAGTTATACTGCTGCAAATCGTTGAGCTTTCGGCTCATTTCACCCATTTGCTTTCTTAGACGGTCGAAATGGATATGCGGGGTGGTGCCGCCTGGTTGCAGAAATTTCGATTTCCACTTGGATACCTCATGGCTTCGAAACCTATCATTCTGTCGTTTAGTCTTTTCCAGTTGAACTTGGTCTTCCATCTCTTTAATTAAATTTTTGGCGTCGTCGCCGTCTTTATATACTGCAATAAACAAATTAGATGTCAGCGGTAAAGATAATTAAATAAACGAAAAAAGAACATTTGTAAAGCACGAATGGTAGACGAGTCGATTCAGGATAACATAATCGATGCATTCTTGTTATAATTAATAAAAACTTATAAATTGCATCACTTATAAATTCTTGATAACGAAGGCTTTTTGAAATCGTATCATCGTGTTAATTACTTGCTGCGTGCCAATGGTGCCATTATAATATGCAGGCACATCATAATTGAATTAGCACTATGGTTAAACTATTAAGAAGCAAGTGACATCGCACTACCTTTGGGTAACCTGGCCTCCATGGTCTTTAGCTCTTGTTTCAATAAACTGAAGCGATCGCAGAGAGCTGAAACATAACAACATCGTCATCAGTTTTTTTAAATACCTGGAGTAGTGGATGCAGGTCTTTCTGAAATACAGCGTACAGTTGTTTCGCTAAACGTGCAGTTTTCTACTTGCAAATTATGGACATCTAATAAACGTACAGTTCTGATTCTGCTAAACGTACATGTGTTTTCCACTTGCAAATTATGGACATCTGATTCGGCATTCTGCAGCACGCATTTGCAGTAATTCATTTCCTTGGCAAACTTTTGTGCTAGTTGCGCTTTGTTCTTTTCCCTGGCGCCTTGTGCTTCCTGAATTTGCTCTTCGATGGTATGAATATTATTCATTATACAGGCCTCAGTTTTCTGCAGAGATTTATAGTGTTCTCGCAAACATCTGAACTGGTTCTCTGCTTCACGGCATTCATCCAGTGACCTTTTTAAATCTGCCTGCACTGAAGACATTTGCGTGTCGAACTGATTTCGGGCAGCCATTTCCTTTAATAAAACAACTGCACATTGTCTTATACTACAAAACAATGAAGTATCTGGGCACCAATGGCAGTACCACCACTTAATCTTTGTTTATACCTTAACGTACTCTTATGTGAAGTATATGAAAATCGTATAATAATTTGACTTACGGACTGCGACATTTCCTTTTGATGGCACTGTCGATTGTAACAACATGCCTCTACAATGCCATCGAGGCGCTGCTCTAGCGCTTTGGCTTGATCCCGAACCTCCGTTTCTATCCGGGAGGACTCCAAAAGAACGGCGGTTCTTCGCTCGAGAAGCTGGGGTCGTTCCATGCGAGCAACGCAGCAATCATTTTTTAGCTTCTCATACAGCGCAAGATCTTCTGTTCGCTGCTGCTCAACAGCGTTTCTTAGAGACGCGTTTTTCTCTCCTGCTGTCTGGGTCTAAAACAATCTTTTGTTGTACAACATCAACACAGCGAAATTATAAACTACTTCGGTAATTAATAAAGTTCTATTCATTTATTACAGATAGTACTTATTTGAAGATAAGAACAATAATTAATTTATGATGAGGAAGAATGTTTCTGGCCACTAGCCAGTAGTGTGCATTGCTCGCTTTCACAGGGATGTCAGGATGGAACGTATTAGCAAAATTTCATGGGTTAACGCAAAAACTAACTTACAGTTTGTGTTAGCTTTTCCAAAACATTTTGGCCACATCGGTAAAATTCTTCCATCGACACCTCATGCGACTGCGTGTCCTTTGCACCCTGTTTCCGTATCTCCGTTGTTTCCTTTTCCAGTTCGGCTAGCTTTTTTTGTTGATCATCTATGCGATACGACAGGTTTTCACGGTTCTTAAAATGACCGCATAGTTCGCTCTTGGTAAATTTAAACAATTCTTCGGAGACTTCCTGAAAAGACCCAAAAGGGGGAAAATAGTACTGAGCACAGTTTAATGCCATCAGTTTATGCGAAGGCTCGAAGCGGTCAGAGGACAAATTTACCAGAGAAGTCAGCAGTTGACTCCATTTGTCTTCCGAGTTTGCCGATAATTTTTTCTGGATGGCTTCTCGCAGATGATGTTGTTTACGGGTCTCATCGATGTGGGCGGCGTCTAAAGACTGCTTTTGTTCCAACAGCACAATAACTTCTTGGCCAATCTCTAGGAGTAAAAATCATCCTTACAATAATTTAATCGTAATGTAGTAAATTCGGCAAAAGGTTTCCCGTTTCGTGTCCCGTGTCCTCCCGTTTTGCCAACCGGACATTTCGCCAACGGGACATGTCACCAATCGTAGTTTTTTTAAAATTTTCTTATGCTTTCTTAGGTTTCTTATGTTTCTTATGTCTCCTCGTGTTATATTTTCGGTTTAAGCTGTTTGTGGTAATTTCGCTTGGAAAACTGTGTTACAATTTCGAATCGAACTGCTGCAAAATATTACATAGCGAAATGACCGGCTGGCGAAATGTCCGGTTGGCGAAATGTCCCGTTGGCGGAATGGGTGGTAGCCGGATGTATTACTGCGCACCAGTTATCCATGGTATAGGTCAAACTAGTCTGACCAAATGCTCTTTTATATGGGCAATAATCACAATCACTTGCACTATTTGCTGAATACTTGTGGCTTTGTAGCAGAACTTTCAGCCTAAGACTAATCAACAAAGAATCTGGGTCGACTTTACAGTGCAAAAAAAACTATGCTCGTACCTTTTGATCCAGCGAAATTATCTCGCGCTTGAGCTGATCGTAGTCGAGCTGGAAGAAAGCGGTCTGATGGTGAGGTGAATAGCGAAGCGATAAACTCGTATTAATACATTACAGGATAATAATATCACTTCACAGAAATTTTGGCTTCGGTTACTTTAAAGCTTTGACGGTTCATGTTAGTGTTAATCCACCCAAGCCCGATGACACTTCAGAAACGAAAGTTCCATATATCCCTTTTTGCCATATTTCGACAGTCAGATCCCCCCTTTGCATATTCGATGTGCAACATTGTATTATAGTTCCTCAAAATTCATGATAAGCGACGAAATAACTTGACCAAGGCAGGGTCAAAAGCAAGTTCAAACCAGAAGCTAGTCTCGCAAACTCATATGCAAATCTGAAAATGGAAATTCTGTGCGCCTTTACAGTTTTAAAGCCTTTACAGTTTTTAAAGCCGTGGTAACATACAAATTAAAAGCAGTTAAACGGAATAAAAGCTACTGTGCTTGAAAAAAAGTTGCAGAAATGATAAAATTTTTAGATTACTCATGCATGCACGTACTTGTTTGTATTAATTATGCATGCAGCGAAAATTCTGGATGTTTGATTGCAACGATGCTTTGTAACATTAGGACAGTGAAAACTGAAAAAGCGCTTTAAGATTTATATCAAATAATCGTCATAAATTCACAAAGCAACAAGTACGCACTTATGTTTTTGTCTATAGAAGTACGGTATAAAACTGCTTTCAGCATTTACAGTACGTAATTACAGTACGTGCAACAGCACTTGACGTTCACAAGCTTTTTAGTAAGAACTTTTCGTGGGTGTTGTCTTTAGTGAAGTATGCCAACGAAGTGTTGCCATCGTTACCATTATTGTTGATTTTAGGACCTGATGCTTAATGAGTGATTGATTATTGTGAGAATATGTAGCGTTTCCCATAATAACAAGAAATAAAGCCCCAGGACCTGAACCTACAGAAAAAGGCTGTATAGTATATTATCATGCAACAACAACAACATATCTTATGCAACAACAACAACATAAGCCCAGGACCTGTTCAAACTGTTCAAAACAAACTGTGTACACTACTTATCTGCGCCAGTACATACCGTACTTGATACTAGTACTTATACATAAGTACAGCACTTAGATTTCGTAATATTTCGGAGGGTTTCGGGACATTTGACATGATAAATGTTATGATATAATACAATAATTATGTTACGATAGATGTTATGATAATACAATAATAATAAATTATTATTATAGAAGACTATGTAGTATGCACTTATTGCACCGTCAAGAAGGGAGAAAACCAAGTCACTTAAACCGTTTCCTTGGACTGTTACCCCACTGGGTGACACCAGCAGTACAAAGATACGGTGTATAATTTGAGTTTTCTCTTCGATTTTAATACTACTTAGTATGGTTGTCATATCGTCGCAAAAACATTGGGTTTCTGTTAAAGCGTTTTTTTATGACTTTTGCGATACATGTTAATATTTTTTTCAAAAGCGATGTGATCTACTACCAGGAATCCAGTGCTTGATTTTCTGCCATGATTTTGACTTGTCCATTTCTGCCGGTGTCAAAAAGTAACAAGTGTCCTTACACCGAACATGTAGCAGTGTAGTGCCGGTTTTGACGTATCTCCTGATTATTTATTTTCAGTCTTCTGCCCGTAGCATTTTGCCAGTATTTGTTTTGCCATGCCGAAATCTAAAGAGCCTATGGCTCTGTCTACACCAGCTCTTCCTGACCGTAAGGACATAATTAACCCACTCGCAGATGCCAAGTCGAACATGACTGCCAAGGGTGACCTGCTGACGGTACTATCGAAATCAGCACAACAGCAGCAAAACAACGATGCATGGCTGCGCACAAAATGTCCTACGGTGGAAGATGTGCATACCATAATGCTGGATGAACTTTACCGGGAAATTTATGCGAAACATCTTGTACGGTTGTCCGCAGATGAAATGGATGAAGGACCGCTCGATATGGTTAATGGAGCTAAACTGAAAGAACTGACACATAAACAAGTAAGTACGCTTATTGCATAGTTCAGAGAAGTTAAAAAGAATCAATAACTTGAAATCTTGAACTTTTCTTGGACATATGGATGATGTTTTTCATGCTTTCCAATACCGACTACAATAAACATCCATCATGTAACTGGTAGGTATCAATGCTTACAGCAACTGGATTTGGTTACAAAGATGGACTTCCACATTAAAAAAGAGAAAAATCAGCAAATTGTGGCATCTCAGGAAAAGGAAATGTTTTTTCAAGAAGTCGAACAACTAAGCAGGAGAATCAAAAATAACGCGTCCGCTCTTTTGGTCCTTGGACAGGATTTGTCACATGCTAATGATGAATTCCGCAGTCGCACGTCAGTGAGTTGCAAATACAAAATTTTCGTGCTGTAAAAGAAGGTAGATAATAACGATTAATAATACAATTATTATTATATAAACTGAAGTGCGCTCAGACCGTTCAAAAATTCTTATGCTTCGCCAGTGGCTTTTCTGGTCTTCTAATATTTTTTTTGCTGTCAGGTAAACAAGCAAAAATTGAAGAACCTGATGAGTGAGCAATACAATCAATCGTTTTTCGGGAAAATCGAGGAGTTGGGCAAATTTCCGGGAAAGTTTGAAAACAACTGGCAGCAAGAGCAAACGGCTTACGAAAGCCTAATGCATTCAGTGCAGAATGAAATCAACAAGCGTCAGACATTAGACAACTTCAATCGTGAGCTTAGGTTGGTATGTCAAAAATGATTTCATAATTGCTTTAATTTCTTCACGTACCTGCTATAGGCTGCCAGTATCCCGTAGTGCTCGAAAATCGCCATTCAGTTACCCGGTATTACCAAGTTTTATCAAGTTTTATGGCCCTTTGTTGAACTTTGTAGGGGCAGTTATCCAAAATGCAGACGAAAAGAGAAGAATTTGTAGCCACTCAAGAAACTCTAATCGACACATTTGAGCATTACACCGAACTCTTAAGGAAGAGCACCGAGAATGGTCTCAAGGACTATATTCGGAAAACAGATGACGACAAGGCCTTTTGTATCACGTATATGCTCGAAATCCAAGCCAAAAACCTGAACAATTTGCGAAACTATTTTCAGGATATCGTTGCCAGTGAGTTTTGGCATCGGTTGGCATCGCAGATTTCCTGTTTTGCATTGCTTATTTGCAGGCAATGCCGATATTATAAACGAACTGAAAAAGCAAGTGGATTCCCGGCATGTTGCGTTGGAACGTGTGGAGCGAGCGACATACTCGGCTTTAGAAGAATTAAGTCGCTATCGCGAACCCATGCAGCAAATCGAAGCCGAAATTGTGCAATGTGAGAAAATTCTGTCCACGTCCAAAGCCGTTAGAGAAGGTTTGTCCAAACTGCATCTTCAGAAGCGTCTACTGGCAGACGAGGTGAAACGCTTAGGCTGGATAAAAGAAATTGAGCAAACTAAAATCGAAAAGGTACTCAAGATTTAGCAGTTCATGCTGAAGCAAATAGCGATGACTTTTTCTTTGTTAGTGTAACGAAGAGTTAGCGCAAATTCAGCAGTCGTATTATGAGACCAAATTTTCCATAACGCAAAAAGCGGCCCAGTCCTCCCTAATTCACAGCAAAGCCTCGGCATTAATATCTGACGAGGCCAGCATGTACGAAATAACCTACGCCATTCTCAAAGACCTTTGCGGATTCAGTCCATCTGCAGTTGCGGATTCGAGAAGTATTGTGGAAGCAGTTCTGGCACGGGATACTGAGCGAGTAAATGGATTGCTAATGGAAGCATCTGCATTAAAAAAGGTCAGCAGGAATCTCAAAATAGTGAAAATTAATACATACAAGTTTCTCATCATCATTAAGATCACACATGCGCTTTGTTTAGAAGTATAACGAGTTATGGGATTCTGTAAGCCATGCTTTCCAACAAAAGACGAAAATGACTTTGGACGCTGTTGGTTTCCGAATACCTGATTTGAATTTGCTATCCCCCATAATATGATCCAGACAGGTTTCGAGGAAGATAACTACGTCCAACAATTCAGATATGTCAGCGGAGAAGATGTGGAAAATGCAGCAGGGCGTTTCTCCAGTTTCGGAATCCGAAAAAGAAACCGCACTCCTTTTAAAATGTTTCAGAAGCCGGAAAGTGTAATGCGCGTATCTTATAACTGATGCTGCAGCTTTTTGCAGTACTCTCTTTGTTTTAACTTTCGGTTTTATCAGTTTCCATTGATTTCCTCCAGATTCCGATTTCGTGAAATCCTTACACATACCATCTGATAAGATTTTCACACTCGTATTTCACTCTTAAGTCTTAAGTAAAATACTTCAGGAAAAAGCTTAACCAGTAGTTAAACCAGCTTAATTAACTTTTTTTCGATTTGTGAATTTGCGAGACCGCTTCAACTTCAAGCTTCTGCTTGCAGGCCAAGTGGAATCTAACATAGCAACTCTACGGACGATGGGGTACTCCGCATGAGCTTTTTGTTCATTATATTGTCCAAATTAACTTTTTGTCCATTATATTATATGTATCTGAACATCTGTTACAGTCCGCACACAAAATCGTTAAGAACTTCAAAGTACGTTTAGTGCAGAAAATGCGAAATTATTTTTATTATTTGTATTGACACAACTGTTTACAAAACCGACAACACGAGGAAATCATCATGAAGCGTTTTTGTGGCTGCGTAAAGTAGCCACGACAAACCATCCTTTTGTGCATAAAAATTTAAAAGTGTGAAGAAAACTGGAGAAGAAACATTACAAATTAAAATATGGTAAAATCCGGCACTTTCATCTCTCGTTTTGTTTTTTCTTTCGCTTCTTTTTCCTTGCTGCCAGAGAATAATCAGATGCGTCGCTGGCAATACTGTTATCCGATTCAACTGCTCCATCGGTTCCGGTATATTCACTTTCTGTTTGGCTCTGCTGCGAGCGTGTAGACAGTTGCGAATGGGCACTGCTTTTATTGGCCAAAGAAGTGTGTGAATATTCTTCGCTTTGATCATCACTTTCACCACTCTCCCCACTACGACTTGATCCACCCGAAGCGCCACTGTATGTCCAAGAAAACTGCGAATGCTTCGGCGACATGTGGCTGGCCGTACTGTGTATGTTGGAGGTCCGCGACATCCCGGGTTTCATGCCATATGCCATGTTAGGATGTAGAAGATCGGGCTGCAGTCTGGATGGTATGTTGGACGGTGCTGGGAAAGACGTGCCACTAGCGGATCGTTCAATCTCCGAGTGAATGCTGTGCACTTCCGAGTAAAACGAGCGTTCACTTGAATGACTCGACACAGCGATTACCCCGCTTCCATTTGGCGATGAGGCGCGATTGCGTGAGCTGGTACTTCGTAAACTTTCCACTGATACTGACGGTCCCATATCGTATGCGCTAGAAGGGACTGACCGCAGCGTAGATTTACTAGGCCGATCGCTATGCCGTGACATATCGGAAGCCGTCCGGGCTGGACTGATCGAGCGAACACTATGTCCGCTTCTACTGCTAACCGGCTGGAACTTCCCAGAACGGTCACTTAAGCGCGAAACGTGCGAGGAAGTCCTGACTGGGTGCAATGAGCGGACGCTGTGTCCAGAGGGCGTAGCAGAGATGGATAACTCGCTGGGCCGATCACTGTGGCGAGTGCGCCCGGAAGCTGTGGTGGTGGTCCTCACTGAGTGCTGACTCAAATCCGACCGATCGGTATGCTTAGATGGCGCTGCGGAAACAGATGTCTCACTTGGCCGATCACTGTGGCGGGTACGTCCTGAAGCTGTTGTTGTGGTCCTAATTGAATGCTTACTTGGATCGGAGCGAGCGGTATGTTTAGATGGCGATGTCGCAGTGGATAATTCGCTAGAACGATCGCTATGGCGGGTTCGCCCGGACGCCGTCGTGGTCGTTCGGATGGAATGTTTACTCAAATCCGATCGATCGGTATGCCTCGAAGCCGTTGGGCGGGTTGCGGCAGATTTCCCCGAATGCCGACTCTCCGGTCTTTGAATCTCAGATCTATCCGAGCGGTTGCCAATGGGCGCTGCTGACCTTCCGGAATTTTGGGATCTGCCTGTTCGATGCGAAAACTGCGCAGAACTTTCCAGAGGGCGATCAGCTCTTCCACTTCTTTCAGTCCGGTGTGATAAGTCTGACGCCTTCGTGTAAACTTTGCTTTCGATTTCGCTGGGTTCGTGGGACACCGTGTGCTCCACAGTGAATCGAGAATTTGAAGGGGTCAATCGTGCCGAATACTGATCTTTCTCACGCCGGTCGATAGACCGCTCTGTCGCCCGTGTAGCGATGGACTTTGGAGCACTTGATACTGCAGAATGCCGGCTACTGCTGGGTTCCTTAGAAAATGCGGTACGTGTGCTATGGTACGATCTGGATCGTTGACTGGCAGGTGACCGGCTTGTCCGTCCACTTCGTTGCGAACTATGGGAGGCAGTCATATGAACCAGAAGAGATTTCTCACTACCTGCTGGCTGAAATTTTGAGCGCTCTGATTTGCGTGAAGCATTGGACATGCTGGAGCCATAACTTGCGGACGGTTTCCGCAATCGGGAATTGCCGCTGGTTTTTGAGTAACGGGAACCTAGTCCAGATGGTTTGCCGGACACCTGACTTGTGTCACTGGGAACTTGCGTAATTTCGCTTCGCGCGCTTCTGGTAGATGGTTTTGATCCACCACTGCTGGTGGTTCTTGCGGACGGAGTTGTGTTCAATCGAGAGCGGCTAGGGGACCGAGACTGGCTGTGAGCTATCTTGAAAGTGACGGAACTGGGAGTTTTCGTCTGGATCGTGTCAGATTGAGAATGGTGTTCTGGTGGCACGGTATGGATTGTGGTCGACGATCCAGTCCGACCTGTAGTGCCTCCGTGCGAGCGTAAAGAGCTTCTATTTGTCAGAGCCGACCGGGGTATCGACCGATTGACTGACGGTCGATGCCGAGTGGATCGGGAGTTATTAACCATTTTCTCCTCCGACGCGCCGGAATCTCCAGCCGAACTGACTACGGAGGTTTTACTGGCGGCTGCGTGGCGTTTTTTTGGGCTTCTGTGGGAGCGCAAAGACAACAATGACTCCTTTTTGTGCGCCCCTTTTTTTTGGGTCTCCTGTTGTGGTTCTCTGCTTGCTCCCTTTGCTGAACCGTGATTCGCTGATGTTTTATGCATGCCTTGGCGAGAATTCAAATTTGTGGACGGGACACTTCCGCGTGAGTCGCTGGACGCTTTACTTGGCTGATGTAATGCATTTTCCTCCGAATCTCGGCTAAAACTCTTGTATACGCGGCTTTGTGGGTGCTCTATGCGAGAGTGGACATGAATATAAGGGCCTTTGTCTGAGGTTCGGTGCTCGATCGAAGTCCGGCTGCCAGGCGGACCCTGGATGCTTTGACGGGATATTGCTTCTTCTTCACATGATGAGCTGGATGAGCTGCTTCCCTGCAGCGGATCTGACCTTTGGGAGTGCAGACTTCTACGAGTGGACCGTCTTTCCCGCAGTGCCCTTTGAGGAGAACCTTTCGTTGGCATCTCGTCAATAACGCTTGACTTCGCCGAAGACTTTTTGCGCGGAAGACTGCCAAGAGACGGCAATGTTTCTGGCTCGCAAGACGTATCTGTTCGAGAAATATCTTCATCTGGGCATGTTTCGTCGCTAATAGTACTTTTTCGCCTGGACGCACCATCGACACTTTGTCGGGATTGCTTCGCTGGCTCGGATAGCGTCGAAGCTATCGATGGGCGGCTCCCTGAGGTGTGTGAGTTTGGGTCCTGCTTGCTCGATCTCCTTGGATAAGACGGTGAATCGTCGAACGGCTGTGAAGTCTCCGATATCGCTTCTTGTACGGCATGTGATTCAGACGGTAGCGAGCTGGTGCTGGTGCGCGATTGACGAGAGGGAATCGATTCCTCAGTGGGCACTGATATCCTGGATCTCTGACCACCCTCATCTGGTACAGGAGACGAGATGGACTCTCTGGGAACAGTAATTTTTACCCGTGATGTGCTGTCTGTCGAACTTATTGATTGAGTAGACGCTCGTCTTGGCAGCGATCCAGCAGAATCTAGGGATTGCGTTGTTGAGCTCCTGCTCTGTTGCGAATCTCTGTACTGATTTCGACTAGGAAAACTGTTTCTGCGTTCGATCGTAGAGTACTGTTCCAAGACCGTTACATCGGAGATCGGCTGATTGGTCACTGAGGATCTGGGATTGGCATCTGACTGATTGCGCGGTAGAGCACTTCCACTGGATTCTTTTGATCTAGGAGAAGCTCCTCCCAAAGACTGACTTCCTCTTGCAGAGAAAATCGGTTCGGCAGAATTAGCTGATGCTTCGGTGTCGCCTGGAATGGTGTCAGACGGTAATTCGCTGGGCGTGGTCGTTAGATTAGAGTTTCCGCCGGGAAGCAATACCGACTGATCACGCTGCGATAAACCTTGGTTTGAAAGGGTGTCTCGAAAAGCAGCATAGCTATTGTGGGACTGGGATAATAGCCGACTAAGCTTCTTTTCCACAGCTGAAGGCAATTCTTCATTCGGCGCACCTCTTAAATAGCGTATGTCATTTTGAAGCTGAAGAAACTGAAAAGGGAATTACAATGCTCTCTTTCTTAAATCTGCGGCAAACGTTTCGGTACATGAAAAGCAGTTGAGCCATTAAGCGTCGAACCGTTGCAAAGCGTACGTATGTTTTCATCATCAGTAAATAGACTCAAATAAAATAATGACATGCTCACCTGGGTTTTGACAAAAGACTGGATATTCAGGACGTTGTTATCGATATACGATAAATAATCATGGGGGTGGTCGATATCAAGTTTGTGGCATGCGTTCACGAAAAAATTCGCAACTTCATCTGATCGCTCGAGCACTTGGGTGCGAATAGTGCTATGACACCGGTCGACGGCTGCCATAAAATCGTCTCTGTAAATTCAATGGCGTCTTCATGAGTCATACTTGCACTGATGTATCATGTATTAAGCGGCCGAACATAAACAAATGCCCACTTACCTATGGTCAGCTGAATCTGAGCTCTCCGAAATTACGTTGCTAATACTGCTTAGCGGTCCAGAAGTCATAAACAATCGAATTTTCCCCCAGCATTAATTTACGCTACCCGGCAGGATTACTGGCATATGATTTGCAGACAAAGAGCCATTAATCTAACAAGAAAACACTAAAACCAAAGCACCGCGACCAAAGTATTTTGGTCGTTCTCCTGATAGTCGAAACTCGAAAGATCAATGCAAATGACACCTCTCCTAAATTTTTATATTTAGGATATGACCACAGTTTAAGCCCAATACGCTGACGTCCTGTATTGGCTCTCTGCCACGGAGAATTCAAATAAATCGACAGTCTGTATGCGAATGGGGGCGACAGGTTAAGTATGCTAGGTACGAGCGTTCCGATAAACCAATGCTTTGATCAGTTACCATCTTACCATCAGTGCAAAGTGCAAAACTGCGAAACAACTAACCAAATGCAAATCATTTTAAAGATTAAACAAAATAAGTTCAAAGTTACGGTAGGTATTTTCGAGAGCAGCCAAAAAACAGCCTAACAGAAAGTTTAAAAGGTGCGACCATAAGCGTGCTCAAGTGTTGGGATGAAACGTGTTAACTGTTAAGTATCTGTAACATCATCATGACAACATGCATACAGGCTACGGTCAGAGCGGGGTGCAGTTCCCGCCACGTGGTATTTCATTCAAATTATGTAGGATTTTTTATCTGTAATCTTTCATGTCTAGTGAGCTGTTGGTCATGTCGTGAACAATATGAGCCGAGATTATCGTGGAGGAAATCTCTCCCTGCCACGTAGGCCAACCGGTGGCAGGGAGACACAGCCGTACGATCTGGTAGATGACATCGTACCGCTGACGTGCTCCATGAAACCGCCACCAATGGAAAGCATGCGCAACTCAAGTCTTCCTGGTGTGGACGATGCTGATTACCATTCAAACCCAGATATCGGTATGAGAAGCTCAAAAGTGCAAAGCATTAAGAACAAATTAGACGACTTAGAACCCCGTATCAACAGCATGGGCGACAAACTGCAGAGAGTCGCGGACGATATGAGCAAATTTCGGGATTTGTTGGCGACTCGACGGAGAGAAATGGAAGAGCTGGAACGAAACATAGGCGAACGTGTCTGCCGCACTGAGCAGAGACTACAACAGCAGACCAGGGAATTGTGTGATTACAAGGCTGACTGTGCGACGGATAACACTGCATTACGCCAAACCGTTGATAACCTTTGCACGGAAGTTAATTGTTTGCGAACGTGGGTGCTTGATAATCTACGACAAATTAACGCTAAACTGGATAATAAGGACAAGGAATACTGCAATTTCAAGTCCAGCGCTTTCCAGCGTTTACGGGCCAGCGAACAGGGTTTGTCGTCTAAAGGGAGCGATGTTCAGTGTTTCCGCGCTGAGGTTGAGGCGCGTTTTGCAGCTCTCAAGGATGCTTTGAGCATTACTTTGCAGCGGTCTCCGGGTTGCGAACCAGGCCTAGACGAAACAGTTACCGACACTGTGATAACCACTATCCATGACGACAGTTATAGAGGGAGTTCTCTGAAAAAGAGTGGAGGTTTTGGCGGTGATTCCAGAGGTACGTGGCCCAAAGACCCGAACAGAAGGTCAACGGCACGAGAAAGCACTGATACGAACTCCGCAGCGGATCATTTGGTATCGGAAGTTGTTCACAGAGCCGAGACTGCCCTAGACCAGATGAAGCGTGACACATTACGATTACAGGGCCAAAATGCTATGTGATCAGTAATGGGACGTTTTCTTATAACTGACCGCGAGAATTATGTAGTCTGTATGAATCTCAGTAATTAGTGTGGCAGTCTCTCGGTTTTGAGTTAGCCTCTGTTCTACTGATTTAGATTATTTTATTGTTTTATTTGTTTACTTCAGTTATGAACGCTTTTAATTGTAAGTGCCAAAAACTTTGCGGACCGCTGCAACAGGAAAAACGTCCCGGACATTTGCCCATCGACTTAACAAACATAACCCAAAAGCACTCGTCGTCTACAACAGTCGCATTGCCAAATTACACAACCGTTTGAATAAGTGGAAAAGCATTCCGAAGAAAAACTAACCGTCTAAAGTTTTAGCTGCCAAGCCTTTATTTAGTCCCTTTATGGCATCCAAATCTGCATGGACGGTGCGTTGCACTTGGGCGATAGCAGAGTAAAGTTGAAATAGGGCGGCTACTGTGATCATAAAAATGATCAAACGGCTATATCGCCACCTAAAATACGAAACACATCATTGCCTAGAATACAGATACTTTATAGTTTATATTATCTTTTTCCATATTAATATCTTATTAACTGTACACAGTTGCGCACCACAAATTTTGCCATTTGTTGGGGTTGTCACCGTCGTTTTCGGTTTTCATTTCGTCGATTTCTAGTGCATCGCAACACGAGCGCATGAAATCGTCTGTTGCCTGCTGATTGGTCTTTGGTGTATCCAGAATCCCAGTTTCTGCCGCCAAATTATCCGCATCAAGTCCTTCCAGGTCTTCTTCATCGGAGTCGACCATCTCCAGTTCAGGGAAATGGGCTTCGTTTATATTAGTACAGGTCGCTAAAACCTTGCAGATGTCGATGGCCGATTGAAAATGAGTGGAACTGGAACTCATCGCATCGCGAAAGATTGACTCCGCTGCGGCATGATCCAGCTCATAATGATCTGGCCCAGATGGACGTAAAAATTTAGCGTCGTGAGCCACTGGCAGACTGTGAAACGATGCTAATGATGAACGGAGCTTAACCTCCATTTCTGGCCATTCCGGCAGGCTGATGTCAGCTGAGGGACCGTGTTCTGCAATCTCCTGAATGGAAGATATTATTTCATCCTCTAAATTGTGTCGGAGCTGTGCGTGCTGCTGCGTGAGACGGCTGAGCTGCAACATACCATGAATATTGCAAAATTCAAAATGTATTAAAACAGGAAACTTCGTACGTACCTGATCACTGACCTTTCTGTTGATAAGATTCGTCAGGTCATTATCTGGATGTGTTTTGGCAGAACTTTGAAGGTTTACCCAAGATTCCACTTGCTCGGCGACGGCCTTGGCAATACTGGTGCCCGTTTTGGCGAGAGCTTCTTCGAAAGCATCAAATGTTCTAAAGGATTAAACCGACTAATTATCGCGCAGAAGCTGATCGCGCTTTACGAGGTTGTAAAGTTACGTTTTTTATTTAAAAATCGTTTTCCGTCGGGGAAGTTAAAGGGCGGTAGCAACGTACTATCGTTTTCAAGTATCATCGTACATCGTCTCCGCATTCGGTTCAGATAGGTCAGTCTGGGATGGTGTCCCTAATGCACGGTCACTGACTGTACTCTGCACCTGCTCCGGTGTAACTTCCGCTAATGTGGATTTGGCCTCATCGATCATGTTTAACACCCTGAAAGCAAGAAATATGAATGCGTTAACGAATTCAAATGTTAAAACTTTGTACCATACAAAGTTTAGCCGCCGGCAATGAAGACGAGATTGTATTACTGAGCTGCAATCTTCAATAGTAAGCGGCAGGCAGTCTTGCTTTTACGCGGTCTAAAGTCAAAGCGTACATACCTTTCTAAACTAGTCTTGCTCAGCATCAGGTTTTTCGTCAACGTGCGGCTGCTTCTGCATGCAAGCCACACACGAAAAAAGATCTGTATCTCCGAGACAGAATTTTAGGTCTTTTTTAAAATATGTTACGTTAATACCTGCAAAAAGGAGAGCGTTAAAATCAAAGATTAAAACTGCAGCTTTGATATTTTCAGTTTTTTACTGCTTTAGCAATAATGGTATAATCCGTAACAAAACGGAAGTCTAGCGTCTCGTAATACTGTAATATCAGGTTTTACTACTATAAAGTACTTACCTGACCTGCGCACAGCAAACTATGGTGGTATAACCATTTCATAAATAAACATTCGCTGTTGTTATTTGTTGACAACTGCAAACTGTTGCTAGACAACAACATAATGAAAAGCATAAAATAAGCGGAGATATAATTCGGGCATCGAATAATAATGCAATACAGGCCTGTCGGATGCAGTAAACAGCATAAGACGATTGTACTAACTGACAAAAAGCCGGCGCGCAAAAGATCAACAGAAGAGTGAACACAGGAATAGTTTGAATGCGCAGTTCACCCGGCATTTATCTGCAATAGCCCCACACCACTGTAATAGTCCATGCTTCCGCTACCAAAAAAAGTTCGTCCGCCAAAGGATGTTTCTGCAGAGCGATTATATGCCGAAACAGAGACGTTAAAGCTGCCGCCACCACCGACTACCGTCAAGCCGCACGAGCAGAAAGAGGTCACATAAAAAGCCGTTGCGTCTGGCATGTATGTTGGATTTTGCTAAAAACTCTGCCACGCTGATTGCAGATTACTCATATTTTAACCCGTCGACATCGCAGAAAGAAGGCATTCTCCGTCCTCGGTCCACCAGGAGTGAAAAAGGTTCCTTTGTACTTTATTGACCGTTGCAAGGATATTGTGAGGGAATTTCGGAAACTTCATCGCGATGGCAAAACAAAGCATTATTTGGATACTGCTGCGTTCTATGACCCAAAAGACAAAGATACGCTTTATCAACAGGCCCTGTACCATAATCAGTTCAACGAGTACGATATCGCTTTGGCAAAAGTCGAACAGTGTCTTAAAGCCAATGACAAGGATTATCGAGCGTTGTTGCTCAAAGCGGATACATACTTTCAGATGTGCGATTTTGAAAATGCCCTCATGTGCTACAAGAAAGGCTTCGGACTGAGATTTCCTTACAAAAACATGTTCCTGGATGGTTACTATCGGACACTCGCTTTACTGTACAACATTACAAGTAAGAGCTCTTAAAGCCATTATCCACTAAAAGCCGGTTCATGTTGTTAACGTTCCAGGGCCAAACGGTATTTTGTTGCTTCCTGCACTGTTGTCGACTATTTTCAATTCGACTGTTATCGACTATTTTCAATACAGTGGCAAGTTTTAATACATTTACAAAACTTACTACATTGATTCGTCAAATGGAGATAAAATCGAAAATAGTTGCGGAATGATAAAAACAATTTGTAATAATCGGCTGTGACTGGTTGCAGATGGAACGTTTCCGGTATTTTATGGCGGCAATATGCGAGTGTTCTACAGACTAGTTCAGGGCCAAGAACGAGGTGGTGGACAAAAGATATTCAATGATACGTATAAACACTACGATGAACTGTTCCCACTGGAACCGAATTTAGCCGGACTGCAGGAGGAGATCAATATGTTCCACGTTAATAAGCCACCGCCACCCGATCACGTGCACCGGCGCATTAAAAAAGCAGCCGTCCAGCAGCTGGTCAGCGCCAAGAAGATCCTCGGTGGATTCTGGGATTACAAGCTGGAAGTAGAGAAACACCTTATTAAAAAAGAATTCGCCATCCCGCACACTGGTCCTAAAGATCGCACGGAGCATATTGAGCGAGCACTGCAGTTTCTAAAGCGTCGGATGGACCGTTTCGAAGTTGTGTGCTCCATTTTGAAGAACAACGAGCTAAGAAAATTCGATAAACGCATTGACTGGCTGTCGGAATATGGGAAATGGATGGCCACTGATAAGGTCCCGTCGTCCATCCCGCCGGCCAAGACCAGCGGGCTGGCAACGTCGCGGTACCGCTGGGCACTGTCACAGACATTGTTCGATATGCGCAACAAAACGCTGGACGTTTGCTGGGTACGAAGCCTTAAACGAGAGAGACATTCCCATCATCTCTTCTCCAAACGCCGACCATGGCGATATTACTTGGGATATCGTTCCGCAAAGGAGGGCGCCCTGGCTGCCATACGGAACCGTGGAGGCGACTGGAACTTTATGCAGAATCTGTACGACAATGTTCTAAAGAATGTGGAAACCCATGCCCCTGCGGACGGACGGTTGCCCCCGCCTAAACATATCCGAGACATCGGTGACCAAATCGATGAGTATGAGAAAAAACGGAAAGTTGCTGTTCTAGCGCCTCAATTAGTAATGCCGGTGTCAAAGAGCGAACAAAAGGACAAATTGTACTATGATCCCGAACACGATGTTGACAAATGGGACAATAACCGAGACATGTTGCGGCAGTCAATATTGAAACGAGAAGACCGCCCCGGATTTATACCCACGCCGGATCCGAACGCCATTGATGCCAGACCAATTCCGGCGAATCTATTGGAGGTTTTTGAAACGAGAGTGCATGATGAACCGGATGCATGGGACCGGCGGCGAAAATTGTCCCGTGACCTTAGAGAGAGTTTGGCGAAAGCTGAAGCGGCCAGAGCGGTACAAGCACACGTCGCTGATAAGCGGCCCATGTTTGCAGTGCAGGCCACCGCCCCAGAAGATGGAAAAGGAAAAGGGAAAGATGACAAGAACGAGCATGAGGCCGATTCTCTAGAGGATATGACCAGCAAAAGTCAAGTCTCCATGGAACCAGCTGATCAATCACCGGCTGAGGCGCCGGCAGAGGCAGTTGACGACGAGGAGATGGAAGAACAAGCGCCTAAAAAAGAGCCTAAAGTTAGACGGCCTGGCCCGAGGCACAAGTACGACATCCTGGACAAGAAGTCGGAAGTGGATTACTTGTTCAAACCACGAATAAAACGCCGCAGTGAAAAGACGATCGATAAGCAGGCTTCAGCCATCAGCGAGATCCTTATCGACGAGGACGCTGAACGAGCAGCGGCGCAGCAAGAAGCCGAGCGCATGCTAGCGGCCAGAGCGGAAGATCCTTTCGAAATATCGCGACGTCAGTTCGATAACCAGAAAGCGCTGTATTTGGAAAAGGCCTACAATGCGTTAATGTCCTGCACAAAGCCGAATGAATTTGCCGAGCTGGAAGTGGAGATTGCGGAACTGATGGATGCGGAATTCCCACCCAAAACGATGAGATATCCAAATGGTGAGCCGATTACACTGAAAGGTTACCCTCCGCCAGCTCCTATGACAAAACCGCCCATAAGCGAATACTTCGCTAACCGTAACAAGCCTAAACCAAAGAAAAAAGGAGGTGCTGCTGCTGCGGAAAAAGATCGAAAGGAGTCTGCTAAAGCGGTTGATCTGGGAGAATAGCCTAGTCATCACTAGCGTTGCATTACTAGTACTGTGTAAAACTAATACGAGCAGTGTGGTTATACCAATAGTACAAAGAAAATAGTATTATGGATGGTTCACGGTTTTGTTACTTGTAAGAGTACTGCAATGTTTTAGTTTTTATCGCCCATGTTTTAATTTTGAAGTGCATTTCTTATGTAAGTGGTATGTGCCACTTTGTTATAAGCAGCAACGTTCTGCACATTTGCTGTCCTGGTTTTGGTGGTCGCTTGTTCCGCTAGGTTAATGTATACCGTTGTTTGTGCTGATCTTGCATTCTCCCACCATTGATTCAGATTCCGCACAGCTACGATGTTGAACCTAGGGCTATGGCCTACGTTTGATTCTATAAAACAACATGCATAATGGAGATACTGGGGCAAACCATAACGAAATCAGTCAAGCCTTGGAGTATTAGCGCATCTGCTGGGAATGTCTCGCACGACTTCCATGCTGCATCAAGTTCCACGGGCTTCACTGCAACAGCTGACATTTATGCAAAGATCATAGCCTTTTTATCCAGTAATGCCAACGGTACAAGCGACACAGCCCTTTTACTGGATATTTGCGAAGGTTATGCGATTTCAACGGCCCTTTTAAACCACAAATTAGGACAATTCGTGAACGATTTGGTGGATGACCTTTTTGAACAGTTGACAGTAGCCAACGAAGAATCTGCCATCAAAGATGCAAGGACAGAGAATAAAATTCCTGTAAATGACATAGTAGCGGACATATTGGTAGCGGGCGGATTGCTAATGGTAGTCATCGTCAGATCCATAACAGGGCAATGGGACTCGTCAATTCTGAGCGATTTTATTAAATCAAATACACCGCAAGCCGAAAAAAAGGTTAAGCGACTTCGTCTCAGGAAGCTTTGGAGGAAAGTCCGAAAATGGGCTTCGCAAACATCCCCAGCGATGTCTCATCCTGGGGACGATCTCCAGCTGATTAATGTGGATTTTAGTCGACAGCTGACAGACAACGAGTGCAATTGGTTCCTTGGTTTCATGATGGAACTCGGCAACATAATATTCGGAGCCGACGTAGGACCGATGGTAGGGCTTCGCTATGCCATGTGTGTATTTGAGTTGGGCGCGTCTATGCTTCCTGCTAGACGTTCAGATGAAACTGCGACAGCTAGAACGCTAAGGCTTACATCCTGGATAACCCGCTTGCAGCACTTATGCCATTCTTACCACCTTAAACTGTTAGGCAACACTAGTCTTGACAGTGGCGCAGAGATTTCTTCCGACTGTTCAGTGAATGTCCCAAAATTTGATCCCGCTGCCAAGAATATACTACGTTTTGAGGCCATCGAATTAGTGGGGAAAGTCGTAGCGGATGTCGTTCGCTCTGTGCAAGAGACAACGCTACACCGTGCCTTGCAGTTTGTTGTGGCAGAACATGCTTGCGATGGCAGAGCAGAGTTGTCTGAATGCCGCTCGGAAATTCAGCAAGCTAACGTCAACAAACTGAAAATAAAAATTGAAGAGTTCACCGCTTTTCTGCACGAGATCAATAAGTGCACAGATGTTCCGGGTACTGGAAACAGAATGACGCACCTGCTTTCGTTTTCTGCGTCGACAGAAGGCCCAGGGGATATAAAATCGAAAATGGATTTTACGTCATTAAAGCAATTCTGGACAGCCAAAGCGCTTATCAATCAGACTGCGTTAAGCAATGTCTTACTCGCTGGAGAAAACGGGTTTGGTGTAATCGGAATCTCGCCCGGCAGATCCAACGGAGAACGTAAGAGCCTTCTGAACGTTGCCGACTATCAGGGGAGAGAAGCGAAACCAATCGACCATTGCTTTGGAAGTCACCCTTAATAAAAGGCAACAGCACCCAAGCAACGTATTGGCATTGGTGACCATAGGCGATCCGATGAAGGCACGCTCGTTTGAATTGAATAATCCAGTAAAGCCCTATTCAAACAGAGGCTCAGTTTCGTTGCAAATGGAGCTGATAGATTAGCAAGCCTTTTTACCGGAAGGTCATGCACTGTTGTAATTAACAAATGGGTGTTTATATCAACCTTTTTGGTCTGTACCAGAATTTGGTTTAGCCAAGGAATTAATTTTTGCAAGTGCTGTTAAGCATGATGATCAAGAGAGATAATATTGCTTCTTGTGCGGCTTTGTATAAACTATCAATTTATGGATTCAAACAACTAAAATAAAGCAACCACAAGAGTCAGGCAAACGTGGCTATCCTCACAGCGAACGAACAATAACCAACAAGATAAAAATTAGATAAACTGAAACTTGTGGAATAACGTGCAAACCCACCACTCTCCCTTAGCCTCACTAAATTCGGTAACAGTCTACTACCGATCGGCATAACTAATAACTTCTGAATATTTCAACCGGTCTACTGGAAGATTTCCGCAAACTTGACAAACTATGGTTCAGATCGCCTCTGGTATGGCTCGTTACATAGCGGAAGGAGAAGGTTTCGATTTCCTGAGAGACTCTCTGTTCACCGAGGCATCATCTCCACCATCCATAATTGGAGGTGGAATTGGAGATGCACGCTTTCCACCATCAGACCCCAGACGATTCCCAGGCCCACTGTACGGCATAATGGGTTTACTATCTCCCGTAGCACCAATAATCTCCACATTAACCTTGGGTACGTAGCCGATCTGACCCGTGGTCTTTTTCACCAGCGACCATCCGTCGTCCCTGCGGGAATGTCCCGTCCCTTCTACCACCTCCACAATTTCATCCTTGACCACGCTGACTTCACTGGCCGTTTTGCCAACAAAAGGGAGCAAGACGCGAGCTTGAAGGGCAGGGATTTCTGACGGAGCGGGGGTCGGGGTCGTCTGGTCCACTGACGGATTGGTTGATTGCAAATCTGGAGTTAGAGGTATTATAGGCGAAGGCGGGGGGATCGGCTCCCGTTTCGGAGTAGGCGGCCTTGCTTCCATTAGGTTACTTTCGAAGCTCAGAGTGGGCCATTCGGGATCCAGCTGGAACTCTTTTTCCCCTTTAAGTGTCTTAATGAGTTCTTCTTTCAAGCTGGTCAACAGCCCCACAGTCTTTGTGAAAAAATCCAGTTGTGTGTCGACGAATTTTAGAAGACAGCGGATATGGCTTATTTTTTCTTTTTGTACGGCTTCACAAGAGAGCTTTGTTAATTCAACTTGACGGTCATACTGAGCCTGATTGGTGCGTACAGCCGCTTCTAACTACAACAACCCGATATATTTGCACTCTACCGATTGTCGTGAAAGTGAGCGACTCTTACTCACCTCGGCTTGTCTCTCAGGTAATCGAGCTTTCTTGAGTCTGCGTCTTGAAGCGTCGAGGTCGAGTCGCGCATTATGTAAAGTTCGCCTTTCTTTCTACGGAGACCCTTGGTTCAGTTACACAAACAATTAAGAAAATCGTTGTTTCATTATGGATATGTTTGCGTACATACGAGGGCGTGCTTCAAATCAGTGTCCATAAAGCGCTTCAAGGGAGTAAGGTATACTAATGCCACCTGAGATACAAACCGTAATTCTTCTTGTCCCATTTCCTCCTCACACCTCCCGATCATTAGCAAACATTTACCTGCAAAAGATTGTTTCTATTAGCCTTTATTCAGTTGAGTAATACCAGGAAGATGGCATCTCCAAAAATACAGCACTATACAATGGCGCAGTAAACCTCTGTCTGTGCCTTAACGTTTTTCCGACTTAACAGTTAATTTTTGGCTGGAAGGGTCGCACTGGGTTGCAGTCTTTCTACGTGTCTAACAAACGCTGAAAAGTGCAGGAACTACCGGACAAAATCAGGAAGGAAACAGTCGCCATTAGGCTAAGTGTATGATATATTTTCGGCGTAAGATTTTAGATTTGAGTCAAAGAAATTTCATTTTCTGGTGGATTGGTGATTAGTCTTTTCAAAAGTTGCAAATTAACGTACAGATGTTTGCCACGCCCTGCAGCAACAGAACATCTAGAATGGCGTACGCTTCCATATTATTGACAAAAAGCTTAAAAAGTGTTGTAGACATTTACTCCAAGTTATGTAAATGACTGTTTTTCAGTGCAAGCAGCGTTCTTGGCAAATTAATTAAATCCTAGTCTCCTACTAACCGTACGTGGTGGTTTCTCCAAACTGCCGACCAGCGTAAACCATTTCGTTACCCAACTGCAGTAATGGATTAGTTCGGGTAGTATTTTTCTTTTCCCGGGTTTGATAGATGTACTCGTTTGCGGTAATTCCGGGACCTTTCCTTAACATGTTTCTCCATGGCATCTACGATCTTAGCATTTCTCTGGTTAACAGCGTCGAGTTCGTTCAGTATGCGCTGCAGCTCAAATGTTATCTCCGTGGCTGAAGCTTGACCGAGGCATTGTTCTGTCCTCTGTATTCCTCGGTTGATGGAGTTACACCATTCATAAATGGCTGTTTTAATTGGCTTAGGAAGTTGCATGACTGGGTTCTGAATGTATTACCAGGTTGCGCACTAACAGCGACTTACAGATTGGCAAAATTAAGATTAAATACAACCGTGGCGGCATTCATACTAATGAAGTGATGAGGTGAGCCAGCGTGGTACGACCTCCGCGAATCTTTCTGTATCGCGACTGACGATAAAACATAAACAATTTCTCGGTTTTGTGCGTTTCGGTACACAGCAGCTAATAATTTTCATCACGGTCGACGCAAAGGTCATCGGTCTTTAGATACGTAGACATGTAATTGTTTTTGTATGTGCGCATATTAGAGCAAGCCACATGAAAATGAGTGCGTCATGCTGCTGCATTAACACGTGACTTAACTTCGGCAACCCTTTACAAAGATCTCCTACAAAACTTAATGACGATTTACGGCTTCGCTTACCGGATGTCTGATTAATGATCATGCAACATGTGAAGCAATCTTTTTATGGCCCACAATATTTCGACATTGTGTGAGAGTTCTTAAAATGCTGAATATTAATAGCTGGAATGGATTCTTTATCTGGATTAGATGATGTGAAGGCAAGGCGTTGTCTTTTTCTTAAACATACTGAATAAAGTCATTTTATGCAATGCTGAATTAAGCAGGTATGTACTGAATTAAATGAAAAGGAGAAGACAAGGAAGTAAGTATATAGGACGGGACACCAGCAAAGGCAACAAAATTTCGATCTTTATTTATTTTTTATCTCACACACCCAGAATAAACGAGTGTAAGTATATTTGTAACAATTTTGTGCTAACAGCACCACACCGTAATGTGGTATGAAGTCGTGTAACTTGTAAGGTACGTACCCGTGAAAATCAATCTATATGTTTCAACAAAACCATGGTTTACTGGCAGGCGCGATGGTCGGTTGACCGCGCGGCAGGAATGGATCAGGTTCAGTGCTGTACAGCTTTGGTGAAATCGTTATGCCTTTGGTCTTCAGACGTGCAGTAACGGTTTCCAGCCCGGGGAAAGCAACAGCTTTCTTAGTCGCAACACTGTAGACTAACTCCTGTTTGTCTGATCTGCGTGTGTCCATTTGCCTGCATAATTCATTCACCGGAAATAGTTATAATAACACCTGAATACTGAAGCTTAAATTGTATACTTTACCTTGGCATATTAGCAAAAGATACAGGTGTGGCTAAAACGGATTTCGTTCCTGCCGGTGGCACGTAAGGAGCCTTCAGTTGTTGCTTGCCGTAAAAGTCTAAGCGGAAAGGGTTCATCGGAGCTTTGTACTCGCCAGGGATGTAGTCGACGGAATGAAACGTTCCCCAGAATTTCATGTCTTTCATCTAGAAAGAGTGCATTCTGACGAAAACATTGCCTTGGGAATTAATGAGAGTTTTTCCCACCGGCTTCATCCTTCCCGGCGGCCGAAAAGCTTTGGGTAACAAAAAGGCAGGTACTGGCTTGCCAGGAGCAGTTGGAGGCTCCGTTGGTGGATTGGCCACAAGATAAGGGTTTTTATCAAAATAATTTTTCGATTTATGAGAGGTGACATAAGCTTTCCGATTTCGTCTTCTGCTCGCTTCCACTGTAGTGGCTGCCTCGACATAATCCTTATTAACTGCTTCTCCATCATAAGGATCCGGCTTGTGCTCAGGATGTTTCGCAAAAGTGTAACCATTGAATCTACAACACACAGCGATTCTAGAATTTTAGCCAATGAAACGGTGTTATTAGCTGACATTGAAACTGAAACTGGTAAGCGTACAATTAATGGTCTGTAATGCATCGAATCATACCAAGAGTACCCGTAGGATCCGAATTTTGGATAAACCGCCACAAAACATGGATAATATTTTCCCTTTGGAGGTCGCTCTCGTAGGGCTGCGCTGAAGGCATCAACGCGTCCTGCAAACGTTCCATAGTAATTCCCGACTCCGCAGATGCTAGTACGACCTTTTGCAGGAACCCAGCGTTTTGCTAGATCCAGTTTGCTGCGAAAAATGTCTCAGTTTACCACTACAAAAGTAAAATTCGAACAATGCAACCAGATGCTTTGGAAACGGTTACGTGCATTACCGAGCGGCAATGTTGGCCTGGCGCCTTGCTCTGACTGGGTCGAAGGTCCCGTCCCCTTCGAAGATTCGCCTTTCCACTTTGTCAAAATAGCAGTCACGTAATCCTGCTTTTATTTTTCGTCCGGCGCCTAAGAACTGCTTGCCCTTTGCCATGTCGGTTCTAAATTCCGCTGCTTGTTGCAAGCTCAAGTAGGGCGTCTGCGGTTTCAGAATTCCAGGATCGAGAAATAGCCCAAACTTTTCCATATCGCTTCGATAGCCGGGTTCTTTTTTGGCTTTAAGGTCAGGTATCTTTAATTCTGATGGCATTATATCGAATTCTGCTGGACACAGATGAGTTTTATAACTTTATACTAGTGATGTGTTTTCAACACTGAATAACCCTGGGATAAATTTCCACTCATTAGGAAAAGCAACACGAGGAAGAAATTCAGCTTTTAGCGAAGTCCGATATTGTACGGATGCAAGGTGCTTGACTAATCACGGACCTTTCAGAAGAGAAAAAAGTAGGAAAGAGTAAGTACGAGTATGAGCAGATGTAACCGATCACGACATCGCAGAACATTTTTGCTTGCAATGAGATACACCGCTTCCACTACTTCCACCACTGTCAGAGACCCAGAAAAACCGCCACTACTGTTAGCGTGACAACAATAACAACAACAATAATGATAATAGGCCCATAATAATACTACTAGTACTTCTATATAAATAGGAAGATCTCGTACAATTAATACAAGTGCCTTGCGGGCGTGCACTTTACAATTGCAAGATGGAATAGTAATGCTTTAATGATAACGAATCAAAAATGATACTGCGTGTAGGCCTCAATGTGTCGCTTTCTTGCTGCGACCGGGATCCAACCACTGGTTGGTGTTGCTTAATGTTGCAGTTAATTTCAGTTACGACGCAAGGCGGCAGATTTCGCTTTAGTTAAAAGGTCACTCATTATTGGTGCACCCGATCAATGCGATCATTTTCATGCGTATCATTTGGTTTAAGGTGCAAGGTACCTTCCTCTTAACGGTTTTAATGTCGTGAACACGGTCGAAGGTCAAAATTCAGAACTAGTTTCTGTTGCGACTGCTTTGCTTTTGCTCGAAGGTACAAAATAACTGAAACAGTAAGTATCGTACAAGCTATGGCTGCGGCATTTGGCAGAAACGCTTTGCCTTGCTAGCATAAACCTCAAAATACAAAACTGCTTGACAAACTGACAGTTTACAGCATTTAGCTAAGCATGCATGTTTTTTTGCTAGCCGTATTTTTCTGTGAAGACGGAGCATCGGAGTGCTTGAACGCCTGTTCGATCAATGAAACTGTAGACATGCATTAATTGCCACGGCGCTGCTCGCGCATAGTCTGCAGACTCGAAAGCCTTTCACTCAGCTCGATAGACGGGCAAACATGGACTCGTTGTTTATGTTCCTATCTGCTTTCTTTGGCATTCAACGCTCCAGATGCGAAGGCGGATATCCCATACTGGATCTTGATCTCGACAACACATCCAGTGTTGGCACTACATTGCCGACAGTTGAAATGTATACGCCCTGGTCACCCTGCAGCTCGACTTGTACACCCAGTTATCGTACACGGCGGAGATTATTGTGTCAGCTGATCGACGAGCAGTGTACGCAGATTGTCCCATGCGACGAAATTTTACCCGAATGTGGTAGCGAAAGCTATGCAGCCGATATTGCTTTAACCGTGGGGGACACATATGTACTAGAGTGCCCGCAACTTCGTAAACGAGAACCTGCACTGCGTTTAGTATGGCTAAGGTTTCTAAATGGCACATGGGTAAACCACCAGCCGTACACTTCAACGTCCTTCGAACGCGTTTCATCCCTTTGAGCCACAGTATGGAGATCGAGCACATACAGAGAGAAGCATCAGGATCATACAAATGCGTATTAATGCTTCCTGACGGAAAAATTAAAACAGCTCGGTACTACCACATTAAAGTTCATCCAAGTCAAAAAACTTTTAAAATATTTGCAATGATCTTTGCGGCAGCTGCGACCGTGATGCTGCTAGCCGTTGGGATTTTATGCTGTTGCTTCCCAAAACGGCATCGCAGTTGTCCATGTTTCGGTAGTCATTCTCACCAGCGGCTTACTGATCTGTACTACCAAAAACTGGTTGACCAGGGCATCATTCGCGAATAAAATATATCCGAGGTCTGCGCTGACTGCACGCACTTTTAACAATTTGCTTTGTCACACTGGATAAAGGTTCCAGAAGCTGGAAAGATAACTGTAGCGGCTACTGGATAACTAAGTAAAATCAGGCAAAAATGGATATTAATGCGAATGAACATGCAACTTGTTTTTTTTAACGCTAGGGCCATTGACAAAAAAACAGGTTGCCGATGGACTTCAACAACTACGGGACGTTGCTTGCCCTAACTTGAGGCTGTGCAGACTACTGCTACATTCGATACAGGCACGAGGTCACGTTACTTTTGCCGACGAATATTATATGTATTTCACTTTTTTACAAAAGCTTCTCCAGAGTAGTTTCTTTATGAGACGGTGCTTTGTTGACACGCGATTGCAAGTTGGCTCGCAGGATGACAGCAATCGCCAGCAAGAGTCGTTATCCGCATCGTGGCCGTCGAACGGTATGCTTGCAGGCTTTAAATTTTTACCGGAAACGGGGAAATGCGTAGCAGACGGCAGCTATTGTGGCGGAAAAATGATGCTGTTTTAAAACACAGCAGTCAATAAATTTTCATCTCGATCAAAATTTATGTAGGCACTCGGATCCGACTCATCCGAGGCAGCTGTCCTCCAGTCACCGTTCCTTCAGAATTCAGCGTATCACTGGAAAACGAGAGGCTGTCATACTTACCTATGTTAGTTGGACTGGTCTGCACAAGTCCAGTTTTGAATTGCACAAGAAAACGAATGTACAAACTGGGGTGTCATACTATAATTCTAAACACATACCTATCGAAAGGAACGAGAGCATGATATTGCGAGTACTAACCAATCTTACCAGTTAGTACCAACGTATCCACATTGCAGTTCAATAAATAGAACTCAGGCATGACCTTTTTTTAGTCCATTTTGACGACGATATTGTTGCGCCTGGAAACTAGATCGATGGTTTTCTCAAGCTCGTTGAGATCCCTTTCCAGGTTTGTTTTAGTTTTTATTTTGGTTTGGTTGTCCAGTGCGAAAGAAAGCGCTTGAAATTGATGTATCGCTTCATCAAAATTGTGTCGCAACTTCTCTAGCACTGCTTGACGCTCGTCTTCCTTAATCATCACGAACTGCTTGTCACTAGTCAGTAAATATTCGTCTCTAGCTTTATGCAGATCGCTGGTTCGTTTCAATGACGCCGCTTTTTTATGCTGTTTTACGAGGTATCTGGGACATTTCCCGTAAGCCTAAAGCAAAAAGAGATCATCCGGACTAAATACTGACAGTCTACCAGCCACGTAATTTTTTAGAATTCTGAAGTGAAAAGTTGTTAGGTCATTAATGCGTTCTTCGAATAAATCGACGGTACCGGTTTGAACACGAAGTATGGCACAAGTCCGGATTTATTTAGCTGGTACCGATCTCCATTATGACGGTCCACACAAGCTGGCATGGGAAACTTTGGTTCCATCTCCTTAAGCTCGTTACGGGTTTTACGAATGAAGTCGCGGCTTAATGGATGGGGCTGAATGTATAGCCAGGGGTCGATTTTGGCTTTTACTGATGAATAGTCTTCATCCGCTGAAAGTCAAGGTTTTGCAAGAGACGCCTACCGGCAGTACAAATTAGCACTATCAGATTCTTATCTCACCATTCCGAAGGCGTACTGGCTTGAATTTGGCTCCTTTTTTCAAAAATGTATCCGGCGTTGACCGCGGCAGGTCAGGTACGCCAAATGTCTTTGTAGCGTCCTTCGAAGCTGTATATTCTTTTCGGCTCTGTCCGGCATATTTCGAAGAATATCTGCATCACATGTTGATGAGTACTTACAAAACGGCAAGTTATAACGAGCTAGTTATTTCATAACCGTACATTTCATGATCAGAGAACTCCCACTCTTCAGTTTGTGTGCCAGGAGTCAGCTGTTAGCAGCTGCAAGCGTACTCTGTACACGCTTATTCAGATAATTTTGCTCTTTCATTAACCGCGGGCGGCATAAATAATTTGATTTAGGGTCATTTATGTAGCTGCAGAAGTTAGAAACTACGAACACTACAAAAGGATCGTCTACCCAAATTATGTCTATTTTAACGTACCTTGGGGGCTTTATGTTTTCTTCGTAAAAAGTTGGCCTTAATTCATAAACAGATTCCGTAAATATGTCAGAGTAAGTTGGGTTTTTACGTTGCATCAAAGATACGTCTTTACGTTATGCAAGTGCTGCAATAACAGTATACCTAAGCTATTACGAAAGTTCGGCAGTAAGATAGAAAGCAAATCTGAAAACGTCCGAGGCAGATAATAATAATTACCGTATGAAAGGCGAAGTTGCAGTTACTTGAACATACGAAACCAAATTGCTGCAATTCACCATGCGGCTTGCAGTAGTTAAACCTGCGAAAACACGCTGTACAAGAAAATAGGCCTTATTCTACTGTAGAATGTACAGATACTCTCTATATTTGCTTCTCGCTGTTACTTTGCACTAAAAAGCATAAATAAGCCAAGTAGAGCAGATAGAAACAAGTACTGTACGCAATTACCACCAATATTACCCTTAATGTCCACAGTTACCGTAACTTCTTATACCAACGCGGTAATAATCTTTTTATTGATAATGGTAAGTATTCTGTAAATGAACTGCTGCATACAAATATTCCGTCGCGCCGGTAGCATCGGATTTTTGTTTCAATCGAGCTCAAATACATAGTTAAAACAAGAGTTACATGCGTAAACCAATGGCACCTAGGTACCGGAAGCTAGGCTGGTAATTAAACCAAACGTAGAATTAATCGATACAAAACGTAAACAGATGGATATGCAAGAACTGCACAATTCGTTTTCCTAGTCCTAGTTTTCACGGTCCACCTAACAGGTTAACCTGCAAGGAAGTGACAATCCGAAGCTCTCAAGCGAATCTAGTTCCAAACTTCAATCCTCATGGAAAGTGAAGTCAAACGGTACCACGATTTGGAACACGTAGCAGCAAGCAAACCTGTGCATAACAAAATATCAGAAGTAAAACAATCACAGCCTGAGCAGTTCGTCAGAATTTTATGAAGAACTCTTCCAGAGCATTAGCTTCGGCATTGGCGCACGATAGACTATAATTGGACTGTTTGGTGACAAGAAGTTCCAGTAATGCATTTTTTAAAACACCAGTGTCGTTGCATGTCCTTCCCACTCCTACAAGCTGGTCCAAATCACTCTCGGACACCAATCCGCCTGATTCGTTCCTTAATTCCTTTCGCAGCGTCATGATTTTATTAGCCATTTCCAGGTTTTCTTTCTGCAGCTGTCCATATTGCCACACTAGTTCCCGCACCCGTCTGTCACCCACACTGGATACCGGAGACGATTTCCTGCTGGCGTTAGCTAACCGTAATAAGCTTTTGGTTTTTCGCGGTTTTTTTGGGCGTCCACGTTTAGTTAATAACCCACCGACACCATCTTCAATTTTCCACTCAGGGTGTAACCTTTTTATAAAAAATTCGGGTCCGTCAGATGGTTCAGTGACGGCAAAATCGCAAGGCACAGGAGGTGCAAACAGATTAAGCAGTTCCTCTTTCGTCATTGGATTACCCGTAGCTGGATGCAGTAAATCCGGGTGAACTTGGAACATTTCTAACAGTTCTTGAAAAAATGGCTTAGAGCCAAATTCTGCAACAGACTCCATTTTCCACTGGTTGGAACTGGTGCATGTAGGTCAACCAATCTTCCACGTAAAATTGGCGTTTAGAGTTTAGACTCAATCTGAAATGTATGTAAACTTATGTAAGCCTGTCGCATGTGACTTCGGTCTTTCGAATATTACTTGTCGTAATTTCAGTGGCTATTAAAATCAAGTGCAACATTTTGAAAAATGTGGTAGCAGAACGAATTTCCTAGCAACTATGGAAGTGCTGGCGTTTGCAGACTGGCAGTGGCCACCGATCGCCTGGATGCAAGGCATGTTAATCCGATCAGGGATGTATCCAATGCTATAATAGTAACAAAAGGGTACTGTACTACATGGATCCTACAATAGTAGTACTGTAACAAAAGACTTTTAAGCACGACCTGCGCCTAAAAGCGGCAATAAAGCGGCAGCAGGGTCTGTATATTGCCCCCGTAGCGCAAGCGTGACCAGTTGCTGCGCGGTGTATTGGGTTTTTATATACAGAACTGTATATTCCGTACAATGTATTTACAATGTATTTGTGTTCACAGCGTATACAGTGCTGAAAACCCAGTACACCGCGCAGCAACCTAGTCACGTTGGATTTTGAAGAACTCGAAAAACAATTGTGACTGTGTAATGTACAGACCATGATAATAATTAGGCGTAATCCATATCCGTATCGAGCACTGTGCAGTTTGAAAGTAAACTCTGGCAGTACATACTTTTAAAAATCTTTCGGGTAGCAAACGTTCAAATACCGTGTGACGTTTGCGCTAGAAATCCATAAACATACGCAGCAAACATGGTTGTTTCGAATGTGTAGATGATTAATGGAAGTAAAGTACTATAGCACAACTTAGGCAATGTACAGCACCTGCCTTACAATTGTCAGCCTGGTACGTTACTACGAACAGTATTGTACTTAAGTCTTATGGACATTTTTATGCAGCAATATAATAACATTACGTACATATACTAAGTGCATTGCTCTTACCAAGGTAAAGAAGTTCTTTACTGCAGAATAGTACCAGTAGCACGTGACCTCAGAAGTCAGAAAACCAAAACACATTTGCTTACAACAATTTCAGCAGGACAAACACCCTGCCAAACCCAGTGGTCTAGTTGAATAACATGTCACAAAGTAAAAAGCAAGGTTCCAACAACACCCACGCCGAAGCTATCTAGCTAATTAACACAATAAATATCAGAATTGTAACTTCCACCAGCATTATGCCTTCCCCGTTGTAAAAGACCGGTATCGAAGATTTATCTGCACATTGGAATGGTATCCCAAATGATATTGTCCGTTATGGTTACCTTCAAACAGTCCCAGTTGGTGCTGGGCAAAATACAAACGCGATAGCTTCATCGGTAGAAGCAGAACTAGCTCGTTTAATGCACACTAATAACAATCATTTCCGAGGAGGCTCCTAATGTTCAAAATTCAAATATGCTGACTGAATTAGCCATTCGTCCAAAAAAGGGTCAATTTGGAACCAACACTCAAAGCGTCCACCCGAACCACGGGAAACCGTGTCGATGGTTATGGATGAGTAACACGCACATGTTCCGTTTTCTGACAGCACCCACTTGACAACGTATCTGCTATGGAATTTTTCGTCCGCATTTATCTGTAATACACTCACTGATGCCCAAAGAACGCCGTGTTCATGATGCCAAATTAAGCGATCGGAATATTCATCACATGATCCGCGGTGCAGCTCGAAGCGAGTATAACAACGGAACTCAGTCTTCTCACCCTGGCGCGCTGTTACGTTCTGCATTGGGGGAATAAAGACATCCCGCGGCTGATAAAGCGGAATAGCCAAAATGCGTGCAGTCACGGATGAATCATTGTCCGGTTTCTTTTGTGTGCAAGTATAGTCTCCAGCAAAAAACTGTATAGCCTCTCCTATATGGAGCGTTGATACCATCAAATTTGCGTCGGCTCTGGATTGGCTCTTGACCATTTTTAATTCATAATGGAAGGGCCCCAGATGTACAGATCGCTGACAGTGGCATCCAAAGCACGTTTTGAATGGCAATCAATGTTAACGGCAAAATTGGGCGAATAGGAAATTCTTCCAAGAGAGTGATGATTCCATACTGGATATGTTTCGGTTTTGTTCCAATCGACTTGATTAGGATATCTTACTTTACAGGACAAAGTGAATGCCGAACCAAATGCAGGGCGAGTAACAGATTTCAGTAAACTGCTGCTGGTAAATAACTTTGAAGATACGAAGGCCAGATGAATAATTCCACCTTTGCTTTTTTGTCGTGCCTCGTTCATTTTACTAATAACTGCAAGAAACCAGATTAGCACCGTGCATCCCCTTAGTAAAATAGGCTGCTACCTTTCCTGACAGAAAAAGTTTCGTCCCAGATCGAGTAAGTTTTTTTTTACAAAGAGTGTTTCAACAATTATAGAGGGACGCATTCACTTCTTGTCGAAAAGCATTAGTACTTTAATTTGTGAAAGTTAGGAAACGTTTTGCCATCACATTATCAAAAGGGTTCACACCATTCTCAAACGATTTTCAAACCATTTCGAACCATTTCAAGTTTTACATTGCGTTGACCTTTATCGTTCCGATCAGTGGAATACTAGGAAAAATGCACGTTAGCGTGCATTGGCAGACCGTAGCGCAGCACCTTTTCGCTGCGTACTACCAGTAGCACTCCTAACAATTACCATAATCAATAAGTTTGACTTAGCAACATAACCAACCAGCAAAATTTTCGTAATGACCTTTCGTAACAACCCGTCAGTTCATCAGTGAAGTCGATCGGCGCATTAAAGAGCAAACAGGAGAAACGCGCGCTACCGAATTCTTGTGGCAGCGTACAAGTGTGAAAATTCATGCGGTAACGGTGCTTCTGTTTTGGAAACGGCAACACTTTTGACCTGTGCGTAAAAGATATCTTTCATGGTTCCGATCGTTTTACAAAGACATCTGCTTTCAGACTGAGCCCATTTCCGAAATACAAATTTTAATTTAGTAGTTCTCCTTTACTACTCTACTGAAAATGTTTGGCGAGGTTAGTGTTACCCGCCAGACGTGTTAGTAGTAAATCATATCCTAAAGTGCTGTCTTGGCCCAAGTTTTGCATTCCAGGGTCACATTCCTTAAGAAATGCCTACTTTAAAATGGAACTCAGTAGTAGGGGCATGCGAAAAAACAGTAGGGGCATGTAAAAGTGATAAAATTAATTGCCAGGATGTTAGTCTTCGGATTTCATATACTACCTAAAATTTGTTGCAATACTTTACAACGTCTCTTTCGGTGGTATGGACTGCGGCATCATTATCACAAACATTAAAATTTCTTCGAGAATTGCCTCTATATCAGTGTGCTGGAATCCAGTGCGGCAAGAAAAAGTCGGATTTGTTGTATAGTTGCTCGAGTGAAGAACCCGGAATAGGCCAACGATCGTAGTACCTAACGATCTCTGCATCACTTAAGAAGGCACCCCACCAGCCGAATGTCCCCACTGTCAGTATTAAGTCATCCATCAACGATAAAATAGCTAAATCAATCGCTGCAGAATTTCCTTCCATAAAAACAACGTTGAACCGTCCAGTAAATAACCGCCGGCAGTACTCCATATCATTGCTGACCACAATAAAAATAGTTCGAGACTCGTACGTCCCGGCCAAGGTGTCGTAGCTCGTGAGCAGATAATGGTCAGACGCCGGACCATGTCCGAAAGCAATTGCACTAGGAAGAAGTATGTCACCCCGCCGCACATGGACCCCGATTAGTCGATGTGTCCGCAATGTAGATGTATCGAATATGTTTAATTTTTCTTTCAGAGCAGCTTGGGCTGTAATGTAGATGGAATTCAGAAATGTGAAACGGCATCGGATGTCGTTAAACACGTTGCCAAAAAATCTCCAAGATTGCAGATAACCGCTTAGCAAGATAACAGGTGATTCATCAGCTTTAATGGTATTGGAGAGGGAGAAGTTGTTGTAGAACCCAACACAGGGAACGTTCATAACATGCGACTTGTGGGTGTTCTGATTTGCGAACCACGAGCTTTTTCTTGGTAGGCGGTCTCCGAACAGGATCCCGTGGCCAAACGGGTCATCAAAAATTGCTGTTATGGAACAGAAGAAAGGTCATAACTGGGGTGCAAAAACCATGCATTACTTAGCTGCTTTACAGATCCTGTCTGAATAAGAGATGGTGGTGTTATCTGCGGAACCATGGCAGTCGTGGTGCATTCGTACCCAGGCCTAAGCTTGTAACTTTCAGTGTGCAGTAAACACTGTTTCGCACTCTGGATCTAGAACAAACCTTAAATAGCTTACGCATTCGTTCGCTTGACGCTGCAAGTCCCATAGTAGATGCAGTCATAAACATGAAGTTTCCAAGCCCGCCTCCATTTCCAAATTAATCATGAGCGAGAACACGTTTGGAGTCAATATTTGCCATCGTTTCGCACTTCGACTTCAGGCGTGTTTCCACACGATAATTTAGCCGTTCCAGGGCATGACTGCTGGATGTATTGGATGTGTAAAGTGAACCTTGGCGTCTCGTAGATCTGGTTTGATTGTACACAAGGGGAATCTCAGCTGGGATCTTAATGTATGTGTAATAAGTAACAGAAACTATGACAAAGCTTGCTATTAACTTCGTTGCAAAAGAGCACCCAGTGATAGCATCGCAGCTTTTCAGTTTCTGCATTTTGCCTGATTGTGGTGAAATGATAGCGTTGAGAATTAGATAAGGGGCGAAGTTCTCCTGTCTTGAATTCATTGAAAGCCGTAATGTTTTACGTATAGATACAAGTACAGTACATGCCGTACAGCGAAAAAAAATAGCTGTACGGCAGTGTTGGGCCGGAACGGCCCGGCCCGGGCCATACTCAGCCCGACCCTTTCGGGAGGGCCGCGCCGGGCCGTAACCCTCGGCCCGGGCCGTGGCCCGCAGTGGACATTAAATATACAAACTTACGTAGGCGAACGAAAAGTCTCTTTAGAGTTTATCGAAAATCAGAATTTTTGAGGACGTTTTCTTAATTTTTGAAGCCTTGTCATTTTCTGGATGAATATCTGTTTATCCACCTACTAGCGGACCCCGCGTAAATTCGGAACAAATAAGAGAAGAATAATAAATCTAGGTAAGCATTTTATTAGGAAACTAGTAGACCCCGCGCAAATTGCGCGCAGTAAATTTCCGGGTGATAACTGCAGTATGCATATACTATGTATATATGGAAACTTTAGATACGCATCAATATTTTTCGTTAATAATATTACCAAGATCCTACTACCGTTAATACGTGGGAAAGAGGAAGAATGCTGACGTGGGATGTCACCTGCGTCTGTACGGTGGCATTATCGCATATCGTGGCAACATCCGAGCGAGCTGGAGCAGCGGCGGCAAAGGCTGAACAGGATAAGGTAACCAAGTACCAGAACATCAGCCCGGACTACCTGTTCAGCGCTTTGGGCTTTGAAACGCTAGGACCATGGGCTTCCCGTCTGCTGACGGGGTAGAAGGGTACGGCAAGAAACTGGCCAGCACAGGAAATCCAGCGCCAGCGTAAATTTTAGATCAGTTGTTCTCTGTTCTTAGACCTCCCGAGGCTGTTTTCTGCTGATTGAGTGTACTGCCTTGTGAATAAGCTAAATGAACAAAGATTAAACAATTAATACGTACAGACTGTACTTGACAGCGATCAGCTAGTGCTGGTGAGCAGCTCCAAAAGAATAAACGAAAACACCATGACGCGGTGGCACCGTTTAAAATATTTGAAAACTGACTTAACCACTCACTCCGTTCACATCTTTTTATTGCCTTTCACTTACCAAGGCAGCGTCACCGGCCCCCGTCTCAGAAAAATTTCGTTTTTTGCAGGATGACAGAGTAACACTAGGGCATACTTAAAAAAATAGTTTCATATGCCATGGTCAGTAGGGCGTGGCCACACAAAATTTAAAAGTTAAAATTTGCTATGTTATAGCCCATGGCCAATGCACTGGTTCGTACTTTAAGCACACTAATTTACATTTTTAATATAATGCACTTCATTTGTTATCGTACGAGGATTATGTGCGCTGACTATTCTCCGCTTTCCGTTTCTGAATCGGGCTGGTAGACCGTAGATGACAGTTAATTGTTTTTATTTTAGAGATAATCTATAGGTCCTCTTTACCTCGGTTTTTGTGCTAACAGTAAGTGTTAAAAACTGATAGCGCGAATCGAAATGGAATTATTGACACCTGCTGATCTAGTTCTTACAAAATATTGTTAATTACCATCCACAGGCCCGCTTCAAAAACAAAAACGATAACGGAGAATATTGGACAGTGGACACACAAAGGTCTCGTACGATAGCGTATGAAGTGGTTCGTATTAAAGCTTATACTTAAAGTACAAAACATGCATTGGCTATAGCATAGAAAATCTGTAACTTTTAAATTCGATAATTAACCTGAAAATACTGGTAATCTTTTCCAGCGCGACAGATCAAAATTATTTTAATACCATTAATCGAACTTTTTCAGCTATCGCACTGTGCAAGGGCAAACACAGATAAAGCAGCCGAAAAATCCAGATAAAGTAACTGCTCTCCAAAGGTTACTGCAAAACATGTTTTTCTCGATACAATTTTTGAGTGGCATTTGCATTTACAAGATTTTTCCACGGCGGTGTAGCAAAATAAAAGTTTGGGACGCTGAATTCCGAAATTTCCTTAGGGAAAAATTTCTTTCTTATTTCTTCCTGAGATGCACGTGAAGCCATACTCCGGGCTATCGACACCATATTCTGTGCTGAACCAGCCGCTAATCTTCCGCAACAGTCTTCCAGGACCGTAGCTGCACCGATACCAAAATGCGTCGGGCCGTTCGTGCACTCTTTACGCGCTTCCCAGTTAGCCTGACCGGATGACCTTTTACTTAGCCATTCCTGCACATCGGTTAATCGAGTATCATCCCATGATGTGCGCAGCCAGTTGGTTCTGGCAGTGCGTTCTTCGAGAATCCGCTTACTATTATCGGCCATATTTTTGTACTGTGACAGCCGGCGAACAAAGGCTCACGATAGTGAGAAGAAGGCTTTATTGTGGATAGCAATAAAGTACAGAAAACCCAAACACAAAGGCTCGATGTGAGCTGTAGAATGAAAATCACCGAATGTCAGCTAGTGAATGAAAATGAACGGCACATCGAGCCGAAAGCATGGGAAAAGCCTATGCGACATACTGGGCAGATCCAACACGAGCGAACGAACGCTGATAGGCCGAGATGTGAAAGTGGGGCGTGGCTCCGCCTACATCGAGGCCGGTGATTGGCCGAGACGTAAGGCTGGGCGGAAAGCTGCCTGAGTCGAGGCCGATCTAGCGCTCGACAGTGCGACTCGGTGTGAGTCAGCACACCGGAAGCGGGACTGTCGCTGGCTGCCTGCTCGTAGGCTGCCATAGCGACTGGCCCAGCATGCCTCTGGGCGAGAGTCCGAGCCCCTGCGAAGGACCGGCCTCATACCGCTCCAGTGCCCGCTCCGCACACGACCCTACTGGGGTAGGTGGCTGCGCCTCGGTGTGTCCGATGACGAAGGTGTCTCGGTGCCGCGTTCTCCTCCGGACCCGTGGTGGCGATACAACTCACGGCCGAAATCCGAAAGTCGGTCGGTGGTGTTGTTGGACCGGTGTAGGCATCTGTTGGTCGTGTCCGTAACGGCGAAAAAGTAAAAAAATAAGGTATTATTCCATCTGTCTCTCTCTCTCTAGTAAAAATAACATCACAATTCCTGGTGAGCAGGTTAATGAAAAGATCAATAAAATTGAGAACATCATTTCGAGATTAGAAAAAGTAAACTCAAAGTCTTTGGTCCGGGGCTTTGGGCCTGGTGCTTATTCCGACTAGAGCTCGTCCGCTCACGGAGGCTCCAGTCCACTGGAAGTCCGGTCATCTAGGTCCGAGGCATCGGTTCTCGGGATACCCAATGGTACCGGTTAATTCACCGAGGGTCGAAGGTTCGACCCTCGAGGGTCAGAGGTTCGACCCTATTGACTTCGGGTAAAGGTTATGGATCTCCATTGTCGGTGTGAAACGGGCGTAAAACACACTGTTCGACTGGGATCCTCCAGTAAAAGGTCGGTTGTAACCTTCTCAGCCGGGTATGACAGGTCGTGCTCACGCCCAGCCGGGGTTCATCGGGTAAAGCTAATGGAGAGGCACTGTCGCATTCGCGAATACCATAGGGTACCCTTGAGACCTGTTGGGTCTATTGATCGGTGGATCCTCCGGAGAAGTCCGGTGATCCGAGGTTTGACGCGGGCAAAAACCGTTATGTTATGCCCCGTCGCCTATTGGGCAACAAGGACCGGTGAATGCCTGGTTTCCATAGGGTTGACTGGTCGATGGTATGGTCTCTGTGCGGGAGTCCGACCCTGTATCCGGTTGGCTTCAAGATTCTGAAGTCCGATGGTAGCCTCGGTGACCGAGGGTCAGCTCCGGTTGCAAAATCAGAGTCCAGGCTCAGCCTCGGTTGCTGAGTCTAAGTCCATTGGCAGCCTCGGTACTCGAGTTAGAGTCCGGGTTGTACCCTCGGCTGCACTGGCAAATGGATACGGAGATGTTCCGCTCGGTTGAAAATCCCAGATTCGTCTCCTGTCACCTATTGGGTAACTCGGAGAGGATGATCGCCGGGGTTCGAAGGGTCCGAGGTCCGAGCCTGAGGGTCGGAGGTTCAACCCTCGAGGGTCGGAGATTCCAAGCCTCGGTGTCCGAGGGTTCGATGGTCATTCCATCTCGGCAAAACCCTTATTCGCGGTGTAGGCCGCCTATTGGGCAACTCTACCGAGGGTCTTACCGATGAGATGAAGTCACTATCCGGGGCAGCCTCCGTGTCCGGGGTAGCCTCGGTGGTGAGGTAGTCAGCATCCGCTAAGGCTGGTCCGAAGGCATTCTGCCCGGGCAAAACCCTTTTTAACGTCTCCCGTCACCTATTGGGTAACGTGGAGAGGGTCAATGCCTCTGGACAGGGTCCGAACAAGTATCCGAGGGTCAATTAGCCTCGGTGTCCGGGGGTCCGAGCTCGGAACGAGACTGGCCCAACATGCTCTGGTGGGAGTCCGCTTGATGCTGGAGATGTCCACCGGGTGACTAGCAAAAATCATGCAGAAGAGGCTCCTCGGCGGCTAATTGGATCTAAGCCACGAGTTAGACACTCTAAATTTTAAAGACGGAATCCATGCTGGTCCGTTCCTCGGCTGATTCCGTGCTTCCACTTAGGCGGAAACGTCCGGGATGCCGGAATATGGGGGCTAAAGGCCTATTGGGCCTGTTGGCGTAGTTATGGGCGTCCGTAGCCTCCGTTGGGGGTTCAGTCATGTCGGACGCGGAGGAATGCACGTGAGCTGATCTGGCCAACGCGTATTCGCCCGCGTGCCCTAATGTCCTGGTACATCCTTCCGGTGACCACGGTCCGATTCGCGGTGAAATGGTCATGCCGGTCACTCATACCATTACTCCAACACAGCTTCGTGAGTAGGGGTAAGGGCATGAGTGTGCCCTAATGTCCCACTTCTTCCGTTCCGTTCCGGGGTGGAAGGGAGGCCTATTGGGCCTCGATGGGCATCCACGGTAAGGTAGAGATCGTGGTTATACGCGATCTGCGAAGGCTTGCATCCTCCGAGGGTCCTTCTGCCGGAGTGACAGGCCGGTGGAGCGAAGCGGATCGCGCCGCGCAGCACCGTCCCGTCGCTTTTCGTACGACGGATTCCGCCGGAGTTATGCTGCCGAGGCCTATTGGGCTCTCGTGCTGACTTCAAATAAAGGTCAGTCAGCTAGCTATTACTCCGATTCCCGGGGTAT